ATCTTTGTAAGGAAGCCAGGAGGTGGCTTTCGGTTCTGTGTTGACTACTGAAAACTCAATGAAATCACAGTTAAAAACCGCTACCCAATCCCTTTGATTCAAGAAACATTGAACCGCCTTAGCAAAGCCAAATACTTCATAAAACTGGATATCATTTCAGCTTTCAACCGAATCCGAATCGCACCTGGCCACGAGCACTTAACGGCTTTCCGCACTCGCGAAGGCCTGTTTAAGTACTTGGTAATGCCCTTTGGTCTAGCTAATGCCCCTAGCACATTCCAACACTACGTAAACGATGTCCTGCGCCCGTTCCTAGACACCTTCTGCACCGCGTATATCGACGATATCCTCATATACAGCAATAGTTTAAAGGAACACAAGGAACACGTGCGACTGGTGCTAAAGGCACTGGAGACTGCAGGCCTCCAGCTTGATATTGATAAGTGCGAGTTCCATCAACAGGAGGTGAAATACCTGGGCCTGATCCTGACCGTAAACGGCATTAAAATAGATCCTAAGAAAGTCTCTGCCATCCTGGACTGGGAAGCCCCCCAGAACGTCAAGGATGTTCGTGGGTTCCTAGGCTTCGCAAACTTTTACCGCCGTTTTATCAATGATTTCTCGACGCTAGCCGCCCCGCTTACCCAGCTTACTCGAAAGGATGTCCCCTTCCTCTGGACAACCGCCTGCCAGAAGGCCTTCGACCACTTGAAGACGGCCTTCACTACGGCACCCATCTTGCGACACTTCAACCCCTCGCTACCCTGTGTAGTGGAGGCAGACTCCTCCGACTACTGCTTAGGAGGGGTGCTGTCGCAAGAGGATAGCGAAGGAGTCCTTCGCCCTGTCGCTTACTTCTCGAAAAGACTGAGCCCAGCTGAATGCAACTATGAAATTTATGATAAGGAGTTGCTAGCTATTATCCGATGCTTTGAACAGTGGCGACCTGAACTAGAAGGAGCAGTACATCCTATAAAGGTACTAAGTGACCACAAGAACCTGCAATACTTCTGCACTACAAAACAGCTTAGCCACAGACAAGCTTGATGGTCAGAGTACCTGTCATGCTTCGACTTCAGAATTACGTACCGACCAGGCGCCCAGGGCCAAAAGCCCGACGCCCTAACACGACGCTCTCAGGACCAGCCTGCTCAAGAGGAGGCCCGCCGTTTTCGTCAGCAAACACTACTGTGACCAGAAATCTTCGACTTTAGGCTGATGGAGACAGACCGGTCAATTAAGCAGATCATTAAGGAGGAGTATACTAACGATGAATTCATCACTAAGGTCCGTCACCAACTTAGTGAGGGCGAGCGCAAATCAAAACTGATTACTCTAGCCGAGTGCGAGGTCATTAACAACCGCCTATATTATAGAGGCCGAATGGTGGTCCCTGACAATGATGAACTGAAGATTAAACTACTCCAATACATACATGACTCTCCTGTCGGGGGCCACCCTGGTTGCTCCTGGACTCTGGAACTTCTATCGCGCCATTATTATTGGCCAAAGATACATGAATCAGTAAGACGTTTTGTAGCCTCCTGTCACATCTGCTCACGAGCAAAAGCCTGGAGGACTACCTATACCGGCGTACTGAAGCCCCTGCCCGTACCTGAACGGCGCTGGCGTGACGTTTCAGTTGACTTCGTGGTCGAACTACCTGCGTCCAACGGCAACACAAACATCATGGTGGTAGTAGATCGCCTGTCCAAACAGCGACACTTTATTGGATGTTCTGAGATCTCAGCGCCCGCAGTCGCCCAACTATTCCTCCGTCATGTATGGAAACTCCATGGCTTGCCAGACACGATTGTATCAGACCGGGGAAGCACGTTTGTGTCGCTCTTTTGGAGACACCTGTGCAAACGCCTCCGTATCGACGCCCGCCTATCAACTGCCTACCATCCTGAAACAGACGGCCAAACTGAACGCGCAAATGGGGAAATGGAGCAGTACCTCCGAAGCTTTGTAGACTACATGCAAGATGATTGGGATGACTGGCTGCCTATGGCAGAATTTGCTGCTAATAACAGCCGAAACGAGACAACTGGAACAACACCGTTCCTGGCAAACACTGGCCAGCACCCGCGAATGGGTTTTGAGCCGCCCTCTGACAGCCTGCAGTCTCTAACAGTCAGCGACGTTGACCGCTTTGTAAGCCGGATGCACGAACTGAACCGACACTTATGTGACGAAATGGCCTGGGCCCAGGCTGTCTACGCTGAAAAGGCTGATCGCAATAGGCAAATAGGACCTAACTACCAGGTAGGCGATCAGGTTTGGCTGAACTTGAAGAATATACGCAGCCACCGCCCAACTAAGAAACTGGACTGGAAGAATGCGGGCCCGTACGAGATTGAAAAAAAAGTGTCACCCTACGCATATAAATTAAAGCTACCCAGCTTAGTGTGTATATGGCCTGTAGTCAACGTGTTAAACCTAATGCCATCAACTAGCTATAAACTGCTGCCCGGCCAGCAGCAGGAGCCGCCACCCCCAATCGAGATTGATGGAGAAGACGAATACCTGGTCGAACAGATCCTGGATGCACGAATCCGCCGCCGCCGACTACAGTTCCTGGTCAAATGGCGTGGATATGATAATCCGGATGATAACACCTGGGAACCTGAGGATGCTCTACTTGAAACAGCAGCTCTTGCTGAGTATGAAGCGCAAAACGCATCCCACATTGAGCGACTGCGACGCAAGCTCCAAGACCATAATAGCCCGACCTGAACCTGAACAACCAAGCCCGAATACCTGAACCTGAATAACTGAACCTGAGCGCCCGAATCTGAACAACCAAGCCCGAATACCTGAACCTGAGTAACTGAACCTGAGCGCCCGAATTTGAACAACCGGGCCCGAACACCTGAACCGGAATATCTGATGATCTGGACCCGAACACCTGAGCTCGAACTCCCGGAACTCCCTCCCCAGGCCCCTCTCTGGAGGCTTCGCCGGCTAGGAGGGGGGTACTGTCATGGGGTCACCCCTATGACACGTGATTGGCACCATCCTGTTGCCTGTCTGATTAAAGCAGCACCGACATCAGCTAACATGACCTAACATGACCCAACGTTACCTAACGTTGGCCAACTGGACTCCTGAACTAAACTGACTTCCTAATTCGATTTCACCGCGCGCGCGCCCAAATCCCAATTAGGAAAGGTGTGATAAGGCCCCCTTTATATTCTCAGCAAGAACTACTTTCGGGCCTTCCCTTCTTCATGCAACGTCTTGATTATTGTACGATACTTTAGTACAGCACAACTGAATAGATAGTTGATAGCCTCATCAGTTTACCTCACGTGATAACTTGAGCAGATCACTTCTAGTGGTTCCGTGACACTAACAAGCTTAATGCCGGCGGATGGCCTTATTAAAAGACTTTTAGGATCAAAGTATACAGAATTTATTAAAGCTATAGGAATGGAGGATACTACTAATAAGCTTAAATTATATAAGGGAATAATAGATTATAATAGTAATAGCTATAGTAATAGTGATAATATACAGGTATAAAAAAATTAAAAGGTAGTCTAAGCGATTAATTTATAATAAAGCTATTATAGATTAAGATCGCTAAGACTGAGGGGGTATATCATAAGTTATATAAGCCTGACTTAGCAGATATTCTGGGGCTTATCTATAAGTTGCTTCAGGATTAAAACCTAATAACTAATAATCCAATCCACTATGTAATCAATGCAATATTTCGCATAATAATCTCTTCCTTTTTCCTTCTTGTACGCTGCACAACAGCGATTCCTTCGCATGGCTTAGCTTAGCTAGGCACTCACATGCAACACTAGCTTTCTCTAACCCACGGCGACGAGTTTCCTCGCCATCTTTACCGCGGACACTCTTATGAGTTCGAATAACAGCGGAGCTTTGATAAGAATGGCGTTTCCATATTATTTGATTGCTTTCCAGAGTAGCCTGCGAATAACCTCTGATTGTTCACTACACTGTAACTGGGACCAGCTGCAAGTCTGTCCTAGTGACACAAATTGAACTTCCCAATAGCGCTAGTTAAGGCTCTGACTTGCATTACAAGCTATTCATAACGTCAATAATTGGGTACGAAGCACATGATCATTGCTTACGCTCGACAACCTGTAAGAGTGCCAGAGAGTTTAGCGGAGTCCAGCCGAGCAGATCATGAGATCTACGGCAAGGAAGTCCACACTGAAATCAGTATAGCACCCGAGGATACACAGATGACTTCCCTCATGGTGCATCTTATCTATGACTCGTTTTCTTGCTTCGCCTTAGTCAATATCCATGCGCGCCCTGATATCACAGAGAGTTGGCAAACGAGTATCACTTTGTAATTGCAAATTACATTGTATGTTGCGTTATGAAGTAATTCACAAGTATACCCATAGAGGTAGAGCACGCGCTATAATATGTCTCGACAGCTGCTCCGGGCTTAGTTCACTGCAGCCTGAGGGCATCCCTGGATGATGTTGAGTTTCCAGATTGCAAGCACGATCGTCTGGGACCACTTAGAATCTGGGAATAATGCCGCTGCGTGTGATGATATTAAGCGAGTATCGTCACCGTGCGTATATCTATATATGGATGCCTTCGCATCAACGTCCCGCTGCCTCGGCATTGACTTTGTTATGATAGTCACGTACAAGCGCAGTCCAATATGCTTTCGTTAAGCGTCAAAATGCTGGGCTTAATCTGCATATTCATTTTTTCCTCGTCCTTTGCGTATGCTCTTTGGATTCCTGAGCGATTCCATGCTACTGTTAATCAAAATCAGCGCAGGAACAACCTCGAAATTACCAGTACGTCATCTTAAAGTCTTTTCGTCACAAAGCTGAGCTAGTGTAGCGCCATCGTATGGTCCACTGGATCGATGGCTTCCAAGCGGGGTGAGCATTCTGGATTGGAGTTACAAATGCTTCTAACTTTACGAGCTACCTGGAAATGCAGCACCTTGGGGCAACGCGACGGCAAAGGAGCTGAACCCATACACCGACATGCCAGATACTGGAATCACTCGAAGATACAACTTCACATTAACCAGGGCAATCATCGCGCCGGATGGGTATGAGAAAAGTGTGATACTTGTTAATAACCAATTTCCAGGAGTATGCATACAAATAAGTGAACTTATGTGTTCGATGAACTGACTAAAGCAGCCGATGGTGGAGGCAAATTGGGGTGACTGGATTGAGGTCGAAGTATTTAATAACATAGAGGAGGAAGAGCAAGGTACAGCTATTCACTGGCATGGGTAAGTTGACCGTCTACATATTCACGCTCGTGCTCACAGTTAGTTCGGACTGCAACAGAAAGGCACACCTTGGATGGATGGCGTTCCCGGAGTGACAGTATGATTGCTTTTTGAATTTTTTGGAAGACAGACCTGATGGATTACAGCAATGCGGCCTCATACCTGGAAAAAGCTTCACTTATCGGTTTAGAGCGTACGTTTGATCCAGTAATCACTCATGTCAGGCGCCTAATATAGGACAGAGATCGATTTGTCAGTTTTACATGTATTTTATCATCATGTACTTTTGCCAACGATAGGTCCAGGGAACTTCATGGTGGCATTCTCATTATCAAGGTCAATACGTCGATGGCCTTATCGGTCGTGAGTTCTGTGAAATAAAAATTGAAGCAACCAAACCCCCTGCTAAAAGTAAAAGCGATTGTTATACACGGACCGGAACACCAGGACTATGATGTCGACTTGGGCACAATACTTTTGCACGACTGGAGACATAAAAGCTTCCAGGAAGTCGACGATCAAGTACTCAATGTTCGAATTACTGATCTCCTTAATCTCCCTAAGCTGTTCAATTTGTTGCCAGTAGGAGATGGCAATCTCATAAACGGCAAGTCATTTACTATTGGCGTCTGTATATTTGGCATAGGCCCAGGCTGTAACCAGGACTACAGCAGCACTCCCAAGTGGATACTCGAGCCAGGCAAGCGGTACAAACTTCGGCTTCTGAATGTAGGCGGAGATGGGACGCAGAAATTCAGCGTTGATAACCATAATCTCTCGGTTATATCGACGGACTTTACCCAGATAGAACCCTATGAGACTGAAATTGTCACTATTGGGGTACCTTGACCAGGCCCGAGCTGCATCTGACACGCTAACTTGCATATTCCAGGTCGGCCAAAGGCAAGACGTCATCCTCACTGCGAATGCACCGACAACCATTGGCGCTTTTTGGGTTCGAGCAAATGTTGCCTGGTGTTCACTGACATGGAGAGGCTCGGCTCTCGCAGCAATGTTTTACTCCGGTGCCGACACTACGAAGATGCCAACTACAGATCCACATCCCGACCCGTTTGAATTGAGCACGACGGTGCTATGTGGCAACGTACAATGATCTCATGGCGCTAATGTAAATGAGGGCTGACTTCAGTCTACAGGATCCCATTGAGATGTCAAAGCCCTGGTTCCCAATGGATGCCGAAGAGCCGACCACAACGTTGACCTTTAACAACTTCTATACAATTAACGCGACTGGATATCTCAAGTTCTCAATGGCGTTTCCAGGATCGTATAGCGGCAACTACACCGATCCGCTGTTGTACAAAGGCGTTATCGAAAACGAGCAATTTACCACCGGCCTAGAATACGATCCTGTGAGTTCGGCTCCGATTCGTAAAAATGCAAATATGGACCTGACATGGCTCGAAGAACCGAGCCCTCTTCAATCCAGATCAGGTATACGACGTAGGCACTAACAAGACTGTTCGAGTTGTTGTCAACAACCCGACTTTTGCACAAAACGCGCATGCTATGCATCTACACGGTCATGACTTCTATGTTCTCAGCAACGGCGCAGGTGTCTGGGACGGAACGCTCAACACGAGGAATCCCATGAGGAGAGACACGCAGATTGTTGTGCCAGATGGCCATCTCGTCTTCCAATATACAGTTGACAATCCTGGCATGTGGGCTTTGCACTGCCATATACCTTGGCATCTGGCAGATGGCCTGGTTGTGAATTTCCTGGTACGTTAGCACTTTTACATGTTTGCTCAAAGCCAAAAGTCGCAGCTAAATGCGCAAACAGGAGCATCGCGAAGAGGCCAGTAAATTTTTGGGAATGAAAGAAGATATTGAGTCGGTTTGCAACGATTGGAAGCCTTGGGTAGCAGCCCACCCAATAAATGATAACAATTAGGCTAGGTTGCCTTATTCTATATCCACAGAGTGGATAGTGTCTGTGTACTCTTTGAGCAGATAATTTAAATAGAGTTGCGCTTAGCTCTAAAGGATAATGATGAAAAGTACTTGAGAATGTCTCCTATATCGAAGTTTTCATAGATCCAAATCTTGGGATGCCAGTTGCTTACAGTAAGAAACCGCTAGAAAGCGATAAATCAAGATCTTGGACGAGGCGCTATTCCTTCCAAGTTTAGATATTATGAAACTTTGGAGAAGCGATGATTCCCAACGCGATTGAGAATCGGCAACCGTAACTTTGCTCAAATCGAAACCATGTATACATCATTTCCACTTAACGCCTTGGAGAAATGGATGAACATTGTTGCTAAAGTTGGCCACCTTACCTTCCGAACGGGCACGTCAAAATTTTGGAGCTAGTTCCCCGGCGTGAAAAGATCAATGTTGCTTTAAGTACGGAATGGAGAACTTCATCTGGAGAAAGTTACTGGCGTGCTGATCTTGATAGTCTTTTGAATTCAATGCATTTAATTCATAAAAAGGCGCAGATTTTGAAGGGGAAAAAAATCAGTTTTCTCCCCTGCTCAATCTACACAAAGCTATAGTTGATCCATGACGGGATGCTTGTCAATGAGCTTATAACCTTATGCAGTTCGAAACCCAAAGAATTCGGCCATTTTCTCTAAGATGTCGCCAAATGTGCGACCATGGTTGCCCATCCCTTGTTTTTCTCACATATCACTGGCTGGTCCTCGACCCAAAGGTGCTCAATAGGATGGGCAGAATAGGACAGGCTCAAAATACACAATGTTCGCCCGTAGAGCAGCAATTCCGTTGAATGTCGCCAAACCATTCAAGCCTCCTTGAGAGATGATAAGGGCCAAAATGGTCATACGGATCCAGCGTCCTCAGTTAAGACGTCAAAAATCTAGACATCTCTTCACGGCTCATACAACTCATTTGCCATTAAAACCAATTCCCAAGGCCTCGCCTGCCCAATCATGCCATCTCCTCAAACGAAGAGTATTAGAACGTTTGTAATAATGTCTCTCTGGGTATCACTGAAATTTACGTGCACATTACCTCCACCCAATGGAAAGGGAAGTTGGCCGGACCTTCTTCAATCGAGCTCGATCGGCTTGGAATCGTCATCGTCGATAAGAATTACTGAATCCTTGTCCGTAGGCATCTTGCCTTTCTTCCTATTTGGGCCTTCTCCTTCTCCCTCATCTGACGATCTCTTTCGTTTGCCCAAGGCACTATTAATACCATTTGTCGCCGTCTCTCCCGGCATGACACTCCTCGAAGGTTTCTTGGGTATCTGCGGTACTTCTGTCGTCTGAACAGGTTTGTCGTCGGCAGGTAGCTGTTTAAAGGATAGCCTAACTTCTAGATCGACGTTTGGGGATTCTTCTCTCTCATCGTGAATAATTATTGCACTTCCATCCAAAAGCTCGAGCTGTGTTAATTTCTTTTGTAACACAACCTCTTGATCATTTTCATCGTCTTCATCGTCACTCACAGGCGGCATAGCCTCATAAAGCTGCTCACCACCGCTTGTGATGGTAAATTCTTTAGCATAGCCAAACTCCGCCTTCAAGATATCTTCGACAATATGACGCATTGTTGCCCTCTCAGGGTCCACGATGACTGTCGTCCTGGCCACGCCACAAACAACGCATTCAGGATTCGGCCTGGCTAGATCTTTCTCCGCAGTGAGAACTCTGTCCGTTGACCGCTGAGAGAAGACCATAGGCGCGTTCTTGTAGTGGTCAGGTCCGCGCATGATTTTGAACGCGTGCAACACCATAAGCCCTGCGAAAATCGCGTTTGTGGTCGCAATAGCCGGTATGATGTTGCCCGCCATCTGTTTGATGTCGAACTTGGGATGTGTCTCGATGCCGAAGATATGTGACCTCAGATTCGAGCTCGCGGCGACAAAGTCAAGCGTGTCCTCGTCGTCTTTGTCAAATGCGAGCACCATATCCTCCTCGCCTACCCCCTTTGCTTTGAGCGCGGCCATGCGAGCCGACAAGCGGTGGAGGCTGTCGAGGAAGACCGCAAAGTTCTCTGCTAGAGACCATGTAGACTGATCTCGCTTGGCGCATTCGGCGCCGTTGATCTTGGAGGAGTCGCTAACCAGCGTGTCGAAGTCCAGCGGATCAGGGCGTCTGCGCTTATCCCAGAAGCCCTCAACACTCCGCAGTCGCTCTACGTCGTGCTTGAAGACCTTGTCAAACACAAGTCGTGGGAACTGCTCGGAACCCATCGAGTTCCTAATGTGCTTCAGCTCAGCCTGCTCCTTCTTCAGATCGGCAATCTCGTCCTTGTTGTCGGCATCCTGCGTCTCGTCCAGTTCGGCAGAGGTGTCCTCACTGATGCCAAAAATCTCAACAAACAAGTAACTCTTAGCCCATACGATGCAATGTATCGGCTGTGAGGGCGTGCTGCGGATGGTGCAAATAGGAAACGACTTGGGTGGCTCCTTAGGAATGCAGTCGTAACACTCGGTGACTCCCTACAGTCAGTGACACGTTAGCGCGCAGTGCTTGCAGCATCTTAGCGATCGACGGAGCGCTCGTACTTTCTTGATAAAACGAACGTTGCCCAGGAACCCAGTGGTCCCGCCGTCGACGAGGGGCACATCAGCAGCAATGCACATCCTGTTGACGTGCCGCCGCGCATCTGCATTGTCAAGCGCATTGAAGACAACGTCGAACTGCTTGTACCAGTCGATGTTGAACTGCGCATCCTTGATGTTGGCATGGTAGGCCTCGATCGTGACAGCCGGGTTGAATCTACCCGCCGACTCCTTCGCAACCTAAACGATCGATCACACGTCTGTTAGCTGCCCGCGCTCTCACCCAGCGACGTCGATTAAGAATCGTCCAGTGCACTCACCAATGCCTTTGACTTCTTGATGTGCTCGTGTCTAAACAGGAATTGGCGGTTGAGGTTCGACAGGTCAATGGTGTCGAGGTCGACGACGTGCACCTCGCCGAAGCCCGTGAGCACCAGGTTTTTCAGCAGCTCACATCCGATTCCACCGGCGCCGACCATGAGCACGCGTGCCTGCGAGACAAGGTCAGCATTTGACGGCGCGGCCTGAGCGGGTTTGCGACACAGCCTTACTTGCTTCACGCGGCCGCTGAGCGCGCCGAGCGACTGCTTGACGTACTTCTCTCTCCCCATTGCGAAACAATGCCCTGCAACTGTCAACACATCCAAGACAGCGGAGGCTGAGGATATAGAATGGGGCTAGCACGAGAAGTAGAAAGGATTCGGGGGGTGTACGTCAGTTGACTTGCGCACAGAAGTAGAGAGTCTGGTTGGTGTTTGGCGCTTGCCGTTGGCGCTTGGTTGACCATGCCAGGCACCCGTGAGACCCTTACTGATGCCGGGGAGTCCGTTTAGTGGCCCCGATTCCTTGCATCGGTCTACTCATCGCTTCCTCCACCGGGACACTACGCTTAGTTTAGCGCAAGCAAAGCCATCGCCCGCGTCGGGAAACCTTTTCGTTTCTTTTCCTAGCCGGATTGCGAAGCTCCCTCGGTGTTTGCTCCGGCAGGACTCGTCGCGGTGCTGTCCAGGAAATACCCCCGGAATCCTTCTCGCTCGCTCAAGAATGAGAGAAGCCAGCAGGAGCGCAGCGAGGAATAGAAGTGCGAAGAGCTTGGGGCTTTGGCAAGGATACTGGACGCCGTCTTGACCAGGCTGTTCAGCCTTGACCACACTTTGGGCGGGAGAAATTCAGGGGGCCCACTTGGAAACTCCATCTGCGTCAACCACCCACGTGAGAAGCGTTGTTTGACATTTGGTTGGCACCGCTTGCCAGTCTCTGGTCAAATACTCTCGGATTGGGCACCGCCACGCTTGTTTTCGCATTTTGACCGAGGCCCCAAGGCCGATCTGTTCTGGTTGAACGTACCTTCGTTGTCTTCGTCGTCAAGGGCCTCCACATCAAGTGGAAAAGGAGGAGGGATCGCAAATCATGTCAGACGACGAAGCCGACAGCGAGCTGCTTGATCTGCTAAAGAGGTCGCTGGGCCTGTCTCTAGGACAATCCACCGTTTCCCCAGAGACGGGCGTGCTCGCCTCGGCCGAGCATGTGTGCAACAACAGCATCGACGTGGCCCTTGACATGGCTGGCACAAAGGCTGCAGCAGCGCTCATATACAACAACATGCGCGCGCGGGGCTACAGCACCCAAGCATGGAGTCAGCACGAGCTGCACCCCAAGACCAAGGACGAGGCGGCGCTCAACTTCATCTTTACCATGGACCTGCTCAACTTCTCCTTCTTCAGCGACAAGATTGACCCCGACGACCCGGAATGCTTCGCCATCGAGTACAGGGGCAAGCGATGGAAGGGCTACTGGTCGCTGTGCGCAGCCCTTCAGCGCGCGCTCGACGAGGGTCTTTACATCAGCTCTCCGTCTGCCTGGCATCGTGAGGCAGGCTACTCCGACGACGTGCTCCGTCACGTCTTTCGCTCTGCAACGTCAGAGCCCATGCCTATGCTTGACGCGCGCATCAAAGTGCTGCGCGAGGCAGCTGACGTCCTGTTCAACCATTTCGACATGAAGGTCGTCAATCTTATCAAGCGGGCGAACAACTCCGCCGCTGCCCTCGTCAACTTGCTGGCCGCGTACTTTCTCAACTTCGGAGACGAAATTCGGTTCGAAGGCCGAATGGTGCGCTTCCTGAAGCGCGCCCAGATCTTTGTCGCCGACGTTTGGGCCTGCTTCGACGGCCAAGGCTACGGCCGTTTCGACGACATAGACAAGATCACCATGTTCGCCGGTACGCGCGTGCTCTGCCCTTCGACAAGTTTCATTACTCCCTTTCTCTGATTACTAATGGTGTTGTAGACTACCGTATTCCCCAGATCTTACACACTCTTGGCGCCTTAACATTCTCTCCGCCTCTCGAATCTGTAATTCGAAAGCAGCTTCCCATAAAAGCCGGCTCCACTTGGGAAATTGAAATTCGCGGTTGCAGCATACATGCTGTCGAGCTGATCCGCCGTGAGATTGCCAAAATGGACCCGGATACGCCCATCAATGCCATATTGATCGATTTTTTCCTGTACGACACCATGAAGGAGCTAGAAAGGACGAATGCCGACCGGAGCCTGGACGTGATTCCGCACCATCGAACGCGGAGCATTTGGTACTAGCTTCTTGTCATGTTGATAAGGGCGACGGTTCGGGTTTTGTGTCTTCTTGCACTTGTCTCTAGAGCTTTAGATACCAGAGATGCACAACATGCAACTTTCTATTCTGATATGAATGACCTGGACTTCCTTATGCTCGCATAGCTAAATCGCTTTGACCGTCGTTTTCCATTATCCCTCTGCAATGCCAATTCTTGCAACAGACACCGCACGGTGCTCCTTTTTGTAGCAATAAAAAACAACGTCACACTAGACTGTGCGTACAGAACTCCATTCCTCGGCTTTACCAGCTTTTCTTTTGACAGGTGACTTCGTCTCACTCTTACGAAGCCGTAGCCTTTAACCCCTTCAGTGAACCTAGACTTAATGCTAAACCTTGTGATCGACTACGTATTCTCACAAATCCAGTAATCGGGCCATTCTCACCCTCCTTTTCGATGCTCAAGTTCGCTAGCGCATCCTCGCCTGAATGTTGTTAATATGCTGTCATCTTCTTCATTTTCACGCATTACTTACCGAAAACACTCCTTGCGTAGAGGTTTGCACTCAAGAATTGACAATCGCCCTGCATACTTGCGTCTGGTGTAAGACAACTCATATTTGTGGCTGCCATCAGCTGCTTCAAGAACTCGCGGAGAGACTTCGTCTTCGAGTTGATGTTGACCTTGTTTTCCCACTCGAATTCGGTCCACATGGTTCGGAACTGCTGTTCCGAGCATGTTGCAGGTTGGATGTAATCCATGATGTCGACATGAACGTCATTGAGGATGACGACGTTGTTGTCCGTCGAGCTTTGTCCGTCGTAGACGATGTTGCCAAAGATCACACCAGTGTCTGTAGAGCTAACCTTGATTGTGGCTTGGACATTCTGGAAGTCGTGCGGTGCGAGCGTCAGAGGAACAGGCTTCTCGACAACCTTGAGGTCACCAAGGGTAGCGAATTCAACGGTTAGGTTCTGCAAGGTGTCCGTAGTTTGGTTAACCCTAGCGAAAAATTAGTGTGAATCAAGCTCCTCCTCATATGGCGACTTACAGTAAGACATCTAGAATGATGTCGAATTGCTGAACCTTCACGTACGCCTCTGCATACACACTGTCGCTGAAACCAGTGAGCTGGACGACACGACTCAGCTTCGAGGACAAGTCCTCAGTGGTAGCATCGCCTCCAGTGGCCTTATCCAGATCTGCCCCAGCGTCATCTGCAGCATCCATAGCATTACGCTTAGCAAGTTGACGTATAGGTACGACATCATCGACCTGGACAGCCGTTTTCGCGCGCTCCTGGTCTGCTTTCTGTGCCCTTTTGAGATCTTCGATCTTCACCATATTCTGGAATGCCGTTCTAGTATCCTGCAAGAACGTCTCCTCAAGCTCCTTTCTCTCCTGGAACTCACTCAGGGCTCGAATGCAGGCCAAGATTCTGTCGACCGAATCTTCGTCTATCTTCGACTTGACGAACTCAGAAGCACCAACACGGAGTATGGACACAGCAATCAACATTGCCTCCGACTTCAACGCATTTATTCTTGCATTATCAGTGGAAATCTCCGAAAAACGCATGACAAGTTTTGTGAGTGTCGTGACGAGCACAGTGGCCAAGAAGAAGTCGCCCTAGTACGTGAGAGAGTCAGCTTCATTCAGCGAAAAGCAAAGACGTTCTTATGTCCAACAACAGCACTTACATCAAGTATGAGCTGTCTGAGCGGTGGCTTTGAAGCAGCCCTCACTGCCTCTAACTTCTGCTTTTGAGTCGCTTCTGAAGGTAGAGCGACTTCAGTCGCATACGTGCCATCTGCATTGACTTTCGGCTTTGTGGTTGATTTCGGGGCAGCGTGTCCATTTCCGTTGACTTGCTCGTCCGCATCCTTCTCCTCAGACATGTCCTCAAGGGCTCGCTGTTCGCTTTGTAGGATTGGTATCTCACCCAAGCTGGCTCGGATTCGCTTCCACGCAAGCTGGATCTCCTTCTGCTCACCTGCATACTCGCCGATCACCCACAGCGAACCACGATAGACTTTACCAGCTCGTACTTCCCCAAGTATACCCGTGAGACGCTCGACAATCGTTGACCGCAATTTGGGGAATTTCTCAACAACCTCCTTCACAAAGGAGATGATTTCTACCGAGGAACTGCTGTTCACTTCGCTGATAAAGTCCATGAGCGAACCTACGACATTCGCTGCAACTTCAGAAAACCGAATGGCGATCTGGTGAATGGCACCGATCAACATGGTGCGGTATTCCTGGTTCTTCTCATATGAATCGGCTTCGACCTAAATTCTGTTAGTGCATGATTAACGGCCCACTGCACCCAACACCGACCGTCTTTCGGAGCTCCTTTTGCAATAAAAGCACGACTTCGGAGACTGTTCGTGAAGTCACCAAGTCCAGGCAGAGGTCAAGCACCTTCTGCCGAACGGTAAGATCTGGACTCGAGAGAACTCGCAAGATGTCCATGCACAGATCATCGAGCACTCCATCGCTGCAATCTAAGTTAGCTTTGACTCCAGACTAAAACAGAAGATTCCATCAACTTTACTTTTTTCTTCTCAGGTGAGCGATCTTCTCCAGAACGATGATCTTGACGTTGTTGTCAGGCTCTCTAATTGCGATCTGGATGAACTTCTCCGCTGCTGCCTTGATAGCCACAGGATTTGACGTTAAAGCTACAAGGGAGGAAGCGGCTTCGAAAACAACCTAATTATGGAATTAGTACAACAGGACTAGAAAAGGAGCAACAAACAAACCGTGTTGGAGCTTGCTTCCAGGAGATCGAAGATGAGTCGGAGATAGCGAGCTTTCCGCTCGCTGCTCTGTGCAGCATCTTTGCGGATAAATTCTAGGTAGGCCAGCTGTAGAAGCTCGTCTGCGTTTGGTATTCCATCAAAAACTGACGAGAGATAGGAGAGGGCAGATTCGGGAGATATTGAGGAGAGGGCAATAAATCTGCAAAGTGAACACCTATCAGCCAAGAGACTTCTCGTATTGATACGGTCTGCGTCTAAGCTTACGCGTTTCGCTTTGCAGTAGAATCGTTTTCCTCGTTCAGAAAATCTGCCACCTGGATAAGCGAGCGTTCTACATATGCGATAGGAGGATCAACTTACTGAGAAGTAACTCGGGGGCATCTGGGATGAGGTGCTCGTGCTTGCGGTAAATTGAGGCAATCGCGAAGACTGCAGTCTTGCGTACATATGCATGTCTATGCTCTAGGCACTGACGTGCAGGAGAGAGAAGAGGCTCGATTAGTTCGGGGTCAGATAGTTTGTTGACGAATCTCAAAGTATTCCCTCTGGCAGGTCGTTAGTCTGATGTCCACACAGGTGCTGTAGAGTTCGGCCGGTTGCACAAGCTCCATGTCTCGTGCATGACTTAATTTGTGTCCATAAGAGGAAACCGCCTATGAAATGGCGGTCGTTCTGGACCTAGAAGGACGCCTGAATGCTCTGTCCAATCATCAGCCCAGAAGAATGAATCACATTCATAGCAAGAACGCACCACCTGATGAACTCGTTCGGATGCTGCAGATCTAGTCTCATTCCATTGCAGACCAAGATCCACTCCTGGAGAAGTTTGCCGTCCTTGCCATGCTTTGGGCATATCTCGTAGTACAGGTAGAGAAGTTTCTTGAGTGGCTTATGCTTGCTACGTTCTCTATGTCAGCTCTTGGACGTGCCTAAACTAGTTTTGGAAAGTTAATAGCATCGCCCATCACATCGTACACCCCGTTCACAGCGGGTCTGCGCAGTAATATACCACACCTTAGATTACACGATGTGAAATTTAGGGCGACATGTTGGGGTCTGACGTACGATGGCATAACAAATCGGATGATTGGCATGAGGAGTTGCGGCAGAGGATCTCCGGCGAGCATTGTAGCAAGAATGCGCTTCCTACACAAGGGTTAGCTGGAGTCTGATCAAAGTCGTTGAGGGCCGTTATGCGAGTCTTCTCATACATGGTCTCGACTTTGGTGTCATCATTGCCCTTCTACACAGATCTTCAGCAATTGCACGTCTAGACGCGACAGTTCCAGTGGTGTATGCCCACCTCCAGAGCCATGCGAAGCTCATTGGCAGTAGGTTGCGGACCCGCATCTTGGGCAACAATGCTAAAGGAGCTGTCTAAGAAATTGGACATGGTGACGGCAAACAAGCTATGCCACGTCCGCTATATGCGAGCCGTCCAAGTTGCAGGTTCGGATATACGCCGTTGGTATGAACAGAGGACCGGGGCTCTGTCCTCTTCGCACAGATATAAGGGAGGGAGGAGGGGTGGGAACGCGAAGCGGGAGAACGAGCACGGGAAGCTCTGTGACGGCTCGAGATGGCTGATTATCTGGGCGCAAATATCATAGCATGTCCTCCGTCATGTCGCACAATACGGGACTTGGGGTGTGGGAACGGAGCGAGGCGAGGAGAGGAATGGGTGATTCTTGGACGGTGTAGGTAGCGTCAGGTAAGTTCCATGCTGGCTTCTTTGGGGTAGTCGAAAGTGCAAGTGCGTAGTGCGTCGTGCGTACCTCGACGTCCAGACCGCATGCTGGCACGTGCACCGCCTCCAGTCCGCAGACCGAAGAAACCTGAACAACTCCAAAGACGTGCAAGGAGCGAGAGGCATCCAACCCACACAAGAAATATCGCAGTCCCCCGCCAAAGACCTCTGGAAGCATGTCCGCGGAGCCCTTCTATGTGCGCTATTAGTATGATGGCCCCCCTCGCCTCCCCTGTGTACCGTGTGGGCTGACCGCCATGCCAGCTCCGGCCATTCAGGTCGATTCGGTCACGAGTTCTTAGGTTCGTCAAGACCTCATATTCGGCCTGACCTTTGCTCGGTTGCGTTAACTGTGTCTGCAGAGTTTGACTTTCGTACCTTGGGTGATGGCCGCAGTTCAGCAGTCCGTTACGCCAACAATTCGAACTATCGCAACGACTCTCTGATCCGCAAGGAAAGTACGTCGGAATGCCATTCCAGTCTGAATTGTGAGAGGTCGAGGGCTAACGTGCAGCAATCGCAGTGTGCGTCAGCTCCGCGGTCATCGCAGAGATCAAGCGCATCATAAAAGATAGCGAGATCATGAAGGAAGATGACACCAAGTGGCCAAGCAAGAACAAGGATGGCCGACAGGAACTCGAGATCCGGCTTGGGAATGAGCACATCTCCTTCGAGGTATGAGACACCGCAGATCCTGTCAAGTGCGCTGCATCGTTATCCGTGCTGACGTCCGATCTCAGACCGCCAAAATCGGCTCTCTCGTCGATGTGACCGAATCGGAAGATCCAGAGGGCTTGCGAGTGTTCTACTATCTGGTCCAAGACCTGAAGGCTCTGGTCTTCTCACTCATCTCTTTGCACTTTAAGGTATCTGCCCCTCGGCAAGAATTCACGTGACTCTGCTAATGTCCTTTTTAGATCAAGCCAATCTAGTCGCCACGTTTGTAATGAAATCCAGTTCTTAGTAGCACGCATTGAGGAATCAAGAGAAATACAAAGGCGACTACGACGTTGCCAATCATAGTTGCATGTTGCTGAGTACGTTTTTATTCCTCACGACATGAATTATTCTTGCTCATGTAAATCACAGACGTTTCCGTAATGCCAGAAATGAGCACCTAGTGTATCGGAGCGCAGCTCCAGCTTAAAAATGTTTGCTCTAGCCAGCGAAGATTAGTGATTCGTCGTTGAGGCTAACCTGTTTCCCGGCTGTTATAACAGCTTTATAACCCAGGTTTCGCGCTCACCAAGGCTATCGATATTTTATCTCTCTCTTAAAATATATGGAAGAGACCAAGACATGTAATTTTACTCGTCGATGTCGGTACAGGACGTAGTAGTAGACCCATGTGTCTTGGACAAGATAGGCCGCAATATTGATGGGAATCGGTCTGCTTCTCTATATCATCTACAGCTCCATGACCAATCTTGAAGTATTTAATGCAAATGGTTCTGCCAGTAAGTTTCGCTACATAAGATTAATTGCCCGTCGTCAAGAATTTCCTCGATGATGTTACTTGTGAAAATCACGTGTACAGCCGTGCAATGAATACGGAGACAACATGTAGCGAGAGCTATATGTGAGACAGCTATCTTACGTGGACAGCCTTATGCTCGTTCGAGGTTCAACAACCCTTTTTTTGTTCAACTAGTTGGATGTCGTCATGCCCTGACACTGGTAGAATGTCGTTGCTTGGCCAGTACAAGTTTCACAAATAAAGAGTAATTTAATGGAGGGAGAATGCCAAGGCTCGCGGAGGAAATCCTACAAAGCCGTCACATCGTTACCTGACGTTAGTACCCAGTCTAAACTGCTCATAATTACTTCAGGACTGAAGATCACTCAGCGAAGAGAATGGCACTGTTTCTCAAGCCCGTTTTTGTGTTTTGTCTTGCCGTTTCGACAATCCAGGCGTAAGCCTGCTTGCATTGAGCACACATATTCTTGGAAACGGATAGAAATGATAAGGCCTTGAGAGCGCATAAATTCCAGTGGTTCATATTATGATATTAAATATACGTTCCAAAATTTACGTCAGTGTAAACATAGCGGAGAAGATGAAGGGAATTTATTGCTTTAGTTATGCCTGGTAAGTAGTTAGTACCACTTAAATACATGACCTAGCATAAGTCAGATTGTAATCCTCAGAAGTATTTCTCCATTATATTTAGGGCTCACTTGATCGATTTCTGTATTTTGACCATTATTTCATCTAATCTCTACTTGCAATCCCGAGTATCATTCTAATTCATTATAGTACACCTGTCTTGTGCCGAAATCAAAACCTTTGGCTAACACGATACTTCATGTCACCTCCCTCGGCAACGCAGTACAATCATTCCATTTCTAAAGGTGATAAATTCATGCGTTAAATTCTCTCCTGACTCTTCTTCGGGCACCAATCGGTTTCGCGGCGCCGATGACCAAGGATCCACGCATAACGTCCAAGGCAGCCATCTGTTGGCCAACGCCTGTTGAACCGTCAGACTTGCCGATGTCCCATCGACTTCCACACATTTGACCATTGCCACCTCCAGTACAGGCTTTTGCTGCGCCTTCAGCAGAGGCTTCTAGAAACGGCAGGATCGCGGCCTGGAAGGACGGGATGATATTTGCTGTGCCCGCCATCCATCGGGCAAGATACGCCTTGAAGGACAGCTGGTCCACGTTGCACGTCCCCTGTCTCTCGCACATCTTCTCATACATGATCCTGCCGTCAAAGAAGGTCGCGACGGCGTTGCCTACGAGACCAGCCGTCCGGTCGGACCACAGGGGGTCGCCGGTCACGTCAAAGAGGACGGCGGCACCGTACATGAACGCGCCGACGTTGTACGACCACTGATCGTGGTTGACGTCCACGCAGCCCGTAGACTTTGCGTCGTCGGTGCCGTCGAAGACGTTGAAGTTTTCGTCTATAAGCCCCACGCTCTGCGTCCAATTGTACGCGTTGATGGCCCAGTCAAGATATGTCGGATCCCCCGTGAAGCGCGCAAGACGAGCCGCAAGCTGAAACGCCAGCCCATTCGCGATCGTGGATTTGTAGTGATAGCCGTCGGCTCCGGGCTGGATCTTCCACTTCATACCGCCATTGCACCGCGTCATGTCCCATCGGCTGGCAAACTCGTTGAACACATTTTGGGCCACGCTGATCCAGCTGGGCCCTCCTGGGTTAGGCAGCCCGTATTCCGCGGCGCCCATGGCTGCAAGTGCCCACCATCCCTGATCGTCATTTCCTTCGGCCGACGGCATCATGAAGTCGTTACCCGGACTCAGTTGGCTTAGCAGCGCCTGTGCGACGGCCTGATTGTAGGTACTGTCTCCCGTATAGTGCCAATACTCGATCATGCCGCCGAAGAGGCCTGCCGATTCCCACCACCAATACGGCGAGGGCAAAACGCCGACCGGTGCGAAATTGTAAAAGCCCATCAGATTGTCGGCCGCAATCTTCAAAGCGGATTTGACAGAAGCGACATCTGAAGGGACGAGGCTCAATGACACGCTAGAGCCGATCAAAGAGGCTCCTAAAAATAAACATCTCGAAAAATACATTCCCAGAAATGTGTGCGGACTCGACGGCAAAAGGGGGACTGGGTGTAGAAAATGCCGGCCGGGACCTGGAGAAAGCAATGAAAAAGGACAGAAAAAGAACGACTGATCTAGCTAAACGAGTGTGAGGACGGTGAGCGATGCATTGTCTGAGTTACGCAGGTCGCTACATTATAAAGATTGGGTACGCTCAAGCTTAAGCCAGCGTCCACATTCTCCTATCCTATGGCAGATCCATGGGACAAGCAGGGCCGGCAGAGATTAAAAAGAACAAGACAAGAGAAAAAATGGAAACACGAATTCAGCGAGATGCCAACAGGAAGCCTCGGCGCATGTTGGGCACCGCAGCGGCCGCGAAACGAAACAGCGTCGTGGTTGGCCGACGGGATGATGAAGAATGGGTTACTGAAGCCAAGACTGCCCAGAAAGGGGGGAGGGGGAAGAACGCGGCGATGAAAGGGAGAGGACGAGCAGAGGCCGACACAAGGGGGACACTGCAGCCTTGAAACGACAACGCCCCGGCTCCATCGATGTGCGAAGCGATCATAGGCGCGGCACTTATTAGGAGCGACATTCACATGTGCCGCGAGTGGAACGGGTTTCGAGGGCGCATTGTAGTTCCAGTCGCGTGGTTTGTGTGTCGGCCGAGCTGTGAAACGACCGCGACGATCGGGAGCTAGATTTGCATGCGCGACGTGGGTCTCGGGCAGGGAAGAAACTGGCTCCCTTTCTTGCCTCAGTGCAGAAGGAGACGTAAGTTTAGCCCAGGCAACAGCAGCGCTCTTATCGCCGTCGCATTTCGAATGATCCTTTGATTATTTTCACGGGGTGGGGAAAGGAAAGCCGCAGGGAGGGAGGGGGGGGGGGGGGGGTTGCTTTTTCTTGTTTGCAATGACCCGCCAGCAGAGACTCCTCATGGCCACATAAGGTCTGGATCCCGACTTACGCTGGACAAAACTGGAACGATTTTACGCTTGTACAGGATGTTCAACACCCGCGGTGAAGAGTGTACCGCGAGGAGGTGAAAACAAGGCCAGGTATGAAGGGGACACCAGTCGAATATGACTGTAAAACGAAGCAAGTTGATGTTCAAGCAAGCTCGACGCTTTTCGAAGTCGCCGAAAGTGGGCACCTGGATCCATGCTATGCAAGACAACTAGTTACGTACAGAGAATGCAAGTGAGAAAAGAGTTTATAGCTGAGCGCTTTCTTGACCAACCTTGGTCGGCAAGAAGGCGTTGAAGTATTGGTTCAGCGCATCGACAGTGCCGCTGCCTTCCACGAGGCGAATGACACATCCAACATACCCGTCCGGTCTCACTACCACCACGCCGCCACGCTCCTCCTCCAGGCCCATTTTCGCATGCGCAGCAGCTGTGGCTTCTGGAACCCGATGGTCCCAGATATCGTCCGCGTAGACGTGATCCTTGTATCGTGCCAGTTCAGCTGGCAGCAGGGCGCCAATGTCTATGTCCGGCCGTTTGGCATTGAAGATGGTCGCAAATGTGTACAGGTACGAGTGCGGGTTGTGTTTCTCATGGAACGAGACCTGGTCGATGTCCGGACGCAGATTCGCAGAGAAGAATGACGACTTCTTCCGCAAGTTCTGAGCGAAGTCCTTGATCGCTTGTCCCATGCGCTTGGGCTGACCAGAAAAGAGGAAGATCCTGTAGCTGCCGTTGAGGGGAATTTCCTGCTCCAAATGGACCACGTTTGCGTCGACCACACGAGTGACGGTCGCCGGCACTAGCGTCCGGCCTGTCCGCAACTTGGTCCCTTTGCCGGTCTCGAGGAAGAGGCTGCTTTGCGCTTGGTGCGAGGGACCCCAGTTGAAGACGTTCTCGAGATACGCAACGCCATAACCGCTCGTGAACTCGCAGCTGGCCTTGAACGTCTTGACAAACTCATTCTCTTCCACCGGCTTCTTGTCTGCATCCGTCGATGCCGCAGCGCCAACCTCGCCTGCAGAAGGCAGTCTCATGGAGAACAGCTTCGCGTACTTGGCATCGAAGGTCAACAACTGGTCGGCTGTTCTTCTCCTTTCCGTCTCGTATGTGCTCAACACGCTGCGGTCGGCCCAGCCAGATTCGACATGGTGTATCTTCCAAGCAAGGTTGGCGGCGTCGAGGAAAGCAGTGTTCATACCCTGGCCAGCCTTGGGGCTGTGGGTGTGGCAGGCGTCACCGCCGATAAAAACGCGCTCATCAATCGTGTATCGATCCGCAAGACCCTGGCCAATTGGATAGACCGAGTACCATTCAACACGGTCCCATTCGATCCAGTACGGTTTCAAGATGGCCTTGGCCTTATCTATCACTTCTTGTTCAGTGGCCGTTTTTCGAGGGTTGAAATCCGGGTCAGTAGAAGACGCAATTTGGATGTACAGCCGAACCATGTTGTCCTCCCGCGGAATGACCATGATTGAGCCGGCGTCGGAGTGAATGGTACACTTCATCTGCACACGAAATTTGTTAACTGTGTTGCCTATTGCACGAAGAGATAAGCAGTACCTTGATGTCGGGAAAGTCCGTCCGCACAACGCCATCCATGACACCCCACACATATGCGATCGGATCTCTGTGACGGACTTGGATATGAAGCTGTTCTCGAATGAAACTCCTCGCACCCTCACCGCCAAACAAGTACTTTGCCCGCACGGTCTCGGTCTGGTCGCTGTCTACGTGCTTAAGCTGGACCTCCACTGGATACGTTTCGTCTGCGCCGTCGTTCTTGAATCCCGTGATGGTCCACGGCCGCTGCACCTCTACGCCGTACTTCTTCATGTCGTTCAGAAAAACATTTTCGATGTGCCCCTGGTGCAAGAGGGTGGTGAAGGGATAGCGGGCATCGATGAACTTGGGGCAGCTAGGCCAGCTTCCTGTTCTTTCGATGCCGTTTCGGGTGGGGTCCCAGAAGGCGACCTCGTACACGCGCGCAGGCTTGTGTGCCATTATCGCAGACTTGAGACCCATGTTCCTGAGCAGATCCATCGAACGAGGCTGAATGCCGTCCGCACGACCTGTCTTGGTGGGCTCTGGCCTGTTATCAATGTGCTTGATCTTGTACCCCCATCGCGCGAGACAGGTGGACATCATCAGCCCAACCGGGCCCGCGCCCACGATCACAATATCGTACGTATCCATTGCGAGTAGCAACGAGTCCTGGAGACGAGATGAGAAGGGAAATTGCGTGCTCGGCCAAAGTCGTGTCTCCTGGCAGCCAAAATGCTTGTGATCGCTAAATGGCAACACCTTCGACGTGCCAGTAAATTTGGGGTATCTTGAGGACGGAAACGGCTGGAGAACAGTGCTCCGCGTGGATGATGGCGAGCTTTATGTAGCCATGCGATAAGGGTGAAAGAAGCGGAACGAGAAGCATTCCGACTTCATGATTTAGAGCTGCCGTGGGCCCCGGCGGCTCTGATGGTTACAAACGGCACTGAGAGCTCCTCTGCCCACGTTTTTATTTCCGTGATCTGGATTCTCAATGCCGGTGATCATGCTAAGGTGGGGCGCTAGGTTTGTCCTCTTCTGTAAGCGGCTGTTCGCGCTCCACGTTTCGGCAATGGCAGTCCCCACAAATGATGGTAGTGCTCCGACCAATCACCAACGATGAGATTCCGCCCCAGATTTCTCGCGTCGTTTTCTGTCTGTTTCGTGAGGTGGACCCGTCTGCTTTGAAAGCTGTGACTTTGTGTATTGTGGACTCTCCGAAGGGTTGGTTCAAAGGGCGCCGATGCTTCTGACGCTGTGTTGCATTGCGTCTCACGCCACAGGCGTTCGTTGCAAACAAGCGCATTACTGCGCAATGTCCCCCATCTTCAAACCATTGTAAGCTCGATTCGCTTCTACACGGCTCTTGAAGGCGTCTGGCCCATTGTGTGTGTGTCCAAAGAAGGCGCGCGCCTTGTCCACAGCTTGTGAAGTTTGGAAGGAGAGAGCACCCCAGACGAAGCATCGTGCCATCCAACTGTGCTTTCTATCTGTACCGTAGGCATCGATAGAACAGATGGCTTCAACACTGCTATGCTAAGAAGCCAGAACAGCGGATTGACCTATATATTCATTTTTGCATCTCCTTTGCTTTCTCTTCCTTTCGACAGCAGACATGCCAGAATTGACCATCAGACTGCACGACGCTAGAACTCGTATATACGGCCCAGGCGACACGGTGTCCGGCTCTGTGATATTCATACCCCTTTTCAGTGCGCGTCTTCGTTCCTTGATCGTGTCTCTGCAAGGCTACTGCTATACCTCGTCCCTCAGCGCGAATGCAAAAGTTTCCCATGTGGTCCCCTTCTTGCGCCTGAGCACCTCAACGATGGAGGAGACGTACACGTACATCGGAGAGACGTATGAAGCTCCATTCTCCTTCAAGTTCCCGGAAGATACAGATGTCGTTCACGAAGCCGGTCCCGATCGGCTGAGGAGCGTTTTCAACCAAGGACCGCAGGCACTGCCATCCAGCGTCGTGATTTGCGCAAGAAATTGTGTTCAGACCGTGCGCTACATGATAGAAGTGGAAATACACGGCAGGACACGCGCTACGTGTGAGGAGACGATTCTCTTCCGACAGTCGGAAAAGAGGTTGAGGGATGGAAATGCCAGCAGGGAACAAGAGGAATCGCGGAACCAGCTGGGGGACAATGCGGTCCGGGAAGATCGCTCGTCGAGCCCAACGAGCCCACGTGTAGACTACGAGACCTGGAGGTCAGACAGATCTGTGTATTATCATAGGCCGGAGATGATCAGGCTACCAGAAGCCAAGGGGTGTTCACGACTGAGCTTACACGCACTACCTATGATAAGCACGCATCACAAGAGCGCCGTCGACCGCTACAAGCACGCAAAGAATCAGAACAGGGGCGGACTGCCGCGGGCATTCAAATCCTGGAAGACGCCCAAGATGGTGTTCATGCCCAGCATCTACTGCCCGCAGAAAACTGCAGTGGATCAGGAAATACCACTCCTGTTGGCCGTCGATACAATTCGAAATCCGGTATGGGAAGGGTTGGGCGAGGAGCATCAGCTGGTGTTGGAGGAGTTTTCACTGGCAGTAACGGCTCACAACAGGACCATCATGCAGAATCGCCCGCACAAAAGACGGTGGGGACGCTGCCTCGAGCTCTCCTACGCGGTGATACAAGCGAGTGGTCTGGCTGCGCAAATCAACCTCGACGCTGTGCCTACGCCCCTGGTCCAGAACTTCAAGATTTTACCCGGGACGATTCCCAGCTTTGCCACTTACACGCTCAGCCGGGGGTATAGCATCGACGTGCACTTCAAGTTCAGCTTCGGAGATGAGCAGCTCGAGTGGGGTGCTTCCATGGAGCTCACGATCACAGCCGACGACTCGACGAGACTGGCTGAAGGCGTGCACATGGACCCTCTGCTATTTGTCGACCCCAAGCGCGAGCCGCAGTATTTCTGGCGTTCACACGTCGAGGCCGGTGCCGCCGAGTCTACAAGCCGGAGCAGCATCGACCCGAGCAACTTCAACAACGTGATCAACATGCCGGGAATGCAATGGGAGACCGGCCACGGACGGTTGCCTAGAACGAGTTTCGCCTGCGCGACCGCTCAACTCAGGCCGGAACTAATGCCTGTCAAAGGAGGCAGAGGCAAGGCCGGCGCTCTCAACATCGTTGCAGGGGTTTGTGGTAGACCGCGCAGGCGATACATTAGAGAGCTGGAACCAGTCACCAGGCCGCTGTTCACTTTCCAGCACGGGCTTGGAATTGATGGAGCGAGGGACCATGTTTGCAGAGCGGAGAGCGTTTGACTTGACTGTTTGACGTGTGATCGGAGTCGCGCGGGGAAGACCAAGATTCTCGATAACTTGCTTTCGTTGAGGAGGAGCATTTTGTATTCCATGAATTGGCCTTTCCATGTACGCCGTTCGCTGGTCACCATATGGCGTGAATATGAGAGAACATGAGACAATAACTATAGTCGTCCTATCAAAACTGTGTCCAAAAAAGCAAAGGGAGAAGAAAAATCAGAAGAGAAAGAGAAGAGCACGTGGGTCTCACGCAGCGACACCGCCTCCGGCGTTTTTCAGTATCTGCTCAAAGTTCTCGCGGCTGTTCTTGTAGGTGGTCTCCAGGTAGTGCAGCTTCTTGTCGAGATTTTCTTTCTCCTTTACGTGTGCCTGCGTTTCAGCAGCCAGGCGGTCCATGACCTCCTGCGAGGATGCTTGCACAAACCTAAGCAACGAGCAAGCGCGTCAGTCCGAGATCAGAGCAGACGCACGGACGAGGACATACATCTTACCGACGCCCTCATACATGGGCGTCTCCCTTGGAAGGGCGCCAAGTTCGTCCGCGGTCAGCTCCAGCTTACGAGTCTCGCGGGCGTTGGCTGCCAGCTGGCTCTTCACGATGGCCATCTGCTGCGTCGAGAACTGCGACTTCTGCTCGATCTCCAGGAGCACCTTGAACCGCGTTAACACGTGCACAAATGTGACGAACGACTCAGAGGAGACGCAGACCTTGCGTAGAGCGTCGTTTGAAATCGACATTGTTGAAGCCTTGGAATTTTTATTCGACGTGCGTTTTGGCGCGACTTGGGTTCTTTATTCTCCAAGTTTGGGGCGCTTCAGAAGACTTGAAACGATGACCGCCGAAGCTGTGCACTTCTGTGCTTGATTTCCTGGTCTGCTGCGTGATACGGTTAAGTTCCCGGAGCGTCCTGGTTTGACGTATGAGGACTTACCAATAGCCAACAGTTCAAGGTATGTGGCCACGCGCGTCACGTGCCCGGAGTAGTCTGAGGCCACACGGAGAGCCAAAGCTGCTTGTGCAAGGACGGAGTAGAATAACTCTACCTCTGCGCCTGAGGAACACGACAGGGCTATGGGCTGCCAACGTAGCTCAAGAGGCCAGAAAGAGAAGAGCCCGAGCACAGAAGCGAGCAGCCATACGCCCAAAGCCGGCCTGCTCCCAGACCCGAACAGGCCGAAAACAGATCTGCACTGCCGGAGCTGGCTGCGGGCCCACGTTCCAGCTGGCTTTGCGGCTGTTTGGTGCGTCCAATGACGAGCGCGCAGTCCGGTCGCGATCTTCAGCCGATGACGAAGTTTTCCCTAATCATCCGGAATTTTCTGCCAGCGAGCCTGCGCGAGGTTGTGCACGAGGCGGCGGCTGACCCATCCTCTGTTGACCAGAAGTCGACCTTGTACCCGCCGCACGTACAGTCCAGCTGGAAGGTCGAGTAGAGACTTTATTTTGCCGGACACATTGTTACAACGCCCGGACACCGTCAATCGTACACTGCCGTTTTCAACACATCACAGCACACGTACCAAAGAACCCCGAAGGCCCGACGGTCACATATCGTCGTGTACGCTGCAACGCGGGCAGGCTTGGTTATCATCCTGAGCAAAGCTGAGGATCAGGAGGGACTTCGAGTACCCGCCGCGTCCCGTACCAGTGCGCGCATTTTTTTTTTCCAAGTGCTTAAAACCAGGCCACAGAAGCCAGATCTTCCCCCCTCTAGCCTTGCTGCAACCCTTCTCATTTCTCCGTGGTCGAAAAACGACAGATTAAGAAACAGGAATAAAGTCTTCTTTGACCATCCTCCAAGCTCTGGTAGCTCAACGGCGGAGTCGTTTCCTTTCCTCCGTCCTCTAAGAGAAAAAAAAAGAAGGCCTACCAACGTGTTTGCTATCGTACAGTACAAGATATGCTGTCGTGGCTGCCATCGATACCTTACCCCCCACCACGGGAGGGCTACTGGGAGCCCATCACATCGACGCTCGATTGGTGTGAGGAGGTGCGTGTTCTTGATAGGAGGCACCGTGAAGATGGAGAATCATCATGCTGATTGCCAGCTGTAGAACTACTATGCGACGCCGTACTCGGCCGAGATTGTCAACACAATGACTAACCTGCTGTTTCTGTATCTCGGAATCAAGGGCGTCTACAATTGTGTGACGCAAGGACATGACCGCATCTTCCTGATCTGCTGCTTGGGCTATCTGGTCGTTGGGTCTGGCAGCTTCCTGTTCCACTCAACTTTGAAATGTATGTCATCCCAGCACAAGCCTGTCATTTGCACTCTGCACTGCTAGACTGCCTACTTCTTTTGACCACTTCGCTTCGCGTTCAGACTGTCTAACGATGGCAACTTTCTTCTAGATCCTATGCAACTCGTCGACGAGCTGAGCATGATCTACACCACTTGCCTGATGTGCTTTGCGACGTTTGGCTACGCAAAATCGAAGCCGTACCAGGCCGTGCTGGGCGCTTCGCTCGTCAGCCTTGCCGCCTTCATCACGCTGTACTACCACTACTTGGAGGACCCCACCTTCCACCAGGTTGCCTACGCGATCCTGACCGCCGTGGTCCTTATACGAGCCATCTACATCATGGAGGTCAATATCCGACCTAGGTACAAGGAGGCGGAGAGGAAGAAAGTGAAAAGGGCTGCCGCTCAAAGCAACGGGCACACCAACGGCTCGACAGGGCGAGAGCGAAAGGGCGATCAAGAGCTGGAGGAGGACGAGAAGGCGCTGGCGACGCTGCGAACCATGTGGATCATGATCTCGTACGGGCTCAGCGTGTTTCTGGGCGGCTTCGCGTTGTGGAACCTGGACAATGCATTCTGCCCTCAGCTGCGCAGATGGCGGCGTCAGATTGGGCTGCCGTGGGGTCTGTTGCTCGAGGGCCACGGCTGGTGGCATCTTATGACGGGCGTCGGGGCTTATTTCTACATTGTGTGGGGCATCTGGCTGCGGCACCACCTCAACGGCACTCAGGACCAGGTTGAGCTGGTGTGGCCGCGCCTCGTCACGTCGATGCCCCAGATCATGCGCATCGACAGCCCGTCATCGCCATCATCTTCGAACGGCGGCAGTGCCAAGAAGAATGCGTGAGGAGAGAATAGACAACTTTCTTGGGAGGGACGAGTCGAATGCGTGATTCTCTGTACACGTGCGTGTGCCTCGATCGTTTTTGTTGGGTTGTCATTTTTCGATCGCGTCCTTCCTGCCGCTTCGATAAGCCTCGGACGCTGACGTGACTCTTCTGAACTGTTCTGTTCGTCTGACGTCGAAAAAGTGCACGCGGACGACAAAAGAAAGCCACGTATTGTATTGCCGACGCCGAGCGTCCTGAGGGCTTCACACGTTCTCTGTCCATTGCTCGGGGTAGACGTGTCGAAATGCGCGAGGATGTCATCACACATGATTGTAAACCATTTGACTGCGGGACCGGGAAAAAGGGATTCTGCTGCAGGGGAGAACTGTAAGATGCATGACGAGGAAGGAAGGTCAAGGACGAGCGAAAGAATTGGCCGTGGGGAATAGAGGCATAGAGACGCAGAAGACGGAGGCGAAGGTGATGCAGAAAGAAACCACGGGACAAGGCTTAGCTACACGTGCAAACAAAGGGCAGGATCCTCTGTGCGAGTCAAGGCGATCGGGATGGGTACGCGTCCGTAGGCATGTGGTGGAAGCACGTATGCTTGCATGTACCTTTGTATGTATGTGTGTATTATGTGTGCGTGTGTGTGCGAGGTACTCAGTGCCAACGTAAGTCGAACTCGTTGACCTCGAGCTTCACGTGACTGGGCGAGAAGTGCGGCATTCTCGTAAGGCGACACAATCGGAAGAGCACAAGATGAGGAGAGAGCGGCGCCTGAGCCATCATAGGGCGCAAAGGCGGCTTGGCAATAAGACAGTGCATGCAAAGGAGCATCTCGTCGACGGTTGCGCGTCGTTTGGACGTTTCGGCACGCTTTGAGCTGAGCGCAGACGAGGTTCTAAGTTTAGCAGGTCAAGAGGGCTTCAGGCGAACAGAAACTGCTGGGGCGTGCGAAGGACCAGATGAAGCTAGCCCGGGTCGCGCAGGGCCACGCCTTTTTTAGATTCCCGTCCTTTGGCGCGAATGCAGACGTCAGCTCTTTTTATTTTTTTTTTTTAAAGCAACTATTATTTTTATAGGCTGTCGTCCACGTGCTGGTCTAGTCCTTGCTGTGAATAAAGAGTGACCGTCTTCCCGAGCTTGGGAGCGATTCGCGGCGACGGAGGCGGCAGCGGCAGAGGTGACACCATGGCTGTCTTGACTCAGAAGGCAGGTGACTTGGAGACGGGGGGAAGAAGAAGAAGAAGAAGAAGAAGACGAAGACGAACAAGACGAAGACGTTCAGAGGTGCCTTTGAACCGAAGTCCGTCACCGAACGAAAAGCGGGCGAGCCGGGACTGCTGCAACCAGTCGAGGCCCGCGCCGAAACGTCCGAAGGGAGTTTAGTGGGTGGGGGCGGGGGGGGAACCCTCTAGACGCCCGCACGCTCGGGGGCGTCTTAGGGGGTCGACGGCCGGGAGAAGGCGCCAACAGAGAGGGGAAGCAAACGTAAGCCGGCGTGTGTGGATGGCGGCCACAGGGACCCAGAGCTGGGCGACCACAGCGCGTTGCCGTGCAGGCGACGGTGCTGCGGCGAGGTGCGACTGAGGGCGCCGACGCAAGCGGCCTTCAACAACGACAACACCGTCGCACGCTCATCCGGGTCGCTCCCGTGCTTGCATCCGCGACGGTGCAGACAGCGCCCGTCTTCGTCCGTCATTCGTCTCTTTGTTTCGAGCCTTACCTGCGTCTCGAATCCTGATACACGGCCCACCCAAACACACGCCCGCTCGACGCCCACGCCCACCTGCTCGCACACCTCTCCGTCCGTCTCCAAACTCCCGTCCCTTCTCTCAAAGACGTCTCTGCTCCCTCGCTGTGTTCTCGTCCCTGTTGCTCTTGTTGCTCTTGCTGGCTGCCTTGACGTCTGCGCTCGGATCCTCGTGAAACGCGCAATCGACCCTGTCGACCTCTCCACTCGTCCCAGCACCGCCGCAACGCTTCGACGCCCTGAACACGACGCCACACCATCACCTCCATCCACCTCACCAACAGCACTGCCCACCCATCCGTTCGCTCGTTTCGTCCGTGCTACGTGTGCTACAACACCCAAATACCCATGATACTCGCTCCTGCGGCGCCCCGATGAGTCTTCAGCGCGACCAGCATTGGGGTTCTGGGAGCCTGCACGTAGTCTGCTCCAATGGACTTTAATGACGATCCAGCGCATCGCCGCAACTCGACGCCCCCGATTCCCTTGCAGGACTTCTCGCAGCCCCGGCCGGGCTACGCTGACAGCGAGACCGACAGCGATGCCAGCAGCGGCGGCCCCCAGCGCCAGCGCGCCATCAGCGACGCCGTCAAGAACTCGGTCAAGCGTCTGTCCGGCAGCAGGGCGTCGAGAGGCCACGGCTCGTATGCGCCGCTGAATCCACGAGATCCTGACACGGTAGGAGGCGTCGGAGGAACTGGCAGCAGGAGCGTCCCCTTGGCGCCGTACAGAGACAATGGAGGTCCCTCGTCACCGTTGTCGACCGTGTCTGCACAGCTGCAGCGTCCGGGACTGCAGATCCCCCCGTCCTCTGCAGCTCGAGGCGACGACATGACGCCTTCGAGTCCGGTCGACGCGGCCGCGTTCCAAAGCGCCATGTCTGGATTCGCTGGCATCTCGTTTGGGGCCGAGCCCGCGTCGAACCCCTTCGACCCACACGCAGCCAACACCAATAACAGCTCGCAGGGCTGGACCCGCGACACAACGAAGACGCCGAGTTTGATGAGCGTCGACATCGGCGGCGACGGAGATGAGCAGGCGGACAACGACTATTTTACCTCCGCGCCATCCAACGACCGCACTCCCCTCACGGACCCTAATCATCTCGCTCCCATCGCCGGAGCGAGCGCACCCTCCACACCTACGGGACAGACGGGCCGGACACGCAGCGTGAGGTTCTCGAACGCGTCTCCGTCTGGCATGTCGCGGCTGGGCGACGACCTCGCCCAGGCCGAGGCCGGCTCGCGAACGAGCTACAGCGACGGCATGCGGAGGTCAAGCTCGATTCGGCGCAGCCTGAGCGCGAACTCGGCCGCCGGGTCGACGCTGCAAAGGGCGGGCACCATGGTCAGGAACATGTCCACGCGCATCGTCAACCTGTCCAACGAGCAGGATGTCGTGGACCGCACCATCGCCATGAGACGGAAGTCGTCGGTCAAGACCTCCATCCGCGGCCGTTCGCCCTCGACATCTGTTCCGGACTTGCCTTCCGTGGACGGGCCGTCGGACCCGTTCACCGATCGGCCGCTGGAGAAGCCGCCAAGCGTGGATGTCGACGAGATGTCGTTCCCGCGACCCGGCCTGCGACGCAGCCGGTCGACGCGCGAAGACAATCCGCTCAAGGGCAATGCGCTTGGCATATTCCCCCCCGACAGCCCCATCCGCATGAAGCTGTGCGATCTGCTCGTGCATCCCTTCACCGAGCCCTTCATCTTCGCCCTCATTGTCCTGCAGACCATCCTTCTCGCCATTGACGCCAACATAGGCGTCGGCATCGACAGATCCCACGGCAACCTCGGCGCCAATTGGATCGACTGGGTCATGCTCGTTCTTTTCTCCATATACACGGTCGAAATCGTTGCGCGCAGCATCGTCTCCGGCTTCATCATCAACCCGATCGAGTACAGCACCATCAACCGAAAGATCGGCCTCCGCCAGGCCGTCGCAGACAAGGCGAAGGAGCTATTCGGCACGCCGCACACCAGGCCCAAGCATCAGGAGACGGTGCAGTCGACCACGGATTTCGCACCGCAGCAAGGCCTCGTTCGTGCTCTTACCACCAACATCACCGAGGACGGGTCCGCCAGAGGTGGATCCAAGGCACAGCGGAGACAGCGACTGGCGCATCGGGCCTTTCTAAGACACTCGTTCAACCGCGTCGACTTCGTGGCCGTCGTCTCATACTGGATCAGCTTCGTCCTCAGCATTTTCTCCCTGGAGGACAGCAGGCACGTCTTCGTGTTTCGCATGCTCGCCGCGCTGCGCATCTTGCGCCTGCTGTATCTGACGGCGGGAACGACGGTCATTCTGCGAAGTCTGAAGAAAGCGGCGCCCTTGCTGATGAACGTGGCGTTTTTGGTCGGCTTTTTCTGGCTCTTGTTTGCCATCATCGGCGTGCAGAGCTTCAAGTCGAGCTTGCGCCGCACTTGTGTCTGGATTGATCCGACCGACCCTACCAACACGTGGGTCAACGACTTCCAGTTCTGCGGAGGCTGGCTCGCCGACAACGGCTCCTCCATGCCGTGGCTTCGTCCGGACGGTGTCACGAACGGCACGAGCGAGGCGAAGGGCTACATCTGTCCCACTCAAAGCAAGTGCATCGAGGGCATCAATCCGTACAATGGCTCCGTGAGCTTCGACAATATCTTCCAGAGCCTGGAGATGGTCTTCGTCATCATGTCCTCCAACACGTTCTCCGACGTCATGTACTACCTCACGGAAAGCGACTACCTTGCCGCGGCAATCTTCTACGCGTGCGGCATCGTCATCTTGTTCCTCTGGCTGGTCAACCTGCTCATCGCAGTCATCACGTCCTCCTTCCAGGTCATTCGCGAAGAGAGCAAGGTCTCCGCCTTTACAGGAGAGGAGAGCGAAGTGATGTCGCTGCACGAAAAGGACGATCTGAAGCCCTCGTCCAAGAAGAGCACGCTCATACGCGCATTCGGCAAGACGAGGTGGCTGTGGATCACCATCATCGCCATGGACTTGATCGTCCAGTGCCTGCGCAGTGCGCGCATGAGCTCCTCGCGGGAGACGTTCATCAACAACTTCGAGACGGTCGTGACGCTGATTCTGATCGTCGAGATCGCGATCCGTTTTGCCATTGACTGGCGGCACTTCTTCCGCAGCAGATCCAACGTCGCCGACCTTACGCTCGCCGTGATAACGGGAATCATCCAGATACCTCCCATTCGAAATTCGGGCCAGCCGTACGCGTGGCTCACATTTTTCCAGATCCTGCGTATCTACAGGGTCGTCCTGGCCGTCCCCATCACGCGAGATCTTATCATGACCGTGCTGCGTAACTTTTCGGGTCTGGTGAACCTGATCCTCTTTGTGTTCCTGCTCACCTTCCTGGCCGCCATTCTAGCTAGCCAAATGTTTCGCGGATCCCTGCCTCAAGTCAACGCGTCCGGCAATACTATCAACGTTACCTTCAACAGCATGTGGAACTCGTTCTTGGGTATGTATCAGATCTTCTCCTCGGAGAACTGGACCACCATTGTGTACAACGTCACAAACTTCGACATCTTCTACAACACGGCCTGGATGGGCGCCGCCTTTTTCATCCTGTGGTTCGTGCTTGCCAACTTCATCACGCTGAACATGTTCATCGCTGTCATCCAGGAGAGCTTCGACATCAGCGAAGACGAAAAGCGATTGCAGCAGGTCAAGGCGTTCCTCCAGCAGAAGGAGATGGGCAACCCCAACGCGGGCAATCTTTCCCTGTCGTCCATCTTCAAGTACGGAACAGCCAGCGGGAGGAAGAGGGATCCGCTGGAGTTTGGCTCTCGCACCACCGAGATGCTGCTCAAGGATGCCGTCGTTCGCGATTTTTTGGACCAGCAAGACGAGCCTGTGCCGTACAGCAGTCCCCAGGCGGAGGAGGATACGCCCATACTGCGCTCGCAACCCACGACCGTGGTCGCCCCGGGAGGTACGTTTGCCGGCTGGTGGCAAAACCTTGTCTCCAAGCTCTTGCATCGAGAGCCGAACCCGTTCTACTCCCGGCTCGAGTTTTCGCGCGCGTATGAGGACCTGGACCCGCGTCAGATGGCCAAGGAGGTCATGAGCGCGTACGATCGGCGGAAGAGGGCGCAGAGAGAGTATCTGAGGAAGTATCCCAGCTACAACGTATCGCTGTTCATCTTTGGCCCGCAAAACCGTATTCGCCGGTTTTGCCAGCGCATCGTTGGGCCTGGCCGTGGCGAGGAGCGCATCGAAGGCGTTTCCCCGTCGATACCAGTGTGGTACACTTTCTCCGCGTTCATCTACTGCGCGATTGTGGCCATGGTCATTCTCGCATGCATCACGACCCCGCTGTACCAGAAGGAGTATTTTGATAGGCACAACTTCAGCGTGAGGAACTGGTTCGTGTGGACGGACTTGGGTTTCGCTGTGCTGTTCACAATCGAAGCCGCCATCAAGGTCATCGCTGACGGCTTCTTCTTCACGCCCAACGCTTACTTCAGAGGCAGCTGGGGCCTGATAGATGGCGTCGTGCTCATCACCCTTTGGATCAACGTCACCAGCTCCCTGTTCAACGAGGGTCAGGTCTCCCGAGCGGTTGGAGCCTTCAAGGCGCTGAGAGCTCTTCGCCTGCTCAACGTTAGCGACAGTGCGCGCAACAATTTTCACGCCGTCATCATTCAAGGAGGCCTCAAAGTCCTTTCCGCCGCTTTTGTGTCCATCAGCTTGTTGATCCCGTTCGCCATTTACGGGCTCAACCTATTCGTCGGAAAGATGCAGTCTTGCAACGACAGCAGCTTGAACAATTTGAACGACTGCGTCAGCGAGTTCCTCTCGCAGCCGTCAAACTGGAACGTCCTCACCCCGCGTGTCGTCTCCAACCCGTACTACTCCTTTGACAACTTTGGCGACTCGCTCTTCATCCTCTTCCAGATCGTGTCGCAGGAAGGATGGATCGACGTCATGTGGCAAGCGATCGAGATCACCGCCGTTGGTCAGCAGCCGCAGCCTTTTAGTTCGTACGGCAACGCCGTTTTCTTCGTCATCTTCAACTTGCTCGGCGCCGTCTTCGTGTTGACGCTCTTTGTCAGCGTTTTCATGCGCAACTACACGGAGCAGACTGGCGTGGCCTTCTTGACCGCCGAACAGCGCTCTTGGCTCGAACTGCGTAAACTGCTCAGGCAGATCAGCCCCAGCAAGCGACCGCTGCCAAATCAGAAGCGCGAGTCGTGGAAGGAGTGGTGCTACAGACGCGCTGTGAGGAAGACTGGAAGATGGAGCAGATTCGTGACCGTGATTCTTGTCCTGCACCTGATCCTGCTCTGCATCGAGTTTTATCCGACAAGGGAGTGGTGGGACACGACTAGGAATTATCTGTTCCTGCTGTTTACCCTGATTTACATCGCCAACATCGTCATCAGAATCGTCGGCTTGACATGGAGCCGCTACCGTCGCAGCACGTGGGATGTCTACGCGCTGCTTTCGGTCTCGAGTACGTTCATTACCATGATCTTGGTTCTTGGCCGGCCACAGTCCTGGGCCATCGTTCGCCTGCAGCGTCTTGCGCTCGTCTCCATCGCGCTTCTTCTGATCCCACGTAACAACCAGCTCGATCAGCTGTTCAAGACCGCCGCCGCCTCGCTGCCGCTCATCGCCAATTTGCTCGCCACCTGGTTCGTCATGTTCCTCACCTTCGCCATCGCGCTCACGCAGACCTTTGGCCTCACAAAGTTCAACAACAACGAAACCGTGAACATCAACTTCCGCGACGTGCCCAAAGCACTAATCTTGCTGTTCCGCATCTCGGTCGGTGAGGGCTGGAATCAAATCATGGAGGACTATGCAACCATGAAGCCGCCGTACTGCATTGTTAGCGACAACTTCCGCGACGGGGACTGCGGCAGCGAGCCATGGGCCCGGTTTCTGTTCATCGCCTGGAACATTCTGAGCATGTACCTGTTTGTCAACCTGTTCATCTCGCTCATCTATGAAAGCTTCTCGTACGTGTATCAGCGCAGTAACGGATTAAGTGTTATATCCAGAGAAGAGATCAGGAGATTCAAACAGGCTTGGGCAGAGTTCGATCCCGATGGGACTGGATACATCAGCAGAGAGGCCTTTCCGCGACTCTTGGGCGTAAGTTGTTTCATCCTGCTCTTTCTTCCACCCCCCACCCCTACCATACTTTTCCTACGCCCGGTTGAATGCGCGGTGCTGACATGCTCGCTGTAGGAACTGTCGGGCGTCTTCGAGATGCGCATCTACGATGGCGACTTCACGGTTGCCCGCCTTGTGGAAGACTGCAGCAAACCTCGACGCGAATCAGTCGTCAGTGGCCGAAACGAACCTCGTGAGATCGATTTGGCCAAGCTCAACGCGCGTCTGGCTGATCTGCCGGTCGAGGCCATCAGAAGGCGAAGAAGGCGTATGAATGCATTCTACGAGGAAGTACTGGTATCTGCCGATCACGACCGAGGTATCTCGTTCACATCACTCCTCATGATCTTAGCTCATTACAATGTCATCAACGACAACAAGAGCTTAAGGTATGCGCGCTTCACATCTTGCCCGTATAATAGCCACCTAACGCACGTGTAGACTTCATGAATTCTTACGTCGCCGCGCGCGACTCCAGCGTGTGGAAGAAGCAGTGAACAGAAACATAGTCATCGGTTTCTTCGACACCGTGTACTGGTCGCGTAGGTTCCGACATCATCTCCGCTCGAAGGCCGCCGGTCGCATGACCGTGGTGCCGCAATTCAGTGTGCCAGAGATCTTTGTCGACGAGGCCGCGCACGATGACACTGCTGTTGGACCATTCGATGGCGGCGCTGGACTGAAATCGCCTAGCGTAGGATCATCTGTGCCCAGCAGCCCGAGGTTTGGAGGTGCGACACCTCCAAGTGCTAGCCAAACCGGAGAGGTATCCAGCAGAAACCTACCACCCATTCGAACGCGATTCAATAGCACGAGCAGCATTCAGCTCTCCCCGACAAACTCACCGACGACGCTGATGTCGCCCACGACGACGTTCCCCCCACTCGGGTCCCCTACAGCACCAAGATCCCCAGGTGCTCATCAATCAACGGTCTCGCAAGGCTCCATCTCTGAAGACTGGCATTTAGCGCAGGCTCTGTCGAGACCGAGCAGCCGCGATGGAGCTGTCGAGGGCCCTTCGTCATGGAGCGCCGCCCCTCGAAGTCCTCGCGGCATTCATGGACGCACTTTATCAACGCGCGACACGGCAGACGAATTGGAGAGCAGAAGCAGAGCAAACAGCAGCGTCTCGGCACAGGACGTCCTTGAAGTCTTGGATACATCCGTCTGGGGTGAAAGCATACGAAAGAGCTTCTCCATGAGACGGCCCAGTGGGGAGCAAGGGAGCGGGAGAAGGAAGAGCTGAAAAGGAATGAGCGACGCAAACATGTATATTTCTTAATGAGCGGGCGAGATGCCAGTCACGATCGGGACCTGGAGGAGGAGGTCTTTTCTTTTATTTTCAATGTACGAGCCACTGTTTGGAAAGAAATGGCCGACTGACGTAGATTTTCTCTTTTGTTAAACAGATAGATGGAGAAACGCCGTGTATAGCTAGGTACACCCCGGCGTTTTCCAATGGCCATGCATAGCGGCGGCGTTTATGAAGTTCAAAATGAGATAGCCTTGACTATATAATGGGAACGAGAAGAGTATTTCCCTCAGTATGACCAATTCTTTCGATGCCAGAGACCAAAATCCTGCGACGGCCTCGTGAAAGTTATGCGCGCGAAGTCGGCGTGCCTCAAGCTGCGCAGAGTCAGGATGAAAGGTACCCAACAGCTGAAAAGCCACATAGAGCTGTCGCGGCATGTGAAAACAAGGCGCGTCATTGCCAGTTCAGCGTGCACATGAGAAGAACGTTCGATCAGCCGTGGGAGTCTTTTCGCTCACCTTACCCTTAAGCGACGGCCAATGTCCGGTATTTGCTCCTCTCACTGAGCCAAACATTGCGAATCCTTCTTTCAAGCATCTGGTTCGAGGTCCCCGCTATTCGTGTCCGAGACAATTAGCACGTGAAAGGCGACGAACATGTGTTAAAGCAGACGGTGCAACATGGTCTTGATCCCAGGCCCCGTCAAGTCGATCGCAAGCATCGTGGTTGAAGTGGTCTTCTTCTGGCAGCGTGTACGTAGCGTCCCCTCCAGCTCTTCCTTTTTCCTCTCTCCTTCTGCATCTCGTCCTTGCAATTCCGCCGTGGCCCGCTCGCAATCGAGTCCGCCATGCTTGCAAGTAGCAGCCTGCTGACACCCGCGCAGCGCCTGTACAGCTGGTGGACACGCAAGTCCCAGCGCGAGCTGCTTTTCGAAAGCCTCGACGAGGCGCGGTGCTTCGAGGAGTGGGAGGCCTCGGCGTACCAGCTGGACGAACTGCTGGGCTACGACCTGTGGCGCCAAAATGCCAGCTCCGAGCACTATGACTACCGCCTGATATACGAGCGCCTGCAGGCCGTCATCGAGGCGAGAGAAGAGGACGACATACTCAGTCTCGTGTCGCTGCTGCGCTCCGGCCTGGTCAGGAACATTGGCAACATCACGGCGCCCCGCCTGTTCAACCACGCCTTTGCGGGCACAAAGCTTCTCATTGAGGACTACGTCACCCAGGTCGCGCTCGCCATCGACTACATCACGCACTATCCGACCTCCCCGGACTTCCAGGGCGGACTTACGGACCAGGCGAAGCTGGACGTGCTGCACGACACCAGGCAGGCGTTCGGGCGGAGCGTGCTGGTGCTCCAGGGCGGAAGCATCTTCGGACTCTGCCATCTCGGCGTCGTCAAGGCGTTGCATCTCCGCGGCCTGCTGCCACGCATAATTGCGGGAACGGCCACGGGCGCCCTGATCGCCGCGCTTGTCGGCGTGCACACCGAAGATGAGCTGCTGGAGTTTTTGACGGGCGACGGCATCGATCTCAGCGCGTTTGCGAGACGCGGAAACGGCGACGCCGAGGGCGACAAAGGCTCGTACAACTGGGAGACCGAAGGTTGGTTCTCGACATCGACGCGCAGAGTCAAGCGATTCATAAAAGAAGGGTATTTATTGGACGTAGGGGTCTTGGAGCGCTGCGTGCGCTCGAACGTGGGCGACATGACGTTCCAAGAGGCGTACGCAAAGACGAAGCGCATTCTGAACATCACCGTCTCGACGACGGGTGGTGGCGTGCCGAACCTGCTCAACTACCTGACCGCACCCAACGTGTTGATCTGGTCGGCCGCCTTGGCGTCGAACGCTTCCTCCTCCCTGTACTCGCCCGTCAAGCTGTACTGCAAGGACGAGGTCGGCGCAATCGTGCCCTGGGCCCCCGCGCAAGAAACGACGTTTCGGTCCTGGACGCACACGCGATACACCGAGCGCGAGTCTCCCCTCACCAGGATCGCCGAGCTGTTCAACGTGAACCACTTCATCGTCTCGCAGGCACGGCCTTACATCGCGCCTTTCCTGCGCCCCGACCTGCACCACCCGAACCCAAAGCAGGACTGGGCCTGGCGGCTCTCGCTGCCCATGCTGCGCCTCATCGCGATGGAGGTGCAGCATCGCCTCATGCAGCTCGACTCTCTCGGCTACCTCGCACCCGCCATCCGTCGCTTCTTGATCGACGAGACCATCCCCGGCGCAAGCCTGACCCTCGTCCCGGAGTTCACCCCGAAGGACTTTGTGCGGCTGCTGGAGAACCCGACGAAGCAAAGCGTCGACTATTGGATCCGCAAAGGCGAGCGCAGCGTGTGGCCTGCCGTTGGGGCGCTCAAGGTCCGGTGCGCCATCGAGGTCGAGCTCGACCGCGGCTATCAGCGGGTGCGGAGACGCAAGCCGTTTGACCTGCAGATGCCGGTGGAGGCCAACACGAACGCGAAAATGAGACGAGGAAGCAACGAGAGGCTGCGGAAGCGAGCCAGAGCCGCTAGTTTCGGCGCTGCTGGGTGAGAAGAATGCGTTGGACGTTATTGCCGTCTTATGGCTACGAATGAGCGACCGGCGCTAGTCTTGCTTTTTCTTTCTCCCTTCTTTTTACTGTATTTTCAGACTGTTCCATGTCGTGGAGCAATTGAAAGTTACCCGATCTAGTCGGCAACACACACGTGATCTTCAGCCTTTTTCTCCTTAAGCTCAGAATCGCACATACTCCGCGACCAATTGGGCTAGGTGTCTATATCGCAGGATTCTCGTCAGTTTTGTCGCTGAACCCCGCGAATGTAAAGCTCTCCACACTTTTGGGCCCCTGTAATGCGGCTCCTGCAACCGAGGTCCCAAATCCCAAACGAGATTCGCGATCGCTATCACGTGTACATATATGTCTTATCTCCTTGAGCAATAACCATGATTGGGGGGACTTTCTCGATGAGATTCTTTCCACTGAATCTTGAAGATAGAGATTTGATCAAATATGGCAACGGCACCGTCGGACAAGCAACCCAAACCCGGCTTGAACGTCTACGTCTCACCGGCGGTCAACCCTTATAAGCTCCCGTTGCTGTGCGAAGAATTGGGGTCAGCGGTTCGACTGAGCTTCAACGCGTGAATTGCACATGCTGAATTGAGGCAGAATACCATATAATCCGATCAGAATCGACGCCATGCAGCAAGAACAAAAGTCCGAGTGGTACACGAGGATCAACCCGAACGGCCGCCTCCCTGCCCTCGTGCACGTGAAGGACGATGGCGAAACGGTGCAGGTATGGGAATCGGCGGCCTGCATGCTCTACATCGTCGCAACGTTCGACAGGGACTACAAGGTCTCGTATCCACCCACCAGCCAGGAGTACTGGCAGATGGTGTCGTGGCTGACGTGGCAAGTCGCCGGCATGGGACCGATGATGGGTCAGGCGGCACACTTTGTTCGATACTCGCTCGAGGACGTCCCGTACGGCGCGCGAAGATACGTCGCGGAATCTCGAAGGCTCTTCAGCGTCCTAGAAAAGCAGCTCGTACGTGCCTGTCGACAACACTGTGTGCGCTGTCTGTGAGCGAAAGCACTAACGCTGGCTGGTACGTGCAGACCGAAAGCGAGTACCTCGTAGGCTCCAAGCTGACGGTGGCGGACATCGCCATCTTCATCTGGGCAATGTCCGCGTCGTGGTGCGGTGTCGACATCTCCGAGTTCCCCGCGGTCAAGGCCTGGCGCGATCGCATCGCGCAACGGCCCGCAATCCAGCGAGGTTTGAAGGTGCCCATGCCGTATCCGTTTACTGACGACAAGGTGACGGATCCCAAGCGCAGGGGCATCTACGAGATGATTCAGAAGCACGGGAAGGAGATGAACAGGAGCGAGCTTGAAGAGCTGATGAAGCCTCGCGGGCGTCTGTAGCGGTTGGGCAGGTTGGCGTGAATGCACAATGTCGTGCTTGAGGCAAGAGCCTTTCGAAACATTGCATCACCGTTGATTATCTTGACCACTTGTTATGGAGTGCCTCGCCGCTCTCGTCCGTCTCTCGAGCAGCGATGGTTGGGGGCTACCACCGTTCGCAAGGAGAGATCTTTGACCGCAAGAGTGCCTTCACGAGGATTGTTCTATTTCTATTTGGCACTACAAGGGGGTTCTGCGATGCCGTAAACAGTACTGAATAACTAGAACCACACCTTGTCAATTGTGGCGGGGAAAAGGGACAATCCGGAGGTGATATAATTTTTTTTTTTTTTTTCATCATCCAACACTTTGAGTTTCCCGTCAACGAACAATGGAGAAAGCACAGTGCTTTGAGATCGAAGAGCAGATTGGCATCGCTCTCGCCACTCGACTGCAGGGCTGTTGTGGCTGTGTTGCCAATCAACTGCACCCGACATTGGAGCTCGTCCAACGTCATGCACTCCGCCAAAAGCTTGAAGGGATGCCAATGATTCGCACCAATCGCATCCACGACGGCTCTGGAGATGGAGAACGCAACGCTGCAAAGATCGGCGCTGCCAAAGGCCGTTCAAGTGGCGAAAAAGAAGGAATTCCCGTGCCTCGCGCAGTCGCATCTCGCATCGGAAAGCCCGCCCGGACAGTTTGGCATACAACACGGCAGCAAAATTGACTTGAGTTTCACACAACCTGGGCGTGGACAGGCGTACCATAGCGTTGGCATTTGCAGCTCCGTGTTCAGAGCGCGAGAACTGCATGGTTTTTGACGGGCTCGCAAAACCGAGTCTCACTTGCCAGCACGTCCAAGGGAGTTTGGCTTTGCTCTGCCGCGACTCTACGATCGGCAGCATCGTCGTGTGGCTAATACAGGCCCAGTCTGAGAAACAAGGCAGTTAGCGCGGCCTGTGGCTCGACATTGCTCTCTCTCTCTCTCTCTGCAGGGACGCCAGAACCGAAGCCTCTTACCTCGAAGTCGTCCTTCCAATGAAAACCCTCCTGCTTTGCGAGAGGCAATCCGGTCTGCCGCTGTTATCGTGGTCTCCGCAGCTACAAAACCATCCTAGGGCTTCGCGTTCCTTTGAGACAATTTCGTCCAATCGCTCTGTCTTTCGTCGCCCGCCGTGTCCTAGGAACCACTGATACTCGAGCAGTTTTGCCGAACCACACCTGCCAAATCGCCTCCCCTGTGAACGTGGCGGACGGGAACAACGCTTGAGGCCGTGCTCCACGTTCTAGACAGAGGTCGCACAAGGTCTGTCTCTCCAGCTGCAGGTCGTTGATCCCGCTGATCACAGCGCCTTCGTCGGGGTTTCCACTGCTCATAATGCACCTACTTTCCGCGTTCTCGACCTTGGGGGGGGCCTTGATCCACTTCTGATTTCCTCCACTTTCTTCCTCCCTCGCCGCTCACGTATCATGTCTCGTTCCGGATGCAATTGACACTGCAAAACTGATCTGTCTTGACACGGAACATCGTAGCGTGCTCGCCAGACAAGATACCTATTGTCTAGAAGCAATTTTCACCGCGGATTGGATCACGCGGGCAACAATGCTCTTGCACTTCTTAGCAATTTTGATCATCTTCGGGCTCGTCATGGCAGAGGCTGGCGACGGGAACATACTGGACGCCCGGCAGACGACAAACGTGGTGGGTCAGCTTGAGTCCATGGGAGTCGAGGTTCTAAGCAATATCTTGTCACCCTCGACAACGGCTACTTCAAGCTCGGCTTCGGCAACATCGTCGCCGTCAATTACGCCAACTTCGCCATCTGGTTCGACTACATCGAGTTTACTTTCAACTTCGAGCCTTTCCTCCACGCTGGCTGCCTTGGCGTCACCTACTTCGTCTTCAGCCCCAAACGAACTCTCTTCGGTCGATAAAGAGAACACGCGACACAGAAATATCGCCATCATCGTCGGAAGTGTTCTAGGTGCCGCCGTTCTGGTATTGCTGCTTGCTTTGCTTTGGTGCTGCCTTGCAAGGAGACGTCAAACCAAACGTGGCCGAGAAATCGCGAAGGACATCGACGATGACGATGAACTGGACCCAGCTACCCACGGAGCGCACGGAGGTATGGCTTACGTGACGAGAATCGAGTCGTGGCATGAACCTCGAAATTCGCGCGCCTCTTCCAGAGGGCCCCCAAAAGGCTCTCAGTCCCGCGTATCGCTGGTGCAGAGAGATGGCACAGAACGGTATAACAATGGACCGTCTGCACCGGTTCCACCACCGATCCCGCCGCCGCATCGGACATCGCAATACGGTCTTATTCAAAACGAAGCGCCTTTCGAAGCCCCTCAGGCAGGCTACTTCGACCGCCCTCAAAGGCGTTCGATGGACGACACTGTGCACGGTCCAAACAAGTATCCAGGCCACGCGGCGTACAGATCAACGCAGTCCACGAACTCGCTCGTTGAAAGATCCCCTACGCCACTGTTCGGCAGTGGCAGGACGCCCGGCGAACACACCATTCCCCGGAAAAGCGTTGGATCGGGCCCAACTACCCTGGTGAACTCGCCGCCGAACAGCAAGAACTCAAGCCCGCCCGGCAACGGCGGTGGGCAGTGGATACCGTCGAGAAATTCGGGTTTGCGCCGAGAGTCTCTCCCCGGCTCACCGCTAGCGAACGAATTCGACTTCGGATTTGGAGACCAGAGACGGTCTATGAACAGAGAGCGTATGCCTGGAGCGTGGTCGAGCAATTCTGTCACAGATGCACACCATAGATTTTAAGTCCTCGCTGAAACAATCTGTTTGACTTGAGCCTGTAACGAACTTTATGATATCCAGCGTCGATCATTATGTTTCAAATAAAACCTATTTCTTAAGGCTTTTTTTTCTCGCGTTTCATTTATCCGCACTGTTATGTCCCTGTCAGTGTTTCTGGGATCTCACTGGTGCTTTGGTCGAGCTTTGCTTTCCAGCTCATCAAACACGGCACCGGATCCCTAGAGCCAGCTGCGCTCAAGATGAATCGAGTCAATTCATACGTCTCATTAAAGATGGATGTTGGGCATAAGCAAGGACAAGTTTGAAGGGAGCGAGCGCTTCTGGCTATTCGCTTAGACCCTTAACTGGAGCGTTGAAATTGATCCAGTTTGCGTTTGAAATTCTACGATACGCCAATTTTTGTCTTTGGTCTGAGCCTTCAGACCTCCCCGCTGCCCTTCTTTTGGCGCGACATGGAAGAAGCAATCAAACGCAAACGCGAGGACCGGCAAACGCAACGCCATCGATCAGTAGTGTAACATATCCACGACCCACGCGATGGCTCGAGCAAACGCGGTATTCGGTCGTCGAGCAAATCCACAACTTTACCGCTCCACGTAATCTTGCTTATTGCGCTTTTACCATGACTTTTGTTCCAAGTCGTCCGCAATTGATGTCGCATAGGAGCCAACTTCGCACGCGGAACCTTTCCGCTTTTGGACGTGAAGACGTCATAGCTGTGGCTGTGACACTCACTGACGAGAACAATCTACACGGTACCTGCGCTGTTTCATACCAAGCGTCCAACTTGCTACGAACGATTTGAAACCCAGGTCATTCTTCATCATGGAGGTAGGCAGCATCCGCTCCGCTTCAAACCCGTTCCCCGGCTCACACATCGTTCTAGGTGTTAAGCGCGTACAGCTTTGCGACAGCAGGATGGTTCACGCTCCAGTCGATACCTCTGATCCTGTCCCCAAAGCTCATCGTAACGATGCTTTCGCTCAACCTTCATGAGGCATCACGTAAGTCCAAGTGCGGCTGCGATCGTCGGAGCTTTCGGAACTGACGTGGCATTCCAGCCCTCGAGATCTACTTTTCTCGCTCGCTCGGCTGTGCTCTACTTACCATGGCAGCGCTCAACCTTCTCCTTACAGGTGCAATGCCTTGGAGCTCAACTCCGCAATACAGTCCCGAGAAACCCGACCCGTACGCGCAGCCAACTCTGCTGATCACTACCTTCTACCACTCTGCGCTAGCCTTCTACTGCTATATGCAATATACTCAAACGGAGCTCAGCGGCTTTCTGTTGGCAATAGTTGGGAACTCGTCGCTGGCTGCCATGGGACTGTGGTGCATCTTATTCGCAACGGACAAGGGGCACATCAGCAGGCGCACTGGCAAGGACAAGCGGGTCAGTGGATTCCCGTTCAAGAACGTAGACGCCGACGCTGCCAGAGGAAAGAAGAAACTGTAGAACAGACCGACTCTTGCGCGTCGGTCTGGCTTCAGATGTGTGCATAAACAGAGCGGGATGTGGATTTATAATCGCTTGCAAATTTTACGAATCAAGATTCTTGCTGCGCGAGCCTCACACGGACCTCGAAGTCCGTGGGCTTCACGAACCAGTAGTTCTCCGAACTCCAATTTCCGCTCTTCTTCGTGACCTCGAAATCGAATTCCCTCACCAGTCTGGGGATCAGCTTGCTCATCTCCAATTCGCTAACGTGGCGTCCCATGCAAGTCCTGCTCCCCAGACCGAACGGCATGTAGTACGCGTCCATGCGCCTCAGCTGTTCGGGACTGGCCTCTAGCCAGCGCTCGGGCCGGAAGACATTTGCGTCAGATCCGAAGATGTCGGTGTTGTAGTGGGCAACCCAGGTGTTGACGCCGACGACGGTTCCGGCTGGGAAGAAGAGGTTTCTGATCGTGATGCCGCCTTCGGGGACGACACGCCACAGGGGCAGGCCTGTGGCGGGGTGCATTCTGTCGCAGCGTGAGCAACGGTAACGTCCTGAAGCGAATGGCTCGGACTCACCTTAGTGCTTCCTTCATAACGGCCTGGAAGTACGGCATGCCCAGCGATTCCTTGAATGTAACCCTTGGATTGCTGCACTGACCCGTCGATTCCTTCTCGCGCAGCTCTGCCCGAAGCTTCTGCATCACGCGCGGATGCCTAATGAGGTTGTAAAGGATGGCACACAGGCTGATGGCGGTCGTGTCAGACCCGGCTATGATATTCGACTGACCCATTGCAAACACGTCCGCCATCGTGATCCTGTCCGGGTCAGCCTCCTGCGCGTTCAACATCTTCTCCAAGAAGTCCTCCGGCACGCCAGCCTCCGTCTGCTGCTTCGACGCGGCCCGCCCCGTCTCGAGATCTCGCCGTTTCCGCTCCGCCATGCGCCTGTCGAGCTGCTTCTGCACAAAATCCATGATATACTTGCGACCAGCGCTTCCGGACGAGGGGATCTTGCTCGTGTACGGGAAAAGGAAAGCGTGCCACTCGCTGAAGACGCCGACCAAGCTCGAGTAACGGATCGTTTTCCACAGATGCGCTATCGCTTGGTCGATGTCCTTGCCCTCGTCCAAGAAGCCGAAGCGGTCGCCGTACGTGATGCAGGCGATCACATCAAACGCATAACATTGGAACCAGTGGCCCATGTCGAAGCTAGCTCCGGAGTAGGCGAATTCGGTGAGGCGCTGAATGAAGATGTCCGCACAGCGGTCGACGAACGGCTCATAGTTCACCAGCGAGCTGGTCGAGAAGAGGGCGTTGAACTTGCGCCGCTGCTTGGCGTGTCGCTGGATGTCTCTGTCTGAGAAGACAGTGTGCCGCTCCGGATCGGGGTGTCTGGAGTAATCCACGCTTAGTCTTGCGATTGCCTAAGTCGCCTTGAAGTTGAAAGATTACTCACTGCCAGCCGTAGTACCAATCGCTCTTCCTAAAGTGCGTTCCGATTCCATAAATCTGCTTGATGGCAGCGGGCTCGTCTATGCTGTAATGATCCGGGGCGATCCGTACAATCGACCCGTATTTTCTGTGCAGGGCAATATTCTCCTTTTCGAAGGCGCCCTTGTTCACCCGGTTGAAGTACCATAGCCGTGTGAACCTGGCCGCGAAGGGACCCGGCACTCTTCTCAACGGCGAGGTTATGGACCGCACAGCAAGCAACACAAAGCGGACGATGGCCAGTCCACCAAGTGCATAGATGAGAATAGACACGTGCATGGTCGATCGCAAGACGGGACACGACAAGCTTGTCCTAAGCAGAAAACAGGTCGCGATCACTGGTTTGAACAGTGGTCCATGCTCTTGAACAAAACCGAGAAACTCTTATACTTTACAACGTCAATTCACGAAATGTACTTGCCGTGAAAACACTTCGGACTTTTTGCGGAGTAAGCGATGCGGAGGTGGGGCAAGATGATGGGGTAAAAGTAGTTCTAAGCTCTTGGCTGGCGCCGTGCGAGGCAAATGGTTCGGGACCACTTGCGCCTTTTGAACGAAAGACAGCGGTTGGAAGGTCGATATGAAAATGAGACACTGCGACAAAAGCATCGAATTGATAGTCCCTCGCCATTTCATGGTTGCCCGAAGCATATGCAGAAACACTAGACGTGCGTGGACAGACGCCATGAGATGGGACGACGCCACCTCCAAGCTGACTCTTCGTTCTGGTTTCGAACCGCAACATGCGCGTCCGTGTCAGTTCTATAAGCTGCTAGTCTGTAAACAGGCTGATTGCTGGAATCACCCTGCATGGTGCCGTTTATTTCAGCCACTTGAGCGTCTCCTTGTGCCCCCCCCCCACCCCCCTTGTCCATTCGTATATGAAGATGGGCCAGCTAGGTCGACGTCCGGCAGCAGCGCCAAAACTCACTTTCTCTTTCGGCAATATGTCGGGGGCCGGGACGAGCGGGTTCCTTCACGATCTCTTCAGCGATGTCTGACGGGCAGCCATCGCATGTGTGGTCTTCAGGCACGTTTGCATCCTGTCACATCGCAAGCATATAGACCTCTCCCAGCCCAGCTCAGCTCAGCTTTTGCAAATAGCCCTGTTGTATCAGCCGCTCGACGTCCCCTTGACGCACGTAGAACTGTGAATTTTTCGACAGCGTTATGGCCCTGTGAAAGACGCGGTCGGAGTCAGCGACGAAAAAAAAGAGTTAAGAAGAGAAAGCGCTGCACACATAGCATGTGACACCTACCCGTACTCGGTCTGAATCTCGCCCGCGTCCTTAAGGACTCTGACGTCGACGAACAGGTCCTTGGGCGGTTCCAGGCTGCCGGTCAAGTCAATGTCCGTCCACTTGCCTTTGTAGGCCGCGAGCAGCTCGGTGTACTGTCGAGCATACTCTTCCTCCTCGGGACTCAAGCCTCCCTCGTTGCCGTCCACGCCGCCGTTCCCCCCGCCGAGGACGTCCTTGCCCGCCCATATCTCCTCCTCGATTTTGACGCAGCGTGCGCGGTGGTAGGCGAGCAGACACCGCTTGTCACGGCGCATGCACATGTACTCGACCAGCAGCCGCGTGGCCGTGGCTGGGTCGGACTGAGGGTTGAACGAGCCTCCGTACGAAGCGAGAACGCTCGACACCGACGCGTCGAGGTGCTGAATCTCGCGCAGGATCGTCCGCACAAGATCTGTCGAATACGGAGGGATGGTCGGCAGGGCCTCGGCGCGTTTGGCGTTCGTCACCTAGGTCGTCAGTTGAGCAATGGTACACGTCCAGGACAATGCTGAGGATCGTACCAGCTTGTTCGCCGCGTCGCCGTACATGCTGCTGCGCTGTTTCTGGCGATTGTGACCAAAGGGGCTGAAGATGCATCGCGTCTTCGGATCATGACGCGGGGCAACCATTGGCGTAGGAAACCCCCAGCAAGGCACCAACACATTTCCACAAACGCGATGTCACCTGTGCAAGCTCATCCTCAGCTGCGTTCTCCTCTGTTCGGGATCGCGTCTTAAATTCCGTTGAGCGCATCTATGTCGTCCTGTTTAGAAAGATGCTGTCCATCTCCTCTTCAGCATCGTCCTCGAGCCCGTTTCGTCAAAACAAACGCAGTCCAGCAACGACCTTTCTCGTGACAACGCCGTGCACAGAATCGAACATGGACGTCATTATACCTCTTAAAACTTTGCAACAGCTGTATTATTCTACTTTTGTGCCGCCAGATTGCAGACTTGTGTCTGGCTCTGGCTTTGGCATTCCGCTTGCAGCATCTTTTTGCCTACATATGGATCCTCTTTTCGCCGTTTGTCTCAATTCCCGTTTCCATCATCTTTCTACACTTACAGTATCGATTACGCCCGGACCCATGGCGGAAAAGCAAATAACGCTGCGCATCCATGTTTTGTTTGTACGGCTGTGTGTGCGTGTGTGAATGTGTGTAGATGCCTATGTGAATGTGTTTGTCAAGGACCAGCGTCTCTTACCGTGACTGGCGTCAACACAACGCAAAACCCGAGAATGTCTGCGAGTTCAAACTAGATGTAGAGACGATCTTTGGCTGTTTAGATCAAACTAATCTGAAAGCCTTTCTGCCGTCGTTAAACGGGGCCTGAGAACGAGGATCGCAGCGGCGTAGAACCAACGACTACCCAAAAGACCTTCCCAGCTTTCTCGGTCGCACTGCGCTTGATCAAGCTGTCTCAGCTGCTTTCACCAGCTCACCAAGTCCCGTAACTGGCCCGCTCTGCTGGTCTGCCATCCCATCGCCGCTGAGACCGTGCTCACCTTGCATATCCAACCTTCTATCGAGCTCATGCTCGTCCCACAGTTTGTCGAATTCGGTTGCTGTATTCTCGAATCCAGGGCTCGTACTGTCTGGTACCCACTCCTTCGGTCTATAATCTGTGATGAGTGGTCCGCCGGCTCCATGTTCGATGCGATATTGAGCAGCAAAATTGGGTGGCTCGTAGTTGGATGTATACGCTGAAAGAGCGTCTAGATTAGCACCAGGACCATTTCCATCGTTAAAAGCGAGAAGCATTGGGTCAACTTGATGATCAAACCCTGTGGATAGGCCAAGAAGTTCAGCGTGGTTTCCTCCCGGGAGACCAATGAGAGCTTGATTTGCAGGCATGGACGGGTTGTCAAACAAGACGTTTCCAAATGCGCCTTGCTGCTGACGCTCTGGTGGAAGCAGCATCTGCACTGTACGATGTTGCATCGTAGGGCTTGGATAGAACTGTTGTGGATATGATATCGGATGATATGGCAGTGCTGACATCGGGAGTGGTCGTACAGCTTGGCCCCAGTTGGAGCCATTACGAGAGTATATCTCACTGAAGTGACCTTGGACGTCGCTGAGATTGGCATGAGCAGTATATCCAGCGTCTCTCCCAGCGCGTTTAGAGGGTCTGCTTCTAGTTTCGCTCACAGCAGCCCAGTCCGGGTCATCCACATCACTCAGCTCACTGTCCTCCTCGCTCATCCTTGACCTTTTCTTGCCACTGCTACCACTACCACCAGACACAGTGCCCGGTTTGCTTGGAGAGAATTTGTAGTCTGGGTGTGCATTCTGATGATTGATTCGCTCAATCTTGGCTAGTTCGTTGTAAAACTCACGAACTTCGGGCGGCTCAAGAGGCCAACTCTCGCCTGATACAGATGAGACCACCTGGTGATTATTATGCAGACACCACATCTTGGTGCGCTCAGCGTACGCGGATCGGTACAGCATAAAAGAATTCATCGGGCGTGTGATATAGCCATTGCGCTTCTCGGCTTCTTTGGCTCGCTCTTCGGCCGACCGCTTAACCCAAGCTTCCATGTCGCGCACAGGTACGTCAACCATGTCCTTGGTGAGCACACTGAGCGGAGCGGTTAGTCTGGGTGTTTTGTGCTTCTCGTTTGCGGAAGCTTTTTTTTTACGGTTTGATCGTGTTGACGATGATCTGTTGACGTTGGAATGTGGCGAATCGTTCCTGACCATGGAGCGACCGCTACGTGTTCGTCTTATGTCGCTATTGTGAGACATTGGCGTGGGTGGTGATGACGATGTACCCACCCCTTGCTGTGTGAACTGGAGGTCCTGTGAGTAAATATATTAGTATTTTGCGCTGATTCGTACTCACGGGCGATTCAATGGTTGATCGTGGATCTGGACAGAAGCCCTGCGTTTGCTGCTGCTTAAAGTCATACTGGTCAACATGTCAGCCTATTCTCCAGCCCGATAAACACAGACCCCCTTACGTGTTGGGTTCCTAGTCCAACAGCTTGCTGAGATTCTGCATACTGTGATGTCCCAAACTGGTCGGGTAGATATGCCTCGTGTGCCATTGTATGCGAATGGTTCTCAATTTTGAGAAAATGACAAATTGATGTGTCCTTGTCAAGTTGTCGGTGAGGAATGAATGGCAAACAGCCAGCGGGAAGGACGAAAGGATCATTCACACCCGGTGTAAGGGCTTCCTCTGTATCCAACTTCGGGGATATCTGTTGAACTTTTCGTCTAACCAGCAAAAGCAGGCATAGGATCTTCTCAACTTCTTTAGCGCGAAGTAGCTTGGACTGAGGTGTTTCAATATCGGCGTGTGCAGATAGCGTGGTCGTAAGAGGATGGGATTGGATGCAACGTTCCCGCAGGATCTGACAGCTGACGATACACCTGAATCATAAGATGCCTATGCAGAGAAAATTGTTCTTCGTCTTGTCTCCACTAAGTTTTGCCCAGTCTATTAAGGACTCAGTCCTGGTGGTTTGCAAAATGCTTCGTGGTGAAAGAGAGGCGAACTCTTGCAGCTGACCGCCTTTGACAGCGGATACAGGCAGCGATTACAGTAGCTCCGCGTCGTTGGACACAAAAGACAAAATTTTTGCTATTGCCATATGCAGTGGGATAATGCCATGCAGAAGAGGCCACTTCACACACACCCGTGCTGCTTGCCTTTGTGTAAAACAAGTGCTCGTAGCCGTGTAGTTTTCTGAGAGCTGAGAACTATGACAGAGGTAAAGGAGATCAAAAGAGATTTGTTTTGGCTTTGTCGATGGAAACTGACAATTATTTGTAAGATCAATGGTGGAGATGATATGATGCCAGGAGAAGATTGAACTTGTGCTGTTCGCAGCACGTTGCGACACAATACACGATCAGGTGGCTGAAGGCGGACGTTGCATGCCGGATTGAGGTATTCTGGACCATCGAGCACCGACACGCCGTTTCCGGACACTCGAAGGAGACGGCGGCGCAACCTGGTTTTAGCTTGAACCGTAACGGAAAGAAAAGAGTAGGGCAAAGGAGGTGAATAGGATGGATGTATGTCAAGACTATCTACGTACTTTTGGGAAGGGCAAGTTTGACGGAGGAGACTGCAACTCGTTTGGTCTGAGTGCGCCGTCGCGGATATTCCCCTCATCCCAACGCACTGGATATGGAGGATCGCGAGCAATTATCCTGGGAAACAGTGAAACAGAAACGAGCCAGAACTGTTTATCCACAGAAAAAGCAACAGACAGTCCATTTGCTATGAGAATAGTAGGATGAGGCGTGCAAACGCGATTGTGGCTTGGACTTTCGGTGGAGATCGTGGTAGAGAATGGTCAGCCGCCGGACTTCAACGCATGCAATTTTTAATACCGAGGGTGCGGGCCGTAACCCAAAGCCCTTCTGAAGCGTACCAGGGATTGACTGCAGATGCTGTTTTGTCTCTGCCGCTACGGCAGAAGCACGATGCATGACTGGATGCGCTGATGAGGATTGTGGGTGCACAAAGGAAGCCACGGGCGCAGTGCCCACCATCCAGTCCCGGATATGCGGACCCACTGATTCCTTGCCTGCCCTGAACGCGTACGTGCGGACAGGGCGTTGATGTGAAAGGAAATCTCAGATGCTATCGAGGACAGATCGTTCTCCGGAGCGGCTGCGTTCGAATCGGCTCGCGTGTGCATTTTAACAGCGGCTACCTGCAGATTCCAACGCCTTGAAGCCTGGGGACGGTATGCTCAGGGCCTGGTAGTGGTTTGGAAGCGCAATTTTACTGCGCAATGTAAGAGGCACTATTTTCGAGGTCAGTTGCAGGGCGGACAGTCAAAACGAAAAAGTTGGGCTTCTTAGCTTGCCTTCCGAGTGGATGGGAAGCAGGATACGTGATTCTCCAAGCTCATCCACGTGCATACATCAAGGTATAACGATGGTTAAGCACGGGGTCATTCTCGATAGCGCAACCAGAGAGGCAGCTTGCTTGGGCATTGACATTGCTATTGGTTCGAGCAAACATAGCAAGGCTCGTCGAACTCACTCCCCTATTCTAAGAAAGCTTCTCGGCTGGTACCGATCAAAAACAACGGACTAGTTTGAAGGCGCTTGATCGTGTGTAACATGTAGCAGGTTTGGTTTAGTGTTTTACAGTCGAGGATTGGCATGCAACGGGTAGGTGCGTTTGGTAGACAGTCCGTAAGTGGGTCAATGGTTGGAAATGGTTCATGGTACGCGCACCGATTGGCTATGTGTCTAGATAAATGGGAGTTGAGTGGTTGAGCAACACAGTCACAGTGGCCGGCCCTGGTAGCTGGGACGCAATTGCAATGTTAATGCTGCTTTGGCCTCCTTGTGTAGTACACTGACTGATCTGGAAGTGGTTGATCTGGTAGTTCCAGGGTCGTTGGAGAGTAGCACGCCATGGTTCACAGACACACTGAAGGGGATACGGGACATGGCAAGAGGGATCACGTCCTGAACAACGGCGGCAGCGAAAGGCATCCGGCACGACAGAAGCGTTCAGGGCTTGAGGCTCTCAACTGTTTGCCGAGTTGTTCGTCCAAAATGCGTGATCCTCAACGGGCGACACGGGCAACAGACAATCCACAGCCTTGTCAGACCCAGAGATTTTAGGCGCGTCAGCACTGGAAAATCGATAGGAAGCTAGTTGAGAAGACGAACACGAGAAAGACATGTCGTGTCGGAGTGTGGGTCGTTGTGGCGTTCACAACGCGCCTGGGAAGAACGTCGGCAAAGCCTGCAGGCAGACAAAGGCTGAAATTCAAATTCGGACCTTGATTTGAGTTTCGTCCAGATACATGATCGGTACGGCAGATCCACGGCCCACCTTGGAGGCGGTACTGGCAGAAGTAAGCTGGAGGACACTGGTGCCAAGCCGAACCACAGCAGGGTCAACGGTAACAGCTGGTTCTCGTCTTTCGGAAGGAAACACGGCCGGCCGGTGGTCAGCGAGTGGCATGTGGAGCTGGCAACGCTGGAGTTTTGCAGTGGGAACGAGCGCGAGGGTGGATGTTGGGGCGTGTGCGGTTGACGACTGGTGAAGTCGTGATGCTTGTGCCCGGTCCCACACGCCAAATCCCCGCAAATCATCCCACTCGGAAAAAGTTTAGCCTCCAATTCTCTCACTTTGCAGCTCGCCATGGCTCCAGCGACCTCAGTGTCGCAACAGTTTCTTCTCTCCCCTGCGGAGCTGTCCTTTCTGCACAGCTCGCTGTCGCTGGTGCCTCCAATCCGGCCTGACGGTCGCTCCCCGACCCAGTTTCGCCCTCTCGTGGCAGAAAGCGGCATCCTGCCAGCAGCCAATGGTAGCGCTCGCGTTTGCTTTGCAGATGGGACCGAGGCGATTGTGGGAGTCAAGGCCGAAGTTGAGAAGAGCAGTGTGAGACCGGGGGCGCTGGGTGACCTGATTGCAGATGAGGCTGAAGATGATGACGACGTCGCGGAGGACAATGGCAACGGGAAGCAGGGAGCTGGGGAATCAGGCTGGGTCGAACTTAGTATCGAAGTACCTGGATATCGAGACGACGATGCCCTGCCTATATTCTTGTCTGCAATGCTTACGGAGGCTCTGGTTGCCGACGGAAGACTGAAAGACCGTCTTTGGATCAACCGTAGGTTCCATTGGAAGCTTTCCATCGACGTAAGTTTGTCATGCGATACAATTCGTCACTTGACATTCATAGCTCATCAATATCAGATCCTCCTGCTCTCGGCGCCACTCACATACCCCCTACCCCTCCTTTCGATCACAACCCACCTAGCTCTGCTGTCGGCTCGTCTCCCGAAGTTGATATCAGAGGGTGACGAGGACCCTCTTTTCGACGACGATTGGGATGCTTCCACCTATTTGTATCCGTTAAATGCAAAGGGCGAGCGGATGTTTCGACCAGCGATCACACTCCTGGTCATGTCTGTAGGCCCGAACTTCATCTTCGATCCTTCCAAGGAAGAGCTCGCTGTTGCAGACGGAGTGTTGGCGGTTTCCGCAGGAATGACAGAAGCTGCTTCCTTGCAGTCTGGAACCAAGCTCAGACTACTCTCCCTACGAACCATAGATCCTCCTTCGAGGCTATCACCGCCTGGATTACCCAACGCACTAAACCACATTGCCATGGGCACGGCACCACTCCCTCCTTTGGAGGCATTTGCTGCAAGAGAAGCAACGCAGGATATGGGTGTGTGGAATCCGCCTCGAGGTGGCATCAAGAGACAGGTCGTTGCGCAGATTGTCAAGGCTGTGCTTGAACCAGGAGGAGTGGCAGAAGAGGTAATGGAAGGGCTGGTCAATGTGGCGACATGATCCCACGGGTATACAGGTACATTGGGATTTCTCGAGCACGGGGCAAATCGCCTCAAGGCTCCACGTGTAAATGAGGCATATGCCTGCCCAGTTGGTGCCGTGGTACCAGTCGCATGGTGGCGCTAGACTGAGGCACGAAGGCTGTTCGATTATGGATTGACATAGTCGAGCTTCAAGAGCTCCAAGACGGCCCTTTGAGGCAATTCAGCCGTGGTTGGCCTTAATTCGGACACACGAGGCTGAGTAGATTGTAACACCCGCTTCAGTAGAGTAAAGCAAACTCAGAAGCTGGAAACTGTTCCGCTTCACGCAACAACAAATTACAACTGAACATCTGTTGACGAGAGAGATTCTTTTCATGAACGAGCCCAAGACCTATCTGAATGTGCAGCCGGCCGTTAAGCTGGCCCTTTCCGCTTCCTCCCACTTCTGACTACGCTAGGACCGCGGCAGTTTGCAACACCAACCTCCACGAAAAAGTTCTCGAAGTTATGCTCTACACCGCATTGTAGGAACCGACCTGCATTCGACGCGATCTACATGAATTAGACTCTCGCTAGCAAGATGGCGGACATTCGCGCCCCTTACCTGTACACGGAGACGCGTCTTACCCTCGATCAAGCTTACGCCGGCTCAACCGTCGACATCTCGTTGTCGAAGACTGGCAACCACGAGCGCAGACTGTACAATGACGTTCAATTAGGCAGCGATGAAGCGCACTTCACATGCAATCACCTTTCAAGCGAAGCCTCGTTATATTTTCGCAGCGACGAGCGCTGCCCGCGCAGCTTCCTTTGGCGGTTGCTTGACGACCGAAGAGTGCTCGAGGTGCAGGCCGTGGATTTAAGCCAGGATGCAGCCAACAAAACAGAGGCCATTCTCACGCTGTTGCTGCGCTTCCCCGCAGCCATCCGTCCCTTCTGCGTTGCGTTCGCTGATCCGGCAGAGAAGGACGCGCTGAACGTCTTTGCAATCACGACCGCAGATGACCTATGGACGCTCACGCTGCATCGCGACATCTTCGTGCACCCGCGTTTCTCAGAAGCGCTTCCCTCGGACTGGTGCAGAGTCACCAAACCTTCTATGTTCGCAGTCACGATACCGTACCGTCTGTTCTCTTCAACTGCGAGAGAGCTCTTTGTATCAATGAAGGATGGACAAGTCGTGCGTTTGACAAGAAGAGCTGGCGACGATGGTTCAAAGTGGCATGATGCTGTCTATTCTGAAGGAAGCTGGGGCGCCTCTTTCTTGAAGTGGAGGTCGGGGCCTACAATCAAGTACGGCGACGTGGAGCTGGAACCTTCCGCAGCAGTATCGATTGCGCCTACAACCTTCGACGAAGACGACGCACATCTCATTACCGTATGTCTAAATCACACTATGCGAATATGGAATCTGAAGACAGGCCGTATATCTGCGGAACTGGATATTCTCGGTGAAGAAGAGCAGAGATACATGATCAGCCCAAACCAGCGACAGCTGTTACAGGTGGTTGACATGCCAGGCAGACAAGAAACGTACGCAGTCACGTTCTCGCCAAAGCATCACCAATTCAAGTTCTGGGCCATCTTTGACCCAGAGTCTGGGCGTCAGGGCATACGTGAGATGAGACCCGAAATCGAATACAAACCTCCTGTGGAGATGCTGATGGACACCGCGGTATGGAATCTTGAAGAATTTCACCTCAAACCAAGTAGAGGATCGAAGCAAACCGAGCTTTGGATCCGGGTCCGCTCAGGTCAGACTTCACAGGTCTTCATGCTGAGCTTTGACCCGTTCGACTTCGGGCACAAGCTTCATGAAATTAGCAGCCAGTACGTCAAGGACTGTTGGGAGCAGGATTGGGTTGCAGTTTTCCCTGGGCGACAAACACTCGAGGCTATCGATGCCCTGTGTCCCACAAACGGCTCGGATGTGCCTGAGGAAAGCAAAGTTGCAGATATCACGGAACGCTGGACGCAATTCCTCTTTTACCCAGGCAGATTCACTGTGCCGCTGCTCGAGACTGCATTTGTAACTTATATCGCCGCGTCCGGACGCCCATTGCCTGTTGCGTCGAAAGCACCGCTCAAGGAACGTCTCATCAAGGCTGTCTGGGCCAATGCGGCGAAGCCCTCAGGTGGACGATCAAGTGTCGAGGAGGATACTTTCTCTCAGTGGCAGAATGTGTACAGCATTGTGCGGGATTTGCATAAACGGAGCATGGACTTAGTATCCTTTGCTGTTGACCCACATGATCAGATTCCATGGCTCGCTGGTGCTGACTTCGTGGCTCCAATCCGTGAATGTAGTCAGCTTGAGAAGATCGAGATGAATGTAAGCATCGTGACACAATTACCAACACCAAAACTGGCGCTCTACGACTTGGGTCCAAGAGTCGAAGGAGATGATGAAGGCAGTGAAGCCGATGAATCTGACGAAGCTATGCTCGTGGGCAATCTGTTCTTGGTCGCGCATTCATTGAGAGCTATGCTTCCGGACTCATATCAACGATCACTTAAGCGTGCCGTCATCGAGGATCTTGTCCAAGAGCCAGCAAAATCGGCTGCGGAACGTATCAACAGTTTCCGAGTCGAAACTTCGCTATTAGAAGAACTCACTGAGGATGATGAGAAGAAATTCGATGAGCTCGCTACGGATTTTGGCGGATACAAAATCTTCCATCGGAATAGCTTCATTGAGATTTTGGACATGATGAAGGAGCCTGAGAAGGGTCGGCACCAGGAAGAGCTAATCACCCGATACGGTTCAAAGATGGCCATTAGGATCGCCCAAGAAACTGTGGCGCTCAACACAGAGGTCCTGTTGGATTTGCTTACCACAGTACTATACCTGGACGGTGTTTTCGACGTCGAGGAACTCGCTTCAGCAATTAAAGACCTACCAGAGGATACTGTAGACACGATGGACGTAGACGATGCCACGCCAACATTTAATGCGCGTGGGCTATTTGACAAAATCATGTGCCTCCTAAGAGAGTATTTCATTCTTGACTTCCTTGTGGCAAACACGCGCAAGGAGCGTTCAAAACCCCGGAGAAAATCTTTTGGCGAGAGTCCCCTTGTTGTTCGAAGCAACGAGGCACCTCCCGTGTATACAAGTACTCTTCTTCAAAGCATATTCATTGGGGACTGGAAGGACATACGAGCGCCTGAAGAGGGCATCTCACCGACCCAGATGCTCACGTACCACACGAGAGCATGGCTTACGAAATTGGAAATGAGCATTTTTGAAAGCTTCTCTGCACATGTACTTGCTGACTTGATTAAACACGGCGACGTGGGATTGGCGAATCAGTTCTTGCCATTCGTGCCATCGGCAGGATGGACTAATTATTTGAGGGGAAGGCTGTGCTTGGAAAACAGTGAATACAAGAAGGCAGCGGACTGGTTTAGGAAAGCAGCATATCCAATGTGTAAGTGTCAGCCCGAGGATACAAAAAAAAGGCCAATCCCGTTACTAATGCTGTGCTTCAGCACTGGGATTTTTTGACGTGAGCAATCAAGATACGGCAGAAATTTTATCGCCTGAGCAAGTCGAGAAGTTCTCAGATGGCTTGCCATCGTACTATGAGCATATCATGAATTTACTGGATAAATACAAGGCGAGCACACAAATAGCCGAGTTCGCAAAGTTGGCAATCCAGTCGCATAATATGACCATCAGCAAGGCTCTCAATGTACGTCCATCCAATCCTGATTCAGAATGTTCGCTAAGGAAGTGCTATAGGATGCGGAGCTCTCATCTACTGAACTACCGCAGAAGCAAGCCGAGCAGTTCGACAAACGTACTATCGATCTTCTTGAGCGGCTGTTCGCCTCGTCGCTTGCGACTGGTGCTTTCGACGATGCTTACTCAGCACTCATGCGTATGCCGGACCATGCTCTTCGCCATTTTAATCTCCAATCATTTATAGAGACACTTGTGCGCCAGAAACGCGTCAAGCAGCTTTTTGCGTACCCGTGGGCTCAACTTGCCGACGAGGCCGACAAAGAACTCGAGGCCAAGGCACGCAAGACACTTACGTCGAGTTCAACACATCAGTGGCACAAGATTTTATACTCATGGCGTATCAAGCGCGGCAACTTCCGTGGCGCCGCGCAAGCTGCGTTCGATCGGTTGGAGAAGTTGCGTGCTGAGACAAAAGGTACAGGTCCGGATCCTCGAGATGAGCGACTTGTGGACGCATATCTGCTTCTGATCAACGCCATGGCATGCGTGGGGAAGGACGAGGCCTGGGTCATCTACGAGCCCATTGCCGAAAAGAAGGGCTTGCTCAATGGGACGGCCAAAGAGAAGAAGGAAGGGAAGCGGAGGCTCGTTACGCTCGAGGATGTCAGGCGGGAGTACCAAGAAGAATTGGATCGAAGAGCGGCAATGGAGCAGGGCAAATTCGCGTTCGTGGACGAGGGCGAGGAGATGGATGTCCTATGATAATAAGGACACAGTGCGCTCAAAGATGGGGGACAACTCGGACAGCGGCTAGCAAAGACGATAAAGAAGATAGGGCAGCGGGACGAGGTAATTCAAGACTTCATTAAGAGGGGAGCCATATGCTTAGTCAAGTAGGCGCGTATGGAGGGAGGAATGTCCATCCCCTACCAGTATTTTGAGAGTATATACGTTGACCAACAGGACGCCACCAAAACTCCAGAATCATAAAATCATCTTTGAAGTTCTAATACTTGGCTCCAGACCTAAAAATCTCTGTCAACCACACGGTCAACTCTGTCCGCTCATGGAAAAGGACTCACATGTTCGCATTGCTCATCGTTTCGTAGGAAGGATTTGATTTTCTCGCGTAGTCCACTTGCGGTTGGGACTTGTGGTCGCTTGGATAGTCGTTATACTTGGGCGGCTGATAGTCCTGGGTATTCTGGTCGACCGCGTCCGTGTAGCGATGGTGCTCGGACGTGCGCTCGGCACGCTTCTTGTCCTTGTGCTGCTTGTAGAGGTAGACGCCGCCGGCGATGATGGCAGCTTTGCTGAGAAGGCCCGTTGCGAAGTGTGCAGCAGCCACAGAGGCTGGTCGAAACGGCACGAAACCAAAGTTCAAATCGTGCGGCTTACGAGTTCGCTACCCCGACTGTAGCTCGGGGATTATGGGACGTGCGGAATGGAATGTAGTGATGCTGGTCTGAACTTGGCTTGGGTTTCATCTATATACATACTCATGGCGAGCATCGTAAGACCGCCGCCGTTTTGGCGTCTGCCTGGCCCGCGGTGGACGACGTACGAAAGGTCCGGGGCTGAGGACCAAACATGGGCCAGCCCCAGAAGCAGATTACGTCTCCGTCAGTCTGAAAGGACATTGGACGCTCGTATTCGCGCCAAAACCTGACGGGCTCGCGAGGTGCGTTGCGCAAGCCTTTCGCCGCTCCGTTCGGGCTTCGGATTTGCTCGTCTGCACCGCCCCGTCGCCGCGGATTGCCCACGCTTTCTCCGAGCGTGTGTGCAAATCCATCTTGTCCGACCACCTCGTCGCGATTCTTCTCTTGCGGCAGCTGCGGTGACGTTGCGGGAGGCGAAGCGAGGCGTTGCGATCTGGGCGAAGGAGACTTTCGAGCAATCTCTATTTGCCCATTTCGCCTCGCTAGTAAGCACATGATCCATTTATCAGGACACTTACGGCCAGGCAACGAAAAAGTCAACTTTGAGCCGACAGACCTCTTCGATTATATAGGCTCTCGCACTGCCATCTGAGCCTGCTACTCTATATAATATCTCGTGTAAAGTTTGCACGTGTTTCCGGAGTGGCCGCATTCCCTTCATTCTAGACAGTCTAAGCACAGCCGACGCAGCACGTACCGGCTTCTCTCACCAGCTCGAGTTAGCCAGTGCCACTGAATAGTTGAGACGTCTATCTATTCGCTCTTCTTGTTACTCATTCGAGGCAAGCCGCACCAAAGCAAGAAAGTTAGGCCAAGAATGGCCAGCACAATCGGTTGAAGGACCTTCACACCCTTTGCTTGAGCGATGGCGCCAACCGCGAACGGGAATATCGCGGCTCCTCCGCCACCGAATGCGGCAGCAAAGCCAATGCTGCTCACATGCAAGTGTTTGGGAAGCAGTTTCGACACCGCAACGACAGAAGCTGGGAACAACGGGCCGAGAAAAAATCCCTGTAATGCTACAGCAACGGTCGACACGTAGAACTGAGGCACAAGCCAGAAGATGAGCTCGAGGGCCATTGTGATGGGTATGTAGATCATGATTGCCAACGTCTCTCCCAGTCTTGGGGTGACGAACCCGAGAACAACGCGACCAACAGTCATGCCAAGCCAGAAGCCCGTAGCAGACATCCCCGATGCGAAATGCGAGCTGTGACGAACTTCAAGCATGAACGTCGTGATCCAGCCACCTAGAGCCACTTCAACACCGACGTAGCCGAACAAGAAGAGCGCACACAGCCATGTCACACGCGCCGCAGGCATATTCCACAAGGCTTCCGTCATTCGATTGCCGTTGTGATCCGTCGTTCTGGGATGGGACGCTCGATATTCAGCTGCAGTTGCCGTCCAAAATCCCGTCATGGATATAACCAGCTCGACACCAGCTAGGCCTGCCATCACGTAGTAGAAAGTGAACCATAACAGATTGCTTTTAGTGATCATTGTCGTAGCAACAAGTGGAGCTATTGTAGCCCCAAGGCCGTAGAAACCGTGTAGGAAGCCGAGCACCTCATTTGCGTTAGCCATGTTACCGATCCAGGCATTCCATGCAGCGTCTTCTAGCCCATTGCCAAAGCCTGACAATGCGAAAAAGACCACGATAACAGGGAATGGGGGATGAAGTGCAGCGACCAGATATGCAATCAAATGGCAGCTTGGACAGATGATGGCGATTCCTCGTTGGCCAAATTTCATATGCGCCATGTTGTTGAGGATGGCGGACAAGGTGTACCCTATAACTGGCGACAGAAACAGGAGAGCCACAACTGAATATGTAAGTTGGTAGTAGTCTTGCAGCTACGCTTCATTAGGCTTTGAGATCTACACACACACACACACACACACAGTGACTTGGGAAGGCTCACATATGGAATCAAGGCCTGTTCACTGAGGTTAGAATGATAAGCCGAAATCTGAAAAATTGTGGCTTGTTTACCCCAATGGCAGCATCATTCGCACCCATAATTGTAAATCCCCAGAATGCAGCGATGGTGCGGTATATCATAACCTTGGACTCGTTCCACCGCTGCTGCACAACGACGGGCGCTGTCGTTGGGCCCGGCAGCTCTTCGTTGACGGCTGTCTGACGTTCCAATTCAGGCTGATCGCCTCGAGACCTCGATCTCCGGCTCGAGATCTTTGTGAGCAAGGCTTTAGGACTAGGTTTAGGATGAAGGTCTCGCAGCTCCATCACTGTACAATCCGAGGCGGACGCCATCCTTGCAACGATATGCAATTTTTGCGAGTTGGAAGATGGCTTCTGACGACCGGAATCATCGGTCACAGCTTGAGTCAACTTATTAAAATGGGCAAAGAAGAACAGCTGGCAGCTGTTGCGGAAGAGAACAGTGCCAAGTCTACATCATCCTCGTCCAGGACTCGGAAGTGGTTAGTTATCCGCTCACAAGAGGCGGAAGCGCATTCGATGTGGAGAAAAAGGACGATCCATTACGTTCGGTGTATTGATTGGCCGAAAGTCGGCAGGCTTACTGTCCTTGGCAATTACCCGCTATGGCAACTGAGATCTTGCTGCTCGCTTGTGTTTAACGCATCTGCACCGTCCAACGTGTCGTCCATCACACGCCTTTCTTTGGCTGAAAGCAAAGGTGATGACCAAAGCAGAAATCGAAAGTGCTCATTTGAGTCTGCGTGAAAGAACAACATCTTTATGTACGGGTGCCTCAACTTGCCCCTCGAAAGCCTGTTCCCCATGATCTATACAATAATATCTGCGCCCATTGCTTAAGAACCAAAGTCCAAGTACGCCACTTTAGATACGTTTAAAATGTGCCAATCTAAAATATGAGTTGACAGCAATGCTAAATCAAGAACATAAAGTGGATCCAACCGGTGTTGTTTTTAACAGTCCTTCCATGCTGATGACGGGTATCCTCGCTCTAAAATTTGACCAAATGTACATTACGTTACGGGGTTTCATGCCTCCCATGCTCAAGCGGGGGAACTTGAGTTCCAATCCATATAATTAAAGCTTCCATTATCTCCAGTTATGAGACGTGTCGTCAAAACTTCTTCCGCGGTTGTCCGAAAATAGGCTATCGTGATCGTCAGTGTAGAGTATTGCTTTTCCTTTCTCCTTGGAATGCGTTGATGTCGCAGAGCTTGAGAAGCCCGTTGAAATATCCATTATGCGCTTGGGTTGGCTGTTGCCAACGCCTCCTCTACCAGCGTTACGTTTTGGACCTATTTTAGAGCGAGGGGGCATGCTTGAGGCACCCTCCGCTGCCTTGCGCTGATTACGCCATTCGATCTTCCACTCGATATATCTCGACTCAAAGTCTAGTCTTTCCGTTTCGTTCAAGAACACAAATTCGACTTCAGTACAGTCAAAAGTATCAAGTAATTCCTGCTCTCTCAGTTTTGCCACGTTGAGCGGTATACCAGCATATGCACATTTCTCCTTTTTCGCCGGTTGCAGCATAGCTACCTGGATGAAGCGGTCCCGGTGTGGGTCTGTGGGAACAAACTTGCTGACATTTCCGTCCAGCTTCTTGGGTCGGTCTTTAAGGTTGCGCAGGCCTGGTTTTACTGTCTCATCTTTAGTCGCAATTTGGAAAATTTTGACATCGCTTACGTATCATCGTTATGATAACATTCCCTACATATATCACGAGACGGTAGGGAGGCACTAGCTCTTCTTGTGGACGGCCTCTCAATGGGTGATCTTTCGATCCAGGGGTTGAGAGTGTCCTCTTTCGCGACTTGCAAAACATTTAGTGGTTTGGCTTGACAAACTGAGATTAACATACTTGCTCGAAGGCTTCCGCACTTTCAACCATGAGCTGTAGCGTCGCCGGACCAAGCCCGTTAGAATCGATGTCATCGCCAGCCTTCTTTTTACCCAGCAAACTAAGAGCTTTCTCTTTCGCCTTTGCGATAACATCTGTATGTCTACGCAATATGACGTTCTTTAGCTGGTAGCTAAACGGGTCAGCAGGTCGTTCAGAAGCAGGAGTACAAGGCACGAACCTCCAAACTACTTCTTGATTGCAGAGATCGGACTGGAATTGTTCATAATCTGCTTTCTCTGTCAGTATTGTACGACTCGTCGGCAAGGATGCTTTACCTCTACGGTTTGAAAACCAAAAAGTACCATTGTTAAGGATTTTGCCGGTATCTATTCTCTGGAACCTAATGACCTGCTCTGACGAAGAAGAAGATTTCGTATCCGGAAACGCATAGCCTGGTATCAATTGAACCTCACGGTCCAGAACTATCATCCCGTTAAATGCTATTTTTCCGATAAAAAAAGTCTTCGGGCCTTACATTCGAGCTCCTTTGAGGGCCGCTGGCCAGTAGGATCACATACGACAAGACGGAGATCTCCTTCTTGGTCTCCAAATAAGTAAAGACGAGCGTTTCTCCATGAGCCTTCCTTGGCTTCATCCATACTTAAGTAAGAACAACTTATAAAATCAGATGAAGCCTTAAAGAAGTGGTAAAAGGGAGTATGAAGGAGGGCTTACACAAGATTTCTAAGGCGTTGTGAAGTCAGATCTCTTTCACCATCTCCACTAAAAGGGGGGATGAAGTTAAATGCGGCTGAAGGGCTTCTAGGACTTTGTGCCGTAACGGAAGACACTATTCCCGAAAACTCGGGTATGACATTGTTTATGTCTATTCGTTTTTCAGCGGACGGCTCTAACATTTTATCGATCAGATCCAGAAGTTTGTGTAGAAAGTTCTTGCTGGAATCAGGAGATGCGCGCTCAGAACGAAGAAGTCGTTCTTTAAATTTGACAATGCTGGGTTTCACAATGAAGTCATTGCCGTCCGCTGTGGCCGTGAAGAAACGGTCATCGGTCCGGTGTTTGGTGCTGGTTCTGCGAGCAGCATCCAGATCTAAGAGCCCTTTCTGCCCGTCGACGGCGAATGCAACAACTTCAAGCAGAACACAGCCCAGTGACCATACATCGTACCTTCGGGAGAACTTCCCATTGACGTTCAGGTACTCTGGTGGGGCATAAGCATCAGTGCCGCCTTGGTTGATGACACGAGATGTCGATCCGTTACCAGGAGCGAACTGGGCGAGGCCGAAGTCTGTGATGAGCCAGGTTCCATCATGGTCTACAAGAATGTTGGCTGGCTTCAGATCGAAATGAAACCCAATGAGCGATGACTGAGTTTGCAGATGAGGAAGCTTCGATCCCTTGCTCTGAATTTTGCTGATGCTGCCGAGAGCTTTGGTGATGCCTAGTGCTTGAGTCCATATGGGGCAAAGCTCCAAGGGCGCTTCGCGCAGAGCATCACTCCCAAAAGTTTTCTCCCTCAGAAAGTGGTTTAAATCGGTTTTTGCCAATGGAAAAATGATGTTAAATGTATTCCCATGTTTGTACGTCGTGATCATCTTAACGATGTTTGGGGATTCAAGAAGCTCTACGATTTGGTGATTACCACGTTCGAGCTCAAATCGAAGAGGTGCCTCTGCATCGAGCAGCTGTTTTCGAGCAAAGGGACCGCGAATCTAGACGTGTGAGTTAAGTCGATTCCAGGACTGAAGGCAAGTATGCGTACCCCCAACTTGTTATAACATTCATAGATGTCGAAAGAGGAGACTTTACCTGAACCACCCTCGTCAATTATTTCACCGCGCTCATTGAGTCTTCCAATTGGCTTCTCGTTTATGAATGGTAAAATCGTGCTGGAATCATATGTTGCGAATTTTGTACGAGTAAAATGGGGTATGGCAAAGTGAGCAAGCTGCCTTTCCAGAGAATTGTAGAAATCTAACTCGAACTCGGCGTCGTCCATCGCCCAAAACTTTCGAAGCGTCTCGCGCGGCAGCGCCGCGTTTGGACCGAACTGGAAGATCTTGTCATCGTAGCCCTTGTCGAGAAGACTGCCGCAGAGCGCGGGATATCCGATGGCCACAAAGAGAGAGAACAACGTAACCGCACTAGAATCGAATTCAGGGAGCGTCTTGGCCGTCCCGAGTATTCGCCATAGGTACTCATCAACGGAGTTGCCAGGTCCGGCGAGGTTATGTTGATGGTTGCACCGATCACACTTGCATTCCAGAACAGCACGAGCAATTGTTGGCGACCCACTGGACAAAAAGCGAAACAAGCAATCTCTTGGAAACATGCGCCTTGCGATCGGTTCCGTTGCTGGTTGCAGATACTTTCGGATTGCGCGCTGCGCTTTGGCACACGCGGACCCTCCCGGGATGGAAGACATCAAGCGCGGCAGGGCAAAGAAATACACATAAGGTCCTTGTCCACGCCGCAATTAACGAAGAAAGCGAATAAAAAAAGCCAAAATGAAGCTTCTAAAGAAATGGCTGGAAGGCGCTTGAGAGCGAACAAGGCAACAGGCGGAGTGCGTCGAGATAGGATCACGAGTAGTGGGAAAGGCCTGGTTTTGTGATTGTTCAAGATTCAAGGCTTGCCATGACGCTTGATGACTCTGCCCCGAAAGATCACTTTCCAGGCGCAGGGTGGCGGACCTGGGACGAAGATTAAGCGGCACAGCGACTTTGTCTTGCGGCCTCATTCTGCGAGGGTGAGGCCCAAACGCGCAGCCAAGAAGGCGTGGGGAGACGCACAGTTCTTGGGCCAGCTGATTAGCTTGACTCGATATAATTAGTACTGTGATCATCATATGGCTAGGCAACGACGAGAAAGGGTGGCCAGAGGCGCACACGACGTCCAAAATTGATGCAGGTCGCAGGGGTAGCAGTCAGCTTTGCGCACAGCAAAAGAGGCGTCGACGGTCAAGCCGAGGGGTGCGAATGAACTGTACCTGTCCTCATTCGGCGCCACCTCCAAAGACGCGGTAAATCCAGTGGTCAGCAGTCGCTTCCCCGCCCCAAAGTTCCGTGAAGCATGTATATGGCGGAGATGGACCTGGTCTTTAATCACTCATGGCTGCACGTTGCCTTATCTTTCTCTCCAACCAGGCAATAGAACTACCAGGCTATAGAACTACCAGGCAATAGAACTACCAGGCTTTGAGACGACGAACGAGTCCGACCACAAATTCATGAAATAGATGATGGTCTGAAAATCTATACTAGTGCATTGTCACGCAATCATATCTTTCGCTTCCTGCTCACGTGCATCCAGTTTCCCGGACGAGGGCAGCGTCAGTCGACGTGTGCTACGAACGCGTCTTCTCCATTCCAGAAAGGCCCAGGTTCCCAAAGTCATCGCCAGCAAGGAAATGGAAAGTACTGCAAAGACGACCATTTCGCCAGCAAAGTGCAAACTTACGCTTGAACCTCGTGTCTCCACCTTGATGTAGCCCATAGCTAGAACTTGCTGTGCGCCGTCAGCCTGACACATTCCGTCTTGTTACGAGCGTAATCAGCATACCGACACAAACGAAGCCGGCAGATATATCATCGTTAAGATGGTGATGGTCTTCAAAGTCCGGGCATCGTTCTGGGCCTTACGGCTAAAGTCAAGCATCATCTTGTTGTCACTCTGTGCAAGCCTCATGATACCCGTTGTGATTTGGCCGTTGTGTTGGAGTGCGTATAGACCTCTAGCAGCAATGATATTTTGCATCTGCGCACGTCAGACCTTGCATAGATCATCTAAACCGTAACCTACTAGTTCGGATGACGAGCCCATTCGCTTGAGCAGGGACAATACTCTGCTTCTTTGTAGTTCTGTCTCCACCAGTGAAGAGCCGATATTTCCGTGATTCTCGCTCTTCTCGTCCAGACTCACATTTGGATCTTGACACTGTATTGTTTTCACCATATCCCTATAGACTCTCGAGTTAGTCTCGAGAATGTGGTCTAGCCGTAGCAATTTGTCTGCTATGACTCTAAGATCCTGGCTATCTCCGAAGTCAATAGTTAAGATACCATTCGAATTCCCAATGCTAGCGACAGCAGCGTCGTTTGCCTTTGACTTCTGCACATGTGTAAGCGTAGAATTGTACGAATTCCCATCCAGCAAGAGCTCTTACCAGATGAGTGAATGCCTCCTCAAGATCATTGATATGGCTTCGCCATCGAGTTGACGAGCATGAGATTAGGAGCCGAAAGACATCGGAAGACCCAAGCGGACGACGGCAGCCTTTTTTCGCTTCTTTCAAGCGCTGCTGGAAAGTTTGAGATGGGTTGATGACTACGAACGTTGCAGGGCCGCGATTGTCAACGCAAGAATAAACACCCATTTGGCGAATTGACCACTTGTCTCCCGGTTCGTCACGCCCATGTTCCTCTACATGCTTCAATAAGAAGCAGAGTTCTTGGGGTAATTAGCATGCTACAAAAAAAGAGCTTCGCCGGACATCGGTAAGAGTACCTGTCTCCACTTGATTTCTTCGAATTACTTGGATTCCACCAAGACTCTCGTTCGTTGGACCTGTTCTCTCTCCAAATGCCTCTATAACATCAAACACGAGCGGAAATGCTTTTAATTTATTCAAAATCAATTCCATTGCCTGCTCGGATATCATCAACTTGCCCCAGGAATAGAACTGAGGTATTAAACTAGCATTCTATTCAGATTTGCAGAGAAGCCCAACGGAGAGACGTACATTAGCCGAACTTCATCCGATACCATTTGATCCTGCTCCAGAAAGGTTTGGAAGGTAAACGCATTTGAGAACGTGTGATCTAGGAGAAATTAGCCCCACTGATGGCTCAGTGAACACAACATTGGACTTGCTCTCGGACTTCAGGGAAATAACCTTGATTCTGGTCTCATCTGGCGAACAAAATATTCTGTTACTTTGTCTCTGGAATCTTTCGCTGTAGGAAGCAAGATCGTAGACAAGAGGATCACAAACATCGCGGGGAAGACTAAACGGCCATTTTGCAACGCAAGCAGACTCGGGTACGTGAGACATTTTGAGAATCGATGAATTCAAACAAAGTCATATTCATTTATTTCGATTATCGAAGATAGTTATTCCTTCCTTTCAAACACTCTGAACCAAGGCTGAGAGCGGCGCAGAGATCACTCAGTGCCCAGAACCAGGATCTTGACCGGAATGTTCAGCCACGCACGTCCTGTGCCAGCCTAAAGCGCCCCAAAAGCGCCACTCCTCCAACCGCGGGCCAATCTAAACTTGGCGGCTAGTCGTCCACAAAGGGAGACTGTTTGGGGATGCTTCGCTCTTGTAAGTCAAGAATCTCGGTCTACAAGCTTCAGTAAGTATAGCTGGAGAAGAGAAATCCATAGGGCCGGAGGGTCTTCACTTCGTTCAAGCTCCTTTTACCATAAAATATAATCTGGCTGTCTCGCCCGATCTTGAACATGTGAGCATTCAAGTCAGTTCGGACCGGGCTATGACCTACCACGTAGCGCCAGTCATTCCCGAAGTCACAGATTTTGCTGTTGACGTAGTTCTCGAGGATGGTTGCATTTATGTACCTTGCGTACAGTGTGTGAGCGGGTCAAGTATGGAACTCGAGTGCTCGTTGACGGTTTACCTCTTTGGGAGAAGTTGCTGGGTATACTGATCGTTTGTCATTGTTTGCTCTGGATGTTGTGACGGCTTCTGAGAGAGAAGGGCGAAGCAGTACTTGGTGCGCTGCCAATGCTTAGATACGGGCAACACGTCTGAACCAGGACTGGTTCGCAAACAAGGCAGTCTCCTGGCGTCTTTCAGCCTTTCGAAAACACGTCGATTCTCTTATCAGCTCAGTGGCGTGCGGCATTTGCCGCACAAAGCTTTTACTCATCGATAGTTTTTGCGCGCCACGCCTCCCTCTGCTCCCACTCACAGCCCCCAATGATGGCGTTTTGCCCAGCAGATCAGAGTGGGAGGCCGCGAGGCTGACTTGAACAGCCTAGGTGAATGTGACAGAAGAATGTCCAATTTCCCCTCTACTAAAATTTCGCTCCAACGAAGTGTCAAATAAGTCTTGCTCTTGAGCTTTTTCGGTGGAATCGCGTCGAAATGGCATGGGAACCGAGCAGTCGAATGGCTCGGAGTTCGCTCAGCCCGGATTCAATTAGACAATTCCAACGAGCACCTGGCTACAAAAGTAGATCTCGGTCTCCGGCTGGAACGCGAGCATCAAATCAGAAGACTAAGCGGGAATCTTTTGGGCCAGAGATATACGTCCAACAAGATGACAACAGTCCTGCGGAGCAACATGAGTTGGACGACATTGTCACACGCACAACATACCTGCCGGGAATGGAGCACGCCCCCAATATCAGCAAATTTGTGGAACCAAACGATAGTGATCCCAAGAGCAATTCAAACTGGCTCCCAAAGCCTAAAAAATATGTAGATCAGCTTGACTTGAGAGATAACTCACCAGCAAGAACCGAAACGTATGAAAGCGACGAATTGCAATACTCAAATGGAGGGAGACATTACCCGGAATCGGTCTGGAGCGAGTCCCATACTAATGTTCCACGCCGAAACTTAACAGCATTCGACGTAGCTGCTCTGATATTCAACAAAATGGTACGTCTACAGCAGTCAATTTTCAATCCATTCGACAGGTGTCGATTGTGATGGGAATGCCTTGCGCTTTGGTGGCTTGACAAGTCTTTTGGACTTCGTGAAGATTAAAATAACATCTATGGCTGCGATATGCTGATTTCGCTTAGGTTGGAACGGGAATTTTTACCACACCTGGTGCTGTGTTAAGTCTCACAGGCTCGAAACAGCTGTCAATTGGACTCTGGGCTGTGGGCGGTGTATACACTTTCATATGGTCGGCGGACATAATAACGTCTCACTTAAACTGTTCTAACTGCTTATATAGTCTATTTATCTACCTTGAGTATGGATCAGCACTTCCGTTCACTGGAGGGGAATTGATTTATGTGAGTGCTGGAGGTTGCTGAGCATTTTGGGCTGCTAACATGTTCAGCTTGATGAAGTATTCTATTGGCCCCAACTCCTTGCTACGATGCTAGCTTCAAGTTTCTTCTTGATTCTATGGAACTCAAGTCCAAACTCTTTCGCATTTGCAAAGCATGTTTTGCTTGCTTCGATACCAACCGCCAACAGTTCACAAGACTTTGATCCCCGACTGATCCGATTTATTGCGTTTTCCATACTCACAACAATTTGCCTTTTACATTACTTCTCTAGCAAGCTTGGTCTTTTTCTAAACAAAGTGCTCGCTTTGTTCAAGGCCTGCTTGTTGTTGAGCATATTCATTGCTGGCATGGTTGCTACGAGAAAACCTAACTCTGGAACTATAGATTGGAGCGTCAAGCATGGCCCGAAGGGTAAGACAAACGGTGCTGACAGCATAGCAGCATTCGTGCTGATCTTGTATTCATATACGGGCTGGGAAAACGCCAACTATGTAGGTTTTCCATCGCATTCACTGTTGCCTTGTTGATAGCGTTCAGGTTGCCGGCGAGATCAAAGCTCCTAACAAGATGCTTAAGCAAGGTGCATTTCTCGCTGTAGGCGCAGTTACTTTTTTATACATCATGGTATCAGCAGCGTACTATGCGGCTTGCAAATACACCGCCATTACAAGTTTAGAGACGGACCTTGGAATGGCCGTAATTTTTGCTCCTGTAGCTTTTGGTCAGGGACTTGGGTTGAAAATATCCATTTCCTTATCCGCAATTGGAAATCTTATTGCAGTGATATATACGAGTTCAAAAGGTGAGCCATTGTACAGGCTGTCCTGTTGCTGTATTTATGCTGATATTCCAAAGTCAAGCAAGCAATTGCGCGCCAAGGCATTATACCGTTTTCTTCTTTCTTTGCTGAAGGTCCAAATGTGCCTCAGGGTGGCTTAATTCTGCAATGGATTTGCTCGACTATATTCATAATTTTCACACCAACTAGTGGCGACGGCTATTCATTCATCATTGGTCTGCAAACATATAGCCACGTGCTGCTCTCGAGTGAGTCTAGACTAGAATACAAGCATACTTGCATACACTAATTCTTCGAAGTGGCAGTCGCTGTCGGTATTTGGAGGTTGAGGAGGAGAATGCAGCTTTCCATCCCAGGCTGGACTCTAGATTTTCTCTCCCGCAAAATCTTCTTAATCGGTATCCCGATCATATTCGTCGTAATCAACTTTCTGATCCTTGTTTTCGGGGCAAAACCACATAAAGCCGGTACGATTCCTCGCTATTGGTGGCCAGTGATATCTTTCCTCGTCTACTTCGGCGCGATCTTATACTGGTTCGGTTTCTGGATCTTGCAAAGACCAATAAGACACAAAGAAAACGGAGGACAACCGATTACTATCGGTCAGTATATTGGTTTCGAAATTATCGTGCATAATGAAACGGATGAAAATCCGCCACCGGAGATGCGGGAGGCTCTTTTACAGTCAAGGTTGGATGGAACGAGGAGACGGACTCAGTACAAGGTAACGTTGCAACCCGTTATTCATGACATTCCCGCTGATTCATCCAAGTTTGACAAGTGGTTCGCTTTCATGGGCAAGATCTACGTAAAAGCCCGAAATAACATTGGTGACTGGTTCTTCTAACCACACCTCGCGTTCCGGCCAAACTTCTATCTTTGTCTTCTCGGCGCCCATCCTCTTAGATTGGATATGAAATTTGGTGCAAATAACATCTAACCGAAGCGTTGAATTGAGCTTGTTGTCGTGGGGATGAGCTACAAGCCAGAAGTAAGGATTCGAATGGGTTTTTGGTGCTGCAATGCATGACTGAATCATGACACGAGCCGTGTATCGATAATCTAAGAAGAAAAATGAAAGACTGATGGGTATAAGGTAGTCCTGAAGCAAACTCAGGTCATCTACTGATCAATGTATTTTATTGTGGTATATAGTCCCCCCATTTTAGCGCAAGTTTGTACGCTGTAAAGGCGGTCTGCTTCGCAATTTATTAATGCTGCTTTAATTTTTTTTTTTACATGAAAGTGATGGACATAGGTATTAACGTTGAATCTACAACACATATGAAGGTTTCCAATGTTAATTGTGTGCATCTGCACCTTGGGCGCTTGTGCCGAAGCTTAGTTCCAGTAAAGACAGCAGAACTATCATGGTGAACTAGAATTGAGTGGATTCATGAGCTCTAGAGCGATCAATTTACGAGAAACGGCTCCGGAGTGGGTTTGGAATCCAAAATCACCTTCATGGTATTGGGGGAACTAAGAGCATGCATTTCGGTTGTTCGAATCCACCTTTCCCAAAGAAGAACAAACGACGAATGAACTTCAAATCTTGTCTCTCTACGAGTCTCGCCCAACTTCTTGACGGTTCCACGCCTTCATGCGCAGACTAGATCCACGATACCACCCATACTGACTCTTTCCGCCGTATAACGGCGATGAGACGCCATTATGGACTCCATAGACGCCACGAACCGGAAAGATAGCTCCAATGTCGGCACGTGTCTATGGGCCTTCAGCCTCGTCCCATCACGACTGTACTGATTGCTTGAATTAGGCGGAACTCCTGCGTCCCTGCTTACAATCATCCTCGACACGAACCCAATAGCCTGGGACACGCTTTCTCCTGTTATATCCCTATCTCATGTCATCTCCAACCTTCTCCTCTTCATCAACGCGCACCTCGCCATCAACGGTTCCAATCAGATTGCCGTTCTCGCCTCGCACACCGACCGCGTTGCCTGGCTATATCCGACGCCAGGATCCAATGCCCCTTCACTACACTCTACGCAGAATGGGACGGTAAACCACCATGCCACTGAGGAGTACGCGAACAAGTATCGCCCTTTCTTGGCGATTGAGCAAGAGATCCTAGCGAACTTGAGGCAGCTTATGGATTCTACAGACCCGGAGAGTCTGACTGGGGCGTCGGGTACAGACTGCACGCAGATCGCTGGAAGTCTGACAACGGCACTTACGTATATCAATCAGCAGACATTGCTCATCAGCCCTCCTCCAGACACGGCAACAGTCACCCTGCAAACTACACAGACCGCCACAAAATTGGAACAGAAGAAATTGATCTCGCGATTGTTAATTGTTTCAGTATCGAGCGACTTGGCCGATCAGTACATCAGCGTCATGAACTCGATATTCGCAGCACAGAGACTACAGATCCCGCTGGATGTGCTTAAGCTCTCGGGTTCGACGACTTTTTTACAGCAGGCGAGCGATGCCACAAATGGCATATACTTGGCTCCTGACCCAGAGGATTTGACAGGCGGTTCAGGGCTTCTGCAATATCTTATGATGGGCTACCTGCCCGATGCTACATCGCGGCAGTACTTAAACGTGCCGGGAAAATTAGAGGTAGATTTCCGAGCGGCATGTTTTTGCCATAGAAAAGTTGTGGACATCGGCTATGTCTGTAGCGTGTGTTTGAGCAGTAAGTGCCTGCCATGTACCTCCTCACCAATTTTTCACTTGCTAAACGGGAAGCCTCAGTATTTTGTGACCCGGGTATTCTGCCAAACAATCAATGTCTGACTTGTGGCACGGCGCTCAATCTGCCGGTCGGGTGGGATGTTAAGCCAGCATTAATTCCGCGAAGGAAGAAGAAGAAGAAGGTTACAGATGGCATCTCCAGTCCAGCGGGCACACCTGCTCCCGGGGGAAGCACGCCGATACGATGAAGCAAACTGCTTTCAGATAAAGAGTCTGGTTCCTGTTCTTAGTTTCACCGCGCATATCGAGTCGTAAAGGCTTAGACGGAGGTCTCAACGATTTACATGGTCGTCTCACCGGCTTCTGATGCAGGGTGGGTAGTACAGGTCCGACACGTTTCATTTAAACATGAGGCATCCAACAACTCGCAGTCGTACTTTGTGTATGGCACCGTCGCATTAATCCCATTGATTTGTTGCACTGATCTGAGTGAGCATTGCTGCAGGATTGGTTGTGAATCATGGCATTCAATTAGCTTAGTGACCCCGAGCTTTTTACAATGGTCGCTGACCATTCCATCACCCGATAATAACGGTTTAGAGGGCATTGATTCGACCATGAAATCCATGCACGAGGCTTAAAGTTCTGCTGCACGCCTAACAGATGCCTACATTAACATCTTGAGGCCTAGGCTTCAGCCTGAAGCCGTTCAACCAATCAAATGAGTAGATTACTTAGCCACACCATCTGAGTCAATGATGCTCCTTTTAAGAGTCTTGAATAGGCATGGCCGTCTTAGATATATGTTCTAAATCTTTAGAAGACATTCATATTTCTGTCAAAGGGCGTTTCAAAATGGGACACCGGACAGTGGTGGCGTCGCCTGGGGATGAAAGGGTCACCGCGAGCGAACTATAAAGCCAGAGAATATATCCTTATCTTAGTTCAAAACACATAAGCAGTCATACAATCTTTCATGACATATCTTAAATCAACCATACTGGACAATATTAGACTTCCTCATCATGACGTCGCTTCAAGCTAGCACTACCACGCTTCATCATGTGACTAAGCGCAAGCTGGAGCGGCTCTCTGATTACATTCAAAATTTTGAAGCCAAAAAGTGCAACGTTTTGGGAGAAGCGTTCAGCCATGATGATACAAAAAAGCAGGTTGAGACTCTAATCAACAACGCAAAGAAAAATGGCATCTCTCTAGACCGTGCCGACGTTAGCATAAAGAATATCCGCCGCTACCTTGCGCAGGCGGAATATGATCCCAGCATCTCACAAAAGCAGCTTATGGATTGGAGAAGCATTATTGAACGCGAAATTGAGGGACAGCAACGGAAGTTACTATACGCAAAGTTGTTTGGAAAATTATGCACGGAATGGCTGCATAGTCTCGAGACTACCAATGGAGATGAAGGAGAAATTGGAGAAGCTATGGATACAGACAGTGACGTCGCATCCACGAGCTCTGGATTTGTTCCAGTGTCACGCAAGGACAAGCAGGAGCAGCGCGAACAGTGGGACCAGTACGCATTCGAGGATCGCCCTCAGGATCAACCTGCCATTGACGCCTACCTCAAGAACTTGTTCGAGTTTACACGGCAGAGCAAAAAGCTTAAGCACAGTCCTTTACACGAGCTACAGCTTGCGATGGGAAGATTCGAAGAAATGGAGCCCAAACGTCTCGACGGGTACGCCATTTCGCAATGCATCGATGGACTGCTTCGTGCCGATTTTTTCAGTGGTTCGAAGCGGCAAGAGCTTAGGGACATGAAGGACAAGGAGGAGATTTTAGACGAGATTGCGGACGTGCTTAACATGGACTTGGACTCGATCAACTCTTGGGACTGGGAGAAGCCAATTTCGCTTCAGCAACGCCGGCAGCTCAACGGAAAGTACCGCGTGTACTACGACGAAGAGATCCATCAAGCAATCTTCCTGCAATGGATTGGAATGAAATGGGCAGTTCTCATGAAACAAGCATTTGAAAAGTTCTTCCACTCTGGAGCGTGGTCGCAAGCTCCATACCGAGCAATGGACAAGAAGTCCAAACAACGGAGGGATTACTTTCTGGGAACATCTGGGACAAACGTGAACAACAGCGTGAGGGCTCTCCGCAGAAGCATATATCAAAATGAGTTTTTCATGCTGCAGCTTCCCAAAAGCATGGAGCAAGCGGAAGGCGACTATGGAGACCACGACAACGGACCAGCCAATGGCGACTTGAAAAGCCCTATACAGAAAAAAGATCGATTGCACAGGCTCGTCACCACAGAGATGCTTGTACAGACTGCGGTGTACGGCGAGTGCACAGTCTTGCAATCTGACTTCAAATGGTTCGGACCGTCGATTCCTCATGACTCCATCTTTGCCGTTCTAAAATTCCTCGGTGTTAAGCGAAAGTGGTTGAACTTCTTCCGCAAGTTTCTACAGGCATATGTGTACTGGGCCGACGAGAACACCTCGTCGAGCGGGTGCGGCATCGCACCAAGGCAACGAAAACGCGGTATTCCAATGACGCACATTTTAAGCGACGCTTTGAGCGAGGCGATTTTGTTCTGCCTTGATTTTGCCGTTAGCAAGGCGACCGGAGGCGTCGACCTGTACCGATTCCACGACGACTTGTGGTTTTGGGGTCAAGAGGAGGTCGTGATCAAGGCCTGGAAGACTATCAAGGAGTTCTCGGACATGATGGGCCTTGAACTTAATGCAGAGAAAACAGGCTGCGTACAGATCTTCGAGGATACTTCGCGCTCGCGTACTCTTCCCGATAGCCTCCCTCGCGGTGACGTGACGTGGGGTCTTCTCAGGCTCGATACGGAAACGAAGTCCTGGGTCATCGACACCAAAAAATTGGACGCTCACGTCAAGGAGTTAAAGCGCCAGCTCGAAGCTTGCTCGAGCGTCTTTGCGTGGATCCAAGCCTGGAACTCGTACGCCTGTAGATTTCTTTCCAACAACTTTGGCCACCCTGCCAACTGCCTCGGCACCGCCCACGTAGACACCATCCTCAAGTGTTTCGCCTCGGTGCAAACGCAGCTGTTTGGGCAAGGAGCCAGTGCGCACGAGCACTTGCGCAAGATGATCGGGGATCCAGCACGCAAGCTCTGTGACGCAGGCTTTGACGCGTCCACGATACCGGACGCTTTCTTCTACTTCCCGCTCTCTGTGGGCGGTCTGGAGCTACATAATCCCTTCGTCAAGCCGCTTGCTATGCGTGGTAACCTGCCGAAGGCAACGGAAACGGCGATCCAGGCTGCTTTTGAGCGCGACGAGGAAGAGTACGAGAGGGCGAAGAAGCGTTATGAAGACGGGGAACTCATCTTGCGTCCCACGCGACAAAGCGCATACGTACCGGAAGATGCAGATGCAGATTTCATGTCTTTCGAGGAGTTCTCCAGATTCAGAGAGGAATGTAGCTCGCACCTTGCGCGTGCGTATTCTAATCTGCTGGACGTCCCGAAGATGGACGACGCTGAACTTACGCCTGTGGTGCGGGACAGTGTTTCAACCAGCCTTGGTAACATGGGTTGGCGAAGTTTGAGTTCTTACGAGCGCTGGACGTTTGAGCTGTATGGACGTGAAGTAGTTGATTTATTTGGTGATATTTCCTTCGGCGAGAAGAGCATGCTGCCTCTTGGCATGATGGAGAACTTGAGAAGTGAACGGACCAGATGGGTTGGTTGAACGTCTCTTGATCGAAAGACAAGTAGAAGCCGGAAGGGTTTCATCGTCATGATGATATAGTACACAGGTTTGATCTACAGGTAAAGGGCGATAGTACAGAAATATTGGACAAAGAGATCCACATATGACGAGCGTGCAATGAAATCTGTCCTTCAATACGCATCTTTCTGCAGGCACCTGTTCATTCGTTCCAATGCATCTCCCCATTTTGTACGAACTAAACCAAGGCAAAAAATTTGCCAAGTTCCAGGTGTACATGTGTTAAGTATTCTTGTGTCGAATTCGCATTGAGCGGGCACCTTCCGCGATGCTTGCATTTCCCTTTGTGCGCGACATGGCCGTAACAGGCTCCTCGTCTTCCGAGCACATGGATGCTAATGCCTGCAAAAGTTAATGAATATTTGGCCAGTTTGAGCAGTAGGAGGTTCTTACAAATGAGTCTGTATTGTGTGCAAAGTACAAGTAGAGGCCATCTCGCGACTTTTTTAAACTGATTATGCCAATTGCGCCAGTGGAATTACTGTTCTTAACACTTGGGTGCATCATGAACTCACGTTCAATAAATCCACGCAGTACAGCCTCTTCAGGGACAGGCTCAAGCGGGCCTTCTTTACTCTTTTGCATGCTTGAATAGAGACGATCTGCGCAGACTGAAGCAGCAAGTGTTGTGCCCATGTGTTCACCAGTCCCACTTGTGACGCAAGAGATACAAGTCTTGGACTTGTCATTTGGGTGGACTGGCACTACAGCAGCACCGACACCTACAAGTGCCGCGGGGCCAACGCGGCCACGATGCTTCATTCCAATGCCACCGGAAGATGCCCCACAAGCGATGTTTCCAAATTTGTCGACTGCAATCGCTCCAACTGTGTCGGTAATGTTATCCTCCTGCCTAAGCTGAGGCAATGTCTGCGAATCAAGATTGAGAGATGAGGCCCTAGGTAGTGATGGAGTCTCAGGAGCAGGAAAAGTCGTCGATACTAGAGGTTGCACTGATTCGGGGATTTTGTAGGATTCTGACTGAACACGATTCTTGAAAGAGATAGTTTCAGCCGTGCAGATGATGGGCCTATCTCGTTCGGTTATGGAGCCGCTGGTTGGCGACGGTGAGAGCGAAGGTAGCTGCAATGTAGAATTCGTTGAGACTGTGTCTTCGCTGTCGTTGGCTTCCTCCACTTGTTTTGCTCGCTGTTCGAAAGTAAGGAGTGATGGATCATCAATCAAGTCTTCGTCTCCACGATCATCGAAGGAACCTTCGATAGATGGTGCAAATTCCTCCACAACACTTGTTTCTGATAGAGTAAGGAGGCTTCGGAAATCCTGGGAGCTGTTGATCAGCGAACTCGAAGAAGGCTTGGTCATCGAACCAGGAGAATCATGAACATCGATGTAGCCCTCATCACCTTCTGAAGTCTCACTGTGCTCATTCTGCGCGGCCGTCGATTGTGGCATGTGGAAAGCCCATCGAGAAGTGGCGTTCAATGCGCCAGCAGAAGAAGGTGATGATTCTGAAGTTCTCGCTCTTTTGTTGGCGTGACGAAGCATACTATCTGCGTGCGCCTTTCGTGCAGCGTTGTCATGCAAATCGCGCTGCATTGGATCCGCGGGCCGCCTTTGATATTGGAACTGCCATGGTGATTCGCGTTCTTGCTGACGCTTTTTGAACTCGGCTCGTTCAAGGTCTTTCGACCATCGCAGCCAACGTTCACGCGCACCTGGAGAGACCAGAGCGTCATATGGGAGGATCGGGATACCTGCTTCTGAAGCAAAATCAACAGCACCTAGTCCGACTAGCAAATTTGGCGGAACGCGTCTCAGCGTCAATTGAACCAGGCTCTTATCAAGGACCATTCTCGCCAGCGAGATCGGATTCTTAATCTGTGGGCATGCTCCGACGGCACCGCTCCTGCCCATGTGATCAACAATCAAGGCATCACATTCCACTACGCCGTCCATTGCCAGATTGCTTCCATATCCAGCATTGGTAATCTCACGATCCTCGAGAACCTTGACGGCTATCTCCACTGCATCGACGGCAGTTCCGCCAGCCCGAAGAACCGCCATCCCGGCTTTGCATGCATCACTGCAGGCCATGAGGTGTAAATCTTGGTTGGCAACGGAATGGTAGCCTGCCCCGGCATGGACCACGATGGTGTACACATCGTCTACGGCACGGTGTTTGTTTCTATGTCTCTTCATGATTCGGAAAACGAAAGAGCGACTTGAGTGAGAGATGCGACGCAGCGGTATTGAATGAGAAGTAATAATCAATTCAGTTGAAATAGAACGGCTGAGACGCCGCAGGACGCCGTGTCGAAGGGAGGAGACCAATGAACGACGGAAACAGATGGTAAGGGGGATGAGGATGACTTTCAGGACGAGCATATTATGGTGAGCGACGAATTGTGCGTGATTGCCGCTGGTGACCGTGTGCGTCCGTAGGAAGGCGCTACGGCCATCACTTCTAGAGCTGGAGAGGGAAAGCACAGCTGAGCAACGAGCCTCTCTAAACTGAGAAAGCGCGACTGTTCTGCGCAGTTATCAGAACAGCCAGAGCCATTGCGTGTGCAACATCGACAAGAACATGCACCTATGAAGACTCCCTCTTTGGATGAGGAGCGCTGCCGATCAAAGAACAGCGTGCAGAGTGCATCGAAGTTCCGACCAATCCTTTGCATGAGGCCAAAGTGACTCTGGTCATCGGTGCGAAGACTGAAAGCACTCGTGTTGTCACCGTTCTCGGTGATTTTGCTGGAAATAAGGCAACAAGGCCATAATCGCGGGGCGGCGATGACCAGGCTGTGCGCACAGCGACATTCGTCATTCCAGCCCAAGCTTCAGCGCAGCTTCACACAGGTGCCTGGACCTGTTGGAATCGATGCTGTGGTCGTAGAAGACACTGAAACAACCAGTGAGCCACTCATCAGCTCCCTTCCTTATTCCACGATACTCTGACGATTCGCTCTTGGGGATTTCTCGTCACCCCAAGCTTCACCATGGCTCCTCAAACACCCGCCGTTGTCATGGACAAGTATGTAGACTTGGATCACCGCGGAAGATCAATATAGACTGCTGACACTTCTTCAACAACAGCGGTACCGGGTACTCCAAGCTTGGTGGGCAACAGCAAACCAATTGTGCTACGAGGTCTTGCTCATACATATCGCAGGCTTTGCCGGCAACGACTCTCCCTCGTTCGTATTTCCCACCGCAATCGCGACAAAAGGTCCCACCGGCGGCACTGGTGGCTCAGGATCGGGGCGACCAGCCGTCGCGAACAAACCATCATTCCTCACTGGTGGCGCTGGCCCTAGTGGCCACCTGTCAGCAAAACGAGGCACCGAAGATCTAGACTTTTTCATCGGTGATGAAGCATTGGCAGCAGCGGCAGGACCCGGTATGTCGAATGAAAAAAAGCTTATGAACAATAGCTCACTGGTCAGGCTATGGCATCCATTATCCCATCAGGCACGGCCAAATAGAGAACTGGGTACAACTCTCTAAGCATGATGATATATGGATATCCGACTGACACCACCACTAGGACCATATGGAACGATTTTGGTCGAATTCTATTTTCAAGTACCTACGTGTTGAACCTGAAGATCACTACTTCCTTCTAACCGAGCCGGTAAGATCGCAATGCGCTATTGCTTTGAAATGTCTCGTTCTCAGACTGACTGATCGGCAGCCGCTCAATCCACCGGAAAACAGAGAAAACACGGCGGAAATTTTCTTCGAGTCTTTCAATTGTGCCGGTCTGTACATTGCAGTGCAAGCTGTCCTTGCTCTTGCTGCGTCATGGACTTCATCAAAGGTGCAGGATCGATCTCTGACTGGCACCGTCATCGACTCGGGCGAAGGTGTCACACACGTTATCCCTGTGGCCGAGGGATACGTCATTGGCTCATCAATCAAGTCCATACCCATTGCAGGTCGTGATATTACATACTTTGTGCAATCCCTCTTGCGCGACCGAGGCGAACCGGACAGCAGCTTGAAAACAGCCGAGAAGATCAAGGAAGAATTTTGTTATGTTTGTCCCGACATCGTCAAAGGCAGGTTCCATGCTGTGCCCTAGTGCCCTACCTGATCGCTGATCCTTTCTAGAATTCGCTCGGTTCGACCGTGAGCCTGACCGATTTGCCAAGCACACCGTGACTTACCCAAACGGACGGTCTGTAGTTGTGGACGTTGGCTACGAGAGATTTCTGGCTCCGGAGATCTTTTTCAATCCGGAAATATACTCGTCGGATTTCCTGACGCCGTTGCCTAACATCGTCGACACCGTCATTCAAACATCCCCTATTGACGTGAGAAGAGGTCTGTACAAGAACATTGTGCTTTCAGGAGGATCTACATTGTACAAAGACTTTGGCCGCCGACTGCAGCGGGACATCAGGCACCTGGTCGACGCGCGGATACGAGCGAGCGAGGTACGCAGTGGCGGTGCTAAATCTGGCGGGCTCGACGTTCAGGTCATCACACACAAACGACAACGGCACGGGCCATGGTTTGGAGGAAGCTTACTAGGCCAGACGCCCGAGTTCAGGAGCTACTGCCACACAAAGGCAGAGTACGACGAAATTGGCCCTAGCATCGTGCGAAGATTTGCGTTGCTAGGCGGGCCAGGGAGCACATAGCCCTCCCCCTCATATCGCTTTGAAAAGGAGAGGAAAAAGTATAATAGCGAAGTTTGAAAAGGGTGAAGGGGGGGGTTGGATTGCTCAGATCCGCAGCAGCATTGTGACGCTTGTCCATCGTGCAGGTAAGCAAGGCCCTCTTGGTGTGGTTGCAGCGCGTAATCCAGATTGCATGATGAACATAATTCATGTACGCAATGGCCTTTTTATGCAAGAACGCAATGAAGGGCGGGGTCCGAGCGGTGCTACGCAGATCGAGCTGTCAAATGTGAGGCCTCATTCTATGCAAAAAGTGGGTCCTCGAAGCAGTCAAGAGTACTTGTGCACAGTCCAAATGCAAGATGATTTGAGGGCGTTTGAAATCGGTTTTCGCTTGACCTTGTGTGTTTCGAAACTTGCCCCCCTACCATGCGTCGTGTCATTTGACCTTTTCTCACAATCCTGGCGTGAGTAGCGAACGCACTGAGAGCAAGCACAGCCGAGAACGCTCCAGGTCAAATCGCGGTCATGCTGCGCAAGCGGTGCGACAAATTTTTTTTTTTGCTGAAGGATAAGCTCAAGTCGTTTGGAGTCTGCCACTGCTCCGCGATTCAGGGCAGATTTTCGTCCTGTCGCGTGGCCGTGCATATCCATCCTATCGTTCTGGTCCATCCGATAACCGAATTATCCGTACCTTGACCAGTATTTTCGGCTCGGACGCTGCCTTGGGCCAGACCTTGTCCCAGCAGCCTGAAGCGGTGTCTCGGTCGAGCAAAAAGGCTTTTCCTGATACACGTGTGCCACGAACGGGAGCGCATCACGCAACGGCCGATCAGATCACCACTGTCGTAGCCCAAGGCGTGTTTCTCAAAACGTTCCCAAAGCGGCCCACGCCGTCAGAAAGTGGCGACGCCCGCCGAGACTGGAAAGTGTGGGGTGGAGCGAGCGCGCACGCGCGCGCTCGTGCGCTCCATGTCCTCTTTGTTCCCTCGTCCGGAAGTCTGACGGGTTTTCGTTGGGCACGTTGGCCATCTCGTACTGCGTACGGCTCGGGCGCGGCGGCCGGGTGGGCCGGTGGGCACGATGTCACAGAAGGCGCTAGAGAGGCAGAGGCTCATGGCCGTTGTCACCAGCTGAGGTCCGAATGGACTTGGTCCGAGGTCACTCTAACCAACGTCTCGCTACTTTCCGCCGTCCTCGCTACCTCGTGCTTGGCATCGTCGGAAGTTCGCTAGAAGGTTGGGACGGAGGCTCTGACGGCTCACATCGCGAAGTCAAAACGATGATGGGTGGTGGACAGAACCGGCTGGCTCCTGGGCTCGGGATCAGCTTTCGCTTGGTGCCCTGGCTTGGTGCGGATAGCCGGGCGTGGTGGACGTGGTGGTGAGCTGGCGCAGGCCGCCAGGACGACAGACAGAAATGCGCATTTCTGAGCATCGACAGGCCAGCAAGGAGGGCGCAGACGCCAGATTCGGGGGGCTGCGCTGGGCCAGGGCGACGGGGCGGTTCCGCCAGAGGATCCAATGAGAGCGCAGCAAGACGCGACGCGACCGCTCTTGGCCAGGCCGACAGCTGGAGGGAGAGCATGTCTTTTGCCGAGGAGGGAGCGTGACGCCGGTATGCCGCGCCGTCAACCAAGGTAACCGACGGGACTGGACCAGCATATTTGCCGGTTGCGACGGCGCTGCAGAAGTATATGAAAGATGGGGGATCATGTGTTGGCTGGAGAGACGGATTAGACTTTTCGCTTGATGAAGCGAGTGCTAGCGAAGGCCGTAAAGGAAATTGTACCGGCAGGGTGAGCGTGCGCAGCGCCGTGGGACCGCGTCGAGCGCCGGCTGCGTGCTGGAAATGCGCCGCCGTGCTGGGGGCTACTCTGAAACGCTGCGCAGCCAGCCTGAGGCCGGCAGCTGCCATGTGAACTTGGCCGGATACCAGCCGGTTAAGCTGCGCAGCGACGCTGCTGGGCCATGACGATTTAAGCCCACCACCTGCCCCACGGGGTCACCTATCCGCGAAACACACACACACACACACACGCACGCACGCACGCACGCGCGCTCTCACACTCTCACGCTCGGCGAGCAGAGTGCGGCTCGTTTCTTTGCATGTGCGCACGTGTATCGGCGCCTGTGTGTTGCTGCGATCGTCGTTCGTCGCCCGAGTCTTTGAGCCTCTGCGCGCACCCTCTAGCCCTTGCGGGCCCCTCCCCCACAGCCCAAGCGCGCCGTCTACTGGGTCGGCCCCAGCGAGCGTCCCCCAGCGGCCTGCCCCGTCCCCGCCCAGCGCCCCCCTAAGTTTGGATCCGCCGAGCCCGCCTCCAGTGTCGATTAGGGCTTGGTGCGCCCACTAACCTCCCTCTGACGATGATGCTGCAGCCGCCTCTGCAAGTCCTCCACCGTACGTGTACTCACTCCGCCTCGTTCTCAAACCTGTCCATCCCCCCTCTCGTCGCCCTCTTCTTCCTCCTCCCCTTCCGCAGCGCAGCGCGGCCCCGTCCTTCGCTTGCGTGGTCTGCCGTGTCGCCCACAATGCTTTCGTCCGCCCACAGGGCTCTCTTTGCTGACACGCATCAGACGCGAACAATGCGACGGCTACATCCGAGGACGCGCCGTATCCTCAGCTTAAGCACCAGGCCTGCTGCCCCGACGACATAAGCCCAAGATCACGCAAGCGCAGACGCGCCGACTCTGCCACGTCCCACGACATCGCCGCTGCTGATCGTCAAGAGCTGTACGACTTCCTGCTCACCAGTCTGCCCTTTGGCCCTCGCCTCCCCACCGGACGCCCGCACCAGCCGCTGTGCTCCAGCACCACGAGCGCGCCACGCAATGAGCACCACGAAGCCACGTCCATGGCGCACATAACAGACATGTACAGCTTGGCCCACGAGAGAATGATAGCCAGCGTGACGCGCTCGCCTTCCGCCTCGAGCAGCAAGTTCTCTGCCGCGTCTGACTACGGCCCGTACCATGCTCAGTACTGGTCCCTCGTCGAGAACGACTTGACCGCCGGCACGCCTCTGCAGTCCAACGGATCTTACCACAGCCCCTACAGCTCTCTGGCACCGGACGTGCTCTTCTCCCCCAGCACTCCGGGCGCCACCGTCGCCACCTACAACGAGTCCGCGGATCAGAATGGGTACGACCACCCGGACGGTTCCGCATACACGCTGGGCCGAAGCGCACAGTTCGCTACATGCATGCCGCCCGAGACGGCAAATGTGTATCCCTCCCCCGTCGACAACTTCAGCTGGAACTACTTCCCCGTGGACGCAAGCCCTCAGAACCTGTCCAACCTCGAGAGTCTCTCCAGCCAGATCCTCGGCATGCTGTTGACACATTCTGTCGACGACTTTGCCGCCATGGTGGCACGTCCAGACCTATCGACTGGACGAGCGTTCGGAAACCTGGAGGCCATGTTCGACCAGATCAAGCAACAGCTCCCGCTCGACGCCTCGAACCGGTTCATCGACGTCAGCCAGCTCCAGCTCAGCTCAAGCTCGGGACTGGGCGCGATTCGCAAGGCCAACCTCGCCGTCTTCGCTACGAGCATCTTCCGCGGTCGCGACGTTCCCTTCGCAGACCTGAACGACAGGTTCCTGGACATATTCATGCCCTCGGGCACTTGTCTGCTAAAGAACGAGGGCTCTCTTTTTCTAGAACTCAAGACTCAAGCATTCCTGGCAATGACAACAAGCCACAGCTATCCGCGGGAGCTCGTCGACCAGCTGTTCCCACGTGACCTACAGTTGACCTTGCTGAGACGACGGGCGGACCCTCAGTACTTGGCAGCGACCGAGCAGGATTTCATCGGCCGCTACAATGCACGAAGACAGCTCCTGATCACCTGTTGCGATGACGTGGAAACTCTGTCACAGCTGCCATCCAAATACTCGTGGAGTGATTTCCTCGACGAGCTGCGGACGTGCGTGGGTCGGAATCTGGACTACCTCGAACGCACAAAGGTAGATGGAAACGCCGTCGAAAATCCGTGCTTCAACCGCTGACGAGACATAAAACAGGGCTCCACGTCTGCCGAGGATGCCATCACCAAGGCCGCTCTAGCCGCCCATGCCGCCATCTCTGGCCACTCACCGAATGGATATCACAGCCCGTCACTGTCGCAAACGTCAAATTTCGGTCACAAGCGGAAGCGCTCCCCTGGAAGCGATTCGTCACTCAGCCCGGAGACGCCACATGCACCGATCCATCTCCAATACCGACGCACCGCCTCCCATGCGTCTTCCAAATCCCAGTCTCCCTTCACCAGCGGCGTCCAGCGTCGTCTGGCAAACCCACCCAGCACACGTCGACCCTGGACACCCGAGGAGGAAAAGGCTCTAATGGAGGGCCTCGAACGGGTAAAAGGGCCCCACTGGTCCCAGATTCTGGCCCTGTACGGAGCCAATGGAAGCATCTCGGAGATCTTGAAGGACAGGAACCAGGTCCAGCTCAAAGACAAAGCCCGCAATCTCAAGCTCTTCTTTCTCAAGAGCGGCCTCGAAGTGCCTTATTTCCTGCAGAAGGTCACGGGAGAGCTGAAGACGCGAGCCCCGGCGCAGGCGGCCAAGCTTGAGGCCAGGGAACGACTCAAGAGGCTCGAGGAACAAAGGGCTGGAGGAAACTTGATCTAGTCCCACTGCCGTTCCCCATCACGCCGTATGGCGAAAGTCGACGGACGCCGGAGGAAGCATGGTAGAATGCAAACGCATGAAGGGAACGTCGGTAAGCCCGAACGGCACTAGTCTTTTTCTCCAGGCAAACGCAGGCAAACGCTAAGGGGTGAAGAGGTTGTGAGCAACCTTCACGGCGGACGCTTGAGGCATGAGGAAGGCGACATCAAAGGGTCGCACCAGCCAAGGTGGTTTCGATGCAGATGCCCTCTGGATGTGGCTAAATTTTTTTTTTCTTCTCACACTCTTTGCGCGGTTCTCTGACGTTTGGATCTCGAGCATATGGGTCGAGCATATGGGTCGAAGCATTTACAAAGGGCGCAAAAAGCAAGATGCATGTACGAATACGATAATGTTTGGTAATGTGTGTGACGAAACACAACACGATAAATATGTACTACTAGTAACTGCTATAAACGTCGATTGCGTGGTCTCACCAAGCCATGTCAGACAGGTGTGAATGATGTGACTTTCCCGCAGTCTGTCCTAGGTTGACGGGCACGTACGTTCCAGGGTTTTACACTGCATCCGCCTCGCTCGGCCAAAGGTTTGATTTTCGTGTGCGTCGTGAACATTGTGTGCGATCTTATTCCATCGTCACCCAGTAACCTCGATCCCTCCGATCAAATGGGAAGAGCGTCGCCGGTACGGCTCCGGCGCCGGTTCGTTACCGCGCCCCCCCCAAAAGAAGCGGCAGACGCTGGGTAAGGCCGACCTCGAGGACGACGAGCGAAATAAAAAGAGGTGGGTCCAGTCAAGACCAGTTGCGAGCCTCGGCCGCGGCGTCGTTCTCCCTCTGGCGGCGGTTCTCGTTCGCGGCCTCCGCGAGCGCGCCCTTCATGCCGGCCTTCTTCTGCGCAGCCAGATTCTGCGACAGCTTGTCGGAGCCTCCCGCCGTCTTCGCGGCGCGTGCCTGCATCAAATGCAAAACGTCAGCCCGTCTTCGAAACGCCGCGTGGCCCAGGACGGAGCGGGGCACACGCTGAGAGCGAGGGGCATTGCGACCGTACCTCTGCGGCGGCTGCGGCGGCGGACCTTGCGTCCGCGGGACCGCCTTCGCCTTCGCCCAGCGTCCTGCCGGGCCCGGAAGCGGAGGCGCCGGACGGCACGGACGCCTTCGCTGGAGCGCCGCCCGCCGTCGCTGCCGAAGCGGCGGCCTGTCGAGGCGGAGCGTCTCCAAGTGTGCGGCCCTGACCCTTGAAGTTCCCGCTTCCGCCGCTGGCTCCCCCGCCCGACTCCTTGCCGCAGCAGTTTCCCATGACGCCGCCGATTTCTGTCCTCGCAGCGGAGCGATCTTGGTATCGGATGCTTCGGGGTGGTGGGTTTGAAGGGGTGCTACAATGTGGTCACGGTCGTGGCAGTGCAGGCGAAAGTGTTATCAGACGACGAGTACCTGGCGACCCGGCGGTCGGATGATTGGAGGGGGGGGCTGTGCGGGAAAGACCTGCCCCTCCGCCGAATGTCACCACGCAAAAGGCTGCCATCACCACTCAAACCAGCAGAGCCAAGAAAAAGAAAAGAAAAAAAATTAACGAAAGAAAAAGGGCCGGAAGAACTTCGAGAGTGCTGGGGGGTGAGGCTCGGCGCGATGGGAGAGGACGTGCAAGAGGGCGACCGGACCACGTGAGGAGACGGCGATGAGGAGACAGCGTTTGCGCGTACGCGCGCCGGAAGTCCGAATTCTGCACGAAGCGCAACGGCGCGCGAAGCTCCGTCCAGAGAGAAAAAAAGGCCAGTTTGACTACGCCCAGCTAACTTTACGCACGGTCTTCTCAATCACATGTTGATGCTTGGTGGCGCTGGTCGACGTCAACGAGAGTTTGACTTAGCAATTGGGCGAGCGGGCGACGGTGACTGCCCGCGTTCCTCGCATGGGGACTAGGCCGCATGCGGAGGCGGTGAAGCGCTCGCCCATCAAGGTACCATGACGAATCGCTTTTTCTTCGCCGTCGCAGCCCCTCGACCGCGGACTCTGCTCACACGCGTGTGTGCGTGAGACAGAGAAGAGATCTTTGGATGTGACTGAGGCTCAAAGGCATCCTGCTTTCTTCTTTCCTGTCGGTTTAACCCCCCTCATCGGCAGCCTCAGAAAACGGCTCCATGCCCACGGATCCGATCCGCGTCGGCGCCGTAGTCGAACCAGTCTCTCAGCCTTTGACCCGTCACATGTTCTCGACAAGATGACCGCTGCAAATCCTTCAGACGTCCAATTGATAGCTCCCGCTCTCCTACAGCTCAACCGCGGGGACGGCAGCAACATCAACAGCAGCGCCAACAAGTCGGCGCTCTACGGACAGTGCTCCTCTGCTACGTGCGGCGCGCCCATAACATCCTTTCCTGACTGCCTCGAGTGCCGCAACTCTGCTCATCTCAACCTGCAATGCGACTCTTGCTGGACTGACTGCACCTCTCCTTGCAACGACGACGACTGTCACATCCCTCAGCCGTGCTATGACGAGCACTGCGCTGTGGATTCGTGTGTCGACAGCGCCTGTGCGGCAGAATCGTGCACCGATGCGACATGTCCCGAGACGGTGCATTGCAACGCGACCTGCTTCGACAGCAGCTGCCTCTACGAATTCGGGGGTGGCCCCGAGGCAGCAGGCTACGATACGCTCTACTGTGGACAGGGCCAATGCTTTGGGTTTTTGCCCGTTGGTCCGGGACTTGAAGGCTTCGGCGGTGCTGGTCTCGACGTGGATCTGCAGCAATGCTCACACATGGCCTCCTCCTTGTCGTCGTCGGTTGCGTGGGGATCTCTCGGCGTGTCCTCCAACCACGTCGTTCAGCAGCAGAACGATCACATCCACCAGTCGAGCGGCAACAAGCGGAGGAGGATCGATTTGTCGTTATCAGAGGCCGCTGGGGGACTGCAAGATCACTGCTGGTCTCACAGTCACTTCGACAGCGTCTTCTCCAACGAGGAAATCGATGTAGCGCTTCAAAACGCCTTGCCTGGCAGTCAGAGCGTTCCGCCGCTCGAGTTCAACTGTCAGGCCACGTGCCATCATCAACTGAAGCGCAATATGGACGATTGGGCAAACGATCTCGCACAGGGCCTGGTAAGTTGAATCCGACAGCGTCACGTCATAAATGTGTGTCCATCTAATTCTGGCTTCAGCCCTGTCACATCACTCACGAAAAGTGCTCTCATCCTCCTCAGCCCGTTTTACGCAGGCACACACATAGGTCCCCAAACAGGCCGGCCAAAATCCTCCCCAACCCAGAACTTGCGCAGGCTGTGTCGCCGGCCACGCAAAAGACTCGAACGGAGAGTGGCCGGCTCGACCTAATTTGCCAGTGGGTCACCGACGCCAGCACCGCTTCGATTTGTGGCCACCGGTTCTCGTGCGAGAAGGACCTGGACGAACACCTCCAGAAGGCGCACACCAGCAAACTTGGGCCCAAGTCATTCACGTGCTGCTGGAAGGGATGTTCCACCACCTTCAAGCATCGCGGGAAGCTGAACCGACATATCTCCGGCGCGCACTCCAAATATCACGCGTACGTGTGCACGCACGTGGACGCGTCGACGGCGGAGCCTTGCGGCCGCACGTTCTGCACAAAAGAGCAGCTGAAAAACCACGAAACGACCCACACGGGCGAAAGGAAGTACAAGTGCAGATTCTGCGACCACACTAGCGCAACAAAGACACAGCACAACACGCACGAAAGAATCCACACCAAGGAGAAGCCATATCAGTGCCCGTGGTGTGGACACAGCAGTGGTGACAGCAGCAATCTGAGCAAGCACATCCGGAACAAGCACCCAGGCATGGCGGGCAGGGGGGCCAGAAAAAGCACCGAGGTTGACATCAGCCCGGCTTCACTGAGCGTTTAAAGCCTTGAGTTTAAAGCGTTGAGCTTTCGTTTTATATTTTCCAACACGAACAGTAGATAGTTATGATACAAACGTGATCACGTGAACGAAGTCTTTGGACGACGACGTTCAGGAACCACAGGCCATGATTGAACATTGCATAACCGTTGTTAGCATGAAGCTCCGCTCAGCAATCACCAGTCCTGCGGCTTTCCGTCCTCCTTTGATCTAACGCTGTCGTTCGCCCAATACGCTCCTGATATGCCCTTTACGTCGCCGAACGCCAGTCTCAGTGGGATCCGAGCCCCTTGCTCCGGCGTTTTTGGCGGCCTCGTCTTTCCGTTGTTGATCAGGCTGCCCATGCTCGTGTCGATCCAGCCGGGGCAGCAGCAGTTGATGGTCGCGTCGGGATGCTGCGCCGCCAAGATCTTGGTCAGCAGGTTGACGGCCGCCTTGGAAACGCTGTAGCTCCTGCGGGCAGGGAAGCCGGCCTCGACGTCGGTTCCGGCCTGGACGTGCGCCAGGTAGGACTGCACCAGCGCCTCCACGTCGCCCAGCGTGTCTATGCGACGGACTCTCGCCGCGAGCTCGGGGCCCCACGTCTTCAGGCTCGAGCCGACCGAGGACATGTTGACGATCCGGCCGGCGTCGTTGCGGAGCAGCGGCAGAAAGGCAAGACACATCTCCAACGTGCCCCTGTAGTTCGTGTCGAGCGTCGCCCTCGCGTTCTCGAGCGAGAACGCGGCGTCGAGGTTGACGCCCGCGTTGTTGATCAGCACGTCGACGGGCTCGCCTGCGCGCCGCACCTGCGCCGCCAGCGCCGCCACGCTCGCCGCGTCGGCGACGTCGAGCCGGGGACAGAGCACCGTCTGGTCCCGCCGGCGCGGCGCGAGGCCCACGTCTCCGCCCGCGCGCGACGTCGCGTACAGCGTCAGGGGCGCGACGCTGTCGTCCTTGAGGATGAGGTCGCACATGGCCTTGCCGATGCCTCGATTCTTTTTTTTGTTCGGCGCCTCCGAGTCAACGAAGAGCCGCTGGAAGGTTTGGATTGGTTTTGGGGGGGAAGGGCGTGAGGGTTGTTTAGGGGCTGGCAGGAGAACCAGAGACTTACCGCGCCGGTTACAATCACGACTTTGCGCCGGGATGGGTCCTCGTGCGACGAATACGCGCGCAGAGGTCCGCGTCGGGGACGACTGAGAATGCTGCTCGTGGCCCGAAGGGCGCAAAGACGCATAGACGATATCGTCATCGTCATCATCATCGTCGTCGTCGTCGCCGTCGTCATCGTCATCGAAATCGTCGTTGTCATTGGTGGCCTAACAAAGGAAGCATCATCGGTCGCATACTCATTCTGCCTTATTTAGTTTACCAGACAGTAGTGTCGTGCAACTTTTCCTCTCGTCGCCGTGCGCGCGATGTAGGAGCTGTCCCGGTTGAGAGAAACGAGAGAGACACGAGAAGAGGCGGCGCGTTGCCGTATTCGGTCGTCAGCCTTGCAACCTTGACACGGGTTCTGGCAACCAACAGAGAAACATACACATTTTCTGCAGTCGACCACGGCATGAAAAGCCGCACCCCGCAAATTTGTTCTGATCCGATCCCGACTTGACCGCTCGTCTGACATGCTCTGGGCGTCCGTCTGGCTGCAGCCTGACGCTGTCTATCGAATCTTGGTCAGGGTCCCGACGAAATCGCACGATTTCTGACATGTGCTTGGGATAAAGAGATGAGCGCTTCTTCTGGTTGGGCTTGGTGGCTTTGAGGGCTGCAGATACGAGAGCGGGAAAAAAAAAAGTCACGAGCGACCAGGAAAGCTGAAACGAGCGTGCAAAATATGCTGTGCTTGAACGGGCCTTTCAGCTTCACGGTCAGCTGAATGATGCACCTGGGTTCGACGAGTTCGAGACGCGCATCTTTGCAGATATGGTATAAAAACGATGGCTCCATCGCCGTCGTCCTAAATCACGTCGAATCTGGAGATCACCCATGGCTTGACTCAATCCCAATCTTGCCCAAAGGAAGCAGCAGCAATTCCGGCGACAATGGGATCGACTTCCGACCTCCCCACGAGCGCTCAAAGCGTGTGGGATCCCGAGATCCAGAACGTCATCAACAATGCTCGGACTCCATTTCACCCGTCGCCGCTGGCGTGGGAAGATCAGCTCCTGTTTGTCGACCCGCCTCGAGATGTTTTTTTTGATTACGACGCTTCTAACTCTGACATGCCAGCTACTTCCTGCTGCCAGATCGGTTTTCCAACAACTTGGAGAATGGCTACAAGGACAACGACGGCAACGTCGTCGACACTGGCTCCATCGAGGCCTTCAGGCCTTCAGATGCCAACAACGCCGTCGCCCCAAACAAGGACCCGACCGACTGGCAGTCGCACGGGAACGTCTGGTGCGGCGGCACGATTGTCGGTCTGACCTCCAAACTGGGTTACTTGAAGCGGATGGGCATCACGGCGATCTGGATCGGACCCGTGTTCAAGCAGGTCAAGACGGATCTGAACAGCTATCACGGCTACGGTGTGCAAGACTTCCTCGACGTCGACCCCCGATTCGGCCCGCGCGAAGAGTACAAGAGTCTGGTGCAAAAGGCGCACGACATGGGCCTGTACGTCATTCAAGACATCATATGCAACCACTCCGGCGACGTGTTCTGCTACGAGGGAGATCCGAACCCGAGCTGGAAGTGGGATGACTCGCTGCAACGTGCCGTCGTGTATCCCGTGAAAGGCTTTTACGACGCCGACCACAGGCCCGACACGACCTTGCCCTTCCGCAAGGTCGACGCGTCCAGATTTCCCGACGCCGCCATCTGGCCGGCCGAGTTCCAGGACGGCGAGGCCATCTTCACCCGGGAGGGCAAAATCAACAACTGGGATCGAGACCCCGAGTATCTCGACGGCGATTTTTACAACCTGAAGGACTTCAGATTGGGCGCCAGCTCGCCCGATCAGTTCGTCGCGACGCCCGCTCTCAAGACCCTGGTCGAGTGCTACAAGTACTGGATCGCCTTCGCGGACTTGGACGCGTTCCGCCTCGACACGGTCAAGCACATGGGATGGGGTCCCACGCGGTACTTTTGCAACGCAATCCACGAGTACGCAATGTCCATCGGCAAGAACAACTTCATGATCGTGGGCGAGATCACCGGCGGCAACGAAAGCAAATACGACACCGTCACGCAAACTGGTCTTAACGCTGCGCTCGGCATAACGGATCTCCAGCAGGCGCTGTGGAACCTGCCCAAGGGAAATTGGAGCCCCCAAGTAAGTGTATCGGCTACGGATTGGCAAAGAACGACAAAGCGCGCTGACCAGATCGAAGGCGTACTTCGACCAGTTCCGAAACGCAACCTACCTCCGGCAAGGCTCGCACGCCTGGCTTCGCGACAAACTTGTCACGATGATCGACGACCATGACCAGGTGTGGCGTGGCGATTTCAAGGGCCGCTTCTGTTCTGACGCCATCGGCTCCAAGATGATCTTCCCGGCCATCGCGCTGAACATGACGACCCTCGGCATCGCGTGCATATACTACGGGTCCGAGCAATCTTTCGACGGCTCTGGAGGTTCGGGACTGCCTGGCCATGGGGCCGATCAATGGATCAGGGAGTGCATGTTCGGCGGGAAGTTTGGCGCCTTCAGATCGCAAGATCGGCACTTCTTCGACGAGCTCGGCGTGGTGTACGGCAAGATCAGCCGGCTCGCGGAGCTACGCAGGAAAAACCTGGTGCTGACTCGTGGTCGCCAGTACCTGCGCGAGATCTCCGGCGACGGCGTCGGCTTCGGCCTCCCGGAGAAGTTCCCGGGCGGGAGGATGGAGAGCATTGTGGCGTGGAGCCGAATCTTCAACAACGTCGAGATTCTTTGTGCCATCAACACGGACACGAACGGTGATCGAACGGCCTGGGTCACGGTGGATGCCGAATTGAATGCGGCGGGCGACGAGCTTGTTGCCATCTTCGAAGAGCGGCCTGGCCAGAACGCGACAGCGTTGAGGGTGGAAAAGCGGGCGAACAGATCGGTTGTTCAACTTACGATGCCACCCGCCAGCTTCGCGATGTTTAAGAAATAAGGTCTAGGGAAGGAAAAAGAAAAAGGTTGGCACAAATGTATTTTTTGATTTTTTGAGTGTGCTACTCTCATGCATTATTGCTTGTAGTGACGCTGGTCTTCGTCCCTATTCTTTTTCGGCTTTACTGAACATGGGAGGCTTGGGACAAATTAGCTAAAAGCTCAACGCGTCAACGATGTAGGTATGAACGAACCAAGTGAACCTGCCCGATTTGAAGGATCACTTTCTCAATTCCCTCGCGTCTTTTGTTCGCCCAATGCGACCTACAAAAAAGTTGTCTCCATCAAGGTCCGCCCCAGAAACGGATCCTTCGGGACGAGCTTCGCCCGTGAATCGCAAATCAGTCAGTCCGGCTTTGTCGTCTTCTCTTCATCTTCTGGCGAGGCCTGGTGCGGCAGCGTATCTCTCTTCACGCTCGGTCTTGTACAGGATCTGCAGCCAGAACTCTTTGTTGTCCTCGTCCCACCACTGGAAGTACTTGTTGCTCTTTTGATCAATCTCCTTTGCCTGCAGCTTGAACCCGACCGTGTCGTACGGCTCGGCGGCTATCACCACGTACTGATAGTCCTTGTTCGGCTCCTCGATCTTCTGCTCGTAGGCGCTCATGAATCGAACCCGGGGCTTGACGCCCGAGGCGATCTCGGGGTACGAGAGTTGGAACAGCAGGCCGACCTGCTTCGTGATCGGGTCGCGCACCTTTGTGATTCTGTATCCTGGTCGCCCGATCTTGACGTACTGCTTCTTCGGCGCGACCTGCAGGCCCGTCATCAGTGCCTCGCGCGCCTTGCCTTCCTTTTCTTCTCTTGCTGCTCGGCGCGCAAGGTTTGTCTGGTGCTTGCGGCCCTGCGTGTGGGCCAGATACGACCCGTCGTTCTGGTGGACTGTGAGACACAGCTTGCACTCGAAGCTGCCGACATGGTTCTTGAAGAAGTACGGGTCCTTGTCGAGGTCGATCGTTTCGAGCGCGAGCTTGCGCAAACGCTCTCTACGGTCTTGATTCGTCGCCGACGCCGACGCGACGCCTCCGCCTCCGAATTTGGAGCCCGCGCGGTTCTGATAATCCATGGCTCGATGCTGCTTGCACCTTGTACCGGCTCTTGAAGCGCGTTCACCAACGTGGGAAGAGAGTTCGGTCGGCGCTAGCTTCAAGTGATTCTTTTGGACGGTCCGGATACACAAAGTACGTTCAGCGTCTCGGATATGCACGCGATTCGAAGCGACAACGGGAAGGACGCAATGCCGCTGTGTGAACTTTGTCGAGGACGTGAAAGTTCCATCGCGTGAAACCAACTTAGCCGCCTGAAGGATAGTGATGCCTGAGGCACACATCCTGCATGCAACTTTGATGTTCACCGTTCCCCGTCCGCTCAGACACTCGCTACAATCCGGTCACACAATCGCATCATGCACGTCGGTCAGCGTGTTTCTTACGGTGGCGAGCTGTGCACCGTCAGATACATTGGTGAAGTTGAGGGCACGAAAGGTGAATGGGTTGGTGTAGAATGGGACGATCCCACGCGCGGCAAGCACAACGGCGAAGTAGGAAACAAACGATATTTTGAATGTATTTGGCCTCGCTCTGTTCCATGTGAGGCCATCATACTGACCCTCCAGAGGTCTAAGCAAGGAGCCCAAAGCAGCTTCTTTCGTTCGACCCACAAGGCCTGCGGACAACGAACGTACGTTCATAGAAGCCCTTCGTTTTAAGTATGCATCTGAGCACACCAAGATATCCTTTCAAATTGGCCAGTCGCCCTCGGTGCCGAAGCCGATCCATTTTGGTACCAAGGAAGCCGAGGAGGTAGGATTTGACAAGGTCGCCAAGAAACTGGCCGATTTGCATGAATTACGAATCGTTCTTCTCGACGGGCTATGCGTTCGCCACGCCGTCAGTTCCCAGCTGTTGGAAGCGTGGAAATCACCACCCCCCGAGCGCGGTAGGCCACGTGTAGGAACAGAAATTCGCGACGTCTGTCCGAGTATCAGGGAGCTGGACTTGAGCAGGAATCTGTTCGGCTCGTTTCACGAGGTCGCAGCGATATGTGAGCAACTCGAACATCTGAAGATCCTGCGACTGGACGGCAATCGCTTCGGTCAGGTGCGCATATCTAGCACGGAGCAGGACCACTTCAGGCTCATCTTTGCGAGAGTCGAGAGCCTGAGCTTGGAGAGCACTCTTCTCTCATGGGCGGAAGTCAATTCGATCATTACTTGCTTTCCGTCGCTGAAAACGCTTTCGTTCTCAAGCAACGAGATGATCGCGCTCGACAAATCCGTTCAACTGGCTTCCGCACCTTCGCTATCCACCATAAAGCTCGAATCAAACAAGTTCAATTCGTTGTCGGATATTGCTCCTCTCTCGCAGCTTCCGAGCTTGAGACAAGTCGTCGTGAAGAACAACAACATATCATCCGTCGACACAGCAGAGGCTTCGGCCTTTGTTCCAGGCGTCACCGACCTGGACGTATCCTTCAACTCCATCACATCCTGGAAATTTGTGGACGATCTCGGCAGATTTTTTCCCGACTTGACCTCTCTCCGCATCTCTCATAACCCATTATATGCCAATCTTCATACCCCAACTGGCCGAGAGCTTACTGCGGACGACGGGTATATGCTAACTATCGCTCGACTACCCAATCTCAAAGTGCTCAATTTCAGTACGGTTACGGAAAAAGACCGTCTCAACGCTGAATCATACTACCTTTCCCTGATTGTCCAGGAGCTCTCCCTCGCGCCGGAATCTGAGGCCGAGACGATCAAAAGCAGTCATCCTCGATGGGGGGAGCTCTGTGCTGAGTACGGTGAGCCGGTCATCAAGAGAACGCAAGATCATGTGGACCCTAGGTCCCTCGCTGCACGGCTTTTGAATTTGGAGGTGGAGCTATCCGAGGAAGCAGCCGCAGTTTTCAATTGCGATCAGAGCTCCAGAGTGGCCATCAGGAACATACCGAAGCGCTTCAATATTTACTCTGTGCTAGGAATTGTGTCGGAACGCTTTGGACAGCCATACGTAACGCCGGGACTGAGTTTGTCATTGATCACGGATGACTGGGAGGAAGTAAACAAAGAACGTGTCAGACGGACCGTCCGTCTGGTTCCTGAGACGAGAGGGATTGGTACCTTTGTCGAGGAAAAGAACGGACACGTGAGGGTGGAATACAAGAAGGTTACAATTGATAATCAAGACTACCGGCATCCCGTTGAACTTCCGCTGTAGGAACAGCTTGGTCGCACAAGAGGAGATTTGGAATTCTTTTTGCTTTAATTTAGTGGGCTTGGAAGGAGCTCTTGCAGCTCGGCGACCACTCGCATCTGGGAATGACGGCCATGTGCGACTAGAGATGTGAAGGAGCGCAATCTCTTGCGACGAGGTCAATCGCTAATCTGCCATGCTCTCAAGTGTCTCGATCGCCTAAAGCAGGATTAGGAATCAGCGTGAAGGGTGCGTCCTTACGACGCCCTTGATACAACGATTGCGGCTGGCGACATGAATGCTATAGCTTGGTCTCTTTTCCGGACATGCAATGCCACTGAAGCTATCGAATAGACGTGGTCACATCGGCTTCATGCTTGAACACGTGAGCAATCGCACGGTTTGCTTTGCGTGTAATGAGCCTAACCTATTTGAGAGTTGATATCTTATAAACAAAAACAAGGGGCATTGCTCACAACACACGCAGAAAAGAAAGAGGCATTGGACGCACGCAGAAAAGAGGGAGGCATTGGACGCACGCAGAAAGGAGAGAGGCATTGGACGTACGCAGAAAGGAGAGAGGCATTGGCATGGACAGGAGGGAATGAATTCTTCTCTCGCCGGTTCGTTGGGCCTTCTTCCACCTCTACACGACGCGAACCCAGCGGGATAACGACGCGACTGTACTGTAAGGTCGCGTGATAACCGCTAGCCGACGCTCCAATCGCACGTCGCGTAATTCCCCCGCATCCTTGTCGTCGCCCTTGTCTCAATCACAGCCCTTCTGGTGTATTTGTTGACGAGCGACAGGACACGCAGCTTTGCGACGAACTCACGAGCTGACGCTTTGCATCGCGTCCAAGGAACCACCTAGCCTCCCGCCTGCGACCCCATCGAGCAGGACCCACAAATACTTCGAGCGGTCGGATGAAGAAACGCGGATCTTAGAGGGCAGAGACGGCGACGACGGCGTCAGCGTATCGGCCGAAGCGCCTGCCGCGCATTTCTTCGAGTGCCTGGATCTCGACCTTCCGAACATCCATCAATGTGTATGACCATGTCGTGAGCTGTGACGAGCTTGGAGCTGAATCTTTTGTTTTGGGCAGAAACGGACGTACGCATGGCTGTGGACGTGCTGTCAGTGTAAGTCTCCCTGCACCAGCTTCGCACCATCCTACTCTAACCCACTGCCTCCGCCTCTCGAGCGAGAGCAGACACCATCAACTCCAAAACTTGTCAGCCTGGTCTTGTTCTGACGTAAGTTGAGTCCCGTAGGCGGCACCGGCGGCTACGGCGTCTTCAAGAGCGACTGTGGACGTTGTGGTCATGTTCGTTGCAACGCCTGCAGTCTACGCAAGATCGCCGTCGGCTAGGGCAAAAAGCATCCGGCTTCCACTGATCATTGAAACACACAGAGGGAATCGCGCACCATGACGAAATGTTATGGGGTGCAACCGGCAAGGACTGTCTCACAACTGCAATTGGTAGGTTAGGAAGGTGACTGGTGACTTGCTCTCAATGTCGCCAGTCTCTCCCTCTCATTGACAAAGTTTTTTTTTTTTTTTTTTTATTTTAGACCGCACGTCATTCCAAGCTTTTGCTATACATTTGTTTCGGTTCAAAGGCATGAAGGAGTCTTCTAGGACAACTTGTTATTTGTTTTTCTTTCTTCCCAGTTATAGGCATGGGGTTGCTGTATCAACTATAGCGTTGCGTCATCGTAGGTGTCAAAAATTTGGGTTATGCTACTCTCCAGTCTGACTTTTTAGGACATCTTGGCATTCTAGGGCTCAGATTCGTCGCTTCGGCGGATACTCACCTGCTCTTCACGCGTATCTTACCAATTGACCCTTTTAACTTCTACTTCTCCTTTTCTCCTTTTTCTCCTTATTCTTCTTCCTCGGACACGCACGATCTTTTGGCCATGCATGCAACTGACGTTCACTGTAGTCTCAGTGCTGTCATTGTACCTGGACAATACCTCTGGACCATGGATCACGGCGGGTGGAATGTTCTCCTTCGACGTTTCACATTTGCTACATGTCCACGGCGAGAGGAAGATGTCGAAGATAGAGCTTCGTACAAATTGTCGTTCACTTGGTCCTAGATGATCGCAGAGTATATATCCTGATCATTTCCCCAAAAAGCTGGCCCCTGAAGAATCTTGGCCTGGTGATTACAAAATTAATCATTTCAGTCCACGCGTACTCAATTCGTCGTCATTACCCCAAACTCCACAACCTCAAGGCAAAAAAGCATCAATCGTCATGTCATTGCTGTCGCAACAGTGGAGTCGACATAGTCACTGGCACATTTCGACGTCATTCAATCATCAAAACACACGTGCAATCGTGGACCGGTTTACAAAAAGACTCCGGAGTCTCGCACTCGATTCCTGATCAAGGTTAACATATTTGACTTATGCTATGGACCATCGTTCAGGCTTACCTTGACATCGCAAGTTGTCGGGTGCCGTTTGACAACACGATCCTCACTGCCTCCAAAAGCTGACGATCGGGAATGCTTTCCGCGGTTATTTCTTCGTCGTCTTCGAAAATATCAGAGAGCTGGTCCGTGATGGCGCTGAGATACGTGATCAAAATAGCCGGCTCGGACGCTCGGAATGAAGACCGAACGATGTTAGGATACAGAGCAGGCCACCTCAGCAAAGCAGCGTAGCCGTCGTCAAGTTTTTGTTCATTTTCCACGACTTCATCTGCAAGGCTGTCTGCCCTCGTTGGAACACCTGCCAGTCGAGCAATCCAATTAAGAAGGTGCAGTGCTGTGCCAGGTTGAGCCGACGTCAAGCGGTCAATCTCGAATTTCAGTTCAGAGCCTCGTTTGGCCGAACTTGCTTGTGCATACAACGCCGAAATGGTCAGGTACCGTGGTGTTGGGGTCTGCGCCAGAAGGGGCGCCAGCTCTCTCCCATTTGCCTCCAGCGACTTTGCCATTGCCTCCTCACATCTGTCTAGCACCTGAACCAGCGTGTCACCCGGCTCTGCAGGTTCCGGCAGATGAGAGTTCTCGTTGAACCAAACGTATTCGAGTTTTCCGGCTAGCTCACACATTTCAAGAAGCTCCAAGATTTTGGTCATGTTGTGGAAATGATCACGCTGGTGGTTCGAGACCACGTAGATCATTTTGTCGAAGTTGTACTGTCGATGTCGTTCGATAGCGGAAGCAAGATCGCGGAGCAGGTATGTACTGCTTCCGCAGCGGTCTCGTATTGCAACCGCACTATTCTTTCCACCTGACTTTGGCAGATTCACGACAATTGAACCCTGGGACTCCTGAGCCAAGCCTTTCTCCTTCAGCGTATTTTCTATCTCTTGCATTGTGTCTTGCTTAACCAGCGATTCGCCCAGGTACTCGTCGAACTGCACATTAAGGCGATCATAGATCTGAATGTAACTTTCAATGCACGACTCGCGAAATTTTCTGGCAAGCGCAGTGGCTGCTTCATCGCCGCTTTCAAGAAGGTTGACGTATGAGTTGCGCTGAGCAAAAATTCCGCTGGCTTCAATCTCTTCGCGAGCTTTCTCATCATCACGAACTTTCTTACTTGCGGCGAGCTCTGGCTCGAACAGCTTCGAAATTTGATTGTATACGTCACGCAGGTGCTCGACGGTGTTGGTTTCCAAGAGGTCTTTTGACCCGAAACGTTCAAAGCCAACTCCCAATAGGCCGATGGGTTTGCCCCAGTCACCAAGATAATTGACCTTAACGACCTCCCAGCCATGTGCTTGATACGCCTTTGCCAACTGGGCTCCAATAAGTGTGCTGCGGAAATGTTTTCCATTCAATTCGGTGACGATGTTGGGAGACGAAAACTCAATCACAACCTTGGCGTTGTTCACCTTTGAGGCGAGGGGAATTCCGTACAACTCATTGCGATCATGGATGAACTTGAGCAAAATTTGTGCCAGCGTCTTGGTGTGGTAAAACAATCTGAGCTGCTTGCCGTCTGAAGCAGGTTGCTGAAACAACGAGTTGCTCGGAAACTGAGGGCGTCTTCTTTAGCTCGGCTCAAGTAGCAACGGACAAGGCGTAACGTAATTACCTGCTTCAAGATACTCTCTCTCAGAGCCTCAGCCTCGGCTCCAACCTCGCGAGCTAATTTGGGTAGGACGATGCTAAGATCTCCAAAGATGGGATCGACGGTGGCAGGTAGCTGGATGGCGTGAAAGGCTTGCTCTGCGCTGCATTGAACGACGCTCTGCACTATTTCCGCCAGGTAGCAGCGCGTAAAGTCAAGAAAGTCGTTGAGAATGTCGGTATCGGGGAAGTTCGGTCCTGGGACCTTCAGCCCCGACTCTCCGAGTACTTGCGCAAGGCCTTCAAGAGAGGTCGTCGACATTTTTGCCCGATGTCACTTGCGCGGAATGGCTACTTGACGCCTTTCGTAAAAGTGTCGTAGAGAAAACGAGAGGATAATGGAAGTCCAAGGCTGAGGTGAACGGCGATGGGCGTCATGCAAGCCCTACATGCAGAAGATGTGTGGCTCCTGCATATTGGCTGGAGGTTTGCCAGCGCATCTCACCTATACAGCTCGGGCAGAACGATCTGCTCGCGCATGCGATCATAACCCAAAGATTCAAAACAAGGCAATCCAAGTACGCCCGGCTAATCTGTATGCACACCAGCCACAAACGAATGGCCTGCACGAGGTCGTACTCCTCATGACAGCAGCGAAAGCAAAAGAGGGGACAAAATTACAGGTTAACATCATCCAAAGCATGTATTCGCATAAGTAATGCTAAACTAAGCCGAAAAATAACTCGGCAAATGCTGGGTATCGTAAATGGTTCTGTTTCGACAGAGGTTATTGGTCATGAGATATTGACCGAAATCATGTCCTTCTCCTCTCCAATTCTGTTACGCATTCTCCGCTATATCGGGGTCTGGTCGTGCCCAGGTCCTCCCTTGTATGTCTTGAACGTAGCGCTGGATACTTTTGCATGATGCCACAAGTCCAGCCCCAATGGCTCGAGTGACGTACCCACACCACTTCGAAACGTCGTTCATGACGGAAAGAAAGAATTGTAGGAAATAAAATGCGATAAATACGCCGAGAAAAACGACCACCAGGCTGACTTTGTGCAGTGAGACGGGGATCAAATTCTCGTTCATAGAACAGATCCCTATCCCGACCATGATAGGTGTGACAATATACACCGTCATCATCGTTGTTTGAGCGGTCTTCGCGCTCCGCTTTTCGGCTTCAAGCTTGAGCGTATGGTCCAGCTGTGCGAATGTTAATGACAGAATCTCTGTGACAAATGCGCAATCGCTCACCTTGTCTTTGTATCTATTGCACGATTGGAGATGTCCTTTTAGAGTACAGTGAATTTCCTTCAAGTCGTCGAGGCCATTCTCGATCCTCCGAATCCTTAAAGAAGTACGGTCTGCGTGAGCGAAGGACGGATCTGAGAAGAACTTTAGATTTCCATCCAGAGCCAAAAATTTCTCCAATTTCCCAACGAGGCCGGACAGCTCGACTTCCAAATTCATAAAGAGGTGTATCCATCTATGGGTCTGATCGTAGGCTTCTTCGACATTGTGGTGGAATCTTTGTCCCGATTCTCTGGATTGGGTGGAGATATTATTGATTCTTTGTTCCTGGAGGGTAGGTTAGAACTAATAAGGCCAAAAGGAATAAAACTGTGTTGTGACGCACGTGGACCGTGAACGGATCCTTGAACGGTTGGATGGCGTCCTTCCAGCGAAATACGCTCTCTTGGACAACGCAGTCCAGTATTCGTAAAGCGTATGGCCGAACGTCAAAAAAAGGTTTATTTGCATCCAATTTATTTTTAAAAACAATCTGATCTTCATGAATCAATCCATTGCTGGTTTCGTACGGGAAATCGTCCTCGTTTTTCTCTTCAATTCGTTCTCGGTCGTGGAGGACATCGAAAAACGCCCAAACGGTATAGTTTTCAAATCCTTTGCCGCATATTTCGATCGTTTTCCTTGCTGTATATATACCGGAGATGGGATTTCTTTTGGAAGCACGCCGCTGTTTATTGGCAAATGATGTGTCCTTCCAGTTATGCAGTTTTGAATGGTCAACCTTAAATGCCTCCGGCACCGTTACAGGAAAATTCATGTGCATCGAAATTCTGTACTCCGGATGCTCAGGCTGAAAACCGCATTAGAATATCATGGAAGTGGCAGCATCTAGTGCAACGTACCTTGTGTTCAAGGCAAAGCTTGGTCCTAAACTCGAAGTGTGATTCAAAAGCATCCTTCAGGGGACAGGTGTGGTAATCTACGACAGTCTGGATCAATGAAGATAAGTAATACGCGTCAAGATCCTCGATATACCTTCCCAGGTTAAGCTCCGAACAAAAACGAACGACAACGGGCCTACTTACAAGAGTCGCCTTTGGACGTTTGAATCCTTTAGGTGTTCATACAAATCGCATGCTGATAGAGGGTTACAATACTTGCGACAACACTCTTGTTCCTTGGGCGAGATGTATCTGTCATCAAGCCAGGCCCTACGACTCACAACGGCTTTTGACGTAGGATTCGAACGATACTGAACTTCAGCCAGAACCGCTGGAAGGCACAGATCTTTGAGCTTTTGAGACAGGCTGAGAGGTACTTTGTCGTCCGAATTGTCCCCCAGAAAATGCTCGATCCCAACGCCCAAGACAGCCCCAAGATTTCTCTTTGTTTCCACGTCTGGCTCAGATCGTGGAGATGCAAGCGGCCTTCTATATATCGAGTCACGCACGTTATCAAGGTGATTTGAGGCAGCACTTCTTATCGCACGGCCGCAGTTGTGACACCAAGTGCAACATGCTTCACATAGAATGGTGGGTGGGCTAATGACACAGGTTCCACATCCAGTTAATGAAATGTTTTCTGTTTCTTCCGGGGGTTGAGTAATAGTGGGAGCATCCGCTGAGCATGGGGCCACTAAGGTGTCTTCGGCAACCGCATCGGCGGCTGTCATTACCACGGTATCCCTATTAAGGCGCTATATAAGTGTCGATCTTCCAAGGTGAAATGGTCTCAGAACGCAAGCGCAAGTCGAGACCAGGCACGCGATGTGAGAAGGTACCGTACTAGCGTCCATCGACCCAAGCTCACAAGCTCATGAATGACAGTGATAGCGAAAAGAAAAGAGATCTGGTGAATCGTAAACATAGGAGCCCAAGCAAACACTGATATGTAGCTTGGGAAGCTGGGGCAACAATGCTTGGCCGCTAGCACGGCGATAAGCGGTCTAGTGAAACGGAGCCTTACAGCAGTAAAATTACCTGCTTTCACGTCTGTGTCACGGTCTAGTTGGCTCTGTTTATGTCGTGTCTACCATCTTCCTGCCTCATGTTCTGGTGAAACGCATGCCACGTTTTGGAATGCTACTGGAGATTCGGTGAGCGAGCTCTAGGCTCAGGGCGCAACTTACGTGTCCTAGAGATCTTGATCTGAGGCAACGAGCAAAAGCAAGTGCTGGCGCTACAACGCCTGACCGAGCGTCAAGATCAGAAGTCCCTAGAGACCGGGTCGCAAAGTACGTCGAAGCATAGCCATGCTTGGAAGAGGAGCCATTTGTCGGCAACTACATAGGGCCGAATCTTGACTCGCAATCGCGGAGATCCCACGCCCTGCAGCGACACAAAGCGAGCGGCGATATGTTCACTTCGAGCAGCGTCGAAGCGGCTGGCCGTGCCACGAGTGGGTGGCCTCCCGAGTGCGTTGGCAGTATTTGTGTGGGGCTAGCCTTACAAAGCTAGGAGGCGGTGTGGAGGTCGTGTCTATAGGACAAAGGAATTGGCAAGCGATCGCCAAGTTGATTTGGTCATTCGGCTTCAAAAACGAGGTCGACTCTGGGCGTCTCTTACGAACGAATTAACCACTGTTCTCTCCATGACGAACCTGCTCTTGAGAAGAACGTGACTAGTTTGGGCAGTCATGCAAGAGCAAGGTATAGATGTCGGCAGTGCATCATGTGTGCATGGGAGTTGAGGGATCTAGGGCAGCAAAAGATCACGAGGATGAGCATGTGGTCGTTGGATTCACGACGACGGGACCGCAGGACGTCAGGACGCTGGACTATATAGCAGCCGTCAGGCCGTCATGTGACTTTGCCTCTTTGTCACATCCACGGAGAATGTAAGTGCTTGAGTGTACAAGTGGGTGATGTTTATCGACCAGGATTCCGACATAATCACAGCGGGGTACAGTCAAATCTGCCTGTTGGATCACACGGGTAGACAACCCGTCGCCACGACCTTGTCGTCTTCTTTCTTGTCTCGAAAACGACTGGCCAAAACGGGCTGGACTTGGCCAAAGCCAAAAAACCAACGCAAAGGCGTAGCTTGCCCGCTCAGCATTGATAAGTCAGACGTGCAGGGAAGACCCCCAAAAGTCTATGCAGAAACGTGTGACGAATAATTGAATTGGCTCCCATCCCGTATGCCAGCGCAACGAAGAGGGTAAAAAAATAGATAAGTTACAAGACTTCGCGTGGGGATTCTTTTGTCATGCTTAATCAAACAGATAGGATAGGAGATTGGGGTATATCCAGTTACCAGCCTCTTGTCGCGCTGCGCTATGCTGTGTTATAACAAACAAGTGAGCAAAGAAGATGCAAGACAACGAGGGAATGTAGAGTCGTAAAAAAATCCCCATAGGACTAAGAGAAACAACCAATGTATGACATGAGATTTTTCGTCGGTTTGTCTTTCTTTGTCTGTACCTCGTTGACACTCCAACTTTGCTGACTTATCAAAGGGGGATGAGAAACCACAATGCTCCCTTTGAACGTTCTTTGTGTATATGGATCTTCTCTCTTTCTTTCTCTTTCTTTCTCTCTTCTTCTTCTAGCACGCTGCCTTGGGTGGTCGACTGGGCGGTCTGCGGAGTACGCCCCGTGGGGGTGAGCCACCGGCCTCTCGCCATTCGATTAGCTCCTCTGTGACGTTGCTGTCAGTGTTCCATAAGAGATGAAAAGGGAGGGGCTGTGCGGTGTGTAGCCACCGCGGCCTGCATACTTCTTCTCGCTTCGAACAAAGCCTTGTCTTCGACTGTGGGATTCGGGCTGGTATGGAAGCTCAGGTAGCCCACATCGACCTTCTTCAGCGACTTGGGCACCGGATGCAGAAACCGGGCGTGAACCGATCGCGAGACCGGGTATCTGAACAGATACCGTATTTCCACCTGCCGAACCGCCCGTCAGTCCTCTTTGTGTTCCCCTTTCTGCGTGCTATCCAAGATGACCACAGTAACGTACCAGTCGTGCGTACAGCTGGCTCCACCGCTCGCTTGTCGGGTCGATGACTCCGTCCTCGCGCCGGATGTCCTCCTTCGCTACCCAGCCGTGCTGTATGGCCTCCGTCGAGATCTCCTTCCACAGCGCCGCGCGCCAGGCTTCAAAGTCATGCGAGCACAGGATCTTGGCGAGTTTGACGTCCATGGTTGTGCGTTTCGGCTGGCAAGAGGAGAGATAGACGCAAGCACCCGTCCCCAACGACCCTGACTGGAAGGATTTTGTTTTTTTTTTCTCTCTTCGTTTGCCTGCCCGTCTCCGAATATACGATATAAAGCGAATGAATGATGACAATGGTGTCTCGTGGCGAAAAAGGTCGATTGCTGTCTGCCTACGGGACGAGCCGGTGCGTGTCGCTTCGCTGTCACAGGCGCAGATCTGCTTTGTGGCGTGCACAGAGGACAGTCGCCAGACGCGCAGCGTGGGCGGACCAGGTCGTAGAGAAGGAGATGGATCGATGGGGCAAAAAGGAGCAAGAATTAGTTACACACAGCAAAGAAGAGAAAGGAGGAACGCTCCGTTTGAGATGATTGCACGCGATGATGGATCGAAAGTGAGCGATTTGGCCGCCGAGAGGCGCTGGAGGCGCTTGACGTCGTGCCCTGTCACAGCCGGGGGTTTCGTTCCCCCACGCCCTGGCGTCACGGCCCCAAGGCTGAACATGGAGTTGCAGGTTATAAAAATGCGAATGAATCGTGTCGCGATGCTGACCACCTCGTCACACTCAGAAAGGCGCTGAGCATGAAGTCAAGCTGCAATTATGAAGGAGAAGCGACTCGGGCTTCTCATCCTCTTAGAAGTCGTCTGGAGACTTATGAACGGTATACTTACGATGTAGAAGAGTGGCGATTATTCGCGCTGAGATACTATCTCAGGAGACTAAGTGTACGGTGAATAAATAACGCATATTAACTTTTTGAAGGGGAAAACAGAGAATGCAGTTATTATAAAGCGCCGTAATGACAGAGCAAATTCATGGCAAAATAGGACATATGTCTGCAATTACTAGCTCTAATAGGCTCTGGAGTGTTATCTATGCTAAAGGAGGCCATTTATAAAGAAACGCATTTTAAGTTATCGGCAACTGTTTTTTACCTTTAATGCTGCCACAAACTATAGCCCTAAATGTGGCAAAACAAACATCAGTTCTTAAGGATAGCGGATCGTGTCTACTAGCTTCTCCCTAATCTGGAAAAACCTGATCGGTTGAGACGAACCCTAACGAAGGGACATTAAAAAAAAAGTGTTGCGTTGGCGCAGTAGAAAAACGAAGAGGATGCATTCGTCTGTATAGAGCTACACAGGCCGGAGAGGAACACTCAGGTCAGCTCCTCAAAGTCCGTCGGCAAGGTCCGTCCCTCTATCCAAGCGACGACGCCGTTCGCAAACAGGTCGGGATATTGGATGTCCCATGCGTGAATGGCCTTTCTGACCACAAACGCCTTACTTTCCTCGCAGCGCTGACGGATGATCCTCGCCATTGCCCGCGCGTTTTCGAAGTCGTCGTGCTTGCCGCCTGAAAAGAGAGCGACCCTGGTGCGCTCGATCTCTCTGAGGTCGTCGAGCTGCACGTCCAGGAGACAGCCAAGGCCGCTCACCGTCAGCTCGTAGCTGAAGTTCTGCTTGATCTCGGCGCGCAGTTCGTCGTGCCTCGGGATGCCTGAAGCGTTGTACCTATCAGCCTTGACACGTGTTCATGCTACGAGATCGCGACGAAGCGACCAGAGAGACACGGACCGGAAAGACGACACAGCCACCAATAAAACCAGTCCGGGCCCTTCATGATGGGCCAGTTCATGTAGTACACCATGGTGGACCGCTCGGTGAACCACCTCGACCATCCTCGCAGAGGCGTTGCACCAGACACGACGATCGACTTCGCGCCGCCAGGGTAACGGCGTGCAAAGCTAAGGGTGACAAATCCTCCCAGCGACAAGCCGACGATATGGACCTTGCCAAGGAGATCCTTTTCGGTCACAATCCTGTGTATGGCTTCAACGGCATTGTCGAGGCTCCAGGGAACGTGCTTGGAGTGAGTGTGGCCAGGCAGGTCGACTACGATGAGATGATAGTCCGGCACGAAGGACGTGACGGCGTCCCACTCCTTGCTGGAAGAAAAGAGGCCATGGATGAATATGATGGTGCCCTTTGCGTTTTGGGGCTCGATCTCCTTATACCATAGAGGCTTGATCGCCGGGGCACCTCCGGCAGCGGACATGGCTGCATGAGGTTGCTTCTCAATCTGCAACAGAGATAAAAATTCAATCACATGGCTGAGACTCTCCTCTGTCCGGAGGTCGACATGAGGGACAGAAGACCTCGAAAGACTGAGCCGAGGAGGAGCATCACGTGGCACGTGACTAACACGTCAACCTTGAAGTGTAATAACGTAGGCACCAAGGACGAGCGCAAGACATATTTCACTCATCCGCAAAGGCGTTCAGCAAAAGCCAGGGCGCGCGGCCATGGAGGGCAAGCCTCGTCCCGTTGCAAGATGTGTTGATTTCTAAGCGAGTGTGCATGCTGGGTCGTTTGCGACATTTACTGAATCCCACAATGTACTTCAGAAGTGCGCAGGGCGCGATGCGATTCTGTGCTATAGCCCTTTGGTCAATACCGTTGGCGGTTTGACCGGAAAACAGGGCTGAGGACACAGTTACAGCGCCAAGCATGGCAGGAAAAATGCGGAGTTCGGTGCTCGGACCAGTTGCACTCGTTTGCACAGCCGGTTGAGGGCGTTATTCAGATGGCAGATGGCAGATGACTGTCCGGCCTAGCAGGAGATGTAGCACGAGCTGCAGCACCGACGTCGAGGAGCGAGGATTTCAGAAACCCATCTGGGGATCGTGTCTGCGGCTCGAAGACTTAGTTTGGTGCTGGCTTATCCGGAAGACAACGATGTCTCCGGACAGAGCGGACTTTGTGAGACGGGCTCCGACAGGCAGAGTCACTACTACCGTTCCGTACAAACTACACTACTTGCGCACTCCCAATGAATGTTGGTAATTTGCCGGCAACGAAGGACCGGCTCAAGGCTGAGGAAGCGTCTGCTACCGCGACCACGGCCAGTGCTTCGCCAAAGCCTCAGTCACAAATCCCACCTAAGGTCGCACGGATGAATTGAAGACGATAACATGCACGACGAAATGTGCTTCGCCTCAGCTGGCTGGGAAGGCAAGTCGGGAATGTGTTCTGGCGCTCTTGTTCATCCAAGGGCGCAGGTTTTGGACGCTCATCCCAGTCCCGGAAATCGTATTGGGTGGGGGGGAGGAGGAGCAATAGTAAGCAGCGATGCAGCAAGCCTGAACGCTAGACCAAATGGGCTTTGGTGAAGCGGCGCGTGCTTCGAACGGCGCAGGGCTTGAGGAGGCGAACAGGCAGGCAGGATGAGCGTGCAGGTGGGCGATCAGGAATGAGAGAGCTGTGTGTCTGTGCGGCGTGGAAATGGTACTCAGCGATAGCAGGAGGAATGCTGCAGGAAGTTAGCACAGCTGCCGTCCACGGAGTACAGTCTGTGGAAGTGAAGGGCAACGGTGCAGTGCCGAGAGTTAGGCGAGGCGTACAATCGCAACCGTAGCACAACGCATGTAGGGGCAAATCCAGCCACATGCGCCCGTCGCTGTGCGGTGTCGACGACAGCAACAGTCGGAGCAGTGGCCGACGAGCAGTCGCGTGATGGGCTGAAGGGTGAGTTGTTCGTTGTGATGGCGCGTTTGCGTCGTTGTACTTGTGGTTGCGGTCGAGGCTCCGCTCTGTGCGGTTTGTCCAAAGCAGAAGGCGCGACCCAGCAGGCGCCGTCGTGATCAGGTAAGCACACGGTGTCTTGTTTCAAACCGTCGTGGCTTCCCGTAGCAGCATTTTTGCTTCCGCCAGAGCCCCCCACCCCTGTCGTGGACGACCAATCGCAGGCCGCAAACACGCCAGCGACCGGGCCCTTCGTCACGCTAAGCCAAAAACAATCGGTGAGTCACTTCCTTCCCACTGTGGGCAAGAGCCTGCCTGGCGCGTCCTTCAAAAAGTCGCTCGTTCCCACTCGCGCTTCTGCCTTTTTTCCTTACTTTCCTCACCATACTGACAACACCACTTAGCCAGCACGTCGAGTCTCCCCCCGTCATGGCTGCTTTCTAAACGCTTCCTCTTCGCCCTCCATTTTGTCCTCACCAGGCAAAATAGATCCCTTAAGCAACCCGCTTCAACCACCATCTCCACTCTTCTATCCTTCAGAGCCTCCTCGGTCTCTGAACTCAAGCATCGCCTCCGAGCGTAACTTAAGTTCGCCTACAACGTTCGACCCACCGGTCAACACGGCTTCTCAAACTTCTTCAACATGGCTCCCCTCACCAAGAACCCCATCGGCTCAGCCGCAGCATTCATCAAGCGAGAACCAGAACCTGCTCCAAGGAGACTTCGTTCTCTACGACCAGCAGTCCCAACCGCAACATCGACCGGCTCCCGCTCGGCCGCTGTCTGGTCTAGTGTTTAACGCATCAACCGCCACTCATCTCTACTCGAACTCTGCACCGTCATCTACCGTTAGTTTTCCTCGTCCACAGAGCACTCGTCCGCCTGTTCCGCCGTTTTATAGCACGGGAAACGTCCGCGCCTCGCAACGACCTGTCCGGAACACGATGACTGGTAATGCGCCCTTCACACACTCTTCTGCATGCCCTACCATGTTGCTCACACGCAGAACAGATTTTGCAGCCTCGTTTGACGGCCTAGACGCCGATTTCGGCGCGGCTTTCGATACTTCTGGCGATTTCGGTTGGGACGCCGGCACAAGCTTTACTGCTGTGAACAACAGCAATGGAACTGCAAGCGCTTCCACCGTCTCGCCAAAGGATCTGTTCAACGATTTCCTCGGTTCGGCGCCGCCTTCAACTGCATTCACAAACCTGACATCGCCGGATATCAATGCATCCCCCTACATGGCAAGCAGCAACGATGTATCGCCGATGTTCGCCAATACCGACGATATCGGCACTGATACCTCGTCCTGGTTCCCTCTGTTCCCAGAGATGTCAGCTGATTCGGCTCCCAAGTCAGCTGGTAATGCACCGGCAATGCAGCGCAATGACAGTAATGCTACCGAGGGCTCGTCAGGCGACTCTCCTCTGATTTTGGACGAGCACAACTTCCGCCGCAAGCCTAGCAATGCGAATGGTACCTCTCCAGGTCACGGACGGCACTCGAGTATCTCCGGCGTCAAGCCACGCCGAAGAAAGGCTCCTTTGCCGCCCATCGCTGTCGACAGTAATGACAAGGTTGCCCTGAAGCGAGCACGCAATACCTTGGCTGCTCGAGAGAGCAGGCAGCGAAAGCTTGACCACTTGAACAGCCTTGAAGCTCGAATCAAAGAGCTTGAAGAGCGTGAGGTTCAGTTCAAAGCGGTCTTGGCTGCGCATGGCTACAACGGACCGCTTCTGCAGATGTAAACTGGTCATCCCCACATTCGGCTGTTTTTTTGCACCAACACGCTACTGGTTGATCCTCTCACTTCAAATGCACGGTTGAACGGGATGGTGAGGGGTTGCCGAGCCTCAGCGCAGGCTCCCCTCCGTCGACTCGTGAGGCTTGTCCGTCCTCACACCACAAGTTTTGTTTCCTTTATTATGCGAACGGGTTTGTTTCGGGTCTTTCGACCGTAGCAACTCGATTCCTTTGAGATAAATTGTTTGATTTAGGAAGGCTGCACCGGTTCTGATGTCCAGCGCTTGAAGCGTGGTTGACTCGTGGTCAGTCATCCGTACTTGATCTTTTCTGGCCTACATCTGCAATCTTTTGAGAAATTTCATCTCCATTCTTATCCTTCTAGCAATGGCCTGAATTGCGGCTCGGAACAGTTGTAAGAGGGAGGGCAGGACTGTCTTAGGGAGAAGGAAGGGGCAAGACTGAATGCTTTGAAAGGAGATGATTACCACTGTTTTATGATTGAGTTCATCAATGCCTCCGCCACGCCAAAGCTTAGTAGCTTTCGTGGTGTTGAGTTGCGACTTCGTCAAATGAATATAGATTGATTTGCTTTGATACCTTTCTCGTGTCTTCTTCATTTCAATCTTTCAGCATTAGCCAAGCTCTTTATTGCAATGCATCTGAGTGTGATCTTCACAAGAGCGATGTGGAACAAATCGCAACGTGAAGGATTTGGTAGTGACATAATTTTGGGATTGCTTGGTCATTTACTTGGACAAGTCAATGTACTTCGACTAGTCCACGACATCTGCAATAGGAATTATAGGAGCCACAGATCGTGGTTTATAAGTCAGGAAAGATGTACGAATTGATGAACGCAGAACAAAAAATAGCTTCAAAGGCAGGTCACAGGAGAAAGAGAACAAGACTGTGCACGGCAAGAAGATGTTTTCGCATCCCCTCTTATATGCCAAGAGTGGTGGCAACACTTCAGGCAGATGAAGTGAACCGCGGATCGCCAGCCTGTATGCGATGATTCCCAATCGTGACAGGATGAGGTGACTCTCGTGTTTCCTGTCTTCTTTCGTCGTCCTTCTCTTCATTCGCCTGCCTCGTTTGACTCAAAACACGTGAGTCTGTGGATTCCCGTCCGTCCAACCGTCGTGCGAGCGTTTGCGTGTCGTGTTGTGACTCGACGGCGTCTTTCTCATGGACCCACGATTGGGCATCATGGTCTCTTCTGCTTTTCGAAAATCCCTCCCGCTTCCACAGTCCTCGGAGACCTGTCGGGAAGGGAAGGACGGGGATCCCTTCAATCCCTTTGTTCCGCGGCCTCGTCATCGTCCGTGAATCATCTTGCTGACGCAAATTGGACAGCGTTCTTGTGCGGGCCTGACGACTGTCTACGCTAAAAAATCGATGCTGGATCCTGAGCCATTGGGCGCCATGTAACAAGAGGACTACCTAAAATTCTGGGTGTTAACGTGTTACTGGTAACGAAACGACATGTGTGGCTGTCAAGGCCGTTATGATTGAAATGTCCATAATTTTTTTTTCTCATTTTGCAGGCCTTCTGACTCTATGTACACGCCATTCTCACCTCAGAGAAAAGGAATGAAATAGAAGAGCTACTTCGCTATAATTGTTGTGTAGAACATGAGGCTCTGAATGCTAACTCTAGATCGAACGACAAAAAAAAAGGGTAAAAAGAAAAACTCAACACCACACCCTGCAGCTGCCGTCCGCTCCAGCACTGACACACCAAGGATGCTTCGGGTGCCAATCCAGGCCCAATACGCCAAGCTGTCCATTCACCTTGTGTCCCTTCAACACCTTCAGCGGCACGATAGTTGCATTCTCCATCAGATCAGCGACAACCTTGCCATGGAAGACCTGCACTGTTCCGTCATCGCTGGCATCGGCAAACAGTGGGAACCCTCCCTGGTGGAACTTGACGCTGCGAATGGCCTTTTCGTGGTAGCGTAGGGTCTTGTACGGCTTGGTCGACAGGTCCATGTCGTGCCAAAGCAGGCGCTTGTCGTAGGATCCAGCGATGAGGTTGTCGCCGCCTGGGTGGACGTCTATGCTCGACAGCCATCGAGCACCAGGCTGCAGGATCTTAACGAGCTGCTGTCTGCTGAGATCATAAACGCGGATGGTCCGCTGGGTGGCAACGAAGAAGATGGGCTTTGAAGGGTGGAACTGAGCCGTTTGTGGCAGGCCCTTGAGTTTCCGGAAGGGAAGTTGCGTGAGGTGCTTGGAAAGGGTGTGGATCGCAACGGCGTGCGATGCGCCCTTGGGTGCAACTGTTGCGAAGTAGTCGCCGCGGCGGTGCCACGTTATCACCTTGATCGGTGCCCGCAGAGTCGCCTGAAGAAGAACGCCGTCGTCCACGAGGTCTGCTGATGGCCGTGCCCAGCGTGCGGCTGGTTCTTTGTGGATGTTGGTCTCTGTGGAAGGCTTGTTCGCCGAATACCCGAAGCCGGAGTCTATGATCTCTCGGCTGGTAACCTCGACTTCAGGGTTCACCGTGTGGACTGAGTAAGGAAGGATGAAGAACAGATGCTCAGCTGCTGCAGCGGCAAGGATCACCGCTTCGGTGCCTGGTCGCCAACTGACGACATCAACGGCGTCTTCGCTCGACAGGCGCTTGCTCCAGACTTGACGTCCTGTCAAAATCTCCCAAATGCGAACGTGGCCGTCGTCGCCGCCGCTTGCAACCAGCGTGCCGCTCGGGTCAACAGAGATAGATCGCACTCGGCTTTCATGCTCTTTGAACAGATCGGCGCACACCGTCGGGAACGGCCGGAGCTCATCTGGGCTTGGAAGTTTGGGCAGCAGAGATTCGGGATCGATGTTGAGCTTGCTTCTCCGCACGCGTGGAGCGAGGTATAGATCCAAGCATCGTTCGAAAACGAGCTTGACGTTGTCGTAGCCGGGAACCTTTCGAAGAGCGCCAAAGTCCTGCGGGAGGTAGTCCCTGTCTCGATCCTCTGGATCTGTTGCTTCCCATGCTTTTCTTTCCTCTTCGTCGGGCAGATACTCAGGCGGCGGGTGGTAGCTTTCTTCATAGCCAGGAGGAGGCAGCTTGGGCGCAGGTATTCTCATAATGTGATCTGGTCGTGGGGCTTCGTCGGCCCAGATGTCGTAGTTGATTACTTTGTCGTCCTCGTCCTCTTGCTCCTCGGGCGGCCTGTAAGGCTTGATTCGTCCTTCCTTGATCGCCTTCACAATCTTCATGACTCGTTTCGCCTCGTGTTTCGATGGCACGAACCTTCGCTTTGGCTCCGGGGCTGCGCTCAGCGGCATGATTTCCGTCTTGCTGGTGAAGTATTCAATCATCTCCGGGTAAGGGTCGTAACCTTCTTCGGGGATCTCATTTCGCGTGATCTTCTTGAGCACCTCCAGCTCCTCCTGACTCAACTCCAGCGGCTTGCCTGTCGATGGATCCGTAAGTCCCGTCCATCCCTGCGGTATCTCGATGCTGTCGAGTAAAGCGTCGAGGGCCTGACCAGTGGCTGGTCGCATGATCTTCTTGCCGTCTATGTCGTATCCAATATGTGGATAAGCATCATAAAACGACAGAGGAATGTTTCCAATCGTGTTTTTCGGAGCATGGGCATCTGAGTCGTCCGAATCATACACTGGATCAATTTCCTTGTAGATGTATCGCGTGTTCCCGTTCGCGTCTGTGGTGACTGTGTAGTTTGGAACGTCATCCTCCATGTCTGGCACATTTTCCTCAGCCAGATCATCCTCTGATTTGCGTTCATCCTCAGATAGAGCATCGATCTCCTTCATGGCAACTTCGTCAAGGGACGCCTCGTTTGCGCCATGCTCTTGCACGTGAGCCTGACTTATGCCGTTGGCGTCGGATTGAAGCCCTGTAGAGGATGTTGAAGACCCGTTTTGCTGGGCGGAGACGCCATCCCCTCCTGCTTTACGTTTTCTGCTGTTCAATGGAGCCATCCTTGTGTTTGCGTTCTGTTTTCTCAGATGTCTTGCGAGGCTCGAACTTTTTTCGTGCCATGGGCAACTTTTTTCTGGGTCGCGGAGGACCAATCAGGCTGCGAACTGGCCGACTCGACGTCAAGGCAACTCCTCCCCACCAATTTCCTGTTCGCGACCTGCTACCAAACCACACGCCACGTCCATTCGCATTCGTTGATAAATTTCATTGCTGTCAGGCGAATTCACTGATTGCCTATGCTCACATGAAATAGTTTTGACTTGTTTGACGACGACTTAACAGATAGCAAGCAGTCTACATACCGACGGTGCACCTGTAAAACTCACTTGCTCCGCTAAGCCAGTCAAGCATGGCGCGCACAGATAGCCACTCACACCGCCATACAGGCAGTCGCTCGTACGATGATCGTCGCCGCGATGATGATAGATACTCAAGAGATTACCGTCGCGATCGCGACCGAGACCGAGATTGGTACGATGACCGCTCGCATCGGCCACGGTCACGCGAGCGACGACGTTCAAGGTCGCCTGGAATAGATCGCGACAGGCGACGTAGCAGAGATAGAGACAGAGATCGCGACCGAGATCGAGATAGAGACCGAGAAAGAGACAGAGATAGAGAGAGAGATAGAGATAGAGACTATCGCCGTCGTGAGCGCGACGATGATGACAGGCGACGGCGTGATCCTTCTCGCGATCGTGATAGACGCAGGAGTCCTCCACGAGAGCGGCAGTCGAGACCGGAATCAAGAGACTCACCTTCACAGAGCAGCCGCGCAACGCCCGCGGCAAGCAAGGAGGATGAGCAAGCAAAACGAAGAGCTAAGCTCGAGGCCTGGAAGGCCAAGCAGCTGGCAAAGAATGAAACCAAGGCTAAAGAGGCAGCTGCTAACGATCCTGCAAAGGCAATCATGGACGGCCTGCGTTCAACGTCTGAAACGCCCGCAGTAATCTCGCCCTCTATTTCAGCGGCTCCCAGCACGCCAGCCTCGCCAAAGCCACATGCAAAGTTTGATCCTAAAGCAGTCATCAAAAAGGCCACTCACGGCTCCTCGAACAAAGGCACTTTGGGACTTGACGTCTTGGTGCCCACTCCAGCCCAGAAGTCCGCAACTACATCAAATCTTCAAGGACGGTCTGCAGCTAACATCAATAAGGCAGCTCCTGCTTCATCGAAATCTCGTATGTCCTTTACCTCTGCTTACATTCGCAATGAGAGCGCTAACACTTTTGCAGTTACAAACGGCAGCGAAAATACTGGCAAAGTCAGCGGTTTTGGTCTGGCTGCAGGCCAAGGCAATGAGAACGCCTCCAAGATTGGCTTGGACCTAGAAGACGAGAAGGAGAAAACGAGGAAACTAGAGAAGCTAAACATTCCGCTCTCAGAGGATCAAGACGACGATGCTGCGCTTGCTAACGGGGAAGAAGACGAAGATGACGACACTCCCGATGCAGACGAAAATGACCACGAAGCTGCGCTGAAAGCTCTCGCGGCTCGCCGCGCAGCTGCAGAGGATGCAGAGCCCACAGTGGAACAGGACACGCCTATGGAGGATGTCCAAGCTGCGACCGCACAGCCTCAGCAAGAAGATCAGACCATGGTGGATGCAACACCACAGGCAGAGGAGGAAGAAGTAGATCCTTTGGATGCATTCATGGAGGGCCTGACTGCTGCACCAGCTGCCACACTTCCGACTTTCAGTTCTTTGCGAGGCCGGAGAAACGGCCCGGAAGCCATGTTTGCTGAAGAGAGCGCCTACGACGAAGTGTTTGGAGAAGTAGAAGACGATGTTCTCGCCGTGGCGCAGCGAAAGAAAGCAAAGAAAGAGCTCAAGAAGATTGACCATAGTAAGATCGACTACGAAGAATTCACAAAGAACTTTTACACGGAGTCAGAAGAAACTAAAGAGCTGACGGAGAAAGACGTTGCAAATCTCCGCTTCGAGATGGAACAAATCACTGTCCGAGGTAAGGACGTCCCTAAGCCTGTTGATCGATGGTCCGCAATGGGCCTGTCGGTGCAAGTCCAACAGGTCATTGCTTCTCTTGGCTACACAAAGCCTACTCCGATCCAGGCACAAGCCATTCCTACTATCATGTCGGGAAGAGACCTTATCGGTGTTGCCAAAACAGGCTCCGGAAAGACCATGGCCTTCTTACTCCCCATGTTCAGACACATCAAGGCCCAGCGACCTCTGAAAAAGACGAAGCTTGGTTCCGAAGGTCCGATTGCCGTGGTTCTAGCCCCTACTCGCGAATTGGCCGATCAAATTGGACGCGAATGCAAGCCTTTCGCGAAAGCACTTGGTCTCAACGTAGCTATTTGCTTTGGACAAGCGTCTCTCAAGGATAACATTGACAAGATCAAGATGGGCGTAGAAATTATTGTCGCCACTCCCGGCCGTCTTATTGATCTGGCCACGGTCAATTCAGGTTCGCTGTTGAGTTTTACGCGAGTGACGTACATGGTCCTTGATGAGGCTGATCGACTATGGGATATGGGGTTCGCTCCGCAGGTGAAGATGATCTTGAGCCAAATTCGTCCAGATCGGCAGTTCGTCATGTTCAGCGCGACTTTCCCGAATAATTTGGAGATTCTGGCCAAGGAGATGTTGAAGGAAAAGCCAGTTCAAATCACAATTGGCGGTCGTGCAACTGTTGCCAAAGAGATTGAGTTGCAGGTCGACGTGTTGGAGCGCTCTGAACGTCTCCGGAAACTTCTCGAGATCCTTGGAAACAAGTATGCCGACGCGGATTGGAGTCCCTTAAACCGAGACGTATGGGAGGATCAGACGTTGATATTTGTCGAGCGTCAAGAAGCTGCAACAGAGTTGTTAGGAGCCCTCATGAAGCGAGGCTTTACCAAGATCTCCTATATCCACGGCTCACGTGAGCAAGATGAGCGTGTGGCTGCTATCACGGACTTCAAGAACGGTTACTATCCGATTTTGATTGCAACATCCGTTGCTGCACGTGGCTTGGATGTCAAGAACCTGAAGCTTGTCATCAATTACGACGTTCCAAGACATCTTGAAGACTTTGTCCACCGCGCAGGACGGACGGGGCGCGCGGGCAACACGGGGACATGCATAACGTTCTTGACAAAAGAAGATCTACCTTACGCTGCCGATGTAATGAAGGCTTTGAAGTATTCAGGTCGCGAAGTTCCTCCAGTGGTCGAGGAGATGGCGAACACATACAAGAAGAAGATCAAAGCAGGCGAAGTCAAACACACATCGAAAGGATTTGGAGGTCATGGCGTCGAAAAGTTCGACCAAGCTCGCGACTTGGAGCGGCAAGTGTTACGTCGGCAGGCCGGTTTGGATGAGAAGCGTCTGGATGACTACAGAGATCCTGATGAGGAAGGGCCGTCAGACGACATCTCAATCAAGGTGCAGGCTCGTGATGGAGACAAAAGCGCGGCCGACACTCCCAAAGATGCAGCGCCCTCACCTGGTGCGGCTGCGTCACCAGCTCCCGCACCCGCGCCGAAGGCAGCCGATCCCTACGCCAACTTGGATGAATACAACATCAAGGTGCACAAACGCGTGGTTGAGCCGCCGCCGACGCTGCCGCTCGATCCTCTGGCTCGTGCGCGTGCCAAAGCGATGGAGATCTCGGGTCGCAAAGGCGGTGTTGCTGCGGCACCAGGCGGCGCCGTGTCCGCAGGCCACAACCGTGACAACAAGGGCCCAGATGCCGGCGCCTTCCATGCCACGCTCGAAATCAACGATTACCCACAAAAGGCGCGTTGGGCGGTCACGAACCGCACCAACGTCAAGAACATTCTGGATCAGTACGGTGTTTCGATCACATCCAAGGGCGTGTTCTACAAGCTGGGCGAGGGCCCCAAGACGGATAGTGATCCACCGAAACTGTATCTACTGGTGGAAGGCGATACGGAGAACAGTGTCATGGGCGCGATGAGAGACCTGGTGAGGCTCTTGAAGGACGGCATCGTGCAGGATTTGGAGGCGAGTTCCAGGGCGCCAAAGGTGACTGGACGGTACAGTTTGATATGAGGAAGGGTCGTTGGGCATCACAAGCAAGGAGACACGATTGAGAAGGACAATGTGTAGGCTTCAGATACTACTCGAGGCATGAAAATGTCCAGGTCATGTAGAACACTGACAAGGTGCCGTCCGTCGTCATGCTCACCATCCAGCGTGGAGAAGAAGATAGCCATGCCTGACTGTGCGCAATGTGATGTCGTAGCGAAACCGGGCAGCTGAGCGATTGTGAGCCGTATTGACGCCAGTATGTGTGTCTCGTTGCGGGCGAGACCGGCTCGAAGAGCGCCGTGGTGGGGTGCCGTCCTGGCCGTTCAGACAATCAATCAGCGTCCAGAGACGATCAGACGGAAGAAGGCACACCCAGCACGGATGCATCGACCGACGTTCACGGCACATGAGGCTACAGCGGGAACGTTACAGGCGTGGAGGCGGGGGTGGAGAAAGCAACAAGCTTTGCGGAGCCTCGGCAAGATGTGGAGGGAAGCGGTGCGATGACCTCGTGGCGGCGCGAGGGCGGCGAGCTGCTGGAGTCAGTTAGACACATCGGCCTTGCAGCTCGAACATGGACGGCCATAATCCTTTCTTATCGATGATCTTCTCGTTGGGGAAAAGTGCCCACGGCGGACCACGGCGACCAGACTGCGCAACCATTACCGTATGAGGGGTCGGACGAAAGACTGGACTCGGTCTTTCTTCGCCCCGGTCGACGACGACACCTCTCCGCTCTTCTTCGTCCTGTCGTCACCGAATAGCCTACATCATGCAGGTCTGCCTGCCACTACTCCGCCTCAGCTCTCGCAGCTAGTTACCCGCTAATGGACAAGCTGCTTCCGGCGCCAACCAGGCGTTCGCTGTTCCTGCGAATAGAAGCATTCTTTGACTCCTACGCGATGGCCTGAGGGGCACAGGAATGGCGGACGCACCGCTTCGTGACGTCTTGCGTGCTTCTGATCGCTGCAACACCGCTCCGCACGGCGCGGAGGAATAGCAAAATACGGTGCTGCTAGCCTTTAGCTGTCGACTTTCTGCGCTCGGCACGCAGCTTCGTTCGCTTCGTACAAGTTCTCTCGCCCTCTCGAGCTCACCTCGTCCAGCTGCTCTCCGCTTGCTCTGCCCATGCCGTGACGTCCCGTACGTTCTATCTGGTGTGCCCTCCCTCGAGTCTCCAGGCGTGTGAACCTCTTCATCTGCAAACGATTGGTAAAGAGCTTTGGCCCCATCCAGTCTGCTTTGGCTTTGACAGCGTGAGAATATAAAAAGGACGCACGCACGCAATGGAGTGGGCCAAGCTAGTAGCCTTGTGCCTGACATTAAAGCTGACAGCAGCCGCACCCTCGAAGCGCTGGAATCTGCCAACGGTCGACTTGGGATATGAAATTCACCAGGCGGCGGTGTACAATGAGGAGCTGAAGTTCTACAATTTCAGCAACATACCTTTCGCTGCGCCGCCCCTTGGCGAATTGCGCTTTGCCGCACCTCAGCCGCCGCTCAAGAGCACCAGCTCCGAGCCGAACACGGGAGCCGGTATCAAGATATGTCCCCAGGCGATCCCAGGCAACATTGAGATTGCGAGCGCGTTCGGCACAGACTACATCGTAGAGCTGTTCCGTGGAAACGGAACGGCCAACCCAGACCTGATTCCTATCAACACAACGGTGGCTCCGTTTTCGTACACGCCGAATCCGTTCGAGACCGAAGACTGTTTGTATCTCGATGTCGTCGTTCCGGAAGAGATCTTCAACGCCGGTCCTTCGGCGAAGGCGCCGGTGCTCGGTACGTTCTAGTTTTTTAATTTTTTTTTTCAATATCATTTTGCTTGGAGAACACGTGAAACACGCAGCGAACATAAACTAACTCGACGTAGTTCAGATCTATGGAGGTGGTTATGTTTTTGGTGACAAAGCAGGGCTTACCGGCACCACTGGTAGGCCTGAGGGACTGCTCGAACGAAGCGGCAACAAGATCATCTACGTGACCATGAACTACCGCCTTGGTGCTTTTGGCTGGTCAGCCGGACCAACGTTCCAGGCATCCGGGGGCACGGCGAATGTTGGTCTACTGGATCAGCGCGCTGCGATTGAGTGGGTTCAAAAGTACATCTCGAAGTTCGGAGGCGATCCCGAGATGATCACATTGATCGGTGAATCAGCTGGTGGCGGAAGCATCCAACATCAGATCACCGTACGTGCGCATGTTTGCTACAGATGCAGAATGCTTGTTAACTTTGGTGCAGGCTTACGGAGGCAACAAAGGCCCAAATCCATTCCAGCGAGCCATTCCGCAGTCACCAGGCTTCCTCCCGATAAGGTCCAACAACTATACTGAGCAAACTTTCCTGGACTTCCTTCGCTATGCCAATGTTTCCTCGTTGGAAGAACTGCGCGCCTTACCGACCGAGAGACTCCTTGCTGCGAACGCTCAGCAGATCTACAATACCAAGATCATCGGCACGTTCACTTATGGGCCTGTGGTCGACGGAGATTTCGTGCCAGACCTGCCTGGAAATCTGCTTGCGTATGGCTATTTTGACAAGAACGTCTCCATTCTTGCCGGGCACAATATGCGCGAGGGATACACGTTCACTTCGCCCTTCATGCAGAACGATTCCGCCGTCATTTCACAGCTGAAGTCCATATTCCCAGGCGCACCGCTAGACGTCCTTCTCTATGTTGTCACTGACCTCTACCCGGCCATCTATGACGGCTCGCAGCCGTACAGAAATTGGTTTGAACGTGCAGCCCTTATGACTACGGAATTTTCGTTCATCTGCAACGACTACTACATGACCTCCGCCGTTCCCAATCAATCGTACGGCTATCTCTTCAACATCTTCCCCGCACTTCACGGCGAGGATGTTCCGTACACTTACTATTACGGCTATCCGCCCAACGCCACAGACTTTTCAGAAGTCCAGAACGCAAACGCCGCGTACACTCTGCAGGACTGGGAGCTGAGCTTCGCAATGGGAGGTGCCCCCACCACGACGGTGCCAGGCTCGCCAAACCTGCCGTTGTATGCGAACAACAGCCAGATCGGCATGCTGAACGGCTTGCTGGGCTCCTTCCAAGCCACCCTTGGACCAGACAATGCAAACAACGACAGGTGCCGATGGTGGCAAAAGGCTCTGTACGCGTGATTGTCTGAAGCTGACCGTGTAGATACAATGATCTGATCCGCAAGAAAGACTATCTATATATAATGAAACTAAGCTTTAATATAATCGCCTCTTTGGAAGACCCGCCGCGATCTGCGTCACTTCCTCCGTTTTGCCATCAGCACTTGGTGCGAAGCCGTGCCCTGTTTTCAGCTAAACCGTGATTGGTCTTGAGATGCTCGTCGTTCCTCCACTCTCTCTCTCTCTCTCTCTTTCTTTCTTTTACATTCACATTCACGCTTAAGAGCTGCAAGATCCGTCTAGTATGCGCGCGCGGTCGGGGAGATCTTAGCACGCGTGATTAAGGTAGATAACTTTTTTTTAAGAGGAACAAAAAGAGGAAAAGAAAGATTTTTTTTTCTCAAGTCGAAGTGTTTGAGAAACGAGGCTGATCGATTTCGCGGTGTCGCCCTCTGGTATATATATATATATTTAACTCTTGCGCTAAAACTAAAACTGGTTATGGTGAGGATACTTCTCGAACGAAAAAAAAAAGATTTGATTTAAAAGCTACTGGTTGGGATAGCTTCTTAAACCACTGAGAGTGGGAGTTGAAGTCTAAAACGTGCGCCATGAATGGAAGACTCTGGTCAAAGTCTGCCGCCATCTTGGTCATCGTGTGTTCTTTTGTGTGGAATGACCAACAATGAGAAAAAACGCCGTTATTTTTTCTACTTGACGCGCTTCCAAATACCACCGCTCACCTCTTCATCGCTTCCCTCCTGCGCATCTTTTCTATCGTCCTCTTCAGCGCCGTTTTGATCTCCCCGTTCTTGAAGTCGTCAAGATTGTAATAGTTCGGTGCGATGTCCTATGGACCGACTCGTTAGCGCGCGCGTCCCGACGGAACCAACCACGGTCGGTAGAGAGAAGAGAAGAAAAAGAACAAACTCACCAGCAGCCACTCTGGCTTGACGTGCGTAACCGTTCGGATGTAGTTCTTCGTCGTGAGCACAAACTCGTTGTAAATGACCCATTCTGCGTCCACACCCAGCACCGTGCTCGGATGCAGCAGCACGCTTTGCTCGTCCTTGACCGTGGTGTACGTCTTGCCGCCGCTCTCCCTCTTGGCGACCTGCATGAAAAACCCAGCGACAAGGGCGCGCCGGATGTTCTCGTAGTATTTCTTGTCTTCAAAGGGCGTGCTCACGAGCTCGATTTCGCGGGACTCCATGATGCGCTTGAGCTGCAGGCGCACGTTATCTGCCTGCTGCAGGGCACGGTACGACAGGAAGTGATCGTAGCACCATTGTCTGGGATCCTTTTGGGCCTCGGGAGATTTGAAAGCGTGGTAGCAGTTGAGCATGGTGAGGTGGTCGCCGTCCGGATGTGCAAAAAGCTCTTTCATCTCATCCGCACGTTTGCGGGCGTTGGCTGGCCGCACGAAGATTTGTGGGACCGACAGGAGCGCCGTGATCGAAAGTATCTCGTTGGAACAGTAGAATTCGGGGCTTGAGATCAGCATGACTGCCAACGCTGGGTCGAGCGGGAACTCGGACGCCAAACGACCCAGTTCGGTCATATCTCCTTCGTCGTCGAGACACGCAAGGTAGTTCAACTCTTCCAAGGCCCGCATTAAAGTCTCCGGCGCTGGAGGGTCCATTAGATCAAAGTGCACAAGATCGTCGATGCCAAGTTTCTTGAGCTGAAGGACGGTCATAGACAAGTTAGAGCGCAAGATTTCTGGGTGTGTTTGTTCGATGAGCTCTTTCTTGAACGCTTGTTCCGTGTACAGTCGGAAGCATTTGCCAGGTCGAGTACGACCAGCACGACCAGCTCTCTGTGCAGCCGAAGCCTTCGATATGGGCGAGACGAGCAACGACTCGACACGGATGCGTGGATTGTATACCTTTTGCTTTGAGAAACCAGGGTCGACCACGTAGACTATGCCGTCGATAGTGAGCGAGGTCTCGGCAATGTTCGTCGAGACAATCACTTTTCGGCCTGGCCTACCCCCCTTTGTTCTCGGTGGTGGCGCTGGCTCGAATATCTTCTGCTGCTGCTGTGGAGGAAGTGTTCCGTAAAGCGGATAGACTTTCAGCGGTCCAGCGTCTGCCTCTCGGATCATCTCATCCGCCTCTAGGCTGATCTTCCGGCACGCATCCTCGATTTCCTCCTCGCCGGTTAAGAAAAGCAAAATATCGCCTTCCGGCTCCGTGGCATGTATTTGAAGCACAGTCCTCAGCGCTGCCTCGACATAGTCACGCTCTGGTTCCGTGGTGTAGAAAATCTCGACTGGGTGTGTTCGGCCTGGCACAGCGAGAAGCGGCGCAGGTTTTTCGTTGATAGCGAAGTACTTTTGGAACTTTTGAGCGTCAAGAGTGGCAGACATGATGACAATCTTCAGGTCTGGCCTTCTCACAGCGACCTCCTTCAAGAACGCCATGAGGATGTCCGTCGCGAGGGTGCGCTCATGCGCCTCGTCGAGGATCAAGCACGAGTATCGGGTCAGATTATGGTCCGTCATCGCCTCGCGCAGTAGCATACCATCCGTCATGTACTTCAGAATCGTCTTTGGCGACGTCTTGTCCTCAAAGCGGATGCTGTAACCGACTTCCTCGCCTAGCTCCACATCCAGCTCTTGTGAGACACGCTCGGCAACAGACATTGCTGCCACACGGCGCGGCTGTGTACACGCGATCATCTTGCCGTGGAGTTGGGGGAGATCATCGTACAGCACAAATTGCGGAATCTGGGTCGTCTTACCAGAACCAGTCTCACCGACAAAGACGAGGATCTGGGATTCTTGAAAGAGCTTGAGGAACTCGTTTCTACGAACAGGTCAATCATAAAATCACACGCTGCATATCCGATGGGATACGCTTGACGTACCTTTGCGCATGCACAGGCAGATTGCGCCTGGTTTCCAAAATGCTCAGATATCGCTTGCTAAACTTCTGGCCAGTGAACGGGTTGAAGGGGCCATCTTCGGCCGCTCTCGCCTGCTCGGCAGTTGTTCTATGTCTGGTGAAGCCAGCCAGAAGATCTTTCTTTGACTTTTTGCCCTCTTGACCGTTGGAGTAGCCATCCTGTTCGTCATTGTTCCAATGCGCGAGGTACGGATTCGCCTTAGGGTCCATGTCTGCACCGTCTGTCTTTTGCCGTTTTGCGCGACCGTTCTCTTCAGCGTCAGGCCGTCTGTCTGCCATGTCGCGGTGGGAAAGAGGACGGCGGTCAGAGACGCGGATGGTGGGTTGGTTAGCAGCGACACCGTCTTCGCTTTTTTTTTTCTTTCATGCGTCGCGGATCGAGAGACGGACTTTTTGGACCCTGAAGATCGGCCGGTCTCGTGGCTGGGGAAACTGCCGTATGCGGCCTCAGAGCAGCAAGACAGCACGTGAACCCACGACTTAAGTTCCTCAAGTAACCAAGTCAACAAGCGACTTTTCACTAGAACTCCTGCTTTTGTTCCACGAGCCGACGATATTGCGTATTTGCGTCCATTAACCGCAGTCGCCTACCGAGCCGTTTCGTCTTTGCGAGCTACTATCAACTCTCCTTTTCGGACGATGCGATTCATGCGCTGCATAGCTCGTCGTGGCTCTAAATCGTGAGCATGCTTAGATTGCCATCCGTTTAGCCCACTCTGTTCTGCTGTATGATCTGCCATCTGCTATCCTGGCGTAGACCTTGTTTCCTTCAGCTCTGGCTGCCTCTCGTTAGGCGTCTACTGCCATTTGTCGACATCATGTTCAGCTCATGCACTTGCAGCCAATCATACGACTGCGCTTGGCTTCATTATGTGTGGGAGCCGAACGACAATGCTTAGATATACGTGTATATCTACAGAGCGTCTCTGGACATTGCCGTCGGCTTACAAGACTTGTTGTGCTCAATCTTTCACAAAAGCCGATAGTGTGCTACCCACCTGCACCTTACGTACGGTAAAAAAGTCTTCCACTTTGCGCCACACATATAGCATCATGCAAGGGCAGAATACACAGTTTTATCCAGCATGCCATCTCCTTGGACTTCCAGGAGGTAATATCCACTTCCAGCAAATGGTTCATCTCTATCTTCTAATACATTCTTTCAGAGCTCCGTGGCCAGATTCTAGATTATGTCTTCCAAGGTGAAGACGATTATCCAAACAGCCGACTAAAACTGCCTTTGGTGTGTCGTACGTTCTATTTGGAAGCTTGTCAGCTCGCATGGAAACATGGGACACATACAGTCAGCGCTCCGGCTTCAACACTCCAAACTGACGTTGAACGTCTATCTGTCACACGGAGAAAGACCGTGACTGCCATAGCATATCCATCCCTCTGTCATTGGGCCAATTTATCATCTATCCTTTACAGTGCAGGGGTCTTACCTATCACAGAAACAGTGATCATAGACCGGATTCCAGACTGGGAGAAGCCCACACTGCTACGGGAGGACACCTGCTCGTTTGAAGATATATGGGCCTCTCGCAAAGAAATACCACACATTCCTATGCCCTGGGAACCAAGACCTCCACCCGACCCGCGGGCCGTGTTCAATAAAGCGCTTGCTAAAGCGGTATGGTCCAACCCGAAACTGAAACGTGTGCGTTTTGTCTCGTCACTCCTATCGGACACTGAGCTAGAGGGGCAGGCCTCTCTTCTCATTTACAACCTCGATGAGCATTTGAGTCGTCTTGCAGACGAAGAACATCTGTTGAGAGGACAGCCCCGTGGCTTGGGAAGGCCGAGGCTGATTATTTGCGGTTCGGTTGACAACGACGTGCATAGCTATATCAACCCGAAGATCGAAGATCAGGACGGAGAAGCGAGAAGATTCGATGAATTGTTAATCTGGCGGGAAGGACGTTGTATGCTCGTTGAGAGAAATAGTTCATAGGCTGCTGGGGTCCATGTAGACGGTTGTCTCAAACCGAAGATCAAGGCTTTTGTATTTTACACGCAGACCCAGCAATGCATCTTCAAATTTTAACGTGCTCCAGTAGCGAGCGCCGTTCATTCTGTAGTCTTGAGACTGCCCCACGTATATGAGCAAAGTGTATTTCTTGCAAGACCCTCTGGCCATCTTGGTCGAGTTACGTCGGTCTCCTGCGCATTAAGATCACTCATTAGGCTTGGGTAGTCGCTGCTCTTGTCCCGTGCAGCTCAACATCTCGATGGCATGCAGGGCTGACGCTCCACAGCCTTCCGCTCAATGGTTACAGTACTGTAAATCTACTAGGATCTTTCCCCCCTTTCTCTTATAAGCGTCGACACAAATAATGAGCCAAACGGCTCAATAATGTCTCAAGACATTGAGATTGGTAGTAGTAAAGCGGCAGCCGCTAGAATTATCTCCAAACCTTAAACTCAGATGGCCACAGCGGTTGGGCGGCCTCAATCCGGCGGCGTTGTTCCCTTCCCCACTGCGATTTTGCCGCTCGAGACCGCTTTCGTGCTTCAAACATTTCCGCGTTCAGAATTAAGCTGCACACGAGAGCTTCGGCCTTCTTTGATTGTCTCAGCGCTCGGCCAGTTGCGCCTAAGCTCTTCTTATTGTTGATTGTTTCGCTCCGCTCGGCATGCTGACTGGAGATGCTTCACATTAGCACTTGGAACTCGACTAGCTAAACCACCCGTTACTCTTGGTAGTGCATTTTTTTCACCAACCACACTCTGCCACTATGGAGAACAGTCCACCAGAGCAACCAACGCCGTGGTACATTGGCCAGCATGAATCTAGAAGAGATGCTCCAGTGACTGATGTGCTTCTCCAGCAGGCCCAAGCTGCTGGTGTACGTGGAAGGCCTTGTAGCTGTAAATTGTAGTTCGAACATTAATTGCTGTATAGTATGATATGGTCACCAGCCCCATTACGACCGCTCACTTCCAAACGAGTGTTCTCAACCTAATCTCGACATACTACCAAACCGTCGATGCGTCAACAAACCCTGAGGCGCTCCCTATTCCCCTCGTGCCCGCACTTAAACCCATCGACTCGCCCCTCACTCCCAATGACCCGATTTCCCAACTCATAATCACAACTGCAACGTGGATCGACCTAGCCTCATCGGATCCAGTGATAGCAAACTTATCTCAGCAAGTATTCAATTTGGAAGTGGCATATGCGGCCTTTTGCGGAGTTCAGCATGTTGTTGTCCAAGGGCCTAAGATAGGTGCCGGATCGCAGGTGACACAGTTTGCAAGAGCACTGCAGGAGGCCATCTCTATTGGACCTTATATTCAATTCCATGTTTTGATGCCAGCTGGGCTTGTCAAGCAAAAATGTGCAGAGGACCAGACGAGCCTTGCGTACCATGCACGGCCACAAAACAAGGCAGCGGCGGAGACAGTATCGGAGTGGTCCAGTTGGGAAACTTGGAATACCATTCGACGTTTTTGCAATTTCTCCGACCGAGTATCGCTTGGTATGCATTTCGCAACAACACATTTTATGTGCGTCTGCTTACTTGCATCATAGCGTTGAGCATCACAAAACAACTTCCACCAGCCTACGTGCTCTCTAGATGGGCGTCAGAGCCCTTAAGGTTGATATTCATACCCGAATCCTCTTTCGTCATCAACAACACAAAATATCAGCAGCCTGTGTTACCAAAGTCTCATAAAGCGTTGATCTACCGGTTCATGCGCCTGAGAAGTGCGCCCTGGATTCTACTTTGTGATGTGGGCGCAATACCCTCCCCAGATGCGCCAGCTTCGTATGGTACAGCGTCATCATCGAACTCAGGCAGTGAAATATGGCCATTGCCCTCAGAAACCAGCAAATCAAGTTCACCACATCCTGTCGTGGCCAACGATCCAACGCCGCATTTGAGCTATTTCAGGTGGCTTCAAAAGGAGCAGCAACCCAAGGCACCCATCGAGCGCTTCGGTGCGGGTTACCAGGACTATTTGCAAGCCCCTCTGCAGCCTCTGGCGGATAATCTTGAATCAATCACCTATGAGGTCTTCGAGAAGGATCCTATCAAGTATGAATGGTATGAGCGTGCAATAGCATATGCACTCATGGACTGGGCAACAGAAGCAAAACCTACATCGGGTAACAACGGTGCTGTTGTTATAGCCGTTGTTGGATCTGGACGAGGTCCACTTGTCACGCGTGCCTTAAGAGCTAGCCAGACTACTGGGGTCGAAGTCGAGGTTTGGGCAATTGAGAAAAACCCCAACGCCTATGTTCTTCTGCAACGACACAATGAGCTTGAGTGGAATGGTAGAGTCACTGTTGTGAAGACGGACATGCGCTCCTGGAAAGGCCCACAGCTGGCTGATGGCACATTTGGGACCGTTGACATCCTGGTTTCTGAGTTGCTGGGCTCCTTTGCTGATAACGAGCTGAGTCCTGAGTGTCTCGATGGCGTGCAGCATGTCCTAGCTCCTGAATACGGCATATCCATCCCAGCCTCTTACACTGCGCACATTACTCCAATTTACACACCAAGACTCTACTCGGAACTTTTCCACAAGAGCGTTGCAGATAAGGACGTTTTCGACCTTCCGTATGTTGTGATGCTCCACCAGCACGACTACCTTTCCATAGTCTCCTCTGATCAAAAGCCAACACTGTCTGCATTGGCGTCCCTCTCATCAACCACCATCTCTTCCACAATAGAATCAAACACGATACCCAACGTACAAACCTGCTGGGAGTTCAAACATCCTATTTCACCGACGATATTGGCGCAAGCTAACCTCCGTCGTGGAGGTTCCGCAGCAGGAGGCTATGGTGGTACTCATGGTGGAGACGGCGCAAATGAACACAACTCACGGTCATGCCACCTTTCCTTTCCTTGTGAACATAGAGGGACATGCCACGGTCTTGCAGGATATTTTGAGACCGTCTTATACACCTCATCAGATATTGACTCCCTTTCTGCAACCTCTGAGGATCCTGATGCAGGCTCGCCAGTGACCGTTGAATTGAGTACGAACCCGGTGACAATGGATAGAAAAAGCAGGGATATGATCAGCTGGTTCCCTATATACTTTCCGCTCAGGACTCCCATAAACTTCCCTGACGGCGCGGAACTTGATGTGAGTATGTGGAGGATGACGGATGATCGAAAAGTATGGTACGAGTGGTGTGTGGAAGCTTTCATCAGGTTACCCTCAGGAGAGCGCGTGAAAATTGGCGGAGGGGAGGTGCATAGTTCAAGGAAGAACGGGTGCTTAATGTGAACACATCCACACGGCACGAAATGGGATTGCAGCCCAAAGGGCAATGAAGACGCGAGAAGAATGAATGGATGATTTGGAGGTTTCATCATGGTGGTGCCGAGTGCGATTCTCGAAGACTTAGATCTTCTGGCTCAAAAGCCGATTTCTTGCGTATGGGTAGTCTCGTCACACATCTTCAACATGTGTTCGGAGAGAACTATATTTGAGATCGATCTTCTCAGTCTTGATCCTGGGAATGGAAAAGGGAACAAAAATCGGATTGAAACCTACCTGCTTCGTTTAAGTAGGTCTCAATGATCACAAAGTTCAGGGACGTATTTCCTACGCTCAATATAAAATCGTCTTGTCCAGTAGATTTCGTCAGCTACCTTCAAGTCGGTATACGTCCAGTGGTCAATTTTCGCTCCGCTCTTTATTCAAAAATAGCGAAATATATTATAAAATCTAAGAATACTAAGGATATGGAGTTAGAGGGAACCTGTACTTTAAAAGGTGATGGTAGGTACTTTTATAAGGGATATATAGCTATAAATCAGATAATATAAAGCGGATTATTTGAAATCCAGACTTTAGGGCAGCATTCAACATCCAGCTAGACGTTCCTGGGCTTGGAGGAGGAATGAGCTTGGGCTCCACGCACAAAATGTTCGGAATGGAATGCCATAAGGTAAGATTTCCCCCAGATAAGTGCTTGGAGGAGCTAATATTTCAGTTAATGCTATCTTATCGTGATGACAATATTAGAGGACTACTCTTATATACGCCCTGGCAGATAATATGGTGTATAAGGATAGAGGTTATTTATACCTTAAAGTCATTGCTGTGCGACTTTCTGTTAGAAATACTTTCCCAGTACCGACTAGCTTCACTAATGTAAGCCACTTCGGAAGGTTTAGCTTCCTAGAGCAAAGGAACAAGGTATAACCAGAGCTTATCACGGAAGGAATATAATAAGATAGTTATGTTTATGACTTAGAATAGTATGAGCTTCAAGAGTATAGGAATATATTCAAACTAACTACTAGATAAACTAGACAGTTGAATCACGAAGAAGTGTAATACCAGTAGAGACAGGATGTTTATATAGACCTCATTCTTGGTGTCCTTGTTGCCTTACTTATTATGATCATTTTGATCATTCTTGAGCAGGATGATCACTTTCACCAATCAGCGACACCCTGGCCATCAACCATTGGTTGATGCGCTCATTCTGCTCATTATTGAGCAGAATGATCACAATCATTCCCACGTGACTGTTCACGTGTTACCTCGTAACACTTTCCTTCAGTGTTGTATTGCGGGCTTACTTCCGGATTAGAATATTTTGCCAGAACATGTTCTTCCTCATGCCTGGTATATTGGGCAAGCTTTTGGTATCTGGATGGTCTATGAGCCTGGTGTATAATGTCTCTCGAATCAACCTAGAGATCATAGGTCTCATGCGCCGCTAAATATTGAGCTGAGTAATAGGAACCTGATACTGACCGATTGATTATCCAGCCAGCCTCTTAAGCAGACTACAATCGAGCTGATACCACTTTCCTCAGTCACTCTCAATTAAGAATAAGTCATAGTTCCTGATCTATGGTCTTAGTTGCTCGTGGCCTCCGATCAATATGAGATATACTGCATGCTGGACATAAACATGCCAAGCATATACGCTTCCAAAACCTCTGCAGCTTCCTCACACACAACCACCTTAGCGTTAATACTACGCAAGACTGAGGCATTCTTAGCCAGTCCAGTCATAGTGAGTCCAATAACATTGGTAGTACCTAGAACTCGGCAATCGACCTCTTCATGCATGAGGTGAATGGTCTTCTTCGAATCTTCAATGTCTTGAAGCGAATTAGTCATTTTATGGACCCGTTATCTCGTTCACCTAATGATTTAATAGCGTTAGTCGATCTTCAAGCGCGACATGATAGGTATTATGCTTCGCTACGGATAAGAGGGTTTCAAGCTTGGATAATATAAATGACTTCTTAGGCTCTACAGAGCTCTTTTCGCATTCAGCTAACCATAGGTTGAATGGCGCGAGTTTCGATCTCGTCTTGGACTCATTTCTTGCAGGAAAAGATGCTGTAGTGGTATAGTTTCCAATACCGACCATTAAAATCCCAAGGTTCTGACTCTCTCCCTTAGCTGCGAACTCTGCTCTTGGGCGTGGGCCAGGGATGACTGTTGTGGGGTTGGAGCCAGTTGGCAATTGATAGAGGGCGGCATCAATGCGTACCGACTTTCTCGCATTCTTCGTGGCCGCTTCCGCAATCTAGGGAGAGCTTGAACTCTTAATGGCGAGAAATCTATGAGGGCCAGCCTCATTCGCGGTTGCTGTATTTGCGTCGTTCGATGCTATGAGGTTAATCTCCTTTCTATCGCCGGTCTTGGCCTCGGAAGTGGCATGCGTTTGCTGCTTCGCCAGTACTTCTACCTCTTCTTCAAGACTACCTCCGGCAACCTCTAGCTTGTCCATGGCCGTTTTACCGGCCTCCAAGAGAGTCGACCTGCTTCTCGGCCGCGTTGGCTTGACCACACCTTGCGTCCCACGGCCCTGCTTAGCTTTCTTCGCAGCGTTTGAATCCTTTTGGCCGGCTAAGCGCTTCCCTTCAACTCTTGTCTTGGCTATCGTGGTTGTAGCAGGCACGAAGGAAGGTCTCAACTCAAGATGGCGTCGTTGGAAGATAGGGTTTGGTCGCTTTTAAGGGGACTAATAACATGGCGTTTTAGAAGCACTTCTGCGGTGACAACAAAGAATGCGGTAGGATATGGTAGTAGCAGAAGTCAGATGCGAAGGTGTATAAATATTGTCGTAGGCGGCAGAGTACTGATGATGAGAGGCCGAGATAACAGAGTGGAGATGGCATTGAAAGTGTCTGAAGATATTTTGATAGATGAGCACTACGCCTGCCCACAGCCTTCTGCTAGGATCTGAGGCGTGCTTGATAGTACACGATCAACCAATTGATCGTGACACATCAGCAAACAATGAGTAATAATGTTTGAACCTACTCATTTATGTGTGAGGCTGCTGTCAAAGCCACTCGGCATAGCAGGAAGTGGTGTAACGCATAAAGTCCCACTTAGGGATCTCCATTATCGCCTACATTTGCTGTGTATAATGTGGAGGCTTATTGATCAGCTGTTGAGCTACAGTATTGTCAGTACTTATTTAAGCAGGGCGTTGTGGTATAAAAGACAGGCGTCTAAGCTCTACTTAATGCACTGAGCAATTCTATATCCCCTCCATGAATCAGCCGATCACTGACGCTGTTTCCGTATTTCGAATGCCTACAGAGCTATCCTCGCCGCGAAGAAGCATCCGAGAAGGAGAGGTTCGCATTTACAGCCAGATTTTGTTCTATCCGTCACCGCTAACCCGAGTAAGCTTGACCCATGGACTGCGAACCATAACGCCGTAAGCGATATCGAGGGCACTGAGAGTTTGGTGTCCCTTTGTTTACAGTAGGGCGCGACGTCCATTGATGATACTGAAGAAGACCTGGAGGAGGTACATGCTCTGAAAGCTGGCAGCAGAAGTAGACGCAAGAACCAGCTCATTGTCGAGTTGACTGATTAATACTTAGGCAAAAAGAGGAAATGCGACGACGGCCATGCGAGCCAGGTCCGGCATAGTCTGTCAAAGCTGGAACGAGAAGAGGAATATGTTGGGAAGGTGATTTGTCAAACCATCCGAAAAACATCCTCGATGCTGAGTAAGGATAAAATAAATCCTGCTCTTGCTGATATCAACATATATATTAGGATACTGTCCAGACTTGCCAGGGCACTTGTAGCGTTGTAGAACAGGGAGTAAACAGAGTTATCTGAATGCCTAGACAGATCATTATATACTATGGTTGCCTATTTACACTGCTGTCCTTCAGCAAGCCGTTTCCTGGGCCTCTTCGGCGTGCCCCGGTCAGTGAAAGAGGTATTGGGGGTGGAGTCCCTTGCACCACTGCTAGTACTTTGCTGACTGTTTCCATATGATTGAGAATCAGGCTGGCTTGATCCCGAAAGATTATGGCCCTGAAGGTCTTCTGAAAGCCCGAAGCTCTTGGAAGGTTGTGCAACACTGAAATCCAGATCTACCGGGATTTGATCTATAGCCGAACATAGCCGTTTAAAGTGATTCGGCATCCATATGTCGTAGATATTCTTAGTGAACTTATATGCGGTCCATTTCTCCTTTCCATTTAGAGGTGTAAAGCTGAACTTATGGATTGATTAGATAGCGGTAGTACTTAGTGTCCTTCCCATTAATGACTGGGTAGTGTCCATAGATTCTCACCAATCTGTGGTTGTGCGAAATTGAGAAGGCGAGAATCTCTCGATGAAGCTTCATCTCACGACCAACAAGTCTAAAGAGCTCGACGGTAGCTCTTACCGCAAGTATTATGCTATAGGCATGCTGTCGGTCTGCAATATCGAGCGCTGCAGCACCGCACTTCACCTCACAAGTAAAGAACGGGAAGTACATATAGTACGTAGCCATGAGGTACGAATGATCGCTGGAGATGAAGTTACCAATAAATGAGGCAAGCTTGTTGAGCTGCTCGCTGGTAGATGCTTCCCGCTTGAATCCTACAGAGTAGTCAGGCTGCGGACGCATGCCTGTTAAAGGAAAGGAGTTGTTCCAGCCTTCGTTGACACTTTCGATCAAGAACTTTAGATGCTTGGCTCCGTATGATGTTAGGGCCTCCGCTGAAGGTACGATTAATCGACTAATGTCTTGAATAACCCTGGCTTCATTCCGATTCTGGATCTTTTGGATGGTTTGCTCAAAGAGGTCGTCGCGAAACAAAGACTGCTCGTGAACGGTTTGCTCCTTCTGGAGCAAAGAGCGGCAAAGTGTCTTATTTCCTTCGTCAACGTCAAGGTCGGATATGATTATAAAGCTTCCCTTCGTCGTAAGTAAAGTCTCATAACGTGGATCTTGGTAAGGAGCGCTCTTGACATCTCGTGGCTTTTGGTCGCTGGGTGTTGTTGAGCTCGGCGCGACAGAGCTTGTCGCGACAGAAGCTGGATCAACAGAGACCAGCGGAGATTTCCTCCGGCGAAGGGAGCCCGAGGACTTCTGCCTGGCAAGTAGATGACTTGTGTTTTTGTCACTCTGCTCAGTATATCCTTTGGGCCAATGTCCCGTCTTTGTCCAGTACAGTATGGGATCTGTTTGGCCGTCGACGCTGTCTGCCTCCTCTTGTTCAGTTGAGTGGTTAATAGCAGCTTTGTCAGGATTATGTCGTGCGTGTTTGCGAAAAGCACCTGTTACGCCGGATTCTGAGATATTCAGGCGTCACTTCCTGCCTTCGGATTGCTGGATAGGTAATGGCTGCTGGACAAGTGTTCGAGGCCGCTTAGATCGTCTGGGGTCCGCGGCTTGCTCGGCTTTGATTGCTCAAGATCTCTTTCGCGTCGCCGATTCCTGGGCAGAGGGCGTATTTATTTGATTGCAATTGCCAGTTTAAGGGTGTAAGATTCTTTGTAACCAATTCTCCTCCATGGCTTGTTCCTGTGTATCGTTAGATCTCTGATAACAACAGACACTATCACACGCTTACCTCTTGTCGCTTCTTATCCGTCCGAACTGTAGACTCTTTCTCAATCGCCAACGTCTTCGCAACACGGGAGGTTCGGGGACGGGTAAGACGTTCGCGGTCCTTACGATGCACTTTGTAGGGTCAGCACATGCTCTGCATAAGCAGCAGATAACGTGCATTTACATACCTTTGTTCTCTGAGGATGGCATAGGCAGCCTTTTGTTGGGCGGCTAGAGGCTTTGAACTAGCGGCCATGTCGTTTGAGTCGAGATATCGAGCGCTTATGTCTTGCCGCCGGGTTTTGTTGCGGAGTTATCTAGCACCAAAAGAGGTGCTTGACAAAACCCAACTACATCAACACCAAGCCACTGCGGAGCCATGACGCACGTGCTTCTATCCCTGTGTCGCATGTAGGTGCCTAGCTAAGCTGGGCCAGCAAAGGAATCGCTATTGCACGAATCGTTTATCTTCTCTTCAGTGGGAATATATATCCTAGAAGACGAACGATCCGCAAACCTGCTCCCTCGCACCAATGTGGGCATATGTGGCGTCGTTAACGTCATTGAAACTTCAACGGACTCAGAATGATACGTGAAATATTCTGGCGTGTTAGATCGCTACAGACGGCATGTTTAGCCATAAGTTAACTTATTCGGCATACAATTTATGAGCGCGAACGCGGCCATGTGCATGTTCCTTGCACGCTTCAGACAACACAGTCGAAATGGCCGCGCACGAAGGCACAAAAAGCGTCCTTTATATTCGGAAAAAGATCAATCGGTAAAAAGAGTTTTCTTAATTTTTTACAGGCACTCTCTTGATCGCATGCATTGCACTGCCGAGGCTTCATACATGCTTGTTCCACCTTCGGCAACTTTCTCTGCACATGTACGCCAATCGTTCTGCATGTCGCGACATGTCAAGACCGTCACAGGCTTAGGACCGACTTTCCGAACAAATAGAGTATTTCTCTCTTTGGTACATGTTAAAACTTCTTATATTCTCAGTTTGGTTAATAATAGTTAAGAAAGCAAAGTATCTTCCAGCTCCTACCGATGTCAGTGAATGAAAGATTTAGGGGTCTTCGTTAGCGACGTCCACACGCACATCTGTTCCCAAGTCTCTGTACGCTATATCATAAAGATTTCCAAGAATGAAGTTGTTCTTGGATCTGTTCCCGTGTAGCGTTGGCGGAAGAGTTCCCAAGAGCAGCATACTCTCTGCATAGACTGTATCTGAAACAGCTGGTTTCCCGAACTGGTTGCTCGTGCACATGCAAATAGTCATTAACCATGAGCCTCGCAGCGAAGATCCCGAAAAATAACGATATATTGGCTTAATTCAACGTGCTAGCAATATTGCAGTGCGATTGGAAAAATTCAATCATGCTTGGTTGGAAATATATCAGCCCACTTTTGTGCACCTTGAGCGCTCAAGTTAGTGCAACAAGTGTTTCCGTTCTCTATCAATTTCCTTCCGGAACATGGATCGAGAATATGGCCGTCCGTAGCAACGGCAACATTCTAGTCGTGCTCTGGTCGGCGCCAGAGGTTTATGAAATCAACCCTTTTGTGTTACCATCCACCGCTCAACTTGTCGCTCGGTTCGACCTACTCTGGCATTCAAGGCATAGTTGAAACAACCCAAGACGTTTTCGCAGTCATTCCATTCCACAGCTCGTCTTATTCGCTATGGACTTTTGATTTGCGCACCTCGAAGCTCTCTGGGAAGGCTGAACTAAGCCGAATTATTGCTAGCGTCCCGAACGTCGGTATTCTCAATGGCCTTACCAAACTCTCCAACACCATGCTATTAGCGAGCGATACCAAACTCGGTGCTGTTGTCCGGTTTGATCTCAGAAGCAACTCTTCTGAAGTTGCCATCAAAGACGATACCATGGTTGGACTACCGCTCGATCTCGGAGCAGGAATCAATGGAATTCGTGCGCGGAACAGCACGATATACTACAATAACTCTATCAGAGGCATATTCTGTCGTCTCGAGGAAGACACGCGCTCGGGTGATGCCATCGGCTCCGCCCATGTCGTGGCCGACGGACTCGGTTTCCTTGATGACCTGGCTATCGGCCGTGATCAGGACGACCCGTCGTACCTGATGCAGTATCTTGCAGGATCAGTCGTCCAGGTCCAGGCCAACGGAAGCTCAGCCGTTGTTGCTGATGGTCTGGACTTTCCAAGTTCTGCCCAATTTGGGAGGACATTGGAGGATGGCAACCGACTGTACGTTACAAGTACTGGATTCCCGCCTGGTTTGTATCTGAAAGGGCTCTTCGCTGGAGGAAAAGTGTACATGATAGATCTTTGATAGTTGGATACCGGTATGGCCTGGTTTGGCTGTCATTATTGAACGGATCGCTAGATTGAAACACACGATCAACGCCTTTCCAGAATTTAATCAAAGTTTTTCTACGTTATAAGTTGAATTACTCTGATATGTATATCACGTACGGTCATAGGATGAGGAAAACTGGAGTCCCCGTCCGCTCACTCTTACATAAGCCTCATACCGGCCCATTAGTACTACGGTGGGTGACCACGTGGGAATCCGGCGCTGCTGTACGTTTTTTTTTTCTTTTTTACCTGGTCTTTTTGGCATTTTTTAAAGTCCATATATCTTTAGTTTTATCGCATGCAAACTATGATAACGATCACTTTCCCTTGTCACCATAACGAATGTGCATTTTTGCTACAACTACATTGTTGTAACTTCTATAGAGCTTCAATGATGTACGAGTATTAAAAGTGGTGGCTAAATTTTGAAGATGCTAATCGAATTAATTGTTAATTACATGTTTAAAGAATTATCTAAAAATTAATGTTTTGGCGAAGAGAACTCAATCCTCCTGCTTATACACCAGGTAACGGGTAGAAATCTGGCAAGTCTGGCCAATTCCCTAGTTCACCAGGGTCGCCACCAACCCGCACCCAAACGCCCTCGCTTGGCTGACCATCATCTACTGCGAACAACTGAAACCAACCAGGTGGTGCAATGTGGCCGTTTGGAGGAGCTGTAATGGTACATGTTGTTCCGGAGCAGCTAACAGCGGGAAATATTGTTCTTTGGCCCATGCTATTACTGTGTGTACTTGAGACAGCACCGAGCAATGTAAAAGCCAGAGATCCAGTGCCCCCGTTTGGCGCGCTGACATCTGTGACATTTATGGTATCTCCCCATGCCCAATCAAAAGATGGAAGCTGGAAGGTTGGCTTTGGCTTACCATTCAGCAAGTAGGGAGGCTCAAAAACCTCGACAACGTACTGTTCAGGGAAACGGGCATCAAGAGGGTCTGAACCGCTCACAAGAACACGTCCATCATTCATAAGGATCGCCTCGGAATGGTACATCCGAGCAAGAGTCGTATTTGCCATGACGCTCATTCTCGACCCAACTGGCAATGTTGGATCGTAGAGTACTGCATTAAGGTTCGGGTTGTCGGCAAGTGCAAATCCTGCCACGCCTTCCTGGGCCCCATTGAGGATCAAGAATGTTCCATCTGGCAGAGCCACAATATTTGGCATCACTCGTTTAGATGGCATTCTCTCGATGACCCATTCGGCATCTGGATCTTCTGCCCGAATAGAGACACAGTTGTCTAGGGCGACATTGTCTGATGTAGAGCCGCCGCACAGAAGTACTTCAAGAGAGTCTGTGTACGGAGCGTGCTGCGGAAGAATGACCATTGCTCCTTCGAGCGGGTACGTCCTGCCGCCTTGGGGCGCATTAACAGCTCCAGGAATAGGTGGCAGAAGCTTTAAAATGTACTTTAGTATGTTTTCGACTCACTTCGCATCCTCGAACTTACCCTGATGGTTTCAAAGGTGTTCTCGTCTAAAATACGGGCTTGATTCCAGTACGCAACAAATATTCCCTCCCTCGTAACGGCTGGAAAGGGATACAGGTTCCACGGATCACTCTGTTGCAACCAGTCCATGAATAATGGAGGCCCTTCAGGTGGTAACATTTCCAAAGTCGGCACTGGAGGCCCGTTGGAACCATCTTCACCGCCGATTACAAGGATTTTACCGGCCGCTGTGATAACGGCAGTGGGATACCTGTTCCTCTTGCATTAGCCTACTGTCAGCAAGATTGATTGTACTGCATACCATCTCCCATCCTGAAGTTTTAACTCCGAAGCATTTTCGATCCAATCGTTCGTGCCATTGACTCCAGGTGTACCATCAGGGGTATAGAGTCGAATTCCAGCAAGTGCAATGTCCGACCACCCTCCAATGTTCAGCTGCCTTCCAGCTTTGTCTGGGAGAACAAGACCGGCGGAGCAGAATATATCTGTTTTCACGTGCATTTCCCTCCATGCCAAGTTAAAGTCGGGAATGCTGGGGTCAAGTTCGTAAGCACCGGTACTGTTTGGAGGACCTAAGACAACATTAATATGCTGCACAACTCTACAAGATTTGAAGAATTTGACAACATACCGGTTCCAAACTTTTCAAGGAATGTGACCTTGCCGTTGACGTTGTAGGTAGTCATCAGCGGCACAACAACACCTCCCATGAAGTAGCTATACGCACCAGCATCGGCGCCGGTTGGGTAATGCCAATCATTGAGAGCGGTTGTGCTGTTCCAGAAATAGGTCTGGAGACGTCCACCAGCCCCGCAAAGCGCAGATGCATTACCGGAGCATGGCATGTTACATTCAGAATCTGGCTGAATGGTGGGACCTGTAAGGGCTACATCGCTGTAGTCACCACAGTAGCACTCTTCGCCGTACTCAACTCCAGCAGCAGGATAACCAAACATTTGGCACTGGGCAATGCAATTGTCCACTGTGTTATTTGAGTCAACCAGCTTGTAAGGAAGGGGTCTATTTGCTGTCACCCCGTCCAGCAGACAACCCACGTACGTCCAGTTTTCTGGTAGATTGGTCACTTCGATGACTGGAATTGCTGCAATCTGAAGTTCACCTTTTGACCATACAGTCAATCTATTTCCTGCGCCACACATCTCAGTGGAGTTTCCACTGCAAGGCATATTGCAGTCACTGTCAGGGGCTTGGGGTACACCGTTGCGAAGAAAGTTGTCGCAGAAGCACTGTGTCGAGTATTCTGTTCCAGCCACAGTATACCCTAGCGTCGCGCAAAGATTCACGCAGGAACTGATTGTCAACTGGCTGGAATCACTTTGCTGGTATGCCATGGATCTACCGTTGCCTTGGTAATTATCGTAGTAACATCCAGCGTAAGTCCAACCTGTCGGAATTGGGACGTTACTTGCAGTAGCAGTGGCTGATATCGAGGATGTTGCACTTGGTTGAGAGAATGTACTCCAGGCATACAGGCTGAGTCGATTGGATCCACCGCAAATCTCGGTGGCATTTGACTGGCAAGCCATATTGCAGCCAACTTCTCCATCTGGCGCGAGACTACCTCCATTTTCAATGCTGTTATCGCAATAGCATTCTGTGCCGTACTCCATTCCAGCCAGTAAGTAGCCGGCTAGATTGCATGCGGCCTGACAATTCTCGACACTATTCCCATTAGGCAAAGGTGGCACATATGCCAACGTTCTCTGCGCAACACTATCTGTATAGCAGCCAAGATAGCCCCAACCAGGAGTACTAGGTGTTGATGATGCGGCCAAGCTGCTGGATACTGAACTGCTAGATGTCGGATCGCTCAAAGCAGAACTGCTTGACGTTGAACTGGCAGAGGTTGGACTGTTTGAAGCCGAGCTGCTAGACGTGGAGGAAGTTGAAACTAGTTGTAAAATCATACCGCCCCATACATTTGAATTCTGGTTTGGTGTGCCTACAACGTTCTTCAAGTAACATGGGCCAGGACTTGGACCTACCCAGCTGAATGCTTTGCAAGTCTCCGTCGTAGAGCAAAGGATAGCACAGTTTTCGTAGCTGTCTTCATAGCTCATGGAGAGGTCACCCGCTGCATGGTCAATGAAGCACTCCAGCAGAATTTGAGCACCGTTGGGGGCCGTGTAATCGACTCCGTTCCAATCTGGACAACCTACAGGAGTTGTAGGCGATGGAACAGGCGATGATGACGTTGAAGACGAAGAAGCAGCAGCCGATGCTGCGGCTGTGACTGTAGAAGTCAAAGATGCCATAGAACTTGATGTTGTAGAAGCTTGTGTAGGAGCAAGCGACACAATTTTTCCGCCCCAGACTCCTTGATTTTGGTTTGGCGTCCCTACTGCTGATTTCATATAGCATGGTCCACCTGCTGGGGGAAGCCAACTAAAAGCCAAGCACCCCGTAGTGGTTGAGCATGTATTAGCACAGTTCTCATAGCTTTCTTCGTATGTCATAATTAAATCTCCCCCAGCATGGTCAATGTAACACTCAAAGAGAACAACAGCGCCGCTTTGAACAGTATATTGGAATCCATCCCAGTCAGGGCACTGGACTGAGGTTGATGGTGTAGGCTTGGGTGCAACACTAGTGCTTGAAGATGATGACGATGGAGTTGGTTTTGGTAGACCGTACCCATACATATTCAGGCCCCAGCTTCCACCACAAAACTCGGTAGAATCACCGTTGCAAAGCATATCGCAACGGCCATCAGTAGCAGGTTGACCGTTCACAACGTTTCCGCAGTAACACTCGCCAGAATATTCAACCCCGGCGAACAGGTATTCGCCTTCAAAGCAGGCTGACGTGCATGCTTCGACCGTCATGGCCGCGCTGCCTCCTGGAACGTCAACCTGGACTGCAAGTGTACGATCTGGGGAATCGCTGAAGATGTGAGCAAACATTCAGAACCTTTCTTTTGACATACTTACATGTAACATCCCATGGAACCCCAGTTTCCAGGCCCGGGATTGGTTGATGGTGCGGGTTTGCCGTTGGTGTAAACAGAGAGTCTGTCTGGTCCGCCACAAGCCTGTGTAGAGTCACCGACGCAAGCCATGTTACAATCTGTGTCTGCATAAAGATTCGCATTGCCCAAGGTATAGCCGCAATAGCATTCCGTCGAGTATTCTGACCCTGCGAAGGGAAATCCCTTCGAGGAACAGAAATTTATGCATGTCTCGACAGACACACTGGGATCAATCCACGATGCTCCGTTCAACGTTCGTGAATTGACAGAATCTCTATGTGGTTTCGATTAGAGTTTTGAATCCCACTTGCAAGCAGAGGAACATACCCGAAGCATCCTGAGTACTTCCATGGTTGCGGAAGATTAGAAGGAATGGATAAATCGCGTGGATAAATTCTTTGAACGTGGTTTCTTTTTATGCTCTGTATGAAAGAGAGTTAGGTCGACTTCTGATCCATGTGCCAACACCTTGATGCTATTTCAAAAACACACGTACCAATGAAAGGACTCCTCCAATCAGGCACGCGAAGTGCACCACATACATGACGAAAACTGTATATAAAAAGGCTGTGAAGCGAGCGACTATGAAGCGAGCGACTGTGAAACAAACAAAGGAAAGGATTTGAAGGAAGACAACGAAAATCCTGGAATACTCTTTGCAAAACTAAGGAGCGAATACTTGGAAGGAATGAGGAAGAAAGGCGGCGTTTCGAGAGAAGATTATGAAAAGCATCCAGATTTGGAGCCGCTAAAGTTCAGAAGCTTTCGCACCGGTCGGCTGAGCGAGTTTGTAAGGGGCTATAATCAAGATTCTGTTCTAGACCATGCCTAACGCCAGCGTAAAAGCATTTTCAAGCATTCGGTATCCGAGAATATGTCGATGTTGCACAGCAAAAACCATGTAACTGCATGGCGGATCGTGAAAATTACCACCAAGGTAGGCTACAGACGAGGGCTTCACAGTGAGTAATTGCAACATGCAGATGGCCCCACTCAATGCGAGGCCTGCGTTCATCTTTTGCGATATTGAATGCCGGCTGAAAGAGCGCCACAATCTCGAGGTGATACATGGAAGGATTCTCAAGCCACAAACTTTGAGTCAAGATAACTTTTTCGTGGCTTGGCCAAGTCGCCGACCCGCTCAACCACTTGGATTGTATACCTATAGCCAGGCACACCGAAACCCCTTTCTGATGTTTATTAGCTCCATAGACTGGGTAACGTACTATTCGGGAGCCATGCATGCCGCACCTGAACAACGACTCTGGCGAAACCCTTTCGATCTCGTCTATCGTATTTGCGTTCTTTATTATTTTTAGAAAAGAAGGCTGAGTATTATACTCCGGCGTTTAGACAGTTCTTAGAGTTCTATTCCATAAACACTTGCTTGTAATATATCCAATGGGGGAACAACCTTTTTCAGCTGCAGAAAACCTGTAAGACGTGGGTCCTAGTCCAATATTGGTTTTGCCGCGCTTCTCTTTGGCTATTCCTCCGATTATCTGGTCAGGATTTCTTCAAGGACATTCGCTCACTTGCTGAAGCGAAGAAGAAGCACCCACATTTCCGTAATCATCTCTACAACTTCGAGCTTGCCAATTCTGCAGCTTTGCTGATAATAACTGACACACCTTCCTCCCATGTCAAGAAAGAACTCAGAGTTTAGCCTGGACACCATCGAGTGGATGGCTCGAGATATCAACGGACCTTCTGAAAGCAACCAAAATCTTCGGCAGTCACAGGAGTCAACAGTGCCTTCGACATCAAATTCACACACTGATCAGCACAGAAATTCTCATTTCGTTGAACCAAAGATGTTCCCCGGAGCTCGAAAGGCTGCGGGCAGCCGTCAATCCGTTCAACCTTCGAATGCATCCTTGAACAACTTCAATCAACCGCAAAAGAAGCATCGCTTCGTATCGTACAAGCTTAGAGGCGAATACGAGCAGCCTTGGAAAAACCACCCACGAATGAAACGTACTCGTATCAACAACTGGATTGTCTGGGGGTTCACCATTGTAGGTTTCTTGCTCAGCGCATTAATATGTTTTATGGATGTTCGAACCATCAAAACCTACGACTATTGCTTGGTACTCGAGGACAACTTCTCCACTCTGGATACGTCGATTTGGAACCATGAAGTTCAGATTGACGGTTTTGGGACGCGATCATTCGACTGGACGACGACCGATCCCAAGAACTCATTCGTAGATCAGGAAGGCCTTCATATTGTACCGACGCTGACCAACGAAACCACGGACATCAACAACGATAAACTGTACAACGGTTATACGCTAAATCTTACGGCAGATGGAACATGTACGTCTACTGATCCTGCCTCATGTGTGATTTCTTCAAACTCAACCAAGGGAACCATGATACCGCCAGTTCGATCAGCGCGTTTGAATACCAAAGGTAAAAGATCAATCCGCTACGGTAAAGTTGAGGTCATAGCAAAGCTTCCAGAAGGTGATTGGCTGTGGCCTGCCATCTGGATGATGCCGGAGGACTCGTTCTATGGAATTTGGCCAAAGTCCGGGGAAATAGACATCATGGAGTCTCGTGGTAATACTCCGGGCTACTATGCTGGAGGCCGAGATGTTTTCAGCTCTACTTTGCACTGGGGTGAGGCTGCGAATTTGTCATTTCCGACGGCAAAATGATGCTGACTGAATTTTTGCAGGTATGGATACCGCAACGGATGCCTTTTGGAGAACCACTGCCGGCAAGGCGATCCGTCGGACGGACTATTCGAAATCGTTCCACAAGTATGGAATTGAGTGGACAGAGGATCACATATTCACTTATCTCGATTCGCGATTAGTGCAGGTTCTTTTCACGGGCTTCAAGAAAGACTCGTCGTTGTGGGACCTCGGTGAATTTCAAGGTCAATCACAAAACCAAACCCTGCTCACAAATCCGTGGATCAACTCGACCTCTCCGCACAACGCTCCTTTCGATCGGAATTTCTTTCTGATCCTTAACGTCGCAGTAGGAGGAAGGAATGGCTGGTTCCCTGATAACAAGGATAACAAGCCTTGGCTGGATGACGGGGCCAGTGCACAATGGGATTTTTATCGCAACGCCAACGACTGGTTGCCAACATGGGGCAAAGGCAACGACAGAGGTATGACGGTCAAGAGCGTGAAGATGTGGCAGCAAGGCAAGTGCTAGATCCGCTTACCAGACCTGCCGTGTCTCAATTTGGAATCATTTCACTTGGTTAGAAGACATCGAGGATATACGTGGGCTAGAGGCTATTTCGCAATTCAGGTTTAGATAGGGCGAACGGCGTTCAGCGATCAGTCTAGAGCTAGTTAGGACGGTGAAGTAATTCTTTGGTTTACACTACCTTATCTTTGCAAATGGTCCTGATGATGTTCGATCGATTAGCTCAAACACGGAATTGAGTTACGGAAAGCCACGTTTTCGAAACCCAGCCAGTTAGCGCATGTGAAGATTGGCCTCATCGCGCAGTTTTTATTTTCCGAACGATTAGCGCTGCAGCAATAAAGGAGAGAACAGGTAAGTTATTGGCTGCCGAAGGCGCCACAAGGAGGTTGAGAATCCCGAAGGCGGGACTAGTTCAAAACATTCTTAGTTGCGAGGCCGCAGAAAAGCTGCTCAACATCTGTGATAGCAAACAATTGTTGGCCGCATTCAAACCCTGCTAGAGTGGAAGCAAAGCTTGACAATGGATCTTGGCGAACTTTATCCCCTGTCGGACATCGATACCTGTCCTCGGATTTAGCTATACGAGACGTTGAGATCTCTATACCACAGTGCTCTCTACGAAGCATTACTGCAGCTCCTCCCCTCGACACGAACTGGACATGATTCATAAGAGTTTTTCACAATGCTCTGTAAGCTTATATTCATAAAGTCAGGTATAAAATCTTCTTGACAAAGCCCTGGTGTTGGCTGATATGGTTTGCAAGGCAAGTTCCGAGATAAGCATGCCGCTTAGATGAACCAGCTGAATAGCCCTCGTCGATCAAGGACGACAAGCGATGTGCCGTAGTTCACGCTCAGTGGTCAACCAGCATGCCATGCTGTTTGCCACCCGAGAGCATGCTTTTGCCATGAACGTGAAAGCCACGCAGAACTGCTCGTGCAGGCCTACTGGTTATCTCGGACCCAAGCAGCTGGGAAGGATTCCAGTCATTGCGGCGACATCTATTGTTTCACAACTTCAGGTGCCAACTCTTGCTTGCCAAAATTAAGCTCCCCTTCTGCCCGCGGCGGTGTTGCAGTTTAGGTAGAGTATCCCTGCGTGGAAAAATAATGACCAACTTTAGAGTTACACCGAAGACGGCTCGGTACGCTGGCGAGTGCTGTCTTTGGCATTTGCATCTGCTCTATCTTTAGATGTGCCCAACGCTCACTGATCCTCAACTTTGGAAGATCCTATCTCAGGGGCGAGCCACACTGGTCAAATCATTCCGATCAGAGATTGTCCTGGCTATTATTCTTTTTCTCACCGAAGAGGCTTGAAACCGTGCCTTCTTTGGATGCATAACTTGTCCGAGCCCGAGAATACAGAATCCACGCTGAATGTCTTGATACTGGACAAGGGTTGGCAAGGCCCCAGAAGTAACCAAGTGGACGGCCTTCCTTCATCCTCTCCCTAAACGACAAATTTCCGCTTGATAAGCCCCCCTTTGGGAATATCGGTGAAGGGTCATACTGCAAACGGGCTGAGCTGTGGAGCCTCGTCAAACTCAGACGGTTCCTCGTCGACGCCTCTTCCAAGAGGAATGTTCTGGCCGACCGCAATGCACTGTGCAGAGCGCCTTTGCATTGAAACAGCAGCCACATCGCCTACGAAGTATTGAAAGTAGCCGCCAAAGGCACTTCCACTTCACGCCAACAAGCCCCCTTGCGCGCGATACACAACACGCGGCAGGTATAATGGATCTAGCTCATGCATGGCGCCTGAAGATTAGAGTGCTTAGACAGGATTGAGGCTCTTAGCTGAAAGAAACACTAGTCTCGGAACTCTATGCTTTCTGCTCTATGATACCCTTCTTTTCCGAAGAGAATTCAATCGCGTTGTCGCAAGGACATAATCTTGACCTTCCTTTTCGTCTTATCCCACAGTTTTCAAAAGGATACGACCATTTTGTTCTTCCTCTTACTACACTTTCCAGGACATTTTAATGGTTCGAATATACTTTCACACCTCTTTTAATCAATCTATTTTTTAATTGAGATCACGGCTTTGACAAAATTATGGCACAAGAAGAGCGCTCTCAAGAAAAACAATCACATGCTACTAGTCGAGATGATACCAGCCAACCAACCACTCCACGAATTGCGGAGCTGGAAGATAGTAACTACAGAATCTCTGGAATAAGTACGCCCCAGTCACGCAGTAATCGCTTGACGTATGGCGACTTCGGTGAGGACGCGAGATACGGAACAGTGAGTCGTTATAAGCCCACAGGAACTTCGAACTTGACTCTCGTCTGACCTGTAATAGATAGTAAGCTATCTCAGCAACAGAATCACCGCGCAGGGTTGGTTCGGTGCTAAGTATAGCACCGGATATGAAAGTTGTTCTGGCGTGCTTGTTCGTAAAACCCGCGGCCAATATATTTCTATTCCGGCTATCATCAATCCGATGCTCCTTTCGGCAACTCAGAAATTGAATGTCGAAGTGGCCTTCACCATGCGGACCGACACGGTCGATGCTATCCTCTCTGCTTTGGAGCCCTCCCAGACGGACATCTTACTCACGGACGGCTCTCAAATTCAGATCCTGGATTCTCTGGAGGAGGTGATGACCACAAACGTCAAGAAGCTGCAGTACGCAGCCTTGCTGCGTCGTGAGGAGATTCTGTTGATCTGGCACGACGATCTTCAGAAAATTCTCCCTCATGCGGCGATGATGGAGGAGAAGCTCCTTTCATTAGTACGTCTGCTCATGCACCTCACGTTCAACAACACTAACACATCATCAAGGTATGGGGCTCTACGATATCGCCATTTGCGAATCCTTTCGACACACCTTTGCCTTCGAACGTGGGCTCTCGAGCGCCGTCGTTCTATCATCATCCTATAGAGGCCCTCTCTTCAAAGCTTCCTGCAAATACGATCGACCCTAGCAAAGAAGGAGAGCCCTTTGGAGATGAAGAAGACGAGAAGCACGCGGTAGAAGCAGAGTCCTTGGATCGTCCGATCAGTTTCGTGAGTGCGATCTTTGTTGGCATGGGAATGTGCCTGGCAGTCGTATTGCTCTTCGGCTTTGCAACAGGAAACCTGCTCATCGAGTGTCTCTTGGACGGTAAATGGATACGTCTAGTCTTTGTCGTTACGATTCCGCTACTTCTGTTGGTCGGGCTCTTTTTGTAAGTGACTGAGAAAATGCCTCAAATGTTTCGCAATCAACTGATAGAGCCGTAGCTTGATCACCATCTTCACCAATCTCTTTGAAATGTTTGGTCCTATAGATGGTGCTAAAGGCAATTCCCGTAGCTTTTCTGGCAAAAAGCCAAGCCTTCGTAAAGCTTATCAGAACGGATTTCGCCCTCCGCATATTACGATCCAAATGCCGGTGTATAAAGAGGGCCTTGAGGGTGTGATCAAACCGACTGTTGACAGCTTAAAGGCGGCGATATCGTACTATGAGTCTCGCGGCGGTGAGTCTAAACGCATAGGCCAAAATGAAAATGATCAAGCTTACAAAACAGTAGGGACTGCTTCCATATTCATCAACGATGATGGCATGCGAGCTGGCATTAGCGAAGACGAAGCTCGTGCTCGTCGTGAATACTATCACGATAACAACATTGGATGGGTGGCAAGGCCAAAGCACAACGATGAGGACGGCTACGTCCGTAAGGGCAAATTTAAGAAGGCGTCAAACATGAACTTTGCTCTCAATGTTGCGAACAAGGTGGAAGAGTATCTTCAACAAATGATAGAGGAGAGGGTTGCTGCAGGTATGAGTGACTATCTCAGTGACGTAGAGCTTGATGAAATGTACAAGGCAAACCTTGAGCGGGTGCTGCGAGAAAACCCCCGCGTCATGGCAGCTGGAAATATTCGAATGGGTGAAATAATATTGATCATCGATTCGGATACTCGTGTGGTCAGTGGAACCCCTTCTTTCCCCTCCCCCTTTTCCACGAAAGCGTGGACCTAACCATTGGGCCAGCCTGTGGATTGCCTATTGTACGGAGCAGCCGAGATGTTCTTGTCACCGGAGGTAGCCATCGTTCAGCACTCGACGGGTGTGATGCAGGTGCAGCACGACTATTTCGAGAACGGCATCACGTATTTCACAAACATGGTCTACTCGGCGATCAACTTCAGCGTGAGCAACGGCGAAGTCGCGCCGTTCGTAGGACACAACGCTTTTCTCCGCTGGCAGGGTAAGTTCCACGCGCTCGAGCAAAACACGACGCTGGCCACTGACCGTTGGAAAGCCGTTCAATCCGTCGGCAAGGAAGATCCGGACGGGTACATCGCATACTGGTCTGAAAGCCACGTGTCGGAAGATTTCGATCTGGCGCTGCGGTTGCAAATCAAAGGCAACGTGGTACGATGCGCGCACTATCACAACAACGAGTTCAAGGAAGGCGTCTCGCTGACGATCTACGACGAGCTCGCTCGTTGGGAGAAGTATGCAGAATTCGGAACGGATGGAGAGCTTGTAGTGCTGACAAAGACCTCAGGTACGCGTACGGCTGCAGCGAGCTGGTGTTTCATCCGTTCAAGTACTGGCTCTTCCGAGGTCCATTGACGCCTCTGTTTCGTCAGTTCCTCTGGTCAAACCTGATCCTGTCGTCAAAGATCACAATTCTTGGATACATATCTTCCTGTAAGAAGCATCAGAGACGTACATTGTCCAAAGGTGTTGTTCATTGTCTTAACCAGCTGCAGATTTCGCGTTGGCCGCGGGCGCGACGCTGACGCTGATGAACTACCTTCTGATCGGGTGGTTCAATGGCGGCCTGGACAAATTTTACATGGAGTCGTGGAAGAGTAAGTCTACGTCGTGTCGCTTCAAGGATCGCAACGGCTAACCAGATGGTCAAGTATTCGTCTCGCTCATCGTCGTTTTCAACATCCTTGGCCCCGTCGCCCTGGCCATTCTCCGCTACCGTCTTGGCGAGAAGTCGCTCATTGCTTCGCTCCTGGAGAACTTCAAGTGGATGCCCATGTTCTCCATCTTCTTCGGTGGCCTGTCCTTCCACCTCACCTGCGCCATTCTCTCACACCTGTGCTCGATCGACATGCAATGGGGCGCCACAACAAAGGAGTCGCAAAAGTCCAACTTCTTCAAGGAGCTGCCCAAGATATTCAAGTCTTTCAAGTACATGTACTGCGTCCTGATCGTCATCATCGGAGGCATGATCTATCTCGGCTGCTTTGCTCCAAGCGGTTGGGACATAAAAGGTGCCACTGCCGTCGTGCCGTTGGCCGTCAGCGTCACAAGCCACGCTATTCTGCCGTTCGCTCTTAATCCTTCTGTCATGATTTTCAATTTCTAGAACTAGAGCTTGCTTTGCCTGGGCTGGACAGGCGATTTGATCTAATGTATAATCTTAGACGGAAACGAGGGGGCACCTCTTAGATTTTGGCACATACGACATGGAAAGGGCAAATTGTTTTCTGGTCTTACTTAGTCTTATTTTTTCAAGGGGAGTCAGGAGTTTGCCGGCCTCTGGTTACGTCTGGACAAATCCAAAAACTTTGAACAGTCCCTGTCAATACGATCGTCTTCGACTCGTCGGCACGGCAAGGACCTACTTTTTGTGCCGTTCTTCTTCGACCTCGCCTGATGCATTGTCTGAGACACGCGTGAGATTGTTTTTACGTCTATTCTCGGCCCAGAGAAGGCAAGCGGCGCCATCATTCTCGCCTATCTCGCCTTCTCGAGACATACCGTAAATAAAACCCATCAATGACGATGCGAGAACGCGACCGTGTCTGAGTCCTCAATAGGAACTAACGACAATTCTGCACCAAGCTGAAAGAAGACGGGGACTTAGCGATGCCCTCGCACGAGCAACAACGTCTGCACTCTGTTTTTCCTTCCTCAAGCGTCCGGTTACCTATAGGCTTCGCGATATCCTGCGGTTCTGTCAAGCTTTCTACTAGAACTAGCGTTAGTCTTAGCTCGGCTTCTCCGGCACCGTTGCCAAGACGTCCTAGTCTACGAGAAAAAAAAACTAGCGGAAACCGTTGCTTGTTTCGACTCAACACGGAGGGAGCTTGTATTCCCACTGCGCTCTACTGCAATGTCGTGAGAGATTTTTGACTTGCCGATCGTAACGCAATTGCACAGGAGAGGATGCATCGTATGACGTGTGCGGCAAGGCTGACAAGGCTGAAAAGCCCCTTTGTTGGCAAAGACCATCAACTTTTCGAGGTGATGTAGCTGCATTTGGTGTTGACTGCGTCTTCAAATGACGGGTACCTTAGCTATCGCTATTGCATTTGTTTGTCATACAAAAAAGGGTATTCTGCTGTATACACTGGAACATTGAAGATCCTCATTTTTCCAAGAGCCTTGTCAAACACTCTGTAAAAACCTTCAAACCCTGTCAGAAAAGGTATGCAAAAGACACTTCGGTAATTTCACAATTTCAGCCATATCTTCTCTCGCCAGTGCCGAGCGGAGGTGGGTACTGCGTGTACGCAGGACCAGGATACCCACTTTCTACAGTGTTTCGTCGGCTGGGAGGTTCGGCCTCGTATCTGGACATTCTCCGTTGCTCTTCATCTATTCTGCGCAAGTATTCCTCCTTTTCTCTAAATTCCCTTTCGCGCTCTCTGGCTTCCCGCTCACGTCGCTCGCGTTCGCGATCACGATCTCGGTCACGATCTCGGTCACGATCTCGGTCACGATCTCGGTCACGGTCTCGATCACGGTCTCGGTCACGATCTCGATCACGCTCGCGTTCATCGCGATCTCTTTCCCTCCTTTCGCTACGATCTCGATCTCTGTCTCGATCTCGATCCCTATCGTGGTCGCGGTATCGCTCGTCATTGCGATCGCTGTAGTATATGTTGGAGGCGTATTGACTCGGAGGGATGCCATCCACGCTGCTATCGGATTTCATGAACCCGCCCGCGAAGGTCTGGCTTCTACGCCGTGAAGATTTCGAATACGTTCTTGACCGGTGTGGCATAGATGAGGTGGTGTAGTCGCTAGCTCTGCTGCTGTCAGAGTAGTTGCCTTCTCGCTCGCCATATATCGAACTCGACCCGTGCCTGTTGCTCATGCTGGAAGCCTCAGGCCTCATAGTCCGAGGTGACGCGAAAGTACTGTCGTTTTCGTAGATTTTACCGGTGCCTTCCTTGGCAACATACGGTTTCCTTTCACGCTCGATCTGCACGGGCGGTTTGGGAGCTTCTTCGTCCATCTCATCGGTATCACTTTGAATGGCAAACTCGTGTAAGTTGGGCGTACTTTGAGCAGCGTACGATGTCCACTCTCTGTCCGCGTAAAATTTGGGCTGTTCGTTTGTAGGCTGCGCCGGTGGTGGAGGAGGGGGGAAAGTCGTATGTTTTGGCAAGGTTATTTGCCCATCAGCACTTAGAGCAGCGCTACAGAACTGTCTGGTCTTCAGATCGTCATATTTCGGAAGCAGACGTCGTGAAAGCTCCTTGGGAAACCGTTCCTTGGGGTTGTCTGCGTTGTTAATGGGCATGTTCATCACAGCTTGTGCTAAGCGTTGAAATTCGGACTCTGGGTGCGCCTGTATCTGCAATGTCATCCACCTCTGAAACCCGACAGGGGTCATGGCAGGCACGACGGGCGGATCCGTAACGCGTTCCTGGATGTAGAAATGCTCGATTTTCATGTCACGATAAATCTTAGCGATCGCAGCGTTGCTGAGCTGAAATATGTTGTGCCACGGATACGTCTCCTCAGCTAATTTGACATCCTCGTAGAACCGTTTGAGTTTCGCAGGAGAGATGACGAGCGATTTCTTCGGCTCGTAATCATCGATGATATGCAGCGCAAGTCCACGTAGGAACTGCCCAAGTCGTTCGGTGGGTTCCCCATTGAAATCAAATAGGGGCTGCCATATTTTCTCGAGCGTGGTGGGCTCCTCGTCCGGCTTCAAAGAAGGAATCGTGGGCTTTCGTGGCAAGCTCTCTGCCTCTGATCGGTCACCGTATCTTGATGAGATGTCCTCCTTCATTTCGATCTTGCCGTCCCCATTGACGTTGGCATTTGTTTCCTTGACGTATGTCTCCGACTGATCAGATGGTGCACCGTTGGCACGAGCGGAAGACGGCGATGAGCGTCCACTGTTCGCTTTTGGCGGAGGGCTGCCGAGGGTTTCATTGGCAGTCGGCGGACTCTCACGCTTTGGAATCGGATGCTTTGGAGGAGGTGGAAACACCGGAGCCGTGTGCGGCGGCGGTGCCGAGGCAGGCGGGGGAGCCGGGTTGTACCCATCCTTCTTCAAGCTATCGATGACTTGAGATCGAACTTGTTCGGTGATTTGCTCCGTGATCTGCCTGATGACATCTTCAGGTAACGAGTTCGTCGCCGTCGACTTGTCGAACGCATCGGAAACGGCATCGTAGACACCCAGAGGTCTGAGCGGGTCGCCGGCGGAACGTTTCGCGTTCGACGAGGATCGAGACAAGCCGGGCGGTACGTTGGGGGGCTGGTAGGACTGACTTTGATTTGGAAACGCCTGGTACTGACGCGGATCTGGCAGGTAGTCGTAGTCGTAGCCCAAAGGATATGGCGTGCTTGAGCTATACGAGTCTCGGTCGTCGCCCAACTGCCTGTCATGCGCCATGCTGCTAACGTGGCTGCACGGCAGGTAGCTTGGGAGTCCACCTGGGCGCGATGACGCCGTCACCTTTGTATGTAGGGGCTGCAATCCAGGTTTCCAGCACAAAACAAAGACGGCCGCGAAGGCGAGGTCAGGCAGTGCGCCGGATTTGGCACGGCGGGGGCGAAGAAGACGGCTGGTGGGACGCGGCGACGCCAATCGAGCGCTAGCTGTGAGCCGCTGATGAAGAGAGGATTGGCTTCGACAGCTGCAGTGGCAGCAGCTCCTCAAGGCCCACAGGCAGCAGTTAAAGCCGAGAGGACGAAGCGGACGAGGATGCGACGAGTGGTATTTGTCTGGTGACGTATGGGAGATCGCCGCCGAGCAGGGCGCGCCTTTTGTTCTGCGCCCCACTCAAGCCCACGCTCACGCTTGGGCTGTGATCTGCCCGCCCGAGAATGGAACGACACCGAATCTTTCTACCACTCCCGTCGCCTACGCGAGCGGTGCTGCACCGGCGTCGAATCTTCAACTATGCTTTGCCTCACATGCAAGGTCTGTTATCAGTCTCCTTTCGGCGCGCCATCCTCGCGCTTTCGACATACGTGGCCGCTCTGCTGTCTGGATCTTCCTTGCATCTTGCCGTTGCTGCAGTGACTCCGCTCCACACCGTGACATTTGGGCATCAATCTCTGTCCAGTGTAGGCGCACATTGCGATGTCTAAGGGCACGTTCAACGCAATGTCAGCGCCACTGCTTTGGCCGCAAACGGGCATGATCGCCTGCTGGGCAGCGCGACGGCATCGCTTGCTTTCACGCTAGGGGCTAAGAAATCGGGGCAAACCGTGAATACGGAGTAGGCTCTGAGATGATGTGTATGTAAACAATCACTTTCCTTTACCTGCTCCAACTCCCTCCACCTCTTTTTCTTCGTCCCTCTTGCCTCTCCCTACGTTCTTTGTTGCTTTCTCGTCCTTCCACCTGCTCTTCTCCTCCTTCTCCTTCGCCTTCTGTGCCTTCAGCTTTGCCTTCCGTTTCTTCTGTTCCTCTCGCGCATTCAGCCACATCTCCTTCTCGTCCGGGGACAGAAAGAACCCACGGCTACGTGCTGCAAGGTAGAAGTATTTGAATATGTCGGTGAAGAGCTTCCACGGTCGCTTTCCGTACACTAAGAGCAGCGCCAGCGCAACGCAGAAGGCCGGCCCGATGGCCCACAGCTTCCAGAAGTCAGGCGCGCCGGGAAGATAGTTATCGCTCATGCTAAAGATGCTGGCCACAAGCGTGAGCGGGAAGATGATCGAGGCGAACAGACTGAGACGCATGCCGAACTCGCTGTCGTGCACACCTCGGTAGGCAGCACGCAGATTAGCTAGGTCGCTTGCTACCGTACTGAGCGCCTCCGCTCGTGATCTCAGCGGCTCCATCCTTGTGTGAATCGTCAAAAAGTCCTTTTGGACGCCTTGTATAGCAAGCGACGCGTTTTCGTCTATGCCTTCACTGCCCAGCTGCACGCCGACACGTTCCAGATTCAAAATCATCGCCCTCCAGAAGTGATTGAGGTGTCTTCGCATGTAGTTGATGTCCTTGGCAATATAGTTGATGTCCTTGAGATCAGCCTTCCACTTCTGAAGGCTGAGGTCATCCTCGATCTTGGCTTGGTAGTCGTCCGAGAACCATTCCGCCTTAGCCATCGTAGTATTGATCAGCTCCAGCTGGTTTACCCAGTGCTGAGCTATGTGCTTGAGAAGGTAGAAAGCCGTGTTGGAGGACTGCGCTTGAGCTTTCTTGATAAGCGATTCTGGCGCAACCTTTGTCCAGTAGAACACCATCTCGTCGAGCGGCGAAACAAGGTCGCGCTTCCTTTTCAAATAACCCACGTCTTTGTCGAGTGCGCCGACGCCAACCTGCGCAAGTCCTAGAGGCGCCAAGGTAGAGCAGCCATCGTGATACGGCCAGCTTTCATGTTTGACCCCGACGAGTTCTACGCGTGTGCCGTGAGGCTGCCAGTCCTGCGCTCGCCAAAGAGATGCTCGGCTGGAGTACAGTTTCTGATCCTGAAGAATAAGGGTTTGCTGCGGCGGGGGATCGATGATCTGCGCCGCTGCGCCTCCAGTGGACGGAGGACGCATCAGACTTGGCTTCGCGGTCTCCATCTTGCATGCGGCCTCCACGACCGCGGTGCGGTTTCTCGCATCGATCGGCTTGGCCGACGACACGCTCGTCGAGCTCGCACTCGCGACCTGCGAATCGCCGTGGGCCGTCGCGTCGTGGCCCGTCGCGTCGTGGCGTTGCGCAGGCCGTAAACCGCCAGAGCATTCGGCGTCCGGAACGTCGCTGCAAGAAACGCTCATCCCGGGGTCGACGAGGATAACGGCTGGTTAGGCAAGGCTTAGCGAACATCCAGGGCGCGAATCAGTGTACGTCGGGTTCTTACCGTCCCAGCCTGGAGCATCTTTATTTTCCTGTCCACCCTCCGACGGCTGTTGCGAGGTCCAGAACGAGGCGCTTCTCCTCACAAATCCGTGTCTCCGGTCCGGCTTTCCAGAGGAGGGCACGTCGATATCCCTCCACCTCTCGTATCTCCGTCTGTTGACCGCAAACGTCATCTGCAGCGTCAACGTGTCGATTGACTGAGGAACATGCAGCGTTCTAAGCTCATAGTATCTCAAGGTGAAGCACTTCTCGGGTGTGGACATGGAGGGCAGCTCCCTATGCGGAATCGACCACGAGTCGGTGTAGTTCCATGTGTTCATCTGTTCGCTGAACACCATGGGGTCGACGCCCAGATGATAGCCAAGTGCATCGACATAGTCCGGTTCCAGATCCTCCAGGATGAAGAGCCGGCGTTTCTTGTCCTCCCGGCTCTTCTTAGCTGGATTTGCTTCAAGATAGTCCCGAAGTCGTGTAGGACTCGCGAATCCCGTCTCAAACCCTTCAGGCAGCGAGACCTTCTCGTGATCAAACAGTAAGCAATAGCATCGGCCCGGACCGCGCTTGTACGTGGTCAAGAAGTGCTTTCGCACCAGGATGCGTCCCTTGTCGTCTTCGTTGGCGATCTTCTCCAAGAACGACTTGAGCGCCGGATATGAATGCTGAAGCCCATCCAGACCCTTCAAATAAGGTTTCCCATGGAATGGTTCGTCGCCCTCTTGTGCAGGGACTTGGCTTTGAAGAGCCGTCCCGTCCTGCGAGGTGGCGCTGTCAGCCACGGTCGCCATGTCAAGAGCAAGGGGAGTATGCAACGGAGGCTTGCGCGCGGTTACCACAGTTGTCTCACGACGAGGCCGGCGAGGAGTAGAATCTACGGGAGCAAAAGCACAAGCGCGACGTTGGCATGATTTTCGCATCGGGCTGACGCGACAACACAGATGAGAACGACCTAGCAGAACGCCACCAACGTTTGTCCCAGGACTCGACTGTCGCGCGTGCGTTCGAAGGAAGGGATCTCCGCGTAATAAGGCTTTGGCCCCCAGAACACCCACTACTGTCTGTCCTACCGAAAAAAAGACCCTCAGAACAGACCGATGAACGCTGTCATCATTGCTCACGGAGTTACGAAGGCAGCCTTAACCTCTGCTGCAGATCAAGCATCGGCAGGAGTCTTCCGCCCGGTAGATCACGTTCTCTCAATCTGCGGGACTACTGGCTTTCTTTTGCGTGTGTCTCTGTGCTTAAGCGCCGTCTTGTCCCTGCGCATGTTCTCTTTCCGTCGTGATGGGCGAGAAGACGTTCTGTGACCGGGGCAAAAGAAGACTTCGCATGCGGCTGAATGTAGAGTCTGGGCATTGACGGCAAAGTTGTATACCTATGCGGGAGCGTCCTGAGTGTCTTCCCACATCGACGGAAAAGTATCAGTTTCGTCCTCTTTTTTTCTGCACAATTTTTTTTCTAAAAAAAAAGAAATGTAGAAAAAAGCCTTTTGAAGAGCCTAAAGCCATCAGAGTCCTTCACTGCTTAGAACGATGGCATGCTTGGCCGCATCGCCATCATGTCTGCAGTAATTTTGCGTCCAACACTTGCAGGACGCTTCAGCCGTCGTGTAGAAAGTAATTGACCCTTCTGAAGCTGAATAGGTAACGAGCGATTGCAGAATCGAATTGGCAAGTCTAACATCGACACGTGCTTGCCAACCATGTGCAAGTTCAGAAGCTTATGCAACCAGGCGATCTGGATCCGGATTAAAAAGGTGCAAGTCAATAGTCGCGCGACCAAAACAGTGGTGACACTATTTGTATGAAGGGGACCATGGACGACTCAGATACTTTGGGCTCAAAAAATTTTTTTTGTGATCACCGTTTTTTGTCGCTATTTTCGGGGCATCAAGAGGAAAATACAGCCGGCCCGAGACGTCAGTTTTTCCGGATTGTGGTTCTCCATCAGGTACAACGTTAGAACTAACGGCCAGGCAAACTTGGAGACGGCGACGCAGCATGCGCTGTAGTTCTTTCGTGGATTTGCTTACAGCTGCGACTTCTATTTGAAGAACAAAGACCAATGCTAAGACACTGGATACGACGCGTTGTCAGTGATTGGGGCAATGGCTGACGGATCGAGATTGCGTCTTTTTGCTCCTCATCCGCACGTTTGAGCGACGCTTTGAGGAGCGCAAGTGGCAATGGGCTTTGAGACGAGGAGAGATCCCTTCGCGGACCGGCGTCGATGAACTTGTTGTGATTCAAAGTCGCACTGCCGTAAGCGACGCTCTGGCGGACGGATGATGGCGTGACAGTTCCAACATCAATCCGTAGACACAAATCATAGGCCAACCAGCCAGTGGTCCTGTAGTCGCAGGCTCTCAGAGCCTCGTTGCGTCGAACCAATCTACCGAAGACACTGAAGCAAGACATAACTAGACCGTGGAACGTGCTAAAAATATCGACACCTTAATGTTCGTTCTATAGCTCTCAGACCTTCCAGAAGAAGATCATGACGAGAGAGGAGCGATCCTTTCATACACAGACTCCCCATTCATCTGCGACATGTGGCTGCAGAAGACACGAGAGACTAAACGGCGAAGAGCACAAGCAAAAGACCAAGCGTACGAATGCGAGAGGCGGCCATAGGAGGGCCCGAAGGATGCAAGCTAGGGGCGATCCACATGGAGATAGACGAGTGACCAGATCAGCGGGGCTGCGAACGGAGGGCTGACGAAAGCGGGCTCATTGTCGCTCCGGATTGACGCAGACGGAGGCGTCCTTGTAGGATGATGGCGCTGGGACGACGGCCGGTGGGAGAACGCGTGCACATCCAGCGGTGCGGAACACGCAGTCGTCGATTTGCAGCGGGCTTTTGCATGAGCAGATCGCCAGAGAGCTGCGTAGTTCCATCGCCGGTCCCGCCGGGCGTTCAGCCGCCATCAGCGTTTCAGACGAGTCCCCTGGTCTGGACGTCGTGCATGTCGCCCGCGTCGTGCTGGCCAACGACGAGGCGGCGTCGACTCGCACCGAAATGGAAGCACGCAGTTCGTCCAGGTCGCCCCGTTGACCGTCGTCAAGGAGTCGTGCGAACTCCCTCCGCGCTGCCAAACGTGCACGCTCTCCCAAAGACAGCCGTTCCTCGTCGTCCTGTCCTTGTTCTGCCGCGAACTGCTTCTCGTCGTCGTTCCCCGTTCTTTTGACGTCCTCCCGAACCCGTGCCTGAACCAAGCGTCTCGTCCCGACAGTCTGTGTTTCAGGCTATCCGCGACCACCGTCCAGGTCGGCAGCACTCCACACACCGCAGAGAAAAAAATAAACAGCCCAGCTGGCGTCGCCACTGCTTGTCCTTGGTGCTTACGCAGCTGATCGCACGATTCCTGGGTCTCGGCTGCTGCAGAGTCTGGCCGTCCTCCACTTTCCCTCCAACAAGCGCGACCCGACGCTCTACTACCCCGAGAGTCCCCCCAAACCTGCGCGCTCGCCAATACAGTCGACCGGCACCTCCCCCTCCCCCTTTCTCGCAAGAAACACCGCGGCGGAGAAAAAAAAAAAGCTTAAGCAAGGGCGAAGTCATGCACTTGCATTAAGTCAAGCAGACCTCTTCTCTCCCATTCACCACCCGCGCAGAAGACGAACCAACGTCGCCGCCGGCTTCGGCTGCGTACTGACCCTCTCGCCTTTCCAGCGGCTTGCCCCACGTCCTGATACCAGGCCCGAGATACACTCGTTATGGCATTGCTCACGTCGAGGACGCCGGCAGGTTACGGATCAAACATGGCTACGTACAGGGTGCAACAAACATCGACGCAGCATCACGGTTTTTTTGCTAGCCCGACGGAATCGGAATTTTCCGAACACTTTGACAGCCCGGGTTCTGTAAGGTATGTGTTTAGATTTTGGACGATGAGCATATGACGGCCGGCTTTGTGGGGCAAATCGCAAGCAGGCACTGCCAGCAAGCAACTGGAATGTGGATTTCTGGTTGAGCGCGGGCGGTCCCGCCTGTCAACCACAGCGGACTGATTGCTTCGCCCACCAAAGTCGCAGCCATGTCTATACTCGATCTCGGCGGCATAATGGAGCTGATAGACGTCAGGAACTGGGACGAGGAGCGTGTTGCAGAATGGCTGCGCAGCATCAACTGCGCACAATACGTCTCCTTGTTTCTCAAGAACAACATCACCGGGTCGAACCTGATGGAGCTCGATGCTGCTTCCCTGAAGGAGATGGGCATCTTGAAGATGGGCGATCGCAAGCGTATCGAAGCCCAGGCAAAGAAGTTCCGTGCGTCGGAGTACAAGCGAATATCCAAACGCGTAACAAACCGAGTATGTCTCTGATCACCCGTTTGCGAATGGGAGCAAGCTGACGTGCGTGTGTAGGAGTCTCTTGCTCTGCTGGACAACCCGAACTTCACTCCGCCTTCCTCTGCTTCGCCGAAAGCACCTCACTCTGCACGGTCCGCCCAGAGCACAAGGGCTGAAAAACGTATGTCGAGGCAGATCTCAGACCTCTCGAACATGGCCGCCAGCGCATCCTCGTTCAATTCTACCAAGCCACTTTCTCGCCCTTCGTCCCCGTACATCGAACAAGATCGAGGCACTCGCTCACGGGGGTTCGGTGCTGTTGGCAGTCCTCAGCGCGAGAACACGGCCCCGAACTCCGGAAGAACCGACTACACGACGGTGGCTTCAAGGTACGCGGTTCAGCCAAACCGGGCGGCAACAGCGCCAGCGGAGACCCCACAAACCACCCGCTTCCCCGGCCATCGCACAACACCGAGCACGGACAGCACGAATGCAACCATCTTGCCCGTCGACAAGGCTTTGATACGAGTCATCTATGACACGGGCCGCACGTCCGTCGTCAACATTGAAGGTTGTAAGGGAGTGGAAGACATCATGCTCAAGGCACTCCGAAAAGGCGGCCTGAACGAGAACCACTTGAAGAATTACTGCTTCTACGTGCTCGATGGGACCGAGCCGAACCCAGCCTTGTGCAGGCGCATCAACGACACAGAGGTCTGGCGCGTTTGCTCCGACCGCAATAGGCTTGAGCGCAACCGCTTGATTTTGCGAAAGATCCACATGGGCGAACCAGACGACGAACAGCTCAAGACGGCTGCTAGCATTGCAAGCCAGATCCATATTCAGCAACAGCAGAATAACCTGATCATTCCGGCCAGTGCACGCAGTCAATTGAAGATTGAGAAAATCACAGGAGAGTCTCTAGCACCAGTCAGCTACCCCTTGTCACCAGCATCCATGAAGGAGCGTGAGCGCTTCCAATCCACCTCCGCCCAGATCACATCCAACGTGAAACCCGTACCGAGGCCAAGGACAGTCTTGAAAGAGCATTTCGGCGGCCGACCGCCTAGTGAACTCATTGCCTCAGATCTGTCGACCTATTTCCCGGAGTACGAGCCTGCGGAAATCGACCGCACCGTCCGAATGTCTGTTCGCCGCTCTCGCCGCATCAGCAGAGCCACAAGCAGACTTAGCACTGTCAGCAACTTCAGCGTCGCCTCCAGCCTAAGGGATGCACCCCCTCTACCCGCAATCTCCGATCAGTGGCTTTCTCAGACACCCAAGGGTCCTCGCCCTCTGTCTGTCTTGCGTCTTGGCGGCGGTCCAGGCTATCGGGACTCGATTGCCTCGTCAATGCTAGAGCCGCTTGACGAGGAGTCACCGCTAGAGCCGGATCGCAAGTCGTACGTCTCTTTTGCAGGCAGCGAGGTCAACAGCATCGGCCCGGAGGGTAATTCCACTCCCATGCACGGTTATTACGACGACGCTCGTAGCAGCATCGCAGGTACTAGCTTTAGTGGCGGAAGTGGAGAGGGAAGCGACTCTCTTAACAAGAGATTGAGTCAGCTGGTGCATGAAGATAGCGAGGAAGAGGATGAGGAGCTGAACGAGTTCCTCGAGAACGATTCTTGGGACAACGTCAAGTACATGAAGGGCGCTCTCATCGGCCAAGGCTCCTTTGGCAGTGTCTATCTCGCCCTGCACGCCATCACTGGTGAGCTCATGGCCGTGAAGCAGGTTGAGATGCCCACGGACACGGGCACTGCCATGGATACGAAGAAGAAGAACATGGTAGAGGCTCTGAAGCACGAAATCGGCCTCCTCCGCGAGCTCAAGCATCATAACATCGTGTCTTACCTCGGCTCCAACTCCGACGAGAGTCACCTGAACATTTTCCTAGAGTATGTCCCTGGTGGCTCCGTGGCCAGCATGCTCGTCAACTATGGTCCACTCGGCGAATCTCTCATCACCAACTTTGTGCGCCAGATTCTCAACGGGCTCGCCTATCTCCACAGCAGAGACATCATCCACCGTGACATCAAAGGCGCCAACATCCTCGTCGACAACAAGGGCACCGTCAAGATTTCAGATTTCGGCATCTCCAAGCGCGTTGAGGCATCTTCCCTCCTTACGCCAGCCTCGAAGAAGGGAGCACAGCGTGTCTCGCTGCAGGGCTCCGTGTTCTGGATGGCTCCTGAAGTCGTTCGCCAGACGGCCTACACCAAAAAGGCAGACATCTGGTCCTTGGGCTGCTTGATCGTCGAGATGCTGACAGGCCAGCATCCCCACCCCAACTGCACACAGATGCAGGCCATCTTCAAGATTGGCAACAAGACAGGCGCGGATGCCAGCCCGGCCATTCCAGAAACCACAAGCGAGGACCTGAAGGCGTTCCTGGGCATGACCTTCCGTGGCGAGCACGAGCAGCGCCCCAGCGCAGAAGAATTGCTGAAGCACGTGTGGATTACCAAGGAGATGAAGTAGATTAGGCATCTCCTGGGATCGAAGCGTCGGAGTTTATGATAGATGATGATAGATGCGGCGATTGTCTTACTATTTGAGCGAGCAGGCATTTGTGAGCGGATTGCGGGATTCAACGTGTACCATACTGTTGCTCCTTCCTTTTTTTTTATATATCTTCTTTCAACTCAAAAATTCACAAGTGATCTGCAGACTGCAACCGTTTGCTTCTTTGAGAATAGATACAATGCTCGCTTCCGTGATCTGGATGCGTGTCTCCAGCTGTACTACTTTCGCCAACACATCATGGCAGGAGTCCACCATGGAACGAGCCTGATACCAGGCTGTCCTCTAACCTGTCTTTGGTCACGTAAAACACGTCCGGGAGCCAGTCGACAGTCTTCCCAAGCATCATCTCGCCAACGGCCTGTCCGCATCGGAAGCAGTATCCAGTGCCAAACCCGTTGAACCCGGCAGCGATCCACTCCCCCCCTTCCGGACGGCCCGTGACGGCCTCGGGAAGCCTTCCGACAAGAGGCGAGCCGTCCCTTGTGAAACCCATGATTCCCGACCACACCTTCTCGACTCGCGGGGCGGACTCGACGTTCTGGAACAGGGCGGGCAGCACGTGGCCGATCTTCTTTGCGGAGTTTGGGTTCAGCCGGCCGTCGTCGCTGGAGATGATGTTCTCCAGCCTCTCGTTCTCGCCGCCGAGGAACATGCGGCCGGACGTTGGGTTCTGTGTCAGGTAGTACAAGCCGGCGTTGGGCACGCCGAGCTCCGGGTCGACGCGCGACTCGCTGACGAAGGACCACGACCGGGCGGCGCCCGCGTTGGGGAACGCGGGCCCCAGATCCTGACAGCTCATCGTGCCGCGCCAGGGGAAGATCTTGCCGCGCAGACGCGGGATCAGGTGCGGCGTGAAGCCGTTGGTGCAGTAGACGACCCTGGCGGCGCGCACGACGCCCCTGGGCGTGGTCACCCGGTACGGAAACCGGGCGTCGTCTGACGCGTCGTCGCGCTGGACCTCCGTCACCGGCGTGTGCGTCTCGATCGTCAGCCGATCCTTGTGTCGTTTCAGCAGCAGCTCCCAAATGCCCGACCACAAGCGATATGGCCAAACCGCGGCCGCGGAGCCGACACATGCGCCCGCGACGTTCTTCAGCCCGTACTTCTGTTTCTTCGTCAATCTCGGCTTTCCTCAAGTCATCCGGACACCCGTACCTCTTCGGCCACCTTGCCGCCGATGAATCTGTACTTGTCTCTGTGGCATTCTGCAATCGCCAATCAGGTATTGTCTACCTTTCCAATAGAACGTATGTTCAAAGGTTCCACATACCCGGCATGGCTTCATTCCAGACCTTCAGCGTTTCCTTTGCTTCGTTGACGATGCTCTCATCGTTCAGCACCAGGACTTTCTCCGTCCGTCTGATTTCTGATCGCTCCTTCAGCTCCGGCTCGTTCAGCGCGTCAACCATCTCGAAGGTCTTCTCGCAGTTTTCGAGAGTGAAGTTGGCGATCTTGGCAGCCATCTCCCGGCCCCAACCTGCAACGAGCTTGGGGAAGTCTCCAAACGATGGAGAGATGATGTGCCCGCCGTTTCGCGACGACGCCCCGCTAGCAAGACCTCGGGCCTCGAGCACTGAGATCCTGAGCATGGGATCCCCTTCGAGCAATGTCTTGGTGACACTACATCCAGTCATGCCGGAGCCTATCACGACCACGTCTGCGGTGTCAGGCAGCGTCTCCGAAGCCACATTTGCAAGCGAATGGAGCGGAACCTGCCACATTGGCACTGTGGGATTTGGGACTGGCAGCCCCGGGTCGAAGTCGAAGGCATTCTTTTTAGCCTCTTCTGTAGCAACGTTCGCCATGCGGACAAGTTCAGTACTCTGGGGATTATCAACTTCGCAGACGAGCTCTGTAGCAAAACGTCAAGGTTCAGCCGTTAGGAAATGTTGAGTCAACCGCTACTTAAGAAGGCCTTCGCTACGGTCGTAACGTGATATAAGGTAAGATGACACGCCATTTTCTCACCAGCCCTGCGAAAACAGTGATCAATAGCCCACGAGCTGCAGTCCATTCGCCTGCTAGCTCAAGTAGACCGGCATGATTTGGTTGGAAGGATATGTCGCTAAACCTAATTAGGAATGTCAAGCCGACATACTCCCCATGTGTATTGGTTATGCGCCTGCTGAGATCAGTCGAAGCCAGTGTACTTTCATGATCTCGACATGTTTCAGTAGCTTATATCGGCGTATATGAGCATTGGCCTCGTTTTAAAGGTGGGATGGATGGAGTCTGCAAAGTGGAAACAATATGTACCAAGCATGGCCCGTCAAGGCCTGTGATATACGCTTCAGAACTAACAAAGATCAATCAAAATCAGGATCGCACCTTTGTTCCTTTCGAGGTTGGACCGGAATATGTCAGCTCGTAGAACAAGGAGAATCTTGAAACGCCAATCGATGACCTGGAGCTTGGCTTATGAGCCGTGAGTCAACTTTTGCAGCTTGATATTCACGTGGTTCATCAGGTATGCTGCAGCCGCAATTTCGTCTTTTCGATAAGCCTGAGCAAGGATAAGAGATCTGGGGCGTCAACTTCGGCGTCAAGTAGGGGGATTTCCATCTCGTATTTAGTCTGATTTTAATCGAGTATACACACACAGCGGGACCTTTCCGCTGCACTTGTACGTGTGGATATGAGCTCAGCTTGTTCCAGAAATAGAACTAGATCAATGCAAGATATCGAATTAACGTCGCTGAGAACGACAGTATTTGACTCTTCTCACACAGGCAACAAGCCATTTGACTGCCGAGACGGCCGGAGAGATTCAAAAATGTTCCGGGTTTCCGTTTCACTCCAATATGCCGGTGATCTACGCGGAAGAGGCTTAAAAGGCCAAGCCACTTCCCCTCATGCGCGATGACCTCGTGCGTTTCGAATCGTCCGCGACAGCACCACCAATCACATCTGACGTCCTGATTCGGAGCCCAAACAAATGGAGCTTTTACCTTCTACGATCTTCACATGGATGCTGCTCCATCCTTTTCTGCGAGACGCCGGAGGGGAGGCGGGGTAGCTGTCATGATCCGTTCCACGACGTGGAAGATGGCCTCGGAACTGCAACGGCCGGCGCTGAATCGACGTCGAACTGGTGCCATACACCTTCCTCGAGAGGGGGTTTAGGGGGGTTCTTTTCTCTCCTTCTGCTTTCTACAACTTCGTCTTCCAGTCGCGCAGAGACTCGTTTACTTTCTCGTCATCTCTACGAACGCCAATCTCCTATCCCAACCCTCAGGCTTCGATTCGTGATTTCTGGCCTGCAACTTGTCATATCACACGTCGTCTCTGACACGCTCAAATCCCCGAAATTTTTCACGCAATGGCTGCTCCCGAGCTCCCAAAGACTTACAAGGCGGCTGTGTACGATCAGCCAGGGAAGATCTCGACCAAGATCGTGGATCTGGAAATGCCAGAGCCGGGACCGGGTGAGGTACTGATCAACCTGTTAGTATTGACAAGCCTGTTTCTTCGCGTCGCTTCGATGGGAAGCTAATCCTTTCACAGGACTCACTCTGGTGTCTGCCACAGCGATTTGGGTGTCATGACCTGCTCATGGAGAGCCCTTCCCTTCCCTACTCCCGCCGGCCAAGTTGGTGGGCACGAGGGTGTAGGAACCGTTGTGAAGCTCGGCCCAGGCGCCGAATCCATTTGCAAGATCGGTGACAGGGTCGGCATCAAATGGCTGTCCGGTATATGTGGAAACTGTCCTGCCTGTCTCGAAGGCGTTGACGCATCATGCGCTGCCGGGAAGGTGTCAGGATATTTCACCCCAGGCACATTCCAGCAGTACGCCATCGGACCGGCAAACTACGTCACGCCAATCCCGGACGGCCTTAGCTCCGAAGAGGCTGCTCCAATGCTGTGCGCGGGTGTCACCGTCTACAGCGCTCTGCGCAAGTCCGGCGCGGAACCTGGACAGACCGTCGTGATTCTTGGTGCTGGTGGTGGACTGGGCCATCTGGCCGTCCAGATCGCTTCCAAGGGCATGGCCATGCGTGTGATCGGCATTGATGGCGACGCGAAGAAGGACCTCGTCATGGCCTCGGGCGCTGAGCACTTCATACCTCTTTCTGTAGGCGACACGGTGAAAGCCGTTCAGGATCTTACGGGTGGAATGGGCGCCCAAGCTGTCATAGTGTGCACAGCCGCAAACGGCGCGTATGCCAGCGCGCCAATGATGCTGAAGTACAACGGTACGGTCGTGTGCGTGGGTGTCCCTGAGGGTGACATGGTGCCCATAGCTACTGCGTACCCGGGATTGATTGTGACCAAGTCGCTGAAGATTGTCGGATCGGCGGTGGGCAACAGGAAGGAAGCTATAGACACGCTTGACATGGCCGCGCGGGGCATCGTCAAGACACATTACAAGGTCGAAAAGATGGACAAGCTGACTCAAGTCTTCGAGGACATGCATGCCATGAAGCTACAGGGCAGAGTTGTGCTGGATCTTTCCACGTGAGCCTATGAGCTGTGAAAGAAGAGCGAACACGAAAATGCTTAAATGTACATTTCTGAGATCACGGCAAAGCCCGGAATGAACACCAAAAATTTAGCATTGCTGTCGTCACGAGATATGCCCAGATACATTAGCCATGGTTAAAATTGAGGTCTTACACGATCCTCCCAAATCGACAGAAGACATGTATGGGAGTAGTTCTCTCCCGCCGTGGATCAAACTGATGTATAGGTCGTGCAGTCTCGTTGCTGCTTTAAGCAGCATTGACATTTCCCTCTTTGCTCTCACTTCTCAATGTAAAAAATAGCTTCAAGCAGCGACGTCGACATCCATCGCCGCCGTGGCCTTGGCCAGCAACGCTCCCAAAGCCCCCTCCACATCCAACCCTGCGACGCCGAATTTCTCAATCGCATCTTGTGCTCGTGGTACACCAATCACCACGACATTTTGTGGTACCACTACATCCTCGATCCCGAAGCAGCCAAAGGCAACGACCTTCCTCAGCTTGGGTGCGCTCTTGAACAGACCAGCCAGAACCAACGTATCCACATTCGATACGAAGGACATGTCCACCTCGAGGAGTTCGGGGTACTGATTCTTGCCGTCAAAAATGGAAATGAGAGTGCCGTAAGGTATGTGTCGACAGGACGTAATATGCAGGTATTGAAGTTTCGAGCCAGAATGTTTCATCATCGCAGTGAAGCCTTGCTCGCCTAGACCAATGGGTACGTCCAGAGGGCCGTCAGGGTTGTTGTTGTCCACGTCCCGGGTCCTGCTCACGTCAATGAAACGTAAGGGTGGATTATTCCAATCACTGAAAAACCTTGCCCAGGCAGCATCGGTAATTGTGTCGTTGGTACTTATGCGCAATTTTTCGATATTTCCGCTGTGTGTGGCCAGCGTTTCAAGAACGGCGTCATCCGCGTCGAGAAAATCTTGAAGACTGAGAGTGCGAAGTTGAGGTCCAAGAGAAATGATAAGCTGTGAAAGAGCTTCATTTGGTGTGGAAACACCAGTGCTAAACTGCAATGACAAATGTTTGAGGCCCTTCAATTGACTGATGCTCTCGAGACAGTTAGTTGTCAGACTTCTGCACCGCTTCAGTTTCAGGCGTGCTAAGTTCGGACACTTGGAAGCAAGAAGCTGAACGTGGCTGTCTTGAAAGAAGGCATCAAGATCTGAGAGTTGCAGACATTCAAGAATACTTCCGCGCTCGTTGAAGTACTTCTCCCAAGTCTCATTATTAATAAGGTTTGCCGCATAAAGATGGAGCCAGCGGATGTTCGAATTCTTCTCAATCATGTATTCCATAGTTTGATTCTTGAATTGACAGGCGTTGTCAAGGACCAGTTTCTGAAGTTTGGGGGAAGTTGCAAACATGCGGACAAAGTCCTCGTGGTCTAGATCTGTTCTTCGTCAGCATTGTAGTGGTTATATAATACGGTCTCCATACATGCGCAGTCATGGACAGTAATTTGCTCATTTTCAGGCCGCAAGAAGAGTGCAAATGTCTTGGGTCTCATCACTCTTTTCTTCGTAAAGATCTCACTTAGCCGCTTCATCTGTCGTTCAGGCATATCGCCTAGGTCATCAACGTCATCTGCATATTTGGAAGCCTGCTCAACACACAGTTGCTGAAGTGTTTTCGCACCAAGAGTGATGTTGCCGTCAAGCCTGTTGCTCTCTATCTTTCTTCTTTTGCGTCCGACGGGTCCCGCTTTCCGCTTTTGCTCCTTCTTCGCCTTCTCAGCTTCTTTCCCGAGCTCTTTACCACACGGAGTGCATAGCAAACCGCCATCAGGTCCAGTTTTAGAGTATGGTGTGACAGTGAAGCGCTTGTCGCACAACTCGCAGTTCGCAAGCTGGCCAGGCAACTTGACAGCCTTCTTGTAACCTCCAAATTCGGCAGCAAGGTCATTGTCGAGATCGCTGAGCTCAGATTCATCATTCGAATTGCCTGCCTTCGCTTTGTCCTTACGATACTTGTCTTTCTTGCTCTTGATTTTGCTAATAGCTTCTTCTTGCACCGCTTTCCTTCTCCTACGCGATCGCGCAATCATCTCTTCGACAGCTGCTTGCTCCTCCTCGTCAATTTCTTCGTCGTCTTCATTTTGTCCGGAGCGATCTGCGGCGTTCTGGTTCTCATTTTCCGCGTCCTGTTCAACCTGAGCACGCCTTCGCTGATAATCATCACGAATCTGTTGGGCAGAGATATTGTTCGCAGCCAAGAAATCTGTCAGAGCGGACTGTCTACATGACTGTCAGAAACAATGGGCCAAATATATGTTGAAACGTACGGTCCGCGAATGCGATTTCCACCTCTGCGGCCGGACCTGAATTGTGCGTCAGTCATAGATCACATTTTCCGAGATTAGGGAGAATAGGGAGTTACATTTTAGAGCTCAACGAAAAGATTACGTAGTCTAGAAGCCCATGAGAGTTCGATGCACAACAAATTCTGAGGATTGCTGGAGGCTTGGAGCTGAATGAAACTGCTGGATCGCCACTCTTTCAAGGGCGCGTCAGCTTAGGCCTGGCGGTTCACCAGGCTCACACCAAGTCACGTGATAAAAGATGCCAGAAGCAATTTCTTTTCCTATTCCGGTATAGTGTCTTTCATTGCTCTGTGAGAATATATCTATTCATTCTTACGCAAAGCCATTGGATGTCCCTTGTGTCGACCCATTGAACTTCCTGCAAGTCCATCTAACCTACAAGCCTCGCCTACGAAAAAGCGTGAATAAATGGCTGCCCAGTAGTTTTACATCTAGTTGAGTTGCTTTGCTGTGTTCACTGCCCTCGTCAAGCACATCCAACATCCTCACGACTCCGACGACGAGCTGACAGCATTACTGCCACGCCATGGCCCTTTGTCGAATTCATCGTCTTCCAGATCGTTGCCGTGGATGCTGTCATTGCTTTCCGCGTCACTGTCGGTGCTCGACTCGTGCCCATTGCTGCCAGTTGATTCTGCAGCACCTATTTCTGCGTTGTTTGAATTCTATTTGAGGTAAGCATCATAATAGAAAAGTTTATTCTTCTGGTGCTATCTTACGTGGGAGCCAGCTCGAGGAAGATGTTTGCTTGCGTAGGAAGATTCGGCAGACGTGGAGACGGCAATCCGAGACCTAGGTACCACATGGCTCTGACCTAGGCCGCTAGCCCGACCAGAAGATAGTGGAACGCCTCCAGCAGTATTCATCCTAGCAGCATTAAGACTACTGAAAAGTGTAGATGCCAAGCGTGAGCTTCCAATCGAACTAACGGAGCCACTATCGGTCTCCGCGATTGAAAGTTTGTCGAGATTTGTGCTAATCGAAGCGTTGTCATAATTCTACGATTATCAGTAACTTGTTTAGATGATTTGGAACCTTTCATACCATGATGTGCGCCTCGGATGTGTCGTCGTCATCATCAGAATACAAGTCATCTGAAACGTCCGAGTAGTCGTAGTCACTCTCGTTATCACTATCTGTCCTTGTTGACGGCGCCTCAAGATGGACAGGATCGAAACTAGTCCTCTCATCCATGCAACTCAAGCATGTCTTTTCTTCCGTATCAGCATCCTTCACTTTTGACGAGGTGACAGAAACTCACGGCGTTGTCCCGGTCCTTACGCTGTGCCTTTGCAAAATGCCCAATGTCTTTCCACTCCTTGCAGACGATGCATTCGAGTTCGCTCTGTCCATTACCACTACAAGCGCCGCATAGAACAGCATAAGTCGCGTGCTCTCGACCCTGACGGTAAATGGCTGCGCGAACTTCGGCCTGACGGGCCTTGCTGTATGCCTCGGGACTCTTCGACTTCTTGCATAAGTCGCACTTGATGAACTTGGGCAGCTCAATCTTCTGAAGTCTGTGGATAATGTCAATGACACGAGTTGTTTTCTGTCAAGGTATGAAGTGCTAACTGGGTGTTTGTCAAATAGCCATAATTGCCTGTGACACTGTTGTACTTCATGCTTTTCTTCTTTCCCATATTTAGGATCTTGAAAGCTCGCGAGGAAGTCGTATTAGTGGTAGCGACAAGATTGCAAAAGATTTTAGCACTCTCTTTGAGGATGATTCGAAGTAAACTACGTACGGAGATGGTGTGGTACTATGTACGTTGGAAGGTAGCTGCGGCTGAAGCGACATGACACGAAAGGCATTGATTGTTGAGGTTACGAGCGGTTTACTACGGCATCACTGTACACTCTTGATATCAAGATTGCATGAAGCTCTAAGGTTTGACCGGACAAGACTCATATCATGTTAAACGATCTCCAATTTAACATGGATCGTCAGAGCAGTCTGTTTCGCTATTTGCAGTCGACCTCCTCCGCTACGTTCGTCACCTACAACCGCATCCCAGACAACTTGATGTGATTTGATTCTTCACAGAAGTATTGACATGTAGTTGCTTCTGAAGTTCTCTAATGAGCGCATCATTCACGTTTTATGGAGTTAAAGGCTTCGCCTCCACCTTTTTCTTCGTGACAGGACGGTACTTATCCTCGGGCTTTTCACGATTGCTGTATCGCTATACCGGAAAATTGTTCTTAGCATTTGGATTATTGAGGAGCACTGCACTGAACTTTTGGGTCGGGTGATTATACTTATAAGTTAAACTCCCAATTTCGTGGTGTTCTACGGCTTTGTTTGGTCCTTCAATAAAGTCATGAAATAATGATTGATGTTCGCGTAAGGCACGAGAGGACTAACATGATTTCACTTAGTTTGATTTTTTGTATGGCTCCGAGCCGGAGTGAGTTACCATTGTGGTCTGACTTGTAGCTCGATTGTCGAGAACAGGTGCGGGTGAGAGAAAGACCCAAAGGAGCATGAAGTTTTATGATGAAATCAGCCATAGAGTATAACAAAAATAATAAAAAAAAGGACGATTGATTACTTCGTAAACTTGAGAATGATGAAGCTCTGGCATGGGAGAGCTAAAATATCACCCCTTTGCTTGACGTTTACGTGCTCTGCGGGAAAAGCTGTAGGGATGAAAGGCAGATAATACTATGCTTTCAGGAGTCCCCACATGCTGGGTCAAAGCATTTATTTAGTATCCATTCATGTCACTTACTTTTGCGGGCGGACGCCAGAAAAAAGGTCGTTACCCGTGCGGAAACACTGGGTCGAAGGAATTAAACAGGAGACATTTTGAGGAAATTCAAATCGGACGGCGGCAACATATAGAGCACACTGCACCGATCCCTGGGAAGGCAATCATCACCTCTGCCATCCTTCATTGCCCCAGGCTATGTTCATTACGATTCTCTTATGAAATCTTGAGCTCTAAACCAGTGGTCCAGCGCTCGGGCATGACCAGGTCATAGCCGTAGGGTAGATACCAACATATGAGATCGTTAGACCGAACTGGTATTAAAAAACATCAGGTCAGATTTGTCGATCAAGAATTGCGGTTGTACGAAAACCGGCTTCAAGAACCCACTCAGGGATTCAGTGTCGCCGGAAACTTGGATCTACCCCTTTCGTCTAAGGCGCAAAAAGTCAAAAACAAGCCAAAAAGTTTCACACATCGAGAGCCGGAAAAGGTTCGAGATTTGCATCTGTTTAGATACGTAAATACTGCTGTGAAAACTCAGAAGCACATCATCAGTACCACGGCTCTCGTCCCTCTGCTCTCCAAACCTGCCTTCCCTTAATCCAAGTTTCAAGAACATTTCCCTCGTCATCCAACACCACGAAGTCTGCCCTGCGCCCCTCCTGGAGTATGCCTCGGTCTAAAACACCCATCATGTCGACCACATTTTCTGTTACACATCGAACAGCCTCCGCTACTGAGCAGCCGGACCATTTAATGAGATTCTTCACGCTTTCGTTGACTGTGGTACAGGAGCCAATGAGCGTGTTTGTTCCTTCAATTGTGGCAATGGGTCCTGCTTTGACTTGGTTTTGAGTTACTAAGCTATTACCGGGGTAGGTTCCGTCTGGGCGTCCGGCAAGTTCAATGGAGTCCGAAGCCAATATGCATCGCTTGGGGGCCGCTCGATACAGCATGGTGACGACGCTTGGGTGTACGTGATGGCCATCAGCAATGAGCGAGTAGTACGGCGCAATTGTCCCCGTACTTTCATTCACAGTGATCAGTCCTGCTAGTCCAGGTTCTCGGTGGTGTAATGGGGGGAAGCAGTTCATCGTCTTCGTCAAGCACGTTGCGCCTTCGGAAAGAGCCTTTAGACCCTGGTCGTAGGTGGCAGCACTGTGGCCAAGGGAAACTCGTACATCGCTATTCACGAGGGATCTGATAAGGAGTTCCGACTCTGTCAATTCAGGTGCAAGTGTCATTAGCTTCACGTTCGAGAATCCTTGGCCATAAAGGGAGCTGAGGGAAGTTCTTATTGGCTGGAAAAGTTCTGCGTTGTGCGCTCCTGGCTTTGACGGGTTCAAGTATGGCCCTTCGGCATGCGCACCAAGCAATGATGCTCCGGCTTCGTGATCTTTTGGAGCTAACAATGGTAATATCTGCCGGCACGCCATTAGAATGTTGCGATCTGGAAGATGATGTGACGATGTTGAAGGTCGTGAATCTCTGGTTCATATTCCAGAGACTCCAATTATCCGAGGGTAAGAAAAATGTATTACCTTCTGATACCGTTCGGACGTCGTCGTTGGGATTGTGGCCCAGAATCCCGTGATGCCTTGCGAAGGATAGAAACTGGCTGCCTCCTGCAGCTTGAGGGCATATTGCTCGTTGTCTTCGAATGTTGAAAAGTGAAAGCCATTCACCCCGTTTGTCTGCAGCTCCAGGAATCCTGGGGCAATGATAGCATCGTCCAAGTCAACGATTTCGCCGCCGATGAAGCCTGTGCTCTCAAGGATCTTCCCTTCATCTGTTGAGACGACGAGTCGTTCGCCCTCCACCAGTTCGCCGCCAATGCATAGGCGGCAATTTGTGAAGGTTGTGAACAACCCTGGCATGGCTGCAGGATATCAGAACAGAGCCCTTCCCGAGTAAAACTATGCGCCAACAAATTCTGTCATGGCCAGTTTTAGCTCCAGGCTGACGGATCAGCACAAGCACGGATTAACGATGAACGATTTTCACAGGTGGATGCACGGACCTGCCCAAGAGTTCGCCATGGATGTCGAATTCTTGAATCCACCCTTGCTGTGGCAGCTCCTTGTGCATCGCCGCTCCAGACATTCGCAGTGATCATGGTTGTCGTGGATTAAATGATACGAACTATGGCTATTTTGGGCAGAGAACAAGCGATCCTTGATCTTCATGAGGAATCCCCAGGCTTCGTGTTCATGCACCAGACGCGGCTCGACGATGTCAATGGCTGGTGGCGCGGCAAGCCACATAAGCTACCTGTGACATCATAACGATGCACAATGCCAACTCGTGAACCAGACAAGAAACACAGCATCCTTCACCGTCTTGAGGTAAATACCTTGCTTCTTTCTAGGTGCTCGATTTCAATTCAGCTCAATTCGTTCTTTTTCTTCGGTTCGGCTGTTCTTCTCGGTTTTCTCTTCAGCTCCCAGCCCTGACTAGAATAAAAACCCAGCGGGTTCACGCAAGGCAGGACGAAAGCTATAGTCTTGACCGTCATAGACGGCTCAACGACCCTCCTTGAAGAGCTAAAATGGCAGACCAACAGCAGACTGCCCCAAAGGGATATTATTCAAACACGAACAAAATCCCCACTGTACAGCAGTTCATAGAAAATTTGGACAGAGGCAAGAAGGAACGAGATCGGCAAATAGACGAAGCAGTACAAGCAAAGACGCAAACAGCAGAGGCACACAAGCCAACTCCAAAGGGGAAAAATCAACGTTATGCCACCGATCCAGTGACCGGAAAAGAGGTTGTGATTGAGGATGCCACGAAGGAGATGTACACACATGTCACAGACCCCAAGCTGTCTGTTCCAAATGCAAATCTAGGGAAGGATACCGTTGGTAGATCCCATTTCCTATTGAGATGATAATACTGACAGATACAGCCCATCAAAACCGACGCTTCTCAGAAAAACCCCGAATACAAGGAAGCCCAGGACATAACAGCGCCGCCAGACCCAATCGAACCGGGAACGACATCAGATGTTCCCATCCATGGCGAGAAAACGAACATCCTGTTCCATCCTACACCTTCGGTCAGCTACGAGCCCACTTTCGCCAGGCTCGAGAAGCAGGCTGGCGTAGTCTGTGTCACGACTTTCCTTGCCATCATCGTCCTTGGGAAATGGTTTGGTGGCTCATTAAAGGGGCTCATTCCCCTTGCTGCATGTGTTGCCTCCGGATTTTGGCTTTGGATGAAGGAAGTCGTTCGAAGTGGACGTGAGGTTGAATGGGAAAGCGAGAAGGAACGCGGTCGAACTGTGAGTGTCAGACTATTCTGGGTGATGACACGAGCTAATCTCCTTAGGCCACGCAAAATTTGCTTCCAGAATCTGTCGAATGGATGAACACATTGCTTCAAATTGTGTGGGGCCTTATCAATCCCGACATGTTTGCTTCAGTTGCAGACACTCTTGAAGATGTCATGCAAGCTTCCGTGCCTGCTGTCATAGAGAATGTCCGCGTTGCCGAAATCAATCAAGGAAGCAATCCGATCCGAATCCTAAGTATTCGAGCGCTTCCAGATGATCACATGAAGGAGATGAAGAAAGCTATACATGAAGAAAACAAAAAGACGAAAGACCCTCAAGAAGCTGCCGCCGATGAGGAAGGCGGTGACTTTTACAACGTCGAGGTCGCCTTCGCATACCATGCTGAACCGACTGGAAAACGTGTATCAGAGAAAGCTCGCAACATGCATATGCAACTGGTGTTTTACCTTGGCATCAAAGGGCTTTTCGGCGTCCCTCTTCCAATTTTCGTTGAACTGCAAGGGCTCGTCGGCACCGTTCGTCTACGGCTTAATTTGACACCGGAACCGCCATTCCTTAAAACTGTCACAATGACTCTGATGGGAGTTCCTCAAGTCACCGCAGGCTGCATCCCAATGCTCGAAAAGGGAGTCAATCTTCTCAACCTGCCATTGATTTCGAACTTCGTCAACTACGCCATTGGTGCGGCCGCTAGCATGTACGTAGCACCAAAGTCCATGATGATCGATGTCAGGTCGATTCTACAGGGTGATGATATCACGAAGGACGTGCACGCCCTTGGCGTCTTGTGGATTCGCATCCACCGTGCCGTTGGACTCAGCAAGCAAGATAAACGCGGCAGCAAATGGGGTGGGAGCGACCCATACATCACCCTGTCCTTCTCAAAATATGGCAAGCCGATGTACTGCACGCGTGTTATCACTGATGATCTTAATCCTATTTGGGAGGAAACTGCGGCACTGCTGGTCACCCCGGAACTCATTAAGGCTGACGAAAACTTAAGCGTCGAACTATGGGACTCTGATCGACACAGCGCAGATGACATTGTTGGCAAGATTGAACTGAGTATGCAAAAGATGATTCAGCATCCCGGCAAAATGTTCCCTCAGGTTTCGAAGCTCGCTGGCATGGATGCCGGTAGTGAGATGCCAGGCGAACTACACTGGGAGGTTGGATATTTCGGTAAACCCAAGTTTAGACCCGCTCTACGCACTGATGGAAAGAACTCGGCCCTGCTTCCGGAACTTAAGGACAAGCCGGAACTGCAAGACGAGAAAGGGGTTGCGAACTCCGCTGAGGACGATGCCGCCCAACACACTCCACCTGATCCATTGTGGCCATCAGGAATTGTCAACATTGTCATTCACCAAATCGTTAACCTAGAGTTGGAGAATATCAAAGGCAGCGTTGGAAACCGCAAGGGCCGTGAATACGAACCTGCAAAGCCTGCTGGTGAGAGTAAAGAAGAAACAGGCTCACACCTTCCAACAAGCTACTGTACAATTCTCTTTAATGACGAGCTTGTCTACCGTACGCGATCAAAAGCCGTCAGCAGCCAGCCTATTTTTAATGCCGGCACGGAGCGTTTTATCCGAGACTGGCGCTCAGCCATTGTCACCGTCACCGTCCGTGACTCACGAAATCGTGAGCATGACCCAATCCTTGGTGTTGTGCCACTGAAACTGTCGGACATCTTGGATACAAGCTCACAAGTTACCCGATGGTACCCGCTTGACGGCGGCATTGGCTTTGGTCGTATACGTATATCACTTTTGTTTCGAAGCGTCGAGACTCGGCTACCACCAAACATGCTCGGCTGGGACGTTGGCACTTTTGAATTTACATCCGAGCGAATTCTGGCTACAGGATACAAGAATGCTGCAAAGCTCAAGATGCGGACTGGCGGCAGCAGTGGAAAAATTTCTCGCTCTGAATGCAAGCCACTTGAAGAAGGTGACGGATATTTCTGGGATCTGCAGCAAGACAACATCCGTCAAGCTGCTCGCTTGCCCGTGAAATACCGCTATCGGTCTCCTATAGTTTTCGAGTTCCACGTATCTGGCAAGCGTAAAGTAGATGCTTACGCTGTTATCTGGTTGCATCACCTAATCGACAACGAAGACACACCAATCAACATTCCGATCTGGCAAACGAGCGCTCCTGCTCGTATTACGCAGAACTACATTACTGAAGCTAATTGTAAGAATGAAGTTGCTCTGGACGATCTTAAGGAGGTCGGCCGACTCCAATTCCGAGGCCGCTTCAAAGCTGGAATGGATGAGAGCCACAAGGCATTCATTTATGACAATGACTCTCGTGAGACCTTCGAAACTTGGGAGGCATGCCTTGCGGAGGGCGTTCGTACCCGCAAAGTAGACAAAGAAGTGCCAGAAATTGTCCAGCAACTGCATGAAGAATCTCTCTCCGAAGGACGTGACATTTTGCAGTCAGAGAATGAAAAGGAGAAGAAGAAGTGGCTTGACAAATCCGGCAGGGACTGGTCTGGGGCTTTTGGTCAAGATCCGAAGGCTTATGTTGACTTTCCATCACGTCAAAAGCGGCGTGAGCCCGGGGTCGATCCACCACTGCACGATCCACACCACCCTAGCGAGGATGAGCACAGTACTGACGATGATGATGTCTCTGATTCCAGCAGCGAGATGGATCTAGGTATTCAGGACGCTGACAATACTGAACACTTTTCACGTCGTACGCTGAGAGGGGAGGAAAAAGATGACAGCGAACAGAGCAATGAGCAGCGCAAGAGTCTCTCGACGGTCGATACGTCTACAAACTCAACTACGGACACCAGCATAAGCGCAAAAAGTAGTAAAGATATCAACAAGCAAAACAAGCGGACTGAGCACCGTAAGCATAGAGGGATGATGCAATGGAAACCTATACGAAATGCGAAATTTGCTGGCGACGAAAGCTTGATCGGATTACGAAAGCTGAAAAACAAGCTGACGGGTGGTCTGGACGGCAGACAGCCCGACGTGGAAACTGGTAAGCAAATGAAGTGCCAATCTAATCGAACTGATCGAATGCTAACCACGTCATAGAAACCGCATGATATAGGCATATGCATATGGTGGACACGAAAATAAAAACGACAAGTTTAGGCTTTTTAAGGAACTTCGGAAGTTTTAAGAGTATTTATGCGCTTCAGTTGTATGATTAAAACTGGTCGACTACGAGTTGAGAGAACTGAAACATAAACGACGTCATATAATATACGTCTTTGGACTTTGCAATTGTTACGAAAGCCAAAAGTCATTATACACACAAACACACACACACACACATATATATATATATTGAAATTTTGCGACCAAGAGATTCTATATCAAAGTTTTCACATTTTCATTGTAGCAATGAGGCAATGATGTTAGACATAGTGTCGCGATGAGAACAAAGTATCGAACAAGAAATACATGGGGTTACAGCAGGGTATCAAACCATTGAATGCGCTCCGAAACACGTGAGCTCTTCATACTGAATCGATTAGTTAACTACCGCTAGTACAAATCGCTCCGACGAGCTTCAAAGGTTGACGTAGAAAATACCCCATGTAATTTGACTGTCTATCTAAGCACTCTATAATTGAAAAGTTCCGGTTGGCATCAGGCCCTATAAGGCTTCATGGAATTGATGGAGTTTGTATATAATTAAGCATCAGATTTGCGTAGATCTCGCGACTGGCATTCGACGAAGATACGAGACAAATTCTCATCGTGCGGAATCCGGAAAATGGCAGACTGGTTCTTTTTTGGAGCATTGCACAAAGGGCTTTGAGAAGCAGAATCCTCCTACAACTGTACCCTCAGTCACGCTTACGACTGTAGTAGATCGAGCCGCAAGCTCTTTTTCGATCTTCGTATTTTAAGCCGCAAGGAGCATAAAGAATGGCATGCTGAGTGAAGAGGGAGACCGGCTGACATGTGACTTCACGCTAGAATCTTGAAAGCATCTGAAACTGGAGATGGGCTACTGCACATCCTTGCTTAACACTGAAAGATTTACCGGGGAACGAGGAGGGCTCGATCTCATGCTCTCGTATGGGGAAGTGATCACAGCAAGCATGTGTGGGGTTTGTCTTAATTTATGTCTTTCATAGTCATACTAACAACCTCATAGCTTTAAATATTCCTTTTCGTCCAAAACTTGCTATTATTTTGAGATCTATGCCATTCGTCCTTTTACGGGTCAAGATCGCTTATGTATGCATTCTATCCGTGGTGCAATCTTTCTTACGCGGCCAAGGTGAGAAGATTCAGAGTAAACCAGTTACTCTGAAAGGGCGTCTAGTGTAACGAATCTGAACTTTCATTTCCTGCTCTTTCAAAGGCTCCAAGACGAAGCGCGGTCGATTACCTTGGCTGAGAGCTAATCGTTGGCCCACACTAACTCCCCGCCATTGGTGAATGGACACCCAGAGACACCATTCCTAGAGTACTCCATCATTGCCTCCGCTTGGGCTAATGTAGACTTCTTAGATGCCTTGGCCAGCTCTGGCGGACCAACTTCGTCGTAAGTAAAGCCTTTACTTCCCCATTCGCCACCTGCGTGAAGCCTCCCTCCTGACCCCAGCCAAACCTTAAAACGTGTCCAGGGATCGGTTTTCATATACCAGGGCTCGAAAGCGTACACAGTTCGGTACATACGGCCTTCTGCATCCTTCTCCGGCAACTTAGGGGGAGAAGTGAAACGAGGAAGGAAGAAGTGTCTAATTAGCACGCCGCGAAACCACAGTCCGTTGTGTACCAACCACTCAATCCAAGCAGGTGGATCTGGCCAGCCTAAAGCTCTTCTACATCTCGGCTCCTTTCGACTGGGTTAGCGTCATGAATCTGTTAAGAGCAATGCAAGCATACCATCAGCGACTGGGCAAATCCAAGCATAAATCCGTGCAGTGGTTTCGGCAAATTTCTTAGAAAGAGATCCATGGTATTTTTCGTACAGATGACGTTATCTGGCGAGAACTTCTGTTCTTTCTGTTCATATTCCTCCTTCCACTTGACGAGCTCTTCCAAAGTATCGGGAATATTATCCATGCCCATTCTAAGGCCGATCTCCTTCCAGAAGACAAACCTGGACACCTCTTCCATCTTGGTCAGAGGCCGCCAGCCGTATGCATTGATAAACTTTATGGGCTCTATAATGAAGAATGCAAGCGTAGAAAGCATTTCTCCCTTCGAGATCTGGTTCTTGTATCGACTATGAAGCCAGTTAACTTTTGACAGGGCTTCCATCCATCTAATTTCATCCATGTCGCCAGCAATAAGCTCAGCGAGGAAAACTCCAGTGTCTTCGGCGCGCCGTCCAACACACTTGAGGCTTCCGATCTGCCTAGTTTTCACTAGTAATCTAGTTCCGCGTGCGATGCTGTAGGTCTTAATGAGGGCCCACTGCGTTGACAGGAGACTGAGAAACACTTGCTCATCGAGCATGTGTAATTTGGCAATCTCGTGGGCGGTCCGATAGTCCATGGAATAAGGTTTCTCGACATATTTCGCATATTTCCGTTCCAGTCTATTAATGCGTTGGTACCGAAGCACACGGACAGCGATCAAGTACGCAACCAGAAGAGAGGCGATCCACAACCGAGGAGCGCTCTGAAAATAGCCCACGACATCCATGACGGAGATTCAAACGACTGAAGTCTATCATCGGCCAGATTTTTGTTTTCGCACAATTTCTACTTCACTTTATGTACTGTCGAGTGGCCATGCACATGCCGGGACCAGATCAGCTCTTCTGACTGAGCAGAAACACGGCAACCTTGCTGACTTCCCTCTGCAGAGCAGATGATTCAGCGAGGTTGACAGTGGCTGCGTAGTTGGCGCTGCGCTCCGGTCGGGGTCGTTGGCTGGTTAGGGCATCGGATGCTGGGATTGCGCTGCCTCGGCTGGTTGGTAGTATAGGACAAGCCAGAGTCGCCCGCGTTGGAGACGAGTTCGCTTCCTCCATCCGCGACCTTTCCAGTGCAGGCGGTGCGGCCTCTTCCCCTGTCGACGATCCACTGTGTAAATGCATCCCCGCGTTTCAAGCCCGCACTTACACGCCTACAACCTCAACTGACACAGCTACCTGTCCACGAGCCGCGCGGCAAGCTCATCATGCCAAAAAGAAATGCCTTGACTGAGGAGCAAATTGAGCGGAGGCGCAGTATCGACAGAGCCGCTCAACGTAATGCGCGCGCAAAGACAAAGGCACGCATCAAGGAGCTAGAGCGTCTAGTTGACTCGCTTCAGACGAGTCAGGGTGACGAACGACTCCAGAATGTGATGATGATGCTGGAGCAGCAGCAAGAGGAGACTAGGAAGCTGAAAAGTACCCTTGAGGCTGTTCGAAAACTTGTTGGCGAAAACCTCTCGCTGTCGCCAGGTCCACAGCCTGATGCGGGAAGCGAGAATGATGATGGGAAGGTGTTTCCACAACCGCGCAGCGTCACCAGTGGAGACACACTGCATGATCCAACATCACATCCAGCTGCACCCTCTTCCCAAAGATCGTTTGGAAGCACAAGCCCTCAGCGATTCGATTTTCCGGAGCACCTTCGCCCTGCCCAGGGATTTCCAGTGAAGCTGCCAACGTGGAAATCAGTGAACAACGCTCTCGAGAAAGCCGTCGAGGCATTGCGCCAGGAAACCCAGATTTCACTGCCAGCTGACATCGACATCGCCATACGTGCTGTGGTTGATGGCTGGACAGCAGCAAAGTCGGCACGGTCGCTAGATCTTGGTTGGATTATCCTCAAACAAATCGACCAACATGTATTTTGTGACACTAGCCCTGCAACTCGTTTAGCGATACTTCGGGCCATGCGCTTGAACTTGCTCGTATGTCTGCGCGCTCAAAGCAGACATCGTACTGTATGCTGACCACTGAGTAGAAACTGGTTGACTCAAGACATTCTGAGACAATTGTGCCTGCATTTTATCGTCAAAGGTACTCCGAATCATGACGTCCACTCGTATCAGATCATGAGAGCTAACTTTTGTCAGGCCATCTCAGCGAATGATCAGGCATCCGGTACTAGTTGACTTCTTCGTGTGGTGAGCTAACCAATAGCAATCTTATCTCTCATTTTTTTTAACAAGTTTGCTAGGCCAGATCTTCGAGATCATATTCTCTTGTCGCCTTCATTATATCAGCCAGATGTTTTTGCATCGCGATTCTCTAAAAATGTTCACTTCCTATGGGCTGACAATCTCTCAAATTTATATACTCTAGATCATTTCTCTGGAACTTACAGTTTCAGTCAACATTTCGATTCGCGCTTCCAAGACATCAATTGTTGGACGTTGTCATCGGACTTCTTTGTCCACTATCCCCAGTTGATTGGCGTTGTGCCAATTTACAATGCAATGCCGCCTAGTCTTGTCCTTCGGATTCCTACGAGCGGACACGGCAATTCGACACAAGAAGTGTCCAGTGACTTTGGCGACGGAATGGACGCGGAGGGAAATATGTCGGCCTTCCATACCTTTGGCGAAGGAACCACATGGGCCGGTCCAAATATGTTTGGAATCAATCAATGAGATTGTTGTCTCCCTGCTTACGCGTTGAATTTCGCAACAGTGAGAAAATGAGGCTGTATGGAACGGATTTTGGTCGACGATGACTTGTTGAAAAGTTCGTTGACGCAATAGTTACGCTGTTAAAGACCAATAATCACGCATCGCAGTAAAGCCCGGTGTGGTATTCGTTTGGGCTGGTTCTTCAACGAGCTACTTCAGGTGATGCAATTCTTGGCTCACGTCGGGAACAACTATTTCGCAATAGCCCTCCATCGGTACCTTACCCTCCGCCTTCAGCTACTTGCTGTATTGCTTGGATATGTCCACTTACTACATGTTAAACTAAAAATGTTATACAACATCAAGCAAGGTTGGAATGCCGCAAGAGCACAGTGTGGAAGAATTATGGCTAATGAATATTAGCAGATTTGATACGATTCATCGTCGAAATCACACTTGCTATGCAGGAACTGTTCATTAGCGGGCAACATTCCTGCAGTATGATCTGGATTGACGAAAGGTCTACTTGTACACTTGGTGTGAAGAGTTCCATCGGCATTTCACTGTTTGATTTAATACTGCAATCGGCTGCACGAATCATTTGGACATATCTCTCTCTATTGGTGACTCATCAATGAGAAGCACATGATCACTACCTTCAACTGAAAGTGAATATCAAATGAAGCCAATCGTTTCATGTGCGAAAATTGTCTTCATAAAAAGAGTGTGTATTTCAAATTGTGGGTCATACTGCTATATAGATATCAGGACCCGATATCTTGACTTCGTTCGGAAAGTACGAGAAACTAGATGGCTCAAATTGAAATATGCGGGCACAGTCATAGACTGTCGCGTCGCAGTGCAAGATTTCCTTTCTCCTGCGCTTCTTCTGCTCTGCGTTCGAGATCATGGGATTCGAAATCTTGCATCTTCATCGTTGGTACAAACCATGGCGCATTGGTAAAGAGATAATTCATCTCCTCAAGAGGACGCTTCTTGGTTTCCGGCATGAACGCCCAGAAAAACACGGCGTTTGTAAAGTTGCAAACCTACAACTCGTCAACATGTTGAAGTCAGGTTTCTGCGAACAACTCACGCAGAATAGAAAATACCACCTGTACTTGATAGTCTTCATAGCAGTACTTGTGGTTTGACCAATCATTGTGTTGAATGCGAAACTAGTCATGGTTGCAATACTGACACCTTTTGCACGCGTGCGAGTGTCGAAGATTTCGGCAGGGATGATCCAGCTTAACGGGCCACATGTTGCCGAGAACGAGAAATTGTAAAGCCAGGTCATAGCAATAAAAGCCCAGCTTGCAGCGTGATGAGTGTTAGGACCATTCGTATCTGCGGGATACTTCGCAAGTAGAATCGTTGCAATGACAAAGGTGATACAATTTCCAAGATTTCCAAGTATGAGCGGCCAGCGGCGACCTGTGTAATCGATGACCAACATGCAGAGAGCCTGCGCACCCAGTGCGATAATTGAATTGTAAGCCTGATATTTGAGCGTATCGCCGCCACTGATACCCATCTGACCGTATATTGTTACTGAATAATATTGAATCGCACTGACACCGGTCATTTGCACACTGGCCTGCAAAGCAGTTGCGAGCCAGAGCCTGCGGAAGCTGCTCATATTTGTGAAGAGCTCGCGGTATGATTTTGCTTCGTGCTCGTGTTCGTACTCAATTGTGTCTCTTATTTGGGAATACTCGGCAAGGACCCATGGGTCACGCTCATTACCATGAGCATGCAATTTGGCAAGAGTTTTCAAGCCTTCCTCTGTATGGCCGTGATCAATGAGCCAACGGGGAGATTCCGGGAAGAGAAGGATAAGCAAAGCAAGCAGGCCGGCCGGTATAATCTGAATACCTAAGCTGACTCTCCATTGTTTACTGTCTGTGTCTGGGAAGCCGACGAAGCAACCATAGGAGATCCAACTGGCGGCAAGAGCACCTATTCCTAGCATAAACTGCTGTAGACCGGTGACGCGGCCACGAATATCCGGATGGACGAGCTCAGCTTGGTACATCGGGACAATCATGACTAAAAAGCCCACGCCAACGCCCGCAAGACATCTTCCTGCGTATAGGTAGCTAAGTGATTGTGCGCCAGTCTGCAAAGCGCCGCCGAGGCAAAAAATGAGCGCTCCAATGAAGATGGTCCATTTCCGACCAAATCGATCACCCGCAGGTCCTGCGAAGAAGGCTCCAAAAAAGCCACCACCCGTAAACACACTCACAACCGCGCCAGCTGAGATGGTTTAGTGGTCGAAAAAATCTCGCGTGGGATAAAGAACACTGACTCTCAGCAGAAGTTGGGTTGAAAACATTGATGAAATTGTGGGACGCAATGGCTTCTGCTATGACGCCTAAATCGTATCCATAGAGAAGTGACCCAAGAGAGGCGAATACCGCAACGAGAAACTGTATATTGTCAGTACTGCCTCAAGTATTCTTCGAAAACCGAATCCACCCTACTTGGTATAACTTAGGAGGGAGTCTCATGGTTCATTAGCCAAATGAAAACAACAAAACTTGGAGCAAAGTCGTAGAGAATAGGCAAGGCAGCTTTGCTTTATGGTCGCAGACAAAAAGGATCGCGCCATTTCAAAAAGTCTCCCGAGTCATTTTTCCATTTATCCTAGCGTTGCCAACGCGTGGGCGTTATGCAAGAAAGGCAATGATCCCCAATCCGTAGGATTGTCCATGAATGCTAGCCTCTTAAATTCATGCTTGAATACTATGCCTGCATGGAGTCTCATATGTCCCTCAAATTCAATAGCCCATCACCCCGCCAAGGCTTGTGGAGAGAAAAATGTGGAGAGAGCATTCCGAATGGCGGAGGCTCGCATGGATCTGTCCCGATTTTCGCACCAATCGCAGTCTTGCCTTCGGCATATCATTGACCCAAGTTACCAAGACAGTGATCTCTCATGATGGCATGAAGTATCTTCGTGACCTGGAAAGTGACTAAGCATGATTAACGCCGCTTGAGCGCCGCGTCTCGCTGTATTCTCAGCACCTCTGGTGACATTGGTACCTGAAGATCATTTGCATTCAAAGTTGGTATTGAGCGGGAAGCCTCTGCGCGAAGAGGTTCATTTTCCACCTTTGCTCTCATACTTTTTTTTTCAACTCTCAAGATTAGTGCTGCAGTAGGCAATATGTCCTCATACACAAGGATTGGGGACAATGAAACACCTGTTATTACAATCAACACAGCTCATAAACTGTCTCGAATAAACGACAACATCTATGGTGGATTTACGGAACACATGGGTCGTTGCATCTACGGTGGTATATACGACCCCGGTAGCTCTCTCTCCGATAGCAACGGCTTTCGAAAGGATGTCATCGCGGCCATGAAAGAGCTTCGTGTTCCTGTTGTGCGCTATCCAGGAGGTAATTTTGTTGCAACATACCACTGGCTGGACGGTGTAGGGCCAAAAGAACAACGACCAAAAAGGCCAGAGCTAGCGTGGCTTGGTGTTGAAACAAATGATTTCGGCACAGATGAATTTATGAAATGGTGCGAGGTAGTGGGCACAGAACCATACTTGTGTTTAAACATGGGCACCGGCACTCTCGATGAGGCAATGGCTTGGTTGGAGTACTGCAATGGAGAGGGAAATACGTATTATGCCAACTTGCGCCGTAAGAACGGCCGCGAGAAGCCATACAAGGTGAAGTATTGGGCCTTAGGGAATGAGATGTGGGGTCCATGGCAAATTGAGCAGATGACCAAAGAAGACTATGCGAAAAAGGCATATCAGTGGGCAAAAGCGCTGAAACTCTTGGACCCCAGCATCATATTGATCCTTTGTGGTCAAGACGGTACCAGTGATTGGGATCGATATGTTCTACAACAGTGCGTGAAGCTGGATTTGCATGGCTTGAGCGGTGATCGAACAAAGAGTTTGATTGATATGCATAGCATACATATCTATACTGCCAGCAATGAGGCTTTACCAAATGCAACTGGTGTGTCTAGCATTTGCGATGCTATAGTTGTTTCATGGCCATCCACTGACGTTCTCTCAGCCCCTAGAAGCGCGGAACGTGCAATCGAAATCACAAGCAGTCTGATCGATCTTGCACGCATTGAAAATAAAGTACCCAACACTGTCCCGCGGCAAACTATCTGCTTCGATGAATGGAACGTATGGGACCCTGTCCGTGCACCCGGAGAACTTGGTGCAGAAGAGTCATACACACTTTCCGACGCTCTTGCGGTAGCAAGCTGGCTGAATGTATTCGTCCGACAATCTAAATACGTCGGCATGGCGAATATTGCGCAGAGCGTGAATGTCATAAGCCCTCTAATGACGACAAAAACAGGGATCGTAAAGCAGACAACATGGTGGCCGTTGTTGTTGTTTAGCAAGTATATGCGAGGGACAACCTTGAGCATTAACGTTGCGTGTGGCGAGTACGAAGGCCCGACGACTCCTGACTGGATCAGAGGAACTGTAAACACGCCATGGCTTGACTGTAGCGCAAGTATTTCGGACGATGGATGGGTGACGCTTGCTGTTGTGAACGTCCATGAGACTACAACGTTCGACACACTGATAAGCGGAATTCCTGAAAACGTCATCCACGTTTACACAGTAACCGGATCCCACTCCGGGGCAAAAAACACGGAATCAGATACCCAAGTCGCTATATCTGAGACACAGTGGGATGGCAAGGGAAAGTACTCATTTCCGAAGCATTCCTTTACCATGTTAAGATGGAAGGCACAGTAAAGCTCTGTACGCCTAGCTCTCCTCGATGGATGATCTGAGGTCTTCCCATCGGCCTCTCCGCATTGGGTCCAATTTGCTCAACTTCGCCAACCAGCATTGTAATTGGTTTCTGTTGACAGGCTCGACCCCATCAAGCTTAGAATATGCCAAGGTGTAGATAAGAAGTGCTTCATAGACCCACTTGCAGTCATCGAAATCTTCTTCAATTTCCTTGATGCGTTCGAGTTCTTGCTCGTAGATGGCGATTTGTTCGGGAATGCTCAAATCTTGTACGATGCGCTGGTCCTCCGGCAATTCGTTGCCAATAGAGCTCATAAGGAACTGGTGATAGAACCAGGCTGACTGATTGAATGGATCTATCAAAGCTTCTTGCATACGATCGAGTTCCTGATGCAGCATCATTCGCCTACTGGTGCCGTCGGCCAGCCTCTCTGCAAGCAGTCGTGGTAGTAGTAAGCTTCTGTAATGCAGCGCTGAGAAGTTCTGCAGCTTTGCTTTTATCATCTTGTCCGTGTATGCAAACTCCTGCTCAACGAGCGTACCCTCTTCTGGTGTTCGCATACTCTCTACCTTGCCCACCACAAAGCGCCTGTAGCCCCAGCCATGGAAATTACGCTCATCCCGTGTCAGCATTTTGCCTATCAACCCAAGCTCTTCTTCCCAAAACTTGCGTGCTACAGACTTTTCCAGTCGTTTCTCTGCCTCTTCAAGCAACCATTGCCGATAGTTCCATATCCAGTAACACTTGGGGTACTGAATAAGTAAGGGAACTATGAATACAAGATCGTTCCTTATGGTATCCTCTATGCTCGTCTCTGCATTTTGTGAGGGCTTCTCAGCCGTGGCAGTCGCAGTCGTATCGAAGTGATGAAGGAGTACAAGGCGACGGTGGTTCCAAATTGTGTAATACTCCGGGTTCTTCTTGAGCAACTGCGAAATCAGATCCAAAGTATCAGCGGTGAATTCTTTCGCTTGTATCTGCGCGCGTTAGGGGCCCGAAATGCGCTGATCAAGTGAACGTGTTTGTAATGCCGCACCCTTGTGTTTACTGATTCAACTAGACAACGGTACTCGCGAATCTGCTCTCGTTCCTTCTCGCTATCACTTTCCTTAGCGACGCGAGGTATGCCGTGCGAGCTTGCCATAACAAGTCTCGATGATGCATGAAATTGTTAAAGTGCGATGGAGAATGAGACGAACATCAAAACGAAAATTTCTGCCTGCTCACTCAGACTCCCTCCACATCTGCCTCTGCATCAACCTCAGAACCATCCGTATCCTCCCGTTGATACTAACAAAACCAGCAGAGTATTATTCGAGCTCGTAGACAAAATATTCCGGTTAGCATCCTCTGCGGATAATGAGTTTGGCCAGTAAAAATTTGTCGACGAGCTCGCTATGAGCTTTGCATCCGCGGACGAGCTCTTCTGGACATCTCCACGTGCATCTCGCCGTGTCTCTGCAGACCGCTTCATACCAAGCAGCACCAGTCCCCATAGCCTCATTCTTGGTCGCCATCCAGAGCGGTTGAGCCCACGAGAGAAAATTCAGCGCACGATCAGCGCCGGACCGGATCCTTTCAATGCTAACGTTCCGAGAACACCCATCCGTCATCGAGCAGGCAGCTCACCTTCAAGTGCTGGTCACAGTATTGGCTCTGGAAATGCTCATCGAGGCGCCCAGATCTTACCCAATAGCCGTCGTTTTGGCCAGGCCACTGTGTGGGCCATCAACGATAGCTGGACTGAAGCGGGCAATAGCGTTTCTGGTGTGCCAAATGGCAGGGGAAGGCTTCTTGCCAGCGGCACGAATGCACCTCTCTTTTCGTCAAATTTCCTATCAAGAAAAGATTCCATTGCGGAGCTTGATGTTCACGAGCGCAGACTTGCTGTAGCACTCGACCTTGACACTGCTTCTCGCGTTCTCAAATACAGTACTCCACGCAGCTCACCGGAATCCACCCGTAGCTCCAACTCTCCTCCAAACATGGCTTCCTTAGGATCTCAGCCACGGACCTGGCGAGATGGGCAATGGGAGTCAAGTACAGCAACTTGTATCATCATTCGAGAAATCCATGTCTTGGTACTTAACCGCTAACACGCTTTAGCTCCAACCAAGCAGGAAAAGCGCAAGAAAACCGTTCCTATCATTCCTTTTAGATAGGTGGCAAACGGCAGATACCCTACATGCTGCTAATATGATACCTTTACAGTTCTCGATGCTCCCTCTCTCCGCGATGATTATTATTGTTCCTTGCTTGCTTACTCACCTACCATACAGTCTCTCGCTGTAGGACTCGGAAGTCATGTGTATCTCTGGACCGAATCACGAACTGTAGGGACTCCCGAGAGTTTACGTACGTCTCAGACCGCACATGTAACTTCACTTTCGTTTTCATCGCCCTCGGGTGGCCGTGCCATATTAGCAGTCGGTCGAGCTGATGGAGGAATTCTCCTATGGTCCCCCGCGGAGGACGAAGCGCGCTGGAATGCGGTGCAGCCTAATCCTATCTGCTGCGTAAGCTTTCGACCGCATCCAGCTAAACGCCCTTCGATTCGGGATCCATATATTGAAGTCGAGACCGAGGAACTGCTCGTTGGAGATGAAGCAGGCCATCTATTCTATTATTCTGTCGAATGGCCTACAGAGCACGAGAAGGAACTCTGGGGGTGGCAAGGCGCGATGACACTTCTTCTACGTATCACTGCGCACACGCAGCAAATATGCGGTATTGCCTGGTCATCCGACTGCGAATTTTTCGCAACAGGTGGCAATGACAATTGCTGCTACCTCTTTGAGACGAGGAAGGTGCTTCAACGAACTTCTCCTACTTCAGATCCCAGAACAAGCGCCGAAACCAAAGAACGCTTGTACCACTCTCACGGGGCAAGCACACACGTTCCTCTTTCCTCTAACCCTTGTTTTATGTTGAGTTCTGTCATTGCAAGGCATAAATTTACCCTTCTAGCTGCGGTTAAAGCTATTGCATTCTGTCCATGGCAAAAAGGTCTCCTCGCCGTTGGTGGCGGCTCCAATGATCGCTGCATCCACTTTTACCATACATTATCCGGTTCCTGCCTTGGAAAGATAGACTGTTGTGCCCAGGTTACCTCCCTAGTATGGTCAATAACCCGCCGTGAAATAGCAGCAACCTTCGGTTTCGCTCAGCCGGAGCACCCGTTTCGCATCGCTGTGTTCGCTTGGCCGAGCTGCAAGCAGATCGTGGCCATACCGTGGTACGATGAGCATAGGGCGCTGTATGCGATTCCGTATCCTGGGGGGCCAGATTTCGGCTTAGAGAGGAGCAAGCGGTGGAGTAGGACGGGGAAGGAAGGCTGCTTAGTTGTGGCAACGAGTGATTGCAGTATCAAGTTCCATGAGGTATGGGCGGAGGAGAGAAAAGGAAGCGTGGTAGGTAGAGGAGGTGTGCTGGGCGGCAGTGATATCTTGGAGAGCTTGCATGGGATTGATAAGGAGGGCGTGGAGGTTATACGATAAATAACGGAGGCAGTATTACTAGTCAAGTCAGTCTGATGCCAGTGTAGCAGCAATGAGAGACCTATGGCACTGGCAGCATTGCTATCGATTTTAAGTTGAAGCTTTACATTCAAGTCAAAACCTTAGAACTTTTGACACTATCCATCCTAATTTTGCCGCACCTTTTCATCTAAATCTCTAAGACTCATGAGATTCTAGCTGTCTTAAACCCGACAAGGCTTCTAGTGCATGCATCTTTCACGTGATCGACTAGGGTGTAGCCTCAAGTCCCAAGCTCGGACTGGGCACGTCGTCATCCTACACAAGAAGTCTCACGAAGCACAGCACCATCCCAGGCATCACCATTCTCCGTTTTGCAGGCACTTGAAAGTGTCTACCTAAAAGATCAGATTTTCTCCGCCCTGAGCACTCTTCGCTTAGCCGTCTTTACGATCTGTTACATCTTCGACCGAAGCCTACGACCTTACCTGTATATTACCTTCTCAAGAAGCTTACCACGTATCTACATTGAAAGAGCACAATGAGTGAAGGAGCTCCCCCCAAGCCCAGCAGTAGCGTCAAGCTGGTGCTTCTCGGAGAAGCCGCAGTCGGCAAATCATCGCTAGTAATGCGCTTCGTGAACAACGACTTTCAAGAGAACAAGGAACCGACCATTGGCGGTATGTCTGCATCACGTATCTTATGTGCCTAGTCATCCAAAACTGATAACTTGTGCCGCCAGCCGCGTTTCTCACCCAAAAGTGCACTTTGCCATCCAGGATAATCAAGTTCGAGATATGGGATACAGCCGGGCAAGAGCGGTTTGCAAGTCTTGCGCCAATGTACTACCGTAATGCACAAGCTGCGCTTGTTGTTTACGATATTACAAAAGCTTCTTCTCTCACGAAAGCGCAACACTGGGTAGCCGAACTGCAACGACAAGCTAGTCCGGGGATTGTCATCGCTCTTGTAGGCAACAAGTTGGATTTGGTGAATCCTTCCGAATCGGCGGGTGAGGAAAGCGCAACAGAGGGCGAGGAGGTTTCAGCTGCTGAGGACAATGACGACGCACGAAAGGTGCCCAGCAAGACGGCAAGAGCGTATGCTGAGGAGGAGGGTCTACTTTTCTTCGAAACGAGCGCTAAAACAGGCGAGCGGGTGGCAGAAGTGTTCACCGCGATTGCAAACGCTATTCCCGAGACTCAGCTGAAAGGACCGAGAGGAGCACAGCAGAACAGACAAGAGGAGAGCAGAGTCAATCTTGGCCAGGGCAGAGACGCAAACACGAAAGATAATTGTGCTTGCTAAGATGGAAAATAGAATGATACCTGTTCGTTCCATGCGCTGGAGTCCGGAGCCCGGCATGGAGCTTTCTTCTCCTGCTTGTTTTCATTTCGAATGGAAAATGGATGACCACAGGAAGCTGCTCCGTATGGACTGGAAAACATCCAAGCTGTGCCAACACTGCATAGAATTTCGTCTTCAATGATGTCCACCGCGCTGCTGCTGCTTTACGCGTTCTCAGTCTGGTACGTTGAGCTGCTATTGAAGGACTTCTTAATGTCTAATTCTCAACGCACTGTCGAACTGAGTGAAAGCGTAGCGAACGAAAGCCATGTGGTCCTCTCGTTCAAGCTAGCAAATCTTGTTTCGACAAGATGACATTTGATGTTTGATATAGACAGTTTCTAGCCATACTATTTTGTTCAATTCGCGGCAAATACTCCAAAACGATTTACTTGTAGGGCATCGCCTGAGCAGCTCATCCTCAACGGTTGTCAATTTGCTTGCGAGGCGCTGTTGCCTCGGGGTGGCGTTTGCATGTGTGGCTGGTGCTTGACTTATATACTTATGTTCAAATAAGACGTCATTCACGATTCACCATTTTCCAAGCTTTCGGAACTCACACTTGCTATCTTACCCTGCACCACGCCATATCTTTTCGTCACAACTGCCATGAAATTGACTGATCTGCTGTAATATAATCCATACTTGCCATGGCTACCCAACGAAAGCCGACCACAGCAAACACGACCGCGCCCAAGCCCTCCATCGACGGCGGAGGGGCCGCAGATGACATTAAGGCGATTAGACAACCCTCGCAAAGCTCACCTTTCTTCCCGACCAAGCTTGAGACGGCTCTCCTCTTGATATACCCAGTCACACTCGTTCTCGGCTCTATATTCAGCGTCGTTGCCCCGCATATAACCCGGCAGAGCGCATCCTACAACTCCGTCCACCAATCGTACTACCCGCCATCCGCAGCACCGTCCTATTTTGCGCAGAAGCGCAACATATTCAATGTATACTTTGTAAAAAAAGGGTGGTTCTGGACCACGGTAGCGTTTTTTCTTTTCGTTTTTACGCATCCGAGCTTGGGGGCGCCTCTACGGCCAAGTATATCACGGAGGAGACTGCAGGCCATTCTACGATGGGTGGTGGCAACGACCATTTGGATATTCGTCACGCAGTGGTTTTTCGGTCCTGCAATCATCGATCGCGGCTTCCGCTGGACTGGGGGCGTGTGCGAAGTTCTCGCAGACTCGGGAACTCGCGCCGAAATGAGCAAGACAACGGAGTACTTCACCGCAAAGGCATGTAAAGTGGCTGGCGGGAAGTGGACAGGTGGTCATGACATCAGCGGTCACGTTTTCTTGCTCATACTTGGCAGTGCGCTGCTCTGGATGGAGGTTTTGCCAACCATCCTGAAAGCTCAAGGTTTGCATGAGGAACGGAGGGTGAAGGTGAGAAATGGCAGAGTTGTGAAGACGAGATCAATTGTGGATGGCACTGTCGGAGACGAGGGATATGTTCCAAGCAACCAGACGGAGGAGCAGTACACAAAATTAGGTGTGAAGGTCATCGTTGGGATAGTTGCCCTCATGTGGTGGATGTTACTTATGACTGCGGCGTTTTTCCACACTTGGTTCGAAAAGTTCACGGGCTTCGTGGTAGCGTTCTTAGGCATTGGTCTGATATACTTTCTGCCAAGAGGTGTTCCTGCATTACGAGCCATTTTAGGCATGCCTGGGCTGTAGAAGGCATTCCTTTTGGACATTAAAATGCAGCGTTCTCAAAGATGGTCTTTCTAGACAACGAAGACACGTCCTACGACGGCAATTTCCAGCTCCGTAGATCTTCCCTAATCTCGAGCTCATCAAACTCGTTCTTGTCTCTGGTGGAACCCTTTTCGGCTTCTACACCCATCGAATGTGCCTGCTGTTCAAAGCTGCCCCGGCCTCTGACAACGTTTGGTCGATCTCCCCTGGCAACATGCATATTCTCCTTTGAATGTCTTTTGATGTCTGCTCGACTCTTCGAAAAATACAGCGGCTTTTCGCTCTTTCTTCTCGCGTGTCCACGAACACCATGCCTATCGTCATCCGAAAACTTCGAAGCCCCAGAGCTATCGCCGCTTACGGGTGGTTTGGAAAGCCAACCGTCGCCCCCCGAGAAAATGTCTTCGATGACTTTGTCGGCACTCAGCTCTCCAGGGAGACACGTCCAATTAGCGGCAATAGTGCGACGATACAGTTCGCGTAACTCATCCCCTGCGATTTGGGATTTTGCGCTTATCACAGGCGCTGTGCTCGATCCAGGAATGCCCTCGTTATCGTCCACTTCGCCGACAACATGACCCGCGATGCCGCTAAACACAGGCGCAACACGGAGAGGTGGTGCGCTGAAATTGCGATCGCCATCCACTTGTTTAAGATAAATCCCAACTTTAAGTGTTGAGTTTATCTTCGAGTCCTGCATTAAGTATCTCCTTACAACGCCTTCATCCTCAGCACCCGCCTCACTTGCTTCAACATACTCTGCTAGATTGAGCTTGACTAGCCCAAGATGTATCTTTTCCGTATGTGAAACCTCGTGAATGACGTCAAATTGCATTATCGTGTCTTGGAGCACACCGTTCTTGTCAATAGTCATGCGCACCGGAATATGAACATCATAGTTGTAGAGGACTTTGTGGTCCTTTATCGGCATTTTGGAGGTGCGCTTATGATGCTCGATACTTTCTCCAAGCGCACCGGAAGGGAGATGCCATTTTACATAGGAGCGACCGGAGACGTATGGTACGTTGTTGAGGTCGACGATGCGGAGGTGAAGGTCAAATTTGGGCTACATCCTCGCACGTAAGCTTGCAATTACTTATTGTGATTGAAAATGGCATACACGACGGTTCTTGGGTACTGTAACGTTGGTCAGCCAGGCTCTTCGGAGCGCTTTCGTGAACGGTAGAAAAGGCGCCATGGCACAAAGACATACCAAATGCCTGCATCCTGTTGGCGTGATTAAAAATGTTCCAACAAATGCATGATGTCACCTAATTCGTCTGTTTGTATCAAACATCGCCGTCTAAACGGACTGCGATTCTGTTGTTCCCAATCATGAAGAGCAATAAAGCACTTTCATCACTGGTTAAGCCAACTCGACTTCCAACCAATGCTTGGCGCCTTCAATATGTAGGCCCTGGTCGCTGTTGCCTCAGAGCCTGGCGGCCTCAATGCAGCTTGAAGTGCACGGCAAGTCTAGCTCTCAACCTCCGCATCGTGCGATTCCATTACGGTCGGAGCTTCAGACAACGATGGCGTCCGGCTACGGTCTCAATGGCGGTATGTTCCTTCTATCAAGCGATTTCAGGATGACATTAGCCATCGGGAGAGCTCAGATATTGGCATCACCTGCTAGGAACCAGGAACAAAACACTAACCACTTATCACCTTAGGACCTTCCCGCTGCTATCCTTTCTGGCAAGAAGTGATGGCCTGCTACGTTACTAATGCTACTCCGTACGATAGCAGTGGTGCGAAGAAGTGTGCTTTCCCTCTGGAGGACTACTTCGAGTGTCTCCACCACAAGAAGGAGGTTAGTCCTCCGCTCACTCTGATCTCTGCTGAAGACCAGAAGACTGAGAAACGAATCTAGCGAAAACGCACAGCAAAGTTGCAGGAAGCCTACCGGAAAAAAGAGCTATCATCGCCGGCTGAGGGTATGAAAACCGCAAAAGAAATACGGAGTCTCGGGCTATTGGACGTTCCGACGGAGGAGAAGCACCTAAATACATTTGGTGGGTGGTTGAAGCCAAAAGATCCGAAGGATAGGTAGATTCTCCTGCGAGGGATGAAGCTTGGAGGAACAGGAAGAGGCATGAATGTTCTAGCACATGTACATACCAAGGCGCTAGCTTGCTGATCCAAGTCATCGAATTGGAAGTTTTCTTCGAGACGTGTTGCGGCATCATTCAATTTATACCAACTGCATGAGATATCTGGCGCACATATATGTGTGCTTGGACGGCCGACTGAGGATTCTGGAAATCATATAGGGAATTTCAGTTCCGTCCCGGCGAGGCCGATCTCGAACGCCGCCCACCTTCCGACACCGTTCCCACCCCTCTCGCACAACACTTCCAGCACCCCAACCCTATCACCGTCCCCGCTCTTTCCACCCACAAAGATCTCAGCATCTCTTCTTCTCTTCGGAATCATACTAAGTAAGACGTGACAATCCACCAGTCCTGTAAACGTCTTGCCCAGACTCGGTCGTGCAGTGGTAGAAGAGAAGATGGACGGCTGATCGAGCATGCTGTGTGAGTTTGCACTGAGGGGTTCAGAGATGTACGTGCTGGATGGGAGGTGCAAGTTGCTGTTCAAGAGGGCAAGGTTGGGGAATGGTAGATGAGTTTTGTTTGGGGAAGCGGCGTTGTTGAGCAGAAGGGTTGTGAGTCTGAAGGTTACGGTCAGGCTTGAGAGATACCTCATGAACGTTGTAAGGAGTGCCTGGCCTGTTTTATCCTTTCAGTACAAGTTCTTCAGAGTCAGTGTCTAGTTTTGCGTACCTTGCACATAATCCGTTTTAAGATGCGGGTTAAGCACACTGGTGATGTTGTCCACCACGAGCAAACTAACGGATTCGAGTTTTGGACTTTCTGGAATATATTTCTTTGCATCAGAAGCCATGATGTCTTCGTCTCCGTCTTCAGCTTGCGAGTCTGCTATACAAGTTTGTTGCCCGTGATTGGCAACGCCTTGGCCCGCCACCTCCTCATCCTTTTCGACATTTTCAAGATCTTCCTTGATTTCGTTTATAGCTTCACGAAGTCCCACAAAGTCGAAGACGCGCATAATCTTCATGCGGTCGAGGGCTTGTCTAGCGATCGTTTCTGTTTCATCCAAAGCGTCATCATGATCGACCACGACGCCTTTAATCTCACGAGCTGCAGCTGCATGCTCATGAACGCGCTTATCTTTGATTTGATCGACAATGACATTTCTTAATCGTAGTACGTCGAATGTTCCTGTCGTGTCGATTATGGCAGCTTGACTGCCTTGGCTTGAAAGAAGATGATTGGCTATGACGTGAAATGCGATCTAATGAAGAAAAAAAGTGTAAGACGCAATGCACTATGTGAGGTAACACGAGACACATGGAGTTTACAAATTATTGGTCCCAAGTCGTGTTATCTTTCATATCGGTGTTGAATATCGGATTCATACCAATGTTTTGCCATTGCCCCTTTCTCCGCTTATACATGTGATTTGTCCACATTTGAAGCCGCCGTTGAGAGCTTCGTCTATAGCGGTATAACCAGATGCAATTTTAGCATTGTGTAGAGCAGACTCGTGTAATTTTGCAGCTTTGTACAGAGCTGAGGCAAGAATCGCTTGAGGCATCGTTATGGTTGTAGTCGCTCAGTGTCTCTGAGCGGAGGTCTACATATTGATTGAAAAGAGGACGGTCCAAAGATCAACGGAATCTGAAACGTGTGCGCCGAAGATAGGAGGGTCTCTAACAGACCGTTAACTATGGGCTCTGATCTTGATATGAAACGAAGAATCAACAATTACAGCACAAACTCCTGTCAATTACGCCTAATTTGCGGAGAATCAGTGTGGTTGCCTTTTTGGGACATGTTCGGAATGAAGCCTTGCAGCCTCAAAAAGGTTGAAGCCATCACACTAGCATCACCATCGTGTATCGTTTCCTCTTGTCTCAACCCATCAAAGACCAATGGCTTCCCTATTAAGGCCTCGACGTCCAATTCATCAAGAAGTCCATCTTCTCAGTCAGCAAATTCGAAGCTTCTCATTTACCCATCGCCAATGCGGTCATAAGCAAGCGCTCGCACACGCGCATGCAAACCTACCAGAATACCCCTACGGGCCATCCCGTTGGTACAAGCAGTCCAATTTCGGATTGTATGGCGGTCTCAAAATCTCCTCTGGCAACAATGTCTCACCCGAAACGGAGACGAAGACGAGGCGGAAGTGGAGACCAAATGTGCAGATGAAACGGCTTTACTCGCACGCCCTGCAACGTTATGTACGTGTTAAGGTCGCTACCCGTGTGCTACGTACAATAGACAAGTGTGGCGGACTGGACGAGTATCTCGTTGGCGAGAAGCCAGCTCGAATAAAGGAGCTCGGTATGAAAGGGTGGGAACTCCGTTGCAAAGTTATGGAAACCCAGTGGTGGTTGGAGCGCAAGATCAAGCTCCGTGAGCAATGGGGTTTGAGCCCCGTGAGAACTTATTTCCCTGAAGAGAAGGAAGACACTGAAGGACAGCCATTCATGGTTGGCATGTATGGTGAAAAGCTACTGGATGCAGCCGCGGCTGCTGAAGCCGGATACACCGGTCTCAAGGAAGCCGAGCCAGAATACGACCAAGACGGTAATCCTATTTCTCTACCGGATCTGATCGCTTACGATGAATCCGAGAATGAGGATATGGAAGCTGCGAAGCCGGAGGAAGGTGAGCTGGTTGATGTAGGCAAAATTCCAGAGGAACCTGACTACAAGTACGTCAGTGGTAAGCTCAAACGGAAAGCCATTTTGAAGGAAAGGAAGGCCATCGCAGCTCAAGCAAAGGCGGCTCACAGAGCTCGCAAAGAAGCAGAAAGAAGTATTGAGCAGAGAGCTCTGGCTGGAGAGAAAGGGTTGAGGTCAACTGATTTGAAACAACACCTCGCTTATCAGGAGAGAAAGGCTGCTCTTGAAAAGGCAAACAAGATCCTCGCTACTACTACTACTACTACAGATGCTTCGAACTCATCAGCAAGACCCACATTATAGACCGCCTGCAGTGCGGAGTGTTGTACAATATTATCATTCCCAGCACAAGCCATTCCTCGCAGCTGAGCGTTTGTTACCATTAGTTCCTGATCTGAACATGAAAGCAAAACCATACCTTCGAACAATCGTACATGCTGCCGATGATAAACGGTTTTCTCCATGAGATTGAAAATACGTCGTCCAGACCTAGGAACACACTGTCTCTAGTATGAAGAATTATCATATGAGGCAATAGTTGTGCTTCATTTGCTATATTTCTCTCGCCCTCACTATTCTAAGGTACCCTATCACATTCGTCCTGATGTAGGTTATTTACACATAACCTATGCTATACAAAACTTTTTTGGCTCCGGGACTTCGTACATTACGAAGATCTATGGCTCACTTTGAACTCGAATAAGAGATTATGAAACAAAAGTCGACACATTGACTGAACGGCTGTCACACCATAGCACTTCAGTGTTTCCTTAATAGCTAGGAAACCTACATCACAGTAATATAGCCGTCCGCTCGGCATATACGAATCATTCTCTCAAATGTTGTCCTGGAGCTTACGGAGTCTCAAGTACAGCACAGATTGCTGTGCAACAAAATAAGCGTCGTAACTAATGACAGCACTTCGACAGGTACCGGTCCGCATCTTTCTTTAGCCAAAAACCGGTATCGACATAACTGAAAGTGCCTTTTATGCATCCGGTGGCGGATTAATTGGAAAAAAACCTAGAGGTTCTGCACGGAGCTACGAAGTCATGTCATCGTCTACACAGCTCTTGTACACACTCGACACGAGTACGTTCATTTATCACGATCATCACAGTCTCGAAATTCTCACTGCTGAAAAGTAAGAGACTTACCAGACAACACAACGAGAACACCATGAGGATGCGGCTATATCAGTCAGTAGAGTAGCTGCCCGGCACATCTAATTCATGGACGAATTATGCTTTTGACGCTCTTCTAAAATTACTGTTTAATATTGTTTCATGACCCATTTGCAGTCTAAAGATGGCACAACTAACCTTTGTCTCGTCCAGAGCAAGCTGGCCAACTAGAGACGTACGAGTAAGGACGGCCGGTTTCCATCGTCGCAGCAAGCTCATCAGGCTACTGCAATCGCACGCCAGCCTGTTTGTTCTTCTTCTTATCGTTACCACCCGCGAATTGACTGGAATCCAAAATGCTAGCAGCCATCCTTTTCTTCTCCTCCTCCATCTTTTTAAGCCTTTTCTCCTGTTTCTGTTTTCCACTGCCTTTACCGTGAAACTGATGGCTCAAATGTTTAAATGCCTCTTTGGTGCTCATTTCGTTGCCAAATTCATCCGTGTACTTCAAGTTGATGTTGGGCTTGTACTCCTTGTTAAAGAGATCCGCCAGAGCGCGTGATTCTTGGAAGTCCCTTGCAGAATTTGCATTCCGGGCTGCTTCTTCGCGATCGCGAGCCGACATGCCTTGCATTCGTTCGCGCTCCTTTAAGCGCTGATTTCTGGCGCGGAGTTCGGCCTCTGCCTCACGTCTGGCTTTTTCTGCTAAGAACTTCTGCCTAGCCGTGAAGCTGTCTGATGTAATGGACGCTGTTTGGACAAGGTTCCGCTCCTTGAGAAGTTTGAGAGTGGCTGCTAGTCCGCCACCCAACTCTTCCTCATCACCTAGAGCCTTTTCATCGTCTTCTGGTGGGGGAGCGGATGGTGTACGAGCAGCACGCTGAGCGGCTTCCTCCGCTTCGTCGGCTTCTGCATAGCTCATTTCTACATCGTCCCCGTCCTCAGCCTTCTTTGTTTCAGATGTGTGACTGCGGTTAGAAGCTTCTCGTCTACGTCGTCGTTCTTCCTCTTCGGCAGCCTCCTGGGCAACGGCTTCAGGATCTAAGCTATTCGCCCATTCTGTACTAGCATCAATGAGTAAGCCACCATCATCGACTTCTCCGGTCTCCTTGACATCTTGCATTTCTGAAGCCTCTTGTTCCTTGATTTGCTTCGCAATGTCCGACGGCTTTTTGCGAGCTTGCAAGGCCTTGCGACGGGCTGCAGCAAGCTGGCGCGCCAGGTCCTCATCATCTTCAAAATTAAAATCATCGACATTTCTCTTCTTGGCTTTGGGCGCTGCGGCTGATATGTCTATGTCCATCGTAGTATTAGTGGGGAAAATGTCGTCTTCTTCATCACGAGCGCGTTTTCGGGCGTTTTTGGCTTTCTTCGGTTTCTTTGGCTTAGGTGCTTTGAATTCTTTGTAATCCGATACAGGCTGCTTTTCATCCAAAAGATCTGTGAGTGATATCGTTACGCCCTTTGGTTTGTCTTGCTCTTGCGCGCCTGTGGTCGTCCCGCGCGTCTCAATATTGCCCGACTGATCTATTGTGAAGCTTTTTGCGACTTCTTCATCATATTGCGACAACAGGCCGCCTTCTTTCAGCGGATCATAAACCGCGCCAGGCCTGAACTTTTTCGCCTCTTGGGCCGCTTTCCTCCGTGCTTCTTCCTGTAGCTGTCGAGACTCGAGTTGGTACTCCTCTTCACTATCTCCCTCATCAATAGCTCTATCTTGAAAAGTCAAGATATCCCCATCGACCATATCTCCCACCTCGTGGGCGACACGCATTCCTGTGACTTTATACTCCGCCTCTGCAGCAGCCTTCTTCTTTGCAGCCTCTTCCTCTTCTTTAGCAGCTTGTTCGGCCATCAATTTCTTCTGTCTCTTTCCCATCGATTTGAGCCAGTCCGAAGCAGCCATGTCATCCTCAACTTCTGCAATACTTGCGCCCTTGAGAACCACATTGCGTGCTGCTAGCTCTCTCTGTCGTTTTATTTCATTTTTGCGTTCCTCTCTTTCCTTTGCCTTTTTCTGCTCTTCCACAAGCTTCGCAAAATTGGCCGAACCGCGTGCTTGCCGCTCATCGAGGGTAAGATCGCTCTCTGGGACATCGTCCTTATTCTCTTGTTGGAACTCCAAACCCCCTTCTCCAGGCACAGGAATCAGAGGAAGGCCCATGGCCTTCCTCATCTGATTGACGGCCTCGACCGAAAGAGTATCAGCCATGTTGCAGAGTCGAGATGATTCTGCCTAAGTGTACAGGCAATTGTCGTGAGTCTCACGAACAGTGGAACAGATCCACTCGAGGATGGCTTGGAAGCCTTCGATAACTGCACCACGCGAAAAGAATGAGTTCCAGAAGAGTGGTGAAGTATTGTTTTAGAATTCGCCATCGCAGAACTATTGATGCCATCGCAAACCGTGACGAGAATGTATGCGTGTCCTTAGGCATTAAGGTGTAAGTGGCTTGCCAAGAGTTTGCGGATTCAGCGCACAGCGACTTTTCCGTCGAAAATCACCCTCATAACCTGCAGTGCACGAACGACCCGTGAAATTTCCAAAGACAACACCGCAATCATGCTTATTCCACGGGCTGATCGAAAGAAGATCCATGAGTACCTTTTCCGCGGTATGTACTTCAACGGTGAGACAAGCACTAAGAATAATTGCTAATATATGAATGCAGAGGGTGTAGTGGTCGCACCAAAGGACTACAATCTGCCTCAGCACCCGCAGATTGAGACCAAGAACCTCTATGTATGTGCTATATTCCATGTCGCGATACTTTTTAACACACCACTGACAACGCGCAGGTCATCAAGGCCCTTCAATCTCTGAACTCGCGCGGCTACGTGAAGACCCAATTCTCATGGCAATGGTACGCCTCGAATCCACAATAACCACTCATTCGTAACTAATAATGATCTCAGGTACTACTACACTCTCACCCCCGAGGGTCTTGACTATCTTCGTGAATGGCTTCACCTTCCTGCCGAGATTGTGCCCCAGACGCACATTAAGACGCAGCGATCACACGCTCCCCCACGCGGCATGATGGGCGGCGATGACCGGGACCGACGAGGCGGCGGACGTGGTGGCCCACGCGGTGATCGTGAGGGTGGCTACCGAAGACGTGAGGAAGGCAAGGAGAGCGGTGCTCCTGGTGGTTTTGAGCCAGGTTTCCGCGGCGGATACGGACGTGGACGTGGTGGTGCGCCGAGGGAGTAGATATCTCATCAGGGAAACTTCTCTATTCGGGCGCGGCTACGGCTGTGCTTGCCAGGATTGCGGGGTACGAACGAGATCCTGGATCGGCTCGGCGAAGAGAGCGATATGTTGCAGGTTGAGAGAAAATCGTGGGTCATGGAGTTTTATAAAAGCAACGATGGCATGGCTCGGCTTAGCGGCATGGGCTAAGGCGGAGCAAATATAATTCTTCGAGCATGCTTGCGCTTACATTTCCTACTCTTGACGTGACATTACTCTCATTTAGAGCTTTGATTGATCATGTGCATCCTCGTCGTCAAGTTCTACCACCACTTTCAAAACCAATTTCCCGTTCTCGTCCGTCGTTTTTCCTGCCATCTTGAATGCTTCCTCTATACGCTCAAAGCCTTTGAAGCGATGTGTGACCATTTTTTCGAACCTTGGCACACCCTCGCCACCCTCCCTCATCCGCTCAGCGTTCCGCAGTAGTTCGATGCCCGTGGGATACGTGTTTGCGTATCTGAACACCCCAATGATATCTACCTCCCGTAGCGCGGCAGCCGAGATAGGGAGTGTCTGCACTGGCGTCCCCATGCCGATGAGCAATATCTTTCCGCCAGCTTTGGTCGCATAGATACTCGTCTGCAGACATGAAGGAACACCAGTGCACTCGAATACCGCATCGACCTGTCCTAGTTTACTGTTATCGTCAACCACCACTTCTCCTATCTCTGCGGCGATCTTCCGTGCAATCTCCAATTGTTCCTCTGTGGAGTTCGCCCGTCTCAGAGGAACGGGGAATCCGCAGTGTGCAAACCCGTTCTCCAGAGCAAACTTAATGCGGCCAGCGTCTATATCTGCAATGACAACGGTACACTGAGGGTCCTGGATCCTTAAAACAGCAGCAACAAGCAATCCTACCGCTCCGGCTCCGAACACGAGCACCTTCACACCAGGCTGCAACTGTGCTCTCCTGTGCGCATGGATCGCCACTCCCAATGGCTCCAACAACGCGCCCATTTCTAGGCTCATCTCAGCAGGTAGCTTATGTACGAACCCTGCCGGCTGGTTAATCCTTTCCTGCAGCGTGCCTTGCGCATGTGGAAATGCCTTCGCGCTACTCCGAAACTTCATCTCGGGACATATGTTGTACCGTCCCGCCTTGCACAGTTCACAAACGCCGCAAGGCAGTCCTACTTCCAGGGCGACTTTGTCACCAGGCTTCACGTCTTTGACCAAACTACCGGTAGCGACGACGACGCCGGCGGATTCGTGGCCTAAAGTCAGCGGCTCGAGGATCTGGATGTCCCCGTTGCGGAAGTGGTTGTAGTAGTGCAGGTCCGAGCCGCAAAGGCCAGTGGTGCGAACTGCAATTTGGACTTCATTGGCGTTTGGCGGTCTGATGGTTCTGGTCTCAACGCGAAGGTCCTTGGGTCCGTGCAATATGGACGCGCGGATGCGGTCGAACTTCATCGGGTCAACGGTTAGATGTGCCATAGACATTTTTAAACTGGCTACGAAAACGGGTTGAAAGCACGGGTATTGCTGCCAGGCGCTGAGAGAACGAGTGTGTAAACGGTGAGATCAAACCTATGATGGTATGTCTCTCTTCCAGCTTCAGATGCAGCCAGAAAGCATTTCGACGTTTCACGGCCTTTCTATGAACGTCACAAATGTTGAGGGTCTACTCCGCATCTGCCGCCTGGTTTGTGACTTTTCTAATTCCGCGTAGTGGAGAGCTGTTCTTCGGCACATGTTGCACGTTTCCTTCACGCTCCGTTATCGGGGCGACATCAAGCAGGATGCTGGCCACTGTTACTCCGTGTGCGATGGTGCTATATCTGCCCAACAGACTAAACTGTCCACTTAGGCACCTTTTAATCGATCAGTGTATTTCAACATCAGGTGAACCCGCAACAGGTACGAGCTCCTCCGTAATGGTATCGCTCCGTCGTAGATGGAAAGCTACGAAGGCTCATGACTTTCTCGCCGATTCAGCAGATCAAATAGTATTTTTTTCAAGCTCTTTGACTTGGATTTGATGGCGTCATGGGCTCTGTCATGCAGCTATTTTCTTTGCAAGGCCAGACTGCTTTGGTCACCGGCGGTACGCGAGGAATTGGCCAGGCAATGACGCTTGCACTCGCAGAAGCTGGGGCTGATATAGTACTTGTGCAGGTATGATGTATTGAATGGGGTTAACGATCTAAATCTGATTTCGCGTCAAGAGAGATGCCTCGAATACAGCCGTCAAAGAGCAAATAGAGCGGCTAGGGCGAAAGTGCGAAATCTTCGCGTGTGATCTCTCAGACAGCGAAGCCGTTGGTTCGCTCACCGGCCGAATCGTATCTAATGGACACAAGATTCATATCCTCCTCAACTGCGCTGGCATCCAGTCGCGCCACCCGTCTCACTGCTTTCCTACGGAGGACTGGAATCATGTGTTGCAAGTCAATCTCTCGACCGTCTTCACGCTCTGCCGCGACGTAGGTGCACACATGCTGGCCCGTTCCCCGGACGCACACGGCCGCCGGGGAACGATCATCAATGTAGCGTCGCTATTGTCATTCCAGGGTGGATTCACGGTACCAGCATACGCAGCAAGTAAGGGGGGAGTGGCACAGCTTACCAAGGCGCTGAGCAATGAATGGGCAAGCAAAGGCATCAATGTCAACGCAATAGCGCCAGGATACATCGCAACAGAGATGAACACGGCATTGATAAATGATGAGAAGAGGGCGAAAAGCATCCTGGAGAGAATTCCAGCAGGGAGATGGGGGGATCCGGAGGACTTCAAAGGCGTAGTTGTGTGGTTGGCAAGTCGAGCGAGTGGATATGTCAGCGGGGAGATTGTTACCGTGGACGGAGGATGGATGGGTAGGTGAAAGGTATCATCCATCCTGTTTCCAAAGGCAGCGTGTCTGTTATCTTCGATTGCCAGTGGTAGACTGGCGACAAAGACGAGTAGGGAAAGGCAGAGAAGATGTCCAATCAAAGGCGAGATATCTCCGTCTGCTCCAAAGATGATTCTAGATCACTGCTCGCGCACATGACTTTGCGCCGGATCCCAACTTAAATACAGGCCGAAGGGCATTTTCCTGTGCTGGCTGCTTTGATTGAACTGGCGGTCAGTCTTTTTGCCCTGCATCAAATCCGAATCCGGTAATCTCAGCCTCTTTAAGGGTCCCACTCTCGACGAAATACTTTTGCTTGGTTGGCAGCACTACCGGAGCCCCTGGCCAGCGCCGGTGGAAGAAAATTCAGATAACGGCCGCTTTCAGTCCCACGCCTTCGATACCTTTGCGTCGACGGTATCCCGCTTGCACCCCTGTTACAAAGTGACAACACTCGCTCTCGGAGGACTGTGACGAACTCTCGCCTTGGTTCAGAACTGAGCTTGAAACCTGCCAACACGACTTCAGGCCATAGATCGGACAGTGATTCGTATAGAAAGTTAGACTTCTCGCAGAACCTTGCGTGAACGTGCCCAAATAGACCAACCATCCCGTCACCCGGCTGTCTTGAACTTACGACCTGTCGAGCTTCACCCGCCCTGACAAGAAAATGACGAGGCCGTAAGTAGCTTGCTTCGTGACGGCTCGAGGCATGACTCGCACCAGCTAACATGTTTTGCAGCAAGCGTCTTAAGGTTGCCGTAGCCGGCCTGGGGCGTATGGGCAAGCGCCATGCCCTTAATTTTCTGTCAGTTCAACGCGCTGAGCTCGTGGCCGCGTTCTCTCCTGATGCTGGTGAGCGGGCCTGGGCCGAAGAAAACCTGGTGCCGTGGGGAGCGCAGATATACTCCAGCTACGAGGAGATGATCCAGCATCCCGGACTCGAAGCCGTGTGTATCGCCACCATCACGGCAGCGCATGCCGAGGAATCCATCAAGGCCATCGAAAAGGGCTTGCACGTGTTGTGCGAAAAGCCCCTGAGCACGACCGTAGAAGTGAGTCAGATGGTCGTGGATGCGGCTGCAAAGCGACCGGATCTCAAAGTGATGTGTGGCTTCTCGCGTAGATTTGACGAGAGCTACCGCAACGCCTACGCTCATGTCGAAAACGGGAACATTGGCACGCCATGCGTCTTCAAATCCAGCACGCAAGATAAGCACGACCCGACCGGATTCTTTGTCCAGTACGCGAAGAACAGCGGCGGCATCTTCGTTGACTGCAACGTGCACGATATCGACCTTGCGTTCTGGTTTCTGGGTGAGGACCTCATTCCCAAGAGCGTGACGGCATATGGCATTACTGCCATTGAGCCCGAGCTCCGAAAGTTCGGCGACGTCGACAATGCCTTGGGGATGGTCGAGTTCTACGGCGGCAAGATGGCCATGTTTGGATCGTCTCGAATGATGGCTGCCGGTCAACACGACGAGACGTGCGTGCTGGGAACGAAGGGCCAAGTCACCATCAACACAAACCCGAACCAGAACCTTGTTGAGTTCCATGCTAGCGACGGAATAAGGAGAGAAATCCCGCAGACCTACTGGGATCGCTTCCGAGAGGCCTTCCGCACAGAGGCTGAAGAGTTCGTAGACTGCTGTTTGACTGGCAAGGAACTGCCCTTCAAAATCAATGGTGCTTTGAAGGCGGTTATGATTGGGAACGCGTTGCAAGAGAGCTTGAGAACAGGCAGGATGATTAGATTTGACGAGAATGGTAGGAGAATCGAGGAACTCAATTAACATGGCCCTAGAAATCACAATTCTTGCAGCTGCCTTGCGCACACAATAATTATATTAGATAAAATCAATACATAGAAGACAAGCATAGCAAGAACATGTTCGCCATAGGAGTTTCGTGATCATACGTATTGGGGTAGGATGATACGCGAGATTGAGGCTACATGAAGTGCTTTCTATTTTCAAAGACGGTATTCACAAGACCTTAACGGCATTGTGTCGAAACAGATTAAGGTTTCAATTGAATAACAAGTTAAAAAAATATATATATATATATATATAAAAAAGAGAGAGAGAGAGAGAGAGAGAACCTAGAGTTTCATTTTTGGTTCTCTGGTGGTCTCACGTCCATGTATGTAGCTTACATCCCGATAGGCTCTCGCCGCCTCTCCCACAAGCTCCCCTCTAAGCAGACTGTACACCCCCATTTTCGCCTTGCTTTTCCATTTCTCAGCCAAAGCCAGGGCGGTTTGGAGCATATTTTCAGGCTCCTCTGCTACGTCTATGATACCGTCTGCCAATGCCTCTGTCGCGGTGTATTTGTGCGCCTCGAGTAGCACTTTGCGTCGAACAGGCGGCGCAAGCTTGGCATTAAGCAGAGTCCCCATGCCGGGGTGATGCAGGCCTAAATTAACAGGCGGCATCTGGAAGTATCCGCGTCTACGGTTCATAACTCGGTAGTCATCTTTTTATGCGAATAAGCTTGTGCGCGGAAGATCAGACAGCCAGAAACACTAACGGGCTAGAGACAGAAGGCATGCACCTCCAAACACATGTCCCGTGATCAGACATATTGTTGGGAAGGGGAAGTCGAGAATTGTAGCAAGAAGAGGATAGAAACCGTCGGTAGAAGCGAAGGGGTTCCTCTCGCGTTCATCTAGATCAAGTCCCTTTACACGGTCATCTCGAATTCAGGCCAGCGTTTACAAGCGCCCCGTACAGTTGTGAAGAATTTAGAGCTGAAACTGGTCAAAATCACAGCGCCCTCTGAATCTCTCCCGAGTTCGTGCTCCTATTTCTATCAGCAGATTCTTTAATCATCTCTCTCGGTCACTTACTATGTGACGGTACGCCTGGATGATCTCTTGGCATGAAGCAACAGTGAGCCTGTTCTCGGGAGGCTTGTTGAGAATTATCACGAATACGCCGGGCTTTTCTTGTTTGACGGATATGTACTTGAATGACATTGTGATATGAAATCGTAAACAAGCCACATAGCGTCTCCAGGCTTTGATTTGAACCCCATTCTCAAGGGCTGGATGTCTACTGGCCAGCCGGGAATCTGGGGAATCCAGAAAGAAGTGGAGCTGGATTTTTCCTGATGTGAATTTCCCCGAACGAATGCTTTGGATAGAGCTCCACCATCGGCTCTCATAACGTCAGTATGTTGCGTAGCTTGAAAACCCCCCAAATTAATTCTCTGCCGTTCTTTCCGAGCGTAGGCCAAAGACTATTGTGCCATTCAGGAATCTGTCCTTAAGGTTTAGCGAATCACCGCGGTTCGAGAAACCCGCGGCGTTTCTCGGTCTTCACTGAAAGCAAGCATTGCAGACTCGCAGCAGACTGCAAAGCTACTAGACTGAAACAGACATATCTGCTGAGTCTCTCCTGATGCTCACACTATGATTGCTTTGTGATCACACAGAAAGCTTGGCTTTTGGAGGTTAATAAAGCAAATGCGACACTAACTTTGTCAAAGACCAAGCCGCTGGAACGCATCTGCCGTAATGGAGGGCCAAACACGAAACATCCCAAAGGAGCCGGTCGAAAGCGACTTTGGACTCTTTCTATGGGGCAAGGAGAAATTTTTGCGTCGGAAAGCGACGCTCAAGGCCTTCGCTACCGATCCGATCTTTTCAAAAGGTGAAGTCGTCTACGCGTCATTACCTCGGAAGGACGTATGGGCGCGCACAGTGCTGCAGTCCAAAGCCTTGATAGAATTGAAACTGAGGGAGGGATGGTCGCACACTCAATTCATGGAAGCAATTAAGATGACTGACAATTTTATGCCCGTACAACCGCAGTTTCGTATTTTTATGTCGAATCTTGAGAGGCAAATGAGTGATGAGCAAAAGAAAATCTGGATCCCGAAAGCAGAGAGATTCGAGATATTTGGTTCGTATGCGCAGACCGAACTGGGTCATGGAAGCAACGTCCAAGGAATCGAAACAACGGCCACTTTTGACGAGACCACGGACGAGTTTGTCATCAACTCCCCAACTTTGAGTAGTACAAAGTACTGGATTGGAACAACCGGTCAGTACCTCGGCTGCTGAGAGCAGTATGGAAGTTAACGTAATTAAGGTGTTTGGGCAACACATTCGATTGTGGTGGCAAAACTGATCATCAAGGGCAAAAACTATGGGAATCATCTTTTCTTGACTCAAATCAGAGATCTGGACACACAGAGATTGATGCCCGGAGTCGAAATCTACGAGCTTGGCCCCAAAGCCTTCCAAGGGATGCTGGGAACGGACAATGGCGCAATGCAGTTCCACAATGTTAGGATTCCGCGCTCACAAATGCTCGCCCGAAATGCTCAAGTGCTGCGAGATGGTACTTATGTGAAACCAAAGAACGAAAAACATTCGTATGGATCTATGGTTACAGTCCGAGCACTCATGGCCGAAATCACGGCGTGGGACCTTCTCAACGCTGTTGTGGTGGCATATCACTATACCACTTTCCGCAAGCAGTTCAGAAAAGACAGCAACGAGAAGGAAGAAACTACGGTGTTTGACTATGCAAGTGTCCGGTATCGATTGCTTCCTCTACTAGCACAGGCTACAGCACTGATTGTCGTGGGACGCAATATAAAGCGTGGATATGACGAGTACACCGAACACAATCTCAAAACCGGTGATTTTTCTCAGCTAGAGGACTTTCACCTCCAAACCGTGGGAGCTAAAGTATACTCTACCGATATTACAGGGCGTGGTATTGAGACATCGAGAATTGCTTGTGGCGGTCACGGCTACAGTGCTTTGTCTGGTTTCGGTCGCATGTATGCCAATGCAATCAATGCTGTGACCTACGAGGGCGACAACTATGTTGTGGGAAAGCAAGTACCACGAGCTATACTAAAACATTATCGCAACAAAACGGAGAGTTCTCTGCCGACGCTATCATATCTATCAGCCTTGCGCGAAGGAGGACGGACAATGGTTCCTATTAAGTCTGCAAACGATTGGTTTGATGAGCAGACTCAAAAATGGGCATTGGAGCAGCGACTGCGCAACCTGGTACAGCAACACATCGAAGACACCGACGCTGGCAAGGATACAAGTTATTCAACTCACTCTTTGACTATGGCACATTGCGATTTCGTTTATTTCACACAATTGATGGACGTGGTTAATCGTCTTGAAACGGAGAATCGAAGCTATGCTCCTCCGATGCGAGCGACAGCTCGTGTTTTTGCACTTTCGGTTATCCAAGACCCGCACCATCCTAGCTTAGCACAGGCTCTGCCTCTTCCTATGGATGAACAAAAGTGGCTCCGAGACGCATACGCAGCTGCATTAGACGATTATGCAAAAAATCATGTCGCTTCAATCATAGATGCGTACGGATTAACCGAATATGAGCTCGACAGTGCGCTGGCTAGAAGCAATCAGACGCCGTATGAAGCACTATGGGAAGGCGCGAAGAAAAGTGAAATGTCAGGAGCTGCAATGAGTTATCTGTGGCCTGTGATGATCGGCGCAAGACAGATTTGGAAGCAAATAGAGGAAGAGAAGCAAGGACATCGCACATCTAAGCTGTAAGAGATACTCGTGTTAGTGAACAGGTGAACAACATGTCCTTTAAAGTGTTCATCGCAGACTGGGTGAAGTTCAATACGTATGTCCATTGTATGTTCATGTCAGAAACGGTGTATGTCTATCCGAGTGGCCTGTGCCGTCTAAAAGATATCCTATGTCAATACGTCTACATACGAGCTTCAATACCCCCTAGTCCTTTCGAGGATCTCCAAACCTGGACATCTGGGTGTCCGCCGGGCGGGAAAAGCTCTCCAACAAGAACTTTTTTGATGACCTTTCCCGTTGCGTTCTTCCTAATTTCCTTGACCACTCTAAGAAGTGTTGGCATCTTATAACCAGCCAAGCTAGCGCGTAAGTCGGCTCGTAGCTCATCGATGGTCAGCGTTGTCCGTAGATCTTCCCGCAAAATGACTGCTGCAGCCACACGTTGTCCAAATTCCTCGTCTTCGACTCCAACGACCATGACTTCGGACACGTAATCAAGGCCCATTATTTCCCGTTCGATGTCCAAGGCCGAGATCTTGTAGCCACCGGATTTGATGATGTCAATCGACGCTCGGCCAAGAATGAAGTAGAAATCTCCCTCCTTGCGCGCAATATCTGCACCAGTGTCAAATCAAGCCTTGTAAAAAGCTAGGCATTGCAGACCGCTTACCTCCGGTTTTAAAGTACCCTTCCGCATCCAATGCTTTCTTCGTGCCCTCGGGATCAAACAAGTATTTTGAGAACATAATTGGCGTTCTGACCAGAACCTCTCCTTCATCTCCGCCAGAGAGCTTGAAGTCAATGCCAGGTCCTTTGGTTCCGACGGAGCCATCGGGAACATTCTTCAACCACGGCGTCACTGTGAACACATTCCCGAATTCTGTTCCACCATACCGGGTGCAGATGTGCTTCCCTCCACGCAGTTTCGTCCACTTGTGTTGCAAAGGTCTCGGCAGAGCAGACGTGCCGCAAAGCATGACCCGTATATGTGAAGCACCAGCAGCATACTCTCCGGCGTGTGGCAGCTTACTCAGCTTTTGCTCATAGTATTGCATGAGCCTCATGTATATTGTAGGCACGCCAGAAAAGAAGTCCAAATCAGCCTTTCTAATGCGCTCCCAGGTCCACGCTTGGTCAAATCCTCCACTTCGAAACTCGATGTGGCCACCACTCCAAATGAAGGGAAGCAATGTCACTGTGATTCCGGTCGCGTGGTGCACGGGAAGGACGTGTAGAACATGATCTCCTTGCCGTATACCGTGCTGATCGCTGAATTGGCTTGCGACATCGTACAGGAAGCCACGCCGCTTGACGGCGCCCTTCGGGGGGCCGGTCGTGCCGGACGTGAAAATTACATACGCGCTTTGGTTCAGATCGGTGTAGACATCAGAAGAGACCTGAAATTCGCTTGGTTCTAAACATCTTTGCATCAAATGTGGTCTGATCATGATCGATCTGAACAGCCCTTTGGTATGTGACTGCATGACACGTTCCAGCTGTTCGCCAAGTCTGACGCATCTGTCCGCAACCAGGACTGCCTTTGATTGACATTTAGTCGCAAAGTACGTTGCTTCTTTGACTGGTAAGTCCGGAGATATTGGCACGACCACTACGCCGAGTGCGATGAGCGCTAGGAACCCGACCGTAAATTCATATCCAGCAGGGCCGAGTAAGTTGAAGAACACCTCTTCGCCGCGATCAATGCTTGCAACAATTTCCACATGCAAGCACTGGCGCAAATAGTTTCGTAGATGCAGAACATCTGTTAACAACTGTGCGTAGGTCGCCTTGAAGTTGAAGGTCAGGTCGGTTACGGCCACAAGATCTTCCTTTTGTGCCCATCGCACCAATCGACTCCAAAGAAAGAAATTTGGAAATACTTTCGGCCCTATATGAGCAGGAAAGTGGTTGCAGCGGTCAAACGATGGGTCGTCCATTATGTTTGAGAGGTCTTTGTGGTGCTGCTTATTTGGCCGAACGCCTGCTGACGGGCGAGCAGAAGTTGAAGTCTCAGTTATATGTTCGCATACTGGGGGACGATCACGATGTACGGGCGACGGGGCCGCAATTTTTTAGGCTGTTTCTCTGCTTCTTACAATCTTCCGAACTAAGGAAATCTGGAGACCGTCAGCTATCTTCAAGGTAGATAGTTGGGTTTCGGCGCTGACGCTTTGGGATATCGCCGGGATCATTTATTTCCCCCGCAGTTTGCAAATCTTAGCCAAGCAAAGATCGTGGGCCTTCAGTAATCTGGGGAAGCATTTTGCGGGGAGAATGGCAGATGCGTGCTTACAGCCTATTGGAAACGAATGAGATGAAGAAGATTGGGAGATCGGGAAAGAAAGTCATGCCTGCGCATAAACTAGTCATGTCTGCACACGGCTAACAGTACTGTCCTTACCTCACCCACTGGAGAACGTTATGCTAGCTTATTTCCTCCTGCCCTATGTTCGTCTATAAAGCGCACTTTTGTCAGTTGTGTTTTCTCATCACATCCGATCATGTTTGGGTTAAGACAAGCTAAAGAACAGGTTGAGTCTGAGGGAGTTTACGTAGGAGGATGGTCATTGGAAAATGCCTTTACACCTCCAAAGAAGAACGGCCAACGTGGTGCGTAATATCTCCAGCGCTAGATATAACACCAAACAGCTGACGATTCAGAATAGCGACTGACCAAGACGTCGTCGAACATGTGGCAGTTGTCGGTGATTGGACTCAAGAAGAAGAAAGAGCTTTGGTGCGCAAGATGGATATGAGAGTACTTTTCCCATGCTGTATTCTTTACTTCCTTGCATATCTCGACAGAGCCAACATGGGGTTCGTCGGGATTCTCCAGTCTGGAACGAAAGACAACATGCTTGAGACTTTGCATCTGCAAGGTATTCAGTTCAACTGGGCAATCAGTGTTACGTACTTTGCCGTCACTGCCCTTTTACTGCCTTCCAATTTGATCATGAAAAAGGTAAGAAGAAGACTAAGAAAATAATGGCAATGGGCTAATTTCGTAATGAAGGTATCCGGCAAGATCTATTTTCCGATCATCATGGTCTTGTTCGGAACCATTGTCTGTGGCATGTCTGCAGTGAAAAGCGACACTGGACTGATAGCAGCACGGTTTTTCCTCGGTGTTCCTGAAGCTGGTGTCGTCCCTGCCTGCATCATGTATTTCAGCTTCTGGTACAAACCTTCTGAACGAGCCTTGCGAATCGGAATATTCCATTCGGCTAACTCACTCGCGTCTGGTGTCGGCGGCTTTATTGCTGTTGGAGTAGACCATGTACGTAATAGGATTGCATATACGAACCATGTCGAACTGACCTGTCATAGTTGAATGGGAGAGCTGGGCTAGAGTCCTGGAGATGGCTTTTCATTGTGGAAGGTTTGATGCCTATTGTGATGGCTTTGCCAGTCTATTTCCTTCTCCTCACGTTTCCCGAAACTTCGTCTGCTCTCTCAGAGCGCGAACGATATATTGCCATCAATCGATTTCCACGAGGCGCCACTCGTCGAACAGACGTCACCTGGGATACACGTGCCTTTATTGATATCATGTCCAGGCCATCAACTTATGTCTTTTTTGTCAGCTACATCTGTCTTCTAATCGTCGCGGTTGCTCTCGGCACTTTCTTGCCGATCATCCTCAAGCAATTCCTCCAATTTGATTCCCACAAGGCAAACGTTTATACGTCAGCAATATACCTGGTTGCAATAGCTGAGTACTCTGTATGGTCCTGGCACTCTGATTGGACACGGGAACGTATGTGGCATTACCTTCTACCGGTCTTCGGGGCCATCCCATGCTTCGCGGTGTGGACTCATGTCTCCTCAAACCAAAGCTATGGCAGTATCAAGCCGATTGCATTATACGGGCTTGCATTTTTGGGGAATCTGGTCTCGATATCACAACCGGCAGCTCTGGCATATCGGTCGAGCACGCTCTATGGTGCAGCAGAGCAAGCTGTCGGTGGAGCAACCGCAGTTGCTGCTCTTTCGATTGCAAGTATCATCAGTCCTCAAATATTCCCTACTCCACAAAAGCCATGGTACCTACCTGGTTTTTCGACCTGCTGCGCCACTCTTGCCTTCACAGTCATTGGCTATGCTAGTCTGCCGCTGTGGCTTCTGGCTGAGGCTAGATGGCGGAAGCGCAAGACAGGCCACGCTATGCCGTTCAGGGCGCTTGAGGATGCCGCTCACGCCATGGTTTCCGAGACAACTCGTATTGCTGAGCAAGAACAACGATTGCGAGAGGAGAAAGGTTTACCTGCAGACATAGAGATTGCGAAGATTGAAGATGTTAAAAAGGTACAACCGGAAGCTGAGAAGTAAGCCTGGAGTGTAGGGCTTGCAGAGTTGAGACAGTGGGGTTCTTATGCGCGAATTATGATGGTGTTTGCTTGAGGTTACGCCCCGTCTTAAGGCCTTAGGCCGTATTGCGCTTTCTAGAAGCGAATAGTTGATTGATCAGAAAGGTCCTTTATGTAAAACTTCTGGAGAAATATTTAAACTTCTAGAGTAACTTGGAATGGATGAACATTGAATTTGATGGATTCAAGCATGGCTCACAGCTTTGCTAGTACAGCGCCACTATCTCCTGAACCAAGTTCAATCTCATTGTCCCAGTAGTTGGGGTTGACAACCAGTTTGTTCAGTGGATTCAGATGATGTGCACGATAAAACAAATCCTCATATACTTTACCATCACTACGCCCCAGAGCGCTATCAAGCAGATAATCGGGTATTGCGAATGAGTCTACAAGTCGCACAGCGTGCGGGCGTATTTTCCGCATAAGCATCAGAATCTTAGAACTCAGCTTCTCTATGTCGGAGGACGAAACGGAACCAGAGGATTGGAAAGTTCTGGCTTCGCTGTCAATGGTGTGATATGCGAAGAGCAAAAACATGTCCTGAATGACTGATGACGTCTCTGGATCTAAATCCATAGCTTCCGTCGCGAGATGAAAATTTCGAATCAGCATAGCTTGTGAATAGGCTCGGCTCAAGTTGTGGAAATCAATAAGCAAATCGTTGTGAGGTCGCTTCTGTACCACACGTGCATCATATGCTTGCCAGGAAAGGAAGCACATTCGTCTTTCAAATGCATCCACTATTGCTTTGGAAGTTCCAAATATGTCGCATACAGACAACGGTTGAGTCTGAGCGGCAAAAGCTCTTACACAGTTCTCAGTCCAGCTGCTTTCAGATTGAGTATTGTGGTTCGAAATGTTCCCAACCAATGAGATTAGATGACGTGCGACTTGCTGGGTGATCATCCAGTTGTCGCCTTCTACCGTTGGTTTGGATAGCCAGTCGTTGTTTAACGAAATGAGGCCAGTCGCACCACCAAAGCCATGGCCGCCCATGGCTCGACGGCAAATTTCGATTCCATTAGCAGATAGTTCGGTAGCCAGGCTTTTTAGTCCAGCGGAAGTGCTATGGAGCTCTCGTAACTGCGCGTTGTCTGAATCAAGGGAATGTGCACCTCGTGTACGTTGGTATAAGTCCCACATCGCTTTCCCAGTGTAGTGTAGAGCAAAGACTGTAGCGAGCAGCGGCAAGACACGTATTTGAACAGTAGAGTAGTCAAGAACTTGGGTCTCTGGGGACGCGGAATCCTTCGAATCTTGGTCGTGAAATTGACGACGAATGGCTAAATATCTTACTGCAACGGTCACCGCCCGTGCTAGCATCAGTCTCGAGTTCAATACTATAACTGATCGACCCTGTAAGCCGTAAGCTTTTGAAAATTTCGAGCGATAAGAGAAAAAAATTTACCCGTGTTAGCTGACCATATACCGAGCTAGCATTTTTTGGTCTAGAATAAGCACCCGTCTCAATATCCAATTGTGCATATCTACTAAGTAACGCGCTGTGCGGAATACGATGTTGGTCAAATAAACAGTACGCATTGTCCATAGCCGCATATCCATACTTCGGCCCAATGTCGCCCACGACAATGCTTTTTGGTGGTAGGTGTGTCTTCATATTGCGTATCTGCACGATAAATGGCCGTGGGCCACAATGCTGCACACTGCCATCCTTTCTTGGAATGATGAGTTGCGCAACAACAACTGCATGGGTAGCCGTCAGACCCAGAGTGCCATTCCACCACTTGCTTGCTGTGATTGTCGGACTATGTAATACGAATTCCTTGGCAGCATGATCCCAAGTTGCTGTGCACTCAATTCCACGAACATTACTTCCATGTCCAAGCTCTGTCTGTGCATAAGCACCAATGATCTCCCATTTCTCGATCTTAGGAATCCAGTACGCGCGTTGCTCTTCATTACATTGTTCGCGCATAGCAGCAGAAAAAAGAGACATGTGAAGATGGTACGGCTGAATTTCATCAACCAAGTACTCGGCCATAAGTAAGTCTTCTTCATCCCATTGATGCTCATCCATCAACTGGCGCATGCGTTTACCGCGGGCTAGGCCAAGTCGATATCTGTCAGGTCTGGAGAGATTGTACTGTGTTGTCTTCGAGAAGAGCTTTTCTTTGATGACGACATCAAGAACTCTAGCCTGTCGATCAAGGTATTGTTGCCCAAATAGATGCAAGGAAAGATTTTTGACATCAATTCTTGAGCCGTTGCGCTCACGTGTCAAGATCAAGGCGCCGTCAAGTTCTGAGCTCGGGCGAAGCTTCGCAGTGAAATCCATGTTGTGTCTGAAGTTGATAGGTAATCTGGTATCCTGTACTTGTCGGTTCGAATTTTAAATCGTATTCTCTTGTAGCCACGGAGGACTTGTAAGGCCAACTTGAATCATGCCATGGTGTGAGTGGAACAATGCAGCATCCCATTGTTGCCGACAATTTCCAGACCTATGGGGACCTTGGAGGAAACTTGTCCATGCCATTTTGAGCAAACGCCGCGTCGGCGATCTTGAATGCAGGGAACGAGTTTGCTGCGAAAAAAAAGGATCAAACGGTTTATCAAAGCCGAAAATTGCTTCGTAATTCATTTTCCGGCAGCTTAAATTCGGAAAATAAACTGACAACACGCTTCATTCAGGCATTAATTGCAGATCCTCCATCCAATCTTTCATCCAAACATTGTCTTGCAAAGTCGAATCGCCGAACAGGTTTGAAAATAAATCCTGATATGCGCCAATAACCGGAGTCGCCATTTCTAAGTGTATGTTGCCGTTCGGTGTATTGCGAACAGGAGGCATCATCTCGGGTACCTGCATTGGTGTAGCTTCGGTGTGGACGTTTTGAACGTCTTGAAGGGCAATGAAAATGCGATGAAAGTATTGCATGACTTCTTGGCCGTAGATTTGCAGGAGGTGCTCGGGACTGACCTGCGGCTGTTCGAAAGCAGAATCAGGTTCTGGCGTGGTGCGCCTGCTTTGCTCAGAGCGTTTTGATGCAAGTACAGCGCGACGGATTGCACGCACATTGCGGAGATTTTGCTGTGCCGCTGGCCGGACTTTGCCCAACGTAGAAAATACTTTTTCAAGCTCGTCTAGGGCGTATATTGCTTCGTCTCTGAGCTCTCTGATACGGAGGGCTGAAAGGTGCGGTATGCAAGTCGCCATTAAGTGCCAGGCAAAAGCTGAGCTGAGCAGTTTAGTCTGACCTCGCAATTCAATTGATTGAAATAGTCGGAAACTGAGATTGCCTGCGACGATGCTTGCTGCGTTGGCAGGGGTAATGTTAAAAACTGAACGAGGCCGGTGTAAGATTGAGATGGTAGATAGAATTGGGATATGCATCTGAGCTAGTTCGAAATCATATCCCTTATCCACGATCAAGAACTCTTCCGGTAGAGCATCCAGATAGGATTTCAGCCTCCAGGTGAATTCAGCGCGTTCTCTATGATTGATGCGGCCGTTTCTTGTCAGAAGCTGACATAAATCGCCCAAAATTTGGCATATCTTGACGTACTCGACAAAGATCGCTGCTCTCCTGTCTCTGGGATCTTCAAAGTCATCCACTGTTATCATTTCATTCGCTGAATCCGCTGAATTCATCATACGAGGCCGCCCATGGGCAGATGCCATTAGCGAATCTCGTGTTGCCAATGTCCACCAAATGCGTCTCCAAACGCCTTTGTGATCCCCGAAAAGCGCATCAGTTGGCCTATGAAGCCCAACTTGCTGCGCTAGACCGACAGCAGAAGTAGCCCAAGCCCGAGGTGTATCTGTTGACACGTCTTTCGGCGCGGTTGGCGCATACCACTGAATCAAACACAATGAAGTGAGGATGTGCATCGGATCTCGTTCGTAGCTAGCATTGAGCAAAGCCTTCACCTTTCGATACTGCTCATCGACAAAATCCTTGTCACAAACTTCAGGCCTCATGATGGCACCAACCAAGAGCACTGCCTGTAATACCAGTAGCGAGCCTTCTCCTGCTGTATACGTCCCAATGAGCTTGCTGAGGTCAACCACAGGCATCCATACCCATGCGTGATCTATGTACGCATCGACGAGGCTTTGTCGCAGAGGTGCGATGGGGAGCTCGAAGGCCTTGTACAGCTTCAACACTTCCAGATCGGTCTTCGAGAGGACGTGATCTGTCGATGCCCTTCGCTCACCATGTGAATGATCGATTCTAGCGAATTCATCCCCGAGTATGGCGGCACGAGAGAGGTAGGACGAGTTGTGGAATGCGTCAGGCGAAGAAATCGGTTCCGTTGCCGGCTGATATGTAACAAATAAGTACGGCGATGTCACTGGTGATGTGTTCGGGCTAGCACCATGCCGAACAGTCCCATTCTCTTCCCTGCTGTACGTCCTCCGTACTTCAGCAGGTGAGTTTGCTGCGCTACATCCTTGCTCTTGTCTCTTGTTTGACGCATTTCTCGAAATTGACTGTGCCTTCCGCTTACGCGTTCTTGCGGCGCAATCAATGCCGTGAGATACACAGTAAGAACATGCACTGTTGTGTCCCCCCGTGTCGCACCGGATTTTCTTACTATAGCACACTTCGCAAGCTCTCAATGAGGGTTTACCCTGGATCGTGTTGGGCTTGTAGGGAGAGATTTGGAGGTCCGCCATCACTTCAAACACACGACTCCGGAGACATTGGATTGAAGCCGCATTAGCTCATTATGCTAATATTAAAGTTTGAAAGGTGCGCTTGCAGGGACAATGCGCTGTTTCCATGATTCCAAGCGACGCGAAGAGGAGGGGGGAGGGTTGTGCGGAGAATGGAGCTCTACCCTGGCAAAGTAAAAGATTACAGCTTAGTGATCAAGCAGAACAAGTAATAGCAAGGCTACAGATAAGCAACTGGCAAGGTCGATCAGAAGACCATGGCCGACGCAAACAACCTGTGAAAATCCTCAAGCTCTTTTCAAAGGGCTATGCAGCTCGATAATCAGCAGAGAGTGTGAACCATGTGAATCCACTACAAAATTGATTATCCGCCACAATAAAAATCAATGACGTCGCCTTGCCATCTCACTGCACGTCACCATGGTTAAGTGGTGACGTGCATGGATACATGTCATTTCCTCCGTCCTACAGGACGACGGTATGAGAAATGTACAACACCATCAGTTGAATGCACGGGCAGCAGTTCCTGTGCATAGGACGCGTCAATCGCATTCTACACGCATCAGCACGCATAGGTTTGCCAAAACAAACAATGCCAGCGAAGCGAAAAGCATCTGCAATAGGGAGAGTAGCTCGTGAGAATACAAGCACAAAGAAGATTAAGGAGTCGCCTTCAGAAGCAGGTCATATCGATACCGGTATAGCGACCGCTTCTAGACGCCAGCAACCTGTACGGAAGAGGTCAAAAATTCTGACGGATCCCGACGAGAACTCCGACGTACTCGATGGCGACAATGCTCTCCGAGCCTCGCATGATCATGGCGATGGAGATGAAATAGGTACGCCCAATGGAAATGGCCACGGGGCTTGCTCCTTACAAGATGCGCGAGACAAGGTGGTAGCGAAGCAGCCTGGTCCAAAGAAACGAGGTGGCAAAATTGACACAAGAAAGCCAGCCAAAGAAGAACAAGCCGCTCCGCTATCACTGCAAGCAAAAGGGCTGAAGTCTGCCGTCGGGCTTCTGCAGAATCCCGATGCTGAGAGCGACCAGGAAGCAGATGAGGAAGAGATCAAAGAAGCATCGCTTCGACCTCCGCCTGTCAACAGCGAGTATTTGCCACTGCCTTGGAAGGGCCGGCTAGGTTATGTAAGTTCCTGTTCAAAGAGCCTCACTTCCTCCCCACTAAACCGCCTTAGGCATGCTTAAACACGTATCTACGCTATTCAAACCCTCCTGTGTTCAGCTCACGAACGTGCCGGATAGCTTCCATTCTGGAGCATCGTCACCCGCTCAAAGATCCAAGCTTACCAGAACATCCTACCAAGAACCGGCCAGATAAGGATCGGCCTGCCGATATAGCACGCGGGCAGAAATGGGTGCAAGAGTTGGGTCTCGCAAATGCACGTGACGTCATCAAGATGGTAAGGTGGAACGACAAGTACGGAATAAAGTTCATGCGCTTGAGCAGCGAGATGTTCCCGTTTGCTAGCCATGAAGAATATGGATACAAACTGGCACCGTTTGCGTCAAAAACACTGGCCGACGTTGGAAAGGTGATTGCCGAACTAGGGCATCGGGTAACGACCCATCCTGGTCAGGTACGCTTGAAACTAGGTCAGCGTGCGATTGCCGTGCTTAAACATTTTCTAGTTCACCCAGCTCGGCTCTCCGCGCAGAAAGGTTGTCGACGATGCGATCCGCGATCTCGAGTACCACGACGAGATGCTCACACTACTCAATCTTCCCGAGCAGCAAAATCGGGACGCCGTGATGGTCTTGCACATGGGCGGTGTATTCGGCGACAAGGCGGAAACACTGAACCGGTTTCGTGCCAATTATGCAAAGCTTTCGCAGTCGATCAAGAATCGGTTGGTACTGGAAAATGACGACGTAGGCTGGTCCGTCCATGACTTGCTGCCCATCTGCAAGGAGCTTAACATACCGCTGGTGCTCGATTTTCACCACCACAATATCGTATTCGACAAGGAAAAGGTTCGTGAGGGAACAAAGGATATCATGAATTTGTACCCCGAGATCCGTGAGACATGGACCAAGAAGGGAATCACGCAGAAGATGCACTACTCTGAACCTACATCTGGAGCCATAACGGCACGTCAAAGGAGGAAGCACAGTGCGCGTGTCGCAACGTTACCACCTTGTCCGGATGATATGGACCTTATGATTGAAGCCAAAGATAAAGAACAGGCCGTGTTCGAACTTATGCGCACGTTCAAGCTACCCGGCTTCGATAAAATCAGGGACCTCGTTCCTTACGTTCGCCAAGACGACAACAAGAACTTGGGAAAAAGAAAATCTGCGCCCAGAGGGAAGAGACTGATCAACGGTGAGGATGTCATCGAGGAAAGTGCGGTGGCCGCCAGCGACGAGGAATTGTGCGTGCCAGAGGACGAGGTCGGCATGGGTGGACCAGAAGGACGAGTGTACTGGCCGCCGGGAATGGAGGAATGGCTTCGACCAAGGAAGCGCGAAGCCAAGAAGAAGGATTCCGGTGCCGCTAGCTCGGCCAAAAATGCAAAGACACTGAAGAACACTTCTACCAAGGCTACCAAGGCTGCTGTCGAAGATGAGCTGGAGGAACTTGAGCCAAGTGAAGATCTTACAACAACGTGTCATAACTTACGACAGACAAACGACGCAAGGGGAAGAGGAAGGTCTAAGAAGAAACCATTCGAGTCGGCCACCTACACCTTAATGAGTCAGGGCGACTGCATAGCTGACCACGAGCCAGACACTGCAAATGAGACGGCAAGGCCTGCGAAACAAAAAGGGAACTCTGCAAAGGGGGTGAGATCTAGCGAGCGAGCAAGTCGGCTTCGCCGCCCCGAAATCGTCGGCTCAGAGTAGACGCAAAAAAAAAGTTCCGTCTCGATGTGAGGTAGAAGTTTGCGTTTCGACGCCGAAGGACTCTGGTCAAGCCCGGGGAGACCGCCACTATGTGAAACTGGTAGCGGAACGACGTGAAAATGCACGTAGTGTCTTTTTGACGGTAGGCAACAGGAGATTTCATCGCCATTGGACGGTCAACACGGATCAGCGCGGCGTTTTATCTCAGGAGCAGACATGTAATGTGCCAGCGCTTTGTCTACTTCACGCAGGATTGCCACAGTACTGCGGTTCTTCTCAGCAGCGCAGAGACGATGCTTAGACCCTTGGATCTTTTCAATGGGCAATGTTCTTCAAACGCTTTCTACGATAATCTGTTCGCGCGGCATGTCGGTCAAGAGTAGGAGTTTGGATTCTTGAAAGCAGCAATCGCATCTTCTGGGCTTGAACAGGCAGCGCTGCGAGCGTCTGCGGGTTAGAACCCTACAATACCTTGACAGGCTCTCGTCACGACGTCCAGCTAGATTGGCTACGACCGCCAACGAGCATCCGATCCTTAACGAGCCTATTGTCCAGTCGATTGAGGCTTCGATGACGCACAGATTGTCCGTCCCCATTACGTCAGGACGCGTCCAGAGCAGCCTTTGCTTTAGCTCGAGAAGCCGGGCGTGATTGATGTTTTCCGTTGGTATCTCGTAGACAGATAATCTCTCCAAAGTCGGTCTGGACAGGTAGCACTCCTCTACGGGAAGAGTTGATCATTCAAGCCTTTGCCAACTCCGGATCCGCCGTTTCTCGCGCCGGGCGGTGCCGGTCAGGCTCAGATCACATCGCACTCGCGATAAGTCGCGAACATCACGTGTTGAATTCGCGACGCTCGCCGCATGGTACGACATATAGAAAATGGGCGCAAACGACAGGAGCGTGTCGATCAGAAAGTCCTGGCGTCAATCTCGCTCAGCACGTCATCGCACCCCGTTCTTGAACAATTTGTCGTGAACTTTCCTAAAACGGCAGCTGCACCGCGCAGCCTGCCACTGTTTGTCGACGGGATGACGAGGCTACCACGAGGCTGCTGTGGAGCCCTCGATCTTCAAAACGAGACAATCAAGCGCGGTTCAAAAACGAACGTTTGTTCCTTTTTTTTTTTTTTTTTTTGTACGCACGGGAGATGCCAGGATGGCTCTGACACTCCAGAGATATCTACGTCTGTTGGTTGGTCAAAGGAGCAACAACGACTTGGAATGGCTGTGCTGGCTTGTTGTCTGCAAAAGGGCAGACGTGCAGTCCTCAATGACGATGATTGTGCCGGAAAGAAAGTTCGGCTGCGGTGGTGGGTTCTCTCTTCTTTTTTTTTTCTGGCTCCTGAGACGTCATGCAGCCTGCAGATGCGATCTAAAAAAGAGTTTGGTCACGTAATGGCGTATCTCATATCAAGGATGCGATATGATTCGTATTCTTGTAGCTCCTTCGCTCACGTTACACTATCGAATGTTGTAAGTTCGTGCGAAGACATACAAAGTAGAACGACTGTCTGCTAGACTTGCAGAGGCTATCTCCACTCAGAAAATGGACCAAGGCTCATGAGAACAACAGTCGCTCCAAAGTTAGCAGAACAGGACGACTGTTGATTGCAAATTTGTGACCTGGCCGCAGAAATGTCTAGAGCATTATTCAGCGGATAGGTCATTATCTGGACTTGTACATGTCGGTAGTCTGCAGTCCATTACATCTTTCTTCTTATGCGTGCGATTTGTCTCCTCGCAGTCCTAGGCGAGTCCGTTACGTGCAACCGCGGCGATTGGTATTTGTTCCGCAGACACATGACAATCTGCTGTACGTCTCGACTTTCTTTGCTTCTGCTTTGATGTCATGCAAGATAAACGCAAGAAATACGGAAGGGCGCAACGAGATCGATACGTCCAAGGAACATGTCTGGTCAGAACCTCAAGGGGGGGGAGACCTCGTGTTCGGAACTCCGCTCGCCAGGCCAAGAAGGCACGCAGAATACCCTACTGTTGAGCAAGACAATTGATAGCCTCTATGCAATGACAAACTCATCGCGGGCGGGCCCTAATCACTGGGAAATGCAAAAAAGGCAGGTACATGTCTTGCGGAAGACGGCCCGTCACGGGTATCCCACACAGGTGTATGGTATCCGTTGTGCAGACAGTCGTGGCGTCCACCAAAAACATTCAAAGGTTTCCTTTTTTTTCCTGGGTTGGAAACGTGGCCACGCCAAGATCTATCCGCATGCCATACCTGGGACGTCGATACGAGCTGATGGGAGTGTCGAATTGAGGGGGGGGTTCAGGGACAAATTGGTATGTAGAAAGGCTTATCATTTCGTGATGATGTTGGAGGGTGTTTCCCCCGTGCTGGCGCCGTGGAAAGCATGTTTGCTTCTGTCACGGCCTTTCTTACGCAAAACATGTTGTTGGCATATCAGATCCTGCACGGCTGAAGGCGATGTCTAAAGCGATCACAAGCGAACAGGGCGAGCTGAATGAGACTTGGCCCGCAGCTCGCAACGCACTTCCGGATGAGCAAACTCGGCTGTGCCTACAACTTTGTTTAGACAAAAAGGTGACTATAGCTTACGCATGCTAGTTGGCGGACTGTAGAGCCTCATCAATCAGCTTGACGAGTGGCATTACTTGCCCTCGAGAGCAGTCTGATTAATCCTCCTTTGAAATGCAATCATCAACTGTGAAATTAAAGTCAACATATCCAAACCAACAGAATTAAGCCGGCTGAAGATGTTGCACTTGTACGGCAAGAGGAACACAAAGGAATCTTCGGGGGTCGCGTTCTGCCAAGCAAAATGCCTGCTTGTTAACACGAAGCGATCCGCATCTGTAGCGGAAGAAGGAAAGGTCGTAGATAGTAAAAAAGGGGGTAGGCGCAAACAGAGAACAACTTCAATGCACGTTGTCTTGTTTTTTAAGGAGAGGGGGGGGGGGGGGGGGGGGGGGGCGGGAATCGAGAAGGCGTTAACGTTGAAAGAGATCGGATCTTTTTTTGAAGATCAAAAAGCACTGACCAGTGCTGGTGGTTGTTCGCATGCGGTTGCTGCGTTATGGATGCGCACAAAGAGGAACAGCCTCAACTGTTGGCTTGGTATAGGTGCAGGCTTGGAGACTGCAAGAGCATATTGGCATTGGGGGCAAGGTACCGACACGTCCTGATAGACGGGAAGCAACATTCTTTGCTTCTTCGGCCTTGTCGTGGGATCGATCGTCAGGTTCTGCATCGAGCCTGCGTTAGATCCCGCGAGTTCAATACGCGAACAGCAACAGGTAGATTTTTTTTTCTTTTTTCTTCGGTGAGTTCGAACCTGTAGGCGGACGATGAAAGTCGCTCGATACTCCATGCTCGCGACAGATTCAGAAGACGCCTGAAAGCAGCGCCACGAGAGCTGAAGTGGAAAAAAAAATTTTCCATCTTTTTGGTTTAATTTTTCTCGTCTTTTTTTCGCGCAACGACGTGGAGGCTGAGATGCTGGTGCAATTTGCATTGGATAAGAGTATGGGGTGCATGTCGGCCCGTTCCCACAGGGAGCGCAACAAGGCAAACATGCCGATTGGCCGAGTGAGACTTTTTATCACGCACAGAGCCAGGCACGTTACCAAGACCGCTCGTCCAGGCTGGCACCACAGGCAGAGAGCCCGGCGCGGGTATGCTTCTTCATCAACAGGCGCCTAGACCACTCCTGCTGGCAAATCGAGCAATGCACGCGAGACCTATGCACGCTACGGATCCTCACAGGCGGAGGGGAGGCAGAGAACAAACTGATACTACATAATATATACAACCCAGGCCAAGGCGAAGACCAGGCAGCCACTCTCCCAGTCTTACGAACCCAGCTAGGGAAACATGCCACGAAAGAGCAGATAGCGCTCGGCGATTTCAACCTACACCACCAATTATGGGGGGGCCCAGAAGTCGTCAGGGAAGAGCCACAATCAGAGGAACTCATCGAGATTATGGACGACTTCAATATGATAAATATACTGAAGCCAGGCACAATCACATTTAACAACGGCCTTGGTCAGACAACTATAGATCTCTGTTGGATGACGCTAGGTCTGGTCGACCGGATAGTCCGCTGCGGAGTAGATAAGGATATTAACCATGACTCTGACCACCTACTGATCGGCATCACGCTAGATACAAGGGTACGGACGATAGAACCCAAACCCAAACGCCCGTAGAAACACCTAGATGAAGAAAAGTTCTGCGAGGCCCTAAAAGAGGTCCTCAAGCCACAACGCAGGCCAGACACGAAGAAAGCCCTTGACGAGTATATCCAGTATGTCATCTCCGCAATCCATACAGCGACAGAAAAGGTCCTACCTCTGAGGGGGCCCAGCCCTAAGATGAAGGGATGGTGGGACGACACGTGCCGAGAAACACTTGCGGAAATGAAGCGCCTCCGTAGAGTGTACTCCCGGCGGCCAACAACTAAAGCGTGGGAGGACTATCAACAAGCTAGGAAACTTAAGGGCAAGACCATCGCAAGGGCACTTCAGAAAGCACACAGAGACCGGGTAACAGAAGCGGCGAGCTCGGTCGAGTCACTGTGGAAGGTCGCAAAATGGGCACGCAGCAGGGGCAACCAGGCCCCAAGCATCACACCCATGATACGGAGGCCTGATGCCCCAGGGGATGCCCCAGCAACAGAACCAAAAGTAAAGGCGGACATATTCAGAGAGACCTTCTTCCCGCCCCCACCAGAGGCGGATCTGAGCGATATCGAAGGGGCGTCCTATTCAGGGCAGGTACAGATGCCGAAGGTCACAAGAAAGGAAGTACTGGAAGCAATCCATGTCGCAGCCCCGCTAAAGGCCCCAGGGCCAGATGGGATATCAAACAGGGCGCTACAGACAGCCGCAGGAATACTAGTACCGTACCTCACGACCATCATCAATCAAAGCTTAAAACTAGGATACTGCCCGACCCACTTCCGCGAGTCAACCACAGTGGTACTACGAAAGCCGGGAAAGGACGACTATACAATTCCTAAAGCGTACCGCCCGATCGCGCTATTGAATACGATCGGGAAGGTCATGGACACGGTCATCGCCCGGCGACTCAGCTTTCTGGTCGAGAAATATCAGGTGCTTCCCAGCCGACATGTCGGAGGCCGGAAGCTGCGGTCTACAGAACATGCGCTACACGCGATAATCGAACGTATTTATGAAGCATGGAATAAAGGCGAGGTGAGAGTAGCTACCCTTCTCCTCCTGGACGTGACGGGGGCATTTGACAATGTCTCTGCCAAACGGCTCCTGCACAACCTCCGGAAGCGGAAGGTTGATGAAACGATGGTACGCTGGATAGCGAGCTTTCTGAGCGGCAGGCGCACCAGAATTGTGCTTGACGGATACGAATCAGAGGAGTACCGGATTGAAACGGGTATCCCGCAGGGCTCACCCCTCTCACCTATCTTGTACATCTTCTACAATGCAGATCTCATAGAGGAGTGCGGGGTAGAAGACGTAACGATAGTAGGATACATCGACGACGCTGCGACCCTGGTATGCGGTGACTCTACAGATGAGACCTGCGGGAAGATTGAACTAGCACTGGAAAAGGCCCACTATTGGGCACGAACGCACGGCGCGAAATTCGCGCTGGAAAAGTTCCAGCTGGTACACTTCACACGAGCACACAGCCGCATCGACTTCAAAAGGCCGGTAGTTACCCAGGGAATCACTATCCCGGCTAAGGCGACATGCAAATACCTCGGGGTCATCATGGACTGAAAACTCAAATGGAAGGAACACGTCGCAGAGATACGTCGGAAAGTCATAAAAACAATTGCCGCACTAAACTCAATCGGAGGCTCTACCTGGGGCATAGGCCTACAGGACATGCGGAAAATCTATAGAAGCACGGCTGTGCCGCAGATGATGTACGCATGCTCCGCTTGGTCAAACCCAGGAGGCACAGAGGGTAAATACACAGCCGCCACCCTTAAGACGCTCAAGACCCTCCAGGCCCAAGGCGCGAGAGCTATATGCGGGGCGTATAGAGCAACCTCACAGGCGGCCTTGGATATTGAAACGCACCTGCTCCCTATTAAGCATTAGATTTAGAAGCACAATGCTGATGCACTGGGCCGGATCCTTACAGTCAACAGCATGCCGGAGCTGTCGGACGCCGGCAACGGAGACGACCCCCCCTTCTGGCGCAAAGTACCACAGATAAGCCCCCTACGCTGGATCGCCCGCCGACTGCAGGAGCAGGGAGCCGTCAATCTTGATAAGCATGAAAAGATAATACCATTTATAGCACCACCGTGGCAGCAAGGCCCTGTAGTGCGGATTACAACAAATGATGACGAAGCACGGGCGGCACATGATAGGATTATGGCAGAAGAGGGTTAAGCTTGTATCTATACAGACGGGAGCTGTATTAATGGCCATACTGGAGCAGCAGCAGTTTGGCCAATGGAGGGCGAATCAAAAGGAGCCTATATGGGGCCTGAGACCACATCAACGGTTTATGCCGCAGAACTGCAAGGTATCAACCTTGCCCTTAGGATGGTGAGGGACGCGGGTGAAAGGCTAGTCTGTTATAAGCAGGTGCATATTTTCACAGACAACCAGGCCGCAATACGCGCCACAATACGACCTGAAGGCCGTTCTGGAGCATACATTACTAAGCAGATTATACAGCAGCTCGAGCAGCTATATAAGGATAGCCCTACTATTACCATCCACTGGATCCCGGCTCACGAAGGGATCGATGGCAATAAAGAGGCTGACTTGGCCGTGAAGATGGCCGCAGGATAGGCAGAAGAAGGTATAGAGAGCCATAGGGCCCTAACGCCTCCCCGCCTACATCCGCTGAGAACCACGCTGAGGACATGGGTCAATAAGACCGCCCGTACCTATTGGGCCAGGAGCTGGCAGCAGGAGAAGAAGGGCAGAGCTACATACCGGCACACACCGCTACCAGATATGAAGGTACTACAGCTACACAAGGACCTAACTAAGGCTGAGAGCGCCTTACTTGTGCAGATAAGAACCGAGAAGATCGGGCTTAGAGACTTCCTTTTCTTCCGACGCGTTCCAGGATTCGAGGACCCAGGATACCCCTGCGGTGGAGGCCGCCAAACAGTCGCGCATACGCTCCTGCGGTGCCGACTGCTCCAGGATGAACGACGGCTCGGATTCGGGAGCCTACCGGGCAGAGAGGACCTGCGAAAGGTACTCTCAACACGCAAGCTAGCCACGAAAGCGATCAAACTCATAAAACAGGCGAGGGCCCTAGGGCAAAGGGCGCCAAGCGAGTAGGTGATGCGGAGTATTGGGTGGAGACTGAAGGTATCAAGGATGGCGAAACACAGGGTATACCTATCTGAGCCTATATATAGCAGAATAGTTAGTAGTAGAGCCACTTTCTACAAATGCATACCAGGCATTTGAAGGTAGAGGCAGATGGTAAGAGGGTGGGTGAAAGAGGAGACTGGCCACGTTTGTTCACTCCAGGGTTTGCATGCGCGGTGAAGAGGGACGTGCGGAGCCACGCGCTGGTCTTCTGATTGGCCATGGCTCATCACGTGTCGGTCACTTGATGAAGCCCGCCTAACCGGGCATAGCTGCAGATAACTAGCAGCCAAAACCGAGTAGGAACAAATCAATCAATCAATCAATCAGTCCAGAACGCGTGAGACGCAGATCTTTTTGAGATCGGTGCGAAGTCCGCATTCGCGATGACGTCAGGTGTCGAGTCCTGCCCTGTCCCTGCGTTCAGCCGAGTTGCTTAACGTAAAATCAACCATCAGACAGTGTGGGAGTCTCAGTTGTACATCTTGACGTGACGAGCTAGACTGACTCAGCCCTTCTCGCCTCATCAACAGCTTATGGCTGCAAGGTTTTGCTGTGCTCTTGCGCGTTACGAAGACACGTGTGGCCCCAATGGCTTCAGGAGCCCTTAATTGTTGTGAGACAAAAAAATGTGGCTTTCGGCAGACGCAAAAGCAAGCGAGTCGATTCACGACTTCGTGATGATGCCGAAGGAGGAAAGTGACAGTGATGTGGGAGTTTGACTTGTTCAGACATGTCAAGTGTGACGACACGGGTCGTGGGTGTCCCAAAAAGCACGTACGCCCGTGGCTTTCGTGGGTCGTTCACAGCGAACCTGTGGGGGATATGAATGACTGCGCGTAGCAACGTCGGTCATCACGATCGAAAATAATTTTCCAGCACGGGAACGAGCGCTGCTGTTCAAGAACAGCAGTAGTAGAGGAAGCTTTGCAGTGAACAAGCGGAGTAGTGGATCGGAAGTGTGAAGCACGGGGAAGTTCCTCCTTCCCCAGCCAAATCCTCCCCTGGTTCACCTTTCTAGCACGAAGAACAGTTTCCGGAGTGTCTCCAGGAGGTAAACTTTCGAGGCCTCCGGCGAGCCAAGCCGAGGTCGGAGAGCATGTCACGTAGTCAGCAGGGTGGATGAACACGGCGGGTTGGAACCAGCGCCGATCAGTCTCCATCTGATATCTCTCTTCTTGGGCCACGTCTCCACGCATGCCTACCTCAAGGCAATGCAGGAGACAAAGGAGAGGCATTGATTGCACGGCCTGCATGGTCAAGGCTTTTTTCCAAGCCGGTTTAGGACGAGCGGTCATCACAGATGCTTCGATAGGATGACTTTCTGAGTTCAAGACCATGATGGGAGGCTTGTACCGAAGCAAGTTAGACCCAGGCGCAAGAGATGGCAGAGCGTGGTCAAAGTGTACAACTGTAGTATGTACATGTTCGTCCTCTGACATGTCTACAATCGCGCCAAACCCTTCCGGGGATTTGGGCAGACTGCGACGTGCCCATGATGGACCTTGCGTCCGTCACCGCCGAGGTGCTGGCTCACAATCGCCACTCCCACGTCGTGGAAGCTTAGCGTCTTGAGAATGCTCTGATGCGGAAGTACAACCGACATGGCGGCGTAGGGGGGCTACCTGCTGCCTCACAGCATCGTGCTTCAGATCAGTGTTACTGGTGATGGTTCAGATGAAGCCCGAACGTTGAGCGGGCTCCGAACTGATCCACAGCCGATCAGCCTTGGGCTTCCGCATTCCGAAGTGTCGAAGGCTTGACAGTGGACGAAAGAAGAACATTGGGAGCATGTCAGACAAGGATGCAATCCCTAGTCGGCAGGAAATCCTGCGTGGCCATCCAGGGCTCAAACACCACGAAAGAGGACCAAAGTGCAGGACAGAAACAAGGCTATCAGTCTCAGTCACATGCACGACAAGCAGTAGGAAATGAGGACAACCGTGGTCCAGCGACGGCGACGTTGAGAGAGGCCAACACTGCGGAATCGAACATGGGTTGGCTGTATGGCTTGGGAATGGAAACACAGCTCTTTGCACGCGCACACCCACATCCACACCCACACCCGCGCGCTCAGACACACAGACACACACGCCTGTTGGCGAACCAAGTGAACGGGGCGGCTGGAGAGATAAAGGCGATCATTCAATAATGGGAGCCACGACACACAAACCCGCCGGGCAGGCCGTGAACGAGGCGCAGATGACTAAGAGCTCGGCCAAAGCGTGAAAATGACGGTAACTTAACGTGCGGCCAGAGGGTGGCGTATTCATTGCGCGGACACACACGGCGCGTGTGTGATGTGTGTGCGTGTGTGTGTGTTCGAAGCTCGCTCTCGCGTAACTTAAAATCGGACAGGTTTAGCTAATGGCGATGGCTAGAGATGGCAACGGTGATAACAAGAGATCCGTCTGCGTCAGGCCAGACGACGCAACAGCCGTGTTCGACGCTCCGAGTGTCCACTGGAGCGTCTCTCTGGTGCGCGGTGTCGACGTCGCCATCGTCATCATCGTCGTCCGCCTGCTCGTCGCTTGCCCCTCGAGCCTCAGTTCTCCGCCTTTCTTCTCTCTCCCGCCCGCACCGTGGCTTTCGCCTCGGACTGCTGCTCCTCTGCCTCCGGGCTGCCAGCCAGAGGCAGGCGAAGACACCGCGCCGCGCTCGCTGCCGTGGGTGGCTTTTCGCTAGCCGCCCTACAGGTGCTGGGGCCCTGGAGCGCCCCCGCTGAAACCCGCGCGCATCACCCAGAGATCCCTGCCGGCCGTCTGTGCCGTTATCTTTGCTTTCCTGTCACAGGTTTGACACCCCACGGCCAGATACCGCCGACCAAGGCCTTTTCTTGTTCCATAATGAAGCCAGACGACGACTATCTATCATCCTGCGGACCTGGACCATGCTCTGCCCTGCTTGAAAATCCCCACCGGCCACAGCTGCGCGCTCCCGGTCCTGCGGGAGCCTCTCAGCGTTCGGCAGCTCTTCATCTCTGTCGCTCTCCCTGCCTTCCCCTTCCTTGACCGCGTACAATTCTCTTGTCATCGCCCGTCTCGCCCACTGCAACACCATCCACTCCTCCCCCGAAAAATCCCCCCATCGCACTCTTTCTTTCTGAGCGCCATCGCTGGCCCCAAGCGCAACTTGCTCCCACGTACTTGCTGCGGGAACACCCGCTCCCAAAGAACCAGAGAAAGGCTGCCCGTTCGCCCTGGTCCTTCTCTTGGTCCCCCCCCCCCCCGAAGATAAGCCCAGGAACTCCCATTCCCGCTACAAAAGGTGTGTTTTGCTTTTTGCCTCGCTTTATACTCCCTTCTGCATCCTGACGTGATAACCAGCTCTGCCTTCAAGCCGTTCCGTCCCTCAATTCACCTGGTTTCGCCCAGTGCTGTTTCTCTCGTTTCTCTTCGGATACTCGCTGCCGCCCATCAATGCAATCGCCTTCGTCTGCTTCACCACGATAGCCCGCGAGACGCAGCTCTCGCCTCTCACGCTACGTTAGATGTTTAACAGCACCTCCTCCAAACCTCTAGTCCACCTCCCGCGACCGGCGTCGACCTCTAACGAGTCGACGGCCCACCTCCCTCGCGGAGAATGTCGCTACATTCTCCCAGTTAACGACGCGGGCACGAGGGAGCGGTGCTCTTGCGCTTCGTTCAATCTCAACGATGCCTTGCCCGGCTCGCAATGCCAATGTGGTCACCAAGCATGGCATCATGTTCAAGCCCCGAGCGGTGACTTCGTTCCCGTGGAAGATCACGTAGCTCTTGTCGACAGGTGCAAGAAGCTGGAGGAAACGGCGCGGACGCTGCTCGACGAGCTCAAGAGGGAGAAGAGAGCCAGGGAGAAGCTTCAGGCCGACATGAACACCATGATCCGGGGCGCGTATGGCAACATGGCCTTCCTACGGTACTACGTGGACGAGAAGTTGGAGTTTTCGCGCATCACGTTTGAAGACAAGATCGAGGGTGCCTTGGATCGCGCTGCCGACGCGCTCAACGAAGTCGACAGGCTCAAGCAACGCGTATCCGATCTTGACGAGGCCTGCATCCGGCTCGAGGAACGTATGGACGCCGGCCGGGTGATCTCTCGTTCCCTAACCCCCGTTCTGGAGGAGAAGACGAAGGACAACTCGCAGTTCTTCCCTTTAGCGAACCTTCCCTTGAGGTCCAAATCCCAAGAACAGCTCTCGGGACCGTGGGATGCCAGGCTGATAGTGGTTCCCAAAAAGACGCAACGATGGGCCTTTGCGAAAGACAGCAAGGCCTATAAGCGCTGCCAGTCTCGCGGGTTCGTGCAAGACCTGCACTTTGAAGACAAGGACAGCGGCTCGTTCAACAAGGCTGTCGAGGCAGCCTTCTCTTCCATATTCAAGAATCGACCGTGGATGCCGCTTCAGTGCCTGGACTCAGTTCACATGGCCCTTGGCCAGCTTCACATGGACCAGCGCAATCCGGGGCTGTGGACGTACAGCTTCCTCGAGGCACAATGCATGGCTAGCGACAAGGAACAAGGCGACATCATCTACATCGCGCTTATGCACGAGGAGCTGGGCTGGCCGGACATATACAACCTACCGCCCGTGTTTGGTTTCACCGACAACACCATATGGGACCAGGACGAGGATCTGGACGGCAAGGTCATTAGCGCCCGCATGGATTTCAAGATGGATCTGGACCCCATGCGCGTGCGAAATCTGGAAACCGACTCCATGTACGAATACTCGCCCCCGCCGTATTCACAACGACAGTCAATCCACGGCGTCTCGGCGCTAGGCGCACTTGCGGATGCTGCCGAGCTGGCGGACGACAGACGCGCACCTCGCACGCCCAGCATCTCCGAGCGGAGCCAGTACTCCGGCTTCTCGGAGCGCTCCCGGAGCTTTGCTCCCAGCATCTCAGACCGCAGCACCATCTCCGGCCGCAGCATCGACGGCACCATCTACGAAGAGGACGAGGAGGGCTCCCAAGGCCACAGGGACAAGCGTCCCAAGCACGGCGCGTTCCGGCCGCAGCCCGGCACGCCAGGCTTGCCTTCCAGCCCGCCTGCTAACCAGGCGCAGAAGATGTACTACTCCGGGCGTGCTAAGAGAAAGATCGACCCCTCCAAGCAGAAGGAGCCCCTCAACTGGGGCGTGAGCGACCTCAAGTTCAGCAACCCGATGAAAAACATGCTGCATCGCAAGCACGCCGGCGACTCCAAGGACGAGTCCGACATGGCCAAGTCCGACACCGCGTCGGCGTGACGAGACTCGCACCGTTCTGACGATTTTCGATGCCACTCTTACCACATCTACAAGCAACGACACCTGCTTTTACTCAATGCGCTACGAAAACGGGCAAGAGCCCATTGCGCAATATTGCCATTAGGACACCCTCTTTTTTTATGTCATATCACGCCCTACCCCCCCCCATTTCCCTCGTATGCCTTTTTTCAAGGGGAAGCGAGCAGGCGGGGCGGCAATTTGTTTGGCGGAGCCCATTCAAAAGCACATCTACCTCCTTGTCCGTCCGCTCTTGTCTTATTCTCCTATCATCGATACCCAAAATCTCTACACATCAGCCCCTTATAGACACTAACTTTTGTTCTTTTTTTTATTTTTAAGCGCTTGTTCAACGACACGAAAAAGGAACCTCCTTCCAATTTTTCAGCACACCAACTTTCTCTTTTGCTCGCCAAAAGAAAATCTTGCACTGAGCTCGAACACACAACTCGGCTCGACATTCTCCTTTGGCGACCGACCGCGGGCAGGCAGGCAGGCAGGCCCGCGAAATGCTCAATTCAATCCGCAGCCTCCTGGTTTTTTTTCTTTCGCTGGTGCGCAATGTTCAGGGGTAACTGAGATAGAGGTGGAAAGAGGAAGAATTGGGTAGACGGGTTTTCCGGTTACGCGATGCAAATATGTAATGCGATGCCGGAAGGATTTCCAACGGATTGGGACCATGCAAATAAAATGATGTCTTTTGCAAGGACACATAATTCAATAGACCACTAACATCGGGCAAACGGTTAGCTGGGTGGGAATCCTCATTTTTTTTCCTCTCCTCCCTTTTGCAACCTCGTTTTTGAGCCGGGGTTGATTCCTTTTTGTCGCGAACGACCCGAGCGTGGTCGTATGGTCGGGAAGGCTGTCAGGCAGGCGATCGCGCACGTGGTTGCGCGATTGGCACGCCGCTTTTCTTCTTTGGCTTTTCCATTACCTTTCGCATTCAGGCTTTTTTTCATGTTACTCTTCTCCTTTTGGGGATGACTCGGCGCTGGGCCTACGTTGCAACCTGCGACGGAGATTCTGTCACATTAGGGACGACTGGCTGGGCTGTGTATATACGGGTTGCCTGCAGATCGGTTTGGCAACGGAAACTGAAGAAAAAATAAAGAGCCTCTTACGCCATCGCATGATGTTTGTCTGTCTGTCTGTCGTTTCTTTTGGCATCGCGCTTTTTAATCCGCCCGCCTCATACCTCTTTGCCGCCGGGGTTGCCAAGCGAGCTTAAACCCACCGTCCAGGCCCTGTCCCAGCGTTGCCCACCATCGTTCGCTCGTCATAAGCCGAGACCCGTATCACACCTGCTTTGACACATGGCGAGTGCATTCCAATGGTTCGCACGGTGACGGCTGTCGATAAACTTGGTACGTTTTCCACACTGATCCTGGGTCACGACTTCGCTCCCGAAGACTGCTCTCCCGTTGGCTGGGGCGACACCCTCGCGCCGAAGAAGACGTCCAAAACGCCGGGCGACGCGGTAGCAGAACAGAGAGCCCGTCCAGCCCGTCCAGCCCATCCGCCCTGTCTTTTTGGGTCAGACACGCGAGCCGTCCGCGAGGACAGAATCCAGAACCCAGCGGAACGAGGCTGTGTGTACTGAAGAATTCACATGCATCCCAGCGCTAGGTCGATGGTCGCCCTAAGCAAGTGTTCCCGCGTAAACGTCCTACTTTCATCCTCCCGTGTGTGGTAGCTTTTTTGATGACACATACAAGCCTCGCCGCGCCCACACACCCTTCGCCCAAACCGTGCGACGCATTTCTATTCTCTCACAGCACACGCCTAAAACAGTCGGCCCGCCTTGCACCGGCAGCGATCCGGGGCTGCCGATGGAAGGGGGAGGGAAGGAAAAGGTACGCGCGTTTTGATCCCGTATCGTTCCCCGTTCCCTTTCCTTCCCCGTTTGGGACATGTCCAATAGCATTCCCATGAACGCCTTGATTGTCTTATCGAGGTATCACCGGCGCCGCTAGCACCAAAGCGGCCATATCTTGGTTATCGGCGCACGGACCGCCCTGAGCGAAACAAAAAAGAAAAACGAGGGCTCTGTTGTAAGTTACCGCTATCGCGTGGCATCCCTGCATGTGCGCTGCACGTCTTATCAAATCGTCAGCCCCTTAGATCTCTCCTCTTGGCTGAGGGACAACGGGAACTGTTTCATGAATGTTTTTTTTGTGCTTTTTCCCACACCCGGTGAAGAACTGGGGGAGTGGTCGTGCTTGCAGCAAAATGCTAGCCTCCCGCTGTTAATGCCATCCTTGTCCTGAGCGGCAGCCGTTTGACTTGGACGGACGCCTTCATCCTCGTCCCACTGTTATCTGACGGTTGGCTTCGAGGATCGCCAAGAAAAGCAAAAAGAAAATTGCGCTGCACTTCTTGTTTAGCATGAGATGCCGCCAAATGTCGAGGTTTCTCGTAAGACCGTGTCTTTTTCCATAGGATTAGCAAAAGTTCTCGGCCGAATCAAACATCTCAGGCTTGCCAGTCATAATTCGCGTCAAGATACTTTTGTTCGAGGGCACAATGTAAGCTAATTGACGGGAGCTTTTGTATCGCGCGACGCGCCAGACTCGCGCAGCATATCGCATTGACCGTTGCAGTTTGGACCCGTGCTGCTCTTTTGTCTGGGTGCAATTTGTGTATATCGAAACTCAAATCAAGAAGCAGTCGCGGCCCCGATCAACAGGCCTCGCGATACTCGTCTACCCGTACGGCAAGCCCCCGCACGAGCAAGGAGATTGAGGCAAAGGAGGAGCACCCGCAACGACGACTGGGCAGCGCCTTGCTTCGCTTGCACGTCTTCGGGTCACCTGGTACGATGAAAGCGCGGTCGTGCATGGTATGCCATTGCTTCTGCGCGATTTTGAGAGACATTTCGTCTCTGAGGAACTGGGTTTCGACTTGTTCGATCAAGGGGATCCATACCTGGCACACCTATTTGTGTGTGTTTCTCTGAATCCAGTGACTTTGCAAGGCGCAGACAACATGCAAGAAGGTGTTTCGAATATGGATGTGGATAGCATTCCCAATGCGCTTACTGACGAAAGAAAGTCGACAGAGTGTCACGTGATAGAACGTCTAGGTAGACATGCTACACGACTCTGAGCGTTTGAGTCTCTGTGCCTTCGACGCCATGTCGGTAAGTCTGAAGAGAACTCACTCGTGAGTATTGTAAGCTATTCGTTTGACATACAACGGGAATCATTTAACGAGCCAGAGACGTCAAGTCGAATGCCTCCCGAATTTTAACACGGTGCATACCAGATCTGCTCGGCTAGAAAAACAGCATGAAATTAGGAGAGGGACACATGAATCTTGATAGATGGTGCGGGCATCACCCCTTATTACACTTCCTCGGGCTTTCATTGCACACTGTCGTTTTCGTCGTATCTCGTCGTGCATTCCTAGTCAAACCGAAGCCAAAGCTCTCCCTCCGGAGCAACCGGACGTCCAACCGACACCAGTGCCTCTTTCTTTTGCAAGTCCATGACGATGTTGAACAGCGTGGCGTTCACGTTTTCGCTCGTGTTCATCCTACAGATGCTTGCCGGGAAGCCCTGCTCGTCCTTGAACAGGTCCCTGATCTTGTCGACCGTCGGCTCGCCTTCAAGATCGTCGGCCAGCTCTATGATCCTCGCGAGTCGAGCGAGCGTGTCCGCCGGCATCTGAGTATCGAATACTCCTTCTTGGGGCTTCAGGAAGTGGTTCGAGTGGAACACGCGGCCGCGGTCGTCCATCTCGATCCTCTCTATGCCTCTGGCACTGCACTCCAGCGCGACGCCGCCAGTGGGATCCGCGATCGTGATCGTGCAGGCGCTTCCGATCCCCAGCGTCTCGAGCCTCTTCACGGCTTCCTCTCTGGACCGGCTCTCCATCACAAGCTTCAGCCCAACGTGTGCAGGCATGCTGTCCGTGTCGACGCCCCTGGCCTGGATGGCGTTGAAGCAGACACCGACGCCTGCCTCGTTGAGGCCGATCTTGCCGATGAGGCCCGCCTCGGTCACGATCTTGTAGCGCGGCCGGCCGCCGCTGGGCGCAACGTCCAGCACGACGAGGTTCTCCTTCTGGCCAACCTGCCAGTCCCAGTTCTGGGCCAGCCAGCTGCCGCCCGCGGCGGGCTTCCACGCCAGCGTCGTGCACCCTTCGTCCATCAGCCCGTACATGATCTCGGTGCGCGCGTTGATCGCCATGATGGCACCCACGTTAAAACCGGACCCGTGCGCGACGCCCTGCACTTCTTCGAAGATGTCGCGGTGCCGTAGCACCAGTGGCATGTACTCCATCGCCACCTGCTCCACGGACGCCCAGCCCATGCCTGTCCGCTCGCGGAACACGCGCTCGTAGAAGTCAATACTCCGCCCGATAGCCTCCTTAGCCGCCCGCCCGTGCGCCGTTCCGATCTGCCAGCTGATCTCAGCTTTTCGTGCTCATGCAAAGGTATTGACCCCGTATCAAAACCCGTATGCCTCAGCCGCGTTGGGCCTCTCAGGTACGACCACTCGAAGGCGAACGGAAGGTGAGTTAGAGAAATATAGTAAGAGGGGGAGAGAGAGAGAGAGAGAGAGAAAGGAAGAATCAAAACGGTGCACGGCTACGCACCTGGTACGGGCTGCCTTCACATCGTATCTGAAGCATCCCTTCTATGTTGCCTTTGCCCTTCTTTGCCCTTTAGTGTACGTCCCTCCTTTCCAAAGGGGTCGCGCAATTCTCCGTTCGCTATTTCAAAATGCACCTGCGCTTTGAAAACAAAGCCCTCCCCAGATAAAAAGGAGGAAAGGGATCAGATCTCTCGATCCGGCGACTTGTGAAAAGTGAGTGCGCAACGTTTTGGAGAGAGGGGAGTTTTGGCTGTCAGCGAGGAACAGCTTAGCTCCGGCACCCCCCCCCCCCCCCCTTCCCCGTCATGGAAGCTGCGGAGTAAAAGGACGCTTAGTCATCACGTCTGGCCGGAGGTGACCCGACCAAAGGGGGTTGGTGCTGGGTCTTTAGATTTCGACGTCTGGACCGCAAAAAGTTTCTACGCAAACGACACGCGGCGGCAAGGGAAGGGCGCCCGTCGCGTCAAGAGCGCTGAAATGGTAGCCGCGGACATGCATACAGAGCGGCCAGCTCACAGGACAGGAGTCACTGGAATCCGAAATTCACGGAGCCCAAGTCAAACATGGTTTGACGACGTGCTGATGCACGTCCTTTGTGGGCTTCAATCACTCGCCATTTGCTCTGACTCGCGCCAGAGTCACTGCGCTCCGTATAAAGATCTCCCAGGGACAAGGTGTGCTCAGAAGAACCACACGTGCTCCTCGTTTTGCCCCTGCGCTCTCTGGCTGCGAAGCACGATCAGCTCATGGACCGAAAACGCGATGAGGATACCCAGATCCACGGCCAAGAGACCGGCCAAAAGACCGGGAATGCGCGACGCAAAGGCCGTAGACGACAATCGAAATGTGCAGACGTCGAAAAACCCCCCAAGTGGGACGGACACTACTTCAGCAACCCGCAAATCTTCGTCAGGGACCTAGCCGCGTACACGATTCCCCGGGTCCTGCCATCGCTGCATGAGACACCGCCCTTGCCGCGACCTCAAAAGAAAAGCTTCTGGCTGTTCGGCATGAAGAACTTCATCGAAGACTGCGTGGAGTTCGAAGTTGACAAACAGTTGCGGCAGGATCTAGGCGCCGTAGAAGGACCACGTAGACATGTGTGCCCGTCAAGCCGCTTGAGCGGGTTTGTCGTACGAGCTGACAGGTATTTCTCCTATGCCACAGAGATGGTTGCGCACGAGGTAGAGAAGGAGATTCGGAAATGGGTGCGCAGGCACGATGGGCATCAAAGAATACTAGGCAGGGCTGAGAATGATCACGAAGACGAGCACGCTGATGACGATGGTTGCGAAGACGAAAATAAGAGACTTGAGTCCATAGGGGGACAACAAATAAGAGAATATGGTGGCGAGGACTAAGATTCGGATCTCTCTAGAACATCACCCTCAGCGTCAGACCAACTCAGCTCCGGAAGAGAAGCCCCGCCCATCGACAGCACTGCGCGCGGGGACTAGCCGTAGCCAATGTCGGCAAGCCACGGTGTGTAGGCCGAACTCTCAGACTTGGTCGCGCAACTTGCTGGTGTAGAACTCAAGAGTTTTGAGTCCTAATGTTCGACGGCTTTAAAAGAAGGCACGTGAGGCTTGAGTTTCCACATCGAACAAAGCGCCGGAAGCGATGAGAGAAGGAGAGATACGAAGATATGTGCAGGGGGTTAAAGAAGGACGGGAACAAAAAGAAGGTGTGATGATCAAGACCTGTTGGAAATTGAGTCAACGACACGTATTGTATTCGGGTATCTGAAGTGGAACCTGCTGATTTGATACACAGTAACCAATCGCGCTACGCAACAGCTACGGGACCCGCGACACCAGCATCCATCAGGCCGATGAGGCCTAGCGCGGCTTCTTTCCTGAGGCTCTCGATTCTTTCTCGGCGCGCCTTGCCAGAACGCTTGAGACCAGAGCTCGGACCTTCGTCGATCCATCGGATGGTGTGCAGGGCCCAGGAGAGGCCGTCGTGGGTATCGCCAACTTCCCAATCGCGGCTGCGGAGCCCGTACCGAACGGAGCCGGTGTATTTCTTGAGGCGTGGAAGGATGAGCAACGTGATGTGCAGGTCCTTGCCTTCTGGAGGTAGGAGTGGAACAGCGGGACGGGACGTGTACCTGTAAAGACAAAATAACGGTCAGCGTCTTCTGCATATGGGGGTTTTTTTTTGGCCGGAAGAGGCGGATATGATCAAAGAAAAATGGAAAGAAGATACGAAACCGGAAACATACACTTCTTGCACGACCGCGTCCTCCGCCGGCGGGACAGGGAGATCCATCATCTCTACATCCACTTCCTCTGGCCATTCCCCCCTGAGCCAGCCCTCGTGAACAAGCATTGCCAGCGGATCTGAATCGTCCGTGTAGATGCCTGTACCGACAAGCGCTCTGTTGCGTTGGACGTTCTCGCGTGCCTCTTTGGTCAGGTAGTACCGTGGTACGCGCACGGTAAAGGTGCAGTTAAGGTCCACGTCCTCGAACACACGCGACGGTTTGTAGCGCAAGAAGTAACCGAACTTATCATCCGTGTGGGATGCCATGGCGTTAGGCGGGAGCGCGATGGTCGGCTCGTACAACTCACTGCCGAGGTGCCTACGCGACCTGTCCTTGACGGCGTCAAAAACTGCCTGTGAGCTGACATGCACGGCCGGCTTGGGAATCGGCATCGCTGGAGTCTGCGCCTGCGGCCGCGACGAGAGAGGCGTGTGGTGGTGGTGATGGCTCGTGTGGATGTGGTGATGGTGATGTGCCGTCGTGGAAGTCGACCCCACAATCCCGATACTTTCTTCGGGTCTGTTGTGAACGTGTCCGTGGACGTGATGGTGGTGCGGGTGATTGTGCTGATGGATATGATGGTGATGACCCTGCTTGTGTCGCTTGCCAGCCCTGGAGAGTGGAGTGCCCCTGCCTTCGTCGTCGTAGCGACTGAGGTCTTCCTCTTTGACGCGCTTGTGCCGCTTTGAAAAGCTGCCTGAGCGCGGTGCCTCACCATCGCTGACGGTGACCGTTTCCCCGTCTAGATTTGAGGGCGGCTGTCGCTGCGGCATGGGGCTTCCCCGCGACGGTGTCATATGTCCCGGACCGATGCCGCTTCCCAGTCCTTGAAATATGCGGCCGAACTCACTCTTGATGTTGGGATCGGAGCCAGCTCCCGTGGGCTGCATCTGCGCCCCTTGCACAGCCTGCGGCAAAGGTGAGGCACGACCACGCTTACCCTCGATGCCGAGCGACGACCTTGAGCGCTGCATCATCAGAGGCTGGTGCTCTTGCAGAACGCGGAACTGAGCTTCGCCGGGGTGACCGTGCGGATCGCTGGTTCGACGATCATCGCGAGCAAGTGGGTCGATCGACGCGCGCTCATGTGGACCAAACGTTGATTGTCCGTCTCTCGGTCTCTCGAAAGGATTGCCCATTTGCGGGTGGCTCCGCGGTGCTTCCGGCGGCGGAATGGCACCTCTGGGCTGATAATACTGACTTCTAAAGCTTGTTCTAAATGGGGCCGAGTGGTCCTCCCTGCCTCCAATGTCCCGTCTCGGCTCGTCCTTTGGGCCTTCTCTCGCCGAAGACGAAGCTGCGGCAGACGCATCACGCGCATTGTTTCGTGGGCTGTACGAATGGCCGAGCGGCTCGACAGTTACAGGCCTGTCACGAGTCGTGGGTCCCACCTCAAATGAGGTGGTTGTGGGCGGTCGCGGGTCGTCCCTGCGTTCCTGCGGATGATACTGCGTGAAAGGCGGACGGTTAATCGCACCCCCGAACGGAGGCATCGGCTCTCTTGAAGCACCATCCCCAGGAGGAGGCCTAACACCTCCGGCGGGCTGACTGTTTGGCCGTGGAGGCATGCGTTCATCGACTTTTCTCGGTGGATCCCTCTCGTGCGCTTCATTCGGCGACCCTTGATAGGCTCGCGGGGCAGGGCCAGCTGACTGGTAGGCGTGATGGAACAACGGCGGCCCGCTCCTCGCAAACTCCGGCGACCTCTTTACCCCGGCAAATTGAGCGGGCGATGAGTTTGCTGAGTATGAGAGACCATCATTGCGCAGACCGGCAGGTAGATGATGCCGCTCTGGTGTCTGCGGACGGCGCCACTGGTAGTCTGACAGCTTCGATGCGGTTGAGTGGCCTCTTTTATGCGGTGAGACGGGCTGCTGTGAGAGACTAGGTGGGGACTGCGAGGTGCCGGCGGGCGAGCCGCGGTGTGAATGGCTCGGCGGCGGCGGTGGCTGCGACTGTGACGGCACATCTCCCAAGATGGAGGATATCGACATACCGGCGCCAGGCCCTCTGGTGCCCAGGCCAGGCAGCTCGCGACCGGTAGCAAAGGTAGGAGGAGGAGGGCCACGTGGGCCTTGTTGGAACGCAGGGCCGGTGGGCGCCTGTTGTGATGGTGACGGGGGAGGCATCTGACGGTTCATGTATGCTACGGGTGGAGGCGGTGGTTCATTTGATGCTGCTATTGTAGAGATCAGCCTTGACTCATTCCTATCTCCATTCGCCATGGTGGCCCAACTCGAATGTGACGAGATGCCCAGGACAACTAGGGGGAGGGGCACGTCACTTACCAGAAGAAGCGGACGCATAGTACCTCGGCGGAGAGTGGCCGCCGACGGAACGGTTGCGGGTATGCTCGTGTTGGTAGGAAGGAGTCTGCGCACCGGCAGATGGCTGCGAGAGCACAGGTGGCGGAGGACCGGAGTGGTGGCTGTGATGGATGCTTGATGATGCTGAGGAGTTTCCTAAAAGGAAAAAAAGTTTGGTAGGTTAGCTCGGAAACAGCCAAGTTGAGTGCTGGGGAGCGAGATGCCTGAAATGGGGGGGGATATGGGCGCGGATCGGGAGCATGTGGAGTGTCTGGCTGGGCGTGATGCACCGTGTGCGTGGGTGGGTCGGGCGGCCAACAGGAGGACACGACGGGGGGTGCGCCCGCTCAGTTCGCGTCGGGTGTCCGCCAGGGCAAGGCGCTGGGAGCTGGAGCTCGAGCTGGAGCTGGAGCCGGCGCCGCGGCCGAACAAGCCACACGTCGATGTGGTGCAGGCCCGGCGCGTCTGTGCGCCCTAACACGCTCTGTGATTGCTACCGAGTGACGGAAAAAAAGTTTCCCTGTCGCTGTCGATGTCGCTGCCGATATTGCGCCTGTCACTAGCTGCCGTTGCCACCGCTTCGCCTTCCTCCTCTTCTTGCTCACTCTCAAAGTATCGGCCGTGCCCGGCAGTGGCGTGACCTGCGTAGTCGTACATCGCGTTTATCTCCTTGTGTGCTCGGATGTCCTGTTGTCGAGGGCTTGAGCTGGAACAGACCAAAAGAGCCAGAGGCCAAACGGCGAAAGGAAGTCAAAGCGTCAGGCCACAGCATGCACATGGGAGTGCGAAATGAAACATGCCCACGAGGCCCCAAAACAACTCATCTCCCGAAATGTTTCGTGTACCACGAAACGAACAGGGAGTTAAAAAAGAGGAAAATTGCGAGTGTCGCCGAGGAGGTGCCGGTGCTCTTGATGGTGCTGGTGATGTCGGGGACGAGAAGGACCTGGAAACGCGAGCAAGACCCTCCAGCTTCTCCAGAGGCTCAAGAGAGGAGCGAAAGCACAGAGCGAAGCTGCAGCAGCTTGAGCGCACCAGACACCAGACATGCACCGCCGGTGTCCGCGCCCAGTATGATTGCGTAAAGTGCGAATGAAAATAATGGGATCCTCATACCTGAAGTGCTCGTCCACGCTGGGCCGAGAGCCGGGGCTCTCTCCGCGTGCGATACATGGGCCGTCTCTCGTCCATAACTGTCTCTTCTTTGTGAACCCGCACTGGTCGTCGGCATGAAAGGGTCGGCAGGCCGCCGCTGGAATGGATCGGACGCAGGCATCTGGTAGGACGGCTGCTGCGGCGCCATTGATTGCGGATGAGGAGGAAGTGGGGGAGGAGGATGGTAGGCACCGGACGAGGGTGGTTGCGACGAGTGGTTGGGGTTCTGGATCGGCGGTCTGGCAGAAGAGAACGAGCCAGGACGATGGTCCATTGTACGACTGCGCCGCGCGAAGAAACGCACCACCCCGAGGTCTTTTGTACAAACCCGGGAGAAGAGGAGCGAGGGATCGCAAAGACGGTGCGAATGGTCGTGTGCGTGGTAGAGCGCGTGCGAACGTGATGTGGAGAAGAAGAGAGAAGGTGAGATTTCAGCGGAGCGAGGGTGCGAGATGGGATTTGCAGGCTCTGCGGATCGGGAAACCAAGCTCAGCAGCACGGTGACCAGACGGGCATGGTGCGTCTGCGGGCGGCGAGCAGTGCAGATGGGCGGTCGCAACGGGGCGGGAACCAGACGCGGAAGGTGAGAACTTAGGAGGAGGCCATGTCGGGCGCAGAGACAGCGAAGGCGGGATGAGAAGCAGCAGGTGAGAGAGAGAAAGCGAGGGGACAAGGGCGGAGAATGAGTAAGAACGCAGACGAGAGATGTTTGGGGATGTGTGCGGGCGCGAGTGGAACGGGATGGGCGCCAGCAGAAGCAGCCAGGGCGGAGCGTCAGGACCAGCCCCAGGCACGGCCGGGTGCCTTGGGCGGCTGTACCGCGTACACGTAGGTACAGCGTAGGTACGCGTGGGACCCGCGCACGTCCTGCGAGTTTGGCTGCAGGTCCCTGCCCGCGGTGCCCTCTGGCGTAAGTTAGTGGGTTCCCGCCCAGCTTTGGGGGGGACGGGCGCTGTGTCGCCCAAGGGCGGCGCGGAGGCGACGAGAAGCCGCCAGGGGAATGCCGCATGCGCGAAGATCCACCGCCCACGGCTCCGCGCCAGTGCTGGTACCTGGAAGGTTCAACCTGCCCCGTTCAGCAGCGCCAGCTTCCCAGGCGGGCACACGTCCAGCCCGTCCCGCGCTGCCGGCAAGCTTCTGCGTGTCTGATTGGGCAAGGGCCCACGCGCCAATCGCACGAGATCAGCTTCTTTCTCTGCGGGCTCCGGTCTAGTATGCATACTCCCACGATGTGGCCCAGATTTGGCTGCCATGCCCGGGGTCAGTTTACTGCTCTCGGTCCTATGATCGCCGCTGTCCTACTTGCTCTAGTTGGGTCCGCCGGCCACTTCGCTACCGCTCCACCACCACGGCCGACAAAGACCACGTTTGCGCGTCCTTACGTACACGTACACGCACGCAACACGCTCGCATAGACGCTCGCACATAGAGACTCCCCTAGACCCCGCCTGCATCTTGTCTCTGCCCCGTCTTGCTTCTTTTCTCCTCTCCCCTGCAGTCGACGCTCTCGTCCTCGTCTGCAATGTGTGCATAGCTGTTCTCGTCTCTTTTCCCTTCCCTCTCTCTCTGTACATCACCTCCCTCGTGCTCTCCTCCACTCGCCCTTCGTCCTCATGCTCCCCGTGCCTGGCAGCCCGGGTGCCTCTCTGGACCGGTACAGAGCCCGCCTGGCCGCCATCTTCCACGGCGCCGACCCGCGCGTCTGCCTCGCCTTTTGGCTTTTCGGTACCCAGACTCTGCCCACTCCCCTCGCTCCGCTTTTCACTGCAGCGCCTCGACTGACGTGCTGTCAATGTTGAACATAAAATACAGGCCTCATAAACAATGTCCTCTACGTCATCATCCTTTCCTCCGCTCTCGACCTCGTAGGACCTGCCGTTCCCAAGGGTCTCGTCCTCCTCGCTGATGTCGTCCCCTCGTTTCTCACCAAGCTTACGGCGCCCTACTGGGTCGACGCTGTTCCCTACACGATCCGAATATGGCTGCTTGTCGGTCTCTCCGCCAGCGGCATGCTGCTCATTGCCCTATCTCCACCCACCACCGATTCGGCCTCTATCGCCGTCAAGCTTTCGGGAGCTGTGCTGGCCAGCTTGAGCAGTGGCCTCGGTGAGCTGAGCTTCTTAGGCCTGACCCACTACTACGGTCACTTTGCTCTTGCGAGCTGGGGCTCCGGCACAGGCGGCGCTGGCCTTGTCGGCGCTGGCGCCTACGTGCTGGCCACCACCACCATCGGTCTTAGCGTCCGTACCAGCCTGCTCAGCTTTGCCTGTCTGCCAGCCATCATGGTCGCAGCATTCTTTGGCATTCTACCGCTCGAGCCCCTGCGCACCGCAAGATCTAAAGCTGGCGGTTACGAACCTTTAGATCAGCGAAACGATGACGTCGTACCAGCCGTGCTGGACGACGACCCGGCCCTGACTGAGCATGAGGGTCTACTGGCCGCATCGATGCACTCGACCAGGAGTTTCAGTGCTGCCTCTCTTCGCGGAGAGAGCAATGCCATTGCCAAGTTCAAGACAAATTTGCGGCGCGCGAGCCGCCTATTCTTCCCATAGTGAGCTGCTCCTACCCTTTCTCATACGCACACACACACACACATACACATGTCCGTTCTTTTCCTGGGCTGTAAAGACTGACCTCGCCAATCTCGTAGCATGCTCCCTCTACTCCTCGTCTACATTGCAGAGTACACTATTAACCAGGGTGTCGCCCCAACTCTACTCTTCCCTCTTGCCTCGTCACCCTTCACCGAGTACCGCTCGTTCTATCCGACGTACAACGCCATATACCAGACTGGCGTCTTCATCTCTCGCTCTAGCACGCCCTTTTTCCGCATCCACGCCCTGTACCTGCCATCCCTGCTACAAGTTGGTAACCTGGTTCTTCTCGCAACGCACGCCATGTTCGATTTCATCCCCAGTGTGTACATCATATTCATCGTCATCTTCTGGGAGGGCCTCTTGGGTGGTCTTGTGTACGTGAGCACGTTCGCCGAGATCACGGACCGCGTTCCCCGCGAGGATAGGGAGTTCAGCTTGGGAGCGACGACAGTCAGCGACTCAGCCGGCATCTGCATTGCCGGATTCGTGGGGATGGCGCTAGAGGTCTCGTTGTGCAACTACCAGGTCAGGCACGGCAGGGACTATTGCAGGCGCACATAGTTTGCATACGACCCATGAAGGGCCGCTGTATGTATTATATGACACGATTACCACGGACGGGTTTCTTTGAGCGACTGCTACGCCATGGATCATACCTGTTTAGGCTTATAGATTAGAGGCGCGTAAATCATTCTTCTTGCCAAAGAACATCGAAGGCCTCAGAAGTGCCTGTCTATGCACAACCCTTTTTTTTTTCTTTTGCTTTCCCTGTGCTGGCCCCCGAACCTCAGACGCGACTCCGAGTCCGCATTCATCGTGCTGTCCTGCGTCTGCCCTCTATCAACGAGAGATAAGACACCCGCCGCCCTCGCCCGTAGAAGAAAATCTGGCCTCGGCAACGACCGATGACACAAACTACACGAGCATGCTTCCCGCATGGCAACCTTGGACACAATCCCGCCTCGTCTTCGCGACCGCGAGAAGGACGCTTGCGGGGCGCCGGAGAGGGAACGCCTCAGCCGGAGCGGTGCGCGGACGCAAAGTGTGGAACCGCGCCCGTCCCATACTCGACCTCGGACGCGCGCCAGCGGCCTGAGCAGCTCCCGGGCGGCGGAGGAACGGTTCTCTACCGCACGGCCGTCGCAGGCACTGTCGGGAGCGGTCTTGCCGGGCGCGGCCAGCGTCGGCGAGCGCACGGCGTGAGGCCCGCGCGACGGCGATCGGGGGAGGGGGGACACGAGCATGCGCACGGCCTGCTCTGGCTTGGGACGGGCAACGACAATCTTGTTCCCGGCCAAGGCTTCGGGCAGAGCGCGAGGAGGGAGGGACGGAGGCGAGGTACGCGGCGCAATTGCAGGTGGCGAGCAGCGTGGCCGCGTCCGAGACTCCCAAGTGCGTGTCAGAGTAGGTCGGACATGACTCCTCGGCGGATTTGGGGCAGCCGAACGGCGGCGCAGAGAAGCAGAACTCGGTTTATTTGGGCGGCAATACGCTCTGGGTGTCATCTTCGACAAAGTTGTGGCAGAGAAGACGACACTCAACCTGGCCTTGTTCTAACGCGGCGTACGATACGAGCACTTTGTGGGATTGAAGGGCTGGGACGCGTCCTGGTCTATTAGTAGTCGTTGAGGTTTCCTTTGCACAGGCCTCAGCGTAGACACGGAAAAGACGGGGTGAACTGTCGTATGTGATAGGCCGATTGCGGTTGCAAGTTCCTGGTTTCTCTTTCTGCGTGACCATATACCGCGTTGCTGGTATCCGTTTATGATCTATCAGGATAGTGATGATGCGAGTATTCTCAAGAATTCACCTGTCAGCTACCAGTGTAGAAATGAGCACGTTGTAGTTCGTACACAAGATTGAGAAAAGCTAGCAAGGAGTTCAACTGTACACATTTTCGACGTCTATGCTGGCATGCTTATCGCACACATGACCTCTCTTGGTTTCGGACGCAAGGAAAAGGAGTCACCTCCCCCAGATCACCATCACCAAAACACTTTGACGGACGTGCGTCGAAAGCGGTTTATGTTTTAAAAATCTTACAATTGGTCCCTGAGCAGCTTGTTCATCTTCGCCATCTTTGCCGAAACGCTGAGATCAATGGTGCGGTCGCCGATTTCGACGATGAGACCGCCACGGATGTCTGGGTTAACCTGTAGAGCGCAAACGCACGCATTAGCAACAGACTTATATTTTTGTGCCTAGTCCACCCGGCACAGTTGGTCTAGGAGACGGAATGGCCTACCTTTGGCACAACCTTCAGCTTCTTTCCCTGTCCGACGTATTGGCTCTTTCCTACAGCATTCTCGAGCTGCTTGAGAACCTTTGGCTCAAGCGGAGCGGCGCTGGTGACGATGAGCTCGACCTCGCCCTTGTGGGCGCTCATGAGCTTGCCGAAGTTCTCAGCAACGGCGGCGAGGGCACCCAGCCTGTTGTTCTCGGCCAAGGTGGTGAGGAAGTTCTTGACGATGTTGTCCTTGTCCGCGCCGCCAGTGTGCTTGAGCAGCTCTGACGTGATGCCGGCCTTGTCTTCGGCGGTCAGCGCCGGTGCCTCGAGGATAGATACCAGCTTGGTGTCCTTCTTGATAACGGCTAGCAGGTTCTCCATCGCCTTCGCCACAGGGTCGAGCGCAGATGTCTTCGCCGCTGCTGTGTACTGCATTTGCAACTCTTGTGTTAGCCCTCCGTTTCTGCTGTTTTCCCATCTTGCTCCATCCCCAATCTCGCTGCCCCACGGCCCTCCCGCATCACCATTGCCATCATTTCCCACTTCTTACCCACTCAATCGTGACTTACCAGAGCGCTGGCGTATGTTCCGTCCACGCCGTACAGTTCAATCGGGGGCTTCGTCTCCGACGCTGCGGCGGCGTAGCATCGTCGTGCGGCCATTGAGACGCGCGGCGCCATCGTGCGCGCGGTTCGAACTGCGAATCGACCCGCCAACATCTTGTCCGAGATGTTCAGAGGGCAATTGAGGATGGGTGTGAGTGTGGATGGGAAAGGTGGAGGTGGAGAGGACGATGTTGGTCGTTTTGATGAGGTTCTCGGAGCTCTTGCTCTGCTTCTGCCCAGCCGAGCTTTTTGCGGACGGGCGCCTAGTCCCGTTTTCGGAAAGAGCAGGGTGAAATTTCGTCTCACGTGACTAGCAATCCTCCATTATGCGTTTAGGGATTATTGAGCTATTTCTCAATACTAAACGTGCTCGATCATTACGGTGCCGACCGAATTCAACAGGAAGCAGATACCAAGTATATCGCGCCTCAAGGCTGTGATTTACTGCGCCTCGGAGGCCCCCAAAAGCTATAAGATCAATCATGCTTAAAGAATTTGTCCCATAATTCCTATTCATAAGCGAAGATCGGACACGAATGTATCCAGAAATCTCTTTGGAACAAGGTGATTCCTTCCGCTTGATCGAGTTGAAGCCTGGACAAGGCAATGATGCTATCATTGTCAGCTTGCTGCACACCAGCATTAATGATGCGCCCCCCTATGAGGCACTCTCTTACGTCTGGGGAGATCCTACACTGGCTGATTTTATCCTAATAACCCATCCCATTTCCGAAACAAAAAACCTTTCACATGAAAGTAACTGCGAATTGCCATGCAGCATTGAAGCGACTACGCCGTACAGAAGAAACGCGGATGCTCTGGATAGACTCGATATGCATCAATCGAATTAAGGTAACGGAGCGAAATCACCAGCTGGGACTCATACCCAAGATATACTCCTGTGCCTCGCGTGTTGTCGTCTACTTGGGAGAAAGCGACGACGCCAGCAACTCAGCACTTGACTGGATCTACGACGTCGATGCACCTCTCGATCATGAAAACGATTCTGCACCCTGGGAAAGCACCCCCAGGGCCCTGAAACCTAACGCGAACATCATGGATGCCTTTTTTTCGTCGTCAGTGGTTCCACCGAATCTGGGTGCTCCAAGAGATACGCTTCGCACGCGAAGCCGTCATCATCTGCGGAAGTAAAGCAGTTGACTGGAGCTCTTTCCAAGCATTCAAGTATTGGAACAACACGATGAAGTGGGTAAAACATCTGCCATACGTGATCCAGTGGTCCTTGGTGAGATATTCCCGTGGAAACGTGAATAACGAATTTTTGAGTGCGTATCCGAAACGGCTGCATAGAAAGTTGAAGTTGACAAGGCATATTGGAGCGACTGATCCACGTGACAAAGTTTTTGCCATCCTTCCGCTGCCGGACTGGGAGGAGGCCAAGTTTTGGGAGCAGAAGAGTGCTAGGCTGAGGTCCGAAGTCGAAAGCGAAAGCTCTGAAGCGGATGGCGAGGATGACGACCAGAATTTAAACGCTATTCAGGCGCAAAACAAAAAAGAAAGAAACAAAGAGCTAGTGAGGCATGCATACGAAGAAGACGTAAGTTGGACTAAGCAGGAAACACAAGGGGTAAACATCAAGGAAGATTACGGTACTCCGGCTGCAGAGCTCTTCACACAGCTTGCGATGGATCTTATCAACGTTCTTGGGCTTTCGGTTCTTTCCGACATATCTTCTCCTGTCGCTATGACAGGCCTACCATCATGGGCACCGGACTGGAACGCCAATAACAAAGACCAATCTGTTGGACGCTCTCGCAGAGCAGAGAGACAACTTGCTCACACCACCTAATTTTCAGATCTAGAGTGGAATAAAGACGCCTGTTTGGAGAAAGTTCCAATAACCTGGGCCTTTTCAAGCTATGACACTACAGCAGATGGAAACAGCATTTTGAAGACCCAGCTACACGTTCGTGCGATTTCCTTGGGAACCATTGCCAAGTTGGGCCACTTATGCAATATATATGAGGACTACCTTCCTGTTGCACAGTGGGAAAGTTTGGTGGACGATCCTGCCCTTGTCAAAGTAACCAACCTTTCCCCGTGGCCTGGAATCAACGCCAGCTGGGACGTCCGCCACGAATGGGAGATCTCTCGTCTTCCCCCTTTCGTGCGCGCCCTAGCAGGGGACCAAATCACGTCCACTGACGCGATCCAGTCAGCCTTACGTCGCATACGGAAATACAATGGGGAACATGAAACTCTGCAGAGAGAGTTTGAATTCTTCGACATTCAAAGTGAGGAAGAGGACCAAAAGGAAAAAATGAAGCTAAGAGATATATTCAAGGCTATGGCTGTCAGCTACGAAGACCAAGCAGAGGCTATTTTTTACACATGTCATGGGAAGAGGTTCATGGTGCTTGACTCTGGGCGGATAGGTCTTGTGCCTGACATGGCAGAAATCGGTGACGAGATCGTGGCGATAGAGGGCGCGAAGGACTTGTTCATCGTTCGAAGCATTCGTGACGCTGGGAAAGGAAACGAGAAAGTGGTGCAGTTAATTCGAGAAGCTTTCGTGCAGGGGACGACTCGTGGACGAAAGCAAGAACTTGAAAAGAGCTTGAAGGATTTCTCAAAGGCACAATCACTCTTGATTAGGTGATCAATTGAACCGTTCCTTGTGAGAAGGAACCGTACTTGATTGGAGCGGCTGTGTCAAAGCATGAATGCGCAGATGTCGCAAGTGTTTGGTCATTTTTGAGATGTAGAGGTTCCAGTTCCAAACTCGTCATCTCGACTTGTAAGGTTTATGCTCTCTCTCCTTGATCACGGAAGGTCGTTAATCTCACTCTATACAACCGCAGCTCTGAAGTGATAGAAATACTTTGATGATTGTAGCATAAGTAAGGAGTAGAATATAACTAGATTATCATTGCTTTATAATCATGTATTACAGTCTCAATTTAAAGGAGATACCCCCGCCTGACAAAAAGAAATCCATCCTGCTTGCTTCAAAAATTCTTGTTTCTGATGGAGTTAAGAGCAAAGCGGCAGTCCGACATCGTGCCAGCCTGTGAATCAATCTCAAGACTTTCTCGGGGTCATCGTTAAGTGCGCCAAGCTGTATCTTCTATCGAATCTGCCGCATCGCTGCGAGGACGCAAAGTTAAGCTAGGTCTGAACCTACATAGGTCATCGGCATCTGCAGTCAGCTGGTCAAGATCAAGATCGACTGGCCAATTGCATCCTCTGCGTCTTGATCTTCAAGATTTTCCGGACGGTCCTCACGCTTTGGAGGTCCCAATTTTGAATTTAAGATTCGGAAGCACGCCAAAGCGGCGATGAGCAGGGTCGACGTCGCCTGGACTTTTGGTGGCGGCCATTGGGGGTTGGGGGGAATATATGCCCAGACTGAAGTTCGCGAATTCGGGATCAGGCTAAGAATCTGCGCCGAACTCTGGAGCTCGTTCTCTCCTTCAAGTTCTCCCAACCCAGCCTCCCCTTTTTAATTAGGTGCAATGGATTCGATGTTGGTCGACAAAGATAACGCAGGAAGACTTTATCCTCTGCGTGCTCCAACCCTTGGTTCAACATGTCTTTGTGGACGTCCTCGTATCATCAGGAATAGCCTCGTGGCCATTTACCAGGCAGAAATCGGCCCTGGTCTGATGGGCAATCGTGTCGAGGCATGATAATTTTGCTCTGTGTCTGGCAATCCATGCAAAGGCACACCAGGTGGTAGTTTTCTGCCGTTCTAAACGATCTGTGGATATTTCGAACTGAGTCCGATTAGTTCTCGAAGCTTGAGTCTCCTGTTCGTTTCAGTCTCCAACAGCGTCCAAACCAGTCTCTTCGACATGGTCTATCTCTTTGTGTTTCTTTACGGGCTTCCCATCACATTGAACCAACGCGTCGCGTGGTACAATACCGGGTTCTGTTGGGGTAAAGATGGGCAATGTTAAACTCCTCTTCACGCCCCCGCCCATCCCGCTCTTTTTAATAAACAATATCTCCTTTACGGATCGTTCGCGAGGCGGGAATAAGGCTCCATGAACATATCAAGCTGGTCAATATGTTAGACCTTTCAACTATGTCAAGAAGGGAACGAGCCTGATCTGTTTCCGCTGTGTTCTTGACCAGCTGACAGAATTATCTAGGGTCGAGAATGTCTCGCTATCAAAGTTGAAGTCTTGAGAAGAATGCACATGGATTTGATCACCCAGGACGGCTCAAAAGCTATGTTTTGCAACGTGATCAAGGCTTGCATCTCCAGGAGCCTGTCTATCTTCGGGGAGAACATTTAATACGGTATGTTTTACCCTTTCCCACCATTCTCCAGCACAGTATCTCCCATTTGCAAACAGAGGACTTTGCACATCACAGAAGCAGATTGCGAGGATTACATCGTCACTACGTATTGCATTCTCATCCTTACGACGAAATCGAATAACAATTTTTTTTTCTCCCTTTTTGATCAGGGCGTGCGCGGATCTATGCCAAGCCGTTTTCTGTCTTCTGTTCTTCGCCAGACGAGATTCTATCTTGATCCCACGATGGTGCTTCGAGCCTCCGCGCCGATCCTGGTTGAAAACCGTACAATGGAAGGCCAGCGACGGCACCGCAGCTCGTCTCCGGTTCCTCGACAACGGTGGCCAGATTTACGCCCGTTGGCCCTGCAAAGCCCGAATCCCGCTGCACGGTCGAGGGCGACTTTACTTTGGCAGCTATAGCGGGGCGTACGTCCGGAACTAAATGTGGACGAAGCGGACAGCACACATATCAAATTCGAGCCGCGCCTGACTTTGCCTTCTGGAACCGCAGGGTGAGCCAAATTAGGGAATCCCACAGCGGCAGATATTCTCGACTTGGTAGCCTTTCCAGATGGGAAGACTGGAGGTGATGCACTCCGGGAGTAAAAAACGGCCGACAGAGCCTGACTGTCTTGTTCCGCGTTGTCGACAGCGTGACAGCGTGACAGCGTGACAGCGTCCGCCTTGACGATCCGCAAATCACACCCGCTCATCCCAGTGTACGGCGAAGCCTTTTGAGCTCACTCAGTACTTCCACAGTGTGTGTATGTGTGTTTGTGCCCTGGAGAAGACCAAACAAGAAAGGGCAGAGTCATCGGGGAAGGGAAAGAGCACGATTGGGTTGATACCGCCCGAAGCATGTTCACTTACTTCACGCTGTACATCAAAACGGTTGAACGAAGGCGAAGACCACGTTTGGCTCGTCCGATTCATGGTCGGTTGATGCAATCACGTTGTGGATCGAAGCAAATTAGCGGGATAGGATCCTGACGAAATGGCCCCGGCTTTGTGGTCGCTCTTCGGCGTCTTATCCACCGATTCCTCTACCGTCTGAGTTCCTCTTGCCTTGAAACGGAGAAATACATCACTGCAGACCATATGCACAAATGAATGCGGAGAAATGAATCCGAATAGATAGGAACACGGGAGAGCCCACAGCCGTCAATGGCCTGCAGCAGAATGGGCAGGCAGATTATTCGTTCGACGGCGAGCTTGCTCTTCGTCTCGATCGTCAGAGTTATTAAGAGACTAGCCACGCTGAGTGCGGGAAGGGAGCAGCTTCCTCACAAGTACGACGGGTACGCCCGGGTGTGAAGCAGGTATCATGATCAAAAGCGAACGCTCACGGCCGAATTGTCAGAGCTGGTAGCTTCGATGGACGACGTCGCACATCCCGAGGCTTTACGACAGGAAAACACGAGCCTTTTGCCTCCTCGGTTTAAATCTTCCTTGTTTTTTTTTTGTCTTTTTTTATTTTTGGGAGAGCGATGTTGAACGAGAGATGTGCGCTCCGCATTACTGGCCATTGTTCCTCGCATTTGTGCCGACAGGATGACTGGATCTGTCTTGAGTCGTGGAATGGGACAAGGACATTCGGCGAGTGGGAACGGGAATGGTTCAAAAGGTCCTGTTTCGGCCTTCCTCAGGTACGAACGAGCTTACGATCGGCGCTGGGATACACGGACCTTGCATGTGGCATTCGCAGTCGTCCTCACATGTTACCGCGTTGATGTCATCGGCCGCCCGTGATCAGTTTAACAGCAGGCCTTTCCTTTCTTCTTTTCTCTCTCCCGTCTTACGCTTTTGTAATGATCAAACGCTGCCGACGAACGTGAGCTGCGGGACGCCGCGATTTCGGCTGCACGGTGTTTGACCGAGCTCGTATTTACGGTTGCATCTGAGCGAAGCGTGCTAACGCAGCGTTGAGGCCAGGGATGCCCCGAATGTCACTGCACACACCTGCCTTTGACAGTTATTCCGTTTCGGTGCAGGCTGCAGCATCGTCATCAACGACTTTCCTTTTGGCCACCCCCTCCCCTGTTTCAGCGGACCGGCATGTCGCTGCTCGGTGTTGCATGAAACGCATGAAACGTAACGAACTTGGTAATGTGTATCGTGTGCTTGGTCCTTGCGCGAGAAGAGGAAAATTAAAGAAGAAAAAAAAAAAATCCAATTTGCCCTCCAGGGTAGGTCTTCTCTCGCCGATCAATGGAAAAGGTTTCCACGTGGGAAAGATTTACGATGCATATGCGGGAACGCACGCCCGGTGCATTCCTGCGCATGCAGCCTTTTTGGAACTCCAACGACGGCAAAAGAAGAGATTCCCTCGGCCCTTTTCGTCCCAAAGAGGGGAGACACAGAGAGATGCTGTAAGTTTTCGTCGTCGCGTGCCATGTAGCGTAACAAAGTTCTCCGCCAGCATGTGGCGCCTCCAGCATCGTCGATGGCCTTTTCGACCGTCGCGCATGCCAAAGTCGGCTTCTTGGCCCAGCTGGGATCCTGCTGCTACGAGTGAGATGAAAGCGCAAACGTATTGTGATTTTGTGCGGGCGACTCTCTTGCCAGCGTCCCGGTTTGACGAGAGCGAGGTCGAGCCAAACGCAGCATTGGCGAGGGGACGAAAACCAGCAAATTTCCGTTGGGGCTCTGCACGGAATGCATGGAATGGTAGTGATAATAGGAGAATAGAAAAAATCAATAGTCGCGGTCTGACATAGCGCTCTGATAATGCATGGCCGTTGGGCTAATGATGATGTTGCGGCCTTGGTCCACAGCTACCGATCCAAACGAGTCCCGTTTTCGCAGCAAAATTGATATTGACGGGTGAACGGGGTTGGCTCCACTTCATGCTAGCAGCTTAGCGGCCGTCTAGAAGATTGCCCAGTTCGTCGCCGCAAGCCAGTCCACCGGTTCCGAGCAAGGTACCCTTCAGTCACCGGTAGTACAAAGCGCCATTTCGCATTATATATATAGACACACACACATACATGCACATAAATAAATAAAAAAAAATACATATATATATATATATATATATATTTGGGAGAGAAAAAAGTGGTGCGACGGCTTTGGACGCGAATGGAAATGTCCACTCGGACGGGCGACGGAGATGTGCCACAAGTGGAACCGCGAGGGGCGTTCATCTACTTGTTCGTTGTGCAAGTCGTATGTTTCTGCAGCCTGCCGACTCGTGCTGGCGCCGCACGTATGATCTCGTCTCAATAGTCGATGGCGGAGTGTGTTCTCCGTCCATGGTCGCTCAGGGACGGCGAAAAGAACTCGCGCCGTGGAAACGATCGATGAGACATGTTCCAATGACGGCCGTCAAGTCGCGAAGCCGGACGGACCGCAGCACGTCCTGGTGACTGACGAGCGCATGCCTTGTTTCGTTTGAGGTGATAAATTACTCGAGGGAGAAGGGGGAGGCGGGGAGGTTTTGTGCAGGCGGCTACGCGGTTGGTCCAGATCTTGGACGTCGGCCACACACACACGCGTCCAAGACATGTCCAAGACAGGACCAATCCTGACGTTGGACGGGGCACAGCTGCGTTTCAGGCACCGGCGTCTATTCTGGCATCAGCCAAAAGTTCGACAATGCCTAATCATGCCGCTGCTGGGCGGGAATACATGCTCACGACAGGCAACCCCACGCTCAACATCGGGCAACTCGTGGGCAGCCAGCTGAAGGGCGCAGGACTGATAGGGACTTTTTACTTCAGGACAGCCAGACAAAAAAAAAGCAAGAGCAGCAACCCCCATCCACCAATCATGCCACGCCTTTTGCCAACGTCCAGACGAGTGGGCGTGGCAGGAAGTTCGATCATGTACCCCTTGGGCAGGGCGTCTCGAAACACTCTTTCGGGACTCGAGCCTTCTGATGCAGCTCGCACCAAGTCTACACGCAGAGCGCAGCAAGAGGTCTTGGAGAACTTTCCCGTCTTCCCCTTCCCCACCGGCCTCCCCCCCCTGGTGTGCATCTCGGTACAGCGTACAGACTTTCCACGTGGGGATCGAGGTTTTGTAGAATGTCGACTTTTCCTATCTTTGCACCCAGGCGAACCGCCCATTCGGGTCCCGTCCCGCAGTTTGGCTTTTTTTGTGGGGCAGCATCCCAACGATCAGACACACCCCAGCCACGCAGGTCGGGGGCGCAGAAAAAGCGCAGGACCTGCTGCTGCAGGGCGACAGGCAGAAGCAGAATAGGGAGAGAGGAAAAGGAAGGAAAAGAAATAATAATAATAATAACAATAATAAAAAAGGGGAGCGCCTGCGCTACTCATGTGGATACCGGAGATGAAGCCCGCCGCTCCCCGCTGCCGTCAAGCGCTTGTCATCAACTTTCCGAGATAGCGCGCGTTTGGCAAAAAACCGTTGAATCCTTCGCGTCGCTGTTCTTCCTTGCAAACCGGGCCCCATCCCTCCTCTCGTCATCGCCGTGCTTGCGTTTGCCGAGAGGCTGAGCGGAAGCGCTCCAGCGTCAGCGCGGACCTTTGTGAGACGCCATAAGAGCCAGCTTGCGGGAACGAGGATCGACGGGTTCGCTGCTGGGATGCGGATCAGATACTGCCAGGCACAAGCACGGCACGCAGATACAGGTACACACACACATATTGTCAGACGGGTGCTCCAAAGGAGAAACCCCCCCCCTTCCCGTTTGAGAAAATTCATCCGCATGGCCATTCCAGACGGTGTTTAGAACCACAAGTGTTAATTTATTTTTTGTTTCTTCCTTCTTTTGTCGCACTCTCTCTTTCCCCCTTTCTCATCCTGAAGACGAAAGGGTAAGAAGGAGAAATGAGACGTGTTCGCGCTTACATTTCGAGTCAAGAGCAGCGGCATCGAACCGCGTCGACTCAAGGGCATGCGAATGACTCGGGGCGGGTAACTTTCCCAAGCTTCCGCGATTTCAATCGACACGCGCTCGACCGGCTCGGACTCAGATCCCGGAGCGTTCCCCATATCCAGCAGGAAGGATAGCCTTGGTGTGCGCATGCATGGTGTGTACTTGTAGTGTGTGTGTGTGTATGCATGCATGCATTACATGTGTATTGATTTCGCGAGAGTGCGGAGAGCCGCTTTGGCAAATGTCGTATAACCATCTCTCACTCGCTGGATCGAGTCGTGATAATCGCGCTCTACGTAAGAATAACACGAATCGAGCCAACCACCCGAAGGGAAGGAGGGAATGAGGGGATAGGAGGAAGAGAAAAAAGGAAAACAAATTTCTCTTGTTCTTTGCGAACAGGTTGAGAGAAAAGGCCATCCTTGCTAAAGGGCATGACGATGAATCGGACCTCATGCTTTGTTACGTTTTTTTTTATTTTCTTCTCTGCCCTTACGATGGGATTTTGATGTTGTCTCTCCACTCCTCTCTGTACGACGGCGCCTTCTGTTGAGCTACTCTGCGAACTCACATGGCAATGCCTGCCAACGGGTCGGGGCTGGCATGTTCTTTCAGCACTTCAGCCGACAGGTCAAGCACAGATCTCTCATTAGCCGAGCGTCAAACGAGTGTGCACGGGAAGGGAGGGAAGGGGGCCGCGGCAGAGGAAGGGAAAGAAGTTCGAGGGCTGAGCAGCGGCAAAGGTAAACAGGCGCGGACTCACGGACGATTCTACCGCGGGTGTAATCAACGAAGCGATTCAGACAACAAACGACAAGCGACTCATGGACGCCTGTAGCGCCCACCATCACCACCACCACCTCCTCCTCGACCACCGCTGCCGCCGCCGCCGCCGCCGCTAAGGCGCAATGAAAAAGGTCCACGACGAGACTCGAGCGGCAGCGTGTGCGAGGCTTTGGCGTGCATTGTTGCCGAGCGAAAAGGGCCCGCAAGACGGGGAAATTGTGTTGGAACAGACGCAGCGAGCGTTCTAGCGCACTTCCAGAACGCTAATCAGCAGCCACGGTTAAGATTGGGCTTGGGGATCCGACCCTCGGCTGGGCCCCGGCATTCCCGCCTGCCATGAATCAGGCTTTAATCACCGAAGGCGAAAGGACGCCGTGACGCTCGCAAATCAAAGGAAAAAAAAAAAAAGGAAGAAAGGGCCGTGAACAGGGTGATCATCGTCGTCGGCGAGCGACAAACGACTCCTTTCCATTTCTCCTGCCTCCCGACTCCCCCTTGCCACGAAAGCCCTTCCACACGCTCCCGCACCCGAAAGGGGGAAGGCGAGTTGCTTACGGCTTTCTTGTTTCGGTAAGCAGCGCACGCAGACACACACACACTCTCTTTCTCACACACGGACACACACACACACACACACACACACACACACACACACACACACACGCGAGCGCACGCACTCACACGTATGGGGGCATGCATATGCCTGACGATGAGCGGCGTTTGTGTGTCTGATTCTGAAACCGCTCGGTCCTGCTGGATTCAGGATTTTTGCTCTTTGGACGTTTGTGGCACTTTTTTTCTTATACAGTTTTTTTTTTCTCTGAGCCAATTGTTCGGGTGGGTTTTTTTTTTATTCTATTGGGGGGAGGGAGCCAGCGCCTTCTGCACGCCTTTCGCTTCGTTCTGATGGCAGCCCACCGTATTATTGCACGCACGCAATTTCAAAGGAAAAAAGACACGGAGGGAGGAAATAAGAAACAGGGCTGGCTGCGTTGGACGCAAACAAGGGAGATTCAAGGAACGTGTGACAGCGAACGTGAGCCTTCTTCTTGTCTGATTTTTATTTCTATTTATTTGTTTACTATTTGAATTTTTTTTTTTTTTTAATTTTTTTTTGGGCTGCTTGCACGCGAGAGAGCGCCAGAGACAGAGACAGCAGGAATAGGGGGGTTAAGGGGGCGCAGCCGGCGGGGCGGGTGACGAGGTTGATTGCGGCCGGAAAAATTAGAGGTGGTGACTCGAATGGCAATAATGAACAGTGACACTCATGAAAACGAACGCACGAGAGAAAGAGCGGGAAAAAAACAACAACAGGCTCCGCTTTGTTGGGGCAGATCGGCTTCACGACCACGGGCTTGGGGCTTTGAGGCTGATGTTTAACCGTGATTCCGGAAGCATGATGGTTGCTAGTGTTGCGTGGAAAGGCGGCTGGTCATGGGTGCCAACAAGGGCGCGGAATGCACGCTGGACTTCCCCGGGAGCGAGCAGACGTTCTTTTTTCTCGAAGCTCGACGCTGGCCTTGGGGGTGCCCACCAGACGATGGTCGACCGGGAGCGATTCATCCTGGGGCGGCGCTGTTTGGTGCTAACGCGGCACGGATTAAGGTTGCGCCTCTCATTTCTAAGTTTGGGCAAGAGAGGTGGAACTTGAATCGCAGCTTCGCAAAGGGACGGCAGCATTACGAACGGGGAGCGAACGAAGGACGGACAGCGTCGCAGCACACGGGCTTGGGGCCGCAGGACGGGGGGCAGCAGGAAGGCCAAGGGGCGAGGGCGCGTGCTCTTGCGTGCTCGAGGGCGGGCTCAGAGACAGCGCGCGAGTGCGTGCGCCAAAGAACGAGACAGCGGGAGCGAGAACGAAAGAAAGAGCGGGAGCAGGAAGGCATGCGGGCATGTGCGAGATCGTACGTGCGCCCGCGTCCAGGCCGTGAAGCGTGTGCTGGAAGCGTGTGTTGGAAGCGTGTGGCACAGCAAACACAAAGCGGCGAGGCGGACAAGACGCAGGCAAACCACCCGAGCCTGCGCGCTGGCAAGGACGCAAGGCAGCGCGCGCTGTGTTGTGCCCGAGGGGGCGAGCGTGTGCTGCGTCAACGGGCGCGCAGCCAGTGGCAGGCCAGAGACGGCGCCGCTTCTGGCCATTGGCAACAGGTCAACCGACAGCCCAAGGCCGATGCGAGACGAACACATCGCACGGAAGGGGATCCCTCGCGCTGCATCCTGAGCCTGCGCCGGTACCTGCATCAGCACGCACGCCACAACGGCAGGGGGTGGACCGAGCACCCGGGTCCCATCTTTTGGTTGTGCGCTTCGACGACGCCCGTGAAACGGGGCGCGCTCAAGCTCAGGATGGAGTTTTTTTTTTTTCTCTTTTTGATTGCTTTGCCCTTTGCGCGGCAGACGTACTGCTCCGACTATTCAGCAGTGTGTGCGCTGTACCTTGCTCGCTTTGGGCCCTGCTGTGATGCCCGCCGCCCCTGACTCCGGACTCAATATATGTTTCTAGACCGTCCCGTGTGCGATCTCTCGTACCTTTCCATCCGTCCCTCCCTCTCTCGCCTGCTCTCTCGCTCACACACGTCTTTTCAAGGCCTCCTCTTCCGCCCGCTCGTGCATCATCTCCCTCCCCTTTGCGAGCTCGCCTCCTGTGAGACATAATTCCAACAGCGGCCGACACCGAATTTCCTCGCCACACGCCCACCACCTTCCTGCTACTCTGCTGCTATCGGCGCACCCCCATTCTCTGCAGCTGTAGTCACTCTGGCGACAAGGCGTTCCTTTTTCTCAGCACTCCCAAAAAAGCCACCCCACGCGTAATCTTACATACAAGTGGCTCACTTCCTCCACGCTCTCCCACCTTTCCGAAATACATCTCACCACCGCCTTGCTTTCCTCTGTCTCTAAAAAAAAAAGAAACAACAAAAACTCGACCCGCGCCCTAACACATCTCTCCGGCACGTTCGCGAAGAACCTGTCGCACAGCCTCCCCGTCCAGCCAAACGAAGTCTTGCTTTTAAGGTTGGCTACCTGGCTTGCGCGACACACGTCCAAGTCACCAAATCCTCGGCCTTGCTCCAGACCGCCTGCTCGTAATCGTCCGAGAAGCAGCTTTGCCTGCACTGGCATATAACAGGCCAGCGAGTCTGCCTTCCTTCCTGCACAGGTGAGTCAAGTCTTCGTGATTACCCCCGAATCAGTCAGACAGCATCAGCATCGTCATCATCCTGCATCACAGCGACGCTGACCAAGATCCGTCTATAAGAACAGTCCACCATCCCTCCACCAAGAGTCACCATGATAACGAGAGAGTCTCATTCCTGCTTCCACATGGGCCGTGGCGCGTACGACACAACGGGCACGCCGAAGCCTCCGCCGCCCAAGAAGCGGCGATGAAGGCAGCCAATCCCCCGTCGCGCTGCGAAGGAGTCACAGCGTCGACGCGCAACCTGTCACTCCAACCGTAGCCTCCGGCCACAGCCGATTCCCAGTCACGGCGGGAATCGCTTGTTTGCATGGTAAGCAACTGTCACACGCCTCCTCTCCGACAAATCCGTGGCCCTGCTACCGCACTTGATGCCGGGCCCCCCCCCTTTCCACTGCGTTTCCGATGTCACCACGTCGCCCGCAGCGAGAGCTGCTTCCTTTCTTGTTCGATGACTAATCACGACCATTTGCTGCAGGCAGCCACACCCAGCCGTCCCCGACGGACTTCTTTCTGAACGACGTCCAACAAATTCCGAAAAAAAAACGTATCCTTTTCACCCTGCCTGTCTATTCCGTTCGACGTCCGCGTCCGCTTCGCCTCGGTCTTACTTTCTTCCTTGATCTCTCCCACGCGCGCACAGCCAAGGACGAGACGAATCCATTCTCAACTCGAACTTTGTAATCGGCGGACCTTACGGCATTTCAGCGCCTCGTATGCATTCCTAATACCCTACCTTATTCTCGTTGATTCTCGGTTTCGGAGCGAAAACAGCATCTTTTTTTTGAATTTTGGTTTCTAGGGGAGGGGAGCGCCTGAAAAACAAAACCACACCATCCCGAAAGTCTTCTTTTCGAATCGGCTTTCATTCTGTTCTGCCACGCCTCACTTCTTTCTGGGACTTCGGCTGGGCCACGCGTAACCACTGCGCAAACAACGACCCTTTCCGCCCTCCACCAAACACACAAAGCAACAACGCCGACACAACACATATCGAACTTCCCGCATTCGGCATATCCACTTACCACCGTCGGCATTCTTCTGCATTGGCTTTTGTTTCTCGGATTTTTTTCGACTCTTGCATTGGAATTTTCGTCACATTTCTTTTATCTCTCTGGGTCAGCAAAAAAAAGTGTCGGATTTGTTTTTCTCCCCATCATCGGCGTTATAGATTTTCAAGAGCTCAGGCAAGAGGAAGATACCACGCAAAACACAGTTTGGGACGGGATTAATTTTTTTTTTGGCTTGTTGTACAACATGGCTCGCTTGTATCATCATTTGGTTCCCTTTGATATGGCATAGACTTCGTTTCTGAGCGCGCAGACTTGCAGTTCGTTCTTGCATGTCTCTAACTGTACTACTATTAGGTATGTGTTTTCTTGGCTCGCAGGCACTTTGTTTCTCTATTTAGTTTTCGGGGGGTCCTTGCATTGGGGGAACAAAAAGGGAAGTCTTGCTTATTCTCTCATATTCTGTTGGCACATTGGCCTGGCGCTAGTCCAGCAAGTCTCATGAGAGGATTCAATAGACTGATGTACCTTTTCTAGATGGTACTTGTACTTCTTTTTTTTTCTTTGTTCGGCTGGCAGCAGCTCCCGTACGTACGGGGCCTGCTCCAAGGCCTGGGATGGATCTACGTTTTTGTTACCACGCTGCGCTTTTCATAGATACCCGCTGGCGCGCGTCTTTTATTGTATGCCTCCGGTCTCTCCGGCAGACCGGTCTTTGTACGTGTATTGGGGGGAGAACCAATTGAAGACACTTTGAGTCTGCAACACTTTCTTTTTCACGCTGTGCCTCAACTCGTTTCGCCCTCGTTTGCCCTCCATCACGCCTCCTGTTCGTTTGCGATCCTTGCGTCACGACTCTTTCTTTTTTTCTTCTTTCCCACCCCCACGATCCCAAAAAACCTGGCTGGGCTGCCTTTGGCTACATTCGTTCCAGCTGGGCCGTCCTGAAATCCACCGCCCCCGCCGCAGCAGTAGTCGAGACGGTTTGGAACGAGGAGCGCTCGGGCGCGTGGTTCAGCTGCGACACACCCTCTGCCCTCGTCCGCAGCTCTCGACTGCTATTTTTCCTCGCCGCACGCACGCACGCACATACGCACACACACACACACACACGGACATGCATACGGGACGTACGTACCTACCGACGCCTGAGGGATCACAGCAGATCCTCAAGCAGAGATCGAATCGTGCAGAAGAAGAAAAAAGGCAGACCATCCCTCGCCACACCCGTCAACCCCATCCAATTTTTTTCCCACCGGAGGAGCAAAAAGAAAAGAAAGGACGGGTTTCTTTTTCCCTACGCGGAACGGCGATGAAGGGGGTGCTCTTCTTCTTCTTCTTCTTCTTCTTGATGGTGGTGGTGGTGGTGGTGAGACACGTTGCGTGCCGGCTCGAGACGAAAGCTGGGCCGCGTCGCGATCTGCCTAGGTGTGAGCTCCGTCCGTTTCCCATCACATCTTTTAGCGGGCATGAGGGGGGGCGGAGCTACATTTATTTATTTATTTATTTTTTTAATTTTTTTTTTGTTGTTGTTTTTCTTCCTTGTTCAATCGATACACACGAGGCGGTACCGCTCCCAAGAGAAAAGACTTCTGCCGCCGCCAGTTCCTTTCCCGTCCTCCCCCCGACGCTCGCTCCCTCAACGCATTCCCGCATATGCAGGTGATCGTTCCCTTTTTATGGGTATTTTTTTTTTCTATTCCTCTGCTTTTCTTCCTTCATCCTTCCGAGTATATTTTTTTGGGCGGGGGTTGACAGGTCCGCGAATTCCGGGGGACTATATCTGCACGCCCCCCCCCCCCAGCCCAGCGTCTTCGACGGAGGAAGGGATGGGGGCCAGGGGAGGGGACCACCCGATCCGTTGAGATCGGGACTTTGCATCTGCACGATCGCGCTAGGGATACGTCCAAGTACGCTCTCGCATTCCAATTTTTTTTTTTTTTATTTTCTGGTCTTGCCTTGCGGCTTGCTGGAACAAAGCGAGAACTTGCATACTGTGCACGCGCGAAACAAGTCAAAAGGCTTGTATGCAGCCGCTATACAGGACGTGGCTGTAGAAAGACAGTGCGACCTATGTAACGCTTGCGACCTAACCTCTGTCAAGATCTACATCCGCGCTGGGCTGAAAGAGGAAGCCCTCGATTTCTTTTTTTTTTCTTTTTTTTTTTCGGGTTTCTTTGTTTTCGTTGGGTCGTTTCTTTTGACGGCGCGTACATCCGACGAAAGTTTACCCAACACGAAGAAAGAGAAAAAGAAAGGAAAAAAAAGAGAGAGACTGCGTCCAGGGCCACAGTGCGGGGAGGAGAAGCCGAACCAGCTTTTCTTCGTCTGCGGGATCGATCTCTGTACGACCCGAAAGAGAGATAGAAATTTCTTTTCCCTTGACGGCTCCCTCCTCACACCCACCTCTACGTGCTTTTCGCCTATGCTTCCGCGATGGAGCTGCGGTCACGGATGAGGGTCCGTTTTCGTGTTTAGCTACTGCGAATGAGGACTTATCCTCGTTCCTCTCTCCTCATTCTCATTGGGAAGGGGTTTAATCTTGGTTAGCTTGTGGGGGCAAATAGAATCTGAAAGGAGAAGACATTTCCGCCAGCTTTTGACGAGAGAGAAGCAAGACGAAAGAAACGCAACTTGGCGGCTCCGTCTCTGGTCTGTCGGAGAAGTGGTGGGTTCTAATTCTGTGCTCGAACAGGTCAAGGAAGAGAGCAGGGAAGGAGGAGGAGGGGGAGAATGTGCACAGAAAGGAGAAAGCTTGTCCTTGCTTTGTGGTGACTTGTTCCCGCTCTATCTCGGGGGGAAAACGGGAGGAGCAGTATTGAGATCGATATAACGGCGTCGAGCGATCTGGCAGGGGGGCTTTTCAAGCTGACCAAGTTTACTGGACGTGCCAATCTCCGGCCAAGTGACGACACTCAAGGAGAAAGCCACCGATAAGAAGGGGATTCAAGCACCGTGACGCGGCGCCCAGCGCCTTACGGCTGTCCATGTCCTCTTTTGCCAACCTGCCATTCACATTTTAGTCGGAACGCACCGCCTAGTTCATTTTGCGATCGCGATCTCGCCTTGCTTACGATCTGCTGTAGATTTTCCTAGTGTCGCAAATGCCTCCGGCCTTACGCGAAAGATTCGCACGTATCCCTGCGATGGGGAACGCGGAGACGCGACGCGATTGCTTTTGACGTCGGGCCAGAATTTGAGTTTGTGATGGGCGTCGCTAAATGCGCAGCTGCGAAAGACAGAGCAGTCTAAACGCACAACTGCGTTTGTTTCTTATTCCTTCCTCGGCCTTTCGATCTCCTTTTCGGCGCTTGTGACGAGCGAGGACTTGTCTTTGCGACGGTTCAACTTTGTGACGGACCCATTTCAGGACAAAAACTGCCGAACTGGGCTGGGACTCTTGCAGCTCCGCGTAGACTTCAGCACGAGATGTCGCCCACTTCGAGAACGACCACTGTGCACAGCTAAACCACACTTGTGGCTGTGCACATCGCGAAGCTCCAACCACTTTCACCCCCACATACGCAATCCGCACCAATTCGTAGACGGGCAGCGCTCGACACAAAGCGTACCGAGACATACCTCCAAATCACCCCGCCCAGGAAGCGAACAGACTCCCTTCGACTCAGCAGCATGTCTCTCATAAATTGGCGGACCATCAACATCGACGCCCTCGATCCGGACTCGCCCGCCAACTTCGACCTCAGCACACTCGCTCCCGGCGTAACCCCAGTATCTACAGCGGATGTACAGTCAATAGGGCAGCAAGTACGGCAGCTTCTCCGCGGCGGCGACAGCGAGGGAGCCCTGAGAGGCGCGCTAGAGACCGCACCGTATGGTGCTGACGACAAAGGCAAGGTAAGCTGAATCCCATGGTCCGCGTTTTTGATTTCCTGCGAAGAAGGAGAAGGGGGAAGGTTGGGCACCGCGTCGCGGAGGGTTGGGAATATACACAGCTCGCCTCGGAAACGGAGAAGAGAGGCCGAACGTTGGGGAAGCGAGGAAACCAAAAAAAAAAAAGAAGAAGAAGAAGAAGAAGAAGAAGAAGAAGAAGAAGAAGAAGAAGAAGAACAAAAAATTAAACGACAAAAATCACACTTGAGATGGATCCTCGTTTTGCTGAGACCGCTCGTTGCTCTAGGAAATCCACCTGCAGACCGTCCTCGAGACGCTCCAAGGCATCCGCGCCGCGGAGATGACGCCCCTCCTGCAGCGCATCTACGCCTCCGAAGGCGGGCCCGAGGTCCTCGACACGTTGATGAAGTACCTGTACAAGGGGATGAGCACGGCCGGCGCGCACGCCGCCTCGAGCAAGGGCTTGTCGCCCAACCCGACGGGATTCAGCCAGATGGCCGGCCGCAGCTTTGGCGGCGCCGAGGGCGGCGGCCAGATGATGAGCGTCCTGCTGAGCTGGCACGAGAAGGTCGTCGAGGTCGCCGGCGTCGGCAGCGTGATCCGCGTCATGACGGACCGCCGGACGGTGTGAGCGTTGCGCACGAAGACGGCCTTGACGACGATCAGAACGAGCGGTGCGGGAGGGATGTAGGACTCGCGCTCGCCGTCGCTGCTGCTCCAGGTGCGTCACACGTTCGCCTCCGCGCGGCCAATCTCCGCGCTTGCACAATGTTGAAAGTAACGCGAAAAGAAAGTTGAACGGGAAGACGGAATCGCGAACAGGCCCTCGAAGCCATCGTCGAGGCATGCATGTATGAAGATCGGGGTGAAAATAAATTATTTTTTTTTCTTTCACCAACAGTAGTTATCGGACTTTAGAAATGCTATAAACAATCACGGCTAAAAACTGCCTCCGTTCTAAATATGAGTACATATCCTGCGGTCAACTGGTATCGAGCGAGTATCTAGTGTCAACCCGAAGCTGCCGTAGCCTCTTGCTTTCCGACAGACGATGCTTCAGACGCTTCGGACGTCTGTCCTACGACGCTTTCATGGATAGGCTTGGCCTCGTCTTCAGACTGTTCCCCTGTGACAATGCTCTGAGCAGGAGCTGTGTCGCTTATCTTCTCCACTGATTCCTTGACTTTCAGCTTCTGCTTCACTGCTCTTTCAACCATCTCGACCATTTTCAACCCCGCCTCAATGACACTGCGCAAGGTCGCCTCCCTGCACTCTGTGCCTTCCTTGCTTTTAGCCTCAGGAGCAGGCTGTAGGACGCAAAGCTCAGTGTATTTCGCGCCCAGCTTACCCCCTTCGTTCATCGTAATACGATGCTGCACCCCGTTCATCTTAAAGTGGATGACCTGCTTGTGTTCCACACCGACGAAGCGGTAATGCGCTTTGATGTGACTCTCCTTCAGATCGTCGGTCTTGTATGTTGGCAGAAGGGAAGCAGCGTTCGTGCTTTGTGACCACCACGAGCGAGGAACGGGTATGTTGATAGCTGGTGGCGCTCGAAGTCGCTCGGAGCCCTGTATGCTGCTTTTCATTGCATTGATCACCGGGGTGAAAACGCCCTTCACGCTCTTGTTCGCATGATCGAGTTTGTGAATGTGTTTTTCGGTGACGCAGTAGTCGATGGGCTTGCCCGGCAGTGATATGCAAAGGCTCGTATCTCGAGTGACCGCATGCACACTCAATATTGCTGGTTCGCTTGTCCCTGTGTGATCAAGCTCGAAGTCAAACTTGATCTCGGGCAAGGGCTCAGAGTCCCACTTTACCTTTGTGATGACCTTTTTTGCGTTTTTGCTGCTTTGATGGGACAAGAGAGGATCGTGTCTAAAGGAGAAAGATATGATGTTGCGGGTTGGTGCGACTTCTGCCGCCGAGGAGAGGAATGTCAAAAGAGGGGGTACATGAACGAGACCAGGAGCAAAGACAGGAGCAGGTTTGAAAGAGTGCGCTGCCTTGTTTGTCTTTTTTGGCCAAAATACAAATCCCAGGCGGCTGGCGTAGCTGCGCTCTGGTTGAGAGGTCCACACTGGCGACTCTGTGGCAGAAGGAGGACTGGGGACCAATTTTTCAGTGGCGGCTCTGGTGAGAGTTCGAATCACATCTTCCTGTTCCGAAAGGTTGACATTTTCTGCTTGGCTGTCCCGCCGAGGAGTATCGCCCACGTTTCGACGTCGAGGTATACGACGCTCATGGTAGTTAAGACTGTCAGCTGATTGTGCTGGACCTTTCCTTGATCCCAATTTGGGGAAGGCTATGAACAGCTGGATGGATCGAGTGGCTAGGTTGGACATCGAGGCAAGTGCTCTTCGCGCATCGTCTATTTGTTGGACGCTGTAGCCGTTCACCATCAAATAAGGCTGAGCAAGGTTAGCATTCACTTCCTCGTGCTGGGACTCAGTGCTGTAGTGTTACCTTTTGACTACGCTTGTCTACGAGGGTCTTGGCCATAACACCTGTGGTTGATTTCAACACCTCTAGTTCATGCGATCCAATCGGCGCCCGCGCCGCGAGTGACAAGAAGTTTGCTACAGTCGCTGGTGCAGATTCTGATAGAGAGCTAGGATCAGAAGTAGATTCCTGGTCTCGTGGCAGTCTTCTTTGAATCAATTTTATCTTATCCGACTGAACCGCCAGGCATTTCTGCGAGATGTCATTCAGGGCTGCCGTGGCCGCTTCTCTGCTACCTGTAATCCGAAGAACCTTGTCGGTCAAAGCGTGCATCTTGACGTGCCGAGCTTCTGCAATTTGATCCAAAATCAAATTCCCTACTCATTTGTCAGTTTGTATAAGTCATGCACTCTTCTGCTCCTACCATATTCATTCCGTGCTTGCAAAAAGCTCTGTGCGTCGTATACGTCGATCTCACCAATCTCCATGGCATTGTCCACATAGAGCTGCCACCCACGCTCGACGATCAATCTCGCGAATTGCGATTTAGACACAGTCTTGCGGCTGACAACACCCGACAGAATGAGATGTTTCTCGTCGCTGGGCGTCACACCTGCGATCCAGTCGGAATGTGGTAATTTCTCCGTCTCCTTTACCGAACGAACCAACAGGTTTTTACCCTTTTGCGTGGCATATTGCCGTAGTTGGGACGAAGTGAACCCATCTTCCAGAGCTTTGATCAACTTCTCGTGCTGCGCCTGCGCGATGCTCTCGCCCTTCCGTGGTGCTCGTCCAAGAATACTATCCCGAAGTTCTTCAATTGCTCGTGCGGTAGAAGCTTCATCGACTGTGTCAGAAACTCTTGCAACAGAATCCAAGATCTCTTTCTTAGATGACTTCCTGGGGCCTTGAGGAGCTTTGGCAGGGCTGGCTTCCTCTGCCTTAGATCGATCGAGTTCGGCATCCTTCAGCAATATGATCTCTGCCGGTTTGCCTAGATTGCTGACCGGAAGGACCGCCGAGCTCTCCCTAACCTTGGCACCCTTCCTCCCGCGTATTTTTCCATGAGGATAGACTTTTTGCTCAGTCTTGACAGGTGTTGCGAGGATACGTCTCGACTCGGAAATGAAACGTCGACTACCGGTGACGCTCCGCGCGGAGACAGAGAATTGTCGTGCTTTCAGAAACTTTGATTGGCATCTCAGGCAGATGTGCGCGCCCGACTGAGAGGACGCAAACATGTATTGGAGCGCGTTCGCGGTGTTGAAGTTTGGGGGTGAAGGATGGAAGAGCTGCGGAGATGCCCGAAACGGAAAGTAGAAATGTTTTCATCACGAGACCGTAAGGCTGAAGTTCTAACTGCGATGAGATTCGAGGCGGAAATTACCATAAAGGAGACTCAAACGTCGATATTGCAATTTGTAATGATAGAATCAAGTTGGCTCTTTGAAAAGTTCTGATTCGTAACAACGCGAATGGGCAGGTGGGAGTTCGCTGACGGAGAACATGGTCTGTACAAGGTCGCAGATATGTATTGTTGCCCACAGCCTATTCCTCCGAGGTGCATCGCCCGTCCTTGATCTATGCCGTCCATGCATAGAATGTTGTCTATGGCTACACTGTCCTGCTCATCGCTTCTTACGATGAAAGTGCATGCTTAGCCTGCACGGCGGTGACAGACCTTACAGAAGTAGAGGGCCTGCACATGTGGACATTTCAAGTCCATGCTGCCGGATCTCTGAAGAGATCTACCCTACTGGCAAACTCCGTAATCTGCCTCTGATTCATAGCAATTTCAGGCCGCCCGTAACTGCATCAACCACGCTTCTTGGGCCTGGCCCGACTCCAAGTACCGTCGCGCTCCCGCTTGCAATCTGCGTCCTGCCTGCATCGTGTATGATCCTGGCACAAAGACCCAAACTAACAGCCTGCGCCTGCAGCAGCAGTAGTTCATCTTCACTCTTAGCCTGGACTGTAACTTTTGCTTGCCCCATTCTCTCCCAACGCGTCAATATAGGCGAGTTGGCTGCCTTCAAGGCTTTGTAACATGCCAGCGTCGCGTGGGAGCACTGTGCTGCGATCTTTCCTTTGGTCATTCCTAGGTCGGTGCGCACGACGAGCACCAGCTTGCATTCTTCATTGGAACCTTTAAAATCGCCAAGTTCGCCCTGCTCGTCTCCCTCTCCTTCTGAATCACTCTCGATGCTGTCTTCAGCCTTTGCTTTCCCTGCTTTCGTGGGAGTGTGGAGCGCGTTTGCAGGCGAAATAGTCGTTGCACTGATGCGGCCAAGGAAGAAGCCCGTAAGAACGCCTAAAAGGACGTATGCAAGGGGTTTTCGGAGCTCTGCGAGATTAGCCATTTGAAGAAGGGTATTTGGCTGGAATTGCGGAAAGATGAAGAGCGAGAGGGGTCGGCTGTGCACTCTAGCAGTGATCCTGGGAACTTGCACTTGGTGGGAGCTTGGATTGTTTTTAGGCCCATGTTCGTTAACTTTCGAGCTTTCTTCGCATCCCAGTTCTATAACCCTTTCTCACAACAGTACCAAGAACATGATTAAAATATCCAAAGGATCTGTCTTCCACGTTGCACAATTGCGTTCCTAACACAGTTGTCCAGTCTTCCCGTCAATGGTTTACAGGGCGCCTATGGCTAAATTCAGAGCTACATGAACAGCGTCCTTGTGTTGCCTGTTTAACAAAAAGGGCTCAAAAAATTATATCATCGTAACAAGTCAACGATATCAAAGATGCCACAGGCTCTAACTCTGTAGGATTGCTGGAACCGGAACTTGGTCACAGTGACGGCCCCTGAGACAATCCATATGAAGCATTGTTTTGATGATGTGATAGTCTAGCGTTAAAAGGGAGAGACGGATCCGACGAATTTTTATTTTTGGATCCAAAAGCAGATGTACGCGATCATTCTGCTGCTCTTATGTGCAATCGACAAGACATAGTCTTCAATCGGGTTCTGACTTCAAGATTGCTGTTTGTGCGCGCTGCAATCAAAATCCCATGATTCCTTACGTTGGGCGGATTCTGGCTTACGTTTTTTGGATCTGGATCTAGACACCAATGGGATTGCTCTGACGTGCTCAAGGTTGCAAATCACAGCGTATGGCAAAGGCATTGATGGCACAAAAGCTGAACACATGATCAATACATCGAAGGCGTCGTAACGCTTGTGAAACGAGTGCTATCCGCTGCAAGGATAAGTTGTAACAACGTAAATTTCTAGATTACGAAAGGAGCGGCATATGTTTAAAAGCCCACAATGCCAAAAGCTTCTCCAACTACTTTACTGCAAATTACGAGCACGGCAAAGCCGCAGGCCGCGAGAGTTGTACAAGTGACTGCTCGTCTACAGGTCGTTGTTCGTAGGCTTGGAAAAACGAAAGTGTTTCTGGTAAAGCGCCGATACGGGAGTTCAACGGGAAGGTAGCCCCATATTTGGCAGACGAGTCGTGCCACTTTTCTTTTTTTCATATTCTTTGATATTCATTGCATTGATGAAATTGTAGTTTTTGCGGAGCCTGTTTGACATAGTCTGGACGCCCGAAAGATTTTTTTTTTTGGACTTCTCGTCTCCTGATCTTGCGAAATATTAAACCCAGTTGACTTTCATGCCTGAAAAGCCGTCAGTAATGACCATTTCAAGTCGAATTTGTATTCTTACTTTGCGGAGTAGGCCAAATCTGGTCCCAGTTCTCTGTCAGGAAGCCGTGGTATCCTTCAACGGCCACCGAACCAGCTCCATTTCCCCCAACGTTAAGCAATCTTGGTACCTTATGAACCTTACCCTGCGGCCCCTTGGCTGGACGCAAGCCATCCAAGCTAAGGGCGACCTTGCACATTGCTGTCAAAGCTATCGAAGTTGTCTCGAATCCCAGGTTATCGTGAGGTCCCATCCCTAGATGCAAGTATTTCTCAATTGGCCTGGTTGGATCAAACTTCGTAGGCTCCGGGAATGCTGCGGGGTCGAGGCAAGCAGAACGAAGATTGAGAAGCACCTTATCTCCAGGTTTCACTTCGATCTTTCGATCTTTGCCGTCAGGAATGGTCATCGCAACAGCCGCAGTTCGATAGAGTGCAGTCTCGCAAGAAAGTCGTGCCGCTTCGAGAACATAGTGCATGAGCTGTTCGAAAGAACTGTCGTCGCCGGATTTAGCGAGATTGTAAACGTTCTTCTTAAAATCGTCGGGCTGATTGACAAAGTAATCAATCACGTTCGCAAAAAGGCTACCCTGAGCGGCAGTAACACCTGCGGCTGTGCTCAACACGTAGCCCCAAACCACCGTCTTGTTGTCAAGTTTACTAGAAAGCAGAGCCTTGATGGCCCTTTTCCCAGCCTCGCCAACATCTGAGTCTTTTCGATCGTTGAAGATAACATGCATGATCGATTTTAAGATACCAGGCGCGGTAAGCTCATCCACGTGTGCCTCAACGAGCCCGCCAAGAGTTTGTACAGCCTGGTATGATATCTGACGAATATCAAAGCTGTTGATAGAGTCTGAATCCTTGAGAAAAGACGTATATATGGCAAGCAAGGCAAGGTACATCTCATGTTCGGTGAAAATGCCCGCTGGCACTTCCTTGGTTTTCAACGGTAAAGAAAATAGCTCCGACACAAAATGAACAGGGATAAGGTTTCCAATGTCCCTAATTATGTCGACCTGATTCAGATCGGCCAATTTATATGCCTTTTCTCGGAGAGCCTTGAGCGTGGCGTTTTCAAAGTAGGCTCGAACTGTCTTCGCCCACTTGCCCTCCGAGTAGAGTGCCTTCGTCAGAATCTCGCGAGCCTCCATGTCGTTCGCAACAGTCTTGCTTGCAATGGACTGCTTGGCAGTTGGACTGATCAAATACTCCATTGCTCCGCCCCAGGTAGTCTTGAATGCACCAGAATTAGTAGCAATAGCCTTGACGGCTGTATAACTGAACGCGACCGTGGTGCTCGCCAACCGCTTTGGCTTTTCAAAATTGTAATGATCATAGCGGCCCAAATCCTTGAGCACCTTTGCCATTTCAGTGGGAACAGTCATGGGATAATGTGCGTAGACCGAATTCGGTCGGAAGTGGTGCGGGAATGCTGTTAAGAACAACTTGTAGAAGACACAGCCATTATCGATAGCAGTATCACTGGCTGCGGCAGAGTAGCCCCAGTTTGTGAGTTTTTTAGGGTGATAGTCGACAGTATAGAATCTGTCACCTCGAACCAGTGCAACTGCGTCTGAGAGAACTGCCCGGGACACTGTGTACGACGGACAAAGTCCGGCACCTGGGATAAGGGGCTCCTTCGGCTCTTCCGCGACGAGGCCTGGGTAGAGCTCAACCTGATCTGGATGATCGTAGAGGCGCTCGAGCTGTTTGGCGACATAGGGATCCGAATTGATGTCCGTGAATTTTTCATGAGGTTGCAAGCGGAAGTACTTTCTGAATTCGTTCAGAGAAGCAACACTCCAACTTCTTGCCTGCTCGATTCCCAGAATCTCTACTGCCCTCATGATTACTGGCACACGGTTTGCACCGTAGGAATTAGCACAATCGGCTATGCTGTCACTTATAACCTCAACTAGATCATCATCAGATATTGTGCCATCCGCATTGCGCTTGAATGGTCCCCAAGTACGCTCTCCTGGATCTTTTGCTTCTTCAGTGGCTTGCATTTTCCCTAGCTGTTCCAAGAATACTCGTAATGGCACTTTATTGGGATCTATGCCTTGGAATTTTTCTCTGATGAACTCGTTTGTCCACTTTTCATCACGTTCAGAAATCGCAGAGTGCCAGCGATAGACCAAATTAAATTCAGCAGATACTTGATTTCCAGCAGCGACTTCGACACCAGGGATGTCTGCCCGGGGGTTCAGGGCCCAATTGCTGTTAGTTTTGTTGAGATTCAAAATTGTACGAACGTAGTCGAGAAGAATGATGTTGATGTATAATCCGCACGTCACAAGTCTGCCGACCTGGAATAGCTTCTCGTCATACTGACGCCAGGCATCTGGGACGTTCTTCCACCACTCTTTTTGCTTGTAGTCAATCTTCGGAGGATCTCCAGATGGTCTATTGAATTGGCCACCTTCGTTGATGATAGCAAGCTGTTCCACAACGTGTTGGTGGAAACGGTTGAACATGACCAGAATAACCCCAACACCGGGCGGGAACGATAGAAGACGAACTTCAGAGAAGGCATCTGGCTTTAACTTGCCGTCTAGGCCCGTACGAATGCGCATTTGCTCTTCTAAATTACTTCCATATAGCGGAGAGAGATCCAAATAGGAAGATGTGTCTGAGATTGCAAAATCTTCGTGGTTGGTCCGGAAGAGATCGTGAATGATGATCGAAGCCAAGTAGAACAGAATGCTTGAAATACTGTTAGGATGTTTCTTGACATTCTCAGGCTTTCTGGCCATAATTGAATCAAATATAACTCCAGGATCGGGAAGTGCTCCAGGCTGCATGGTCTTTGGCGGGCATGTTCGTGCGTATGGCGTGCCCGCTTTACCGAGGTCTGGATGCTTGAGGCTATTAAAGGAGCCATCAGCAGAGCGATATTGATAGGTCTGTCCCAGATATGATATGGGTGGATGTTGCAGGTCGTTATAAAGCGTCGTAAGAAACCCATTCGTGACTTTATTTCCCTCTACGGAATTGTCTGGGAATGCAACCGCAGTTCGGATCAATTTCTCCATCAAATAATCCTTGTCGTTCCATAGCGCGCCAGATTTCTGCTTCGATTGCACTTCGAGGAGCGTAGTGATGTCTGTAATGCCCAGATGACGCAGGTCATTCAACGTACCCTCAACCTTTTTGATGATTTCAGGCGTGTCTGGAGTTAAGTGCAGATATGTTCCATCTCCAGTCTGATCCGGCAAAGGTCTCCTAGACGCGCTGATAAGGCTTGCCACTCTCTGGAACTCTTGCCCGATTTTTGCTCTAATCTTTTCGAGCTCAGACGGAGGGACCGTTTCTGACTGAGCTTTGATGCCTGTCATTTTATGGACTATAAGCACGATTAGATCCCAACTCAAGACATGAATCCCATCTCTAGATAGCGCAACGTAAGGATCGAGTAGCTTTGAAGGTAGAGAACTGCACTATGGTTATACCATACCGTTCTGAAATAAATCAAGAGTTCACCAGGTTCCTCGTTGGCCAAACTTTTACTTGAATTTTGGACGCCAGCTTCGACCGAGCAATAAGCGTAAGATTCTCGATAGCACTTAGAAAGGAAACTTGAGTAGAATCACCAGGCTGCAGCTTCTTCAGCTGGGGAAATATATACGTGCGCCTTGCTGCGTGGCCTTGCTGACCTCTTTTCAGCTCGTCCTGCGGCCTGGCCGAACCCTAGCACTTGGCGGGGTGTCAGACCGCGAGACTGCAGCTGGTCCCGCAACGAGCAATGTCCAGAGCTGTCCCGTCTGAACGGACCTGTGCAAAGAGGCCAATAAGCAATGCGCAGAGGAAAAGCTGAAAGTTCGGCACAAGGATGTCGAAAACTGAGCTGAACGGCTTCGGTGCGGGTGCTTCGGGGGCTAACTGCTGTCCCTGCAGTGACCTGGACCCGTCGCGTCACCTTTCCCTGACGAAGTGGATGGTCGGAATGGTGCAAATCTCCTATCACAGGCGTGTTAATGACCTTAGGACGATCGCTTATTCGCGCATCAGATGCAGAATCCCACCGTGGACGCGTGAGTCTGCATGGCGATGGGCCTGCTCGGCAAGGGTAGCTTCGAAATCGGCCTCCGGTGTGTCTTGGAAATGGGCTGAGCATCATGCTGTATGTCACTGTTTCGAAGCCATCCTTGTCTGAAATACGAAAATGGTGGATGGGGGTACAAGGAACATGTATTGCAGTGTATTTTCAGGCAATGAATCAATCGTGACCGCAAGCGGCCTCCCCGAAATCTGCGTCCTATATATAGCCGCAAGTTACTGTAGCTTCGACAGTCACAACACTTCTCTGGTCTTCATCTTATGCTAAATTCACCTTACGACGGACTAGGAAACTCGAAAGGATTGAAGTCTATGAGCAAAACTCTTTTGCTTCTATTCAATCTCATTAGGGCCTCAAATGGCGTTCCCAACTTGCAAAAAGCTCTCGTACCAAGGAGCGAGAGGGCAACTTTCTGTGGTATTTTACGCCCCTAGCCAGAGATAGCTCTAGATTTTAGCGTTTAATCAAAGACGTTGAACCTCGTGACTTAACCAGTCACTTTATTTATCCTTGCTCTGAGCCCTAAGATTCTTGCTATATAGGAAGACAGAGCGGAGGGAACAGACAACAAACACAGTTCGGATGGTTTCGGTATCTTTCGAAAATTTCTGCGAGTTTGAAACGGAGAGCTAGGCTGCAATGATCTAAAAATTGATTTGAATTGTTGTTTTGGCGTTATTAAGACATCATAAGCTGGACGTGAGCTTTGTTTTGCCGTATCCTAGATTTGCTTTACAAGCCGGAGAATTTATCTCTGGCCCGTATCCTTTCGCAACCGTGGGTTGAGCTATAGTGATGTTCGCTTCTTCCCTCTTGGGCCACATGATTTGAGGTTCTAATATTTTCGCTCCCGAACCTGGCTGGATCTGTGAAGCCAGTTCCCTATTGCTCAGCAAGCACTCCGGGCGGACAAAAGTTTCTTAAACGTTTTCGCCAGCGTGCAATACCGCTTAGAGTCTGAAGACGAATATTCGAAGCATGGAATAGTATTTTTGTCAATGTGACAGGTTGCAAGGCGGGATGAGGCATCTGCTCTTCTTTTTTTCTCTTCTTACAATTTAAGTTCGATTGCCATGATCCTTTGCATGAATCCATGAACCGGCAGTTCAACTAGAGTAAACTGCTGTTGCTGAAGAGGTTCGTCATTCGACGCTACAGCGGCTATATGTGCATCAAAACCATTGACAGACACAAGTCCTTTGTGCTGTACACTTGCTCGACGTTAAAAGATGCAGTCATAGCCTTACCATGGGGACCCAGCTAAAAGCAATGTTGGATTGCGCCTCGATTGATACTTTCAAAAACGTTGACGGAGGTAGAAGATAAACTGGGCGGGTTGACACAGAGTCAATGGATTAGTTCACCAGGCAAGAGATACTGGACGAGATGTTTTGCACCATAGATGGCATTGCCCAGTTCCACCTTTGACACTGTAGCTATGGATCTACAAGAATATGGGCGTACGTAGTCAAGTGACGTTTTCGACGCTGCAAACTGTTGAGGAGTTTCAAACGCGCTCCGAGGTAGGAGCCATTTTGGGAGTAGCCACACGTGCCTCATTTACCACTGATGGTAACTTGGCCTAACTTACGGGAAGTTTTGGCTCCCCCTGAAGTCCTGTTTCCATCCGTTCCCAAAATTCGAAATGGCGACCAAAGAATTGATCCTTACTGTGAAGCCTAGAGGTACGGCATATTCCTCCTCAAGTCTGCAATTGACTCTAACGTGCGCGCTGTAGGAAAACCAATCAAGCGTCTGCCTAAGGAGGCCTCCCTGCCGCCACTGCGCTCAACGTCTGATCTGTACTCGCAAATTGGGCAGAAAACGGGCTACTCGGTGCATCGCCTACGGATCACAAAGGAGGATGGCACTCTTGTACCATACTCAGATGATACCACGTTGTCCGGTGTTGGGCTGACCGATTCTTCAACCATCATCGTGAAGGATCTCGGCCCGCAGCTGTCATGGCGCCTTGTCTTCATCGTCGAATACCTGGGTCCGCTATTCATCCACCCGGCCATCTTCTATCTGCGACCGTACATTTACCCTGTCCCCTCCCTCACTCCGTCGGAGATACCGGAGCCGTCGCAGTTACAGCAGCTTTCAATGGCACTCTGTGTCGTACACTTTATCAAGAGAGAGCTTGAGACGATTTTTGTGCACCGCTTCTCTGCTGCCACCATGCCGCTATTCAACATCTTCAAGAATAGCGGGCATTACTGGCTGTTAGCTGGTGCGAATATCGCTTATTGGACATACTCGCCGAATTCTGTGGCTCAGCAGCACGCCAAGCTTGATCTCACGCAGGACCCTCTGACAGCCGTTGGCCTTGTTATGTTTACCGTCGGAGAGCTGTTCAATTTGTACACGCATATCGTACTGTCGAACCTGCGACCTAAAGGAACCACCACCCGTGGGATCCCCAAGGGCTTTAGCTTTGGTATCGTGACGTGCCCCAATTACATGTGGGAGGTGGTCTCTTGGACTGGCATCTGGATTGTAACAAGGAGCTGGAGCACCTTCTTCTTCCTGGTTGTTGCTGCTGCGCAAATGGCAGCATGGGCCATGAAGAAAGAAAGACGATACAGGAAAGAATTTGGCGACAAGTATAAGAAGAAGCGCTTCGTCATGCTTCCCGGTGTAGTTTAAATGCGAATGAATCCGGTTGGGCAGAAGCAGGGAACATTGCTTCCAGCAGTATCCATCTTTCTAGTACTATCACTTTTGAAGCTCAGGCCCCGACAAACATCGTAGACTAATTAATGACGCCTTTAATTCGTTTAAACGACGTGCGAAGCTGTTCCCTTCGTCGAAACCGGTTACCCTTAACAACCTAGACTGACCGCGTTCTGAAGTCTTCACATCTCACTCACAATCAAGCCAGAAGAGTTCATCAAACCAACAATAAACATGTTTGGCTGCATTCCCCTCACCTTTGGTCGCCATGAAAGTGGTAATGGCAGACTTCGAGACATTCTGTTCTCTCATTGCACTTTTAGATTTAATAAGGCCAAAAAGCCTGAAGCAAAGACCCCCGAGCTGGAGCTGGAGTGTACTGACCTGCCCGTAACCATCATACCATCCGATATGATCCACAAGTCGAACCCAGACAGGATCGGAATATCGGACTTCCCAGGCGAGATTAGGAATCAAATATATCTCTATCTCAGCGAACCTCAAGACACGGAAGCGCTTCTCAAAGTAATTGGCGAAGAGCACATGTTAAATCCAGCTGCCAACATGCTTCTCTCGTGCCGTAAAGTCTACCACGAGTTTCGGCTTCTTGCAAGGCCTAATGTGCGCCTCAGACCAGCGTCAGACAACTTGAACGAATGTCAACGGCTCGACGTGAACTAAGTTCTTTGTGCTAACATTTTCTGTCATTTAGTATCTCTCCTCGTACAGCTTGCTCGAAAATCCACACACGTTAGCTATGAAAAACTGCCCTCTGCCGCTCTCCACCATCCGCACGCTGATCATTCAAGAACATTGGCAGGTCGTCAAGACGTTCTGGTCAAACAGCAATGCGTCCGTCTTGACCACGAATATCGATCTCTGCAACGTCGAGAACATCATCATCCAACTTTGTCTGTGTGGCGCTCGTAGCGACATTGCCATAGCATGGAAGGTGGCACACGCCATGATGTCCATTCTCGACAGTTCGACCTATCAGAGCCTCCAGAAGGTCACGCTGTATATCTGCGGCTGCAGACTATCTCGATACAGCCTCTCTGCAGCTTATAGATCTCAGCTGCTTAAACTTATAGTGAACATTTTCAATCAGGCAAGTCCACGCATCTTCCATGGTACCCTTCAATATGCACTCCCTACCCCTTTCTCGCAATTTCTGGCCACCGGAATCCAGGACTATAAAGGTGCGGTAACACTTCCCAATACTCCGAAAGCGACGTTAGAGAGGTCCAGCAGCGACTCCTTGAGGTCCATCACTCTTGATCTGCTCGACTCCATGCAAGCTTGTGGTACCGGATGCGTTTTCGACACTTCAAGCACCTACCAGCACCCGATGTATGATGCCTCCCGGACGATAAAGGATTGAGCCGTTGGGAGAAATATCTCTGGTGTTCACGAAGAGATGCAAACCTGGATCCAGATGTGGTGACGTATCAAACGTTGGAACAGGCGGGTGTAATTTCAGCCAACCTGCTTGGGACAAAATGGCAGGGGTAGAATTTATCGGTTATAGTTATTGGCAGTATTTGCGGCGTTTTTTTCACTTGACCCAATAAAAATTCCAAAGGTAGCATTACTTTACTTTACATTGAGAGCCCGTACACCGCGCTGGTTGCACCGCAAGGATTACATTGACCCTCATGTTTCTCACTCACAAGTTTTCACTTCATACGTCACCGTCTTGTTGCCTTGTCCCGCAATCTTCGGCATAAAGTCGATGTACACAAGTTCAGTCTTTTCTGGAGTCCACTCTCCATTCGTATCGCGGTAGAACACCATTTCGCCAGATCCGGCATCACGCACTTCCGCAGTCGTATGGGACAGAGCACCCTCAGTCGACCATTCGATGTTGTAACAAGTTGATTTCTTTGCTAGGAAAGGTTTGCTGCAGCGTTGGTTGCCGTCGCTATCAATGCATTTCTGGACAGCATAATCGAGGCACGAGCCCTTGGTAACAGAGTCAACTATGCAAGTAGTTAGTGACACAGAGGTCATCATTGTCTTTGTATCTGCTTCGGGAGGACTTACATGTAGTCACAGAACTCAAGAGGCCGAGACCTGCAGTGAGCGCGTATTGAGCTGATGGGAGATACATGATGTATTACGAGATTAGATCTGTTTTACACAACAAGCGGTTGATTCAAATTGAAGACGTTTGGGTCAGAAAATCACGACGTTACGAGGAAGGAAGGGAAAATGTAGCCTGCAGGTACCATCTACGATGAGGGAAGAGTGACGTACATACTCGGGGGCAAACTGTAGGTACATTACGTAATACGGCCGAAGTCAAAACGCTTCAAACATCGCAACCAGCTTGAGACTGGATGCTATAAGACTGTGACCCAGACCGGACGATACTTGCATTGGTCAGTATCTCATATATGGACTTCATTTCAGCATGCAACACAGTTTGAACATCGACGGTGGGGAGTAAGGAAGATGTGATTCCGCCGTAGCATAGAGCCGTCTATGCATCTGTAGCAAAATACTTCCAGATCAACTAAGCAGTCCGTCCCCTAATAAATTGTCTGGAAGCAACGAAGAGCTAAGCGTTATGTTAGTGGCACAGTAGAAGTAGGATGGTGCAGAGTCGCGATTAAGGTTATGATTTTCGATTGGACAGGTAATGTAACACAAAACGGGAAGCGCTTGGCAAAAAGTCCATTGTTTGAGAGCACCCCAACACCGACGACATTATCGAAAGACAATACAAAAGTCAATGAGAATGACGTAAGTCATTCATTCCCTGTAGACGCAGCTCGTCAGCCGTATAGTGTTCGATCATGCACTAAGAACAGTTATTCTCTGAAGGCTGCAGCGTGCTGAGAAGCGGAGGGAGGAGGGAGGAGATTTTATGAACTAGCTTGATGGTAAATGGCAAGGCGGGCAAGAGACGAGAAACAAAAGAAAAGCTACTTACAATAAGCTGAGGGTGAGGTCTCCACGAAGCGATGCCTTGAGTTCAATCTCAACGTCTAGATTCGCCTCGAGCTTGAGTTTCAGTCCGTCCGTGTCGTCAAGCTTGCTCTTGTATTTCTCCGTTGGCATGCGATATGGTTGATTCGGGTCCGTTCCTCGCATAGGGATTTCTCCTCTCATAGCTCTCGCCCTCGTCACCGGCCCGTCCATGCTCGTGCTGTCTGGTCCAATACGTTCGAACATGCCCATTTGCTGGAGCTCACCATTGGCGTCGGCCTCCTCAAGTGCTTCCAGCGACGCGGTCTTCATGTATTTGCCGCTCTCAATGGCTTCTTGGATTCTTTTACGGCGAGCTCGTCGGGAAGCACTTCGTGATCGGTTGGATTGCAGACCAGCTTCTCGCTTTGCTAGCTTCAGCGCATTTTCGTACTTTTGCTGCTGCATCGTGGTCCGGAATGAGAGCTTCTCATCTTGCTTGCCCTGCTGGACTTGTTTCCTGGCCATCTGCAACTCTGGCGTCCCTTCAAGCTCCGAGTCTGAATAATCGGCGTCGTCCGCCTGAGCATTCTGGTTCTTCTTTTCGGCCATCTTATGGATACTGTCGATGTCTTCAACAGCGAAAGGATATCAGATCGTAGTTGCTGAAGGACTGGAGGGAAAATTGTTGAGAACAGTGTAACAGCTGGTTACGATGAAAAGCGAAAAGAGGTATCAACGACTGAAGCAATGAAGTCACTGCAGACATGACACTCCTATCTCAGCCTGAACATGGTCCTCTTCGAAAACTTGGGAGCTTCGTCGTGTTATCCCTGTCACCACTGATGCAATCCAGCATTCAAAAGCTGGAAGAAACCCTGTCCCCCCGGCACGCATGCCTGTAGAACTAACGTCGCGGAATCTTCAGTTCTCGAATGACCGGGCCCTGGGTTCGAACCTGCCAACATACTACCACTTATTGCGTCATACGCTCATGCAGAGACGCATCAGCCTTCCCACAGTGGGTGCTGCTGAACGCTGTTCCTCTTTGCACGCGTTGCCAAGCAGAGGCTGAGAGGCTGGCAGGTCCCGCTTAAAACGCCAGTTTGGGTGATGATGCGCGCGCACTACGGAAATGACAGCGGGGGGCTGCCCACCCTATACTAAAATTGGCTGATGACATCGTGGGGCATGCAGGTGGCTAAAGACGTAGCACTTTTGGACACGCGGAGATGTCACGTAGAATGAGAAATTACGGCCAGAGTCAGGCAATCTCTATGCAATGATTTCCAAGCCACAGAAGTGAAAAAAAAGATTCTTGCATTTGTGGAACTATGGATACATTTGGATATCCTCGACTCCGTTGGGCACCTTCAAAAATTGACGCAACTAAACAAGAGCTTCCAAAGGGACCGAATGCTATGTGTCTAATTACTGGTTGAGTGTTAGCAGGAGTCTACTCCGGATGAAGATGGCGCGCAAACATACAGTAGACCGAGGGTAAGATCACCGTGGATCTTTGCTTTCAATTGGACTTCAATGTCAAGATTGAGCTCCAAACGTAGCCGCAGCTGTTCGCCTTTGCCGTCTTCTTCGTCTCCACCACCGCTCAGACCTTTGGTCAGCCCACCGACTGTGTTTCCGACCTGGCCAACGGTGTTGCCAACGGTATTTTGAACCATGTCGGTTGCTCCATTGACAAGTTCTCCGCCTGGCAGTCCCTCGGCTATACCGCCGAGCTGGCCGCCCTGCTTTTCTTGCGTCTTCTGCTTGCGTTGGCGGTTACGTCGTCCGCCGCCTGCAGCTGAGACATCGGATCGCGCAATTGATTCGGTATCACTATCGGCTGCCCCTCTACGTCCACGACCTCGAGATTGTCGTCGCTTGGAGACGGCACGCTCTGGCTCTGGCTCTGGGTCTTCGGCTCCTACTCCATCAGCTTCCTCTTCTGCTTCACCGTCGGGTTGAGGTGATGGCTCTGGAGTAGGTTCTTGCTGTGGCTGCTTCTTCCCCAACTTTTTTGGCGTGCGCTTCTCAGTTTTCTTGCCTGAAGCTTGGCCAGAGATAGAACCAGATCCAGTAGCAGTAGCGTCCAGATTGGCCTCACCTGAGCCGGCGGCGGTGCCTTTCACTTCCTCAGCATTTTCGGATGACATGTTGTGCTCTTATGCGCTTATTGAGTTTAGAAAAAAAAAGTAGAACGAGCTCTGTAGAATTCCGCTGGAGTTTTCTGGAAAGGAAAAAATGTAGATACCGTGGAGTGTAAGAAGCTCAAGGTCTTTCAAATGAAGTCAGGCTGAAAAAGAAGACATGATGCAGACTGACGCAACTTCTTCAATCACCGCAATATTGATAACGAGTGCCAGCTTCAAACCGGTTGTCATCCATGTGAGCACAACCCTGCAAGCAATGATGAAAGAGTGTCTTGATAATCCCTACTGAGAAGCGGCAGGGAGTGGGGACTGGGGCCAATGCAGAGCTGCGTGGCTTTTCGTTCCGCGTAGATCGGTCGATGGTACCTCAGCTTTTGCATGCAACAGTAAGCGAAAAGTTGGCGGCAACGTTGTCTGCGACTTACATCTACCTGGACGCATTGAGTCGAAGGGTCACATTGTATGGGGACCACTGCAGCCGCGTGCGAGTAAGCCGCATTTCTTATGACGTGGGATGCAAAACGTAGTAGTGATTCGGCTTCCCGCTTCAACCGTCATCGCGTGGCTGATACCGACCTCGCACAACGCAGAAGCGTTTCACTATTCATGGGGACAGAGCTTTGAGTCTGTAGCAACATTTTGCAATGAATGTTCTCGAGTTTGTCGTGAACATGTGCGAACAGAGCGAACCTCATTCGCGAGGTTTGGTCGAGCACGTGCTAGATCTAAAAAGGAAAAGACGGATTTAGCCGCGGATGATTTTCAGACTGCATCTTCGGCAACTTCGTTGAAATGTCTCGATTACACGAAATCTCGCAGCCAGCAGACTGTCTAACACGGAGGAGATGGCAGCTCCAACAGAAGCACAAGTGAAACAAAGAATCGTCGGGCATATGAACAAGGACCATCAAGATTCGGTAAGATCACCCGTTCTTTGCCGCGTAAGTTCAGATCCTAACCGCCGTCAGGTAATCCGCTATGCAGAGTATTACGGGAAAGCATCGCGATTTACGTCTCGCAATGCTGTTCTACAAGATGTCGCGTTGGATAAGCTTACCATTGTTACGGGCGGGAAGACCATCATCATTCCCCTTGATCCACCTATGCAGGGTCTAAAAGACGCCCGCGAACGACTTGTCGAAATGGATAAGCAAGCGCTCGCTGGCCTAAATCGAAGTCCAATCACTCTAAAGGAGTATAAGTTCCCGAAGGGGTTTCCCGTGCTCGTATTTGTCGCATGCCTGGGCACATACCTGTTGTATTCGAGGGAGCGGAATATGTTGCCTGGCTCATGGCTCCATGACATGGTGCTGAAACATATACCGAGCTTCACGTCGTTTGCCTTGAAGATGCGAAACTACATCATTTGGCCAATGCTGGTTATTCATATTACGGAGGCTTCCATCATGATGAACACTTTAAAGAAATATTCAGTCCCATTGTTCAGCCGAATTTGGTGGCTGTGGACTGTGTCCTGTTTTATAGAGGGCTACGACTCTTTCAGAAGGTATGTATAAATCTTTGGAAATGGCTCTGTCTGTTGGACTAATTGGATATAGGATTCGAGCTTACGAGAAGGAGAAGCTTGGGAAATCAGTGCAGCACTAGGATCTCGAGTTGCTCTTTATGGGGCCCTAAAGCATTTTTTATGAATAAAAATATAGAGCATTTTCCAGAGGAGTGCCAGTCCACGATCCTTGGCTCACCTACTGCTTACTGGAGGTTACTGGTGCACAGCACAAAGCCATCGAACTGAGAACTGTAAAGTCTTACCAACTCTGGTTATAGTGCCTCTGCAGTCTCATAACATAAACCAAGCTTACCACATTCGAGATTGGAAATGTGAAAAATCGCAATATTGTCGCAAACGCAGGAGCCTCAGCGGGTCTTTCCGAGTGCCTCTCTTAATCTCAATCTCAATCCGAATAATTGCCGTCACTATCCTCTAAAGCCTCACTAGCTTCAAGCATTTTGATAAGCTCCGTTCGAGTGGCTACAGTATCCAATCCCTGTCTTTCGTCGCCAAAATAGCTGTATTCTTCGTCTACTCTGCCTGTCAATTCAAGAACCATGGCTGTCCGTCCTGGAGACTCGAAACCGATTGTGCGTGTTGACGCGCAGTAAAGGACTTTGATAGCAGTAGGAGGCCCTTTGTGGCTCCATATACCCTCAAACCCTTGAGTATCTTGGAAATTGTCGACGACCTGTGAAAAAAGAGCATATATCGCGAGCATATCAATGTCATCTCGCGTCTCGAGAAATTCGATGCCGTCAAGGATTATGAAGATCTCAGAGAATGCATTTCGTATCTGGGTTATAAGCCTCCGAAAAGCTCTCTTATAAGCCTCTGAAGACTTTCTTTTCATTCCATTTAAAGTTGTTTTGTCTAGGCATGACAGGACGAGGCGTTGCATGTCTGACGACAGCCGTTCAATCTTGCTCCTAGCAAGCATTTGTCTTATCATAAATCCGAATATGGCGACGTCTGGATTGTATTCGTCTTCATCCCAATTTACGAGTCCACAAAAGACAGGAAGCACAAGAACAGACTCTTCCTGACTCATTCGCTCCGCAAACATTGCACAAACATACGTAAGTGGAGAGTATCGTTCCATCGTAGGTTGCCCTCCCTTCAACAGTATTGTGCTTGATTTAGTGGACCTTATCCACTCTCCAAAAGTCGAGCTTGCTAGGAACCACTGCGCCTGGGCTAGGAATCGACTGCATTGTGCTGTCCCTTGGCGAATAATCTTTTCGAATGCTCCAGGATGAATCATGTTAACTTTAAGACTTATTGTTTCATATAGCTGGTCCAGGGAATAGCCTTCGGTTGCGGATAATAGTGTCGTCGAGTATCTCTCGGGTAGATTTGGTTGTGTGGACAAATTTACGAATTCTCTCAAGCTGGACATGTTCGTGCAAATTGACTTAAAACACTCGTAAATGATTTCGTTGAACTGCTGAGTATCTATTGGGACATTTAGCATAAGTCACTCATAGAAAATCGTCGAGATACTCACATTTGCGTTGTTCCATGCATGTTTGCAAGAGTTCATCCATGCGCTGAGCTAAGTTGACAGCGGCCTCTTCACCGTTCTTAAGGCCTTGCTTCACCGAGCGATGCAAACACTGCTGTGTCACAGCCTCCAAATGCGCAGTTGCTTTCCGGAGGTCATTTATGCCATCGACGATGCTCTTGCCAAATTGTGAACCATGGAAAGCTGCCTGTCCGAATCGTTCTATCTTTGATCAATATCTGTAATTTACTTGCAAATCGTATTCGGTACGCTCTTACTCCACTTCTTCTCCCGGTACCATCTCACAACCTCCTTAAGGACAGATAAGATCCTCAGAAAAACCATCGTCACCGCTCCATTCACGTTCTTACCGTAAATGTCGATGTAATTTTGAGCATGGCTTGCGATATCTGGTAGTTCCGCAATGAGATCGAGAATAAGTTCTCGGATTTTTGTGTGGCTCTTCATTACCTGTTATCGATTAGAAACCACTGAGCACAATGGTTGATGGTTGACTAACTTCCACAACTAATTTAAGGCCTCCGCATAGTGTTTTGTATGCTCCGTCAGGGAGTAGTTCGAGCCAGGGCTGCACACGCTCGGCTTTGCCACTAATTTTTCGAAAGCAGTCCCTCATATGTGCCGTCATGGTATCTTTACTATAGTACTCGTCCTGTACTTTCTTCACTGTATCAATCACTGCCTGAAAATTTGCGTCCGCTACAATGAACTCCTTTTTTTCGCTTTGACTGAGATTATGAACCTCTTCAAGCCAATCCTTAGTATCGTCTTCAATCTGCTTCCAAAGTTGAACCTCTTCATTGCTTTTGAAGAATTCCTCAAGTTCTGGACTGTTCACTGCTCTTGAATCATGCACATAAGAGTCTCGTCTGCGATCATACCTGACTGCAAGCTTCTTTTCGGGGATGATCCTCTTCTCCATAAAATCTACCGTCAAGCGTTGCTTCAAAACATTTGGAATGAAATTTGACATTTTTGCTTTGGCACGACCCCGTTTTTCCAGTGATGTGTATTCAGATATGCGGATCAACAGTTCGGCAAAAAGTCAATATCTGACCCCATAAATTACAAGATATAGATTTCCGAGTTTCTCGAGAAGCTGCTAGTTCAATTAGAATTAAGTGAACTGAATGCACATCAAAAGTAGGGAACTGCATAATTCCAGAACTGTCAGTAGGCTGAGACTTGATTATGACTTTGTCCAGGGGTCACATGCGAATTCTAAATGCAAGTGTTCCCATTTGGTATATGGTTTGGAGCCAGCCGCTACATTTACCTTCTCGTGTTCCATGTTCATACTAGACAAGTAGCATTTTCCACCTCCTTGATGGCTCCCAAGGGTCACTATCAGTCGCTTAATATGCATGCGTGAACTCCCTTGAACGCGGTCACATTGAAGGCCCTATTGGGCGAAGTCGAGTTGTAGTACCGCCGGAATTGGTCATGAAGCAGGCTTACCTGGGGCGGAGATCCTGGCCACATACTTAGTCCGGCGATGCCTATGTTTGCCCGGGGCGCTGCAACTTTTGTTGTGGTTGCAATGTGAGCTCGCTTGCGTTTATTTCTGTCGAAGGATGGGACATAGAGTCGAAGGATATTCGTAATTGGAGTAATCTATCTTATCTCTGGTGCCGAAATAGTTCACATGATGCGGAGCACCCCTGAAAGTTGGCGTTCTGGTGATAGAGCGCGATCAGGCTAGGATTCGTCACAGAACTACGCTCAAATTTGGGCCCTTGATTGAATATAAAATTGCCCTCGCTTTTAGAATTCGACTTGCATACACTATTCCAATTGCTCGATCAGACTGGCAAGCTACAAAAGCCTAATATTTACAACAAGCAGTATCAGATTTTTACAGAGGCTAACAGCGAGTTAAGAGCATCGAAACTTCACCACGAGGCTCTGAGCTTATTAGTATGGCTGAAGATAATCTAAAAAACCTTGCGTTTGGATATGGAGACACCAATGCGAGGAGAAATGACGCTAGCGAAGAAGAGGAAGAGAAAGGTGAAGAAAAACTGAACAGTGTTCAATCTTCAGGAGCAAGATTTAATGGAGTTTCAAATCACGCGCTGGATAAAGGTATGTTAAAAAAGAGCGCTCAATTCTGGCTAGGAATACTAATAATAATAAAGAAAAAAACAGCGAGTCTGTACTGGACCCACTATTCCCAAATGATGCTGTTTTACAGCCTAAGAAAAACAATATCAAGTCAGAAAAAACGACGTCAGATTGGGATAACGATGACCTAACAGTAAAAGAAAAGAGGGGGAAGACGCAAAAGCGAGTCTTGAACACCCGGAAAAACCTTAGAGCGTTCAAAAAGTGCATCGAGCTATTAGAGGAACGAATCGCCGTAATGGAGGCGCGATGGTCTAACATGGACAAAAAACAAGCCGACCAAGAAAGTGATGAGATTGAAAGTGAAGAAAATTCAAGTAAAAGTGGTGATGCTGACGATAGATCCGATACAAATGCTCAGGGGAATAATAGCGCGTCTGGTACCAAATGCACATTCAAATGTGCACAAGCACGAGCAGAAGTTTTGCCACATCTGTGGAATACCTATATTGCATTAAAAGAGAGTGACTCAGAAGATACAAAGGCGGCAATTGACATCCTACTTAGTGCTCGTCAATCTAAAAAAGGCAGAACACGCCCGAGCTTAAGGAAATCTCAACGCACGCAGCAATCTCAAGTTGAATTAGTGAAAGGGGCCGTTCCCCTCAAAAGTGTGGTGGATAATACGAAAGGATGCCGGATGCCTAATCAAATTCGCATTAATTCGAAGGCTTTGGCAGCCGTGCTTCGGGCCATCATCGACCCGGATGGTGATAATTTGGAGGCTTATGGACCATTAATCATCCGTGCGCCGTACAAACCACTAATCCACTACGGACCAGACATTCGAAAACTTCTAGACGCGCTCAGAGTTGCAGAAGAACAATCTTCCGAGCATAATGGAGGTCCTGAAGGTGCTTTTGCTCACAGCACCGGTATTAGTCATGTATTCTCGGACGATGAAATCGCATGTACAACGCCAAGACTAGTAGAAGATGGAGAAGATCATTCTGGACACACGCAAGGGAATTCACGAGCAGATCTTCCAAGCTCCCAGAAAAGCGTTTATACAGAGGAAAACTTGAACAAGCCTATGGCCGAAGAATTGGCCAAAAAGACGAAGGAAGTCACCGCCGTTCACGAAAGCCCTTACCATCAAGTTCTTCGTAACATGGGATTCCCGCTTTCGAGCTTGGAATGTCCCAGCTGCACCGGGTCCGTACTGCCACATCTCCAATGCCTGGTTGAATTCATGGACATCTGGTTGGAGCCTATTGTGCAAAGATTGCGTAATCGCACTATAAAAAAGGTACGATTCGTTGATCTCTGGCATCTATATCAACCAGGTGATCTCGTGGTTGAGCGACGCCCAAAAGCAAAGACTTTTGCGGAGATGAGTCACCGTCTTTGCATGAAGGTACTTCGCACAACAGGCGGAAATTGGAGTAAATCGGGGCGAGCAGAATTTCCTGATGCCGACATTCAGGATGATGATGATGATGATGATGATGCAATTGAACACAACGATAGGAGTACTTTTTACATTGAGGCGTATTACGTCGACTACGATGGTAGTAAATTTGTACCTGCGACGAGGCTATTTCAAATCAACCCTTTCCACGGCGAACGCCCTATTCTTGATCTCGAGCTCACTCCTGCGGATCCTCATGAAAACAATGATTCGAATATCAGGAATATGACAGAGCGGGGCGCTTTATTTGCTTCCTACGTACCAAAAACTAAGCACATGCTCTGTAAAGGCTTTGATCTAGAAACGCAAGATGAGATTGATGGCCCCGTCATGGTGGATATATCGGAGTACTACCGGTACGCTGCATCTGAGAAGATCTTTCCACCAAATTTTGTTCGACCTGAAAGATACTTGTGTCCAGCCGCCGAAATTGACGATATCGACATGTGCCCATGCGGTGCTATTCAGTGCGAGATGGAGCATCGAAGCGCGTACAGAAGTATATACGACGAACCTCATTTGATTAGTGGCAAAGCTCTGGCCGACCAGTTTTTGGATGATCTCAGGATGGAAGAGTATATGAAAACTCAAACTCTATTTAAATCCAGGCCCAGTCAAGATAACGAGCAGGACGCACTACATCCGTCTGAGTATGTTATTTGCCACTATCGAGCTTTCGTGTACGTGCTTAGGTCGCGCAAGTGGGGTGAGTCCAAATTTCACCAGATTGACTTATCATTGCTAAATTCTTGCAGCTCAAGTGTATGTTGGTGACCTGAATGAGACAAAAGAGGCAGTGACTGGGTCACCTTTCGAAAAACTGGTGCTTCCAGATAACCATAGGCATCTTATTCTGTCTCAAGTCGAGCAGCATTTCCGTCAACGCAGTTTCTCGGGAAAACACCGTCAAGACGACCTGGATTTCGTTCAAGGAAAGGGCAAAGGTCTCATTATTTTGCTCCACGGTTGGTAATATCCAATACTTTTCTGTCAAGTGCTGAAAGCATGTAGGGCCTCCCGGAGTCGGAAAGACCTCGACTGCAGAGACCATTGCCCATTCCTTCAATCGACCACTTCTACCTATCACATGCGGAGATCTTGGTAGTAAAGCTTCTGAAGTCGAAAAGAACTTACAACTTCATTTTAAGCTAGCTGGTCAATGGGGGTGTGTGATGCTACTCGATGAAGCAGACGTGTTTCTCTCGCAGCGTGACCGTGATGACTATCAACGCAACAGCATCGTATCTGTATTCCTCCGCATGCTCGAGTACTATACCGGTCTCCTCTTCCTAACATCTAATCGCGTTGGCACATTTGACGAGGCTTTCAAGTCTCGTATCCATATTATACTTTACTGTGAGTTGTTAAACTTGGTAAACCTTTTGCGGCGTTGTGTTAAACCATCGCAGACGAGCCATTCGATAAAGAAACTACGCTTAAAGTATGGAAGAGTTTCATCGCACATGCAGTATCGCAGATGAAACTCCGGGAAGATATCAAATTCCGAATTGATAAAAACGAAATCCTTGAATTTGCACTTCAGCACTTTAGGAAGGATAAAAATGCGCGCTGGAACGGGCGACAGATTCGAAATGCATTCCAGAGCGCGTTAGCCATGGCCGAATATGACGCGCTCCATCCAGATTCGTCCTCCTCCACTGACACAGAGTCATCTCATGAAGAGACGCATGAGAACCGGGATAAAGCAAAGATACAACAAAAAATATTGGAGGTCAGACTTGGGAGGAAGCAGTTCGAGGTCATCGCCCAGACGATGGCGAGTTTCGACAAGTACGTGCGGGAAACGATAGGCATGACATTCGAGCAGAAAGCTTTCGTGGAAAAACTGCGCAGTGACCCAGATATCTTAATGCGAATAAGGGACTCAGACTATCTCAACCCTTTAGCTCGGATGGATAGGCTGAACAGGTCAATGAAAAGTGAGATTGAACGTCGCCATAATGATGGAAAAAAGGGAGCGGCGACGGATAGTGAAGAGGAGCCAGTATGCCGTAAAAGCAAGAATCGAAAAGTGAAAGAAAGCTCTGATTTAGAAGATGATGGTATATTGGCAACGAACAGCGGAAAAAGAAGACCGAAAAAGCAAAAGGAGGAGCACAGTGGGGATAGTTCTATGGACAGCGAAGATGAAAAGAAACAGTCGACAAAGAGCATGTCAAAGAAAACCAAATGTAAGTTTCAGTGTTCAGACCGTCGAAAAGCGGCCATCAAAGTACTAACATTTCGACCTTAGCCTCGAAACCCTAGCCTCCCTTGAGAAGGATGACTACAACAAAAGTGCACAGAGCTAGCTTAAGTTCAACGTGATCAGCTGACCTCTAAGCAATCTGCCATAGTAATCCTACACAATTTACTATAATATTCTCTGAGGAATGTTGAGAGCAAGCACGCTATGAAATTGTGGATAGCAAGCTCACATAGCTGGTGCATGTTGATCGGCGTGCGTAGAATATCTAGTATGAAGGCTGGGTTCACATAGTAGTAACCCTCCCGCACCTGGTGCATATGTCGTTATCCTCATAATCTTCCTTACCATACTTAACCGAACTAAATATTGCCACTGCGAGGACCCAAAAGAATATTCACAGTTCAAAGATAATTTGGACTGTTGTATAGGACAAGGAATACAAATATTGTGCTTTTGTTCAGCCATAATTCAGGATCATTTGCAAATAAGCTTTAACTTTAACACTTTCAGCTTGCTCGTTAACCCGTAAGTGAGATTCAAGAGCCAGACGCCAGGCGCGAGAGCAAATGTCCAGGGGATTCGTTACATGAATTGGAATCGAGATATGAACGTATTGAGGGGCAAATTCGTATGCGAAGAAGCGTACAGGTCGGTTCCATTCGGAAGGGAACAAGCGTAGCTGTCGCGAGAAGGAATTGGAAAAGAAACCTGTTCAACAACGGAAAAGAGAAACCGCACGTCTCGTAAATGCTACAACGCTGCGTAAGAACCGGTGAGACGCCGTGCCGGAAATAAAATCTCTGCTCTATCGACTTTATCAAGCGTGATCCACAATCCGCTAGCCACGATCATTAACCCTCACGCAATTCTCGAGAAGGATTACAAAAATCACGTCTCTTCTTTTAAGTTCCTCCTAATCAGACATATGCAAGGATATCTCAGATTTTTCGCCTCGGGTGGATGTGCAAAAATTTCGACAACGCATCAGTCATGATTTAGCATCCGTGTCATTACGGACTATTTTGTATGGTACGTTATGCCGAAAGCAATGTGAAGGATGATAAAAGTGGATCGCAAGGCTTTAGTACTAGATCGCTCGTAAAGGCTTGGCGGTTCTCTTCTTTAATCCAGCAGAAGCCAACTTCCACGCCAGACAAGCGGAAGGAATAAGAAGCCTGGAGGGGGAAGCTTGATCAGAGCTTTAGAAAAATTATGAGTATCCGCTTCTACTACTCGTACACAAACAGTCAACGAAGAGAAGACGAAAAGCTACTCGCAGTGGATACACGCCTTGTATTACAAAAAAGCCAACTACTAGACAGCATTGTACGAGGCAACAGCAGGCGACTTGACATAATAAACCTCCTCAGAGCCCCCTCTGCTTGGGAACGGACCTTCGAGCCAAGCTTCCTGATACCCCCTCTTCGGCGACGTTGGCGAGTTCACGTCAGCCGCGGTTGTCTTTTCGCGATGCACGTCGACGTTTGTCTGAACCTCGATGTCTCGAGAGAACGATCTTTTCCTGAAGAGGTCACGACTGCTGCTTTGGGGAGTGAGTTGGATTCTATGCGACAACCTTGTTCCACCGGTCTTGCTACCTCCAAAGGTGCGAGAGATGGATCCGCCGGTCCAGGCGTTGAGCTTGTCGAGGAAGAGGCTGAACAACGGGCGAAGTGTAGCTAAGTTGCCGGCTGTAACAGCAAGGCCTTGTTCGAGTTCGGACCAAATGACGATATCCGAGGTGTTCCCTATCGAGGTAAGCCAAAGAATATGTTGTGTGAGCCTGGAAAAACTCACAGAGAAAGTCTCCCTTCGCAAATTTTGGTAGATATGCCAAGCGGATGGCGCATGCAATGGAAGCAAGTGTAGCCAAGGCGAAGATAGGGACCAGCATCAGCTTCGACTTCCTATCCATTTGTAGACCCATGACAATGTGGATTGGAAGAAACGCAAATGTGAAGTCTGTCAGGATAGAGACAGCGCTGTAAGCGTAGGTTATGTTCATGATTGCATGAATCGTGATACAGTGCCCTTTCACATCTGGGTATATTTGTTTCCACCAGTAGTTAACAGGATTACATTGAAGAATGGCGATGAAGAAGAACGCAACCCCAGTCAGAGCAGTGAGGAACATAGCGACGTACATGATCCAGTGATGCATCCGATTTGGAGTAATGCTGTGACGATGTCAATTGCGCCCTGGCTTGATAGGATGATATGCACTGACCGATTTAGGAATATGCCGATGGAGAATTTGGAAAGAATCATAGTAAGAGCATAGGACGGATAGCAAAGCCACCAGTTCTGTACTCCTATTAGCTTTGAAAAGTCCTCGTTGATCTGTACAAACCATCATGGCCATTTCGATATTGTGAGGCGTCAGATCTGACATGTGACGACCCGTTCCATAATGCAGTCCAATCAAGCAGGTCGTGATGTTCATGAGGAAAGTTACCTGATAGCGTGAGCCAAAATCATGACAGTCGTTCCGAAGGCTGCATACAGTAGCACCGAGCATCAACCAATCCTCGATTTTCCACGTTCGCGCCAGGTAATGACGAGCGTAGATACGCAAGATCATGGAAATCGCGCCCAGGATGCAGGCGAATATCACGACACCCCGAATTTGGGGAGCGCGATCGGGGATTCCCATGGTGCGCAGACGATGTGAAAACGATCGAAAGGAGGAGACGTTGATTTTTTCAGCAAAAGCTAGTCTGATATCTGCCTCTCTCGTGGATTGACCTGGGCCAAAAAGGGTTTCCACGGGATCCACCCCAAAAGGCGAGAAGCTTCGGATCGGACATGTTCATATATTGACAACCTGCGTACTAGCGCATCCAGTCGGGTTCTTCAACAGCCCTCGAGATGATCAGGTACGGAACCCCTGCTTTCCCTGCGTCAGTACTGTGTCCACGTTGATACCACAACCTCCAGAACCGAATGCTCTTACGCATTGCATGCGGGGTGCAACACCATGAGAGTCATGTTTTGCCCATCAACAAGATGTCAATGGAGCGTTTCGAATGAACACTGCTAGTGAAATCAGCCCTAATAGAGCACTCTCTGACCCGGGCTTCCGGAAAAGCTACCGATATAATGCGCCATGGTGCTAACCTAGCGTACCTGGTGCCGTCCACATGGTTTTGTTTCCGGTCCGGGTTTAGAGCAGGTGATCGACGGGGTGCGTTGCTAGGATTTGGTTTGTACACAGTACTTTGCAGAAGCCAACTGTTGACGATCGCCTCTGCTTTAAGTCAGAACGCGAGGTTGATCGGCCACCATTCATGTGTCAGACAGCATCTGATAGCTCGGGGACGAAAGATACACGACTACACCATGTGTGAGCGATGTCGAATGCGTGAGCAGCGCGTTTTGGATGGCAAGCACGCGAGTCCTGCTGTCAAAGGAGAACGTTAGTGGATCCCGAAATTCATGCTTTGATTAAACAAAACCCATCAATAGTCACGTCGGAAAGGTCTCTTAACCACGAAAGGCATGCCATAGTGCAGTGGCGGAGCGCCCCCCTTAGATCCCGTCGTTCACGCAATGCGGGGGGGGGACGCTAAAACATTTTTTTACTCGCTAGCTAGAGCGGGTCGGTTGCGAGCTACTGTCTTTGACGGTCGATCGTCCCGAAACATTTGAAAGAACGGTGCGCTTCCCGACAGTGAAATGCGCGATGTACAAGAGGAGAGAGGAGAGATGATTGGTGCACGGTTGTGGACTAACTTCCCGATTCGGCAATGCAAGGCCGAGATGCGAAGCGCGAGCTTCAGATGCGATCGCCTTCGACGGGGCCAGCCATGGCCATAGAACGCACGTCGTTCGCGAGATCTCCCGACAAGTACTCCGTAATCAGTGCGCACAGTGCTTGCCCATACTTCTGCCAAAGGGCCACTGGATTTTTAATGCCTTCAGCACGTCGACCTGTGGTGATATGGCCGCTAAAGGGGCGCGGTGTGGTGGCCAACCTAACGCGGTTCGACGTCGTCCAGGAACTGACTCGCTTAGCGAACGGTGCGTGGCTAACGCACCTCTGGTGTGTGGACAGGTGGGGATGATGAATGGAATATACCGAAGTTTGACACGCGACAATTATTGCCGCGTTCGAACTTGCGTGCTTAAGGATCTTCGACCGCGAGACGCGACAGTCAATAATGTCAGGCGTGGCCGACGGGGGCTCGAAAGCGACCCACGCCAGATCAGACAGCGAGAATGGCGAGGACGATGTCGAACGGCGGTGATGGGCAACAGGTTGCAGTATTCCTGGGACCGCAAGTCGGGCCCGCCATCCCATTGTGAAATCGAAAGCCTTGTGGATGACATGAAAGAAGGCCTCAGATCAGTCGCGAGCATGGGGCTGCAGATCTTGAAACAGCACTCTGCAAAAAAAACCATGACGATGCAGTTGGCCTTTGCGAGCTGCCAATGGTCCCCCCTCAGGGTTTATGCGTCGAAGAATATTCATTGGACGTTCGCCCGTATTCCCGTCCCGTTCGCTTAGCACGTTTTCGCCCAAGGTAAATGTTCGAGAAAAGAAAAAAAAGGGCGAATGTGGTCTGAAGCACGTTGTGGCACGGAACTTTGAACACGAAACTCACAATCGCATATGGAACCGTCGCGCTTTCAATCTCTCCCTTTATTTTGAAGCTGGGGGGTATCCTAATCAAACGCTGCCTGGGCCCAAGCAAGCAAAAGGCTAGCTGCTGTCACCGTGTAACAAGCCACTCCAAAAGCACCCCGAATATCATCACCCTTTTTGTACGCCCATGTGATTGTGAAGATAATGCTTCCCAACATGAGCATCGCTAAAAGCGCTCCCCATACTCGTTCAGCCAAGAAATCTTCTACCAGCTCAAGACCCCAGCCAGTCCCCAACTCGAGCCTGTCTCGTCTCTTTGGCGTTCGCGAGTACGTGATAAGTTCGTTGTCGTAGTCCTCGGGGTGTTTGAAGAGGTGCATCAGATAATTTGATCCTACTGGTGGGTTTAAATCATGTGGCTCGAACTCATAGGAGAAACCTTCGGCGCTGAATGGATCCGGGAGCGCTGGTGAGCGAGATATGTCGGCGATGCGGTTTCGGTGCAGTTCGAACTACGCCGCCTTTAACACGCAAGTCTCAAACCTGTCAAGGCTCCAACTTACCTGCACGAATCGGATGCTAGTGAGACCTCTCAGCTTCAAGATCTTGGTCCACTTCTTGTTGACCTGCGTGTAAAGGTTGCTCAGCGCGAGAGCAAGATCCTTATCTGAACCTATCCTTGCGAAATTCACGTCCAAGTGCCTCATCTTTGTGCACCATTTGCCTTCGTTCATGCAAGCGTATAGCCAAAGAGGGTTTACATAGGTGCTGAGGTTTGAGTGATAAGATTTGTGGGTCGAATTAAGTGCGTTTCCCCTTGACATTTCCGTCCAACGTTGTTCATACGGAGAAGGGCAAGCTGGTGATGAGACACTTGGGGAAGACCAGCTCGACGCCGAACTTTGTGGACTAAGTCCTGTACCGGGTGAGAAGACCGAATCAGCTGCACTCGATGGCTGACTGTTCACTATCCTGAAGCCAGCATGATCGGTTGCCTTATTAAGATATGCCTCCAGTTCAGCCGCCGCTCCAGGACGATTCTCGATGTAGTCGTCATATAAATCCTCACCGCAACTCTATTTGATGTCAGTATATCCTTTAGCAAACACAAGGAGCCAACATACACATCGCCATCGCACTCGAACATGACTTTCCTCCACAGGGGGTTCGGGTCCGTAACGGGTTTTCAGAAAATCTGTTCCTTTCGTGACGGCGTACACCATGACATCGCACAATGAGCCAACAAAGGAAGTTTGAGGACTAGATATTTGATATGATTTGTTGGCAGAATAAGATCGTTGCCAAGCTGCAGCTTTCAACGTTGAGAGGGGATACATCGATCCTTCATTGTCGACGACTTCAGGTGCATCTGCTGCATCAATAGCCTGTGAGATGGGCACTTGTGCTCTGCTTGACATGCTCCGTGAGGAATTCCATCGCAGTGATCGGCATAATTGTTCCGAGACCCCAGCAGCCGAATCTGTAGAGGCGACTAGCTCCTTTCCATAATCTCCCTGCTCTATTCTGCTCTGCACATCTCCCATGGCTGGGATATTTGGTAGCGTTCCGTTATTTGGTACGACAAGTCGAGGCAATCCTTCAAGCCTTCCATCCAGTCTTCGTGATTCTGGCAGGACATTTGGTACCTCTTCCCTCGATGGTGGTTCAGGACACTGGGAGCGAGGTATGCCATCCTTGATTGCATTTGATCTTGACAGGTTGGTCTTCCAGACGAAGTGGCCTGAGTTCTGGCTGGAGACAAGACTGCAAGGAGAAAGAGTACTGTCAAGATCATGTCGTTGCTGTCCATAGTCTCTGTGCAGTGACTGTAGCCGACCGGAGAGATCTGCAGCGTTTACGCTTGAGGAAGGTTTCTGATTTGAGGATGGAGAAGTGGTAGGCAGCACCGATGGAGGAGTGGGGATAATACTTGCTGGTTCTGTCGTAAGAACTTCACGCTGCAGCCCATGGTCCGAATCCGATAAAAGATGGTGTGATTCGAGATTCTCATTTAAGCATGGATCTCGAGGCTGTATAGTATGGCTGTCAAGCTCTGGTATAGCGTCAAGCTCTGCTGCGGACATTGGTGAGTCCGGTGTGGTGGCTATATCGGAAAATACATAGGGAGAAAGGTCGCAAGGGCTTATTGTGCTGCTGGAATTGCGCGAATTGAAGCCTGGTCGTCGCAACCGATCTCTAAAACCAGTGCTGTGTTTCCGGATCTTGAGTCTGATCTTGGAGAGCGGTGAATCTTGCGATCGTGACTGTACCGCATCCGAGGGCGAGTTTGTAACGCCATCAGTTGAATACGAACCTGGAGTGGCCGGGGCTTCCGTTCTAGCAGCAGACCGATCCTGAGAGGAATTATCGGCCGGTATTGTCAACCTGGGTAACTGTGCCAACCTTGAGTAGCTTGGAGGGGGAGATGAGTAGCTTGGTGGGGGACTGAAACTTCGCGCTACGGCTTCAAAACCAGAATGCTCCACTAGACTTTGTGCGAATGCGGCTGGGTCTTGTTTATAGGAAGGCACTTCGCGCAGGCGGGGGCATGTGCTACGATGATGCTCGCTGACTTGATCTCTACCAGGCGATGCCATTGTCGGTGCAAAGGGTCAACAGTCGAAAGGCACACAACATAGGAGTGTCAACGAGGAGATTGCAAACCAGAACAAAAGGAAAAAGAAGATGGATGGCGGAGACAGAGCATGAGTATTCTGTGAAGCTGTAGCTGCAGGCAGCAAAACGCAAAAGCTGGGTGCAAGGCTATGCAAACCATGTGCATGACTGCATGCGTGCGACAGCCTCACTGGCTAGCAGAAGTTCGCTTGTGCTCATCGCTCGTGCCTCGTGTCACCGTCCTTCAGCTGGACACGGGCATTTCCATCTGATCTCAAGCTTATTAGCGGCCTCACGATGCAGGCCTGCCGAATAACTGCGCGATGTCAAGACCAAGGCGATTTGGGAGACTAAATCGCGCAGGCAGGCAGCAGGATTGCGCTGGCAACGGTTGGCGATCGGGAGGCCGCTGGCGAGGGCTGAGCATTGTGGCCGGGGGGAACGCGGGAGTTGATGGATCGAGGGCTTGACCGGCCGGAGGACACACGCGCTTGGGTGGTGGGGGTGTTGGAGGACACGTGACTCCACCACACCCGTGCACGCAAGGACACAAGGCCGCAAGAGCACAAAGCCATGACGACATAGGCCACAAGGACACAGGGCCGCAAGGACAAAGGGCCACAAGGACATCAGACCCCTTCCGACCACACGGCCAGAGCAGGCTGGGCACATCCCACGTGACCGAAAACAAGGCACCATGTCTTCACGCCCAAGTCTGTTGAAGGCAGCTTGATCCGGTGACGCATTCGACAAAGGTCACCACGCCATTGTACGTCTGTGTCTCGCTCGCCGGGAAGCTTGGCCCGAAAATGAGAAATCTCTCGATACTGCATAGTGAGGCTGGTTGCCTGCGAAGCCACCTACCACGCCGGATTTGATTGGCCAATGGCACGAACTGCCGCGGCGCTGCCTTGCGCTTGTCAGGGCTGCTGAAGGCTGTGCTCCAACATGAATGGGATGTGGGTTCGAAATAAGTCGAGTACTTAAGCAGCACCTGATGTCGCGTCCTGTTCGTGTCACTAGTGGCACGCGTCTCGCGCACCTTTCACGTACGCCACTCGTGTGTGCTTCATCTTGAGCGCGTGTAGCTGGATATCGATTCAATTTAACGCACCATGTCTCTCTTCGCCCACGTTGACGCCTCAACAGAAGGACCCACACTCTCAGAAAATGCTTGTTCAGTAGATTCCAATTCCTCTGAACTCATTGCAGATCGCTATCCGAAGAGAAAGCGTGCACAGCTCAAATACATCCCAGCTGACTCGGAGGATGACTGGTCCTCAATCGAAGAAGAGGAGGAATACGACGTGCAAGTGAAAAAGAAAGCCAGGCCATCTCCAAAAAACCTGCCAAGGCGCAAGGTCTTTCCGTTCATGTATGTCGACGATACGCGTCTACATCAATCTAGCTGACCTGACCAGGAGACTGCCAGCGGAGCTGAGAAACAAGATCTATGAATACGCTCTTTCGGATAAAGATCCCATCTATGTTTCGAGCAGAACCAAGGGCTATAGGCGCTGGGCGCAGCGCTGTACAGAAACGGAAATTTCCCCACAATTCGTGAGCCGATGGACTCGCTATCGCCATCGACAAGATGGCGAAAACAAAAACGAAGACCCCAGCGATCGAAGAGCGCTTGTGCCGAACCTTCTCGCCGTGTCCAAAACCATCCATGACGAAGCTGGCTCATTTCTGTACGGCCAGCGCATAGTCATTGCCGACAACTACGCACTAATGGCATTCCTCTTACAAATCGGTCCAACTCATGTCCGAATGCTTCGGGACCTAACCATCATCGAATGGTGTGGAGGTCGTGCCCACAAATCCATCAATTTTCCCGCCATCGCAATGCTGGCGCCAGCCACCGACCTCAGACGCCTAAACATCTCCTGCTCCGTAGGTTATTTCTCCTCGTATAGCTGGGGAACTGGAAAGAAACAAGAAATCGCACACCGCGTGGCGCGGAAAATCTTTAGAGACTGCTATCCTTTCTTGCAAGCATATGGAACAGCCAAGAGAGACATGACTGCCGCCGTTAACGTCATTGAGATCGACGAGAACAACTTCCGATACGCGTCCGCAGATAAAGAGAAGGAGATGGAAAAGTTTCGGACTGAGCTCGGAAGGTTACTTCGAACATGAACGCTGTTCTCCTCATCAGGAGTTGCACAATATCTCTTGTTGCACATCTGTCTTGAGCGATTGGTGTAAATGGATTGCTCCAAGAGAATGTTTGTCTCGTAATAATTTTGAATATGACCATGAGTTTAGCTTCGTGTTTTCTGTTGCTTATTCCGTGCTTGGATCGGCGCAAAGCTGCTGAATGCGTCTCAAGCCTTCAGCAACCTCAGTGCTCAGATCTTGGTCGCTGGAGCCCGGTGTTTTGCTGAAGCGTCCATATCGTAGGTCGCTTAAGTTGCCAACGGTTGTCTGAAGACTGGCCAGTGTTGCCTTTATCTCGTTTTCCAAGTCCACAATCTCCTCGGTAAGATCCTTGCCCGCGAGATGCATCTCCGCTACTGCAGAGTCGACTGTAAACGGCTCACGTAACTGCTCGTTGGCATACTCAGGAAAAAGCTGCACGAGATTAGTGAAAGCTTCTTCATGCCACAAGTCTATCCGTACCTTTGCCTCCATAGCCAGTTCGACAGCATCGTCCCCAACTGCCTGTTTTAACCTTGCTTGACGGATGCGTTTTATATGTCGCTGTTGGGATTCTCCATGCTTAACCTCAACGGATATATTTTGCTTCACCCGTTCAATATCCTGAGCGCGCTGCTTCTGTAGTTCGCGATATAAAGCCTGTATGGCAGGGTCATCCTGGCGCGACTTGGGAAAGAGTTCTGTGAAGCGCTGCAAGGACAGCGACACAGATAGAGGTGCAGGCGGTAGGAGAAAATTAGAAAGCAAGGAAGACTCTGTGACCGTCATACTCAGCTCTTGCGCAATTAAGCTGCGTTATAGCGCCTTCCTCTTATCAACAAACGCAAACGAGGTTGGTTGTGATGCAACAACATCGACGGCGCTGATGCCTGAGGCAGAAGCACGCGTTTGCCATTGACACGCGCCTGGAGGATGGAATCTCCTGGAAATCACAACTTCATCAAAAAGTCGAGATCTCTGCTATTGCGCACCGGAAAATCAAGAGCTTGGAAGCGAATTTAAAGCAAGAACATAACTGCTGTTTTGTCAACGCCAAGATGGCGCCTTCGCAGATGTACGACAAGGACGAGAAAGTGCTATGCTTTCACCATGAGATGCTATACGAAGCAAAAGTACTTGATGTCCGTCAAGAAGACAAGAACGACAAGAAGAGTGGCTTTCAATACTTGGTTCACTACAAAGGATGGAAGAATACGTAAGTAGTTGCGTCGTATTGCGGTTGCTTCCTTCATTCGTTCACTTTTTCATCACTTCATCATGATCGTCTTTCCATTGATGCCCCTTTTCAATACAACAATAGGGACCAATGTATGTAGGAACGGCTCTTGCAACAAGCATATATACGAGGTCATCCAGTCCCAGATCCAGATGACTTGGGCTTCTGACGGAACATCCCCATACGCTCACTTGTGCTCACGCACCTAGCGGGAGACTCAATCATCTTTCTTCTTTAAATACATATATTCTCTAGGCGGGATTCTAACATATCTGTGCAGCTGGGACGACTGGGTCGCCCAAGATCGGTTACGAAAATTTACTGAGGAAAACCTCGAGCTTGCAAAGAACTTGAAGAAAGAAATCGATCGAGTAAATCAGATGGCACGAGGTGGAGGTAAGAGCGCTCCTACGAAGTCGCGAAAGGGCGCAGGCTCGGCTCGGCCCAGTGAGGAGCGCGGGACACCTCAACAGATGGCCGGCAAGAAGCGTGTTCGGGACGCAGACACAGAAAGGGTATGTCTACAACTGCACACAACACGCGAATCTTTCAACCGCTTGCATCCTGCACGCTTGTCTGTTTAGGATGATTAATCGGTTTGTATAGATTGACGAGTGGCGAGACAAGCCGCAAATTCGACTACCGTTCCCAGACATCCTCAAGAGCATTCTTGTTGATGACTGGGAGAACGTCACGTGGTTGAATCAGATGGTTCCACTTCCTTCAAAGTACCCAGTCAGTGAGCTTCTGGACAGCTATCGCGAGTTTCAAGAACCAAACGTCGTACCCGGCACCACCAATGCTGTCGTTCTCGACGAGCTCACGCAAGGCATTCGCGAATACTTTAACCTTGCTCTGGGCAGGATCCTGTTGTACAAGCAAGAACGCCGCCAGTATCTCGAGTGGCGCAAACGCATCATGGACAAGAATGATCCCATCCACAGAGATGGCGAGAAGTCATTCTACCAGATCTATGGTGCTGAGCACTTTCTTCGCTTACTTAGTGAGACAGGCATCCCAAACTGATATCAGCTTCAACTGACAAGCAATAGCTATGATGCCAGAGCTGGCTGCCCAGACCAATCTTGACACGCAGTCGATCAATCGACTTCGTGAAGAACTCATTAACATGCTCATGTGGTTGGCGCAGAAGCCAACCATCAGCAAGTATTTCTCTACGCCTTACGTTCAAAATTCGTATCTCGAGGAGCATGAGCGCAATGGACCTAACAAGCACGAGCCAGCGACAGCATCGAATGATTCGTAGTTCGGGCTGGCGTGTGCTTGACGAGTCATTGCATAGCATATGGTGTTAGGAGTTCGTATAATCTACATTTTTACTATGGCAGGATGCTGCGAAGAGCACGGCCTGCCCCTGCAATCCTGCGGTCTCTAATTGCATGAATCTGGGTTCTGGGCTATCGGGTTATGGTAATCGTGTACTGTGCAACTCCAGCAAGGAGTTTGTGAGGACATACATCCAACACTCCGTTATATTTGCTGTATAAGGCAGACGTTTCACACTGTAGCGCACGCAAAATAAAACAACGCCTAGTTTAGCTTTCGCGATTGGTGCCTTCGCACCGAACTGTGCGATTCTCAGTGGATACCCTACGTCGCCATGACCAGAACGGGACACCCTGGTCTTGGATTCTTGTCTTGCGGTTAATTTGATCGAACAGCACGGGAGCATCTCTGTACATCAATGGCAACGACGACAAGGAAAAGGTCAGGCTGGTCACCTCTGTTGCGGCGTTTTGTTTGGTCACGCCAGGGGAGATGAATGGATGCCTCGTCGGAAGACTGCTTGCGTCGATGCGACTCTGGGCGGCCGCGACGGAAGGAGCAGAAAATCAGGGCGTGACGTTTCCCGCGCGATCCCCCCACGCACACCGCTTCCCGTGTGCCCGCCTTGACACATTCCTCTTTTGCAAAGTCGGACAGCGGCAGACGGCAAATGCCTTCGAGAATGACTCGAGCGGTGGTCGGCCGCGGCACGCATTGCAACACGAGCTGGATAATAAAAACTGCATCGTTCAGGGGAGAAAAGCGGTTGGTTCTCCTGCGACTTGTTCGCGGACCAAGTCGGATGGTATCCGCCACGCAGACAATCTAGATTGCGCCCATCCTTTTGGCACGATCGGCCCAAGAAAAGAAAAGGTGGCGCGCCAGACTTGTCCGCCAATTCGAGCAAGGCGGAAGGCCAGATAAGGCCAACTAGCATTGAACGAGCGTCATTCCCGTGTCAGGCAGCTCCAAGCCGTCTATCTCGACTTTAGCACAGTCCGGTTTCATCCCGCTCCTCCGCTCTCCTGTGCTGCTTTGCTCTGTTTCCTCCCTCCAAACAACGAGCTGCTTCACGCTGCCTGGAGCGTGCCTTTGTCGCACGTTCAGTGTGCCTCCCTCCAGCGTGTCTTGCGTTCTCGTTTCTTTCTATCCAGGAATCTTGACAACATCTCTCTTGACGTTCGTACAGAAATGTGGTCGCTATCGTATTCACACTCCAACCGCGATACATGCATCATAGCTGCCGAACGCCGATGAAATTCTGAATGCCTGTAACCGGTCACCATGACTCTACCGCTGAAGGAAGAGAGTTGGATATGGTACGCACTAGCTGTATTTATGGTTGCATGTCGAGTGATATCGAGGACGATACTGTTGGGCAACATCAAGCATCTCAAGATCGATGACCGGCTAATGGTGCTAATTGTCGCACCTTACACCGTTCTACTTGCCGTGATCAACATCGTCGCGCACACGAGTTCGAACCTTTTGGAGCCGGGTACCGATGTCAACGTAATGAGCCAGGCTGAGCGGAACGAGCGAATCTACGGAAGCAAACTCATCCTCGTCGTGGAACAGATGCAGATTATGACTATATGGCTGGTCAAAACGTGCTTGTTGATCCTATATTACCGATTGACGTAAGTTTCTACCCGTCGTAGACACGCACCTTCACGGAACAAGCTAACACTTCAGATAGCACCAACTTACCAGCGAATCTCTTTGTGAAGATTCTTGCTGTGTATATCGGCGTGTCATTCTGTGTGATGGAAATTCTCTATTTTGGGGTCTGGTGTCGCCCTTTCCACAACTACTGGGCCTTGCCAACTCCGAATACGCAATGCAACGCCGCGACGAACCATCTCATAACGAACGCAGTCTTTAACATAAGCAGTGATGTGATCATGTTGGTGATAGGTTGCTCACTGTTTATTCGATCAAGCCTACCCCTGAGCCGCAAACTGATTCTTTCCGGAATCTTTGGCGTCGGAGTTTTCGTAATCCTAGCGGCAGTCCTCAACAAGTATTACTCATTCACTCATCCCTTCGGCAGCGAATGGACATATTGGTATGTCCGCGAGAGCAGCACTGCCATCATCGTTGCGAACCTACCTTTCCTCTGGGCTCTCCTACGGCGTATGTTCAAGCTCGATTCTTTCAGTGGAGAGCACTATGGAGATCACTCCGTTCCCTATCATTCCTCTCGAAGTGCTCGTGGCAGACACGCAAAGTCACCAAGGAACAGCCATTCTCACAAAGACAATCTAAGCGCGTTGAATGGCAATATCATCAAGCACGGTAGTCCTCACTCGAGTCTGGACATGAAGCAGATTCCAATTAGCGAATTCATCACAAACAATTCCCAGCCTCACGTCACTCCCTTACCAAAGCCTGTACATCAACCCAGTTGGCGTGATCAAGGTGTTTTTGGTAGAGGCGACCAAGAATTGATGGCAGATATTGAGCCATGGGATTTCGCTGCTAAAACAGACAGCGTCATTCCAAGCCCTACATCGTCACGCAGAGCCAGTGTTCCTGTTGTCCGCTCAAATAGATTCAGTCAATCGTCGGGAGCCTCGAGTCCAAACCGCGAAGGTGCGCGCAGCCCAGGGCTGAGACGACTTCGGGACGAAGAGGCGCAGTACAAGATTCAAGAGGATGTCGGTCAGCGTTTCCATTTCTACGAGGGACCGCCGGAATCTGAACCTGAGGAAGCAGAGACATTGACAAGTCGAAATTCATCAGACTTCGAAGGTCAAGACCTCGAGTTTGAGACCTCCGCATTGGATCCTCAAATTCGGCCCATCGAATTAAAGAGACAGAAGTCAGGAACGTCGGAACGAAGGAGATCGCTGATGAATAAAGTAGCACCGCAACTCTGGGGCGCCGTTTAAAGGACAGGAATCCTTGGAAAGGCGCCTCTACTCTGTATTTGAGCGAACGAGTTTCTTTTTATTTTTTATTTTGTAATTTTAGAGATACCCACTAACACTATAATCGATTTGGTGCGAGCCAACAGAAAGAAAAATGAAACTGATATTTGGGAAAAAAAAAAGGCCATCAAGTCTATTTAATTCGCTACGTTACGCACAGCATTTGCACAAACTCATCATTCGTAGATAGCCATTCGCCACATATGAAACTTGAGTTTTTCGTTCACTTCATGTCCGTAAATGCAAGTTTGATCTAATACTTATCATCAGGATAGGGCAACGACTCAACTTTTGAATTTTTGAAGTCTGCCAATCCATTACTTCGTTGGTCTGGGTAGTGAACAGTAGGCAACCGCTTTTTCGGAGATTGGTGTCAACCAGTGCACACCGATTCCAAGCTCTTGAGGAGGATGTTGGCTGCCCATTTGAAGCACTTCGTCATATCTTCCACGGCTTCCTTCGGCATGCCGTGTATGTCGAGACTCTCGCACACGTCAGAATCGAGCTCGCCATTTACGTCGCCATTTTTGAACAAGAAGGCGTGATCCTTGACGTAGTTCGGCCAGACTATGAGGTCAACATAGCCCTCCGGATCTTGCCAGAAGCCCTCGAGGGTGACGTAGCCCATTCTTGCCTCGCGTCTTCTCTTCACAGTGTCGTGGTCCAACCGAAGCAGGAGACGGACGTCGAAGAGCTCCCTCACTTGCCTCATGGTCTCCGAGAAGAGCAAAAAGCCGTCGATGATTGCGACGCTTAACCGTCCCTTGGGGATTCCCTCCATCGCCCTCGCGAACGTGCTCTTCCAGCTCTTGACGACTTCCATGTCAACTTTCACGTCGCCGACGGCGTTCTGATCTTCCTTGCTTTGGAAGTCGTCTTTTACCCTGCCATGCTCCTTTATGAACGCAAGCATGTCGCGCAGGCCCTCCACGTCGATGGACTCGAAACAGTCCCAGTCCTGGAGCTCCCTGCCATCCTCTACCTTCTTGACCGGTATTTTCGCATCGGTGAGGTAGAAGTCGTCCTCGTGGAGAATGAAGGCGTGTGGGGCTAACGCGTCGCGCAGCAGGCGAGCGAGCGTCGTTTTTCCGGAGCAGGACGGTCCAGATAGCGCGACGAGGATCGTTTGTGTTCTGGCGGGGTCCGAGACCTGCAATTTTGCGTTTTCGGTGGGAAGGTGAGGAGGCGACATCGTACAGGCAACATTCCTGGTGACAACGATCTGGCGGTTAGCACTCGATGTTATCGCACAGGTGGTTATCGTTCAGACTAGAACAGAGATCCACCAGGACCAGGACCAGCTTCACTGAACTATGACTACGCTACCCCAACTTCTGGAGAAGTTCAATGTCAAAGTTGAAACTGAAAATACACGAAGTGGGATTGGCATGAGTTACAGCGTCTGAGATGGCGATTATAATTCACAACAGCTAATTTTGACTCAAATCTGCTGCGGGTGTGGTCGAGCCTGTTTCATCATGATGGTTCAACTGTACTTAGTTCTAACATATTGCAGTCGAAACGAGAACAGGCTACTGAGGTTTTCAACCAGGAGCAACACTGAAAGACGGCCGCAGTTGGTTGAAAACTGGTTCGTGTGACCTCTCCAGGATCTAAAGCGATCGAATGTTAGATTGTGCGCACCCAGCCTTCAAGAAGGCTCGTCCAGTTCAAGAGCTTGAATTCAACATCACCAAGCAATCCGGGAAAAGGCGAAATAACGTTATTTGATTTCCACTGGTTTACTACGCATTTGAATATTGGAGTCTTAACCACGACTATTCCTTGTTAAAATCAACGACGTATCGTCCGGCAACTAAGCCGTTCTTAACGTTCTGACATGCCTCATTCCATTGTGAAAGGCCAACGACGTTTGCTGGCAGCTTGAGTTTTCCGCGCTTCGCGAATTGCAATGTCTCATCCACGTCGGCCAAATTCGCGACGAGGGTGCCCATAACCTTCTGGTTGCGGAAGATCAAAGAAGTAGGGGGGATAGTCATCTGCGTAAAGGAAAAAAATCGTCAGCTACGAAAAATCGAAGCACCGAGAACCTGGAACGTACCGAATACTTTCCCGCTGGTGGCAGGCCGATGCACATGACAACACCACCAACACGAGATCCCAGGTAACCCTGTGCAGTTGGATATGCTTGCGACGCTGTGACAAACACAGCGTGGGCACCTATGCCGTCCGTTAAGGCAACCACTTCCTTGATCGGATCGTCGCTGGTCTTGAAGTCAATGAAAGCTTCTGCGCCCATGTCTTTGCACAGCTGCTTCTTCTTCTCGTCTCCCGTATCGACGACAATAGGCCGGAAGCCCATAGCAGCGGCTAATTGCACACCTTGGATGCCAACACCACCTCCGCCACCTGGAAATACAGCCCAATTTCCCGGCCGTATACCTGACTCCTTCAATGAACAGTATATCGTCGAGGCACTGCACATGATGGGTCCAGCAATATAGTCGGAGACGCCATCCGGAATCAGGGTCGTGTACCGCTCCGGGCTCTTCACATATTGCTGGTAGGTTCCTATACCGTACCCTTAGCAACTTTTCAAGTTAAAGCTTATGTAGCTTCGTGGCGTACCGTCGACATGCAAGCCCACATAAGTAGCCTCAGGACAATAGCATTCCTTGTCAGTTCTGCAGAGTTCGCACATCCCGCACGTGTTTTCGATTGGCTTAAATCCCGCTCTCTGGCCAACTTTTAGACGTTTACAGTTCTCGCCTACTTTCACAATCACGCCGGCACCTTCATGGCCAGCACATTTCACTCCATAATCGCTCATCTTACCAATGCCTAGATCCGCGAGCATGAAGTGAATATCGGAATGGCAAATGCCAGTTGCGTTAAGCTTAATAAGGACATCATCGGGGCCTTTCAGGAATTCTTAGTTTCATAAACGCATGCAAGACATTCTGTATATACCGACCAATCTCTGGGACGGGGATGTCACGTCGGACCTCAACGCGGAAGTCAGGCCCTTCATTCACAACAACTCCGCCAATACAAGTCTTGGGGATCTCAAAAGTTTGTTCCGAGCTCGTTGATGCCATATTTGGTCAGCAGAGGGAGATGTCAAGATGCAACACTGAGCCAAACTTGGTGGTAGAAGACGAGGAGGGGTAAGGAAGGTTTTGCTACATTTTGGCGGAGAATTATTCGGATCCCTTTTTAAGGACAGACTAAGTTGTACGATCGGAACGAGTACGAGGGCGTCGACAGATCACAGAGTCTATGCATCATTACCCCTCATCGTCGAAACTCGCAAGTGCCCATGTAGTTTTACAGCCTGGGAATCGCTGCATCCTTTTAGGCGGGGTAACGACTACTCGGATAGCTCATGCGCTCTAATTGCCGTCGATCAGTTAGGAGCACAAAGCTCAGACGTCAGGAAGCTTGACTCAATATAGGACCGTTGTTAACTTGTTATGGTACATTGGGAGCGGAAAACTTCCGAGACGCGGGGTCTTCACTGAGGCTGATGCTTGCATATCCGCAACCCCGATTCGCACCCTGATTCAACTACTTGCGATATTATTCCGTTTCTATCCCGCGACTCGTGGGGCGGATGTTTGTCCATACTGCTTTCTAAATTTATTACCATCGCCACCGATGTGAACGGATGAAATGTAGAACGTTGAGATTCGATATCTGTAGCTAACTGGGACTCCATGCTTTGACGAATATGACATGTCACGCAGATACCCAACTACAACAAAAATAAAGGCCTTGTGCCAAGTTAAGTATTTCCATCTCCATTAATGTTCCCCATCCCTCTCGCCTTAAGGTGCGTAGCGGAAGTCTTTCACCCCCTCTAATTGAATAGAGTCATCTTGATCCGCTCTTCTATTCTGATTTCTCATGAAAAAGGACATTGTTATTGTAAGCATGATATACAAGAGTTGCATTGAGATAGTCGCCCACATGCCCGGCAAATATTGCTATGTTCTGTTAGCTGCAGGATTTTAAAACACGGACCGAACGCACAGGAGCATCTTGCGACCGAAATATTGTGCTGCCTGTTACACCACCGGCAGCACCAATGGTGATCATTGCAGCAGAGACTACACCTTTTTTTGCTACAAGAGGTGTTTGACTTTGACCATAAGCTAATGTACCAGGCCTAAATTGCGGTTAAAGACGTGGTCCAAGTCAAATGGGAACATTGACAGATGAAAATTACTCACACGTTGGCTTGTGTTCCCCAGACTGCTAGAAACATTCTACATCGATTCGTTAGGCAATCCCCGAATTTGAAAGCAACTTTACATACCCGAAGTAACGAACTCCCGGGGATTTCACGTATAAGACGACCAGAAGGCCAATCACCCTAATAAACTTAGTCCTAGACATTTATCCTCAACATCCAAACTCACGCCATTAGTGCATGGAAGCTGTTGATTCTATACGCAAAACAAATTAGCTATACAAAACGTGACTTCAGAGGCCCAAGACATACGCCCAACGATTGCGCAGTTTGTCGGACAACCAGGCCATACATAAGCTGGCGACGATAGCGAATATCTAGTTTCGTAAGTCAAGTGCAATGCATCCTTTGGTTCAGAAACGCATACATATGGCGGACTTGTCAAAAGCTGGGCCTTTGCATATCCAAAGCCCATGCCTTCTCGGAGAATGATTGGGAAGAAGTATGCCAGGGAATATACGCTGGAAGCAGCAATGAAATACAGAATGCAGCTTTTTGAAATTCTATTAGCACGGTAAACGGAGAAAATAATGAGCAACAACTCAACAACTCACTAAACGCCCAATTTCCAGTCACAGAGCATTCGAAGGACTTGCTTGACGTTCGGGTGTTCATAAGCACGAGCTGCTTGGTCGATCTGCACACGAGCCAATGCGACTGCGCGCTGTCTATTACTAAGCCAATTGGCGTTTTCAGGAACTATGGCTTATTAATACGTTTGAATTGTTAGTCATTATGAAGAGAACTCACAGTCACCAAGGAAAATGAAGGCTAGAAATCCAACAAAAACAGTGATTGCGCCTTCGATGATGAATATCCACCGCCAACCAGCGGCGTATCTGCCACTGCCAATGCTGATCAATGACAGAACGTATGCAATCTACCATTTCAAAAGTCATTTTATATCCTCGAGCAAACGCAAGTACTACTAACAATAGGCCCAAAACCAGAGGCAAGAAGTGCTGCCATATAGAACAGTGAAACTCTGCGAGCTGTTTCGTATTGCTTATACCACGACCCAATAATAAACACGGCTCCCGGAAAGACTTGAAGAGATTAGTGCCATCAAAAAACTTTAAAATAAAGCTTCACTTACGGCCGGCTTCGAAAACGCCAAGGAAGGCTCTCAAGACTGTGAGAGCCTGCCAAGTTGAGATGAAGCCCATCCCTAATACGCAAGCTCCCCAAGCGACAATAAGGAAGCCAAGCCACCACCTGGCTCCAATTCGTCGAATAACGTAGTTAGAAGGCAGCTCGAAAATACCATAACCTGGGACAAATTAATCCTGCTCAAGTAGAGAGTGAGTGAGTGAGGAAATTACCAATGAAGAACACTAGCAACGCTGTGTTATAGTGAGTACTTTAAAGCTAGGTCAGTGTCTGCCGGATACAAGAATTTCGCAGTGAGCTCACCCTTGTTTTAGATTGAGATCTTTGCCGGCACCAGCAATGTACGCAGCCGATATGTTTGTTCGATCAAGTAATGACATGCCGAAGACAATGCAAAGCATTGGGAACACATGCCAGTCGATCTTCCGTCTGAATGGTATTAACTTAGTGTCCACCAATGTTTGCCTGGATTTGGGTACTGCCATCGAACTTACACGAGCGAACGTTCTTCCTCAGGTGTCCAGTCAATTCCATCACCAGGACGAGGCAGTTTTTCGTTCATGTCTGATACCTCACCAATTGAAATTTTCTCTTGATGAGTTCCAGATGGTACCTTTTCGTCCATTTCGGTTGCTTCTGCTGAGCAATGGAAACAAGGATTGGAAGATTAGCCAGCAAATGTTTTGCAGTCAAGGAGAAAGGTGCTGAGATCCATCATATATAGCCCATATACCATGCCGTAGCCTTTTGGCTACCATGCTACTCTACAGTCTACGCAAAAAGAGCCAAGGAATAGTCCATTCGAATAAGAAGAAATATTTGCAGGGTTCGGCTGTATAGCAGTATTATGATTGGAGCGGCAGAAGAAAAGCGACGCCAAGAGATCAAGCTGAACAATTCTTGGCCATCCTCTTCAATAGTGGCTTAGCAGAATCAACTGAAAGCTCATTCTCCCCACAAACTATGGGTTTACTCCAGATTTTCGTCTCCACATTTGAGCACGGATCAAAGGCATATCGGCTATTCATTGCAAGGGCAATTCGCGGCGGCAAACATGCCCCGTGTTTTGCAATCGAAAGGTTCCTCGGAGTGGTTTCTTCCCACTGTGAGGAGTTCTGGGTCCGGAGATGAGCTTATCGGAAAAGGCACTTAGGCCCCTTATAGAATCATGGTTCTTTCATAACAGAACTCGTATAGGCGTGGTCCCTCTCTGGCTTTAAGCCTTGTCGGATATTAGCCTCATAAGCATGTTCCGGAATCGAAAAACGATGATTCAGCGCGTGAAAGTACCGCTAGAGACTTCGGAGTATTCAGGGCTTGGTGGCTTAAATGGCACCGAAAGAATGGTCTGTCTTATCAGGTGATAGCTTTGAACATACTACTGTCGGAAGCTCGCCGCATGTGAGTCGTTGCACAGAGATATGGAGACCTTGCTGCCGGCTCACCAATTAACGCGAGAATTCCCAGTTGCTGAATCAACGGTCAAGGCAAGGTAGAGCGGCAGCGATTGGGTTGTTGTATTGCCGGAGCGGAGTGCCAAGCTGCCAAGACGCCGCTGATGCCAGTCACGGAAAACCGTAAACGACTTCGCCTTTTTGCCTTGGACACAACAACATCTGGCGACAAGAACACGCAAAGATGATCAGTTTTGGGAACAGGCTGCCTTGTGTATCCGAACTGTTGGATTCACTTCGACTCCCGTCTGACGCGAACAATTCTCGAATTTGAATATTTCAAACGTCGAATGGGTGTCGAAGTGTGATCCAGACATGTATACCTAGATGTACCAGGTTTTGAACCAGAACTAAGTTAATTGCTCGATCGGTAAGCGTGAAGTAGCTTTCTCTATGCCCAAACTCCAAATGTTGGGCAATAATCAGCCCCCGGTCATCAAAGTACGATTTTGTGGAAAATCTGAAGACTGTGCATTCGACCTTTTTTCATCCGTGAGAATAAGCTCATCTAGAATGTCTAACTTATCGGAACCCCGCTTGCTAAATTACGTACCTGACTCGAGTCTGGGCTGATGACTTCCCCGCAATCATTCTTCAGGCTTTTCAGAGCACTTGTAATGTCAAGTTATGATCTTGTTACTTCTCAATCTCCGGAATTTCCATTTCGGCACGAGCACATTTACGTTCCGCAACCATGGACCTTAGTCATGAAATTTATGATCATCCCTCTCCCAACCTAGATCTTTCTGCAAGAAATGAAATTGGTGAAGATAAGCCTCGAAAGAAACGCTCAGCAAAAGCGTGTATTGCATGCCGTGAACGAAAGGTGCGCTGTGACGTCTCTTATATGGGGTCCCCATGCTCCAATTGCAATTATAGCAGCAGACAATGCACAACCAAGGAACGAGTTAGAAGGCGGCGTGCCGAGCGGCCAATTAATTGGGTCTCTCCTATCCCGAGACGTGGATCTGGCCCTGAACAGATTGCAAATGCTCAGATCCTTGGGCTTGAGCCTGGTTTTCCAGCGCCCCAAGAATGTTATCCATCATGTGCCCTTTCATTCACTCCCCATTCTACCACTTTGACGGATGGGAATCAACGAAAGACGACTCTTCTGGGACTCGATTGCATTCCATTTGGATCACCAACAGTCGACTCATCACACTTCGCGCAAACTAGCGGCACAAGCTTTGATGCCGATTCACTAACAACGACGACCAATATTAGTCTCGGTAAAATCTTTATTGTCAAATTATGACCTATTTTTACAAAATCCTAACATATATCAGACTATATCGACAATGCACTATTACGCCCATCGATTTCATCACGGCAAAGTTCAAGAGTCATCCCGTCAGCTTGTAATCAGTCTGATGAACCTGAGGTCTCATATTACCACTATGACTTTCTCACCCTCCGCTCTTCATCAGGAAAACAAGAAGAGGATATGGAGTACTTGGAACGGCTCAAATGTTTCCAAGCTCCAGCGCGAGCTATTCTCGACGAGATGACACGGGCGTACTTCATGCACGTGCAGCCACATTTTCCTCTCTTCGATGAATCTAAATTCTGGATTTTATATAAGAACAGCAATATCGCCACTCCGGTCGAAAATCGATTGTCCCTTTTCACATTCCATGCATTTCTCTGTATAGCTTCCAGTGTAGGTCAAAAGGAGCATATAGCCTCCCAAGCGCTCGTTTTGGTTCTTTCTGACAACTCTGGTAGTTCACGGATCTTAAAACAATTCGGAAACTCGGATTCAGCGGAATTCGACAAGCAAGAAGCTCATACTATCGAAGAGCAAAGGTCAGTGTCGCAGTTTGAAAGCTGCGAGTTAAGCTGATGCTAATGAAGTTCAGGCGATATTTGATCTTGGATTTGAACAAAATGACCATTCCATCGCAGAGGGAGCCCTTTTGCTGACCTATTTCACTCCAAGAACCGATGCCACAGAGAACAGCTACTGGTTGGGTGTTGCAATTGAGCATGCTAGGCGCACCCATGCGCATGAATTCCATTTACGGCACGGCTTGTCAAATAATCGCAGAGCCGCGTTAAAGAGGCTCTGGTGGTGCTGTCTACTGAGAGACACAACGCTGTCCTTGGGTCTTCGCAGATCTCCACAGATACCAGCAAGTTCTGCTTGTCCCAACCCACCTTTACTTGATGAACAAGATTTCAATGATGAAGTCATCAACTCCAAGGCGTACGATGCTGAGACGAAGTTGGACTTGGTGAAGTTATTATCGCTCTTTTGTGAACTTGTGCTGAGCCTTCGTGAAATGCTCGAGCTTCTGTATCCGCGATGGGGATTATTAACTCAAGCCCGAGCATCGAATCACGAAAGTGAAGAGAGACGGCGACGTCTTCGAATATGCGAATTGAAGATGGAAGAGTGGTATCATAAAGCATCCAACTTCGAACAGGGCACAATGAAACTACGCCCGAGCACTGATGCACGAACCGTACTAAGAAACTTCTTGTTTATGGCGTACTAGTATGTATAAGCAGAGCATTGTGCATAAAGACATATATTGACGAGGAATAAAGCTCGGCAAAAGCTGCCATATATAACGATGTCCTGATCACAGCTGTGGAGACGTCCCAAGAGGAATTTTATTCAGGATATCGAAGCTATCAAGAAGTAAAGCTCGAAAACGCCGTGGCTGGAATCACTCAGTGTCTAATGGAGGTACTGAGAGCGAAACTGTTGAGTCGCTTACCTGTTAGCACGTCCGTTCTTCCGCTCAAAATGCTGTGAAGCATGCTAAAGAAACATACAGTGTAGCCTTTGCCATGCTGCCCTTGGTATGGTATATCGTCGGTAGCAAACTCACAGCAACTACACAGGAGACTTGCGCAGTGCAAGATTGTGTGAATATCTTTACGAAGGCAATGAACGTGTGGAGATCTCTCTACGAGGGCGCTGATGCTGTTATCGAGAATGTTGCGCGCCTGATAAGACATATAAGACTTCAGTCCGGCCAGTTCATTTACGATTCCCCATTTGGAGGATGCGCATTGCGATCCCAGCCCTCCTGTGCCAACCCTACCCAAGTAATGAACGCACGCCGAAGCAGCACAAGTGGTTGGATATGCGCCTTGCTGAATCAACCGAATGTGTATGCAATAATTGTCACGGCAATCGATATCTCGCTCTCAAGCGGACACTATCCGAAATTCTGCGACCTCCCTGAGGCACTGCAGGCAGCGGACAACAGCAGTATCTTCCAGCTTTGCGTCTCCCTGGTTCCAAACCAGAGTTTGCTGCTAGACTCGTTAGTCAACAGCGAAGAACATGGGACCGATGCAGAAAGCAGAGACAACGTAACGATTGGTGAATCAAATCCAGACGAACTTCGGGAATCTTCAGTGTTGGCTGGCGCAGAACCCATGAGCGCTAATCGCTTTATTGCTTCTCAAACGCCACAAGAAATGCATGATTATGGCGTGGTGGAAATGCCGTGGGAGACTGAAAAAATCATTGAACTACTTCAACAGGACGGAGAAGTGGCAAGCACAGAGTGAAAATGAGAATCGACGAAATGAAAGTTGCAGTCTTCATTCGAAGAAGACATACTCTCATGTCTTCTATGAGCTGTGCTAAATTCCCATTTGCTATCCTGGGATAATTTTCCTTTGACGACGCTTCTACCCATTTTTTCCAGATCGCGTATGACGGCTCAACCGTGCCACGACAATTCGCGATTCTAGCTTTCGTTATCCTTAAGTGCAACTTCAACGATAAATTTCATAATCGCAATGTCCGGTTCACAGTAAAGTCAAATCAAAAATCTACTCGAGCGACAAAGTGTCAGTCTTTGGCTCGCGGCTGGGAATTTTCGCCATCGAAGACGTCGACAGATTATCTTGCGTTGCGAAGTCAAGCATGTGAATTCCATATGGAGTGATATGGCTGAATAAAGAGCACGAGGTTTGCCAATAATGAGCTAAATACTGTGCCTTTGAAAGTCACAGTTTTCATTTAACCCAATTAAAGCTCCTTGGAGCTCCTCCGTGTGGGCAATCTGGAAGTTTTGTCGCTATCCTCAAGTGAAAAGCCAACTATACGATGCACGTCAAGATGTAAATTAGATACCGGGGCGAGCAGTATTGTTCCTCTGGAGCCTGTAACATGCGGGAAAAGACAAGACAGCCTGCCTCGAGCCATGGGCCAAGATGAAAGGGTCAGCATGGTGGAGAATCTGTCGAGGTCGCAAGTTTTGCTGGCTGAAGTCCTGCGCACTGATCGGTCTAGATCGGACTCGTCCGCTTGGCTGTAGTGTGGCAGTCGAGCTCCTCTCAAAAACTTCGCCGATCCCCATTGATCAAACCTCCTACGCCTTGATCACACCTTCAACACGTTGATCTAACCTCCAACGCATCCAGCGAAAGTCACAGATATCGCACAAATTCCCGACGTGTTGGCCTCCGGTGAGTGAGCGATGGCAACCGCACTGAGTCCAGCTGATAAACGGACTGGCGCTGTGCAACTCCAGTGGCCACCGACGCGTGGTGCGTCGGGAGCAGTCTCGTCTTCGTACGATGACTGTATGGTTCTCTCAATCGTTCGATTAGCGACAATGGAGCTCCCTAATTGGAACCAGAGCGATGTCTATGACGTGTTATGGAGGCTTCTGGCCTTGCAATCATGCTGACATAAGCACATGCGCGCTTTGTGCGTCCTACACAAACGATTCACGCTACGATCGCCTGCACGAACGCTGCAGCGTATTCTTTCGTGGGTGCTCGCTTAATGAATACGATAGGACGCACAATCAGCGCTGGTGCCGCAAGCCTTCGGGATGACTGCAATTGCTCAGTTTTCGCTGCCGTTGGCGATCAGTCACCGATGGCGTTGGTTCTTGCTTCGACACATCGGAAGATTCCATCGCCTTCCGACTGCGACTCCCAAGGATTATTCAGACTCAGGCCAGAGGGAGATTAGATAGTGAACTCATAAACGTTAAACCAGCAACTGATATTTTAGCATGTTAACTCCTTCATCAACTTCCGCCTTTGAACTGGAACTTCTAATTTTCTTCAATTTCCATTCCAACATTTTGAGCCAGCATGCAGCCGGTTAGGACACGGCAGACCGCCTTTCTTGTGTCCAACCTCCACTGTGCATCATGTGTACAAAGTATATCGAAGGCGCTCAGAAAGCTTGAGCCAGCCCCAGTTTCGATAGGACATTCAATTGTCGACCACACGATCACAGTCACTCACTCTGACCAACTGTCAGAGCAAACAATCAAACAGACGCTGGAAGATGAAGGCTACGAAGTGCAGGCAATCATTGCCAACCCTCTGTCTCACAGCCCAAGGGTCCTTGCAGAAGATTCGGGCGAAGCAGGCCTCGAACATGAACGCCCAAAAAGTTTGCAGCTTCTAATGTCTAATACAAGTCCCAAAGCACAGCAACAATTGAAGGAACGTCATAGATTGAACTGTAAACAATGTCAACTCGAACAAGGAGAGGCGGCGCCCCAGCTTCCGGAGATCCAAATGGTGCACGATCCGGGATCAGCAAGTCTTGTCGCAATTGACCCTACGCCCAACTTGCAGACCTACATCGTAGCTCTCACTATCGATGGGATGACTTGCGCTTCTTGCGTGAGTACTGTTACAAAAGCAGTGGAATCGAAGCCTTGGGTCTCTTCTGCGAACGTAAATCTTCTCACAAAAAGTGCCACAGTCTGTATTCAGGGCAAGGAGCATGCAAATGAATTGGTATCAATAATAGAGGACGCTGGTTATGACGTTACACTGGAGAAATTAGAGGAAAAACCCGAACCATCGATGGACTCATCCCAAACGACGTTGCAAGATACTTGGAAAGCGACGTACACTATCGGCGGCATGACGTGCAGTTCGTGCGTTGGAAACATTACAAGGGCGCTGAGTGAATTCCCCTGGGTCAAAAGTGTGAACATCAGTCTTGTTGCGGGCAGTGCCGTGGTTGTTTTCACTGGTAAGGACCATCTGAAGGAAATTGCAGAGAGCATCGAAGACGCCGGATACGAAGCAAGCTTGAATCTAGTCACCGACGCAGGCCCTGTTCGCTCCCTAGCAAAAGCTAGTCGGACCGTCCAGATTCGGATTGAAGGAATGTATTGCGAACATTGCCCCAACAAAGTCATGACAGCAGTCTCGCGGTTTGAGGACGTCAAAGTCGAACAGGCGCCCACCATGAAGGATCCAGTCCTCACCATCATTTACATTCCCAGTGCTCCGGAACTCACCATTAGGGTCATTCTCGCGTCCATATCCAGCGCCGATACAGCCTTTCATCCTTACATCTTTCACCAGATGTCTATAGAGGAACGAGCGCAGAAAATGCACCTTCGTGAACAGCGGCGGATACTTTTTCGTCTCTTGCTTGCGTTCATGATTGCCATACCAACATTTATTATTGGAATCGTCCTCATGAGCTTAGTCCCGAAGCACAGCCCGCCTCGGAAATACATCATGAGTCCACTTTCTGGAGTGTCTCGAGCAGAGTGGGCACTCTTCATATTGGCCACGCCAGTGTACTTCTTTTCCGCTGATCTCTTCCACAGAAGAATGATCAAGGAGTTGCGAGCTTTATGGAGGAGTAGAAGTACTACACCTGTCATACAACGATTTTATCGTTTCGGCAGCATGAACATGCTCATTTCGCTAGGGACGACAATTGCCTATGCGTCTTCAGTCGCTCAAATGGCTGTTGATGCAGCATCGACTAGGAACTCACAGACTTCGGGACACTCAAATCCAACATACTTCGACTCCGTGGTCTTCTTGACCATGTTCCTTCTTATTGGCAGGTATATTGAAGCACACAGCAAAGCAAAGACAGGAGACGCTGTCGCCGAGTTAGGGAAACTCCGGCCAACAACAGCTCTTCTCAAAGCTGAAAACGGATATGCAACAGAGAATGGCCGCTTCTTGGATGGCTATCAAAAAGTCAGCGTTGACTTGCTTGACTGTGGCGACATTGTTCGAGTCCCACATGGTGCTTCACCACCGTGTGACGGTACCGTCATAGATGGATCTTCCACGTTCGATGAATCCAGCCTTACTGGGGAGGCAAAACCTGTCCCTAAAACCACCGGTGACGAAGTATTTTCCGGTACTGTAAATCTTGGGTCGGCAATTTCGATCCAGGTTACCAGTGTCTCTGGAAATTCAATGCTTGATCAGATAATGAGGGTAGTCCGAGAAGGTCAAACCAAGCGTGCACCTGTTGAGCGCGTGGCAGACAGCATAACTGGTTACTTCGTACCGGTCGTATGTTTTCTCGCAGTTGCAACTTGGTTTGTCTGGCTAGGGCTAGGTTTAGGTGGACAATTGCCATCCAGCTGGCGTGAAAATTCAGAAAGTTGGCCGTTTTGGTCTTTGCAGTTCGCAATTGCTGTTTTTGTTGTCGCCTGCCCTTGCGGCATCGGTCTCGCGGCGCCTACAGCACTTTTGGTTGGTGGCGGACTCGCCGCTAAGCATGGCATTTTGGTCAAAGGTGGAGGCGAGGCATTTGAAGAGGCAAGCGATTTGGACTGTATCGTCTTCGACAAGACGGGGACTCTAACAGAAGGCGGTGAGCCTGTCGTCACCGACTTCCTGCAAGTGAATGAATATCCCGATGTCGCACTTGGCGAAGAGAGTATCCTCTCTTTGGCCAGGGCGATCGAGGAGGACAGCTCGCATCCTCTTGCAAAAGCCATTGTCAATTTCAGCAAGACTCGAGTCACCCCAGACTATGGCCATGCAATTCGACAGGAGTCGACAGAATTCCCAGGCAAAGGCATCAAAGGAACCGCGCATCTTCCAGCGCCAAGTCTCATCTATGATCAAAACGTTGAGGTTATGGTCGGAAACGAGAAATTCATGAAAGAACATGCTGCGGTAATGCTGCCAGATGCTGCCATTCATCTCGACAAATGGAAGAAAGAAGGGAAATCAGTCATGCTAGTTGCTCTGAAGATGAAGATTTTCAAGACTCCGGACCGTCCCTACGGTTGGTGGGTTGTTGCTATTCTTGCGGTATCTGATCCAATCAGACCAGAAGCGCCACTTGTCATTCGAGAGCTCCAGAAGAGGAAAATCGACGTGTGGATGATATCTGGAGATAATCCAGTGACCGCATTTGCTGTCGGAGACCAACTTGGCATTCACCGTGAGAACATCATTGCGGGAGTTTTGCCTGCAATGAAGGCACAGAAAATCAAAATGCTGCAGAGTTCTCAGTCACAACATGGATCAAAGCGTGCAAAGGTGGCCATGGTTGGAGATGGCATCAACGACACCCCAGCGCTTACGAGTGCAGATGTCGGAATCGCAATTGGCTCAGGCTCCGATGTGGCCATCAGTGCCGCCTCATTTGTTCTCCTCACATCTGACCTCTCTTCTTTGTTGACGCTAATCGACCTGAGTCGAACCGTCTTCAGACGCATCAAGTTTAATTTTTTCTGGGCTTTGGTGTATAACCTCATCGCTCTTCCCATTGCAGCGGGCGCACTCTACCCAATTACCACCAATGGAGGGAGCCACATAAGGCTTGATCCTGTCTGGGCGGCCTTAGCTATGGCATTGAGCAGTGTTAGCGTTGTCACCAGCTCTTTACTTCTTAGGAGTAGACTGCCTGGAGTTGGGTTTAGGATTTCACGAAAAGAACAGAGAAACAGAGTAGAGTAATGATACCCATAGCTATGAATATCAATTAGCAGACCATTTTGAAGACAGACCGCGCCAGAACAGCCAATAATGTGACTTCAAAGCTCAACTTGTACCCCTACGTAACTGTCGAAGCGAGCAACTTTTCTACAAGCGGAAAGAAATCTGCCCTAGCCTTGCTTATAATCCTGCCAAGCAGTCCGGTCTCTACTGAGCCAGCCACGTTTGCTAGTTTCGCCACTGAAACAAGAAATCAAGCTCGCTAAGCTTTTTTGGCACGAGCTTGTCAGAGTTCACGGGCCAAGAATGTTGCATGGCGGATGACGTTAATCTGCAGGTTGCGCAGCCCCGGCCAGCCACCGCGTTGCGTCTAAGAGACACGCAAGGGGGCTGCACAAGTAATATCGTCTTTCAGGTTGCTTCTGATGTCAATTCTGCTCTCAGAAGCGCCTGACCTTGATCTTTTAGCGGAACGTATGACAGCGTTGCCATTCTTAACCGAGGAAAAGCGCTCTGGGCATCCCTCATGAGTACGGTCATCAACACCGCTGTCACGGTCTCCTCTTACATAGCTGCTACGCTGCTCTCGTATCGACATCGCAAGTCGTACCTCAGCAAGATCGAAATGCCTCTTGAAATCTCTGATCGCGTGTACAAGTGGTGCACATCCGACGAGTCTGTCAGCGCCTTGTTGGCCGCAGATCCCACAATTTCTCCCAAGGACGCGGCTAAAAAGTTGTACGGCCACGTCAAGGTCAGTGTTACGATTGAGAAGCCGCCAAAGGAGCGGGTGACAGCGACGGAAGGGGAGCTGCAAAAGGCCTTGGAGTGTGGAAAATGGGGCCCGACAAAGCCAAGCGAGCTATTTTTGAGGATCTATCACGATGCCGTGTGTCCGCTAGAGCATGATCCATTGATGGGCTGTGTGAGCCCTAGCTTGATGGGTAGCTACGGCGTGATACCGCTGTCAATCATCGCGCCTCTACCAGATCTGGTCAGACATATGGTGAGAAATCTGTCAACTTGTGGACCGTAAATGGTCAAGCTGATCAATCCAGTCCAACCTAATAGCAAGAGCAGAACGAGAAGTGTTCTTGGCAACCAACTACTGGATTCTCTCTGATGCGTCGACCTTGATCACGGACGCAATGCGGGAACTTTCGAAGCGAGCAGGAGAGCGTGGACAGAAGATTGTCATGAAGATCATGTACGACCGCGGAAATCCCAAGCAGGCGTTGCACAACCACCAACTTGTTTCGCCATCGGAGTACTCCACGGGGAAAGTGTGTATTCCACCTCCACATGAGATCCCCAACATTGACCTTCAAGTCATCAACTTTCACCGGCCAACCTTTGGGACATTTCATTCCAAGTTCATGGTCGTAGATAGGAAGTACGGAATCGTGTCGTCAAACAACATCCAGGACAACGACAACTTCGAAATGCTCACCCACCTGGAAGGCCCCATTGTGGACTCGCTGTACGACGTGTGTCTGATTTCGTGGCACGAAGCTCTGCAACCTCCACTACCCTCGTACAACAGTCCTGCCTCGGAGGGTGGCTATCCGTCATTCACAGACCCCTCGTTTCGCTCCCTTTTCGATGCTGAAGGCAGGTTCATCACCCCGTCACGTGGACCTGCACGCGAGCTTCAAGAGGTAGTTAAGGACGGTGAGCAAGCCTGCCTGCCTCTTCACGCGCCAAATGATCCACACTACGATGCCACTATTGCCGAAGAGATAACACGGATGCAATCCGTGCTATCGCCACGCGATGGCAAATCACGAATGCAGCTTGTCACAGAGCACCTCAATCGTGCGACGCATCAGAGTTGTGCCGGCACGGCACCAGAATGTAGACCGGACGAGGAAATGACGCCGTACATTCCCCATCCCGTCTCGGATCCTTTCCCGATCGCGTTGGTGAACAGGAAGCCATACGGAGCGCCGAACCACCAGTGCGTGAATACGCCGCAAAACGAGGCTTGGCTATCGGCTGTGCGCAATGCGACACGCACCGTTTTCATACAGACCCCAGACCTTAATGCGGAGCCTTTACTCCCAGAACTCCTAGCGGCAGTGAGACGCGGTATAGAGGTCACATACTACGTGTGTCTTGGGTACAATGACGCTGGAGAATTGCTACCGAAGCAGGGAGGACACAATGAGATGGTTGCGAACAAACTGTACACGCAGTTGCAAGCCGAGGAGAGAAAAAGGCTCCACGTCGGTTACTACGTTGCAAAGGACCAGACGAAGCCGATCCACAACAAGTTCAAGGCCCGATCGTGTCACAGTACGTAGTATCATCCCCGTTCACGTTGCCATCTGAACGAGGAACGAAGAAGCTAACGAAGTCCACGCAGTAAAACTCCTCATAGTTGACTCTCACATCGGCATCCAAGGAAACGGCAACCAGGACACTCAGTCTTGGTACCACAGCCAAGAGACCAACATCATGATTGACAGCCCCGCTGTCTGTGCCGCATGGGAAGAAGCGCTTCGTCGGAATCAGAACACGCACCTATACGGAATGGCGAGCCAGGAAGACGGTATATGGAGGGACGAGCACGGTAACGAAGCAGAAGGCGCAATAGGCAAGGATCCTGGTCACTTTGCGTGGGCCAAGGGGATCATGGGGGCAGTGAACAGAGTAAGAGGCATCGGGGGATTTTAAATAATTTGACGAGCGCGATTATGTTCTTCCGGGTTGTTTGTAAGCGACGGCGCCTGATGGTTTTGGATATTGCGTTCACATACTAGCTTGCAATGTGTGCCATTGCCGCTAAAGCTCTTTTACTAATGACTTCGTATCGTCAATGACAATTCTCGCCATACGTTTCAGCACGTTTCGGTGATCGGCTTCTCTGTACTTTTCCCATGTGTCCAACCCTTCCCTTGCACTAATACTTAGACTTTCGTATCCGCTCTGAATGACCTTTCCAACTTCTCTGGGGCTCAGGTTTTTCTTACCCTTGGTCCTACCATCCCCTTCGAGCAAAGCATGATAATGCCTACTGACGCTGATAAGCGTTTCCACACTTGACGCCGCAGAGTCGCCAGACGAGGATGTCCCAGATTTGGAAGGACCCAGAGAATATGCATCACGAAATTTAGTTAGAATATCGCCCGTCTCAACCAGTTTGTAGAAAAGGTCGTCGTAGGATGCGGTGTCCGGGAGAAAGGATTCACCCGTTGAGAGGGAAAGTGCAATCAAGTTGACGAGAACGGAAATCATTTCATGTGAGCGGTATAAAGGTTTGATATCCGAAACGTAGGTGTTGAGGAAACGGATGAAGGAAAGTAGTGATCGCCAGAGTTCGGACCAGTGATAGACTGTAGGCCAGATGGTTAGTCTCCAATTGAAAGCTATCATCGGATATGAAAGAGCTTACCGAGTCGTGACTTGGACCGTCCCAAATAAGAGATGATACGTAATAGCACGCCGAGCATCAATCTACAAATTCCATTAGCTCAGGTCTTGGTGCTTCTACGTTCGCAGAAAGAACTATTGGTACGAACATGTACAGTTCCACATCTAGCCTTCTCTTCAAATTGTGATTCACTCCATCCACGCAAACATCCAAAATTGCTGCCATCAATACTCTGCTCGTCTGAACAAGCGGTAAAAAGGGCTGTCTTTGCCTGCACAGTCTTACGCGGGTTTGGCTTTCCTCACTACAAAGTCGCTTCGCCAGCGCTTGGTCTTCGACTAGTATTTGCAGCGTAAAGAGAGTCAAATACGTATAATGAGCCGCGCGGGTGGAGCGGTGCGCGTGCTGCAGGAGATACGACGTCAGAGATAAGTAGGAACTAAAGGGCGGGGCCGTATTGTTGTCTTCGGATTTAGTATCCGAGGACGATGCTGTAACAAAGCTAAAGCAGAACATTTTGTTCGCGTTTGCAAAGTCATACGTCGATAAAAGTAACGTCGCTTCTGATCTGGGGAGACTCGCAAAGCGTTTTTTCGCTTCCTCGGGGCTGAGTATCGAAGTGCTCGAACGCGGGCTGCCGGCTAGCGCACCGAGGCCAATGTAGGCAAGTGTGCCACCTAAACTCCACCCTTCAGGTAGGTCTTCTTGTATCTCTGTGTACCGGGAACGTGCGAGAAGACATGTTTGACCTATACAGCCCACAAGTTTCTTGATTGCAAGCTCGTTAACGAAGTCGTCCAGGCGGAGACGGTACGGGTTTTGAAACTCAAACTTGTTGTAGTTTGCAAGGAGGCCGAGAAGAACGAAGGGCGAAAGACTCATGATGCTTTCGGGCGCATCCTGAACGAACTGCTGTGTGTAAGTTGGGAACTGACGTAAAGAGAACCAAGAATAGCAGACCTTCATGAGAGAAGGAAAGAGGTCTCTGTGCGTAAAGTATGTGACCAGTCCGGTGGAGTACGCTCCAGAAACCATTGCCAGTGCTACCTTGATTGCCTTCAACCGCACCTGAACTGCTTCGTCTTCAGCATAGCCTAGACATCCGAGTCAAGTCCACCATACCATTTCTACCTCCTCTAATCGCCATATCCAGCGTAGCCACGAAGTCCGAAAATACTGCATCCGCATCATGCAGACCCGCTAATACCGAAATGATGTCCGAGCTCGGGTTCGTATATCTTTTATTGAGGACCGCGCCCAGAAAGACGGTTAAGGTCTTATCGTCACTCAGTAAGCCGTGTGTTCGCAATTGTGGGGCCGCATACATGAGGACAATTTACTCATACATCGAGAGCATGTTCGTCACTGGGTTCTTTCCCATCTTTAATGCGCACAATTGCACGGGTGAGGAGCTGCTGTGGGTGCGCGTGAAGGTGTAAGAAGTCATCTGGACTGAGAGAAGCGAGTATCTCTGACAAGGATTTCGTATCCGGCTTATGGAGAAAGAATTCTTGCCAAAAGCCTTCAGACTTTTCGCCCTCGTCATCTTCCTGTCGTAAGATTTGGTCAACCAGCGTACTCGCAATCGGATCCTTCAGCGGAGATGTTACGGACCTTGAAGAGAAGCTCGTACAGGCTCACCACCTTAGGCTGGAACGACTGGGGCCGCGCTTGTTGAGACAGTGGTGAGGCCTCCATTCATGCAACTAGACGACTAGATACAATCGTTGGATTGCCTCGTCCTCACTTCGTGCAAGGTGGCAGAGCAAACTGGCGACAATATTCGTGTAGACACCTTAGGCAGCCGAGGCTGAAGCCTTGTGCTTGGTAATATGACGCGGTCATGAACTTGGCAACAGGATGTAAGCACTTGAAAAGCACGAAAATCTATTGAAGTAGCTAAACATGTCGGAGGATATCCTTTGGTAATGCTTCACTCTGGCGTGGAACCTTGAAATCCTCCATGTCATGGAGGAATTTCTGGATCGTCTTTTGGCTTCCTACCGCACCGAGACTAGCCTTGCGCGGCTTTGGCCGCCGCCAAGCGTCCAGCTTTGGCCTTTACAGAAAATGTTAGTCCAGATCTCCAAGTCTTCAACATCGATTCTCCGCACAACCCAAACGGTTCTGGCATCCTCACATTATGGCCACCGAACTTGCGCGCGCGCTACCAAAGCCGAAACATGTCAGCTACGAGGAGCCTGCGCCTGCCTCGAGGGCTCCTCGTGTCGTTCCCGCCTCTTCGCTCGAAGGCCAGGTAGTTTTGAAAAAGACGAACATCCCACCGTACGGAAGTCGTTCGAACTGGCGGCCGCGCAGTCAGGAAGACTTTGCCGATGGAGGCGCATACCCTGAGTGCCACGTTGCGCAGTACCCACTAGACATGGGAAAGAAGAAAGTGACCACGGCTGGAGCGTTGGTACTCAAATCAGACAAGTCGATCGCGGAAACGATTGCAAGACAGGGACACAAGGACTCCAGAATCGTACATTCTTCATTCAAGGACTTGATTCCGTTGAGGGCAAGAGCTGATGCAGGAGAGATTGAATTGTCAAGACCGTCAGAAGAAGAAGTCGAAGCTACGAGGAGGAGAACGGAGGAGGCTCTGCAGGCACTGGTAAATTCTGCATCTGCAGCCCAGAAGCCAAAATCGATCAAGAAAGCAAACGATGAGCCTACATATGTTCGGTACACGCCACACCAGGGGCAGATGGGGAAACACAACGGGCCACAAAATGACAGGATCATCAAAATCGTGAACAGGCAGCAAGATCCACTTGCACCACCCACTCACAAGATTAAAAAGATTCCTCGCGGACCGCCATCGCCTCCTGCTCCAGTGATGCACTCACCGCCACGCAAGGTTACACGCGAGGAAGCCGAGCAGTGGAGAATTCCTCCAAGCATATCGAACTGGAAGAATCACAAGGGTTATACCATCGCTCTTGACAAACGATTGGCTGCGAACGGGCGCGGTCTCGAGGATAACACGATCAACAACAAGTTCGCCGATTTCGCGGAGGCACTGTACACAGCGGATAGGCTCGCACGAGAGGAAGTCAAGCAACGTGCACAAATGCAGCAGAAGCTTGCCGAAAGGGAAGAAGAACGAAAGGCAGAAAATTTGAGGCAGCTCGCTCAGAGAGCACGAGAAGAGAAAGCGGCTGCCGCAGCATCGAGACGGTCACGATCACGATCACACAGTCAAGCTAGGAGACGGGGTAGCAAGTCTTCCGGCTATTCTTCAAATAGCGAAGATAGTGAGTTGGATTCGGAAGAAGAGCGCGTACGCGAGCGCGAAAGGGCACGTCGCGAACGCCGGCGTGAGAATGAGCGTGAACTTCGACAACAGCACATGGGCGCGGAGCGAAGAGTGCAGATGATGGCCCGTGAAGCAGGACGAGACATCTCTGAGAAAATCGCTCTGGGGCTTGCCAAACCTACCGTCTCCGGCGAAGCGCTGTATGATTCGCGGTTATTCAACCAATCCTCTGGTTTCGCGGCGGGATTCAACGAAGACCAGATGTATGACAAGCCCCTGTTCCAAGCTCAAGATGCTCTGAGTGCTTTGTACAAACCAGGTTCTGCTCAGCAAGATGACGGCGAGGATGAAGGGCAAACGTACGAAAGGATCACGAAGACCAAGAGATTTGAGGGTTTCAGTGGAGCCGCGGCGGGAGAGGAGAGAGAGGGTCCCGTGGTATTCGAGAAGGAGGTGGCAAGACCTAGCGCTGGAGGGAAGCACAATGCCGGAGACGATCCGTTCCAGATCGGACAGATGATCAGTGACGTTACTGGCGGTGGCGGTAAGAAGAGATACGGTCTTCAAGATGATGAGGACCGTGAGGAGAAGGGCAGATCGAAGAGAGCGAGGGTGGACAGTGATGAAGAATGAGGAGCCGTGTAACACTTTTGTAGAAATATGACAATCATTGAAGTCAAATGGTCCAGAGAGGACCTGAAAGATTTGACAGCGGGCGGGATGCTTTAATCGTAAGAGTCCAACAGAGAGTATTTGGAAGAGTTGGAGCATATAGCCACAGACACTAGGAACCTGGCATATCAGCAAGCACAACATACGCAGGACGTGGGTCAGGAGAGACAGGCCTAGGTTGAAAAGCATTGGTGAGGGAGAGTGCAGTTATTCGGTCGTCGATTTTGTTTGTCACATGAAGACAAGAGCACAGCGTGCTTTCAAAGGAACCATTTGTTCAACGCTCTTTTGCGGCTCTGGAAGGAAACACAAACATTTTTCTGGTGTTTCAGGTCCATATTATTGCCGCTTCACTTTCTGTCGTTCGTGATGTTTAGTGGAAAGGTTGGACCCCCCTTCCCTCGTCGATTGCATATTGAGAATTTTCTTATCGTTCTACATTTTCTGTGACTGATATCCCCCTTCCACATAGTCCGTAGTAGATGGAGATAAGAATCATTCCAGTCGCCCAGAGACACCGTGCTAGCCCGAGAGGTTGAAACCTGGCTCTCAGTCTCGGAGTGGATTTTGAAGGATCGTGTGAGAATGAGCAGGCCCGTATCTCTGGAATACATATCGCGCACCTTGACTCAATCGGCCCCCATGACAATTATAGATGCCGTCTAATTTCTTACGTGTGACCGCTCGTCACCGCGACGCGAATTCGAACGGGCATAGATGCTAATGTAACTGGCGTTTGCTGTGTGGTCCTAGCCTGACCTCAGGGCAAATTGCAGCAGCCCGACAGTCTGCAAAACCCTCTGAAGTCAAGTCTTGCACAGAGAAGTCGAACTCGATAAAAGAGGCTTGCGAGACCTCCAACGGACTCGTCACTCTGACATAAGCAGGAATGGGTCTCGTCGTCCAATGCAACAGAGCTCTTCCCAGCGACAAGACTTCCAAGCAAGCCGTGTGCGGGGGCCGCGGCTGTGAACGCAGAAGGTGACGACCTTGAGACCCTTGCAATACTGGGAGGTGGTCATGCATACGAAGTGCACCGCTGATCAGTCGCATGGATTATTGGATTGAGGAGAGTTTTGGCCCGGTCGAGCGTGTTCTGTTCCCTGCGTTTAGTACGGCCTGAACCACATGTTGGAGGCAGCCACAAAAGCGACTCTGCGATAAAAGGATAAAGTATTACTATGTGCTAGGGAATCTCGGTGTTTTCCTTTTTGCCATCTGTAAAATTGCTACTTTGTTGACGCTCTGGAGCTGAAACCCCGTTGATTCCTCCTTCTCAGCAGCAATGGCAAACCTGAAGCTGGAAGACATCCTCCGTGTTCGACCCATCTCCCTGTTCTTGGTTGCGCCATTTATTCTCGTATGAAGACCATGACAAGGAAAGTGATCTTCCGAAGGAGAGCTAATTTATTGCTCAGTTCACTTCCAAAATCGCTGTCCAGGTCATCTACAACCTCTATTTTCACCCCTTACGAAAGTTCCCAGGTCCGAAACTATGGGCTACAAGCGAGCTTCCGCGCGCCGTCCTGCGCTTGAAGGGAACGGAGTTGTGGGAACGATTAGAGGCTCACAAGAAGTATGGGAAGGTAGTTCGCATTTCGCCAAACGATCTCTCCTGGATTGATGAAGGTATCTGGAAGGACGTTTTTGCGCATCGACAAGGTCATGATGAGTTCATGAAAGACATCAGCGATAGAACTATGCAGCCTAATGGCTACACTGGAATCCTGATGGCGGATAGAGAAAACCATTCAAGATACCGGAGATTACTCTCGTACGCCTTTTCGGAGAAGGGAATGAAGGAACAGCAGCCACACATCATCAAATATGTCGACTTGTTGATGAAAGATCTCAAAGGCATTGCTGGAGATGGCCCACTGGATTTGGTCCAGTGGTTTAATGTGCGTTTCACCAGATTCTCAGCCGGAAGATCGGGCAGAAGCTGACATCACTTCAGTTCACAACCTTTGATATTATTGGCAAGTTGGCCTTTGGCGAGGACTTTGGCTGCCTCAGAGAAGGGAAAGTGCATCCATGGATTGAGATGATCTTTGGGAATCTCAAGAGTCTAGTTATCATATCGTGTATGAGGCGGCTAGGATTTGAATGGCTGCTTCCGTACCTGGCAACAAAGAAACAGATGATTGGACGCATATACAATTACAATTTCGCAAAAAGCATGATTGACGAACGCGTGAAGCGGGGATCTGACCAAAAGGACTTTTGGGACAATGTGCTCAAGCACTCCGACAAGAAAACCGGCATGAACCAGGATGAGATGGTGTCTAACTCTTCAAACCTGGTGCTTGCAGGATCTGAGACCACGGCCACATTGCTTTCCGGTTGCATATATCAGCTGTGCAAAAACCCAGAGACGTTGAAGAAGGCCACACAAGAGATTCGCACCGCGTTCTCATCCGATGCCGAGATCGATCTGTTCTCAACCGGACAACTTAAGTATACACTGGCAGTCCTCGAAGAGACAATGCGCATCTACTCGCCTGTGCCCTCCCAATCCAACCGCACTGTACCAGCCGGAGGAGACACGGTTCTGGGCTATTTTCTTCCCGGCGGCACGGTAATTAGCTTTTCGCAGCACATTGCAAATCACTATCCGCCATACTGGACTGAACCGGAAAAGTTCTTGCCCGAACGCTTCCTAGGCGATGAAAAATTCAAAAACGACAACTTTGCAGTTATGCAGCCGTTCAGCGTAGGCTCTAGAAACTGTATCGGTAGAAACCTCGCATACTCTGAGATGCGGCTGATACTAGCGAGATTCTTGTGGAATTTCGACGTGCGTCTGGATGATAAAATGATGGAAGGCAAAGAATGGACAGATCAAAAGACCTACATCCTGTAAGTGAGCTTTATTTTCCCCTGCCACCATCGAAAACCTTGTCAAGGACCGAATATGCTAATTGAACTTTGATAGATGGGAGAAACATCCTCTATGGGCCAAACTTACCCCAGTCCACTGATCGGTGAAACTCACTGGCATCAAAAACTCACCTTATCCGTCGTACTTGTCATAATCTAAAAAAGCGATTTTCTATCATCTAGTATCTCTCGCCTTGTTCAGGTTCATGTCACGCCGTCTTGGTAGGATCAAGTCTGGCAAGCCAGGCGTTGGTGCTTCGAGGCGACCCACATGCTAGAGGTGAGACCATAGTCAGTCATTCTATTTGTGTTATCATCCCTGCTCAGCATGGGTCAAGCTGTTCTGGTGCCTTTTTTTACTTGTCAATTCACCTCGAACTTGTGCTATTGCGGGGTAAATTTGGAACTCCATCGAGAATTGGGGGCCAATTGTGGTCCTGGTGTAGTGGATGCATCCACTTCACTACCCACGCTTACGTTTCTAAGATCAACGGCTGTCTTACAACAATTCTTATCAAACTCAAATGGCGTCTTGATCTCTGAAGCTTGATTTTACATTTCCTTCCTTGTTTTTAAATTGACCATGTCCTATCACTCAGTTTCTGGCGAGATCCATAGCGCTGGGAGCGAAAATTTAGAAACCCTCAGTGAGCATAAATACGCCCAAGTAGCATGCGAAGATGTGGATCAAGAGAGGAAGGAGACATCGAATGTGAACATAAAGCAAACACCATCTTCATCAAGTAACTGGACGAACTCCAGCTTCAGAGCGCACAATGCCTCAAGTCCCGCGCTCGAACCACGGACCACACGAGCCTGGGCATGGTGGGCAGAGGTGGCATCTTGCTTTGGGATGTTTAGCAGCCTAGCGGCGCTCGTTATCACGCTGGCAGTATCGAGGAACAAACCGCTACCGCAACTCCCCTACTCTATTTCACTTAACACCATCATATCCTTCGAGTCCACAGTTTACAAGGGTTTTCTAACATTGATAATTGGGGCCATCATCAGTCAGTCTCAATGGCTCTGGTTTCTCAAGAGAAGGAGTTTATACGATCTCGTCCGATATGACGCTGCTGGGAGAGGCCCTTTTGGCTCATTGCTTTGGATTCTTAAGCACCACGTCCGATCGCCTCTCACAACTTTAGCTGCGCTCGTAATGATCCTATCGCTGATAGTGGATCCATTTGTGCAGCAGCTCGTGGGGTTCGTCAACTGTGAAAGCAAAATGACCGGTCTGCCCGCGCAGTTCAGCAGTGCAACTATTCCTAGAACAAACTATTACTCACCGCTTGAATATCACCTGGACGTCGGTGCTACTTATATCAAAGTGCCCGTGGGAGTCCAAGATGCCATTTCGGCGGGGGTCGAAGGAACCCCGCAAAGCGTTGACTTCAACTGCTACTCAGGAAACTGTCAGTTATCTTCTAGAGCCTGCAATTCCAATCAAGGAGACTCGGCGGCAAAGTTACAGAACTCTAATACGCTCGCGTACTTTCAACGGAGTGACTTGAATGTGCTAATGATTTGATTAGGCTCCTTTAGTGAACCATATAGTACACTCGGCTTCTGCCATTACTGTGAAGACCTTTCGGATCAAGTTCAGTTCAACAAGACCTACAGGAAGGATGATGAAGGGAAGAATCTGACGGGCGCTTTCAACATCACATCTTTCCTCCCGGATGGCTTCGCTATCACATCAAGCACCTATGAGGCATTTCCAAATCAATCATACACGACCGCCAATACTCCTTTGATGTCAATGCGGCTCAATGATAGCTACTGGGCGGAGTTTATCGTAGCCAAAACAGTGCGGAGCGGCTGCGAGGACGGATCTATGAATGGAAGCTGGGCATGCCAAGGCTATGGGGCAGCAAAATGCACACTGCGCCCGTGTGTCAAGACATTTCAAGCGAATATAACGGGCAACGTAATCAGTGAAACTCTACTGGAATATTCAGATCCACTGATGAGCTGGAATGGAAGTGAGAATTTGGCATACGTTCCCGGAGACAATAGCACTGCCAATTATGTACTTGGGCTTCTTGATTTGCAATGCACGTCAGATGCAGATAAAGAGCTAATAGCTCAGAATTATACCTTCAACTCCACTCAGCGTTGGATTCCGTTCAGCTACGATTATAATATCAACCAAAGCATGGTTGAACCTCCACAATATCCCGGCACGTTGATCAAGAATGGATGTCTTTATCTCTTTGAGACATTTCTGTACATGAGCATCTACGGCATATTCCTCAGCGATTTCTTCGACGGCACTCTGGAAGGCACCATCCAGATCAGCGATCAGCTGATCAATGCTGTAGGGCCTCGAATCCTCGAGAAGATGTATGATCAAACAAACGGAACTTACGACCTCATTGATTCGACCTTCGAGGGAATGGCGACTTATCTGACCAACTATATCCGAGAAAATGGAAATGCCGCGTACAGCCAACCCGCCGAAGGAACGGTACTGCACTATGCAACATGCGTTCAAGTTCGGTGGTGGTGGCTTGCATTTCCCGTTGTCCTAGCCTTCATTTCCCTCGTGCTACTTGTCTGGATAATCGGCGCGGTTTCTATTTCCAAGGTTCCAGCGTGGAAGTCATCTCCGCTCGCGATTGTCTACCGAGGCCCGAACAATCAATCCTTCACGTACAACATGAACAAGGCCTATGAATCAACATCGAACGTCACTTCTGATCGAATGGATGATTTTGAGGCTGCAGCCAAAAAAGCTGTTGTCAGACTTGGCGGAGCAAACGGTGAACTCCGGTTGGAAAATCTCACACACGATCTCCACGGCGATGAAACCAGGATGTAACTTGCCTGAGGAAGTTAGGTTTGATTACGAAGAGCGCGAGTATTTTGTAATTCGTCAGGGTGATCGACCATGCACGCCACACATCACGGAGATAGAATTGCGATTACAAGCATCCACATCCCCTTCATTCTCTTGTGACTTTTGTCATGACAACTTGCGCGGGAGGATAGTCCATTCTACTGCTGTTTTGGAATACCCGCCGGTTCATTTGAAATCGTCGCTACGTGTATCCATCGTTGCGGATACAAATATATTACTCGCCATCGGAACACAGCATCATGATCCAAGGTTTGAGGTTTCCTGTTGACATAATCTTGTAATCAGGGAACACTTTGTCGAGCAGCCTTGTGATGAGAGAGGAGATCAACTTTGAGCTGTGAAGACGAATCCCTCGATTTCCAGAATGTGAGGTTCTCTCGTTCAGTATTGGGGGGTAGTATTTGCTTTATGCCCGTCAATCAGATCACGACATTTTTGATCGATCTTGACAACCCATCGGAGTTTCATGAAACTCAGCGGAGGTATCCCTATTGCATCAGAAACAACAAGCTCTGACTGCCGGCTGCACTGAATATGTCTGTGAGCGTCTCAAGTTACAGGACTTCGTCATGGATTTGTTGAGTTTTATAAAGGCGCTGAGATGCAAGGCCCAGATGTAAAATATACGTCGTTTCTTCATCGCAATATGCACGACCGATTTCCAAGTTGCTTTTACGTAGCGTAACAGATCGCCTTTGCTATGCTTTTGCACTCATTCACGATGATCACCGCTGTTGTCTATCTACTGGCGTTGCTCCTGAAAATTCGTCAGCATATTGTCAACAATGCCTAACTCTGCGGGGGAAGAATGATACTAACCGATAACCCACCCAATCCCGCTTGCCAGCCCGCCAGTGACCACATTTGCAACCATGTCCCTCTTCCGTATCCTGCCTTCTCCATCTTTGCCATCGCCCTCACTCCCTGCGGCTGACACGTGTCTCGTATGCTCCGGTCCTCTATTTCCAAAACCGCCAGGCCTTGAAGATCCACCGGCATGGCCTCGAAGCGGGAAGGCTGTTCTTGAAAACGCTGCCGCCGCTCCTCTTGCAACATCGAAGAGCCCAACGGGAGCTTCCTCTCTTCCCCCTCGTCCGACTTCTCGTCTAGGCTGCACAAACGTCCCTGCATCTGTTGTGTTCACGAATGCGCCTGGTACACCCTGTTGCTCAGCCCTGACGTTGAACGCTTGTTCTTCGGCAGACTCTGCCGCTTGGAGGACGCGCATTTCCTCCTCGCACTTCCTCCATACATTAAGCACCTCAGGAAGGGCATTTGAAGGCGCCAGGAGTAAGGTTTGGGAAAGAAGTTCCATGCGCTGCTCTAATCGGCGAAGTTTTGGCGGCGTGGCTATGTTTGTTGACGCGGAGATTGAGCTTGAGGAGGATTTGTGTCGTCCTGCTGCGAGAGCAGCGCGCCAGGAAATGTCATCAGTTTCAAAACTTCGAGCCCCTGGTTGATTCATTGCGGTGAGTCGGTTGACTACATAGGAGTATGCTGTTTCGAAGTCATCTTCTTCTAATGCAGCTTCGATCGACATGCCAATTACTCTTCTCTCGGCTTTGAGTTTTGCAGCTGCAACTTGTTCCGGAGACTCTCGTCGCCTCGTCGATACTTCAAATTCCGCTAGCGCGTCCTGGCCGATGCCAGAAGCAACGAGGTTGGTTGCTATGCCTATCAAATCATCCAGTTTGGTGTAGCTCCGCGGATTCTGAGCAAGAACCTTCTCAATGAGAGACACAGGGTCGTTTGATACACGGATATTTACAGGCTGGAAGGGCACGCCGTGCTGAAGCGTGAGTTTGTAGAAGGAAAGCGCGTGCGTAGCAGCGAGCAAGGCTTCGCACCGCGTAAGCGCATCAGACGCAGGGAAGTACTTTCGAAACGTCGTGACAATATCAGATGCCTTTTTTACCCCACTCCTAGTCCTGTTCCCGTTGCTAGCATTGTCGTAATGATGCAGAGCCGTCTTCAGGATGACAGCTTCGACGTCCTTTACGGTCAAGCAAGTGAGCGGAGAGAGTTCTTCGATATATGCTTGCGCAGCGAGGCTATAGGCTCCGGCATTGAGTAGAGCGCCAAGAATCTCCCCCTCTAACCTTCCTCTTTCTATCCTATTAAACACTCCGTTACCAAGCTCATCCTCTTCGTCGTCTCGAGGCAAGCCCCAGCCCCATAACCAGATAAGTCGTGATCGTACAGCAGCCCAATCTGCGTCGTCCATTTTTGACGTCGCTCCAAGTGTATGAAGTACTTTCTTCACAATGGCTAATTGCTCGTCCGCGTCATATTGAAAGCGGATTCTGGCTACCGCAATGACAGACAAGCGGTTGCTCAACTCAAGAAATACCTGGGAGGATAGGACCAGAAGCTCCAACAGTGCAAATGCCTCTTTCGTCGGTTTTGTGAGTAGGCTTTTTTCGTTGAGCAATGAGTCCAGTTGCAGTGCACCACTGTTCGGGAGATCTTTGAGTATCCCTTTGGCATTTTCAATGACGGGCATCGCTTCCCCAGCCGCGCTTAACTCTGGAGGTGGGTCGAATTCCATGAGATTTGCTATTCGCACGAGCAATGAGTGTGCATACCGTATTGTAGGCTTCGAACCATCATCTGCAGCATACACGGCCGCAAACACGGTTTGTGCATACCGCGCTTCCAACTCGCCTTGATCTTCGTCATCAAGGTACGCATTGCTTTCATATCCTCCCAAGTCTACATCACCGGGTCCATCCCAGCCTTGCACAGCATCCGCTACCGCTTGCAGATTCTTCGCTGCTGCACGCGAAAGCCACCTAAGCGCACTATCCCATTCGTTTTTGAGATTTCTCCTCCTCTGCTCCTCACTCATTCCGTCATCCTCAAGATCATCCCCATGGCTCTGGGAGTCTGTATTTTGGACAGAAGATCTTCTTTCTCTTGTTCGAATTCGCCCGCTGAGCTTGCGTCTCTTGCGCGAACTGGTTCCATACATCCACGGCCCAACTAGATATTTCATGTCCCTCGCCAGCATTGACTGTCCATGCTCTGTGTCGGATAAGCTCCTGCTCAGTAACATCTCCAGTGCCTGCTCCACATTTGCATTCTCCAACTGCTCTAACGACCATGTTGCTTCGCCCACGTTATCCGCGTAATATTCGTAGCTAAAGCGTAGTAACGGTAGAACGGTGGATATAAACCATGCTTTGAGGAATGGTCTGTCGTCAAGAAAGGGGTCCAGTAATTGCGGCAAAAGGGTGAGGATTCCAGCTTCTGCAATGCGATGCGCTTTGTGGATCAGAAACCTCCCAGCGAGATCGTCACATGCGGCTGCTGGGAAAGATGAGTGGTCCAGAGGTAAGAGACGTAAATGTTTGGCCAGTTTATGCGCCTTTGCGTCGGACAGCTCGTTCACACTCGAAGTGTCTAGCTGGATGTTGGGCGAAGGTTGTTCAGCGCCGTCTTGTTCTTGCGGTGCAACGCCTAAAATCTCGGCAACAAGGGGAGTATACAGCACCGGATCTACTGTTTCAGGGAGATATGTGAGAATCAGACGCAGGGCGAGCTCGGGCTCAAAGGCGTCGCGTCGATACTGGAGTAGCAAACGGAGCGCATCGAGGTTGGACTCAGAGGCATAAGTCGCGGCGAGGAGGACGCAATGGTCTGTCGAGAGATTGAGCAGTGTCTCTGAAGCCATGATGAAAAATAGCCTCTTGCTATCCAGGTACCATGATATAGCTAGGAGAGTGCCGTAGAAAGCATAAGCTTGCGTCGTTGACCAGAAATCAAGATCGAATTGCGGCCAGCAGGCCCGTTTCCTGATTAGGACAGAGAGTTGGATGACGTTGAAGCTAGCTACGAAAATATGCTTCGAACTTAGTACACACAGTGATCGTGCAAACGACTTGAAAACTACTAAGTCTGGGCTTGCTTTGGTATCGTGTCTGTAATAATTTCCTCGTATATGTAGATCTTGTTGCCTTTGATATATATACAGGCTTTCTGGAAAAGGAGCAACCACTGCTGTACATCAAGATTTACTCGCGCACCATCTTTCTGCACTCATTCCATACTTCGTGATACGCCATGCTCTTCGACCTCGCATACGCCTCCAGTGTCAAAGCCAACCGACAGAATGTTGTCTAGAAATCCGTCACTCTGCAATTATAACTCCAATCGCCGTCTCCTCCCCACCGTAAAGGCTCATTCTTAGGCCCGCCCACCTCTCCAGTCTTTGGGTTCACATCCCCTTCAAACTCCGGCTTAGCCCCCATCCTTATGTGGGGATGTAATTCTTCTCCATCGCCGGTTGCCTCAACTCGAGGGTTGATCTTGGCTACATCGCCTGAAAACGAGCCGGTCGGCTGCGTTCTCAATCCATCCAAGTCCGGAGCTGACGACGACGTAGACGGCGAGGGCGTGCTAAATGCGCCGGCCGACTGCTTTTGCAGCTTTTCAAAGATTTCTTGTTCCTCCTTTGGCAAACGAGGTGGCGCCGGCGAGGATGACCACGAACTGCGCGTCGAGGGCGTGGATGTGAAGCTGCGATGGCAACTACGAGAGACGGTCACCGGTATTCTGCGTAGGCGGTTCATTGTGTGTTGACACAATTTAGCTGTTTGGTGGCGAGAGAAGCGTGGAAGATCGAGTCGTTTTTATGTGTCTCGTGTCTGGCCGAAACCGACCGCGGATCATGTCGGGCCGCGAGGCTAGCGGCAAGGCTAACCTCTACCATCGTCACGTCCAAGATGACTGATGAGCAATCGAACAAAGAAAGCATGATCATCTCAGCAGTTTTCTTTACCTATCAAAATTTTCATCCATCTCATCCATTCAAAGAGCGTGGTCAAAGAAAGGTTCTCACCGTGGCCGAACAATTTGTCTTTTTTATTGTGAACGACTCGTAGGCAACAAAGATCACAATCACCACCAAAGCTTAAAAAACATGTCAAGTGAATCTCTAAATTTCTGCATGTCCTTGATTATTCGCATACTATCGGTATATACTCGGCTGAAATACTAAATTTTTTTTCCCCCGATGCATGCCTTCAGCATAGCAGATAGGAAGTTGAGAAACGCGATTCTACTACGTCTCTAGACAACAACCGTTTATAAAGTTGCCTAATTCTACAATGGGAATTAAAGTGCAGCCCATGCGTTTTGTTACGAGTTCGCCTTTATTCGGCTGTCAATTCCGCAATCCTCCTTTCAATATCTGGCACGGCTCGTAGCTGGAGGTCCAATTCTTCCTTCTCACTGTTACCAGCGTCAGCAAATTCATCCACAAAGCCCACGATTAGCGGTTGCACTTACTCCTCGAGCTGCAGTCTCTTCTCGGCATCCAACTTGGTGAAGATATAATGACCCTGCCCATCGAATTGCAGAATTTTCTTGTGATACTTCCACAAACTCCTTCTATGGCTCACCGTCATGAGAGTAATCCCTAACCGCTTGGCTTCCTCATACATGACCCTTTCAATCTCCAATGTAACACTGCTCGTACACTCATCCAGGATCGCATACTTGGGCGCATGGTAAAAAAGACGGGCCATAGCAACGCGCTGCTGCAACCCTCCCGAAAGAACATCCGTCCATTCGGCCTCAGCGTCCCATCCACCCTGTCTTTCGACTATGTGCGAGATTTCGACAACAGAAAGAATCCGCATGAGGTCCGCATCCGTAACTCCTTTGGACCGCATGTCTCTTAGAGAGTCTGGATAAATGATCTGTTGCCTCAAAGATCCTCGACTTAAGTAGGGCCGTTGGGGGATGTAAAAGATAGCTTCCGGTGGTGGTTTGCGCACCGTTCCACCATACACTGGCCATAAACCTCCCAGGATCCTGAACAAACTCGACTTGCCACATCCATTTGGGCCAACAATCAAAAGATGTTCGCCTGGCTTGACACTGAAGCTAAGCTTCCGCACGAGGACATCGCCGTTGGGTGACACAATTGGCACGTTGTCAAACTCAATGTCATCGCCTTCGATGATCGTTCCACGTCCACGAAGAACTGCAGCATTCTCCTCCGTGCCCGCTGACGATACCAGATTTTTCTCAAAGTGGCCGGCTTGTACATCCTCTATGACGTCGAGGAGAGTAGCTACTCGTGAAGTGTACCCAGCCAGCTCGGTGATCTCTTTGTAGGAGAACATGACTCGTCCAAATGCGTCTGAAGAGGAGAGAAGCATCCGTCGATTCGTCACGAAATTCTCCGTGCGATCGCCTATGGTGTTTCCGCCCGTTGCACTGCCCGGAACCTTGAAGAATACGGGCACACTACACAACATCAAGCCCAAAGCGCCCCAGAAATACTTGATGACGAAGTCTTCCATGATGCCGTGGTAGAACCTGCGCCTGAGAATGCGGTTCACGTGTTTGATCAATGTGAAGTAACCCTTATCCAGAGTATCTTTTTCAGCCTCATGGCCGTGATATAGCGCAACCTCCTCGTTGTAGTCGATGAGTCTAGAATGCTGGAATCTGAATTCACCTTCTAGCCGTGCTTCATCAGCTACATACTTCCCAAAGGGAGGAGTAAGTGCGCGCATCACGCTTGCTGAGAGCTGGACGATGAGAGACATTGCAAACAAGCCTTCGCCACCCACGGAACGGGAAAGAGACCAGTTGTAGATCAACATGTCAAGGACGGGCTTCGCGAGGTTGGAGTATAATTCGGCGAGGGAGTTGGAGAACTTAGCCACGTCAACTGTGATGAGTTGATCGGCGTTCTTGATTCGATCATCGAGAGCAGAGAGGGTATAGAAAGTCATCTGAGACAGGTATTTGTTGTGTATGTAGTTCGTGAGCCGAGTGCGGTACTGCAGAGAGAGTTTGCACTGATGATAAGAGAGCTAAGGGAGACAGCATAGTTAGTTTGTGTTCAGATACGATGAGACGACAAACGGCTTACCATGGAGTTTGTGAAGGTAGCAGGAATGGCAATTATCATCCACCAAACCAAGCCCTTCAGAAATTCCTTGCCTTTCCCTCGCACCAGGCTGCTAACGAGCTTTCCGTCCATCTCAGCCACATACACGCTGATCAGTGTCCTTAGCACAAGAAACACGCTATGGCTGATCAAGAGCCTCAGCTCCTTGCTCTTCCATCCGGGTATACAGATCTTCAACAGCCTCATCAGATTCCGGAAGAATTCCCTGTTGATCTCCACCTTTTTCTTTGCTGCCGCATCTCTACCCGTACCACCATGGCGTCTTCTTGCCTCAGCTTGCCGTAAAGAGGCAGCCTTTTGTTCTTTGATAGCATGGTTTATGCGCTCTATCAGGGCGACGAAGAGGGTAATGTAGACGACGCGGGATATGCGCGTCCGATTCTTGACGTAGACGCTCGCTAAGTCTTTTGCAGCCCTCTTGATCACGTTTTCCGAAATCGTGGGTGACATGGGCAGCTTTGATTGAGCTGCCATGGCGACTGAAAAGGCTCAAGTGATGACTGCAGAGTCTGGCATTACCAACTCATGGCTGGGGCTGGTTGCGTCCAGGCACTGAAGCTGGGGTTTTATGGAGATCCAGAGCGGCTCGAATGAATGCGAAGAGTCCCAATCGTCGTCGCTGTGGAATGAGGGATCGAAAGCTTCGCGCGCGCAATCAAGGATCGTGCTGCGGACTGCGTGAAAGAAGCGACTGTGGATCAAACGGTGGATTACATAGTAGCATGTGATAGAGGTCTGTGATGATGTACGAGGTCGTACCCCAGGTCCTCCACGCATCCCGCCACGCCCGCTCAGGAAGCAAGGCCTCGGCTCATTCCAAACATGACTAGTGTGGCGTCGCCAAATATGCACCGCAGGACTCGTGAACGAAATTCAGGACAACGAATGCAGCGGCGGACATTTCTCTGGGGGGATCCGTTCACGTACGAAGTTGAGGTCGCTGCCAAGACTCCATCTATCCTTGGAGGGTTGGATTCTCCCGTCGCCATCCCATGCGGAAACAGCCTGAACTTTGAATACTACGATGGGTGTCATCCATCCAACCCGTTTATTTCTACGACGGCCGGCGCTCGTGATGAGAAGACGTTACAGCGATCAAAACGTTGTGGTAGGGTGTTGTTGTGCAATCGTAGCAAATTCATGCCTGGAGTTAAACCTATCGAGCTTGCTATATAGAAGTCTAGGCTGGGGGATCGCAGAAGAACTACAAATTCTAGTGACAAATGTGCATCACACGTTAGAGCTAGTGCTGAAAACACGGATGCGCGATACAATCCACTCTTTGGCAAGCTGTGATGGCGAAGTCACAGATCAGGACGACAAGCACGTGACTGGATGTACATGATCAGATTCATGGTCGTCATTCTAGCATTCATAACAGAAGAGTAACTTTCAAGTTTCGTAAAAAGTCATTGAAATAGTATAACCACTTGGTGATATCTGGATCTGACCTCGTTTTCAACTTAAATATAGCCTGGTATTAAAAAGAAGACTTCATGCTCAAAGCCGCCCTCAGTTTGCCCGTTTGATTGGATCATTGAGACTGTAATGCAATGCTTCCTACGTTTTGTCCATACTTGGTTGTAAACATCGCGACGCTATGTCTTGGACTCAGTGCAGGCCTCACTTTAAGAGCTTGCCTTGGCTAGTCTTCCGCTCGCCAGGTCAATGAATACAGCTCTCGGCCTTCTTGTGTACGTCAGCCGAATCGTTCTGGCTTTGTCCGGATGAAATACTTTTAGAAAAATACTGAGTACTGTAGATTTGGGATGCTTGGCTTTGCTCCGGTGGTTGGCATATCCGTGGAGGCTGAAAGTGCAGCCCCTCGCAAGCTACCTTGCAAGGCTGTACAAAGCTCTCTGAGACTCAATATCTTGCTTTGAACCACGGTTAGAGCTAGTTTATGCAGAAGTCCTTAATTTACCCTCTCCAGGATTCTCGATACTAGTAGGACCTAAAGAGGCAATCGGTGACAGCACATCTCTATACACCTTCGAGTCCGTCAAATAAACAAACGACGATGTCACAAACGCAGACCGAAGCATCCTCCTCACAAACACCTAGCACTGCTTCTAAGTCTCCCGCAAGCACGCACACTAGCATAGGCACGGACACGGCCTCGGCACGCGCCGCCGTACAAGCCTCTCTTGCAGCTGTTGGCAGCTCCTACGACAGCGACATCCAGCGCCGCGTCCGAGACCTGCACGCAAATTCCAAGGCCATAGCGAAGCAGGAAGAAGAGCTTGTAAAAGCAACAGAGGCGCTAAACAAAGAGAGCGCAAAGTGGGCTAAGCTGGCGGACAAGACGACAAAACAGCTCAATGAGTTCGGGGATGTGCAGAACTGGGCGGAGGTGCTGGAGAGGGATCTACTTGTGCTAGAAGAGACAGTCAGACTGGTGGAGGGACGGCCTGACGAAGGCAATATCAGTGGCGTGAATAAAATGCCCTGATTCCGATCAAATCGGTCTACATGTCGACCTGAGATGTGTTTTTCAAACTTCTCTAAATCACGATAACCGTCTCTGCTTGTTCGGAAGAGAGGGGAGTAATACAGCACACATGAAATAACTTTGGGAACCTCGAAGGAGACATTCGAAATTCCTGTTATTGTGTATCATCATTTGCCACCATCATTGCTTCTGAGATTCAAATCCAGTGCGAATTCGACCAAACCCAACATCAACCAGGGCATGCAGCGTGAAATGTCGTTTCCGCAAGTTCGTGATATTAATATTTTTGAGGTAACTATCGAAAGTGACTCTGATGAGGCGCAATCCAGAGAGTGCAAAATTTTTCGCTGAAATTATAAAGGGCCACCGCGAGGCTGAGGCCCATTTTCGGTCTTGAACTCGAGCGGTGTTCTGCTGGCGACGTGCCAGTTCATTCAGTGCCACAGTTCTAAGAGCATCACTCCTGAGCTCTGGCACGCACATTCACGGGGCTTCATGGTTTGAAGCCGATTAATAGGGATATCAGACCATCACGAGGCTGAAGCCTGAAAAAACGCATGTGAGTCCGTGCACCTCGCAGGAACTGCGTCACAAACTGCTTCCAAGCACGCTCATAGTGGACCTTCCAACACCTCACTCTGTCTTCACCTCATCCGCACAATAGTTGTCCCATCGCAAATATCATCTTCGCCAAAGCTAACCCACGAAATCACACTTACACTGCGTTGCGAATCATTTCCAGGAGTGCAAAGTGCTGCACCACGTTGCTTCCTTGGAGATTCTGTAAACGCTTTGTTAACCGACGCGACTGGGAAACGCCCAAAAATCAGCAACACATCTACGACCGCGGGAAAAGATTGTTGCTGCCTTTCATCTAGAGCGTTGAGGGGAAAGGAAGACGGTGGTCAAGAGGAAATCGAATAACTGCTTGGACCTGCAATCGCTACCGACATTGCTGTCTGCATAAGCAAAATCCACGGTTGCAAGTTCAGAAGCGTCAGGCCCAGAAACAGGTTGGAATCGTCACAGACAATAGGATCTCGGCGGCGAAGGGCCGCCCTTCCAGCAGTGGTCCACCATGGGGAAGATATTGAAGGCTGCTGGTGAACGACACGAAGCAACCTTGGTACGATCGGAATTTTCAAAAGCAGTATATTGTGTTATAATAACTGACATTCCATAGTCGCCGTTCGTGAAAGAATTCACAAAGACCGCGATATCACTACCGACACGAGAATTGCAGAAGCACCTGAACAGCTTTCCATCGCTATGGCCGTTCCCTCGGGGAGATCTCTATCACTGGATCACCGTTTTGAACCGGTTTGATACAATCCTCGAGCGCTTCAACAACTGCTATGGCTTGAACAAAGGTCCACAACGAGTGCCTTTTGGCACTGGATCGGTTATCGAAGAAGCGCGGACGCAAGAGAAGACAAGCTCAAATGCAGCGAACGAACAGGCCGAGAGTATTGAAGACATTGACGTCGAGCTTGTGAAATCGATCTTGAGGTTCACAATTCTGTTGTTGTCGAATTGTGGCAACAGAAGTTTGTACGCGAGCAGCGACCGCCTGAACGACCTGCTGAACACGACCGACCTTACCCTCCTGCAGCTTACTCTCAAGCTCAGTCTCCTCCTCGCCAAACGATACTATTCTTCAAAACAGCGTATGTCAGCGGTTGGTGGGACTGTCCCTCTTTCACAGCATTACAACATCAACGTTGAACGTGTTCGGAAGCTTGCTGCTCCCTTTCCGTCTCCTGCACCGCCGAATCGACAGCCAGATACCCCTTCAGCTTCTGCAAAGGGCAAGGACAAAAGGTTGTCGCGGTCAAGCAGGGCCTCGTTGACAACCAATCCCGAGTCGAAATTGAACGGGTCTGATATTGTTGCCATTGTGAAAAATGACGGACCTCAGTCACTATGGAAGCAATGGGCAGACGTTAAGTTCACCTTCTATCCGGACAAGGCGTGGATGAGTGAGTACAGCACAAGGACTAAAGACACTTTGCCCGAGACTCCCACGATCAGACGCACAACAACTACACCAATCGCGCGCTCTTCGAATGAACGCGATGTAATCACTCACCGACGGAGAAGCTGGGGAGATGATCCTGACAATAAGGCTATGCGAGTCGCGATCGACATCGAGTTACCCTCGAGCTATATCACAAGTCATAGCGTCGAAGACGCCGTGCAGACAAACATTGAGAGTCATAATTTACCAGACTCCTCGTGCTTTGAATTTCTTCATAGGCTCCGGATTGCGAAGGCTCTTGTTGGTGGTCGGGATGACCGGCTGACATTAGTTGGTATTCGACTATTGGCCATAGCCAACCTCGCTTATATTGAGTCTGAACCAACGTTTTATTCCGAGTTTGCACGAGCTGACTCTGAGCAACCTCGTCAGCTTCAAGTTGCTTTTCAGCTGGCAGAACTTGTCCAGCCTGCCTCAGATGAATCAAGTACGCAGGTACCTTTGGAGCTGCAGATTATCGCTGTCTTGACAATGGACGCCTTGACACATCAGAAGTTCAGAGCTAACGACGTCTACTCGGCTCTAAATGCTAATGTTAACCATGGAATTCTCTTCTACATGGTTCGAAAGTCTGTAGACCAGCTCCGCAAGGAAGAGTCCACGCCAAATCTTGTTGAAGAGGAGTGGCGAGAGGCATTATTTGCTCTGCTATCGAGCCTACCGACAGTTATGCCACGTGCGGGCGATCTCATGATGTCCGCAGGCTTGTTAGAGATTCTTCTGGAGATCTTGAGCCTACGGACGAAGCAAGCTGAAAGGACGCATTGGAAAGCGCTAACATTTCTCGACACCTTCGTCTACTCTGTTCGAGACGGATATCAGACATTTGCTAATGCAAAGGGTCTTGATATCGTGAAAGATTTGACAGCTTTTATCGTTTCAAGCTCATTTGAGCATGTCGAAGCTGGCCATGGAATACCAGAAGAATATCGAGCACCTATCACCGACTATCGGATACCTTTTTTTGAGCAGTCAACTCTACGCTGGCTCTTCAAATTCATCAACCATCTTATGGCCCACAATAATGCCAATTTTGGCCGACAGATGCGTAATCTGATTGATTCGCCGGAAATGTTGGAAAGCCTTCGCAAAGTCATGAGCCATGCGAATATATATGGATCCAATGTTTGGGCAGGGGCAGTTTCAATTTGGACTACTTTTATCAATAACGAGCCAACTAGCTTCTCAGTAATCGCAGAGTCGAAGCTTGGGGAATGCTTCTTGGAAGCCCTGATGGATCCACCCCAACACGATGGGCTCAGGGAATCAGGAGTGGACTTCGGTTTGCTCCCAGTAAGCGAAGCTATAAATGCGGTACCACAAGCGTTCCAGGCTCTCTGTCTGAATGAAGCCGGTTTGAAGCTTATTGTTGACTCTGGTGCCCTGCCAAGGTTTTTCAAAGTGTTCACAAGCCCCCTGCACGTTAAAGCTCTCGATCAAGATCGAGAATTAGCGCAAGCCCTTGGTGGCGCGTTTGACGAGCTATGTAGACATCAGCCCACACTCCGTAAAGCTATTTCGGATGCTGTACGCGGAATGGTAGCCCAGGTGGCCAAGTTATGCAGTGAGCGCGCTACAAAGGATGGCTTTGGTGCGAAACTGTGGGTCGGCAACGACGAGGGACAACTCTACGTGGCTGGTGGCCATCAAGCCCTCGCAGGAATTTCACCGGGGTCCGCGCATGCATCGGGTGAGTCTGAAGACGTCGAAATGGGTGGCACCGATGCTGAAGTCATGCCCAAAGGCCACATCTCCATGGACGAAGTTATCGCGAGCAGAGAGCCCAATAAGTTACCGTATCCTACTGCTTACATCGGTGCGACTACACGATTTCTCAACGGCTACCTCGCGAACTCGACCATGTGCTCAATGTTCATTCAAGACGGTGGTATTGAAAATGCTCTCGACCTGGCGACTTCGCCCTGCCTGCCTTTTAGTTTCGAGGCTATGAACTGTGCTTACCTTCATGATGATCTTGGCCGCATGTTGTCGATCCTTTCTGAGTCAAAGGTCTTTATCCTCTTGCCCGCTCTTACTAGACGACTACAGAAGGTCCTCAGCGGCCTGGATGAGTTCCTAGACTATAACGACCCATCATGCGGATTTTTTGCTCCATTCACAAACATAGATCGCAAATTTGGATCTGACGATTTGGATGATCCACGCTTTGCTGCTGGCACCATCTTTGTGAAGGCCCTTGTAACCGTCAATGTTCTTTGCAATGCTCTGTGTTACATCTTCGCCAACACGAGCATGTACCCTCATAGACCATCCAATAACGTCTTTTTGCAGGTCAACCTCACTGATGTCTGGGTTAACATCATTGAGAAGATGGGCAAACTACAGCGCAGCTTGACTTGGGAGGAAATCCTGCTCGCGAGCAATATGCCTGCTTCCTGGATCAATAAAACGCAAATGCCTAATACGATGATTGAACATGACAGTGTTACCGATCAGATCCTTCGCTTCCATGGTGACCAAGGCACTCCTGGAACTTCAGATGCATCCACAAACGAACAAGCAGCCGATGATGATCAGAAACCGGGAACTGCGCAGTTTGAGAACACTCGAGTTTTGCGTCATCTGTTCTATCAGGCCCCATTTGAGATATCCCATTTCTTTAATGCGATGGGGAAGATGCTGCTTGTGCGTCGACCGGATACCATGCAAAGACAAAATGCTACGCTAATAGCAGAGCAACTTGCGAAATCACAGACTGAAGCTCTCAATTTCCGCCTTCCTCAAGACCATGGAGACATCAAGCGATTGCATGAATACTGGACTGTGACCCTCACAAGGGTTTCTTCGCTTATGATTGACGACTCGTACGAACGAACAAGTCCACAAACACTCACTCTGGTTCTCAAATGCTTTAAGGAACAGGACGGCTTCGCTGCGCTGGAAAGGGCTCTCGAGTCATTTATTACCGACTGTAAGAAGCTTGCGGTCATTGAAACCACCGATCCACAGCAATTACGTGACCTAGCGAACACGATGGCTGGCATCAAACTGGTCTTGGCATTTTACTCACGCGTGATAAACGCCAAACTTGTCCAAGATGCATTGCAGACACAAGCTTTGACTGGACGGTCCTCTGATTCAAATGGCTCAGATTTCTCGTTCTCGCAGTTTTTGGTAGAGATTCGTTATGCTGTGATCAAACCGGCCATGCGACTCTGGGACGAATCGGAGTCCGCATTTATGGACAAGGCAATAACTCCAGTTGTACGCAATCTCATTGACATATTGAGGATCGAGCTTGAGGCGGAAGGCGAATCAAAGGCCTTGACGCGGAAAGATAAGGCGCCAGTTAGGAAGCAGATCGAGCATCGTAAATGGACTCCTAAGAATAAACATGAGCTAGATGAGCTCAGCCGTGAGTACTCCGAGGCCCTAGCTATCGAAGCTCTTTATCGGTGCTATGACAATTCAGACAATGCCGAAGAGTACCTCGAGTACGTAAGGCGGCTTGGGCGAACGGAGCCACTATTTCCAGTTCCTTCGGGTGTCATCGCTGCTCCAAGTAGATCTCAGTCATCTCCAAGACGTCCGGGTTCATCGACACTTGGTGACAGTGAATCTCAATCAGCGCTCCCACAGGAACGCACAGATGCTGCTTCGTCAATGTTGCTTGATGGTGATCATGCTGACGATGATGACGATGATGATGAGGGTGATGACAATTCATCTCCACCACGACTACCGGCACTGCAGATGAATGCAAACGTCCTTCGTGAGATGATGATGGGCAGTGGGCAGGCAGGAGAAGACGACCAACATGGCGAAAGGCTGCTAAGGACCCTTTTTGGAGGCGGTGGACTGGATTCACCACAAGAGGCCCTTCAGTCTTCCGCTCAAAGAGACGACAATAGACCACTCGCTGGCAAGGTTCCGGATCTGATCACTGTTGATGATCTCAACGAGGAACGAGTAAAACTAAGAACCAACTTGATCGAACGTTGTCTTGTCATACTCAGCGTTCACGATGACGTTACTTTCGAACTTGCAGAACTCATATTTGCTTCAGTCAATAAAGGATCTACCGCTAAAGAGTCCAGGAGTGAGATCGCGAATCTGCTTCTTTTGTCTCTGACCTCTCTAAAAATGGACGAAGCTGCCTGCGAGGAAGAAATGAAGCTCAATAACAAGAAAGTTGCATGCTATGCACATCTTTTCGCACTCGTTCTGGCCAAGGACGAGTTTTACAGCGTCATTGAGCCAGAGTTGGTGGCAAACTTTACTGAGCTTGTTCAATTTATTACTACAGAAAGCGTATCACATGGCCCGAGCGCGGTCGCGAATGTTCTCCTCATACTTGAGCGGCTACTCTCAAGCGATGCCACTCCACAGCAAATTGAATATAATTTGCCGAATCCAGACTCGGACATCATTGAAAAGCATCCCTTGGTGGAGCTTAAGCCTCCACTGGTGCCATTTGATAGCAAGCAACGGCTCTTCGATGCCCTCCTCAAAATTTTGCTTTTTGTGGGAAAGAACGAGACACTTGCATTGTCTGTCCTTCGAATCTTCGTTATCTTAACACGAAATCGAAACATTGCGGCCCAGCTCGGCGAGAAACAAAACATTGGTCGTCTGTTCTTGATGGCTCGTCAACTGCAGGGTATGACGGATGAAAAGATCCAAGGTTCATTCCTAATTACCTTGCGCCATATTATCGAAGACGAGGACACTCTCAAGAATATTATGCGAAACGAAATCGTAGCTTCATGGTCAAACAGGCCTCATGCTAGACCATTCGATACTACAAGCTACATTCGACACTTCTCGCACATGGCCATTCGGTCTCCCGAGATATTCGTCAAAGCGACAAATGACAAAGTTGCCATAAACAACTATAATGTACGACAAGCTGCACAAACCCTCGTGCTAAAGGAGGATCCTGCGGCGCAGGCCCATGTTACCGCATCTTCGTCAGCAGAGGTCGATGCTTCAAAATCGACGGAGGAAGAAAGGCTATCGGAGGAGAAGCTAGAGTCTGAACAGACGAAATCCAACGAGCTGAAGATGCCTGTCGTCGAGAATCCCGATGGAGTCATCCATTTCATTCTCAGTGAACTTCTCAAATACAAAGAGGTTGAAGATGCTGAACCAACAGTTGAGAAAGCCGAGAGGAAAGAGGAGCAGACAGCTCCTGATGTGGAAATGGTAAACTCTACAAATCCGTCGACTTCGTCAACGCCTACTCCTGGAGAGACACCCTCGAACAAGGAGACGAAGAAGGATGAAAAACCAGTCTTCAAGGCAGAAAATCATCCAGTCTACATTTATCGATGCTTCTTGCTGCAATGTTTGACTGAATTGCTTTCTTCTTACAATCGAACAAAAATTGAGTTTATCAATTTCAAGAGGAAAGCTGATCCTCCTGGCACAACTCCGTCGAAGCCCCGCTCCCAGGTCCTGAACTATCTCTTACACGACCTCATTCCTACTGGAACTCTCGGCCATTCGGAAGACATAAATGCTAAAAAGCGTGAGAAGACTTCGGCATGGGCAATGTCTGTGATCGTGGCGCTCTGTTCTAAGACTGGCGAAGGTGGGTTCTCGCGTCCCGCTGACTTCGCTACCTACAAGGAGGAACCAGAGTTGCTATTTGTGCGCAAATTTGTCCTCGAGCATGCCATCAAATCATATCGTGATGCTATGAACAACGATACGGAAGGCTTGGAGCAGCGCTATTCCCGACTCCTATCGCTTGCAGACTTATTTAACCGTATGCTGACTGGCAAGCCTAACGGAAGCAACGGCAATTCGAACATTGATCTTGACATGCTCGTCGTATCACAACGCATGCTTGCCAAGATCATGTACGAGAAGAATTTCATTTCTGCTCTAACCAGCTCAATTTCAGAGATTGATCTGAACTTCCCGAACGCGAAACGCGCTGTCAAATATATTCTTAAGCCTCTCAAGTTACTCACTCAGACTGCGATCGATTTGAGTCTGCATTCGGAACTGCCTCTTACTCCTGGGTCAGCCGATGAGGAGATCTCATCTGACTCAGAAGTTTCTACAGACGAGGACGTGAGGGAGCAGACACCTGACTTGTTCCGAAACTCTGCACTTGGTATCCTGGAACCGAGTCGTGATGAAGTAAGCGATGAGGACGACGAGGACGAAGACGAGGACGATGAAGAGATGTACGCTGACGAATATGGGGACGAAATGGAATATGAGGAAGAAATGCCTCATGATCATGATGAAGTTGTCAGCGACGAAGAAGCGGAACTCGCTGATATGGGTCCCATTGAAGGCCTACCTGGCGATGTCCCAGTTGGTATGGAGATTGTCGGCATGGAGGTTGAAGATGAAGACGACAGCGAAGACTCGTCGGAAGACACCGATGATGAAGATGAAGAAGATGACGAAGATGTTGAAGATGAGATGGATGACGGCGATGAAGAGATGGATATGGAAGAGGATGAGAGCATTGAAGCCGATGATGACGATTGGGAGAGTCAGCCCGAAGACGAAGACGGCGAAGACTATCCAATCCAAGATGAGGGCGCTCATGATTTTCAAGACGACCCCCGCAACATGTCTGCTGCGCTTGATGAGATCGTTCGTGCTCTTGAAGGTGGCGGTGAGGAACGCGACGACCTGCTCCAGCGACTTGATGATTATGATGGCGATCTTGGGGAAGATCACGAAGTCATTGATGGTGATATGCAAGAAGAGGAAGAAGACGATGATGATGATGAAGAAGAAGACTTCGACGAAGAAGAGTTTGCTTTCGAGCCTGACGTTGACGACGATGACGACTTCGAAATGGGACGTGGCGTTCCTTGGGGATGGGAAGACGGCGAGCGTGGTCCCGGTCATCGTCACAATCACCATCATCACCTGCACGGCAATACTCATGGTCACCGACACAGTCCTTGGGGCCTCTTCAGCGACTACCGCGACCGGATATTCCCGCCTACCTCAGCGTATCGTTCACATCGCGCAGCAGATGCTCAGCGTCGTAATGATGATGGTACCAATCCGTTACTTCAGCGAAGTGGGGCCCATGGCACTCCTGCTCGTGCAACTCAGGGAGATATCATCGGTTTACCTGGAGGGCTTGGTAGATTTGAGATCTCAGCTAACGGCAATCCTGCCTCTTTTCTTAACAGCTTGATAACAGCTATGTCCGCCGGTACAGTTCTGCCCGGCGCTATTCATCACCGCGGTGGCACCCTCCATGTAAGTGATTTTTGCGAATGGACGGCGACAACGTTCTAAATCATGCATAGGTTCAAATAAACAATGCTGGTCTTGGACCGATGCCTCGGGATCTGGAGCAATTGTTCATGCGAACACCGCCTCCTGGCCGTCGATCCGGCGATATGTCACGTTCGAGTCGTGACGACCCTTCATCAGCCATTCTTTTCAACCCAGCGCTAACTATGTCGCGATGGGTTGAAGAATCTCGTATTCTTTTTGGTATTTCGGCACAAGACAAAGCCCTTCGCGTCGTAAATTCAATTCTCCGACTTTTGGTTCCTCCTGCGATTGAGGAGAAGAAGCGCAAGGACAAGGAGGAGGCCGAGCGTCAAAAGAAACGCGAAGAGCTTGAGAGAGCTCGTAAGGAGAAGGAAGAGCAGGAACGTAAAGAACGCGAAGAAGAGGAGGCTCGTAAGAAGGAAGAGGAGGAGCGCAAAGTGGCCGAAGCTGAGGCAGCTGCTCGCGCAGCGGAGTCTAGCTCTCAAGATGGGCAAATGGAGGGCGTAGAGCCAACTGCTCCTGAGCCAGAAGCATCTTCAGCGCCAAATGAAAATACCGCAAATCAAACTGCGCGCATCACTACTATGATAGCTGGTCGCGAAATCGATATCACGGATTTAGGCATAGACCCAGAGTATCTAGCTGCATTGCCGGAAGAGTTACGACAAGAAGTCATCATGGAACGGACGATCGCTCAACGGCAATCGGCACAGGAAACTGGTGGCGAACAACAAGAATTGGATCCAGAATTCTTGCAGGCCTTACCTCCAGTTATGCGCGAGGAAATTATGCAGCAGCTAGCCCTAGAGCGGCGGCGTAACGAGCGGGAAGCTGAGCGTAGACAGCACGCTAGGCCAGACGATATTGATGCAGCTACCTTCTTCGCCACACTGGAACCAAGCCTTAGAAATCAGCTCCTGATGGAAGCAGACGATGAAGCTCTCAGTGCGTTGCCTCCTCAGCTTCAGGCAGAAGCCCGCCAACTTAGCGGACATCACCGACGGCTAGATCAATATGTGGATGTTAATAACATAGGCCGCGGTGATTTTGCTGCTCGCGGTGGTCGACCAGGCGAAGATCCTGCGCAGAAGCGTAAGCCGACGATGTACGCTCAGATACTCGATAAGGCTGGTGTGGCTACACTGCTGCGGCTGATGTTTATCCAGCAGTCTGGCTCAATTCGCAATAGCCTCAACGGTATTCTTCGAGATATTTGTCATAACAAACAGAACCGTGCCGAAGTCGTGAGCATTCTCCTTTCGATTCTTCAGGATGGTAGCAATGATATCAATGCTGTGGAGCGAAGCTTCTCATTGCTTTCACTGCGAGCGAAGCAGCCGCTACCGTCTGCTCAGAGAACCCCTCAACCAAAGCGTAGTTCATCTGAACTCGGTACTGGAATTGGCGAAATGTCACCTATCACTGTTGTGCAGCAGTGTTTGGTTTGTCTCGAAGCACTCGTTCAGACGAATCCACGCATCGCCGAATTCTTCCTCACCGAACACGAGACTGGTACAGGCTTTAAGCCACGTTCAGCTCGTAAAGGAAAGGGCAAGGACAGCAAATCGAGCAGATATCCCATCAATGCGCTCCTTGGCCTTCTCGACCGTGAAATAATCATTGAAAGTGTACCGGTAATGGAGCTGCTGGCATCTTTGCTTCAGCGCATCACGCATCCTCTTCTTGCTCTGTTGCGCAAGGAAAGGCAAGAGAAGGAGAAGGCGGCTGATAATAAGAAGGATGATTCACATGACGAAGTCACTGGCCAAGGCACCGAGGCCACTCCTCCACCCGCTGCTTCTGGTGATGTTGAGATGGCACTGCCTGAAGCACCTACTGTCTCCGCTCCAGAGGGCCTAGAGCCACGCCCGGAAGGTTCTGTCGACCAGAAGGATGCGAATACGGCCATTGAATCTAGCGAAGACAAGACCAAAAAACGGATTCTTACACCACCTGACGTGCCTGAGTATAATCTGCGACTCATCATTAATATAATCGCCGCCAGAGAATGTCCTTCAAAGACGTTTAAAGACACTCTCTCACTCATCACGAATCTGTCGACCATACCGGAAGCCAAGGAAATTTTTGGTCAGGAACTGATCGACCAAGCTCTCAGTCTTGGTCGCAACATTCTTGATGACCTCCAAGAACTGGAAGGACAAATTCGAAAAGCTGCAAATGGTGCTGACGTCCAAGGAATGGCCCTTGCAAAGTTCTCGCCAGCTAGTTCTGATCAAGCTAAGCTTCTCCGTGTCATCACTGCCCTCGACTTCTTGTTCGATCCTAAACGTGCAGAAACACAAGACAAGCCGTCCACCTCGGATGCTCAAAGTTTAGGTCGTCAACAGAAAGAGGACATTCTCACGACGCTGTACGAGAACAGAATTTTCGTAGATCTATGGGATAAGCTTAGCGTGTGTTTGAAGGAGATTCACGAGCGCGAGAACATGTTTAGCGTTGCAAACATTCTGCTTCCATTAATTGAGGTTCTCATGGTGGTCTGCAAGAATACAACACTCAAAGATGCACCAATTAGGAACACCCAGCAGGATTTCTCGCTGTCGAGTCCTGAGCCAGAGTCAAAGGAGCAGCGCATGGAAAGTCTTTTCTTCAGATTTACGGAAGATCATCGGAAGATTCTCAACGAGCTTGTCCGACACAACCCCAAGCTCATGTCTGGCTCCTTTTCACTTTTGGTAAAGAACTCTAAGGTTCTCGAGTTTGACAACAAACGCAATTATTTCACTCGACGATTGCACATGAGGGGGCAGGAAGTTCGTCAACCACAACCTTCGCTCCAGCTGCATGTTCGTCGTGACCAGGTATTCCTCGACTCTTTCAAACACCTTTGTTACAGAAAGCCTGAAGAAATCAAGTATGGAAAATTAAACATTCGCTTTGCCGGAGAAGAGGGTGTCGATGCTGGTGGCGTGACTAGAGAATGGTTCCAGGCTATAACGAAGCAAATGTTCGATCCAAACTACGCCCTCTTCGTCCCTGTGGCTGCTGATCGAACCACGTTCCATCCGAATCCTGCGAGCTCCATCAATGAACAGCATCTAACTTTCTTCAAGTTCATCGGGCGTATCATTGGTAAAGCACTGTACGAAGGACGAGTCCTTGACTGCCATTTCAGCCGTGCCGTGTACAAGCGCATTCTGGGTCGTACCATTAGCATCAAGGACATGGAGTCACTCGACAATGATTACGCGAAAAACCTACAATGGATCCTAGACAATGACATTACCGATCTCATCACCGAGACATTCAGTGTCAGCGCTGATGTTTTTGGTGAGGAAAAGATCGTCGATCTAATCCCCAATGGTCGCAACATTGAGGTGACGGAGGAGAACAAGCATGATTATGTTCAGCGTGTCGTAGAATACAAATTGATCGGATCAGTCAAAGAACAGATGGAGCATTTTCTCCAAGGTTCGAATACCCTTGCATGGAAGTTGTAGATCACGCTGACCAACAACAGGCTTCCACGATATTGTTCCCGCGGACCTTGTCTCCATTTTCAATGAACAGGAGCTTGAACTTCTCATTTCTGGTCTTCCTGACATTGATGTCGAAGATTGGCGTAACAATACTGAATATCACAACTACACTGCGTCATCTCCGCAAGTACAGTGGTTCTGGCGAGCAGTACGCTCTTTTGACAAGGAAGAGCGTGCAAAATTGCTTCAATTTGTCACTGGTACTTCTAAAGTTCCCCTCAACGGCTTCAAAGAACTGGAGGGTATGAACGGCTTCAGTCGATTCAATATCCACCGTGATTATGGTAACAAGGATCGTTTGCCGAGTAGTCACACGTGCTTCAATCAGCTTGACCTACCGGAGTACGACAGCTACGAGGATCTCAGGAAGGCCTTGTATACGGCCATCACTACCGGTAGCGAGTACTTTGGTTTCGCTTAACTTGGAATCAGGCAATACCGGAGGAGAGGTTATGGGAAGGGATTCTGCCATTTTAAAATCCATGCATTCATTGGCGCTCGGATTAGCAGGGAGCTAAATGCGTGCGGGCTTCAAACGTTGAGCCCACGTGTAGGTCTATGAGACGGAAAAGGATTTTTCAATCAGCATATGGAAGCCTGTAGTCTGATGATGAGCAAAAATGCATGACGTGCAGGTCGTGCTCCTTTGGCTCATCAAACTTGTGAAAAATATGGATGAGGACTTGCTAATCTTATGTTGTCCATTCACATATTTGTAGTTGTGCTGCTGTTGTAGTTCATCTTTGCCATAGATCTGACATCTTGATCTGCCCTTGTAGCGCTTCGATTGAATAAATAGTCGACAATTGAAACAAGCTCTAGACGTTCAGTCTCTACAACTTTAAGCTTTCACATGAAGAGAGAACAACCAGCTGCATCCGTTGACATGCTTTATAAGTTAATAGCCCATAATGTCTGTCATTGGATTTTTACCGCTATTATCCTCACTAGTTACTGCTACCAGGACCTATCTGCTATTAGGAAGAAGCTCTCGACTCGCTACCCCGATGTGTATCGTCCTAGCAGCAATGAGGCCTCAAAGCGCAGCTTTTCAAAACCGAGTGAAAAATGACTTAGCTATCACATCGAAGTAGCTAAAGTACCAAGGCCACAAGCGTTGTCTGTATCGTCCGGAGGAGCGAGCAAAGCACGTAGTAGGTGAAACCGGTGAGTCGGAAGTCCAGTGGCGAGTTGAGCTGGGTATGCTCAGCATCTTCGACAAAGACGTTGCTGGCGTGAGAGCGATCACGTTGGAACGGCAACTCAACGCGCGACTAGCAAGGGAGGGAAAAGAAAATCCGAGGCAAGACTTTTGGCTAGGTTGCCGTGATGTTGTGGGGCTGAAATCGAGCGCACTTCTGGGTGTCTTGAAACTTGTCGACGATCCAAGAAAAGAAAAGCCGCGCTGGAGTTGCTTATGGAAGGAGAATCCAGTGGTCAGCTCATGGGGAGAAGAATATATCATTTCCGTATTGCAGGAGGTATATGGCGCGAAGATTTTCCCAATCGCGTCGCGTGCAGATGTGATGGTACACACATTTCGCTTGTTTCTTTTTAAATAACCAAACAAAATTCCACGCTTAAGACGCTCAGACCCGTATATAAGAGATTTCACTTTGACCACCCATAACGCCAGAGAAGCAATGGTCAGCATACAATACAACGATCAGTATGCTAGTGGAACTTTGCTTCTACAGAGCCGTATCGAACACCTTCTACCCGAAGTTCAAATACCAATCCCGCAGACATGACCCTCATGTCCAGCGAAAAATCTAGATTATCGAACTCAACTCCTTTTGTTGTGGTCAGCCTGGTGAACAGACTCTTCGGTACTGCACTCAAATCGGTTGTCAACGTGCAAACATGTAGCAGATCTTTGTTCGTTTTTGAGAAACTGTCCGGCGGATCATCAGCGAGACAAGCAATCAGATCATCCTCCACAACAAGACTTTGCCCTGGCCTAAAATTCCTCGTATAATGAAATGAGACGGGGTGATTAGGTGACAACGGCTCGCCTTTCGCGATGTGCCATTGCATGCGATCCGAGACCATCCAGCGCTCCCACAGCGGTGACCAGTATCTATCTTTAAGTGGGTGCTTGTTTTCGTCGAAAACGGTTGCATAGCTCGTTCCATAGTGGCATCTAGATTTACGCGAGATAACCATTTCGCCCTCGAGCCCTCTAATCACGGCGCCTCGAACGACAGCGGTCCACGCATACATCCTGTCATAGCGTTAGTCCTTAAGTTGAGTCAATCTCATAAACGCAAGAAACACTTACGGATGCATAACCTCAATACTGCCCTCATCTTCATCGGAGACATTGGCGATTCTGTGGGTTGGTCTTTCTGTGTAGGGCGGAGGCGGAGCCTTATTGAAATGTGACTTCATGCATTTGTACATGTAGTTGCTCTGCCCAAAACCACCAACAAGAACGATTCCCGACACTTTTCCGGCTTTGCTCCTAATTGTGTCTACCTGTCCCTGCACAAGCTCAATCACCTCTTTCACAACAGGCTCCAGAATCTCCTTGACCTGCTCTGTGTTCATGCTCAAGAAGCCAGAATCGAGACCAGCAGCCTCGTCGTCAGGCAAACCAGGGAAAGGCACGTTGATTTCCTGATCCACGTCTTCATCATTGAAGTTGCGCTTCACAAACTCTTCGAAGTATTTCAGTCCCATGTTCCATGTTTTCGCTTTCTTCTCGCGCATGTTCAGATACCGCTCCTCGCCTATCCGTTTCCGTACGTGATCTTCGAAGCGGTAATTTAGGAAGGCGGAGCCGCAGAGACCGCCTGTTCCAACTGCCGACTCTTCCACGCGCAGCGGATTGAGCTGTGTGATTTTGTAAGCAATCAAGTCGACCGTTCCACCACTGTTTATCATTAGCCGAGCCAGAATCATGGGGTCGGACCACTGATGCGCTTACCCAGCGTCGCAAACTACAAAATTGTCTCCAACCTTCAAATTGTTAGGCTGAATGGCTTTAAGGGTGTACACAGCTGCCGCTTCAGGTTCGGAGATCAGCTTCAGATTCTTCGCTTTGCCCATCCCCGCTCGCTCCGCCGCCTGCAAAGTTGCATTCTTAGCCGAATCGCTCCACACAGCGGGAACCGTGAGCACCCATTCGACTTTGACAGTCTTCATAAACTGTTCACCATATCTCTTCGTCAACGTCTCTAATGTGTGGTTGTAGATCATGGTCAGATAATCGCTGACGGCATCCATGACTGTTTTGCCATATTGTCGTAATTGCGCTGCGGTGTCAAGGGGAGAGATAAAAGGCGGTAGCCTTTGTGCGCGGTCCAGAAACAGCTTTATGCATCGCAGCCGCGGCTCTGATGGTGAAAATTGGAACCCCCATTTTATCTGCTGAGTCCCCTTTGGCGACGGTGAGCGAGAGTTCGTGCCGTTGGCACCATTTGCGCCGTTGCTGGTCGGCGTCGTTACGTACGCAATCTCTGAAGGAACTTTGTCGGAGGTGATGCCGTTTCCGCCTGGCCACCTGTGCAGCCTCTTAAGCTTCTTGAAACACGTAAGGAACAAAGAAAGATAGCTTACGTCTTTATGATATCCACGTCGTCGGGCTGCCCGCTGTACACAACCGCCACCCCTGAGTAGGTAGTTCCAAAGTCAACTCCAATGATCAGTCTCTTGTCCAGTTCCTCGCTCCCGGAGCCATTGGAGTCCAGCTCCCGCTGGCCGTGCCCGTTAAGATGTAATTGCGATACGGAATGGTGAAGAGTACTCATCGCGACGCGATATAGTCCATATATGAACTTTATTAAATTGGGTGCTCTGTGCTGGCGGGGTATGAGATCGGTACCTAGTCAGGTACGAATCAAAAATGAGAAAATTGTGGTATATGCAAGATCCCACTATACAGCACGCACGCACGAGTCGAAACCCCAAGGGTGCAAGCTAAGCGTGAAGCGGACGGCGTGTTCGCGTTTGAAACAAGGTGAATGAATGACTAGACAGCTGTGAACAGCAGATTCGAGGGATGTAAGGTGTTGGCTTAAGGCGATGATGGCTCGTCAGGAGTGCCTTGAACCTAAAATCTGGTCCCGAAGGACTAGGATAGCCCTTGACCAGACGTGAACGAACGGGCGACCGAAGGACAGTCTGGCAGGGACAATGAGGATGAGCACAGACGAAATCGGCTGCTGGGCATTGCTCCAGCACATCAGTCCCGGGGAAAGGCGTTGAAGCCCGTGTGCGTGTGGCTTTTGCGAGACTGTCCACAGCGGGACGGCGGGTCAAGGCCCCGTTGAAACGCTCAACGCGCGATTGGCCCCCCTTTAGATGTAGATAAGTCGATGCGGGCTTGGGGGAGCAACCCAATTCCTGCGATGCATCATCAACAGTGCGGCGAGGAGATCGCGCGGAGAGTTTGTGGTGTGGTGGTTTGGCGATCGCGAGAGAACGCGCCGCTTGGGTATGTTTTTTTTGGATTTTATTTTTATTTTTAATCTTGCTTGTGACAGGTTAGTTGTGATTGCCTGATCGGGACGCGAGGGTCGCGCATGGGTTGGCTTAGGGCAGGCCTTGGTAGCACTTGCTGCGCGACGGCAGCTACCAAGGTCGTTCTTGCACTTTTGAGCTGCCACACGCAGATGTCGAAACAGAAACCACAACGACGGCGATGATGACGACGAAGACGACGACGACGACCACCAGAAACAAAATGCCAACAAGACTGACAAAAGGATTTCTTTCGATGCGCGGCTCTTTGTCGTCTGCGTATTGAACTAGCATCGTTCTCACTCTGCCTGTCCAACTAGTCTATGCTGACGCTGATCCCTGCCCCAAAAAAACGGTTCAGATGGGCGGAGAACAACGATCTATTAAACATCAGAACAATCATGTTACTTCCCGATTTCCCCCCTAAAAAAAAGCGCCGAAAACACCGATGCTTCGAACTAGTTTCGGGGCTGATGCCTGTCACAAGATTATTGTTCATGCGCCTTGCGTATTGCGCTTCAGCCCTATCTCATGCACGCTACATTCTGGGCTTCACGATTTGAACACGGCGCCCATCGCTTGCTTTAAGATTTGCATGCCTTGTTCGATTTCTTGCTCCGTGATGATGAGTGGCGGGACAAAACGCAACGTGTTTGTACCGCATGTAATTATCATCAGCCCTCGCTCCCTGGCCGCGTTGACGATGGGCGTTGGATCTTCGCTAAGCTGTAAGCCAAGGATGAGTCCTCGTCCGCGTATCTCCTTGATTTGGCTGGGATACATCTGCTGCAAAGCTTCGAAGTGTTTTCTGAAGATCTGCTCCTTCACAAGAACCTCCTTATGAAGAGCCGGATCGGAAAGTCGCGTCAAGCAGTAGTGACCAATCCTACACGCGAGTGGGTTTCCGCCAAAGGTCGTGCCGTGGTCGCCCGTCACAATCTTACTCGACACGTGATCGTTGACGATAGTTGCACCAATGGGTATGCCATTACCAAGCGCTTTCGCAGTGGTGAGGATGTCTGGATGGGCCTCCTTTGGTAACGTAGAATGCGCCCAGAGATGTCCTGTTCGGCCCATACCGCACTGAATCTCGTCGTAGATCAAGACAGCGCCAACCTCACGGCAGCGCTTCGCAAGACCGATCAAGAACTCCTCAGACGCAACATTAACACCACCTTCACCCTGAATAGGTTCGATGATCACACCACATGTCTTCTCGTTCACCAGGGTGGAAATAGCCTCGACATCGTTGTAGTGTCCGTACTTAAAGCCCGGCACCATTGGCCCGAACGGCTTCTGGTACTTCGGGTTCGGCGTCGCGGACAAAGAACCCATTGTCCTGCCATGGAACGAGTTGTGGAAGGATACAATTTCCGTCTTTTCCCCGGACTCGTCAATGGTCTTTCCAACTTTCCTCGCGAACTTGATGGCAGCCTCGTTAGCCTCGGACCCGGAGTTTGCGATAAACACCCTTGAAGCAGAGTGCATCCCCCCCGATTCCAGCGTCTTTTCGATCAATAGCTTCGACAATGAGCCGGTCCATGGGTTGTGGTACAGGTTTGAAGTATGGATGATCGTATTCGCCTGTTGGTATAGCTGCTTTGATATTTCGGGTTCTGCGTGTCCGAGCGAAGTAACGGCAATTCCCGCCGTGAAGTCGAGGTAGCGCCTATTTTCAATATCCCACATATAGCAGCCTTCTCCTTTGTGGAACATTGGTGGAGGGCGGACGTAGGTGGGCACCATGTAGCCAAGCTGCTCGTTGACGAGACGAGCGGTTTGCGAATCTGCGGCCGGGTCTGCATTGGGTAGGATGGCTTCTCTCTGTAGCATAAAGTCAGTCATGCGCAAGTGATGGCCATGGAACATGGATCCTGTACTTCAATTGCACTTTTGACACTTTCGGGCAAATTCGAGGCGGCCGAAGCGGTAGACACATATCGTCGAGATGGAGCCAGCCTGCCTGCCCTGAGGCGGAAAACGGAATGTCGAGCTGCCATTGCACACCGTGGCTGACTCTGGAGGAATTGAACAGAGACTGAAATTGGGTAAATGGTTACTTGCAAGGGGGTATCATTCTTATATGGAGCAGGTGATGTGTTCTGGGCGCGGCATGACTCTTAAGAAGCTACTCTTCGAGAACTTTTTTTCAACATGCAGGGTTCTCGCCTCGCTTCCGTCATTGCGTCGAGTCGAAGCCTCCGCTACCGGACTGAACATGGCTCGGCGACATCGCGGGATTCAATCTGACGAACAGACTAGTCTATCGTCTGGATACAAAACTTGCCCTTCAGAAAAATAAAGTATGGAGTTTGTATCCGCAACGGGGAATCTGCGCGAGTAACGCAAAGTGCAGAGTGTTACCGGTGGACAAGACCTTTTCCCCGTTCCATTGGCGTCAACGTCCACAGCGTCTCAGTTGCCGAATCGTAACCCATCCTTCAGCAGACAGACGCGGCACATTCATCTACAATAAAAGCCTGAAACTGCGCCTCCATCTACAACGCAATGATGCCGCCATCGTGATTCCATCATGGGAAAGCAAACTAGTCTCCCCACTCTCTCAAGAACTGATGAGCAGCTACTTGAAATCCGCGCAGAAACTCGTACAAATCCATATGCCAAGTTGGCATGGCTCACAACTACCATCATTGTGCTTAGTTGTATCTGTAAGAAGCTCTTATCATCTCTCTTTATTCATGTTGGGCAACTGGCGAGCCTGGGATTGTTGGTTAAGGGGCTGTCTAGCCATCAAACCGTACAAACCATTACCGTTTTTGACCTAAGCAAACTGGTATGGACCGTGGGTAATGAGGCGTTGAATATTTCTGTGCCCGGTAGTCTACCTTCTCATGTATGGATCTTGACGTATCGTGCATCGGTCATGCTTACGCGTTCAGGTGCACCTCGACTTGTTCAAGGCTCGAGTTATCAATGACCCTTACTTCGGGCTGAATGACTTCAACCTGCGATGGATAGCTTTGAACAATTGGACGTACTCTGCAGAATTACCGCTAGATCAAAAGGGTTCGAGATCTACATGGCTTCTGTTCAACGGTCTTGATACATTTACCAGCATTGAGCTCTGTGGCCACCACGTGGCCAGCACAAACAATCAGTTTCGTCAATACTATTTCGACGTCAGAAACATACTGGCGAGCTGTGAAGGTGTTTATTTGCTTACCCTCAACTTCGGAAGTGTTCCGGCTATTGCAGACGAAATAGCTGCGCAACCTGGTCAAGAGACATGGCCATTCGGTGTCGAAGGATTATTCGAATTCCCCAATCGCCAGTTTGTCAGAAAAGAACAGAGCGATTTTGGATGGGATTGGGGCCCAGCCTTCGTACCAGTTGGTCCCTGGTTGCCGGCTTATGTTATACAGCTGGGCCCATCCGATTTGTACATCCGAAACACGATGGTAGACATATATCGGAGAGGCCAATTACCTCTGATTCCACCAGATCAAACTCAGCCCTGGATAATGAACGTGAGTCTGGACGTCATCGGGAGTATTCCGCCTAATATCGATCTTGAATATCGCTTGACGGATGCTTCAAATATCACAATAATGAGCGGGTCTCTCCGCAATGTCACCCTGTCCACTGAATCAATTACAGGAACCACTCTAGTCCCAGCTGATGCTGTTGAACTTTGGTGGCCAAATGGGTTGGGACCACAAACGCTCTACAGTGTGGAGTTAGTCATCACTCTAGGCAAAGGCGTGAATAGGCTCATTATTGCCTCCACAACAAAGCGCGTAGGATTCAGGACGATCGTACTCAATCAAGAGCCAATACGACAAGATCAGATAGATCGTGGTGTTGCTCCGGGAAACAATTGGCATTTCGAAATCAACGGGCATGAGTTCTATGCAAAGGGATCAAATTTCATTCCACCCGATGCTTTCTGGCCGCGAGTCACGCGTGCAAGAATACAGCAGCTGTTCGATGCTGTCATTACAGGAAATCAGAATATGCTCAGAGTATGGTCCAGCGGTGTATATTCTCCAGATTTCATGTTCGAAATCGCTGATGGTAGGCGTTGGCAAAAGTTTCTATTCGAAGCGATTGCTTATTTTTTGTACAGAACTTGGGATCCTCCTGTGGTCTGAATTCGAGTTTGGCGATGCCCTTTACCCTGTGGATGAAGATTTTCTCAACAATGTTCGTGAAGAAGCAAATTTTCAGGTTCGGCGGGTCAATCATCATCGTAAGAGAGAATGTTATCGGAAATATCTCCAAACTAACACTTTCCTAGCCTCACTTGCGCTCTGGGCAGGTGGCAACGAACTCGAGAACCTCGAGTTGCCAATGGTTAAACGGATCGCACCCGATCAATTCGAAAGATATTTGGCGGAATATGAAGAGCTCTTCCTCGGTGTCCTAGCCCCTTGCGTTTTCGAAAATTCAAGGAGTATCTCATATACACCCAGTAGCTCGGGTAATGGTTGGCAATCGTTGAACTTCTCGACACCACAACCCATTGTACAACGATACGACAATAAAACAGCGGGATGTATCTATGGAAACACTGATTATTATCAGTACGACTCTGCTCTAGCTTTCGACTTCTCGACTTATCCGATTGGTCGATTTTCGAACGAATTCGGTTACCATTCAATGCCATCGATACAAAGCTGGCGTCAAGCTGTCGCACCAGAGGATCTTCACTTCAACTCATCAGTAATCCAGCTCAGAAATCACCACTATCCACCAGGAGGTCTAAACGAATCCAATTTCGCCAATTCTACGAAGGGAATGGCGGAAATGACGATTGCGGTGCAGCGATGGTATCCTTCACCCAACAAAACGGATCATGCAGCAAATTTTTCGTCATGGTGTCACGCCACGCAGATTTTCCAAGCAGACTTCTACAAGAGTCAAATCATGTTTTATCGCCGAGGAAGCGGGATGCCAGAGCGACAGCTGGGTTCGCTGTATTGGCAGCTGGAAGACATTTGGCAAGCTCCAACCTGGGCTGGTATCGAATACGACGGACGCTGGAAGGTCCTTCACTACATCACGAAAGACATATATCAGAATATTATCATTACACCTTTTAACGATGCCACCACCGGTAACTTCGAGATATATGTAACATCGGATCTCTGGAGCCCAGCAAACGGCACAGCAAGTTTCGCATGGTACGATTGGTCCGGAAACGTCCTCGACATTCCTATTCCTAGTTTTGTCAACTTCAGTGTTGGCGCCATCAATACAACTCGTGTTTTTCAAGGAAACATGTTTGATATGCTTGGATCATACGACCCTAAAGATGTTGTCCTCCGCATGGAAATATTTGCGGATGGCTGGTTGCCAAATAACAAGAATGCCCAAACTTTCAATCATGTCAACTGGTTCCATGCCTCGCCTCTCTCTCAAGCTCGACTAGTCGATCCAGGCTTGCAGATCAGGCACCAGGATGGTTTCTTTTCAGTTCGAGCTAGTAGAGGCGTTGCGGCTTGGGTCTGGTTAGATTATCCTGAAGGCTCAGTGGTCGAGTTTGACAGCAACGGTTTCTGGCTGCATGCTGGTGAAGAGCGTACGGTTGGCTATAAGCTCATCAATGGACATACTGGGGATTCCTGGGCCGAAAGTGTCACCGCGCAAAGTTTGTTCGACTTGACGCTGCCTTAGGGATTGCGTGGGTCACGTACGGAGAATCCAGCTGCTGCATGCTGAAGCACGCCATACACAGGTCGAGACACCAATTCTTTATTTCAACCCATCAATAGCAGTACTTGTTTATTCGGCATGGGGTTGTTTTGGAAGTAGCTTTATCGGTGTGTGTGGGGTAGATCGCTCATCTCGAAGTTCACACTTCCAATGAATTTCCATTTCAACAAAAATTTTGAAGTTTTTTCCTGTTTCTTTCCCTTTTTTTTTTTTTTTTTTTTTTGATCGTTCAGTTGAGAAAAAGGATATGAGGCGCAATGAAATGCAATTCCCAGATCCAGAAGTCTCTAAGCTCCTCGGCTTTATTACGGTGACGCAAGCAGGACGGGGGTATAAAGAAGGTTCTACCTGTATCGTCATGATCTGAGCTGCAATATCCCCTGGCTCAATAATTGGACGCCGAGTCACTACTGTGTCACAATTCATATCCTTCTTCTGGCAAAGCGAAGCAGGCAGGTTGTGGTGTGGCTTGTTTATGGACGACAGTCGATTTTTACGTGTTTTGTAAATGTCTCTGCGGTGGAATCTCCGCTGAACCAGATAATTTCTCGCAGAAGACGGGGTAGCTCGAAGCTCAAGACAAAGGTATCAGTGAGAAACAGCAATGGGATAGCAATGTTCATCATGGTGTGGGAACTGTTAATTTCTACTTACAACGCGAAAAACTCTCGTCCAATGGCCACATCTACCACGCTCAGGACGTAAAGAAGCAAGGCGGAATGCTGAATTCAGATGCAAAACAGGGCAGGAGCTGGTCAATGAGATGACAGCGCAGTGGGCACGGTTGGGGTGGGAAGCAATTCTAGTTCGAACGGGCATGATATCCTACGGACGTCAACCGCTGTGCTCCGTTTTTCACATCTTGCACCCAGAATTTCAATTGGCTGTGACGTGTCCGAACTTATTACGTAGTACAGACAAGGCACGGCCACCCCTGCAAGAATAGATGTACCATCTCCGATAATGTGTACAACTATATCTAACTGCCAATATTCTACGCCTTTTCGGGTGGACACAGGCAGTGTGTTGCACGGGGCAATCGACCGGCCCGTGAGAGAAGGGCTAGGCCTGAGGATGAAGAATGATAGACAAAAAACCGCATAAATTCAGCGTGCTTCCGCTACTCTCTTTTATCGAACCATCTCTGACTTCTGAGTATGCAACTCGGCCGATATCGGCTTTCTACAGTGTTCTCAAAAATCTCAACATATTACGGAGCTAAAGAACAGTGATGTGCTCTAAGAGCAAGGGCTACTACGTACTTTAAGGTATCCAATGTTTCACAACGATCTTCTGTTTTGTGCTTTGTCATTGTAGCAAGCCGGCCTCATCTTGGCGGTTGCAAAATGGTACTCGAAAGACATTGAGTGACTGAAGCGAAGTACGACTGCATTACCGAGCGCGAGAAAAAATTGGAAAGCCCAGAGGAGCTTCACCGTAAATTAGAAGACATATGTTTGATAAGCAAATTTAACGTGGCTCCAATCGTTCCCTGTTTATTTCGATAGCTTGTGCAATGTGGTGTAATTATTGTCGCACCGGTACATAGCTTCCGCTGCAAAAGCACTTCTAGCTTTTTGCATGATGTGTAAGTCTCATGCAAGAGTGAGCTTGAATTGTTGAGGTTGGGCTTTTGTGTCGAGTTCACACGCGAAGTTTTAAAACTTTCTTCAGTTGTTGATAATGATCGCGAAACCGCGTGAGCGGAAGATGCATCTGGCCTCATTCCCCGAAGTGCACCACCTTTCAACATTCGTATTGATTGACCTACAGTGGAGCCTGCAAAATGGATAATTTACAACTGAAAGAGATAACGCGATCTGGTCTGTGTTTATGGAGCATTGCGCAACATGATGAGCTTGAGAACAACATCGGCCACGGTCGGCCTTTTTTGTTGGAACATGAGCCATTGGACCCAGCCATTGCCCTCAGAGCTGAAAAGAAGGGTGTCGAGGACTGCCGTGTAATCTTCGAAGCCTTATCTTGGCCAGACCGGTCAGCATTGACAAAACAATCAGGAGAATTAGACCAGCATATACAAGAAAATGAAATTGGCTGTTGGTGGACTGAAGAATGCAACAACTACTGCGCAATTGATGCCAGATCCACGCTTAGTTTTCGTCCTATTTTAGAGCTTGTACGTTACGAGAATTTTTGTCTTTCATCAATGAGCACTTACCTTTCCTCTTGGTAGGGAAAGAAAAAATTCATATACCGCTGGGAGTGCGTGAGTAGCCGTCATTATGCGACCTTGAGCGAGAAACTGACTGCGCAGCCACTTAGTGTTCCTGTGGTGAGCCATGGAATGCAATAACCGCAGCCTTCTGCCGATGTGGCCACGCTCGGTGCCAGAGATGCGTCATAGCTAAGATAGCTATATGAAAACTAGAGGTGCCCCCTGATTTTGGCCATCAACCTTCATGGCGGCTCTTCAGAGAGACCAACTATGTCGGCTAAAAAGCTCTGGAATTTTTGGTTTCTATTTGAGCAATACAATGAACGACAACAGGATCCCATTGATGGTCTTGGAGGGCAGGCAGAGGCAAGAATCCCAGATGGTAGTTCACCCAAAAGGCGGCATAACACAAAATGATAATGTTCTGAACTATGATTAGGTAATAGTAAAATTTAGATGGATTTGATTTCAGCAATGTTTTTGAGCGTTCTCCTGGTTTCATCAATCCTTGAACTTTGGCTCACTTAAAGGCAATTCCGTAGCTGGTCACTTAAGCGACTCCATGGACAACTCGAGGAAACCACTTGTGCTTTGGAGAAATTCACTGGCAGGCAAAGTACATTTGGATATTCCACGAACGACGAGTACACTACCTCGACCTGGAGCCCTATTACCAGCTTTTTTGAATAGAATACCCAGGGCTTTGACAAATTCGAGACTTAGATTGACCTCACAAGTAATCATTGTTGTAGGGAGTAGATTGATTTGAAGCCCGAAATGCCTATCGTAAAGTCTGTTGGATTTCCCAAACGTTTTAGGTACAATCATTACTCGTACAGTAGCATAAAAATATCAGTGAACAGGGTCTGGAGAAAGACAAAAAGCGACCAGCTTTTAGCATTCAGAAGTAGCCAGAGCGCACCAGAAGAATTACCAAAGTCATATTGCTCATAAGTATTGCTCAATATTTGAGATCATCGAGGGCACTAACGAGACTCACCAAAAGACCGTAGCTGCAAGCGCATTACCAACATTTTTGTTGTATGCAACGATGCAATACCTTCAATATTTTCAAGAGTACTGATTTTGCTCAACGCACATATCCCTCCTCATTCGGATGCACGATTATAGCTTGCGGGGCTTCCAATGCCGTAATCAGTGCTACTTTTCTAGTCTTTGATCTGGGGTCCAAAGACTGACATAAGACGCAGCATTCGTTTGTACATAACACGGGATGAAACCTAGTCTAAAATTTGACCTTGCATTAACAGAGCATCGCTAATTGTAAGAAAGGTTTACAATGACCATGTTGTGACTCGGGAGCTGCATAATTTGGAAGTTTATCAGATTAGTAACATATCGACGTCACGGGAAACATCAATTTGCTGGGCGCAATCATTGAATTGTAAGATCAAACATTCCGGCAATTCGATCAGAAATAAATTCCAGAATCTCGACTCCCCCGCCTAGCTGATGTTAATCATGAAATCCTCTATAAACCTACGTTTGAGAGCTTACCCTGCAATGATTCCGAGCAACTTCAAGCCGTTCTCCAAGACAACTTCGGTCGCTTTGAAAAGTTCTTTCTGCATTTTGTTTTGAGCAACAACTTTCGTGCGATCTTCAATGCATCCACTTAAACGAGTTGTGACACTCATCAAAAAAGCCATAATGGCCGACGGCTCAGGGGTCTTCGCCTTGAATGCAGTGTCCACAACTTCGGGATAATGTGAGAGTAGTCTTAGTAAAGCTGCTCTTTCTTCATCTTTCGTTCTCTCTGCTTCTTCAAGTGTACGCACTGAACTATTGTTGACCATCGTAGACTGCTGAGCTTCCTCCTTAGATGCTTCTGATGCGTCAATGGGTCCGGCTGACACCTCATGATCCAAATATTTGATAGAAGAAAGACTTGAGAACCATGACAAAAGCTCAAGAGCGTTTGACGATTCAAAAGAAGCGAGCTTCTCCACATCAAATGTCAGCTCCGTTGCAGACTTAACAGACGACACATGCGCGAACATTGCAGATGTACACAAGTTAGCAGCGCTTACAGATCGTAGCTGAGACAGTTTCTGCGGGTCTTCGGAAATAGCTTTCTGAATTGTCTCTTCACACTGATCTAGGACGCTGGCAAGGGTCTGCTCGTGGTCACCCGACTTGGGGATATGAGACTTGTCGCTGAAGGAAACGTGATGCAGCTTGTCAGCAAGGTCGTCAAGTCCCATCAGATGTAGAATCTGGAAGACTTTGGCGAAATGAGCTTTGTTATCCGCGGCCACGACGTAGACCATCTTGTCGAAAGAATACCGTCGGTAACGCTCAAGGACAGCTGCAAGATCTCTTAGGAGGTAGGTACTGCTCCCTTCCCTCGTGCGTATTATTGCAATACCGCTTGCCCCATGTTCCTTTAAATCGATGGTAAGAGCGCCGCCTTTCTCAACCGTTAGATTTTTGTCTTTCATGATCTGGATGACCTCGGCCATGGTTTCCTTCGAAACTTGAGACTCTCCTGAGTACTCATCGAAACTGACGTGCATTCTCGCGTAGAGTTGACTGTAGTCCTGAATGCTGACCTCGCGGAATCTTTTCGCAAACTCCAGGGCTTCTTCGTCGCCATCTTCCATTTTCTTAAAGAAGGCGTTACGTTCAGCGTACAGGCCTCGAGATTCTACTTCGCTTGCAGCGTCAACGCCATGCTCGTCACGCGCCCTCCTGCTCTCCAGCTCCTCGGGCCTAAACATCTCGTAGGTTTTTTGGTACACATCTCGTAGATGCGCAATCGGATCGGTTTCGAGCAGACTTTGAGAACCAAACCTAGCGAATCCTGCTCCCAAAAGTCCTATGGGCTTTCCCCAGTCGCCCAGGTAGTTGATAGTCGTCACGTCCCAGCCGAAAGCACGGTACAGATTGGAAATCTGTGCACCTAGCAGGGTAGATCGTAAATGTTTCCCTTGAAACTCGCTAGCTATGTTAGGCGAAGAAAATTCAATGACTACCTTCTTTTGTTTGGCATCGAGTGGTGACTGTCCTGTTGGAGAAGTCGTGCCATCGACACCGTAGTTGCATCCACGATCAATGATGTAAGGAAGAAGCCAGTTCTGCAAAGTGTCTGTGTTAAGAAACAGGCGTAATTGCATTCCTTCTGGGACAGGAAGTACAAACAACGGAGTTGTGGGAAACTATCCAAGTTAGTGAGAGGCTTCATAAATGAATCCCTTCGCTTGCTTAACAAGCAAGTTACCTTAGACATGAGGTCTAAAGCGTAGAGCTCGGCCTCGCAATCATGATCAATTTTCGGAACAATAATTATCAAATCTCCGTAGTTGATATTGCTAGCTTCTGCGATAGCTTTGGAAACATTGTTAGCATGGTCAGGAGCAAGGCGCTTGAGTGCACCGGCAAGGTACGCTCGAGCTATATCGAGGGGTTTGCGCAAAGGGATCGAGTCGGGGAACTCTGGAATAGGCGTCTCAACACCGAGATCAGATAGAAGAGCCTGGAGGCCGTCTATAGTGAGAGTTGTCATCATTGCAATTCTGCAGAATCCCCAAGCTACAGTGCAGTTGCTCCTCCAAATGTACTTGAGAAGAGTGAGTTATCTAATAATGAGGCTGAAAGTTCGGGTGGTGCCAGCAGACACTGCTCATCTGCTATGTGTTGAGCTCGGATTGGGCAATGCATGCAGGTAGGACAATCCCCCAATGAACATTTCATTCAGACAGTGATAAAACACAAAGTACATTTCACTATCTTGCACAGTAAGCTGGAAAAGAAAGACGATACGCGTCTATGCTCATTTCGAAGTTAAGCGCTGTTATGCTTGCAATCGCTGTAAATGCAATCAATCATGTTCTATTCTCCCGTGACACTATTCTCGTCGAGAAAACCACCATTCAGGTAGACGTGGATTGGTTCTCGACATCGATACTAGAATCAGCTGACGGGGCTCTCTTTCGCGTAAATGGTACTCTCGTGACTAGCGAGAATTTGAACTCTGGCCATTGGAAGTATGGCGATGCAGCGGAAGGAAGTGCAAAAACCGCACCAGGGATTGAAGACAATACGAGGCCAAATCTGAACGATGGCTTTCTCCAGGATTCGGAAAGCGAGACAAGCTTCACACATCCAAAAAGAACAATGGCAAGGATGAAGAAGACAAGGCAAAATGTCCTAAATGTTACCGGAATAGGAACTGCGGTCTTGGGCATGGCAAAGAATGCAGTTGAAAGAGCTCCCGGTGCAATAATCTGACATCGAGTTAGCACAACCTCCTCCTACAACTGCACAAAATGTTTTCAATTACCAAGAAGGTAACGGTCGCAACTCGCTGAGACCACTCCGAGCACTTTTGAGCACTGTTCACCAGCTCCATCTGTTCCTTGGATATTTTGACATGCTCTCTGTTGGACTGCAAGGTATCTATGAATAGCAACATTTTTTGTTGGTCTATGGCATCTCGAACCTACCAATATTCAGTAAATTGCATGAAGGACAGGTTTAGCGGATTGCTCACTTGCATGGACCGCTGCCAGCAGAAGCCAGCCAATTTGTTTAGCTCCTCTAGTATATCTTCAAGCTCTTCGAAAATTTTTTTCACTTGCTTGAGGAGTTTTGAATATGTAGCGGTGGCAGCGTCATCATCAAAATAGATTATATCTCCCGATGCTTCTTGGAATTTTTTCCAGACACGTATTGTGTTTTCGAGCTGCGTCTGGAGCTGATTTAATATCTGCCCAACCTCCGAAACCCGATTCTGATAAGACAAGATCAGCACGCAATGTGTTCCTGGTAACTTTTTCTCATCAAAAATATCAGGACTAGGCTCAAGAAGTTTCGGAATACTTTCTAGAAGCATGTCGTTGATCCATTGCCAGTTGCTTAGAGCCTTTTCAGTTACATCAAACATAGCTGTTAAAAAGTATTCTCTAGCGTCCGATACGTTGTGGCCGATCTCGTACTTGGTGATAAGCACGTCCATGTCTGGGGTCTCATCGTCGTCAATTTCAGAGCCTTCGTTCTCACTTTCCTCATCCTCATCATCATCGTCATCATCATCATCGTCATCGTCATCCTCTGACATCGCCGGCACGGAGTCGAATAGTCCCAAAGCAAACCATATCTTGTTATTTCCACCATAGAGAGCAACAGTGGCTCGTTTTCGACATATCATGTATTTTTTATCTGGAATTGAGTCCATGAAGAAAGAAAGGTCTTTCCATTCTCCAAATTTCGGCTTTTCTTTCAGACACCGCAATGCATAGTAGGGTAGACTAAATGTGAGCTCAAATCGAGAGCAGCCTTGGATCTAAGATCGCATCAATAAGCTGCGCAAGCAAAAAGCCAGCCGCGTTTTCATCTATACGTACAGGGATATCCACTTTGATCCTCGACCGGAATTTCCCGAAATCATTCATCGCATTAGTTAGTGGTTGTCGTTGATGCATAACTGCAGTTTCGGTAAGGGCAACAAAATGATAAGGATTAGGGTCTTCGATTTTGCTACGCGGTGGAGATCAACATCATTTTCTTTTTAGGTTTCCAAAAGGCACATACACAATCCGTCTCAGCGAGTCAGGCTTGTGGGGATGATTAAAGCGCTGGACTTGTCAGTGACGATTTGAAGAATTTTTGCGCTTGGAGCCCACCTTCTCCGACAGCAAATCCAAAAGCTGCGCAGGTGATAATTGATTCCCACCTCTCACGCGGATCGTTCCACCTTCGTTCCGATCATCTATTCGTGTCGCGCTAGGTCTCAGGCCCAAGGGATCGTTTTTGTAACCAGCGCGACAGACTCTTCTACAAAACTGCTTGATTGTCCAGTCTTTGGAATGTGGTCTACCATCCCAGGACTCCCACGGGGAGTGCGTCAGGAAATCACGAATCAGAGGCCTTTCGTCCGAATCGCTGAGGGTGCAAGATACATGCTGAGCCCGCGGGGACACCAAATGCTCTTCCCTTAGGTTAACGCTTTCATCTTTGGACTGTTTTGAACTCGATGGCTTCTTGGCTCTCTCCTCTCGCTTTCTTTGAACGTAAGGGATATCATCGTTAATCCTGTTCACGTCAAACACCTTGCCCCAAGTACTGCGATTTGTGGTTTTGTGATTGATCATTGAGGTTGCTTAGTTAAACAAGGAGCAACAGATCAAGGATTAAGCACTTCAGGTGTATATATCGTTTGGCAGTGTAAAAGGCTGCAGACTAAAGAGTGGGTGGTGCCCTCAAGCTTACGAGCTTCCAAATGACAGTTTTCATCGCAGCAACACGTATATCTGCTGCAGTACTCTCCTCAGGGCTGTGCAAGGAAAAGCGAATTAAGTTACGCTTTGGTTACTTGCTCTTACGATTTCTCGATATGATAAACAACACCAGATGACGGTCCTGAAATTAGCTGGTCGAATTAAATGCGGATACGTGTCCATCCCATTTCGTTTTCTCTGTTGCGTGCGCACTCTTGACTGGTACAAATAGATACGCTAGAGAAACAGGGCGTGCCAGGCTGTAATTCGATATTCTACACCGTGGGCAAATCGTTGTGAGGCTATCTAGATACTCTCGTGATTGGAGCGCCTCTTTCAAAGGGCGGGAAATCAAGATCCGCTTCTGTCCGCCGGTCGACATGCCGATACTGCGTCAATAGTCACACAGCGTGTTTTGTAATAGAGCAGTACGTGCATCTCATGTGCCCACAGTTCACACAGCTATTTCCTGATATGCCGTTCCATGGCTCCCCACACTGACACTGGATCATGCCCCTATCAGCAATTACCTGCGCTATATCACGAATGCCAACTCACACATTCCCACCTGTATATTGTTCGCTTTTTGCCCTGTATGAAGCAGTGGTAAGTTCATGTTGTCGCACAAATATGACGTCTACATACGTGCTCTACGATAGGCACAAGATTCCCAGGAGGCGGATCTGCGAGGCGTTCGGTGGAATACGTTCTGCTCAGCCACGCTCGTCTATATGTGTCTGGTTCGGATTGGCGTTCTCGAGTTGACGCGCGTATTTCTCTGCCTTGTAAGAGGCCGCCTTCAGTCCGCACATGAGCTTGGGCCGCAATTCTGGGCAAAAAATTTTGATTCGTGTGTCTTGCACTGAGAGTACAAAGGACAATTAACCCACAGGAACAATGAAAGTCGGCTATTTTCAACACATGATACCTCCTTCGACGCTGACTGTTAGACAGGCATGTACGTCGCTTATTCAGTAACAGCCGGGGCATTTTGCATTCAAATGGACGCAATCGCTTCTGGCCGGAAGAGGAAATTTCGATTAAGTCGGCAGAGTATGTTGAAAGAAAATTGCACTTCTCATTCTCAGAGACAGCACTTGAAACTGTGCCCCCATCCTGATCAAAAAAAGGAAGGGTGCAAACTTCAAAGTAGCGAAATGCTGCACTTTGCAGAGGCGGTGTAGAACACTTCCGGAATATCCAGTGATAGAACTATCTTATGCATAGGATGAGCTAGCAAAGCATTAGTTAGGAGATCATTGTGCTAAGCAACGAAATTCCCAGGCCAGAGCCAAGTTGCTGTTCGACATTTCCACGGCGAAGTCGGCCATGCTCTTTACATGCAGCTTGCCACGCCTTCACACGAGTTTTGAGTGCGAGATAAGCAACGATAGAAACTTGAAGGAGTAAAGAAAAAGGTCTTCGTTCGCACGAAGAAACGCAGTGATTTTAATACCTGAACCATGTGGTTTGCTGTTGGTGGGGAAACCAGGTCAAGAACTATTCTACAAGGAGTGCGACGTAGGATATTCTATGACTTGGTCAGTTCGAGATGATCCCGGCCCCAGGCGCTGCGTTCTCCTACGCGCGCTATGGGCTGTAGCTTTTGCATTCCCGCTCATGTGCTTCGTGTCATTCGACAATTCATCAAGTAGGCTCGGCTGGAATGCGTATCGTGCATATGCAAGAGCAGCCTTCGCCGTGAGTCGTCGTGCATTGATCTTGGCAATGGGAAAAGATGCCTCCCTTTGGCGTACTGCAGCTCCGCCTCACTCGGTGAGAATAGCACGCGGTGAGATGGATGCACAGAGATCGATAAGAGTGAGCTCAGTACTATTGTTTGACACTTAGGTGGGTGCAATATGTACTTGCCCTACGGCCCAGTTGCTGCCGCCTTCTTCTTCTTTGTCTTCTTCTTCTTGCCACTGCTGCTGCTCAGATTTGCCTTCAGCAAGGCTGCTTCAACCTCTGAGTCCTCCTTGCTTGCAACCTCAATCTTTGTAGATTCATCGTCTCTCGCACTGCCATGTTCGTCGCTTCCAACAGCTTCTGAATCTTTTAGGGGCACGACCATCTCATCTGGCTGTGATTGGCCATTTTCTACCCCTTTTACGGCCAAGTCTTCATTACCAGCCTGTGACTCTGCCGATGTTGGATTCAGCTCAAGATTGGTCTCTGAGCTGTCGTTTGGGACACCCTAGACCAGTCAACATCAACTTGGCCCCGAGCTTGGGCAAAAGCAGCTTACTTGCTCTTCAACGTGACTCTCTTCTGACATGAATCTTTCAGCTTGCTCGCTGACTTGCTCGTCCCATCGATCTTGACCGTTCACTTCTGCTTAAGACGCATCAGTCCTGAGAAGGGAAAGCTCTAGTACACTTACTAAGATCATCCTCGGCGGTTTCAGTCTTTTTCGCACTATCTGCTGCTTGTGGCCCGGACTCTTGCCTTGTGAGGAGATTGACCACGGCCGCCTGCTCGCAGTACATCTCCGCAACGCTTTTAAAGAGCGCCTTGTCGAATAGCGGACATTTGCCAACGACATTCAAAAGGCGTTCCTGTGAGACAATCGTGTCGTTTTCGCGAAGAATCCCCTTCACCCACCGGTATAGATGTTCCGGGAACCAAATGTCGTCTTTTGGTAGCTTAGTCGCGACACTCGTAATGATCTCTTGCACGTCGTAAATCGAGATCCGTTTACTGAAGTGTTCCATCTTCTCTTTGGTGAGCACTTCGAGCGTACTTATTTCACACAATCTGGCCGCGAAATACGCCAGAATACTGCGCTTGAACTCGGCTTTTGCTCGAACATTTTCCGGAATGCCCCCTAAGCCGAGCGATTGGTATTGCTGTGTGTAGATAAAGTGAATCAGCGTATGTGCAACCTCTTCATCGACATCAGGTAGCTCAATCGGAGCATCTGCCTTCTTTTGGTTCATGTGCGCTTTGAGCGCTGGATATTGGTCGACATGAGCTTGGAGAATGGTATAGCTTGCATTGCTACTGCCAATCTTCACACTGATAGCGCGACTCGTGTACGGACTGGTTACCAGTTAGCACCCGATTCGAATTTCTGTCACGTACTTCAGTCTTACGAGGTAACAAGGTCACCTTCTGGAGAGTGTTCAGTCTCCCCACTGACGTGCACGCCATTCGTGAGCGCCATCGTCGTTAATGTGGACGGCATCTACGATATTGAAGGAACAAGAAATCTTCACATATTCGGTAGTATTATTTATTTAATCCTGTGCTTCCTGTCGAGACAAATCCGGCCATCACTTTGCCTTCTGTACAGATCATCATTGCAGGATATCCTGCAGTCTCCCTCATCCATTGACCAGTCATGTACCGTGGCTCGAGTGAAGACTTCAAAAGACAAGGCTGCCTCAGCCGTGACCCCGCTATGTGGTTTGAAGCCATTGGTACCATTTGCAGCGCTCCCCGCAATTTTCGCATGAATCAGGAAAGCCAGCTCATCGATGCATATGTGCGAAACAAATGGTTTCTACTTGCATTTGACCGGCAGATGTCCATGTGATGAGGCTCTGCGCAGACCAGAATTACGTAGTAGAGGCCATGTGTCATATAATCCAAAATTCATTCATGTTGAAAATCCGCAAAAGCAATGCGCTGATCTTAAGCGACTGCGATAGGACTCAAATGGACGCAGAGCTGTGACAACACCTAGCTACTCGTTTTGGATGACCCAGAACACCATCAATTTCAATGACGAAATGTTCCATTGCAGCGCATTTGTAGCTAATCATCAGCTTCTAAACATGTTGTGATTGCTCGAAACCCTGTTCGCCCTGAGTAGAGTTCTCCATTCGTGCATCTCCACATAGACTATACGCAGCCTCAAACCGGATATGTTGTAGCCACTCTTGGAGTCATTCGAGGCCCATTTACGAATATCCGTCAGTTGAAGCATACCAGAAGGCTTTGAGAAACACTTTTGCGTTTGATCGCAGGAGACATCTGGCAAGGAAAACAAACCCGAAAACACCCAGCTTTGGGCATTATCAAGCGGACGGATTGTCGTAGGACGAGGATCTTGAAATGAAACCTGAGTTCATGTACGTTGTCGATGATCTTGATGGGTCATCCAATCTGAGTGGAGTCAAATCTATTATAAGATCAGAGCACACGATGCTGCTGTCGAATCCACCTTGCTTTTCTCAGTCGTGCACAAGATCGACCAGTATGGGCTGTAAAGACGTGCGACGAAGGAGAGTGTGTTTGTCGAGAAGACCCAGCCGATTTGAGGCGCACGGTTACTCTGTATGTGCGGTAAGGATAAAGCGCGGGTTCTAAATGAATGAGCGGGACTATCTTGATTCAAACTATTGGTCCAAGTTATCTATCTTGATCACGGTTCCTAACTCATCTTCTCCAAGATCGACGACGCGTGATCCTCCGTACTGTCGGACCGAACCCAAGCGCCAGGTTGTCCGTGTGTCGTCTAATCGCCTCACTCAGCCGATCGTCATCGCCTAGGCCAGCTGCAAACCTGACACCTTACGAAATCTTGCATAGCTCACCACCAGGGACCCTCACTCTTGATTGAATCAACCAAAACCGTCAAAGTGGCTTCGATACTGGCTTCGATCACGCCGTACATTCCGGAGAGCTTGTACAAGATCCTACCTTTGCAAAAGAAGCCTCCGGACTCTCTGCTGACCAACATAGACGCGCGATTTCGCCCCGCATTCAAAGCGTTGGTTCAGCAGATTGCGGCTCTCCTGCCAGTACATAGCACCACTTCAAAATCAAACACTGTCCAGGAGCAATTCTTCGCGCATATTCGGGACGTTCTCGTAGCCGTCGAGAGTTTTGAACCTACACTTGTTGCTGCCTTCTTCCTAACTCTGATCCTTCTTGTACGGCTTTTCATGTCTTGGTACAGTCGCTTCCCCAGTTGGAGCGACCGTCTCAGTCCCTTCACACGTTCAAGTAACAAAAATGATGGCCAAGTCTCAGACTCGGATTTTTCGTACATAACGGCAGAGGACCTGGCGAAGGCAAATGCTGGCAACGGCTTCGTGCCAAGCCATGACCGCGACACCGACGTGCTAATATTGAAGCACAAGCGAGTCAGCTATCCTGTGCATTTCCCTGCGCACAGCATAGACAAGGGTCAACTCAAGATTGGAGATGTCAGAGCAGCAGCGGCGAAAAAACTCGAGCTCGATCCTTCGCAAGCAGATCGGATAAAAATATTTTACCGTGGGAAGAACCTGAAAGACGACTCTAAATCTGCAAAGGATGAAGGCTTGAAGAGCTCGATAGAATCAGAACTTATGCTTGTGATCGGCGATGCAGTTCCAGAGGAGAGCTCTGAGTCCGAGAGCGAGGACAACGCTGCGAATGGCACCGGAGAGAGCAAGAAGAAGAAGCGCAGTCGCAAGCGAAAGAGCAAGAAGAAGAAGGGTGGTGACAGCGGAACAGCTACGCCTAGTTCGGGCTACTCAAATGCCAACATAGACCCGGACGCAACGTATGCTCCTTCAAATGCACCACCTCCTCGTCCGACGTCGACGCCGAGACCTCAAGCACCGCCACAGACTCCGATTGAGAAACTAGATGCTATCGCATCACTGTTTCACACAAAATTTGTTCCAGAAGCTGTACAGTACATCAACAATCCACCAAAGGACAAGGCGAAGCGTGAGTTCGACCATAAACGCTTCAGCGAGACGATATTGGCACAGGTATTGCTCAAGCTGGATGCTGTAGAGACCGAGGGTGATCCAGCAGCTAGACAGAAGAGGAAGGATCTAGTCAAGGAAGTTCAAAGCATGTTAAATAAGCTGGATGATGTTGTCAAGACATGAGCATACAGGGACGTACCTCTCGATTTGAATGAGGTGAATGTATAGCATTACAGGAGGCAGGCATGGTCATTGAATTGACGATGAAAATTTGGGAGCATGGGAAATTGAGCCAATTGCGTCTAGCATAGAGCAACGTTATAGCGCGACAGCGGATCTGTTGTAATATGACTCCATCGCAGATTCTAAAGAAGATGAAAGCTTTCGTCTCCAACGTTAGGAACCCATCCTTTCAGATTTTGCGTTTTGAGCTCGTTTTTCATTCTTCTTCGTAGGGCAAGGAGTTCACTTCCCTTTATTTCACCGTATGAGCTTACCTTCAAGGCACTATCCAAAAGATCCTCGTCCAGAAGGTTTGCAAGTTCGGCAGCAATCTTCCACAAACTCTTGCGGCAAATTGCGCATGCTCCTCGGGGATCGCTATTCTTTCGTCCTTGTAGTACCCCGCCGATGAGCGCCTCCGTACTGTAGACAGTATATGCCGCACTGACATTACTGGGAATCGCCTTTCCGTCGGCAACGGCTGCCCTCCGTGACCATTGAAATTCAAGATCTGTGGTTTGAACCGCGAAAGGCTTGAACACGTAAGGGACATCTCCAGTAAATTTCACGTCTTTCAAACGCCCGGATGTTGTAAACGCACGAACAAAGGCCGACTCTATGAATTGCGACTTTGGGATGGTAAAGGACGAGAGATACGCGTTTCCAGGGGCGACGAAGAGTGAAGTCACGGAGTTAAGGAGTGACATGTACTGATACATTGTCAACTTATCCGTGCAGGACTTGCTAAGAGTATCTGGAGCATCTGAGCGAGAGGGCTTGCGCCGAACGATTCCCAATTCTCCAAACGACCCTCGACCCTTCAGCGCAACCGGATCGGACGAGGTGCCGTCCATATCTGACACAGGTGGGATAGCCCAAGGCGTAGCGTCCTCTTGGGCAGCCATGATGAGCTCCATGCTAGCATCACCACACGGTGCTTCAGAGCCATACATATGAATGGATACATCTTGACGGATCTCGAAGGGTTGGAGGGTACCTGACGTGGCATCGCAAGGAGATCGTCGTCTGACGTAGAGCGATGTTGAAGTAGGGTCATTAGCAAGTTGTAGGCACTGCTCAAGTAGAAATCGATTGAATGATCGAACGGCGATCACTTCAGCATGTGAATCATGCAAGACAGTTCCATGCGCGTCCGCCAACTTTGAGGCAGGCAGGCACTTCATCCCAGTTCTGGTATCGGCATAAGCTTACTCGGCCACGACTGCAAACGAGCATAAGAGAACAGAGCTATTCGCAAGGTTCCCATTACTCACCCTACTGCCACGCACTCCAGCTGTCGACCATGATTGTTACTTGATAGAACTATGCCAGCAAGCGGGACCCACTCTCGCGAGCCTTCCCCTCGAACGCGAGGTTTGCATTTCTGAGGCAGCTCGTCGTACTTGGAGAGTACACATGCAGCGATGTCATCGCCTCTGGGAAGGCCAGCTTCGAGGAGCTGAGAGCCTTCCATGCATGGATGGGCAGTCAAGCTTTCCAGCCCTTGTGCTTGTTTAGATATGGCAGAAAGTTCAAGACGCGTGAAATGATGTACGAAACGTCGAGCTGACACACGTGGCGTGGCTGTCTTAGATCACGGTCGCCAAGTTACAATTTTGAGCGACGCCAATTGATGTGAGAACAGCGAACTACAAACGCGTTCACACACAAACTTTAACTTTGCAAATCGTTTTGCAGGCAGATTCAAATCGACAATGTACAGACTGACGGTTTGACGATGAAAATTGCGTGAACAAGGTGGCAACTGACGTCAAAGGCCAGTCCACACTTCCAGGATTTCGCTGACTGTTTCACGCGCTTGCGGATAGCGGATCATCCACACATAAGCAAAAAGAACATCAAGATTTGCAGCAAGGATAGCATGTGCAAATCTGATCGTCTCTATCCGCCACCTTGAAACCCCCCCACGTTGTAGGATGTTCCTGTGCACAGCTCTTTGTGCTTTTGTGCTGCCCTCCAATAGCGGTTGTTCTTGATGGCTTTGCGCATCAGGATATGATTGAGTAAGAGAGAAAGGGAGCGGAAGAGAAGCAGCGTCACGCGCACGTCGCTGTTTCGGCTTCATAGGCCCAGAACGCGCGAGCTTTCGCCGTATGACTGAGCCGTAAAGAAGACGGACGGATATGTCAAGGGCGCGTAGCGATGGCAGCATTGTCGTACCAGTCATTTTGCGCTCCTAACCCATTCTTAATAATTCATCGGCTTTTACGGAGCACAGCGTCTGTAGCATACTGTCTCCGGTAGTACTTCCGCCGTCTTCCATTTTCTTTCTTTTCTTTTTATTATTAGTCCTTGTATCATTTTTTGCACTCGTTGAGACACGGCTATACGGAATAGCTTTCACCTAAATCATTCTTGACTTCTGCTCGCTTAATAGCCACATGTTCCACCTTTTCGCATTTTAAATCTCCCTTTTGCAAAACAAAAGGAAAAAAAAAAAAAAATTAAGAAATGGCACCGATCATATGGGGTCTTGACTTGTCTGAAATACAATGGAGCAAGTTCAAGAATAGCTACATGTGGAGCAACCAATATCACTTGCGGCGAACGAAGTTTGTCTTATACCAAGCAGCGATGATTCTCTGCGTGGTTTCGGAATCCCTCGGAACAGATGTACTTTCAGGTAAGTGCTGCTGGGCGCAACCTAGTGACAATACAACAGATCCTAACAAGCAGATCAGATTATGTTGACGAGCAGAAGCAAGTGGAGCACAATCAACCTGAACGAACCATCAAGAATGACAACATTGTTGGGTCGTTCTCATATAACATCTTTGTCGGCGTCTATGTTGCCACTATTTTTGGTTCTGGCTTCTTTTTCGACTTATTCTGGCCCGAAAGACATGAGTCGACGTCTGTGAAAATGGCATGGAGAGTGTGTTCTGTACTGGCCTGTTGTTTTACCCTGTCATCTGCCATCTTGCTCACGGTGATCTTGTCGACTAAACACGCGATACTGGTGGGTGATACGACAGGGCTTGAGCTGCAGCTGAGTCCTCCTCTGTCATACAAACACAATGGTGAGGCTATCGCCAGTGTCGTTTTACTGTGGTGTGGCTGGGTTGCTACTTGTGCAAGGTAAGGTTGTATGCCGTCTTTGTTTGAAACCGTACTGATCCGAAGACCTTAGTACCGGGGTAATGTTTTCCTCTATAGATTATATTGAGACTTTCGGCAGTGCTAAAGCAAGGCATTTTCGTGAAATTGAGGAGAGCCAAAAATGAACGTTTGGGACAAACGCTACTGGAGCATCAACCGACGGCTCGTTCCCAGGTGCTGAGAACAAGAAGGAGCTTGAGCAGTTGGGCTAAACCTAGATTCCATGCGATATGCATAACTTAGGTATCACTCCTATATAATGATACCTCTCTATGGTATGTGAGGACGGGTTTTTTGCTCCGTCATCCGGTGGAATGGTGTGCGTGGATATGAATAACGATATCCTGGCTTCCAAGATCATCATCGCTTTTAGAGCATTAGATTTGCATTCATAGATGTGCGACATCTCGTCTTGAATTGATACAATCGAGTACGCTTGAGATACGTAAGAGGATTTCCAAGTAATCTGTCACAGAAGTCGTACTCTCCCATGCATGGCCTGAGCGTTGAGCACAAAACCAAGACACCAAGGTCCAACATTGCAAACATCGATAATTTATCATAAATTGCAATGCAAGCTAGTCCCAGGCTGTTTGTATGAAGTTTATCAAAGCAGACAATAGTTCAAAACCTGCCTTGAAAATTGCCTTTGCATTATAACTGCTACTTCTAACCAATAGTCGAGTTAAATCTGAAAGCAACGTGCTGAAGATGACAACAGCTGTATTAGCGGGATCCACTGGACTGGTCGTCAGTCTTCTCCAAGGCATTGGCGAATATGTCGCTTCCCACGAGAGGCCATCGCAACTAACTACAGAAGGGTTCTAATATCCTCTTAACGCTGTTGGCTCATCCAGCATTCACCTCCGTGCAGCCTTTCACGCGTCGCAAGCTTTCTGTCGAGTCGCCCAAGCTCTCTCTTATCGAGTCCACGGAATCGGAGACATGGCCAACTCTATTCCCATCGGGCGCATCCATATTCTTCGCTGCTCTAGGCACAACGCGCGCACAAGCGGGAGGCGTTGAAAACCAGCGCAAGATTGACTTGGATCTCAATCTTGCCCTCGCCAAGGCGGCGAAAGAACGAGGCGTTCAGACTTATGTTCTTATCTCTTCGGGCGGCGCAAACGCGTCGTCACGGCTAGCATATCCAAAGATGAAGGGTGAACTGGAAGAGGCGGTCAAGGCGCTCGGCTTCAAGCATACCGTAATCCTTCGTCCTGGTCTTATTGTAGGCGACAGAGAGGACAGCAGACCGACAGAGTTCGCGCTGAGGAAAGTAGCCGGTTTTATGGGCCACTTCTTGGGCAACAAGGCGAAGGATTCTTGGGCGCAGGACGCCGACGTGATTGCAAAAGCTGCCGTCAATGCGAGTTTGCAATGTTTGGAAAACAAGAGAGAAGAAGGTGTCTGGATGCTGGGTCAAGCGGACATTGTGAAATTGGGCAGGACTGAATGGACAGAGCCTAACAAATGATTTTCACGCGCTCATTTCTGTCAAGTTCTGTTTATGACTGCTTGTAGCTCTTGAATGAATCGGGGCAATAATACGACATGCTCTTTTCGATATGTTGTAATGAAGACTGGTCTTTCAACACAAGTCTTGTGCGGTAAGAACTCAAACTGTCAGCAAAGGACTTATAGACCTGGATGTCGTAGGACGAACAAGTCGAACTTCCATACATTAAACTATGCACGGCTTTGCTTCGCCACTGCTTTCTTCTAACAAAAATAGTTCCCAGGGCACAAAGTTGATGAGATTATTTCATGGAATGTTTACCCATAAACACATGTTCCGGTTTATGAGTGCATTCTTTATCCCAACTTAGCTTCAGCCCTTAATCTCTCCTCCAATTCCTGCCCAAGTGCCTGCTTTTGTTCGACGGTTAGGCATTTCTGATTCCTCTCTCCCATCCAAATCCTCTCGTCCCTAATTCTCCAGTCCCGAATTGCAGTCACTCGTCCAACAATGCCCCACATGCTTAGAGGATCATCACATACGACGATTCTAAAATTTGGGATTCCAGGGCTCAAACGAGCAAATTGCTTGGTCCAGTCAGTTGAGGTGTTCATTGCGTGAGTGCCGCTCACATTGATAGAGTCGATGCAGTCTTCAATACGAGGCTTGCTATAGGAAGGTTGTGCTTGAACCTGTTGATTGCGGTCCTGAAAGGCATCCCGAGGAAAGTATAATTCCACAGTTATATCTACATGCCGTAGCTTTTGCATCCGATTTGCAAGGTGACTGTTCCAAAGTATGCTCGTCCAAAGTTTGTTCCTGCCTTCGCTAAAGGGCGCCGAACCAACCGCAATTGGCAAACTCAGGCGCTGTAATGCCCGGAGTTGCTCCGCCCTTATTGAAGAAACAAACGTCTGGAATGTGGTTGGATTGCGGAACAAAAATGTGTTCTCGGAGTACGGAAGAGTACGCATCTCCTTGTGCACAAGCCTGCAGGTGCGTAGACAGCCAAGTGACAAGCTCTTCCTTGCTTTCCATTCCTCAAGCGCGATGTTGAAGCGATGCAGCTCAGGCTCCTTTCCACACTCCCTGTGTCTGTACGTCCACGAATCGACATGGTAGCCTTGCGCCAAATCCTCACCATCCTTCGTTTTTCCATATGGTGTTGGCGCAGCGTCACTTCCCATCTTGGCGTCCCGGAAGCTTTTGTAAGCCGTAGCTTCAAGATCTGGTTCGTGACATATTTCGTTCCAAAGTCCTTGTCCGAAGTAGATGTCCTTCTTTTCGTAGCGATCGACGTTGCCTAGGTGCAATTGTTCAACATGTACGTAGTGTCCACCAAGAACGTGCGCAAATATCATTCTCCTGATTTCGGCAGGAATTCGAAGGAGAGGCGAGCTTGTCACGTTATACTCAGTCCTGGAGCAACGTTCAGTACACTGCATTTCATCCGGGACGTAGGAGGCACGAACAACTTGCGCTTGGCATTGTGTTTCTCATCTTCATCATGTACTCTCCGACGCTTCAATTTACCACTTGCAAAATTGGTTTGCGTTCCCGTAACAGCTGAAGAGTTTTCAGGGACCAGTGTCATGTATTTCCGCCATGATGCCTTTGGGTCCATACCAACGTCACCGATTTAAGGCATGAACAGCGGATGTCTGAAGTGAGGATTAACCTCCAGCATGAATTATATAGGCCGTCTGGCCGTCAGCTCGTCTAAATATGCCTTGACGCCAAGTAAGACAACTTCAGACAAATCATAACTTAGGCAGCAAGATCCCAGTTTATGTTCATTACTTCGTTAGGGTGGCTCAGATAACTAATGCGCTTACTGGTTTGCGGGGATGGAGACTGATGATACATGCACTCCTCTTTCCCGATTAGGTAGAAGAATGTTCGCGGAGCAACTCAAGTCACGTGCATACGGGCCGACGACGAACAGCACGCGCATCACGTTCATTGATGTGAGCTTTTAAACGCCGATATCATAGCACCTTGACGCGTCAAAATGGTGTCTTCCGGCGACGAAATGCCCGACTCACATCTTTCCGCACATTTATCGCTCGGTGGCGAGTTACCAGACGATCCCGAGCTTCACAGCGTGGTCACCGACTTCGTGGATTACACCGAATACTTCCCAAGTGATATGATACGCTCTTTAACACTCATTCGCAACCTGGATGAGCGCTATGCGGATGCCACGCACCAGGTTCACGAATACGCACTGCAGCTAGGGAAACCAGCGACTGACGCCGCTGAACTGAGAAGGAAGATGAGTAAGGCGCTACAGCAGGCTACCATCTACAGAGAGGCTGCATGTGCGGAGGCAAACAGATTAGCGGATAGCGCGCATAGGAACAGGAAGAGACTCGCGCTCATCAAGAGGAAATTACAGGCGCTACCTCTGCCTCCAAGCCGAGATCCCACGCCTGTACCTGTATCGCCTCAGACGACAAGGTCAAGGAAAGAGGAAAAGACGCCGAAGTTGACCTTACATATTGATGGTGGTCGCAAAAAACTTAAACACAGGAGGATCTTGGTACCTGGGGAGGTGTTACCACCACCAAGTGCCAGCGATGGGGCATATACACAGTCAGAAGAGTCAAGCGGAGATGAACAAGAGAGTGTCGTCGAGACTATAGAGCGTCGAGGCAGAAAGTCACATAATATTAAGGTGCCCAAGACACCGAAACAACCTAAGCAAAAGGCACCAAAGCCTCTCAAGGTACGAGTACCAGGTCAAGGCACAAATGTGCACAGTCAAGTTGCTGGCATCTCTACCAGTAATGCACTCGCATTACTCACCCCTCCTCCTCCCGATGCCAAGCCAGGTAGCAAACATCAGCCTTGGTTCAAACTTACTGAGTATGAGATGGCATTCCTGCGGAAGACCATGAAGAAGAACGCCGTGTGGACCCCCAGCGACACAATGATCAGGCGCTATTTACGTGACCACAAAAGAGGTGTTGAGTTCTATGAGAAAGCAAAGGCCGAAGCCGAAGCAAAAGGAGAAGAGTTCTTGGACGAAGATCCATATGACCCTGATAAGCCGACTTTGGGACCTGGGGAGGTTGCGCCTGATGCTCCGTCCGGCCAAGCACAGGCTTTGGAAAATCGAGGCATGCGACTCAATGTTGCGAAGAAGGAAAAAGCTCAGAAACGTAAAGAGCAAGCGGAGAAGGAGGCTGCGGCAGCTGCAGAAGCTGCAAAGGCAGCTGTAGAAGCAGAACCTACAAAGAAGCAATCACCGTCATCTGTGTCATCAGCATCAAGTTCGCCAACCCAAAAGGACAAGGGTGCAAAGAAGGAGATGAAAACCACGCGAAGTTCCAAAAAGAAGCAAGGACTAGAAGGGGCAACACAGAGCCTAGATTTTCTAAATAATGACCTAGCGAATCTGTTTAGTGCAGGACCTTCGCGTCTTCAAGACAGTATTACGATCACGATACCGGGATCCAGCAAGAAAGAGCCTAGGTCGTCAAGGAAGCGGAAGAGGGAAGGTGAGAAAGATATCGTTATCCCTTCGGTCGAATCATCAGCGTCGAAGGAGTCAGCAATACCTCCTGGACCAAAGAAGTTGAAGATCAACCATCCTTCGCTCGCACCTAAGCCATCGTCAAATTCGCAGAAAGAATCACCAACGCCAACGAGAACGACCACGATCACTACAACAACAACTATTCCTCTAGCTCCAGCTGGTTCATCGCCAAAAAAGACTTCGCACAAGAGGGAACCCACACCTGGACCAATTACCGCTCCTACCGACGTGAAAGCAGCACCCGTGCAACCCACTGCCGCTCAATCCAGACCACGGCGCGTTTCAGGAGGTGTGCGGGCTACTATCGAACCATCCGACGAAGATGCTGGTGCTCTGTCAGCCAGCAGCAAAGAAGTCAGGGCCACTGAAACTAAAGACCGTGAAATGCGACCACGCTCTCGAGGTTCAATAACTGCAGGAAAAGCTGCATCTGCTGAGCCCCCTTCCAAGCCACTTCGCGAACTACGTGAGAAACGTCGTGCGAGCGTCGTAGATGCACACCCAGCTAGCGACTCTGCCGCACCTGTCTCAGGTTCTGGGGCAGCTACTGGTGCATCACGTACTACCAGGGCGAACCGCCGTCCAGCTCCCGGTTTTGTCACGGACGAAGCAGACGGAAAGGGGAAAGTCAGTGTTGGGAAACGAAAAGCTGCCCCGAAGAAAGGAAATGGGAAAGACAGGAAGGACGAAATTGAGAATGGAGAGGATATCATTGACCCCAATGAACCACGCTATTGCATCTGCGGAGATGTAAGCTGGGGCACCATGGTAGCGTGCGAGAACGCAGAGGTATGGTTTAATCTACATCATATTCTGTTGTTAACACAAGTTGAGCAACTTCTAATTTTTGTACAGTGCGAAAAAGAGTGGTTCCATCTTGATTGCGTTGACTTGTCCGAACCACCCTCGCGACGACAGATGTGGTACTGTCCTGAGTGCAGGGAGAAGTTGAAGGTTTTCGCTAACGGGGATCCTTTGGTGGTTGAGCCGATTCGCAGGCGTTAATCTTTTATTGATGTAGATAAACAAGCCAAAGCTTTCCTTGCTTACATTGTCATCTTCGACCTTGAACGTCTAGCTTGCAATAACGGCACGTGATTTTTGGGCAAGATATGGCCATTGGACGAGCTGATACATCTTCAAATACGCAAAAGATATTTGAACAGTGCATCAAGGTAGATTGTTAAGGCACATGCGGACATGAAAATTATCCATGTAAATTAAGCTTGGGTTCCGGGACCTGAGAGCGTTGGCACGGGTAAAACAATGTATGGGATTCTAAGGCACAGGTTAATATTCCCAATTTCTTGACCTGAGAGTTTTGTAACTACACATCTGTATTCTTATATTATACGAACACCTTGCGCAGGATGATTCGGTTAATCAAAGCTTTCAAATCCTTGGATTTTTTTAGGTCCTCATGCAGAATTCTCTATGCGACGAATGAAATTTCTAATCCACGTGTTATGAATCCTAGCAGCTTAATATTTCTGTCCGACTACTTTCGTCGATGGGTTTTTGTTCACAAGTTTGAATCCTGCTTAAGGATGCCCGTGGGCTTTTCTAAGGGCAGCTGTGCCTGAGTGACAGAAAGTACGGCCGAAAACGTTCATGGGATGCAAAGGCCATGGTCATTCTGTTGACACTGCCGTTGACGATACTTGTACTTGGATCGGAGAGACTTCGGATCAACCGAGTCACTGTCGTCATATTCAGACCTTCCGTGGAAGTGCATTTCCCTTCAAGATTATTAGGATGCGTTTATTGAAACAGCTTCACGACGGCAGGATCCTGATCTGGCGGAAGAGAAACCCGCCGCGATCTTTGCGGACTTTCTCTGACGTTCAATTCGGCTCCTCAAATGGTGGTTAGGGGGATGGGGGAGGAATCGTGTGGGTTCAAAGTTACCTCCTTCGAAGTCGAGTTTGGCTCTGAATCTTGAACTTTCATTCAAATACTACAGTCAAGCTTTTTGAGGCTTGGTCGGAGAGGGATTTTTGGCCTTTTTAAGAGACCTCTAGATCGCTCTATTTCATAGCTGAGAACGAAGTGGTTGATAGGGTTTGTCTGCAGCGCTAGCACATGCTCGTACGGACGTCGTTAGCGTCGTACAACTAAGGCACTCGCGTCTACAATTCATTTGGACAGAGACCAGATCATCGTGCAGTCACGCCCCAATCCAGCACGTCTCATGCAAGCAACTCTCTGAAGACTCAAACAGTTGTGACGCATTTCTCCAGCGCCTGGCTGAAAAGAGCTTAGCTTCGTAATGCGCCTCCTTGATGCCTGTGATAGTTTCCAAGTACAGCCTCGTCATGCAGTCAACGATTCGTCTTTATCATTCCTTCAGCAGCTGCCAACAGGCTGTCCTTAGCTTCTTGGTGCCTTGCTTCTCCTCATTACTTATTTAAATTGGTGAGTCAGTTTGAGCGCTCCCAAACTACATAAACCGCTAGACTTCGAATGCAACAAACCCAAATCATGGCATCACTGAGCTCCAAACGCAAAGAGAAAGCTTAAGTCTTCCAAAGAGCATTTCAATATATTCTGATGCCCTTTAGCGCTGGTATTGGACTGTCGTAGCGTCTCTTCGGTCAGTGTTGCTAAAATAAGATGTCCACAGCAAACCACGGTCGACTTAGACGCTTTGTTCAGCGCGTGCGCACTCGCGTACAGAACCACTCTAACAGATCTCATATTTGGAAGACCCAAATGAAGAATAACAGAATTTGCTGCATCATATGCAGCGATAAATCTGGTGAAAACGTGGTACTCAGTCAGCCTTGTAAGGCCTGCATGTCATATTGGTGTAAGTATCACTTTTGGCGCCTCTAACAGCCATAGTCCGTTCTTCGCTCTTCTTGAATTCAAGCAAACATTCTGAGCAGAAAGGCCCACTTTCTCATTCATCATACGTACTTACGAATGTTTAGGCCAATCGTGCCTTAGTGAACATTGCGAATTTGCAACCAGGTCAATCACGGATATGCCTCCAAAGTGCTGTATTGCCCTAGATCCCCGAATCGTCCTTCAATTTTTACCAGAAACCAATCATGATAGATACAAGAGGCTATTCCTGGAATACAGAACAGAAGCCAAGGATCGAGTCTACTGTCCGAATAGCAATTGTACCACCTTCATATCGCCTTACGAGATCAGAAAACAACAAATCTCTTCTGGTGAATGCCTTGAATCAAAAACAGCAGTACGTTATGCGACCACGCTTCTCCATAATCCTCACTCCCTATCAGTCTATGACAAATAGCTAATCTAGTCTATCATCAAGGTGCCGCTGAACCAACTCCAGTCCGAAGTCGTTCATAGACGACAAGATTCGGCGATGGCGAATCAAGATTTGCCCATAATCCAATGTCCATCGTGCAAGACTGAAATCTGCATAAGATGCAAGAAAAATTCACATGAAGGCGCTTGCCGTCTTGAAGATGATCCGGTTGTCGCTCAGATTCGCAAGTTTGGCTATAAGCGGTGTCCTAGATGTGGATATGGGACACGAAGAATGTGGGGTTGCAGTCACATGCAGTGTGTTTGTGGTGCTCACTGGTGCTGGAACTGCGAACGTAACTATAATGTGTGTGACGCTCTCGGAGGCTGTGATAATGACGACGATGGCGATGATGACGATTCTAACTTGGAAGACCCAGAAGAAGGCACTGAGATTGCTGACGGTGAGGCCAAAACGGATCCAGAAGAGACAGGACACAATTTGGAAGGAATCAATAACCCTGAATCTACTACCCAAAATTTAGACCGGGGATCACATGCGTATTGGGAAAGGCAAGGTTTGAACTTTGGCGATGAGCCCAGTTCTATGGAATCTGAAGAGACATGGGGTTGCCCTGTAAGTTTATCGAAATCCGATGCCACATGATTTGAGAAAATCGCGAAGCGTTAAGCAAAATTTAGCAGTGATAAGCGTTGCTGTACAATGACTGACACTTCCTACAGCACGATTTTGACCAGCCAATGGAGAAAGCCGGGGATGACCTTGGGAAACAATTATGCTGGGACTGTTGGACAACAATCGATGAGCAATACTTAAAATGTTGGATGTGTAACCTTGTACGTTGTAAAGACTGCCAGAAGCTCTTGTAGCTATCCAAGACTCCTCCAAGAAGCTTTGTATTTACATAAGAGGAAGAGCGACACATTACTTACATAACTACTCTGTACAACCACAGCGTCTCACATATGCTTTTCGAACATGAGCTGAATTTGCCTTTATGAGATATAGAAAAGAAAAGAGCAGAATTATGAGAAAATAAAACACGCTTGGAAGCATCAAAGCTGATAATGATATCCACTACAACTCATTATCTCGTAACAGCTCATAATCATTTTTCTATACCATAATTTACCGATCACTGTAAGGATGCCTAACTCGCACGTTGACATCCAATCGAGGCACGAGCGCATGACAATGAAAATAATTTGTCAAGGCTATAAGAATAATAGCGTGAAGCCGGTGTGATATTTCAGACTGCAAGATACGTCTATCTCTTTTGATGGGACGTTTCAAATCTGAGGATTTCCCATGCATCAGTATCAAACACACTGGAATAGACGAAAAACGTAGGCGATGTTGACTCTTCGGATACACCAGATTCTAATCGCGATAGGTTAAAGCTAATGAAATCTAATATAATCCCTTATCGCAAACCTCTGTCATTCAGCCTGATTTGAGGTCCTAGCTTTACTTGAGCAGTGGTGGCTCATCGGCAATGAGAATCTGTTTCAACTGAGCAAGTTCAGAAGAGGAGAGGCCGCACTCATTCTGGAAGTACGTTGCCGCACCGCCCTGAGTGCGTAGCCAGGCTAAGAAGCCGGCCATGCTATCTGGCCTAGCACTTGCCATTCTTCTTGCAGACTCCTCGCTAGAGTTGGTCTGTTTTTGCACAATCTGAACCAGATAGTCCAGCCATTTTCCGAGGCCGACATTTGTCAGGTCGTAGTCTTTGAGTATGTATGACTCCGGAACACCAGCAAACTCCAGCAGCAGGGCTGCTAATACACCTGTGCGGTCTTTTCCCGCAGTGCAGTGTATGATGAATCCATTTCCGGGGGGAGGATGAGCTAAGATTTGTCGAACGATCATACCAAACGACTTCGAGCCTTCTGATGCAATAGTTCGATACGCATTTGTCATGCCCTTTGAAGCTGTTAGCGATCGTAAGTCACTACTACAACTCAACTAAGAAAGCTTACCTCAGGTCCTTCCTTCTGATACTCTTTGTGCCGCACAGCCATACTCACAGGATCCCAGCTCTCATCAGGGAATACGGGGGCGTAGACGCGCTCAATCCCTTCCCATTCATATGGCGCGCCAGCTATTCCATTGGCAACATTGGCTACTTGGTGCTTCCTAATCTCCGGCATTGATCTCAAATCGTAGATGCGATTTATGCCCAACGACCGAATCACTTCCAAGTCTTCAGGGGTAGCCTTGGTGGGCTCGGCACATCGAAACAGCAAACCGCGTCGCAAAGACTTCCCAGGCTCATTGCTGATAGGATAGCCACCAACCTCTCGAAAATTGGGTATACCCTTCATAGTAACGAACGGCGGAGATGGAAGAGATGCCGGTGTCTCCGGTTGCGGTGCAGCTAGATTTGACGCCATGGCAGCAACCAGGGGAGATCTGATATGGCCGTTCTGACTTCTAGGAGAGCAGAGACTCGCGCGGAACAAATGGAAGTGATATGGGAAGAAATTTGAACGAAATTTGAGTCACGTGGAATCTATTCGCACAAACCAAGTGAACGCATGTATTCGATAGACCGTCTGATAGGCTTGATTGCGACGATGTTAACGGCTGACAATGTGGAGGAGCAGGTCGTTTCCGGCAACTCGGCAAACCAGAGCCAACTGCATGATGCGAACTTTGATCAAGTTGTTGTCCGAAACTCGACTTTCACGAGATCCTTGATGAATTAAACCAGCTAATTAAGTCTTTAAAAGGATAATCTTTCTAATTCAAAGCATCGGCATCTCTCGATGAGCGAGCCATTGCTTTCATATCAAGGGCGGGGTTGGAAGCAAGAGGCTGTGGAGAAATGTGAACATGATGGATAACTTCTGACCCGTACCAAATCAAACCCTAAATTAAAAGAAAAGATGCGGAGATCTAGGTACACAGTACCAGTTTGAACGCTATGGAAGCTCGGATATTTTTGGCAATAAATGATCGCTGCTTGAGTGGTGAACACAGGCCTTATGGTCACGAAACCACGTGATCGGGATCTTTCGCGCCTCAAGCCACTGTCTTATTGATCTTGCTCCGACTCGCAATTAAGGTCGGCTTAACATTAAAACCTTTACCCAATTATTACGGAACGGCTTGGTCTTAGAACTCCCATTCGCCGTTTTGACCATTGACGCGTAATTCATATCGTAGGAGAGGTCTTCTGGACTCGTATTCTCCAGGCACCCATATGTTCCACGCTGCTGAGAGGATTTACCTGTTCTTGAACTTACCACAAAGAAATGATAAAAGGCAACAAATCGACACATTGTTTAATCTTCATAAATTCTAGAACCTGTTCTCCAAAGATCAGAATCCTACGAGCCTGTTGCCTCAGGTATTTTGGACTGTCATTTTTATTTTCCTCACATTTTCATTCTGCTTTCGCTTGAGGACGGATGCGTTTGTAGCAAAGTGAAAAAGCGGATATCACAAGCCTACAAAAATGGAACAGCAACGTCATTTTCTTTCCGGCAAGACAATTGTAGTGGCCGGAGCGGGGGTGGCCGGACTGTCATTTGCTATCGCCCTCAGAAAACTCTGGAATGAAGAGACCTTCGGCCCATCGCCGATTTTACGGGTTTTTGAACGAGACACGGAGGAGGTTGCGATTGGAAGGGAGGGGTTTTCGTTGAGTCTTCGAAGCGACAATGGCGCGGAAGGGCTTCAGACTCTGAAGAAACTGGGAATCCTAGACGATATGATAAAGGTTTCCATTACCGGTCTCGAACACAAGGGCTCCTTTACCTTATGGGACAGAGGTTGGAATATCATTATGAAAGTCAGCCCACGGCTCCCTCAAGGGCTTCCGGTCGGTTCGATGCGGATCGCGAGGGACAAGATGCGAAAAGTTCTCGTAGACGGTTTTGTTCGCCAGGCAGGTGGCCCAGACAGAATTGAATGGGAAAGATGGTGCGTAGGCGTCACAAACGAACAATCTGGACAGTTAGTAGTGGAAATAAACGATGGCGAAAGGGTTGGCTGTGATCTTCTGATCGTGGCAGACGGCGCAAGCTCCAAGATAAGGACTTTGCTTCGACCGAACGACAAATTACACTTCGCGGGCGTATCGGCTATCGCGGGGGTCTCAGCCTGGGAGCATGAACCACCGGAGCCTATTGACCAAGACTGGGGCATGGTGATCTCAGGAACCGGCACGGCACTATTCGCGTCTCCAGTGGACAACCGACGAGCTGTCTGGAGCCTGAGCTGGAGGGAATCTCAGCCCAGGAGAGCGGTCAAGTTCCCAAAGGAGCAATCTGAAATTGATGCAATCTTACGGGAGGCAAAGGAGAAGGGTTCATGGCTGCCGCCTCTATGGGAAGATATCTTGCAACATACGGACACCCAAACCCTCTGGCTCATGAATGCGATGGACAAACCGGCATTCGACCATACAGCGGCAGATCATGGAGACCGAGTGATCTTCATCGGGGACGCGAACCACGCGGTGAGCCCCTTCGCCGGGGCGGGTGCGAACTTAGCTTTGATGGACGGCCTCGACCTGGCAAGCTCGCTGCTCGGCACGCAGAACGTTCAAGAAGCAGCCCACGATTTCGACGGTAAAGCTCTTCCCCGGGCTAAGCGCATCCTACGCATGAGCCACTTCACCATTAACGTCGCGCACGCCAAGGGGTGGATGTCGCTGGTGTATCTGTGGATGCTGAAATTGCTCTACTGGCTGTTCATGAAGAAGCACGTCGAGATGCGAACTTAAATCGCACGCGCTTGGGCCCAAAATCGTCCGCATGTGACTCCATGCTTTCCGCTCGTTCATGTTCACTCCACTCATGAAAGCCACGAGTTTGTATCATAGCTCGCACCTGTACGCAGTCAGACAATCCAATCCGCCAAGTCTCTCATGCCAGATGCGAAAGCCTGAGCGTGCCACGTCACTGCAGGCTTTGCATCCTCCAGAGCAACTTCAACGCTTACGACCCTGCCAAACACGGAATTCGGCGTGGGAGGTTTGAGTATTCGTTGCAGCACGCGAAGGGCGAAGGTTTCACAACAGAGCGTGAGCGAGATGCGGACATGATTTGGCAAAGACGCTGGGAAAAAAAGGCAAAAAAAAAAAAAAAAAAAAAAAAAATAGTGACAGCATCGCACAACCCAACTTGGACACAACCTGAAGTGAGGGCGGAAGACATGCAAACAGAGGAATCGGCGACGTTGCGGGACAGTGAATATGGTACAGAGAGCCCACGTCCACCACCTTTTTTGCCGCCCAGATTTGTCGCGCAAGAGTTCCCGGTCGCAAGAGCGTAAGGTGTGTGACCCTTTGGAGGATTAGCCCTTTCGAAACAACAGCCGGACTTTATTCCATGTTCTTCAACATGCAGCAGCATCTTCACGTTTCCCGGCCTCGACGGTAGGAGCCACACAACGTAAAACTTTCCCCGCCGATACGCTTGCCGTTCTTGCGGCCTGGTGCGATTGTCTTGCGTACCTCGTTCGAGACGCAGGGGTGACTGAGTGAAGTCAACCGAGCGCTACGTCAGAGACTTGCGTAGATTTGCAAAATAAAAAAAAAAAAGAAAAGAAATAAGATCTCACGAGAATCTAGCTCTATTTTCTATTCCTTTTTGATCCCCGCCTCCTTTCGATGCCTGCCCGCCTCGCTGAATCGCCTGTCCCTCTGCTTCCTCGCCGCCTCCTTCTTCTTGAGAACCTTCATGCCAGCCTCGCCGCCGATCCCGCCGAAGACGAGGCCGACGCCGAGCCACTGCATGCGCGTGATGCGGTGCCCGAACCAGACGACGCTCAGCAGCATCGTCAGCATCTTGCGCGTCACCGTGACCGTCGTGAGAACCAGGCTTCCGAACTTGCCCAGCGTGTAGTAGATGGCGACCTGGCCCAGGGCGCCGCAGAGAGCGAAGCCCACGACGTCGTAGCCGACTTGGGGGTGCGCCTTGATGAAGGACAGCGCCTCGGCGAGCTCGTTGCCGGTGCCCATGCCGATGTATTGGCCGATCGGCGTGGGTGCGACGTAGGGCGACAGCACGAGGTACGCGCTGGTGAGGATCGTGGCGAGGATGTTCATGGCGCACATCATCTGGGGGCTCGAGTACGTCTTGAACTTGAGGAAGATGTCGTCCTGGACCGTGTTGGTCAGCCCGTCAAAGAGCAGGTTGACCGACAGCAGGAAGAGGCCGTACACCTTGTTTGCACCGGCGGCGTTCTTGGCGTTGTGTTTCGCGGCCTTGGCTGCCGCCGACGGCGCGTGCAACGTGAACACGGCCACGCCCAGGGTCACCAGCACGACGACGGCGAACTTGTACAGCGCGATTCTCTTTCGGAACAGTGTGACGTGCAGGAACAGCACGGGGAGCAGCTTGCACGACTTGGCGAGCACAAAGGTGATGTAGTCGATGTGCTTGAGCGAGGCGTAGCCAAAGGGCGACGCCAGCGAGCTCGTGATGGCGATTAGGATCAACGGCTTCGTGATGGCGGCGCTGGGAAATATCGGCGCGGGTCTGCCGGGCTTGTGAGGGTGAGCGGTCGTGAAGAAGAGGTAGGCGTAGCCGACAAGAGAGGCGAGCAGAGATTGTACCGTGTTGAGGAAGATGGCGTGCGTCCATCGCTGCGGTGCAGAGGCGGGACCGTACGTCGTGGTGGTTATGCGCTCCTGCAGGACACTCCACGTCAGACTGCACCACTCACGTAGTCAGCATTGGTCTTGTCTCTTGCGTGTTCAAAAAAAAGAAAAGAAAAAAGAAAAAAAAAGAAAAAGTCCGCAGCGACTCACAAGGCGCCGTATATGGCCGCGACGCAAGCGAGCAGGTTGAAGACTCCAGGCTCAGCAGCTCTCGCCGCGTGCGCCTTGTCTGTCTCGCCGTCGTCTATGATGGTCTTGTCCAGCATCTTCGACACATCGCCTCTCCCGTTACCCGTCCGCTTCGTGACGCCATTCCCCTCGATCGTGATCTCCGACGGCTCGCGCCTCTTGGGTGGTGACTTCGTGCGCCCCATCCTCCTGATGTACCAATGTTCAAAGGAAAAGATGCTTAAGGAACGGCGAGGGTCAGACAGCCGGTGGTGCGACGAAAAAAAGGAAAACAAAAAAATTTGAGAAAGAAAACGGGATACTTGTACAATATAAGGGAAGAGGGGGAGGAGTGAAGAAAAGAGAGGAAGTGAACGTTTTGGAACCGACGTTCTTGACTTTGGTCGCGCGCGAAACGGGAAATCTGGCGTCTTTGCCCGCACTTCGGGGGGGCCTGCCCGGGCGTCTGATGCGGCTGGGTAAGCGGGCTAGCTGCATGCGGAAAGGCGAGCGGAGTCCTCAGCCTTGAGGCCTTCAGCCTCGTCACCACCGCACCTTTCCCACGTCCGCGTATGCGGTCCAGCGTGGCGTTGGCATGCTCTGACTTGTATCCAATGAGAACGCAAAGCAAGGCGGCGGCCAGGCCGGCCTTTTTTTTTTTGCTCTGCGGCGCATGTATTGCAGGAGACGCATGAATGGTTTGCTAAAGGAGCTGCTTGCCCGCCTCTCGAGTGGCGTACGTCACTTGAGACGTACAGGATACACTTTCATCAGCGAGTTGTTTTATGTCTTGGTTAGAGTTGAATGTGCTCGCCACGAGCCGAACATTCAATCCATCTGTTGATTGGAAATTCTAGCTCACGCACCTTTCTCTTGATCCAGATCTTCTCGGTCCGGTCGCTCTCCATCGTCTTTTACATAATCTGCGGCACAATCAAGTTACGAAGCAGTGTTGGCACCTCAGGACGGTCGGAAGGCTGGGCGACATGTTCTACAGGCATTGGAAATTTCCTCGTCGGTCCGCGGTAGAGTCGCTCGTTCTCGGATTCTTATTAGTGCGAAGTCATGTTTGGGGGTTTTTCCCGACTGCTCTGGGATGAGCAAAGGGCGGTGAAGATCTTGCTAGTCTTACGAGATCAGGGCGGGAGGTTGGCAGGCGCAAGCGGCTTTCCCCGCCGACTGATAATAAATTGTGACGATCTAACAGATGAAGCACGGCTCGTGATTTTTCGATGCTGCTCTTCCGCATCTGCCGACGGAGCAATAAGGTTGGTTCGGACGAGCGGTGAACGCGCATGGGGGTTTCTACAGATCAAGATCAGGCCTCTCGGTGCAAATCAGCGCGGACAACGCGAACGGTGCCGCTCAGAGCAATGGATGCAAGCCGGGCTGATCCTAGTTCTTCAGGTGATCAGATATGATGGGCAGTCAAATCTCCATGGTGACGCGGGAGCTGCATGGGGATGGAGCCACTGGGAGGCGAGCAGCGGAACGTTGAAAAACCACCAAACCAAGAGGTGCAGCACCGGATTGTGGACTTGCGCCGGAGTAAAACAAAACTCCTCGCGCGAGCTGCAAGGTACCAGAGTGCACGTACGGGGTTATGCAACCTCGACCAGCTCGTCGCTTCAACGCGCGGACGGACATCAGCCAAGCGCTGCCGTCCTGTCCCAGCGCGGTGCCCGACGAGGGAGAGGCGAGGGGATCGAAGTCCCGTTGCAAAAAAAATCCACGCACGAGAAAGAGCAGGCGAGCGGTGCGAAATCTCACACGGCAGCAGGAGCCGAAGGTACCGCCTGATCAGATGCAGCGACGGGATGCAGCAAAGTGCAGGGCGTTGGCCGGAAGGAAACCGCGGTAGTGGCCAGGGGCGAGGGGGCGACGGAGCGAGAGCAGAGGGGTCGGACAAGGGGCAGGAAGCAGCAAGCCACGAGCGTGCGGTTAGTGGGTAGGCCAGGCCCGGTAGGCGGGAGCTGCTGGGCGGCAGCTGCTGGGCGGGAGCTGTTAGGCGGGAGCTGTTAGGCGGTGCCCCCGCCGCACGCCCGGCCGTTGTGTGAGCAGGCGTCACTGTGGGCGCACGTACGCTCGCACTCACGCGCACCAAAGCGCGCATTCATGCACGCACCGCAGGCCGCCGAGCTCGTCCACAGCGCCCACGCCCAGCACGTCCTCGCGCATTCTCTTCCACAACCATCCCAAGCCAGCACTGCACGCACACGCATACGCACACACGTACACACACGTACACACACGCACACGCCGTTCTCTCTCGCTCGCTCTCGCGCTCCCGTCCTCTCTCGCCTTCCCTCTCTCCCACACGCATACACATACGCGGACACACGCACAACCATACAAACATCCCCGTTCCGTCCGTCCCATCCAGGATCCGCCCACGACCACCGCCGCTGTCTCCACCACCGCTACCCTCTACTCAGGCTGCCTTCCACCCCCCCATCCTCCTCCCACCCCCCCCCACTCTCTCTCCCTTCCACAAGCTCTCCGCCAGTCCTACACCCAAATTTCGTCTCTCAATTGTGGCCACCCAATTCCACGCCTTTGCTACCTCACCCGCCCTCTCCTCATCTCCGTCGTCCCCGCCTCCTCACCCCTCCCTTTCCCTCAACGCTTCCACCCCTCGAAGTGTCTCCAATCTCCTCAACGTCGCCGACCCCGCATTCGATGTGTCTTCGCCGTACCTGAATCAAGCCTACATTCACACCGGTACGTTTAGATTTTTTTTCCCCGCCGAGATGCACGATAGTTGCAAGCAAACAATTGCTGATGTCGTCTGTTGTGATGCAGGCACGACATAGAGTCGCTTCGTTGCTCTATCCTCTCCCCATCGCCCTCATCGACTCCACCCGCTGCTCCCTTTTCCCTTGCCGATTCACCTCCGCAAAATTCACCACAGCCAACCACCATCGCCGCTGCCACCATTTCTCTCCCGACAACGACGATAACAATGGCTGCCGAAGTCGACACTACCCAACCATCGCAGACCTACGATGCTGCGGACATCAGCTCGGCCATGAACCGGCTGAGCACATCGGACTCGCATCAGGATGCTGCGCCCCAGTTCCGCACAGAAGAAGACTATGCTGTGCAGCAGCTTACCCTGCGTGCCATTGTGTCGTCCCGCGAGGCTGGCGTCATCATTGGCAAGCAGGGCAAGAACGTGGCGGATCTGCGCGACGAGACAGGCGTGCGCGCTGGCGTCAGCAAGGTCGTGCCCGGCGTGCACGACCGTGTGCTCACCGTCACGGGCGAGCTCAGAGCCATCACCAAGGCGTATCGCATTGTGGCCAAGGGTCTACTAGAAGGTGCGCCGCAGATGGGCATGGGCGGACTGATCAACCCGAATGGGACACACCGTAAGCCTTTTTTAGTTTTCGTTCCGCAACGCATCGGCTCCCAGCCAGATACCATGTGTCAAGAGAGTGTCGTCTCGTTACTCGGAATGAGCAAAGAAGACAGACGATTTGCAAAATTCGCTCTTTGTTTGACGTAGGAACGACTGCTAATGTGTCGTCTGATATAGCCATCCGCCTGCTCATCTCCCATAACCAGATGGGTACCATCATTGGTCGTCAAGGCCTTAAAATCAAGCAGATTCAAGATGCTACCAACGTGCGCATGGTCGCTCAGAAGGAAATGTTACCTCAATCCACTGAGCGGATCGTCGAAGTCCAGGGCACCCCCGAAAGTGTCGAAAAAGCCGTCTGGGAAATCGGAAAGTGCCTTATCGACGATGCCGAACGTGGCTACGGCACTGTGCTGTACAATCCTGTCGTGAGGGTGCAGTCTGGCGCAGGAGCCATCAACGGCGGAAGCTCGAGTGCCGGTTCGGCCAGCTACAGTAACGGAGGGCGCATGTACAACCGTACCGGTCACGGCGACGACTTCCGCGACTCGGCACCCTCTTATCCCCGCCGCAGCGGCTCCGACGCGGCGTCTCGTCCTCCGCCTCCAACACATACCGAGGATGGTGAAGAGATCCAGACTCAAAATATTTCCATCCCGTCGGACATGGTCGGCTGCATCATTGGGCGGGGCGGCAGTAAGATCAGTGATATCCGTAAGAGCTCTGGAGCGAGGATATCGATTGCCAAAGCACCGCACGATGAAAGTGGTGAGCGCATGTTCACCATCACAGGCACTGCAGGAGCGAACGAGAAGGCCCTCTACCTTCTCTATGAGAATCTGGAGGCGGAAAAGATGAGACGTCAGAACGCGAGTCAGTCGCAGGAATAGAGGCTGCTGGAGTGATGTCCAGGTGCACTGAATCTCAGCCAACTCGGAGCTTGAAGCGACGTCATCATGGCTATCTTGGGCTTTGTCGTCGAGTAAGGTGTCCGGCGTTTTCCATTTCGCCTACCACCTTTGGAGGGCGAAACCATTCGGTTTTTTTTTCTTTCCTTTCTTTTTTTGCTTTCTCTTGATTTCTCTTCCTAGTCCTTGGAATTCTGCATAAGTCGGAGTATACTTCGTTCGGCGGGCGCGGTCAAGCTATATTGATCATGAATTGACGACTAATGCTTTGATATCCGCGAGATCCATTGATCTTGCAACTCATTGGCCACACTCAACCTCACACACATATACGTACTCATGTCGATTGCCGGTGCTGCAGTCCAGATCCAGTTCGTGGCCAGTGGGAGATTGGTTGCGGACATAATCACACCCAAACACCTCAACTCGAGAAATCCTAGCTTAGCGCCGCCTCAGCCGTGACAATGCACGAGTATTACGAAATAATCTCATACGCACGCAGCAACTACAAATCATGACGAAAAGAAAAAGACGCCTTGAGAACCGATCACGTTCTCAAGACTTCATAACAGCGAATATTATCATCAGCACACTTACTCGGCGGACATCTTCCTCGGCTCAAGCTTGCATCTCCTCTCACTCACTCCCTCTTTGGTTTTACCCTTTCTCCCTCTATCTCGACGACATTTTCCTACCTTACTCGCCAACAACCAGCTTCATAAATGCACTTGCGCCATCTTCTCATCCTCGTTCTTCCTCTCAATCTCTATTTCTCTCTTCTCTCTCCTCGTCTCTCGCACACACGCAACCAAACCTGTACGACGGCAAACCAGCAAACATCAACATTATCAAAACCCCCCCTTCTTTGACGACCAGTTTCGACGGAGCAGCCGAAGCAAAAGAAGCACCCTAATCTGTACAGTACGGAAATTCTGGTTTGTTAATTGGGGCCAGAATTTTTGTGTCGCAGGGAAGGGTTATTTTCGAGGTAGCATTCTCTGCCTGGGTTCTCATACTCCTTTATTCGCTTTTAGTGGGGGTGTGTGAATGAACACGCAGAGACAACTTCTAACGCGCGTTAGCTAGAAGGGGATTCTATATTATGATGGTTTTTATGTACTAGCGAACTACCTTTTATCCCCAATTCTTTTCAAGGGCCTCTCGTACATTTCGTTGTTCATATGGGTTTGCCTTCCAACCCCCTTTGCCACTTTCAGCCTTTTTTTTTTTCAACGTGACTTGAAGTGCCTTTTTTTTATATATTTTTTACGGCGCGAGAGGAGGAGTACTATTCCTTGAAACAGAATCATGTTCCTTACTACTACAGACATCAATTTCTCTCCTGTATCAACGCAGCTCGAACAACATGTCCGGATGCAGTGCGCTGCAAAGCATTCATCCTAGCACAGCGGGAGCTCCTGATCGTACTGCAGTGCAGGCTCCATCTTCATACCGTCAAAATGGGTCTATTCAACCTTGAAAATCACCTTCTGCACCTTCATGTTGTCAAATAGGTCGTAACCCTCCACAGCATCCTTCAATGGCATGATCTTGTCGGCCATGAATCTGCAACACCCTATCAGCATTGATCGGCTTCGGAGAACAATTTATTCAGTAGTACGAAGGAATCAAGTACTTACCCAAGGAGGTCTTGCTTCTTTTTGAGCATATCTAACGCCTGCGGGAAGATGGATCGAACCGGGCATCTACCCATCTGTATCCTGAGATTCTTGCCGTAGGCCTGGTTTCCGGTCCATGGGATCTAGAGTTCAAAGTGTCAGTAGAGCGTCGGAATTCTTCTGGTTTTTTTTTCTTGTTTATTTTATTTTGGAATGCATACCTCGCCATTATGCACCCCAACACTGCTTATCACCCCCCACGGTCTGAGTAGCTCAAAACCCATCTTGAGCGCCGGACTCAACCCTACAACCTCGATCACCAGGTCCGCGCCGCGACCATCCGTCAGTTCCTTTACCCGCTTGTCCAATTCCTCTCGCTGTGTCTGGAAATTCCAGGGCTCGGCGCCCAGTTTCTTCGCCAGATCCAGACGGCTCGGCACTCCGTCCACCGCGAGCAAATGCTTTGGCTTATACTCCGCCGCGTTGATCAGCGCACACAAGCCCACGGGTCCGCACCCAATCACCACCACGGTGGCCTCAGCGATCTGCTCGGGGCTGAACATCTTGAAACCGTTCGACGCAGCGAAGTAGCCCGTCGGCCATATGTCAGCCATGAGCACCAACGCCGAGTCCTTTATGCCTTCTGGCGCTTTCATGACCGTTGCCTCTGCCAGCGGAATTCGCACGTACTCTGCCTGCGCTCCGTCGAGAGCGGCGCTACCAAAAAGCAAACCCTTTTCACACCGCGAGGAGAAATTGTTGCGGCAGTAGAAGCAGGCGCCGCAACTCAGGGTGAAGGGAGACACGATCTTGTCACCTACGCTGAGCGTCTTCACGGCCGACCCTACTTCCACGATTTTGCCTGTGAACTCGTGGCCCATGATGAATCCAGTAGGCGAGGGCTGGTGACCTCGGAAGACGTGTAGTTCACTGTCCACCTCGCTATATCAGCTTGAATTTTCTCGTTTATAAGCGAATCGTCACCATGCATCTCCGCATGTCTCATGTTCCAGCCCCCCCTCAGTGCCCTGACTGTGACATTCTGCCAAGCTCGCGTATCACGTACCTTCCACACAACGCAGTGTATTCGACCTTCACAATGACATCTGTGGGATCTTGCAACTTTGGGATAGGCCTTTCCTCAAGCTCAACTTTCTTCGGCCCCTTGAACACAACGGCTTTCATCGTGCCGTCCGGCATGGTGTCACAGTGTATGTTGGTTTGTGCAGGCTATACGCTTTGATTGTGCGATCTGTCGACAAGGACTAAGCGAGCTATCTTTATGCCGTTCCTTTACAATTCAGAAAGACCAGAAGGAGTCGGGAGATTAGAAGGACGTTTCAGGAAAAGTAGAAAAGTGTGGAGAGTGTGTCGACCGGGGGAGGTAAGAAAGGGCTATATTTGTTATTTGCATGCCACCACTGCAAATCGTAGAGGAGTTTCGCGATGACATTACCCAACCGTCTGTTCCGCTCTCCGAGGCTTTTTCCCCCCTTGCGACACAACCGCAAACGTCCGTGATCGAAGGCTCGAGCACCAGTAAGATGGCGTGGCTAAGCACGCAGGTGAAGAAAAAGGTACCCATCCTGGCGCGACTTCGGCGGACTATGTGCGGGGCATTTTTCTGGTGCTTGGGGCTGGCCCTGAGGGGTAAGAAAGGCAACTGTGCTGGAACGACACCGATTCCGCAGCTTGCTTCCGTGATCCTTGCTGACAACTTCGTTTCCTGCTAAGTGGACGAGGCCAAACGATTGGACTGCGCGAATGCGGGTAGGCGGAGGAGGAAAAGAAAGTGAGTAAATGGTCCAAGTGCATTAAAAAAAGGGCGTGAAAATCTCGTGACTTGGATATCTTTGACGGTCTTGATTCGGCAACTTGCCACCGACGGCTCTCACTTTTCCGCGCAATGAAAATCATGGACCGAATTCGGATGATATCTTGGATTATGTAGGTGCTGGCTAAGCCAATGATTCAAATTCCATTCTCGGCACATACACTATGCTGTAGAGAGCACGGCGAACTTGATGACGTTCTCGATGGGGCTGGAGAGAAATGATACTTGCAAGCTTCGAGTGAAAATGGAGCAAAATCTTACCGCCTGCCTCCCCTAAGGCCCCGCCACGACGCCTTGTCCAATGCGATGCTTAAAAAACAGTGTCGAATCCATAAGGTCAAAGAGAAAAGATCGTGACTGATGCGGCCTTTGAACACATAACGTGAATGGCAAACAAAAAAGAACGCCGGAGAAAGTCGTCGACAGTCCATCAATAGCACAACATTGGAGCAGTGCACACTCCTCTCTCCGCGTGTCGATGTTAGGTCACGTTGCTCAGCAGCTCTGCTTCAAGGATGAACTTTCCCTCCTTATACTTCTCGCTTGTTTCGTATGCTTTGTCGTACTTCCATCCAACCGTCTCTTTGCACTGTTTGCAGTAGATGTCACGTACGACGTGTCGTCCCGTTGTCATGTTGCGCTCACCGGCCTCGCCTGCTGTGATGTTGACTACGTTGTCAAAAAGGTACGCCTTGCCATGTTGACCTCTGAAGTTCTATAATCTGTTAGTGCGGATCCGAAAACTATCAAGGAGGCCGAAGGGGCATACGCGGCTGATGATGTCGTCGTGGTTGGCTAGGTGAGTCTTGCAGTTCTTGCAGCCGTAGATCTTGTTAGAATCTAGGTATATGTTATATGCCAGGCCCATGTTTGCCGCTAAGCGGACAGAGGAGACTTCTCAAACGGGACTCGTGCGATGGAGACAATGAGAAGTTCCAGCACGCGTTAGATGTATAGAGCAGAATGGAGGGGGGGGGGTTCGGAGGACTGCGAAGTTTGTCGAAGCGCCCCGAGCTTAAAGCCCTTCCAGTGAAGATTTGTGGTCCGCACGAGAAGCGTTTGCAACGATAAGACAGTGAGACAAAAGATAAACGTTTGGAAGAGGCAAGGCGACTGACCGATCCTGTGAACAGGCTATTGGGTCCACGTGCTGGAGAGTAGTAGACTGGAGCTTGGGGTTAGAGACTGAGAAGAAACGACCGGCAGCTTTACAGAGCGCCTGGATGAACGTAGGCAGAGTGAAGAGCTTCAACAAGGCCGATCATCGACGGGGCTACACGCAGATCTAGGAAAGCTCAATGCAAACAGTGGTATAGACGAGCGTGGAGTGTTCTACGTGATCGCAGATACGAAAACGGTTAAGTCAGCAGACAAGGCCAACGAGGTCATCACGAGGAGGCGGGGGAAGCCCGGAAACAGCTGGGACAGGCTGACTCATCATCATGTGATAGGGTATAGTCACGTGACAAGTCGCCTCTCGCGTCGGGATTGCAATTGGTGCGTGTGGCGTGTGTCACGCACGGACCCTGCTCGCGACTCGGCTGGCGAGGCTCTCTCGTGTGGTATATTGTCGTCGAGCATCTGCACAACAACAATTCCTTCCCTCTTTCATACGCCGTTCATTTTTGCTCCTCGCGTGTTGCACCCGGTGTGGTTTAGCATTGTTTTCTTTGCATCCCGCGTCATTCTTCCTTCCCTTGCCGCCAAGACGCGTTTCTCCAGTCGCGATGACCGCCGTACCGCCAGCCATGCGTCTCGCAGATGCGAAGAACGGCTGCGCGAACTCGCCTCTCCCTTCGCCTACAAAGTCTCCAAGACGCGTGCTAGGCGAATTGACGCCAAATACCAAAATAACGCCAAAACCCCTCCTGCCTGGCGCGAAATCACCGGTCAAAACAACACCAGTCAACAGTCCGTTTAAAGCTCCAGAAGTCCTTTCTGAGTCCTCTATACTCCTCACCAGCGACCAAAGCGATGTTTCGTCTTCCGGAATTTCGAAAAAGAGGCCGTTCTCAGCCATTTCGTCCCCGGAGAAGCGAGACGCGACGAGGAAGCGTCAACAGGATATGCCACCCCAGACAGTCTCACCTGCTGCCCTGGGATCTCCGCTTCCTCCTGTATGCAACTACAATTAGTACCCAAAGTCCTTATAGCTAACTTATGCAAAGCCAACTCCCGCCATCGAGCTTCCAGAGCAGCGGCCATCGGTAGAGAAGGATGAAGTGGTTGAGACGTCAAGTGAACACGACGACGCTCATATTGAGCTTCCAACAGCTGCACAGAGGACGAACGGCTCGTTTTCCTCTCTCATTGACTACAATCCCGACAACGCGTCGGACAGATCAGACCCAGCCACGGTGTCTTCGCCTCCGCTTAGGCCGACATCAATACCTGTGACTTCGCGTGTCGAATTGCTCAAGCTAAGATTGAAGATGGCGATGTACAAGATTAACACGAACCAAACGTTTGTGCCATTTTCCAAATTGGAGCCGCCTCACACACGAACCCCTATCGAAGCCGCAGAAGAGACAGAAGACCTGGAGGAGGATGCAGAATATGCGTCTTCAGTCCAGACCGTACGTACGCGTGGAGAGTCCAATTCTGGATCGGATGGAGAGTTACAAACTGCAAAAATGACATCAGACAATATTGTTATCACAGGAGGCCCCGTCGCGAAACTGTTGGACGGACCTGTCCTCGTCCCAACCGCGTTTTCGACGCGCTTTCTCGTAGCGTCCGAGTCACCCGCGTCTCCAACTCGGAGGACGATAGAAAGGAGCATCGATCAGCAAAGGACGCCTGCTACGAGTCCAAGCAGAAAGTATGTGGGAGAGGAGTCCGAGCTAACGAGCAGTGTGGTCAAGGGTCATGCGGCGAGCGGATTGCTTGAACTTGCGCAGTCAAGGTGAATGCATTGAAAAGTATATAGAGCAAGGGTGGGCATGGTACTAGCATATTTGGTACGATTCGACGTTTGTAGAAGCTCTTTGCGGTCTTCGATCGTCTTGCTGGTCAGTGTTGGCTTATGTGTTTTGGACGAGATACCAGCATCCTGGACTTCATCGGCAATAGACTCTAGTCAACGATATGTTTATTGTAAATAGTCGGCATCTTGCCTCAGCGTAATCTCAAATCGCCACTATTTGTGGCGTCGAAACAAAATATTTGACGTTTCCACGATCGCAGATTGTCCTTAATGTTTTGCCTAATTTTTTTGACCTCAAATCGAAACTTCTGTCATCAAACTTTGGTCCGAGCACTTGTGTCATCCTCCAACACGGATCGGGCCGCTGCAGATCGCGCAATTAGCAGAGCCGAGCATCGGCGGACATTAATAATACACCTCAACTAGTTAAGCTCTCCAGGCCGTGGGAAGATACGACATATACCTTCCCAGGGAAAAAAAAGTTTTTCCAAAGTTTCCACGCAGGCTCGCAATTACCAACATCCTGGCTTTCCGCAGAACTCTCGCAAAAATGACGAACTTCAACATCGAGATCGTCTCGGACACGGTTTGCCCTTGGTGCTACGTTGGGCACAAGCAGCTCACCAAAGCGATTGCAACCTACCGCGCCGCGCATCCGGACAGCAACGACACGTTCAGCACGACCTGGAAGCCTTTCTATCTGGACCCTGATGCACCCAAAGTGGGCATTGAGAAATCGGAGCGCTACGCGGCTAAATTCGGCCCCGAGAGGACGCAGGCCATATTCCAGCGCCTGGGTCAGGTCGGGCAGGCCGTGGGCATCAACTTCAAGTTCGGCGGTAAGACGGGCAACACACGCGACTCGCACCGCCTGATCCAGCTGGGCAAGACGAAGTCTCCCGAAGTGCAGACCAAGGTCGTCGAGGCCCTGTTCGCGGCCTATTTCGAGAACGAGCAGGACATCACGTCCCACGACGTGCTTCTCGCGGCGGCCAAGAAGGCGGGCCTCGACGAAGCTGAGGTGAAAAGGTGGCTGGAGAGTGATGAGGGTGGAAAGCAGGTCGATGCCGAGGTTGCGGAGGCTCAGGAAAGGATGATAAGTGGGGTTCCGCATTTCACGCTGAACGACCGATTCGAGGTCGAGGGTGCACAGGACAGCACGGCCTTTGTTCGCTTATTCGAAAGACTGAAGAAGATGGAAGGAGATGACGCCGTGGCGAAGGTGGAAGTGGGTTCAAAGTGCTAGGCGCTACTACTGGCTACAGAAAATTGTCGTACGTTTTACTGTTCATTGTATACATAGCACTCACACTTCATTCCAGAAGGCTGTGCATGACAGATAGTCTGGATGACGCTCGTTTCATATTTTTCTCTTGAATTCGATTTCTTTTCTATCCAGCTCGGAAGGCCGTATGCACTTATGAATGCCATTACGATCCACTACTAAAACTCAAGAAAACAGTTCAAGCTTGCTGCACAAAGGGGCTAGAAGTGTTCAATCCGCGCTGCAAGGGACTTGCTTCAATCTCTGCTACCGATATTCCAACGGTTTCGAGGGCACACACACAGAGAGTTGGACAACGGTTGGCACCCAACATTAAGCGGCGATTGACGATTTAGCTTCTTCGTAGTCGTTAGCTTGATACATGCTTTAGTGCTCCTGCTTTTGGGCATGAGTAATTAGGCTTTGTACAGTTTTTACGTGTTCAATATTATTCAATCAATACCACATGTAAACCGTCTAATGTAGCTGCTTCTACCACGGTCAGGCACTAGAAAACGTCGTGCTCGAATTGAAGGCTGTTCAGCAACGCAATACAAAGACCACACACACATCTGTGTTCCGTGCTTTTCTGCCTAGTCGTGAAAAGAATGATTGTCGCCTTGATTCAATTCCCAACCAGGAGAGCATCGAAACTTACGTACGAGATCGGAGAGAAAAGGGCAAGTGGACTTTTGGCATGTCCGTCGCAGTAATCCGAGGATTTTGAGAAGACAGCGCTGATGACATCGAGGAGAACTTGCGTGCAGGCGCGGATCTTGATTGAAAACGCGGCGCCATATCCATATGATCATGTAGATTATATCTAGCCAATTGTCAATTACCACAAGTCATAGTGGATAAAAATGAGGCCAAAAGCGGCATAGGCGGATGGCTAGATTAAATCAAGGTCCAGACTCCATTTTCTTCCACAATCTCGACACTTCGCTTTTCATCCAGCGACCGTCTACCTGCTTCCAAGATAGCGCCAGTCGCAATTGTATTCTTCAGCGTGGGCAAAGGGCGCCCGTCCAGTTCATCAAGTGTCACCTTGCCTTCTTTCAGGTCCGTGACAGCATCTACAAACTTTTCGAACGATATATAACCATAGCCCGATTGGCCTGCGAAGTTACCCGCCTCATCCGGGGCATATTTCATGTAGAACCTATGCGTTGTTAAATCGCTCGTCATCCCGCAACTTCTCGGTTAGGACTTACGGATTGTACCACGATAATCCACTTTCGTCTTCAGTGACATTATATCCTCTCTTTGCTTGATCAATCCTAATCTCGCCCTTGCTACCCATCCAGTGGAAGTATTGGTTGCTGTGCACTCCGGCTTTCTGCGGTGCAGTCCAGCTCGCGGTGTACACGCCAGTCGCACGCTTTCCCGAACCATCCTTCTTCACCCAGTCTACCAATAAGGTGATTGTGTCCTCAGTTTGTGGTACACAACCGAGGTCTGTAGCAATCCCTTTGCTCGCGCTTCCAGTGACCCGGACTGGTCTCCACTCCGGTGCCATACTTTCGCACACATCGATATGGTGGCTATTCAAGTAATATGAAATATCTGAATCTTTACCTGCCCACGCCTTGAATGTTTCTAGTTGACTTTTTGGCTGCGACATATAGCTGTAGAAGTAGTTGAAGTCACCGAGCTTGCCGGATGTCGCACGATGCCGCGCGTCTGCGTATGCTGGGTCATAGCGTTTGTGATGCTCGACATAAACAAACACATTATGTTTGCGTGCTTCCTCGATCAACTCTTGATGATGTGCCAGGGTCATCACAGCCGGTTTTGTGAGCATTACATGAATGCCCCTCTGTATAGCGTACATGGCAATTGGATAGTGCGTGGGATCGGGCGTGAACACCGTAATGGCATCACCAGGAGAAAGAGCATCGATAGCGGTCTTGTACGCGTCCGGATCCCGCACGTCGCCTTTGGGGTAAGCATCGAAAGACGTGTCCAGGCCATTGTAGACCTCTGAGATGTTCTTGCGGAGGTGTTCACGGATTGCTGGGAACTTGCTGCCTGTCGTGCCGACCATGGACAGCTTGCCCACTTTGCCGCGGCGCCGCAAGTCAAAGAGTGTCAATCCTACCACGCCGACTTTTTTGTCGGAACCGGAAGCCCCGCCTCCTACGAAACCGGTGGTATATTCACCGGTTCCAACCTGGGAGCGTCAATCAATTGCACTCTGCATGTCAATGTCCAATACACACCATAAGCACATTAAGAGGCGCCATTCTGCTGTTCAGTCAACTTCCAAACGTCTGGCCTAGTGGTGTTCAAAGTCTTGTTCAGATCGTAGACGAAGTTTGACTCGGTGGGGTTGAAAGGTGCTGCCATGGTAGGACAGCAAGTGATATAGGCATTATCACAACGTTCAGCACCTTGTCTACTAAATTTCCAAGCGGCTCTCGCTAGGCCTGCTATAATACCCACATCAAACGCAGCCGGCATGGTTGCAGCACGACATTGATGCGAAAATATCCTTGCTGGTGACCTTCGTACGCCCTCAGTTCCCCACGGACCCTGGAATTCAGGATCCCAGGCACGCCATTGGTGGAAAAATGGTCGGGGCTTAAGGAGGACACCATCTAGACCAACCGTGTATGTCAATTCCTGCACACTCATTCGGCATCTCCACAGGACTGAATGAGTTCCTGGACTGAGAATGGTCCCAATTGGAATGTCATGCCTGCGGAGCGATCATCCCATTCCCCCACGCCACGGCATCTTGCTGAATGTCTCGGAGCGGGCATGGTTTGCGCTGCGGTTGTCGAGTGACCAAAGTTTCGGCAAACAGTCCGGACAACGGTTTACCGAATGCGGGCTCTGCTCGTGTGGCCATGCCACCGACTGTTGTGCGCCGGGTTAAGTTTGGCGCGGGATGTATGTGTAAGATCAATCCTGCCATTCGGCGATCGGCTCAATTGCAAGCTATGGGTTCAGCATGGTCGCCACTTTTGGCCATAGTTGCCCTTTCGCATATAAACTATCCTACAACCCAGTCGCTGCGTGCAGGCCTCTATAGCTCTTGTCCAATATCGAACTCTTTTTTTTTTCTCATCGCTCGATCACACGGGAGGTTTCTACCGCCCGTTGTTTCAAATCCCGCAGAAAAAAACATCGGAGTGAGGATCATCATTGTGATCTTTTCAGACAACAAGTTTCACATCTTCAAAGCATTCTCACAGTAGAATTTAAAATGGCAGCAAATGGATCAAGTAACGGGGCTCCGCGGCCTCGCAATCCTCTCAGACATGGCATCTACTCACCAGTCATGACTTTCTTCAATCCGGATACCGAAGACGTTGACATTCCTACATGTCGGAAACATGTGGTCAGGCTATGCGAGGCCGGACTACAAGGAATCATCGTCATGGGCTCCAACGGCGAAGCGGTTCACCTTAGCAAAGAAGAAAAAGTGCTCATCACACGAGAGACGCGCGCCGCACTTGATGAGGCCGGTTTCTCTCACATACCTGTCATCGTTGGCGCAAGCGAGAATTCAATTAGAGGCACGGTTGAACTTTGTGAAGAACTTGCCGCAGCTGGAGGCGAATATGCCCTGCTTGTTTGTCCATCCTACTACAGGTATGCCATGGATGAGGACGCGCTGTATGAATACTTCACCTCTGTAGCAAGTGGATCGCCAATCCCAATCATCTTGTACAACTATCCTGGAGCCGTTGCTGGCATCGATATGGACTCGGACTTCCTGATCAAAGTTTCCAAACATCCGAACATCATTGGCACGAAATTTACCTGTGGAAATACAGGGAAGCTTACGCGCGTGGCACAGGCAACCAACGCGGTGACCCCTGCGTCTCAGGGTTCTGGTTACATGGCCTTTGGTGGCATGGCCGACTTCACTGTTCAAACCGCAGCTAGCGGCGGAAGCGGTATCATCGCTGGCGGTGCAAATGTGCTGCCAAAGACGTGCGTCAAAGTGTGGAATCTATGGGCTGAAGGAAAGTATGATGAGGCCATCGCATTGCAGAAGGTGCTAAGCAAGGGGGATTGGGTTTTGACGAAGAGCGCCATTCCTGGAACAAAAAGTGCAATCCAGAGCTACTTCGGATATGGCGGCTATCCAAGGCGACCTCTGAAGCGACTATCCGACGAGAAGGCCAAGGCTGTTGCAGATGGAATTGCCGAAGTCATGGCGGTGGAGAAGAGTCTTTAGGAACAGGTTTCCTGATGGCTGAAAATGGCATGAAAATTACGTGCAGCATTAGGTAGAATAGACAGTACGTGACAAGAGCAATCCACGTGAACCTGTTTCTTCTCGTTCAAATAGTATATCGAAACGGGAGTGTGAAACCACTTAGAAAGTGATCTTCGGAGGTAAAAGAGTCTAAGTTTAGAGCTCGCATAGCTAAGCCAACATGATGACTTTGGTTTTGAATTAGAATGAGGTTAAGCCGGACAACGTTAACTAGTGCTAATGGAAGAATTCAGCTCAAGGACTTTGCAATGACTCTGATGCAAACGTTGTCTGAGAGAAGTTGAGCAGTTACGTCATTCTACATCACTAAGTTGACCTTAACTTACGCGACACCACAAGGCTGCAGTCGTTAATCGACTGCTCCGTACCTGCAGATACGGTTGCAACTGTCTGCATCTACCCCAGGGTACTGAGAGCTTCGCTTTTCAACTTCTTTCCATATTTCCCTGTGCTGTCGAGACACCGACATGATGCCCCCCATCAAAATCTACGCTGACGCGCCATTGCATCCGGAGGGGGTCACACCAAAGACAGCTGAGCCGGAAGAAGCATCTGGCCCACCGCCAACGAAAACAACGAATCAACCGCCCACAAATCTTTCAGATCCTCCGGCTCCACAAACTGGAGCTCGCCCTCAGGTGCCAGCTCCAACGCGTGTGGCAGGAGGTTCGTTCGGTCCATCACCACCTCAGCCTGGAGCAGTTCCACAGCCTACAATTACAGCTACGTATACAACAACCACGACAAGTCAGCTTTCTCCACCGTCTCAAATGAACATTCCGGCCCCGTCAACGAATCAGGCGCCGACTCATTCATCATACGTGCCGCCAGCATCACAATATGAGACAGGGACTACTCTGGAACCTCCATCAAGCAACCTACATGGCAGAAGGGCGTCGCTGGAGCATCCCCCGGGCTATCAGCAAAATCCATACGCAGCTGATGGAACACCTAATGATAGGGAGAGATTCGCAGAAGCGGCGCGGCAAGCGCAGGAGGAAGAAGGGATCATGGGTTCAGTAATGAATGCTTTGTCAAGCGCTGGTAGGAGACTGTCAGAGTTGGAGGACGAGGCATGGAAATGGGCGACGGGTAAGAAATAGCTCGACACTGAAGACGTAGATACAGGTGAAAAGACTTACAATTGCAAATTGTCAACAGCGTAATAGCGTTGGAAAGAGGCTAAAAGAAACCAAATGGAATTCAAAAATCTTTTTTTTTTGGTTGATGAATACCATCTGCTCTTTGATCTGTCAACTTATTGAATGCCACCGCCGGGTCTGCGCCATGTATGGGTATCGTGATGTTGTTAAAATGGCCAATTTGAACTCCGCGCAAAGTAAATGAATTGTGCTCGAGACGATCATTCCATCCATCTGCGCCCACAGCGCACACACTACGTACGGACGATCAGTCTTTGTTCATGATCTAGCCTAGCAGCCAACTCACCTTCATGAAACTGGTCATAGGCTCATCTGCACTACGAATCTGAAGCTGATAGAACTTGGCCTCGGAGCCGTCGCATTTCTCGTTCGGACAGCTTGCTTCTGTCGTGCTGCAGTTCTGGAATTCATCACCACCGCCGAGAATATCCGCGACCTCCTTTCGCGGCAGCTCTCTCTTGTCAACGTATGACTTCCGGAGGACGCGGACGTAGGGACAAGTGCGGCAGGTCATGCGGTTCTGGGCACCGGAGTCATCGAAGGCAGATCCAGCAACGTCCGGAGGCGCGGGTGCAACGGTGAGCAGATTGCCACAGGCAGGACAAAAATAGAGCATTTTCCTGATCTTTGTTGTTAGAGCGGAGATCGGAAATGGGCTTCTTTGAAGACGTTGTACAGCAAGGCCGTCAAAACAGGTAATAAGAACGAAGCAAAAAAGGGAAAAAAAAAAGTGTTGGAGCGCGGCGATTTGTGATGCTGCAGAGATCTCAAGGTTGCGTCTCTGAGACGTGGGGTTTAGTGGGGCTGAAAGCAGGAGTCCCTGTCAGGCAACGTCCGGCATGACTGTCCACATATTTCTTCCGTACAACACGGACGCAACTCTCTCCGCCTCACCTAGTAGATATTCTCTGCATTCGTTTGTGCGTAACTTGGAGCTGCTGTGCATGGTCCAGGTCTTGGTTAGCTTGCCACGCGATTTGCTGCACGTCGACTCCCCGAGCGCTATTCTGAAACCGAAGAATTGGTTGACACTCCGATCGGGGCTCCCAGAGTAACTGGCAACTCAGCCTCGTTCCTGGCTCTCGAGTAGTGCGCCCAGCAGGCCGCCTTCGTTCTCTTCCTCATTCCACTGGCAATCAGATCTCTCCTCTGCTCCCGCTCGATTTTCCTGTGCCTTTCGTGTCTTGCACTTCGCTGTCATGGCTGATGAGGTATATTCCACATGCACGCAATCTTCTCCTGTACTGGTTGGAAGGAAGGCTGACGTAGTGTCTTGCAGGGCGCAACACCCCGCGAACTTGTGCTGGAAGCTTGCCGCCGTAACAACACAGACCTGCTGCAAGAAGTCATAGATGATTTTTACGCGAAGAATCCCAAGAACGAAAAAGCGGCAGAGGAACAGCTAGCCGAGCTTCTCAACACGGCACGCGACGGCATTGGGCAGGGCGTGTTGCACATTGCAGCTGTGAACGGAAATTGTACGTGTCTTTCGCCGCTCTCCTTCCAGCTCGCCAACTTGGACCAACGTGGATACCGTATGCTGACCTCTCCGCTAGACGAAGTTCTCGACCTCCTCCTCGATCAAGCTGGAATTCTGATTGATGAACACTCGCGCCTTGAAGCCGACACCCCCCTACACAAAGCTGTCCGCTATGTCAATTCTCTCGACAAGTCGGACTGGGAACGCGGCTACCAGATTGTCGATATTCTTATCGACGCAGGGTGCGACCCCAGAATACGGAATCAAGCTAAGCTAAAACCAATTGAGCTGGCAGATCCGCGCAACGACCAGCTGAGGAATATGCTGAGGAGGGCAGAGTACAGTTTAATGGTTGCAAATGATGTTGTCGATGATGATGACGATAGACCGAATGGGCCAGGCAGCGAAAGTGACTGAGAGATGGAAAGCGCGCAAAATTCGTTCCTTATTGTGCAAGAGGGTGGCGAGTCAGCGAGAGTCGTGACTATGGATCATCATTTAGAGCATGTGCGATGCACACAATGGCCGAGTTGAATTTGCGCAAAACGAGCACAGTGTTCATATTGGACATGAGGCCGCATGAGGTAGTATATACACCAAGCAGCATGGAAATAGTTCTGCTTTAGTAGTCTAAGCTTGGAGTTTCCTCTTTCACGTCATTTTCCCATGCTAAACTCGTCCCGCAGAGCAGGTACAGTGCAACATTTGCATGCGATTTCATGCCAATAGCTCAATAGCTGTTAATGCAGCTACGGCTAGCGAAGCGCGGCCCAAAATGAGGCCGCGTAGAAGCTGGATTTGATATCTGCGTAGACCAACTCCTTATCTTCTGTTCAATTCCAAAGACAACTTTATGTCCCCTGGCTTCAAACATCATTGATCGTCTCATCAATCCTCCACATCCGGCGGGGGGCCGACTGGTTGCACCATCTTCTCTATAAGCATAACCCTCGTCTCCTCCTGCGTCTGTCCCAAACCCAAGCTCATGTAGGCCAGCAGCGGTGGGTGGCCCACGAAAGAAGCGTACGAGTCGCGCATGATGTTGGACGTCCATTCGAATTTGGTAGTATCGGCGTGGCCGGTGCCGACGTAGCGCGCTTGCAGGGCTTCGAGTTGTTGCTGCTGACGCAGTTTGTCTGCCATGGTGTGCGGTAGATTGTGTACGTGACGAGAGCGAAGGGTGCCAGAATTTGAAATCAACAGGGACCAAGGTGTAAACCGTATTCTTTTCACTTGAGAGAAGGAAAACCGGATTCAAGAGATTGAGCAAGTGGACGGTTTTTGCAAGAAGCATATGTTCGCGATGCGGACGCTTTGACGCCAAGCCGGGTGGTTCTAGGCCGGGATATTGGTTTGTGTAGCTTTCGTGCGCTATAGTTCTACCTAAGTTAGCTATTAACTGACCTTGAGTCTCTCTACCTCGCTCTGAACCCCTCGATAAACTTATGAATCTTACTCTAGAAATATAAAGTCCTCATATACTTATCAAACCTCCTCAGATCTTGCCCATTCACGTGGCTCAAAGATCTGTTGACGCGCTTGTCGCCACCCTTTGCTCAACCTGACGATCACATCAGAGGCTTTGTGACAGGCTACATCCAGGTGCAATGACTATTTCTCTATCAGCTCACAGGTTCATGCAGCTGTCGACTTGGTCCAATTGTGCCAGTCCAATAGTTGCCAATGCATTAGCTCGTTACAGTTTTGAGGCCCACCACTTCGCTCCTGGAACCTCTCAAAGGTGAAATGCAATCGCGAAAGTCAAAATTGAGGCCCATTCCTCGTATATCCGAGAGGATTCTGGACTAAAACCAACATTCAACCAATGGACAGAGATCATTTCTGGACAGGCAACAGAGTATCAAAAGGAAGTTGCCGCTAACCCATTGAAAGATCCTTGCTTGGGGACTATCCTGCCATGAGGCCGAGTGTATATTCATGCACTCTTTCAACGATGTCATACCTGCAGAACACACCGCCAGATCTGATTGACGAAATTCCAAGTAACAAGCAATCGGCGCTGAGTTGACATCCCCGTTGTAAGGCCTATTGCGAGTGGAGACGGGCAAGCTGGACGAATGACATTTTCAAACTTCATTGCAGCTACAAGGCTGCTTGCATAAAAGATAGAACGGTCATATTCAAAATCGTCTCCTTTTTGTGACCGGTAGAAAATCTGTTCTTATCCCTGCATCTTTCATTCGTTTACAGCTTGCTTTGGATTGAAGCGGTTTACTCTAATTTTGGGAGCGAGGCATGTCAACATTTATACCTATAAAAACTCAAAAACGGATATTTGGGAGAGAATTTCTCACTTTAGTTTCGTCACAATAATCTCAGCAAAAGTTACAGTCGACTTGTTCAACTCTCTATTCGCTATGGAACTCTTGGAGTCCGTTTTCAACCACTTGGTGCTACCGCCGCAGTTGCCTGGAGTTGGAGACGACGATCCAGAGTCTGTGAGCAGCGACATTCTCACGCGCGTGTCCAATGTCTGCAGATTGTTCCAGGACTTCAGCAGTAGCAACAGGTGGCAAGGAGAATGGGCGGCAGTTTGGGCGTCTATTGCAGAAACTCTTCATACTGCCCAAGGCATTCATTCCGATGGCATCGATGGAAATATTATTTTGAGGAGCTGGAAATTGTTCAAGCCTAACAGTTTCTTCATTTTACGCATTGCAAAGCAAAATGCGGCTCTTTTGCTCTATCGCAAAACCTTGTAAGCTACACCTGCCACACTCCAGCTTTACTCCTCGAAGGTGCTAATTTCAATATAAGTGACGGCAAAGATGAGGTCATCTTTGAAGTCTTTCAGTCTTCACCACCTGCGGAAAATGTACTTGCCGCTGAGGGTGCTCTTCTTTGGAGCTTCCCTGACCGCGCGGCCAAAATCTCGTGGGCAAAATTTTGCGAGCGTTCGTTCCAGGAAAATCTGTCATTTTTCATAGAGCAAGCCTCTCAAGAGCAACTGCAACGATTTGCTGCTCGTACACAAAAAGCAGGAGCTTCGGTCATTGAGATTCGCGATTCGACACATCCTGGCTTATTTTTTGAGCTACTCTTGCCTTTGCTGGCAGCAATCGGAGAAGTAGAAGTTGTTCCGGCGGTAGTGAAAAGAATAAAAGACGAGGTTAATTTTCAAAACTCGAAAACACCGTGGCGCAGAAACCCAACTTGGCTTGTGCTCCGTGTGGCAATCCAGCGTCAACTTTGTCTCACTCTTGGTAACGAGTGTGGAAGGATTTGCTTCAAACTTTTCATTTGCGCAGTACTGTCCAAGCTTTTAGAAGACTGCGTAGGCCAGCTTATTCCTGAGAAAACTTTACGCTTGAGAGCAAAATTATGCCGTCGCCTTGCAAAAGTTGAGATTGAGAGAGCCAGCCTTTCGGAGTCCAATTCAAACGTTTGCGGCCAATTAATGACTTCGATCGGCTCGTTCTGCAAAAAAATTATCGTCAGGAGTACGGAACAGGTCAATGAAGCTTGGAATTGCTATAGGCAGAACATCGTACGACGTATTCCAAGGATTATGAAACGAACTGACGAGCATTCACTTGTTCTCTCACTTCCACGAAGCGGTTCATATCTGCATGGACTTCTTCAAATGCCACATCAAACTCGACAGAATTTCCTATCACAACATTTACCACATCTCGATGACAATGCCATCAGATCTGTAAGAGAAGTAACGAAGTACTACTATAAATTCGCTGCACTAGATGGAGATACTGAGCTTAAAACCGTTCCAGCAACAGCAGCAAGTACTTATTTCGAGAAACGATGTGTGGAACTTGCTGATGCGATGGACCAATTCTTCAGAACTACCCTTAAGCTCTCGATGTCCAAACCTGAGCAGATGAGTTCATTCATTCTCAACGTCTTCGAGATGTGGGTTGCAATGGACAAATGCGCGACTAGGAGGTGCCCACTCTTGATAGATTACCACCCGTTGTTTACCCCTGAGATCTTAGATGTTTTACTTCTCCCAACGGCAAAGGAACTGCAGCGACTGCAGGAAGTGCAAAAGTACATTCGTGACAGGTGCGCCGGTTGCCTTCTACCGTCGCAGACGATTACAAGCGAGCCCAACAAGGACGCATTTACGATGCGCTACTGTGAAATATCACAAGAGGGACAGAAAATACGAGATCTACAAAATCAAATTCAAAACGATTCGTTACAGTCTCGGTCTCTAAAGGAATCTGAATGGCGCACTATGTGCAAACAGTACGACGAGCTGAGCCAGAAGATATCGAGTGGAACATGCACATGCTCATGGAATCGCGACGGTACTCGCGACGTTCGGGGATGCTCAAAGTGTTATTACTGGCGTTGCCGCAACAGAATGCATATCGGAGTCCATGAAGATTTTCTGCCTGTCGAGAAACCCTATAAAGCTGCCGTGGCGTTTGAGCTTACTATCCCTCCCTACCTCCAAGCATACCGAAATGCGACGTGGAGGATCTTGAGGGACCTTGCCCATCCGAGCAGACCTTCGACTGAACTGAAGGCGAACACACTTATGAGCGATTACAGTCAACTCAAAAGATATTCACGGTCAACAGCTTGTGGTATCACTTTAGCCTCCAAGACAAAGTCATTTCTCAGCACTCACTATAAGGGATTTAAAATGAAGATCGCTTTAAAAGATGTCCTTCTGCCATTAGGACTCAGCTTTTCGTATTACGACCAGAAATCTGATCTCTGGGTCAAGGATCTTCATATGCCACTAACGTTCGCTCATCATTGTGGTGTTCACATTCCAAGATGTTTATCAAGCTCTGTGGTGGAAATCAAAGAACATCCTCCTGCTTATCCAAGTGGTCCAACCTCTTACGAGTGCGTTGCTAACCAAACTAAGTGTCCACCTAATGCCACAACAAATGAGTTCAATTCACTCCAGCGTTTAATATCGGGTGATAATCGACGATGGTTCACGATGTTGGTAGAGTTGGGCTCTTCCAATCTCAATTTTAGTGACGAAGACACGACACAACTATTTGGCCATTTGGCCATCCAAGCAGGACCTACGCGAGAATCAAAGGAAATGCTCCGAGACATTCACGCAGTATTTCTAGATAAGTCGTTCTGTGTGCGACTCGCTGAGCAAATCGAACGGCGCTTGCGTGTCATCAAGTCCAATTGGAGAGAGACTAACCAAATGGAACTTTTGATTACTCTCTCCTTGCGGCTTTATGAGCTGGCAGAAGGTGCGGGCAGGAAATCAGCACTCAGACTTATTGAGACTGCTCGTCTTGTCACCCTTGATTGGATCCAACGTCTCCAAGAGGAGAAGTCAAAGGCTACTGATGACAAGATCGCGAGAAGTGTCGCTAGCTACGGATTTCTAGCCGCTTTACAATGCCGAAGAACATTTATAGTCTTCAATAATGGTGAAAATATCATGCAAGCTTCGGAGTTAGTGGGCTTTGTTCAGGCTTCGATTGCGTTACAGCAGAATCTCCATGTCAATCCATCAAAATTGCCTTCTGTCCAGGCAAGTATGCTAATTAGAGATGCGAAAATCGTCCACGGTCTTCATTCTGTGATTCGAAACTCTATTTTAGCCTCTAAAGGTAGCCTGGATATCGCAATCAACAAGTCTTGGTCAGAAACCGCCGATTCTAGTGGCAGCCAGTTCTTATCTTGGCAGTTCCTCTCAGAGCCGAACGAGACATGGATCGGTTCAGTCATAAGGAGCAATTTCAATTGGCTTCAAAAGCAATATGTTCACTACAACATCCTTGAGGGATATTTGCTCGTAAATGGCGAACCACTGGGAAGATTACCAAATGAGATACTGGATTCAGAGGAAGTGAAAGGTTTGTTTGCACAAAATCATCTGTTGACCTTCCCTTCCTCTCTTACCGGTATGAGCCACATGCTTGCGTGTCGGCTTTTCCAGCATCAAATTCACTTTGGGCGAAGGGGAGACCGCGTTATAATCCGAACTCTAAGAAACGGTGTTGTTCATGAGTTTGTTCCTGACTGGATCTTTCGCGAGGGGTCAGAGTATGATTTACCAGCATCTCTCCTCGATAATTGCACCCATTGGCTCAACCTTCAAAACGGAGAGCTGGAAATCCGACGAAGACCGTATGTCTGGAAGACAAGGCCTTCTGATTGGATATTACAAGTTTTCACACATCAAGCAAGACGCAGAGAGTCTCTCCTGGTTGACCCCTATAGTCAGGTTTACAGGGACATCAAAAAAATCTTTCAAGGCTTTGAAGAACCGCAGCACCTCACTGTTTTTCAGCCCAGCAAAGGAAGATTGTCAGTTGAACTAAAGCGTTTAGCGCTTTCGTTTTACGTCAACAACAATAATCTCCTTGAGTGTCGAGAGTTAGATGCTGAGATTGACGAGAATCAAGATGCAGGTACTCTTTATGGATTAAACAGCATATTAGTTCTTAGAAGTCTTGCGAACAAGGAAAATCGCAGCGTTCTGACACCTTTAGGTTCGTTGGTTATCAGGCGCAATGGTATGCATGTCAGCGTTGACGTAAACGGTACCGGATCTTATGCTAAGTTCGAAATTGACAATATTCTGGGGCGCCTTACTTGTCCCCCAGAGCCTCGCCTGCTATATACCAAGGCTCTACTTCACGCTGCGACGTCTTTTCCACTGCCAGATCCCCTCACAGGATCTACAGGCACCGAAGAGGCATATCACTTGCTGCAATCTGGGTGCTGTCAGCCGTGGACGCCAATTTCCAAGTCTGGAAAGACTATTCTGGACGAAATCGCTGCTTTGAGCCCCGTTCGAGACTTCTATCCAAAAGGTGGGAAGACTCTGCAGACTGTCCGGTGGAACCCGAATCTCACCATAACAATTCAACATGAGTGTTTACGACAAGCTGTGGAGGATATCATTTCGAAATCCAACCAACTTCATGCCTTCAGTGATGAGGCGCAAGCGGCCCAAGAAAATGATGACAGAGGTTTCGGTCACCTCTATCGCCGAGGTCTTGCTAGTCGAATAGCACATGAACGCGCCATCTCTGACGTTTCAAAACAAGCCCATGCTCGAGATGACATGTTTAAGCCTTTGAATCGGTCCAATCCTTTGGAACAAGAGAAAAAAGTCTATCACATCACAAAACTACTTCATCGGCAAACATTCGCTGCTCATATATCAATGAAGCTACCCAAGATACTACAAGCTTTTCCGGGAAAATTCATAGGAGGGTTTCATGAAATAAAAGAGCATCTTGGCTCCCTGAGCACCTGGATCGACAATGATTTTGGTGAACAGTGGGGAGACCTAGTGAACTTTTGTCGAAGCGTTAGCTCTGACAACGTATACAAGGTTTTGTTTCGTCTTTGCCTCTTAGCATTCAATCAGACGGCAACAATGGACTCAATCATGATTTTGTATGCATTCTGGGCATTGAACGAGATAAAACAACTTGAGCCTCCAAAGCGCAAAGTCTTTTCTGCATTTCGGATTGATTCAAATCCGACCGCAGAGCATCTCAAAAAATTCATCGTTCCAGATGGCCCCGTTTCCAAGCTGAGGATGTCTCATAGTCACGGAAAGCCATCGTGGTCATCAAAACAAGACGAAACAGATCGCCTCGCCAAATTTCTTGCAGAGCAGTGGCCGTGCGAGCAACCTAACGTCTTGGCATTTGAATCCGAATTATTAGATATGGAGGAGATCATGGAACGCATACTCCCTGAATGGACACGATTGTACGCGAACTGGGAATTATCGACGTATGCAAAGCATGTTCAAAGGATCTTGGAAACGCAATTTACGCATCCAGTTGTTCCAAATCTAGAGTTCTGGCCATCAATGGTTGATTTCTCTGGAGAAATCACTGCCCATGGTGCTGTTATTCCATCTCTGACATACAAGCTTTTATCCAAATCTGCTCTCCGTCAACCAGAATACGCTTCGCTCGACGCAGACTTTACCTTGGGAACTCGAATAATCATGAAGAACGTAGAAGGAGAAATTGCGATGCCTGAGCAAATTGCCGAGCTGGACACAATATTGTCCTTCTTCGTCTCTTCCACCAAGCCACAATGGCGGCAATATGGAGAAGATTTGTACGCAAGTCTGGAGGCCCTGCGTAGATCTAATACCAAGAGTCAGCACGATCTGAGCCTTCCCGATCAGGAATCCATCAAGAAGAAGATGGAGAACACCCGTAAAACGATTCAAGATTGTTTCTCTCGAATATGCGATGCACTTTCTTCCAATGATAAAGCATTCCCGTGGCTTCGGTTAGGACAGCTATGGCCACGCATTACACCAACTCTCCTTCTTGAGCAGCTGCGCTTTCGTACACACACTAATTTCGGACGAGGAATGAAAGAGAGCCTCGTTTCCTACGGACTATGGCTTACGCGACTTCAGTGGCTTCGTAGAGTTGATTACGAGCTTAAAAAAGGTGATAATCGAAAAGCTCTTGAAGAATGGCGTAACAGAGGTCATGCGAACTGGGACCCCTTGGAGTTCCCCGACTGGTTACTATTCGAGATTGACAGTAATTTACATATCCGTTCCGAGCAGATAGATGTCGCAAAGGCTATCATTTCTCCTGATTCTCAGGCCAATTCTGTGCTGCAACTTAATATGGGCAAAGGTACATGTGAACCATCAAATACATTGTTCCACGTGCGAAAGGTCGCAAGCTGACAGAAACGTTCAGGGAAAACTTCATGCATTGTGCCAATAGTCTTAAGCGTGCTTGCCGATGCAAAACAATTATCTCGATTAATCGTACCAAAGGCTTTACTCTTCCAGACTGCTCAAATTTTACAAGCAAAACTTGGGGGACTGGTTGGTCGAGAAATCACCCACGTACCGTTCTCTCGTCGAACGCAAACAAACTTGAATGTTCTCAAGCTTTATTCTGACCTCCATTATCGAACGCTTCATAATTCTGGAGTAATGCTTACCATTCCGGAGCATGTACTATCGTTCAAACTCAGCGGATTCCAGCATCTTGTTGATGGTAAACTCGAGGAAGCACGTGAGATGATTGAATTTCAATCTTGGTTGGAACGACACTCACGTGATGTTCTTGATGAATCTGACTTCTCTCTCTCCGTAAAGACACAGCTCATATACCCAAGTGGAGACCTAATGCCTGTTGATGGAAATCCAGATCGCTGGATAGTCGCTCAAACTCTTCTGGGCCTTGTTCGTGATCACCTCCAAGAAGTTCGAAGACAGTTCCCCCATGGAATTGACGTTTTTGAGCGCTCTTCTGGATTTCCGACGATTTACATTCTCCACTCTGCGGTAGAGGACAGCTTTCAGAAAATGATTGTAAACACCATTTGCGAAGGCAGGACTTCCATCATTCAGCTTCCAGATGCGTTGTCTCCCGCACAGCAAGAAGAACTTCGACAGTTTTTATCGATACAAGATGTTGATCAAGTGGTTCTTGAGCGCGTCTTAGCAATGCTCTCCGGTAACCCGGTCACAGTCAAGAATATCCTCGTTATTCGAGGTTATCTTGTTAACAGGGTACTGTTTATGTGCCTGAAGAAGCGATGGAATGTCCAGTACGGTCTGCATCCCAAAAGACATCCAATTGCAGTGCCGTATGAAGCAAAGGGCATTCCTTCTGAACAATCCGAGTTTGGACACCCTGAAGTCGCCATCTTACTCACTTGTCTCGCTTTTTATAACTCCGGCCTCTCTTTATCGCAGCTTAAAGAGAGCTTAGGGTATATACTTAAGTCTGACGATCCAGCTTTTGAGTATGATCGTTGGACAATTGATTCTGCATCTCTTCCAGAACCTCTTCGTCATTGGAACGTTATCAATGTCGATGATCACGGACAGATGGAGGAGCTTTGGCAGCACGTTCGCTTCAATACCACCGTCATAAACCACTATATGAACGTTTTTGTATTTCCTTTGCACGCAAAACAATTCTCAGTAAAATTGCAGTTGTCGGCATGGGATCTCCCATTAAAATCGGCAGAAAATGAGCACTTGTGTGCAAAGACGACTGGCTTCAGTGGTACAAACGACAATCGTAGACTTCTACCGCTAAACATTGAGCAAGACGATTTACCATCCTTGCATCAGACGAATGCCGAAGTTCTTACGTATCTTCTTCAAAAAAGGAACAGGAGATACATTTTAGCAGCTGATAATCGGGGCCGTTTCAATGAAGAGAAGTTGCTTGAGAAATTGAATGAGCTAAAAATACGTATTCTTATTGATGCTGGCGCATACATTTTGGAGATGGACAATCAAAGCGTTGCAAAGATGTGGCTGACGAAAGACCCCCAGGCATCAGCAGCCGTGTATTTCGGAAGCGGTGATAACCGTGCTTGGGTCCAGTATCGAGGCATGAAGGCTCCGATCCCGCTTATTGCTACTCCTTTTGCGGATAATTTAGAAGGTTGTGTTGTGTATCTTGACGAAGCTCATACGCGTGGAACTGATCTTAAGTTCCCAAATCGTGCCTGCGGAGCAGTCACATTAGCATTAGGGCAAACGAAAGATCATACAGTGCAAGGTGAGTAATAATTTTTTCTGCTCACAATTGGCAAGCTTGTGCACTGATTTCTCAAGCTGCTATGAGACTCCGCCAGCTAGCGACAACCCAAAGCATAGTGTTTTTTGCACCACCAGAAGTCCACCAGAGTATTCTGGACACCCGTCCTGAGACCGCAGATCATCCTGTGGACTCTTCAGATATTGTGCGTTGGTTGCTCGAGCAGTCGTGCAAAAGTAACGAACAATTACACGTGTTGTATGGAGCCCAGGGAAGTGATTATTGTGTGAGGTTGAACGCTGCCTGGGAGAATCCGGAATTTCTCGTCAATGTTCGTCAAAGATCAAAATTTATCTGCGCAATCAAGTCTCCTGAACGGTTGACACTTGAAGAATTATATGGCTTCAACCGGAAATGCTCGCACAGAAATTTAGAGCGTCTAGCACATCCCGGCCTTCGCGATATGGTCAGTAAGTTGATAAAACAGAGAAATTCAAGCGATTCGAATGGCTGGACTTCCTCAAGTCTCGTAATGGAAGAAGTAGAACAAGAGCGAGAGGTTGAATTTCAGGTCGAGGAGATTCGCAAAATTCAGAAACCTGCGCACCGAAAGGCTCTTAAATTTCCAGGGCTCCACGAAGGCATTTCTTACTTCGTCGACACAGGAATTCTCAAAGAAGGAGATTTTCACCAAAATGCATCTTTCTTTCTGTCACAGACACCTCTGGGAAAGAAATACAGCCTTTGCATGAAGGCACACCGACTCTTTCTCTCAGCCGAATTCATGCGCACAGTCAAGTCGCGGTCTGTAGAAGCTAACGACAACTTTTACGTCAGTTCATTTCTTTTTGTCTTTTTTTTTTTTACATTGCATTAACACATAAACAGAGGTCCATTGAATTTGTCTTGTGGAGCCCCTCGACACAAACAGCGCTCGTCATTATCCCAGAAGAAGCTGAGATGATCATCCCTATTCTTCAAGCCTCTAGGTCAACATCTGTTCATTTGATAATTTACTCCGCTCCAACAACAAGGAAGATGCTACAATTCTGGGATCTTGATTACTATGTGCTTCCTCGCCTTCCCGAAGGAGAAATTTTTCCTGAATGGCTCAGCATCGAATTAGGAATTCTAGGGGCACGGCTATACTTCCCTATAGAAGAATATGACTCTCTCAGGGAGTATTTCTGTACTGCAGTCTCCAGCGGAGTGGGAGAAAGTTCAGAGACCCATACGTGTGCAATGTCTTCTAGTCTCCTCTCCTTCGTTTTCGACTGGATTACATTAAGACGCAATGGCCAGGATATTACCATGACACCGATGGCATACCTTTGCCAGGGCAAGCCTTTACATAGGCATCATCCGTTCTTCAATGTTAAAGATGACGTTGAGGGAGCAATGCCAACAGCCCATTTAGGGAAGGCGACATCTTTGACGGATGAGATCGAAAGTCTCCAAAGTGACTCTGAGGCCGAGTGACTGGTGGTAGAGAAGTCGAAACGTCCTATCTATTGTGGTAAAGACCGTAGTTGTAGTTCTAAGGGGCATTCAAATGCTTGCAACGAAGATTAGTAGTTAACATCAACAAATAGTAATTTTAGTCTTGGGAGCTACGGGTTTGTAATTCATTCGGAATATAATACCCAATTCTAGATATGGGATAGGCCATTTCTCACTTAAATTGTGTATTTACACCTCGTGTAGTGTCCGACGAATGGCACTGATTCGTCTATTATCACGTGCGAATTTCCTAAATGGGAAGATGCACTTTTCGACCGCAGCCCATTCTCCACACAAAGTCGCGTTAATTACAACGCCATGAAAGAACCACAACAGCGAGAAAATCCGTGACCGCATTTTTGAACTGCTGTATCACGCCCAGCGTCCGGACTGCACGTTTACAGCTGGAGACTCCGAGCAATGACCGTCGCGGGTGCAGATATCACGATGCCGATCCGAACGCCCACGTCGGCGACGCACGCCGAGGCGGCGGCGGCGGCGGGTTCTCCAACCGACGAGCGTCCCTACTCGGCCGCGCAAGAGGACTTCGCCACGTCGGCGCTGCTGTCGGAGCAGTCGACGGCGTCCGAGCTGGCGTCGCAGCAGGTGCCCGTGGACCTGGAGGTGGCCAAGGCGGAAGCGCAGGCGCTGATCGACGCGCAGAAGTTCGGCACGCGCAAGGCGTTCAAGGCGCACCTGGACGAGGAGATCGGGCGGCTGACGCGCGAGGCGGAGGCGCGGGCCAAGAAGCGGGACGAGGCGCTCAAGGTCAACGAGGGCGTCGACGAGGAGATCAAGAAGCTCGAGGCCCAGTACGAGACGGAACGCAGGGCCCTGGGCAGGCGGCTGCAGGAGCTGGGGAAGTGAACGGCAGGCTCGAGGGCGAACGGCGCCCGTCTGCGTCGTTTTGCACCGGCGTCTCGAATGGCTGGCACCCCGTTCACACCGAGATCGAACACGCTTACACGACATGAACATGAAATCTGTTCAGAAGGTTCAGAGGTCGGAGTGGTAGGGGGTTGGCGGTGGGTTGGGCCATCTCTCCGATCTGGGCCATGATTTCATGAGAGCAGAATGCCGGGCTTGATATATATATTTATGAAAGTAACAGGTTGATGTTTGCAATATGCTTCAACTGTTGTAAGCTCCAGAGGCGAGCTTTACGGTTCTCAGATCGCCCATGCCGTTTAGGCGGCTAGCCACGGCACAGCGCAGCGGTTTAAGAATGGGAGGACGAAAGGGATGGGAGGATCGTAAAGTATTCAAGCAGATGACATCGATTCAGGCATTCTACGAATCAGTACATCTCCCAGAATTAGATGGAGCAGGTCACCCGCACAAGCTCCGCTCCAGGCGAGCGGAGCGCAGGGCAACTGTCCACACATGCAATCTAAATCAGCATCACGTGCCACCAACTTTGTGCAAGTCCAGTATCCCATTATCCCGATGCCGCTCCTCTGATGAACGCCAGTCCAATCACTGCCCTACAATCCGCCAAGTACCCTCGATATGCACAAATAAACAGAATCGCCGTGCAAGTGGAAAACAAGGAAATCATCAAACAGATGAGCAGGGCTTGGGCGTCTCCGAACGCGCCTCTCATTTCCAAGATGAAAAGAAGAGCAAAACGACCAGGAAATCCATGGCCAAGTTCAGAGGCGAGTGGAGAAAAGTCAAAAAAGGAGAGACGAGCAAAATCGAGGGAAAGAATATTCACATGACAACGCAACCTCCTGGTCCACTCCGAGCTCTTCGTCGTCGACCGATGCCCGTGCCAGCCATGCCTCCGTCCTCCTCGTCCGCATGCATCATTTGGGCCTCCCTGGCCCGTCGTCTTCTGCGCCTCGCTCCGCCACCGCTCGCGCTCGCCTCCTCATTCGCAATCATGTAGTCCGCCCACTTCTGCTCGAGGCGCCTCGCAGCAATGAAGTCGCCGCGCATGACGCGCTTGGTGTGCTCTTCGACGGTGGGCTGCCAGTTGTAGAAACACTTCAGTTGAATGATCTCGCGCGGGTACGTGACGAGGTTTGTGCCGGGTGTGCGTGTCGGCTCCGCGTTACGCGAGAGGATCTCGCGAACGCCGCTCCAGGTCACATTCGTGCAGTCATACGCCACAAGGCGCAGGCTGACCCTGGGTCTCTCTTTAGCAGTAAGTCCGCTGCCCGCGAGACGCGAGCGCGTCCGCACCATAGCTGCTGCCTCGGTGAGGACGAGATCCGATATCTTTGTGTTGTCCATCTCCAGAGATGCGAGCTTGGTACACGTCTTGATGACCGGAAGCATGCCTGAGTCGCCAAGGTTCTCACAATAGTTTATGCTGAGGTGTACGAGACTGTTCTGACACGGCGCGCTAGCCAGAGTCTGCAAGCACTGGTTCGAAAGGCCCTCGATCTCATCAAGATCCAGGTGCGTGAGATTAGGCATCGTAGGAAGGATCTCGCAGAGCGCTGCGTCGGTCACTCCAGGGCACTTCGAAAGCTGCAGACCCTCCATGTTCGGGCAGGTGTGAGCCAGCTTTTTCACGCCAGCTTCCGTGAGGCCACGGCAGTGGGTGAGATCCAGATGCTTGAGCTTGCGTGGCGGCACCAGGACGCGTCCGCTGAGATAGTCGTACTCACTGTCGATGCCTTCCAGAAGCACAGACAGAGACTCATCCGTGAGGGTTCCGCAGCTAGTCAGGAGCAGCCGCTCCAAGGTGTTGCGCTTGAACAGCTCGAACATGAAATCCGTGTCATCCCAGCCTTGCACCTCGCCGGCACGAAGATCCTTCAGGTTAGGGCATTTTTCAACGACCTTGCGTAAACCGCGAGTGTTGACATTGCAGCACCAGGTCACGTTCAGATGTTCAACCTTTGGGCAGTGGTCCGCAATGATCCTCATTGCGTGGTTGGTGGCGCCCGGTAGCCCGGACAGATTGATATGCACCAAGCGGCTGTTCTGGTAGAGAAAACAGTGAATGGAAGATCGATCGATGAGACATCCTTCCAGGGAGAAGTTCTCCAAATTCTGGCACGCATCAGCCAGCTCCATGCCCTTCACGTTCCACTTTTCCTTTAGCTGCACGCAACCCCGGAGGTTCAAGTCTCGCACGAACGGGCCGGCAGACGCGATGACCTTGACGAGAGCGTCGCCCGGAATGTCCCTGTAATACTGGGATGTGTCCAGCCTGCGCCAGAGCTGACCATCAAAGCACAGTTTGTGCCAAGTTTTGGATATCCTCGAGCACCGAACCACCTCCCTAGGTTCCAAGTAGCTCAGGATCTGTATGCGTAATTCGTACGGCATGTCGTTCCAGAAATTGAAGTTCTCCCTTCTCTTCAACGCCGGTGCCTTTGGCTTGGTCACCGGTCGGGAAAAGTAATCTTCACCGTTGACAGATGTACACTGCCCCATGGCGGATGTGGGGCGGAATTCAGCAGGGAGTCCCACGGAGGTGGGCGTGTCTCTGCCCACCGTGCGGGCTCGCGGACGAAAGTAGCCGGTTGGCGTGGCCGGCTGCGGCGTGCCGTTAACAGAGGTAGGCGCTGTAGAGAATTGTGGGGAGAGTTCGGAATCGTACGAGCTGCTATTCGAGACGCTGTACGGGCTCGCCGAGGAAGACAGGGAAATGCACGAGACACTCGCCTTGCCGCCGGACCTGTATGCGGAGGACGTGCCGGACCTCATTCTCGCCAGCGACGGCGACGAGGACATGCGTTGGAGACTGCGAAGCAGACGTGCTCGCCCCTTCAGCTTGGTTGGGCCCTCTGACTCTTGGGGAGCGGGATGGGACGGCTGAGGCATATCTGCAGACACCTCCTCTGGAGTGGCATGCACAATGGCATCTATAGACGCCGGAGCGGCCTCGCCAAGATCCATCGCGCTCATGGTTGTGGTTGGGCTGTCGAGAGACAGAACCCGGGTAGGACCGCGTGAGACACTGTTCGAGATAGTATACGACCGCGTGAGCGGGTGTACCTTGGCTCGGGGAGCGCTCACAAGCGACTGTATTTGCTTGCTCGCAGGGATGAGTAAGCCTTAAGAGGTCGGTAGGGGTGAAACGGGGGCGAGCAGCGTGTGTGCGATTCAAGCTGCGAACGAAGCTGCTCCCGTTCTCTTTGTTCGCGGAACGTTGCCGGACCTCTCTGGAGGGAGTTTATGAAGACGACGGGGACGGCCAAGGGTCCGGACGTGTGAGCGGGGCGCTGTGGGGACTCGTCTGGCTGCGGTATTTCGTCTTGACAGGTCCGCTCTGAACAAGTCTGCCCGACCAAAGCGTCTTCCAGTGGCGCTGACTGTGTCCGCACTTCTTTCTCTCGTGCTCGGACACGAGCAGCGCAGCGTGGTAATTGCCGCAGACCAGTTGTGCTGGCTCAGGCTCTGCTGGAGCGAGGCAGTTCGTCGCTCGGCTTATCGTGTTATCGATTGGCGCAATGCAGGCCTTGTCGGGACCATAGCCGAAACAGCGGGATCGACAAACGAATGGTGGGGTCTCTTTCGCAAGGCCGCGCGACAGAGCACGAGGTCAAGTCCTGCGGCGTCTTATCAAAGGCTGAAAAGACCGATCAGATCGTCGTGTGCTCGCGGGCGTGAAACATTCAAGAGGTCAGAAGGACCTGCACGCCAGCAGCCGGAGGAGGATGCGTGACTTTTATTACCTGCTCACACGCCCCGAGCAGCGACGCCCAGTAGCACCATGCAGGGAAGCCGTGGTGCATTAACGCAGAAGCTTGTGCGGGTCGCTGACACCAACCCACCCACCCGCACGCACACTCCCACACTCTCTCTCTCACGCTGGGCCCAATCGACGGCCGAATCGCAGCGCTGGATGCAACGTTGCTGGAGCCGGCGCTCCCTGCATCGCTGGTGCAGTATCTCAGCTGCGGCGCCCGTCAGGTCCGCACAAGCACCCGCAGAAGCGACGCGATCGCATGGGGCAGCAGAGTAATGCCGCACTGGGGCTCCCTCGCCGGAACGGACGCTCTGGCTCACAGGCGGACACGCTGCGGACGGGAAACACCGAGATGATTGGGCAAGCGTCGTTCGAGTGCGCCCGTCCTCGTTCGATGGGGGCGACTCTTTCACCGCGGCGCGTCCCTGCTTACTGCCCCAGCGACCTTCTAGAAAAAGAGGAAGGATGCCCGCTAGAGTGCTCCTGCGGCCATCGCGCAAGCCTACCCCGTACCGACTCTCCCCAGGATTACTCCGCAATGCGGATGCCGGCACGGTGAGGCACCAGCACGCACTCTCGGTGGTCGTCATCGCGTGCTGGCTCTTGTACCTGTCGCGGCGCCGGGCATCGAAAGCTTACCTCTTGTGGCCCTTACCCCTGAAGCCGCGGCTCGATCGCTCAGTTGCAATCCGGTCTGTCCTCAGGACGTGAATCCTCTTGCTGACAATCCCGATCTGAACCAGAATGAGGGCAAGTCCCGAGGACAGGTTCATTCGAGGTCGATATTACCCCCGTCATGTCGAGAAGAAGGCAGTCAGAACACGAGCAAATGAGCATCTAATATATGGGTCTGAATCTGCTCTTATTTCCAAAGGCGCCATCATTGCAGCCCATCCCAACTTTTGCCTTGTATTTTCTTTTAAGCTTCCATACAGACCTGTATGCAATTAAAGTGCCGTCTTCGTTAAATCTCAAGTGATTCAGATGCCAAACGTCGCAAATTCCTCCCCCCCCCCCCCGTCTGCTAGAAATGGACCGACCATGGCAAAAACTCGAAAATGGGTATCAGCGATTGTAGGAGAATCTCAAGTGTTCTTTGTCTTGGCTTCAAACAGAGTAGCGTCTTCACGTCGTCCATCAAAAACTGAATAAAAAGCCAGGGCCAGCCCATGAGCAATCCTGCATTTGCCTGAACAGGGAGTTGCCGTGCGGAAGATACGCCAGATGGGGGTGAGCTATACGCGGGATGAGATCTCACGTTTGTCTGCCTTGAGGCTAGACGCATGCTCGCTTCTATACTTCCTTCTTGTGGGGCAAACCTGCTGCCATTTCCAGGCCTCGCAGAATGTCAGAGCCGCACGCGTACATCATGTAGCCGGCGCCTACCAGCCACGCGCCACTATCGCCTTGGTCAGAAGGAACGAAAGGGAACGGTGATGGGCAAGAGAGGCCCTGGGTTCTGAACTCACTTTGGAATGATCCACAGCAGGATAAGGCGATCGATGGGGTTGTGCCCGATGTTCTGGAATCCGTTGTAGAACTCGATCAGCCCTGGACGAAAGAACACACACGTCAGTGGATTTGGCAGCTTCCAGACGAGGAAGAGAGACGAAAGCAAGCAAGGGAGGAAGGAATGAAGGCGACGAATCGAAACACATGGTTTTAGAAATTGACGAGTCTCAAAACAATATTTATATTGAAAGAAAAAAAAAAGAATGTAAAGGAAGGCGAAAACCCACAGTAAAGCACCGTCTTCCAAAAGGTCATGACCGCCGCTGCAAAGCCAAGCAGCGCCGCCAGGCCGGCCTCCCGCCCGACGATCTTCCGGGGCGCGAACCCGAGGCTGGCGAGCGAGAGGCCCGAGCCGGGTACGGCCGTCTCCGAGCGACCGTAGCGGAAGGCGAGGTAGGCGTAGACGAGGTACATGACCGTCTCGACCGCGTTGCAGAGGGCCTGGGCGGGGCCGAAGCCCTCGCGGCGGTCGAGGTGCGGGAAGCCGTAGACGTAGTCGACGGTGCCGTACAGCGCGTACGGCACGTACAGCGGCCAGTGAAGGCGGCCGCCGGGCATCGTGTGCGGCCGCCCCAGCATGTAGCCCGTGTCCCAGACGACGAGCGGCACGCTGACGAGCAGCCACAGCTGGGTGAGGCCCGTGGGCGCGTGCGACCAGGTGGTGGCGATCGAGCGGGCGCGCGGCCGCGGCGAGGACACCACCGAGCCGTCCGCGGGCGCGTCCTCCGTCACCGCGGTCGAGGAGCGCGCCGCCCGCTTGCTCGGCGACGCCTTGGTAGGCGACAGGTCGGGCGGGGGGAAGTTCTTCGGGTGGTTGCGCGTCGAGACCATCGTCACTCCTATTCCTTCTTTTTATATTATTTGCCTTCTTTTTTTTTCCCTTTTACCTCCTTCTTTCCTGTGCTTTGTCTCCTGGCGCCTGATTGCGTAAGGGCCAAGCAGCGAAGCTTCTCTTTTTTTTCCCTTTTCCTTTGCCTTTCCTCTCGCTCGCGTCCACACGGAGCGGGGACCTTTGCAATGGCGTAAGGGGAGCAGCGAGAGATGGGAAGATAGGGAGCGATGCGCGTGCGACGGGTCGACTGTGGTGGGATGATGTGAGTTGGGTTCCTGGTTTGCGGACGCGGCGGATGAGAAACTTTGCCTGGACGTTGATTTTATTTGTTTTGGGTTCTTACCCACTCGCCCCCTCTTCCACCTCCCGCTGAAGCTGGGGCCTTGCCCTTTTTGCGCCACCGACAGGGACGAAGCGCGCGCTGGTCTGGGGTATCGTCTTTGTGCTTTTGATTGGGCTAATTCCCACAATCCACAGTAATGACCCCATCAGGCTCAGCCTATGTTTAACTCTGAGCACACACACACTCTCTCTCTCGGTTTCGATACTGGACTGGGACTGAGATCATGTTGCGCCGCTTAGGTATCTCCTCTATCGTTTGTGCATTTCGGCACATAGCAACGATGTTCAACGCATCCGTGGGCTGTCTAGCCAAACCACATGGTTGACTTCTAGTTGAGCGTAGTAGAGTAGAAGAGAAAAACGACGTCACGAGCAGCCATCGAATGTTGTGTTTCCGGACTGAGCTCGCTCGTACAAGACTCTTTCTGAGATTTGTTCTATTTCTGAGCCGCGGCTGCCTTTCAGAAACGCCTGCAAATGCTGCACATTCTCCCTCTATCAGATCCCTATGCCAGTGCTCTCGGGAAATCAAAGGATACAAAGTAGAAAGGAGAAAACACAAGCGAGAAGCCGTCGAACCGAATCAGAACACACATGTGGAAAGCAAAAGGAGAAAAAAAAAGATCAAAACGCCGCAGCCTTTGCCGGAGCCCAAATTGACCTGTACATCCATCAGCGCAGCTGCCCGCGATCATCCGCTAACGGCAAAACACCTCCCACAAGCTGTCAAAATCATCTGCTAAGTGCACCCGCTGTCTCTCGACTTTTTATTTGGGAATAAAAAAGCAAAGCAGGAAAATCGAGGTAACGACCATTTTCACAGCTCTAGAAGGGGAATCCTCCTCCTGGGAACCCGCCTCGTCGGTTGCCGCCAGGCATGCCACCGAATCCGCCGGGTCCTGTTGAGAAAGAGAAACCACCGGGTCCACCACCGGCGCCGCCCATGCCGCCCATCATGTTGAATAGCATTGCCGGGTCAATGTTTACGTGGCCTCCTTGGAAGCCGCTCATGCCGCCTCCGAACATGTCTTCTGGATCTTGAAGGTCGACACCAGAGTCGTATCGCTGTCGCTTCCTGTTCCACACCTAGTCAGCAAACTAGTTCTTAAGCAAACACATTAGGCCAGGCGGATGTGAGGAGGAAAAATGAATTGAACGAAAAGAAAAGGGTAGGGAAGATTGGGAAGGCGAAAAACTTGCTCGGCCAAAGTACATACGCAGGATCGCTGAGGCACTCGTACGCCTCGCCTATGTCCTTGAAGCGCTCGGCCGCGGCCTCGTCGCCCGGGTTCTTGTCTGGGTGGTGAACAATTGCCAGCTTCCGATATGCCCTCTTGATCTCCGTCTCGCCCGCGTCTTTGTCGACGCCCAAGATCTTGTAATAGTCCTTGCGCTTGCTCTTCTTCAGCTCCAGCTCCGCGGATCGGATTTCTTGTGCAATACCCGGCTCGGATGGGTTTGCCTCCTGAACCGCCTTCAGCTCGCGCACCGCCTCTTCCCAGTTGCCGTCCTCGCCCATGGCCTTGGCCTTGGTCTTGCGCGCCTTGGTGTACGACGGGTCGAGCTCTAGAGCGCGCGTGCAGTCCGCAATGGCAGGCTTGTAGTCCTTAAGCTTGATGTAGCACAGTGCTCGGTTCTGCAGGATCTTCGAGTTGGTCACGCGGTTGGTCGGGTCGATCTCGAGCGCCTGCGAGTAGATGTCGATGGCTTCCTTGTACTTGCCCGTCTTGAAGAGTGTGTTGCCTTCCGCCTTGGTGCGCTCCAGCTTCTGCACCATCCGCAGGAACTTGATCGCGCTCTTGAACTCTGGGTCGCACTCGAGCGCGGACCGGAAGTGTTGGATCGCTTTGTCGGCGTCGCCCTGTGCCGCCAGAATGCGTCCACGTAGCACGAGCGCCTCCGGATCGCGGCTGTTGCTCCGCAGAAGAGACATGGCCACATTTTGCGCTTCGCCCAGCGCGTTAACGTTGCCCATCTTCAGGAACGCCTCACCCCTCATTAGCGCCCACTTCCGTGGCCGTGGCACTCCAATGCCGAGGCCCTTCTCTGCCTGGTCGAGCGCATGCACAATCATCGAGCCCGACGATGAGTCCTCCAGCTGCTGCTTTGCCTGTCTTATGTGCATCTGCATCTGCATCGCAGGAGCCTTGTCCTTGGCCGAGGCAGGTGGCTGTATCTGATCATACGTGGCAAGCGCTTCGTCAGGTCGTCCCAAGCTTGTGTATATTCGTGCGAGCCTGTGCAGGATCTTTGCGTTACCTGGGTCCAGCTCGTCGGCACGCTTCGCATCTTCGAGCGCCGCCTGGAAGTTGTTCGCCGATATGTACGCCGCAGCTCGGTTGTTGTAGTATGTGGCATTCTTGGGGTCTGCTTCGATGGCTGTTTCGCAAGGGGGAAAGAAAAAAAGTCAGCATTGTCTATTTTCGTCGTGCGTGCGGAATCGAGTGAAATTGGAAATGTATGCATTTTTGAGTGCATTGTGGTTACCTTTCGTGTATTCGCGCACGGCGCTGGCGTAATCCTTCGCCTTGAAGAACTTGTTGCCCTCGGCCTTGTACTTCTCCGCATCAATCGGTACGGTGGGCGGTGGGTTTGTGGGATTCTGAGAGGGAGGCGGGCTGGTGGGAATGCGGTGCGGCGGTGGGCGCGGTGCAGCCTCGCCATCGCCTAGATGGGGCGTGCCGTTCACTTTGGAGCCATTTGTGGTGGGAAAAGCACCAGGCGTGTTCGCACTCTGCGGGCTCGACGGTGTGGGCGAGGCTGTGAACTCCCTCCCGCCGTCTGGCGGCTGAGGGTACTGCTCGCCGGAGACGGACATGGACAGCCGACGCAGCTCGTCGGGCGGCAGGTTCAATGGATGTGAGGTGGGATCGTATCTGTGACTGTTGCGGGAAGAAGATGATTTCTTGGTGGGAGACGCGGGCTTGGACCGGCTGCCTTGCTGCGAATCGGAGCGACGGTGGCGGTCCTTGTCGCCGGAGGAGGTAGACTGCTTGAACACGGATGAGGACGAGGGCTTTTTCTCGGGCGAGCGAGAAGCGGTACGTGGGCCGTGACTACTGGAACTGCTGGTTCGAGCACTGGTGCTGGTGCTGGTGCTGGTGCGGGTGCTCGTGGTGGCGGCGGGCTGCTGCTGCTGGGGATCTGCGGTCGGGGGTGCGTCGTCGGGGTCTGTCTTCGTCCTTTTGGGTCTGAATATGTTTTTCATGGGCGGCGAGATGTGGACGACCGAGCAACAGGCTTGTCTTGATATCCTACTTTTTTTTTTTTGCTCTCTCTCTCTCTCCTTCCGGCAGCGAGCCGTGGCCGCAGCGGAACACGCTGGTCGAGGTGCGCAAGATCGGTAACCGAGAATAATTTGAGTCTAGTGCATCGGCAGCCTGCACACGTACACGCGAGCTTCAGACGGGGGACTTTTTTTTCCCCTTGGTTGCAGTGTGGTTGCAGAGTGTTCCTGACGTGTAACAAAGAATTGCTGCAATGAGCCAAAGCGTGCGAGAGGGGAGAGACGGAGGTCAAGAGGGAGACGATCAATGCAGCGACCAGACCGGAATGACCTCAGCCTGAAGCCCCAGCGTTCGAGGGTTTTTTTTTCTCCCTTGTGGCTTGCGAGAGTCGAAATTCGTTTGGTGAGGATCCGGGCTCAGTTGCTGGGGCTGCACACGCAAGGGCTCGGAGCGCTTGTTCTCTGGAAGGCGATCGAAGGAGCAAGAATCGGTTCGACATGAACCACAGCTTCGCTTCTCGAGCTCGTTCGTGCTTATGCGCTTGCTCCTGCGCCTGCGCTTACTCGCGAGCCGGTTCTTGCGTTTGCCTCGAGGCGACCTGGGCCTTGGCCTCGCCAGGCGTGCCTTGTGCTCTGTCCTCTGGCGTCCTGTCTCGGAGCTCGTCTCTGTGATTGCCTTTGCCCACGGTCCGAACTGACGAGCAGGCCGGCCTGACGTGACGATACGAAGCAGAAGCGAAAGGCAGCAGACGCGACGGGCCGGGAGCACAGGCAAGAGACGGCCTGGCAAAAGGGGACAGACGCTGCCATCAGCATTCCAGTCGCCGTCCATTCTACGTGCACCACATCACGCCGACACCAGCCGCAGAGTTCGGACGTGTTTTGCTGCGTCCACGGCGGCGAGCTGCTGCGTGCCGCGCTGCGGGCCAGCGAATGGCCGCCGACGACGCCGTTTGCAGCGGGCCATTGGGCCGCCGTGACCCGCTCCCGCCAGCGCTCTCAACCCGCCCAACCGCCCACTAGAAACGAGCGTCTGCACCGGCGAGCACGACAAAGGAGCCCGTCCACGTCGACCCGCAGCGGTGGGAACATGCTCGCTCTGCTCCGCTCTTGCTCTCTCTCTCTCTGCTCGCTCCTCCGCGACCCGGCTTTCTTCTTTGTTTGCGCACCCAAAGCCTGATCCTTTCCCTCCCACCCGGCTCCAGCCGTCCTCTTCATGCTCCCCTTCGCTCATGCCTACACACGAAGCCCCGCCTCCAGTCTGCATGCCGCCATCTTCCTCAACGTCGTCTTTCGACTTTTTCTTTTTTTTCTTTTCTTTCTTGTTTTCATAGGCCCCGGGCCCGCGCTAACCGCCGCCGTCGAGCCTGTTCGTTCCTCCCGTTCTGTGGTTCCCCCACCCTTCCTCCACCCCCTTTTCCCTCACTTTCCTCGCTCCCCCGTCAGTCGTCACGACAACGACAGGACAAACGTCATTGTTGACATGTCTGAGCGAGCATTCTGCCTCTGCCGTGTCGAACGCTCCGTTTCCGACGAAGACACGCTCCACTCAACCTGTAGCGCTTGTTTTGCGTCCCGCCGCTTGCAAATGCCCAGCGTCGACTTCTCTGTCTCGTCTCTCGACGCTTCTTATTCGAGCCATGATCTCTTCCTCCTCCACTCTCCCTAGGCAGCCACCCGCGTACCGTCCCTGCCTCGCGCACTCACGCACCGCCTGAGCCTGTAAGATTACCGCTGTCAGTGACAGCAAGCCCACGAGGTTCTCTCGACCCTCTCTGCGCAGCATCTCTCACGCGTCTGCTATTTGCAGACCCCACGGCTTGTTGCTGGAGTTAACAAGTCAGGCTCTTGAGCCTTCCATCACCGCGTGAGAAGTGTACTCCTTTGGCTCTTTCACTTTTGACCTCGTTCTCTCCGCAAAGAACCCACACCGAGCTTCTGAGATCTTTTGTCGAAACATTTGTCCGTTGCTCGAATTCCGTCTCGTCTTCCTGCCCTGCCCTGCCCGCCCTTCTCGTCCCTACCGCATTCGACTTTTGCAGGTCTTCTCCTGCATCTCGACCACCCTCGCTGTCTCTACGCCATTGTGTGTTATGCTGTTGAACATCACAGGATTCACGCGGCCTGGGATGACGGGGAAAAGGGGGAGCGGAACACCGTCGGTCTGTTCCTTGGAACGCCGCCGACGAATTGTGGCACACGTGCGGAGCTCAGAAAGCGGACTTCGTCGTTCAACATGTTACAAATATATACATGTATATGTATGTACGTTCGCAGTGATCCAGAGAATGCGTCCCTCCCGCATCAAGTCCCAATGACGGTTTTCCCATATCCCGGACGAAGGGCGTCCTCGTCCAAACACGCAACGCTACGTGCTTTCCCTTCGCCGAGTAAGTAATCAAAAAGAGCGAGAAGGGCCAGTTCACAGCTCGAATCGCACTCGTGCACTCCCGCTCTCCGTCCTGAACGCCAACAGGCTGTCTCCCTCGCCCTTCTCCGCCTTCACATGATGCTCGCTCTTCTCGATGACATTGACGCCCTGCCCATCCACGTCGATCGCACCGCTTGAGCTCTCGCCGCTGATTTTTCCGGCCCACGCCATAGGGTACGACAGCTGCAGCGCCCCCGACGATGAGACGTGCCTGCTGTTCATCCGCCCCAGCGCCGTCCCAAAGGCAGGGCCACGCAACGTCACCTGCTGCCTGCCCGACGTCGTCTCTACATTCAGCTGCGAAGCCGACGAGACCCCCGTACCGATCAGCTGCGGCAACACCTCGACATCGACCATCCCTGAGATACTCTTGATCGACGTCTTGCTGCCGTGCAGCACGCTACCCTGTATCATGCCGTCTCTGCTTTCAATCGTGGTCAGGTACTCGCGTCGCGGCCTATCACCCTTCGTCTTGAGCCGGATGCTACCGCTGACCGAAGTGATAGCCAGCTCGGCTGGTTTGAGGTGCGCCTTGTCGGCCCGCTGCGGGACGACTGTCACGTCTATGCTTCCGGACGTGGACTGGATCGACAGCACGTCGTAAAGCTTGAAGGTTCCGCGCACGGATGAGCTACCGGACGAGATGTAGGTCTCCCGAGTATTTAAGAACTGCGAGGCTTCGATCTGCGCCGTCTTGGTGGTGATGATTGTGGCGTTTGTGACACGTAGCGCACTGTGGACTTGGATCTTGCCGCCGGATGTGCGCAACGCTAGATTGGTGAGAGTGACGCCCTCGCGAAAGTGGAGTATCACGTTCGCAGAGTTACAGCGCCGACGCTTCTCAAGGCCTGGAGAGCGTGCGCCTACTTTGCTGCGTGAGACATGGCTGCCCAACTGATCAACGTTGCGGTTGTTCACCCTGAGCGTGAAGGGCTTCGTCTTGGGCAGCACCTTTATGACGAGGTCGACAGATTGACCTGGAAGGGCAGGGAGGATGTTGACCGTGCCTTTGAAAGCACGTCGCGAGTGCTCGGATATCTCCAGGTCGTGAACTTCATCAAAGGAGTAGTAGTTGTAACGATCATCGTTGGGGCAGTCCTGGGCCCATTTCGGCAAGACCGGATTAGTCTGCGAATTGTGCTTATGTTTCTAGTCGTAGCCATCAGTAACCACGTCCAGGAAGTGGACGAGAATCGCTGCACTTACCCTGACCGAAGACACGCAGATGAAGGATACGACGGTAGACACCACGAATATAGCCAGGAAGACATGCATCACAATCAGTTTCTTGTGGCGGCGTCTGCACTCTTCGTTCTCGCAAATATCCTTGCGCCTGTGACGCGATCTCCGAGAGCGAATCGACTCAAGAACCGTCGCTCCAATGGTACGAGGCAGCTGCTGGACCACCAAACTTGTTCGGGGGCTCTGGTACTCTGGAGGTGGAGTCTCGTCCCCAAGCAAGGGCGCAGTCTCTTGCGAAAACTCAGACATGGTATCGGGCGTCCAGTCCATCGCCGTTACTTGGGGCGACGAGGAGAAGGACGATCTGGTCGGTGAGGACGGGGGCACTTCCTTCGCTGCAACATTTGGTTCTTTTCCGTAATCGATCAAGGTAGCGGACGTATTCCTATCGGATGCAATGGTCTCAGGATCTTCGTCGTCCAAGGTGTGCATTGAAAGAGCGTCATATCCATGTCTAGATCTCGCCATGTTTGTCGAGCTCTCATAATATGCCGACAGCTGGTGCGGTCTATTTTTCTTCTCCTACCTGACAAAAAAAATCAATTCCTAGTAGCAATGGACAGCAGTGGGACAGGATACAACGAACTGAGGGCGGACAGAGGTTGCGAGTTAAAGTGTAGAGTCCACAAGCTATCTCTGTATCCCACTCTCAGTACGGAGTATCTCTTGGCCAGCCGCAGGGTTGAGAGGTTAGCGAGTTACAGGCAGCAAGAATAACAGCTGTTTGATTGGTTGCATGTTCATGGAATACGTCGAGGAAGATAACTGCACCGCCCCAGCTCTACACAACCCTTCCATCTTGACTAGGTTTGTTGGTGATGACGCATTCTCGAAGAATCAACGCTTTCGATGAAAGAGGGGGTTTGAAAAACAAAGGTCGCGTGCTACAGGTCTGATCCAGTGGCGAGCATGCATGGGAACTGCCAGAGGGTGCGCGAAGCAAGGTTCCAACGTCCGGAGCGTGCAGAGCCATGAATTGGCCGCGTCCTTGCCTTTCTGGCCGACAGCGAGCGGATGACATCTGCACTTGGACCAACCTTTGGTGACCCGAGATGCAAAGTGCTGGCCTGTTATAGGGTCAAGGCGGTGACGACGTCTGAGTACATGCGGCCTAAGAAGCCACCTCACGTCTGCTTCGTTCATGCATTTGACGGTGTGCATTGCCGAAAGAGAGCAATGCCCGTATTCTGACAATCTACTCCTCACCAACAAGCGCATGCTGCAGAGGCAGTGGCAATACAGTCATGCTGCGGCCCCTGCTTTCCGTCGTATGTTCCCAGCAAGCAATGGATTGGATTAACTTGGAATGGCTCCTTGCGGACTAGTGTGACGATTCCTAGCCGGCCTCACCGGATGAGCGACCAAGATCAGCACGGGGTTGTATTCAGGCCCTCCACGGTCTGATAGGAGCAGCGAGAACAACTCGAACTGCTCGAACTAGACGACGAGGAGAGACGAGAAGGAACGTTCTCTCACACAAGGGACGCCTCAGGGGACGAGAAAAAAACGGTGCATACGCGGCGTTGCCAAGCAGCGCATGCTCAGAAGCAAACTCAAATTGTCCGGTCTGGCAAGTTGGGCTGGACGAGTAAGTGAGTGCAGCACACGCCCGCCTGCTTTATTAGGGGGACGAAAGGTCGGCGCTTTTGGGGCCCAAGGCTCCGCTGACGAGTTAGAACTAAATCAGTCCGCTAAGTTCACTTGAGCCTACGCCCAGTCACGACTAACTTCAACGTACAGGACTTCTGCTTGGACGTTAATGAGTTACTGCGCTGAGTCCGCTCACCACATGTAACGCACAGACGCTTTGGCTTGCTCCAGCGTTCGCATCGCCCTCGGACGGGTTTTGTTGTTCAGGGCAGCTCTTCGATCGCCAATCTGCCACCTACGCTTCACGCGTCATCACCACGAGCTCCGCTGCGGGCGTTGCAGTAATTACGGCATTGCTGACGAACAGCTCTCTGTGCCGTGACCGACTTTTATTTCCCCTTCCGCTCTTTGGCTAGCTGCTGCACATGTCTTGCGGGGTCGTATTCGAATGGGCGGTGCATTCGCTCGCCGTCACCCCTCCCAACACCGATTGCTCGAGCCTGTGGCGGCGCAAGTCTTTCGCACTATCACCACATGGCGCCCGTTTCCCTATTTAGATTCATCGTGCTTGAACCAAAAAAACGCCATAATTTTCCTAGTCTGAATCCCGTTTACTCCTGAGGATCTTCGTGGTGTCTTGGTGGAGACCCGAAAGTATGTTAAGACACCTAAGCTTTCCCCATCGCTTCAACCTGTGTCTCTCGCACACACAAGGCATTGTTCACGGCGTTATGATTGTTGTTCCTTTTAAAGCTTTGTCCCGATGATATCCACACCTACAGCTTCGCCGAAGTCTCGTCTCTATTGCTGTGGTTTTTCTTTTTGGATTTTATGGATTTCCTTGACTCTCGCCCCGTTCGTTGCATAAGTCCGGATAACTCCTCACACAATGTCAGCTCTTGTAGCCCACCCTGCACAGTCCTCAGCAAGGGTATGTCATCAGTCTACTTCTCCAAAGCAGGTGACCTTAGCCTCCGTTGACACGGAAAACTGCAGGTCTCTCGTGTAAACCAAACTTCTCAGGCGGAATTCACAAATCGTCTCAAGCACCTGCAGCGAAGCAAGCCTGTGAATGCTTTCGAGCTTACGCGGCGCCTGAATGCAGCCATCGCTGAATCACAGAGTGGCGTACAGTCTAGAAGAAGAAGGCTTGTCTACACAGGAGACGACAATGGCGAAGATTCACACTCAGGATCATCCTCCAAGGCACCTACACCAAGACAACATACCCGCCAGACAATCACCAATCCCATGGACATCGCACGATCAAGCTTGATCATCACGGATCAGGAGGAAGACGATGATCCAATGTCCAGAGTAGCGAAAGCTCTCAAGGCTTGTCGTGACGCCGACCCTGAAAAATCCGTACTCAAGTCAGCGCCCGGGATGGATGATGACAAGAGGCAACACAAGGCATCTCCTATAGAAGCATGGAACGAGTTTGCGAAAACTGCACAGACTCACACGTACCAATCAATCGTCTTTTCAAATCCCTGGGCAGCTGACGTCGACTCCCGGCTGGAGTCAATAGAACGTCCAAAAAGCGCGGTGCCGTTGCCGCACATTTCAAACGCGATGATGAAGCGAAAGACACGAAAAGTTCCTCCACCTCTGATACTGACAGTTGTTCCGAAAGTTGCTAAGGCTGAAATTGTGGACGTCTCATCCCCCATCAAGACGAAGCTGCCATCGAAGCTACCTGACCTTGAGCCCCTGTCGCCCTTTAGTTCAAGTTTCGTCGAGGATACTGGTTCATTCCTGGTATATCAGTCGGATGAGATCCGCCACTCTACTCTGAGTTCAGGTGTGAATAGTCTCGCGAACGCCGGAGGAACGACTTCAGATTCTCCAGTGAAAGCTATCGTGCCGTTGGATTGTGACACAGCGCCATCAGTTAAGTCGCAGGATTCCTCTCAAACACAAGCTAAGTCGCAACAAGCAGCCAACATAGGATTGAGCAGATACGCAAGAGACGATCGCAAGGAACATCATGACACATGTTCTTCCGCGCTTGGCAGGGATTTGGACGGTAGAGCAATACTGAGAACTTCTGAAGGAATACGTGTAGCCAGCTTTGTGCTGTCCGAGAAAAGCGAGACAGAGGGGGCGGATGAGCGGAGTGAGCGGGCAGTTACTCCCATTTTTGATCCAAGTATTGTGCATAGCTCCAGGACAAGTTTTGGACAGCCCACTACAGTGCCCCAGGCAGAGCTCAAGTGTATGCCCTCGAAGAGAATAGAGCGCTCTACCGAAGATATCATCGGCCCGATTAGCAAAACTGCTCTCTCTCAGACCTTGCCCGACGCTTCACCTTCGAACTTGCCGTCACCACCAGTTTCGCCTCTGCCACAAGGCATGGACTACGAGGCTGCAATCGGCGATCATGACGTCTCCCCTTTAGGCTCGCCAACCTTGACGGCTCCACCTAGACGTGTTTCGTTGTTACCACAGGTTGAGCCTCAGAGTCCCGGCGCGAAACGCTTCTCGATTCCTCGCAAACCGGTCAATTCTGGTACGTTCGACGTGCTGGGGCAGGATGTCGCGGCCATGCGAGCGCCCCAGCCTCGCTCTGTGCGACATGATTCGACAGGCTTTATAGTTGCTAAAGAATTTATTCGTAATTCGGTGGATAGCGAGCCTTTACGTTTAGTGCACAGTGCAGCTCATCGGGGCAGCGATTCCAGCTCCACACATCCGGAACCGGTGTCCAGACCATCGCCGCTACCCAAGCTAACAACACCAGGCCTGAAACGGGCCAATTGGGAGTTAATCGCAGATGGAATTGCCCTGATGGACTCAGACAGTCCGAATGTGGCAAAGTACACTCAAAAATTGTCCACTTCAACAAACCCGTCATCCAGACAGCCATCGTACATTAATGAGCTTGAAGCGACCCCCGATCAACACAGGCAGAAATCCACTCACAACCACAGCCCGCGAGTCGAATCTTTATCTCCTGCGCTTAATCCAGCGCAACAGCTGCGTCCGGCATTAGAAGATCTAAGAGAATCAGAAGCGATTCCGTTGAAGCGTGCAGCATCACGGGATCGAAGACACACAGACGCCACGGTCACGTCCATGTGTACGAGGACTGATTACCGTGCCCGTCCACTTATACAAGACTCCGCCGAGACGCCAGCGCCGCATCGAAGACCACGTACGGCGCACAGCAAGATGCCCGAGTTCGTAACAGTTTCCACCGTTCCGCCAAAAATGCCGACCAAAATCAAATTTCCGCCGCGCGCTAACGTGGTCGAGCTGGGCGTGATGAGTCCGGAGAGTTTAAAGCTACTACATGAACAAGAGGCGCTTTTGCGGAAGCGCTACGACGCTGTACTCAACCCTATTGACGACGCTCTAAAAAAGAAATACGCTCCTTCTTCGGAGAAACCAGCCACAAAGGATATCGACCAGGATGTTACCCGCTACCAGGAACAGATTGAGAGAGAGCAGGCTGCCATACGTATGCAGCGGCGGTACCTCGGCGCCGCAGTGACACGGCCCAGTGCTCCTGAGCGTCCTCCATATGACGACCAGATATCTCCAGTGGTGCAGCATCAGCACCAAAAGTTGACGTCCGGGGAGCCCATTGGCCTGCCCGGAGGTCTCCCACACTCGAATTCTCAATCACAATGCGCCTTATCGGCTGAGGATGACACGCAGGGGAGACGTAAGAAGGGCAAATGGAAATTCTGGAAAGTAAAATAGGCTGGTCCTCTTAACTAATTTAGTAATATCGTAGATCGGATGAAACGAGATTATCTACGAAGTTATTCACCAACGTTTTGATCCCAGTATCTACCAGGACTACTTCTTTTATGTACACTAAGCCGACTGATTTTCGTTCAGATGAATCAACTGCCTACGAGAACTTGGAGACTACTTCTGCATCGCCTTGGTGTGAAAGAGTGATTGATGGAGGAATCGGTACAATGTTCTTGTTGACAAAAAGCTGCAGTGTATGACAATGACAAAGTACTATGCCTATGTTCTTAATAATTTCCTTGCCTTAGCGTATTCTTATATGCTTCGACATTTCTCCACTGGCACTCATCTGTTCTTCCGGAGCCAGTTTCAATCGCACAATGAAAGCACCGACACTATCATTCGGAGTAGAACTCGAAGGCCTGCTCGTTTTTCACGAGACTCTCCTCGCGCCACATGTACCTGCGGGCTTGCGCATCAAGAAAGATCGCACGCCGCAAGAGGCGTACCTGTATGGCTCGTGGCCAAGAATTCTATACCCTGGATGGGCCTTTGAGGACTCCCGAGGTCAACTTCAGCCGTACGGAGATGAACCGCCACAAATCGCGAGTAAGCTGCTGGAATCTGCAGAAAACTTACCGTCTGTAGCGAACGGCAAGTTCAAGCGTGTTTACGGTGAGGAACAGAAGGGAGCCAGCGACCGTGACGAGATCTCAGAGTCGGGGAAAGCGTCCATGGACATCAGCGAGTCCAGCTCGGACGAAAAGGCAATTGACGAGAGACGCCGCCAGGACCAGTGGATAGTAAAGCAGGACATTTCCATAGCGTCGTTTACGCCGGAAGACAAATATGAGGTTTTGACGGGTCCCAAGTTCGCTAACGTGTCGGACTGGGACACTTGGGGCGTCGAGTTTATTTCCCCCGTTTACGTAGCAGACGAGGAGATCGACATGATGAAGGCCCACACCACGGAGTTGCGTCGGCACTTGGAGACGCCCCTGAGTACTATCGTGGAGACCAAAACGTGCGGACTGCACGTCCATGTGGGGTTGCCCGACAACGGGAAAATGCCTATCGAGGTGCTCCGTGTCCTTGCGTTTATCACGGTGATGTACGAGGATCAGATCTCGCTGATCCACGACGAGCATCGTGTCGCCAGCAGAGAAGAGCCCATCATGTCTAACCGCAAAAAGTTCAAGCAGAGCCCTTCCGCTGACGTGGACAGGAAGTTCGTAGACGAAGACGAGGTGTTCAGCACGTTCCTGGCCGTCAAGGAGATACGTCGCCGGATCTTCTTTGATGCCCACGCAAGCCAGGACCAAGCGTACGTATATCTCAAGGAACTGCTGTGCACAAGTAAGCAACATATCATCAACTGGCTGAATATTGACGGGAAGGTCCAGAGCAAAGACAAGCTTCTCGAGAAGCGGCCGCCCACAATCGAGTTTCGACAGCATTCCGCCTCCTTTGACGCCGAGGTCATTGAGCACTGGGTGCGGTTTTGTCTGGGCTTGGTGCGCTTAGCGTACGAGCTTGCTGACGCGGGCGTCAGCTGCTTTTCGGACATACAGACGTGGGATGACGAGCTTGATTTGAGGGATCTGCTAGATCAGATGTGCCTGCCGGCGACCACGCTTCGATATTTCCGTGACAAGCTCGGGGTGGCGATAGCTGAGCGCAGAGAGCCCGTCGTGCCTATCTGGCAGGTCGAATTCCCATGCTCTTAGAGCAAGGCGTTTGGACGAGGAAATCTTGAATTTTGGTCGAGTGCTGCGCAAAGAAAACAGTTCTTAGGACAGGCTTTGCCATCTGGACCAGCCTTCCGCTTGTATGGTACAGTACACGTCTAGTCCTCCAACAAATCGTCGATGTCCTTGTCGCTCTCGTTACCCTTCGCCGCAAGGTTCTGCTCGTGAATCTCCATCGCGCGCTTGACAAGCTTCCTCTGCCGGATCCTCTGCTTCCTCCCCCACTGGCTCAGCTTCCCATCATTCTCATCCTCGCTGTCACTGTCCACGCCCGGTATGTCGATCTGGCTCTTCGCCTGTCGTAGGTCATTGGCCGTAATTTTGGTACCGGGAGTGATGCCCATCTCCCGCGCCGCCTTCTCCATTTGTTTTTCTTGCACTTTCGCGCCTAACTTGACCAGGTACGGTCGTATGAGCAGGTACGTGCACACGATAATGATGAGGCGGATCCACTGTTTGGGGCTCATGTTGTCGAAGGCAGCGCTAGAGTTGCGGAGGAAGTTGCCCTTCCATATTGAAAGCTGCGAGGACACTGCGCTGGAAAGCTCGCTGATGTCAGCGCCGATCTTTTCGAGTGGGTTGATGGGCTGTTCTGCCATCGTGTCGTGGAAATCTTTTCAGCGATGGTGTTCTGATGGTTGAAGATGTCGTGGATTTTTCTGCAGGCTGCGCTGAAGGCCGTGGTGGAGAACCTTTCTTATAGAATTCGAAAGATGTGCGCGGTTTTTTTTTTCTCTGGTTGGGATTGGTTTTTCTGCCGGCGTATCCGCAGTTGGGGTGCGCGAACCGTGAATCACACGGAGTGATTATCTAGCGGATCAATGACTGCAATTGCCTTGCCGCTTAAATTCGTAGAGCGCAGTGGTGAAAAGGCGTTCGCGAGGCCTATGTTTGTTCAATGCGCAAAGCCTGCCAGGTCTAAGCACATGTGCACCAATGTGAGATCACGCTTTCTGGCCGCTCCCGCAAAGTCGCGTCCGTCCAACGACGCGTCTGTTTCTGCTCGAGCTTCATCACACAACTATGTCAGCCACGGATCCAGAAACCGAGGAGGTTTGTTCCTGCGCTCTGTTCTAGGTGCTCTGGAGTGACTGACCGTATTCAGCGCCTAAAATCTGCCCTCTGGTACCACATTGGCCAACTCACGGACAGCACACTGCTTGATTCCGGCTCGGAAAACAATGCTACACCCCAGTTTATAGGTGCACTTACTGAGCTCGTTTGGGCACAAATCGCCAATACTGCTAAGGATCTTGAGAGTTTCGCGAAGCATGCTGGACGGACACAGATCAACACTGACGACGTAATGTTGCTATCGCGCAGAAATGAAGGTCTGGAGACTCTCTTACAAGACTATGTCAAGGAATTAAGACGGGAAAATAGAGAGTCGGCCACAAAGGGACCTTTGAAAGGAAAGGGTGTGAGGAAATAGTTGGCAATGTCATGAGTTAGAGTGAGGACACGAGTTTGGGCGTTCCAAGGGCTTGCTTTCACGCTTCGAGATACCACGGGAATAACTTCAGACATAGTTACGGCGCGGTTATGAGATACGATGGGATCATAATACGTTATGTCAATATCATCGACCCTATCCAGTATGATGACTGTATGTTTCGTCTTTTCGACGATTGTGGCCCACATTCACCAAGTCCATTAGCATATCGTGCTCGAAAGATGGAAGGTAGCGCGATGAGCACTTATGATCCTTCTTGTTTCATATCAGCGCTTCTCTACCCGACATTCAAAACTCTAAGCACACGGTCACGTCTAATACCCTGTTAAACGTTCTTGACTTTTTGCCTTGAATTGCAAACAGTCATGTCCTACACGACTAGGCTGTGAGAACTTTTAAATGGACAGCGGTCGCCTTAGAGGAAGCGAAGCCTGTTGTGCGGGCAGGCACGAGGCTTTATTGATGCGCTCGAGCAATGTCATATTTGGACAGGGGAATTGCATCTACTGCGACTTAGTACCGTGCCTAAATCTGACAAGAGATGCATGTAGGCCGTTCCAGCGACTGCATGGCTTGGGGGTGCAAATACTTCTGTGGCCGCGCGGAATAAACGACCTCCCATTTTTCGTCTTTTCCCGTTCTTAGCGGTTGGCGCCGGTTCGAAGTGCCAGACGGCCGATGGTCGGCTCGGCGGGGTCCAGAGATTTTCCAAGCGAAACCTTCGACCAAGGGAGAACGATTGTTAGAAAGACAACATGCTCAACTACGCTTCCCATGGCTACCAATAGCATTAAGCTCCTGACGGGCAACAGTCACCCCCAGCTGGCAAAAGCTGTGGCTGATCGGTACGCATGTACTCTTCTCTTGCACTGGCTGCGCTAGAAGAAAAAAAAAAACTTGCCGCGGCCAGCCAGTCACGTCACGGCATACAAACAATCGCGAGCAGACTCTAACGTTACACACAGGCTCGGGATTGAGTTGACTAGGGTGCTCGTCTTGCAATACTCTAATCAAGAGACGTCGGTCACGATCGGCGAGAGCGTGCGCGACGAAGATGTCTTCATCCTGCAGTCCACGGCACCAGGCGACATCAACGACGGGTTGATGGAACTCCTGATCATGATCAATGCCTGCAAGACTGCGTCGGCACGCCGAATCACCGCTGTGATACCAAACTTCCCGTACGCACGGCAGGACAAGAAGGACAAGTCTCGCGCTCCCATTACCGCGAAGCTTATGGCGAACATGCTGCAGGTCGCTGGCTGCAACCATGTCATAACGATGGATCTACATGCCAGCCAGATTCAGGGCTTCTTCAACGTTCCCGTCGATAACTTGTATGCCGAGCCCAGCACCCTGAAGTGGATCAAGAACAACCTCCCCGTCAAAGAGTGCGTGATCGTAAGCCCGGACGCGGGTGGCGCAAAGCGTGCGACAAGTATAGCGGACGGGCTGGACGTGAGCTTTGCACTCATCCACAAGGAGCGTGCGAGACCCAACGAGGTCAGCCGCATGGTGCTTGTGGGTGATGTTAAGGACAAGATCGCCATCATCGTGGACGACATGGCAGATACGTGTGGCACACTCGTCAAGGCCGCAGACGTAGTCATGGAGCACGGTGCCAAGGAGGTCATTGCCGTTGTAACACACGGGATCCTTAGTGGCAATGCAATCGAAGCGCTGAATAAGAGTAAGCTCAAAAAGGTCGTCGTGACAAATACAGTACCCCATGAAGAAAAGAAGAAGCTGTGCCCAAGAATCGAGACAATCGATATCAGCCCAACGGTACGTCGTTCTTCATAATGCTTTCCAGACTCGCAACATGGACATGGAACTGACTTCTTTCTCAATTCAAGTTGGCTGAGGCGTGTCGTCGTACACACAATGGAGAGAGCGTGTCGTTTCTCTTCAAGCATGCTCCCGCGGATTAGTTCTTATACAATAAATTTAGTCTCAAGACACAAGGGTACACGATTCGAGCATCGTTGGTTCGTCGGTGGTCAAAGGGAACTGACGCGTTCTTTCGGGTAGTTGTAATCCTGTAGGCATGGACAAGGCGTTATTTCATTCATCAGCAAAGATTTCACTGGCCATAATGAATTGTGTATCTATTCATTGTGCATGGGATCAACGATAAAAAATTTTGTTCACATCGACCGGGAGGAGGAAATGTTGGTAGCAAATCAGGCAGATCAAAAATAATGCATTGAATGTCGACATGCCGCTGCCGCGAGCAATAGTCGCTCTATGCTTTCCATACAAATGGCGCCGTTTGAACCGTCGGATTTTGTAACCATGCAAACCCCATGCTTGAATCGCCGTCAAGTCGGCGTCAGTAGTGTTTTCATCACGTAGTCCGTCACGACCGTCATTTACTTCCTCATCGATGATGCGCGTCTCTTCTTTGCCTCGCTCTTCTCCTGCTTCGTCTCGGCAACACGCTTCTGAAGGATCTTGGCGTACTCGTTCTACAGACAGCGTTAGGGAAAAGAATCTTTAGTTTGTGATTAAGAATGAAACGTACAGCAGCATCCTTGGCAGCTTCCGCTCGGCGGCGCTTGAGAGCAGCACGGTGGCGCTTGTGCTGGAGACGCTGTGGTGTGACCAAGCGTTGAATCTTAGGAGCCTATCGTGACGAATTAGTACCGAATTGAACTCTGATGGAATGTCAGCTGAACATACCTTAGTGTAGGGCTTTCCGCCCTCCTTCTTTGGCTGAACTTCACGGCGGATGACAAATTTGCGGACTGTAGCACAGCACATCAGACTCGATTCTACAATATAGAATCGGCGAGGACGGGAACAACTCACCGTCGTCCTCCTTGCTGAGGCCGAAGAAGCGACGAATCTTGGTAGCACGCTTTGGACCAAGGCGCTTAGGGTGTACGACATCAGTGATGCCCGGGATCTCTGCATCACCCTTCTTAACGATGGACAGCGCAAGAACTGACAAGTCCATGCCGACAATGCAGCCACGGACAGACTTCCTCTTGCGTTCGCCAGTACGTCGCGGTCGGTAGCAGGAGTGGCCGTCGGAGAGTAAAAGGCGGACACGAGTTGGGTGCATGACACCTTGCTTCACTGTGGCAATTGTCAGATCCAATTGCATGAATTTCATGTTCATAATGGGTTTTCGGCGTACTTGGGAAGCCCTGCTTGTCGTTGCCGCCAGTGATCTTGAAGATGTAGCCCTTGAATTCATCGCCGACGCTGTCGCCTGGGACCTCCTGGCCCATTCGGCGGTCCATGAAGACACGGAGCTTGCGCTCATCGTCGACCTCGATGAGCTTCTGCGAGCCGTTCGCAGGGTAAGAGATGTTGAGCTTCATCGTTGCCGGTGTTGTGGTGCGAAACTCAAGTGCGTAAATTCCGGTTCAGATGTTGGTAGACATTTTCGCTGTGGGCTTGGCAGTGGTCCATGCGTCTATCACGTGATTTTAACGCTATCTCCCAATCAGGCTCTTTCGCTTCGGCTGAGTTTTGAGCCGTTTCTGTCCTGCACTTTGTAACCAACCTCTCATTAACATAATCTATTGACTTGCATCGTCTTTGTCTTCTCTTTTCTGCGCACTTGCTGTGACAGCCAACTGGCTCACTTGGGCAAGGTTCTTGAGCTCTATCTCTCTCTCTTTTCACTAACCCTTCTTACAAAGCTTCATGGCTAGTCAAGACGTTCAGGCCATTCTGGCCGCCCTACAAGGTGCGACACAACAGCACGTCTCTTTTGATGTGTTCTAAAGGCTCACTCATTGTAGCAGCGCAGCATCCAACAGCGACACCACCAACACAAGCACAACCACCGCCTCTCCCTCCGTCCGCCATTCCCGCTCCAGCTTACTCAGGAATCGTGCCCACTCCGCCTCCGCCACAAGGCGGCTATCCCCCTTATTCGGCGCTACCGCAACCAGCGGCATCTGGCAGCATCGACTTGAATTCTATCAAGCCTGTAGGCCATGGTAATGTCAATTTCCAAGATGCTCTAGCAAGTGTACAAGGATTCGCATCTTCTCGAGGCGTTTCCTCCCCCAGTAATGGTAGGTCAGATCTGTTTCCCTTTCCGCAAGTACCAACACACGTAGCAGCGCCCTCGTCACGACAGGACCCCCGCCTAGCTGGTCGTGCTTCCTCCCGCCGTTCAAGATCTCCTGACAGCTACAACCCATATCGTGATGAACGTCGTGATGATTCGCGTCGACAGAATGGTTATGGCCGCTCGCGTTCCCGTTCGCCCCCTCGTGGTCAACGTGATACGTACGCGTCAACGCGCGATCGTGACTATGGTCGTGATGATCCTGATTCTGAAGTGGTCTCGATTGAATCAAACCTTGTTGGACTAGTCATTGGCCGCGGTGGAGAGAATCTGAAGCGCATCGAGAAGGAATCCGGAGCTCGTATCCAGTTCATTACCGGACCGCAGCACAATGGACCATACCGTGAATGTCGCCTCAGTGGATCAGTACGGAATCGCCAGGACGCAAAGAATATGATCTGGAAGATTCTGGATGAAAATGGTGGTCATGCGTCTGCCATGAAGGAAATAGGACAACAGCCATCTAGGAACCAAGGCCAAAGTCAAACTCGTCAAGCAGCCAATCAGCCTAAACTTCGGGAAGGTGAGAACAGCATGCAAATCATGGTGCCTGATAAAACAGTCGGCCTCATTATCGGTCGTGGAGGCGAGACTATCCGTGACCTCCAGGAGAAAAGTCAGTGCCACATCAACATTGTTGGTGAGAACAAGAGCGTGAACGGTATGCGTCCCGTGAACTTGATCGGTAGCACCGAAGCCGCAGAATATGCTCGCAAAATGATTGAAGAGATCGTCAAGAGTGACACTCGTAGTCAAGATCCACCTACCGGCGCAGGTCGCCAGCAAGATCGTCGTCAACCTACTGGTGGCGTTGCCGCTGGCACTGACAAGATTACTGAGATGATTCGCGTGCCCTCTGAGTCTGTTGGTATGATTATTGGTAAGGGTGGTGAGACCATCAAGCAGATGCAAAACGATACAGGATGCAAAATCAATGTGCAACAAGCCCAGGGACAGGACATTGAACGGCCAATCGAACTCGTTGGTGATTATGCAGCCATTGCGCGTGCCAAAGCCACCATATGGGACAAGGTCGAACAGGTGGTGAGAATATCGTGAAATCCACATGTATAATGCATGACTAACAATCACGTAGAAGGAGAAGAATGGCGGAGGCCGCTCGCAATCACAAACTGACCAGCAGTTCGGGTCTAACGCTTTTGCCCAGCAACAGCCGTATGGACAGCAGCCTTACGGACAGCAACCCGCTACTGCTCAAGCGGCACCGACTGCTGATCCATATGCTCCTTATGGAGGCTACGAAGCGTACACACGATTGTGGGCTCAGTACTTACAGAGTGGCCAAGCTGCTGCTGCTGCAACTGCTGCCGCTCCTCAGCAGCCGCAACAGTGAGGATACAACCGTGACCTCGCCTCCACCGGTTGATTTACGATTCGAATTCTGTTATGCTTGCATACGTGCTTCGCTGAACATGATTGATGACTATTCGCCATCATTGATGACACTTCTGATGGTCGCCCCATCACTTGATGTCCATCCGTCACTTGGACGCCATCTGAACACTGCGATACCCATGCTATTCGTGCTTACATGGCTGAACCGTATTTGCCCACCTTTGCAGTTGAAGTGCTGCTTGGAATTGCGCAGAGCATCCGGGCCTCCTAGACCATTCGAGCTTTCCGCGTTGCTCCATGAAACTTCCGAGTTTGACCATTGGCGTGCCAATATTCAGCTAGGGATTGGTTGCGATGCGCGTTCTTCGACATATCAGAGCCCTCTTCTAAAGTCTTTTGCTACTTCGAGTTTTTTCCGTTCTGGTGCATCGTGCTTGAGGTGCATTTGAACATGACGGATAGGAAAAGTTAACAGGTATAGCGATGAGGGGATATATCGGGTTTACATTGAAAAGTAAACAAGGGTGGCTTTGGCTCCAATACCCCCAGCTGAGGATTGAGTTTCGACCTTTGTGCAGCACAACCATATTTATTCTTGTACGCTTGCCCTCTTCGCCACGAACTTGAACGTAAATGCTGCGATTTGTTCTTTGTATCTCGTGCCGACTGTATCTCCTGTAATTATACAATCAACATGATTCTCGGAGAACAACCAATAAAGTGACCCCTCTCCGCCTTAAAACACCTCGGCACAAATCCCAGGAGCAGACCTCATAGATTCTCATCTTCTGCCAATCGATGCGCCCAGCGCCAATTTGGCGATCAACATCCATATATTCCTTCTTTGTACCTTGATATACCGAATTTTTGTACATTTTGAGGTTTTAAGATACACCAATGTCTCGACGCGTGCCCCTGCCGACCCCGGAGAAGACGCGCACATGGGCGGAACAGATGGCTTTAGAGCAGATTGGCCCTTCGAAGTTCCGCAGCCTGAATGGAACCCCATTCGGTGCATATTCAAAGGTGAGGGGCCAGATGAGGCCGCGGGCGTTTGGAGGACATGTTTATGCCCAGGCCGTGTACGCTGCGAGCAAGACAGTAGCGAAGGGCATGATGATACACGTACGTCGATCGAGCGATCGTCTCATATATACTTGCCAGTCGATCTAGGATCATGTCTGCTAATGTACATTTTTCAGTCTGTGACGGGCTATTTCACTATGTTGGGACTTGCTGACGAACCGTTCACGTATGAGGTGAGCGTGGTAAGGACGGGAAAGAACTACAGCGTTCGTAATGTCAATGTCACGCGTGAGTGGAACCGCATCCTTGGACGAGACGTTATTTTTGCAGCGCTGACGCTTGCGCAGAGGAGGACGATCCAACCATTTGCTTCTCATGCATCTGCTCCTTCAAGCGCTCAGAGCCGGACTTCATGAATGTGCAAGAGGAGCACGACGTGAAGGAGACATACGCACCTCTTATGGGCGACAAGGAGCCTCAGGACCTAGACCGCAACGTCAGCCACCTGGACTGGCGCCAAGTACCTGCAGATGCGTCGCCATCGATCACAAGCTTTTTCCCCGGAGTGCTCACCAGCATCTTGCCCATAGAGAAGCTTCACCGTGATCGAAGATATCTGGACCGGACGAACCTGTACTTCTTCTCAGCAAACACGGAGCCATCCGCCGATCCGGATTACAACCTGGAGGCGTGCGCGCACCTGTTCCACTCCGACCGGGAGAGCATCTTTGCCATCATCAAGTCGTACGAGCTGGCGGATGTGCTGGAGGTTGCCTCGAGCTTGAGCCACACGGTCGTGTTCCACGTTCCCGGTGAACAGGTCTCGTTCCATGACAGGGAGGGCCGCAGACGATGGTTTTATCAGGAAACGCAATCCAAGAGGATCTCAGACGGGAGGGCGTTGATGGAAGGCAGAATCTACAACAGAGACGGCGTTCTCATCGCGACAATGATGCAGGACGGTGCATTCAAGCTGAAGCCCATGACCGAAGGGGAGAAGGTACGAAGGGAGAGGAGGCTGAATAATCCGCCCAAGTTGTAAAGATGCCCAGGATACCCATATGCATTATGTTCGGTAGACGGCTGAATTAGACTAGATGGCTTCACATCAGCACTGAATTTCAAGGCTGGCCATAGATATGCTGTTGACGGTGTAAAGAACTCTTCAGCCCTTGACTGGGCACGATGCTACTGAGAATCAAAGAAGTCCAGGCCAAGGCAAGAGTAGACTTTTGGATTGGACGTTACGAAGACCGCACACCAACCGCTTTGTGAATAGAGGTATATAGTTACTTGTCTCTTCAAGCCTGATCCCGCAAGTCGATTGGTATTTTTTTCGTTTTATTTTTTTTTCTTAAAAAAAAAGAGAAATAAATTAAAGAGGCAAAGAAAAAAAAAAATGATGGCTTAGATCAGTATTTCAAAGTACAGTACGGCGAGGCCGCGTAGATCAATGTGATTGGAAGGTTCTCGTGGCTGACTTATTTTGATGCAATAGAATCATGACCTCTAGATGTCCGCGTACATGTATCTCGTTCATAAATGTCCTCTCTCGGCGTTAGCCTCGAGCAGATGTTCCAACCAGCGCGACCAAGGAAAGAAAAAGGAACTCCCAAAAAAAAGAAAAAGAATTCACCAACCCCTTCGCGCAATTGCTCGTGGCAAAGTTAGTCTCGATAACTTGCAGATAAGTTTGTTGACAGGACACAAGGTCCTGATCTCTGCAGTGCATCTACGCACAAGTAGGCCCCGACAAGCACATTAGACCTGCATTGTAGAACGTATCACTCTCAGCGAACGAAGTTCGTAGGAGAAGAGGCACGCACAATGTCGAGGGTGCTTCTGTACGAGCTCGAGAGCGAAGAGGTCGACGATGACTCAGTAGAATGGATCTAAGACTTCGGAAAGGTGCATTTGGAAACTGTCAAAAGAAAAAGCGAGACGGTATCTGCGCGTGCGAGAGAGAAGGCCAATTTACATTACATGGCAGAACCAGATGTAGTCGTGGCCGCGCAACTAATATCTATCTCGGTAGGATGAAACGGGGTAAAGAGAGAGAGAGAGAGAGAAAGAGAGTAAATGCCATCATAAAATCATAGCACATAAAGCCAAAAAAGCCATACCTGTACACATCAAAACCGGTGAGTTGAGAGGATGCATTTTTCGCGCTCGTCGATCATGGAGCCCCATAATCTAATATAGTATGTCCGTCCCAGCGGTTTCTTTCCCCCTTCTCTCCTTTCCTCCTTCCCCCTTTTTTTTGCACTTACGAAGAGCCGCTTGGTTGAGTCAAGTCTTTGCTCACGCTTAAATGGCCATATGCAGCAGGTTTATAAGCGCATGCCCATTACTAAAGATTACTTTTGGTTCAAAAAGCCCTGGAATTGCCAAAAAAACAAAGATATGGCTGCCTCCATAGAGAGATCAGGCTCTTAATGACAATAGTAACGAACGATTTTGCTGTCGGATATCGCTCAAACAGATCGATTGAAATTCTTTCTGTGTCTCATTTCGACGTTGGACGCTCATCGCTGCCTTGGAAGAACGGCCCTGAGACTGGCAAGTTGCTGATCACTCCACTCGTCTCTAGCCCGCCAGAGCCGGTGCCATCCTCAAATGTGCCGCCGTAATCAGTCATACCCGCCCAGTCCCATTCAAGAGTCATGGGCATTTGCCAGAGATCTTGCGGTACGAATGGCTGCGCAAACGCATTGCCAATTGACAGGTCGTTTATCATCGCTGGTGTCGACGCGTTGGAGGCACCAGTAAAGTCCATGTTGACGTTTGCGGTAGATGTAGCTCTGCTATGGCCATTCACGTCCGGCAAGTTGGCATTCTGCACCTGGGGCGATAAGAACTGTGACCCTGGAGAGCCAGTCTGCAGGGCGCCGTTGAGGGACTGCAAAGCCTGTAGACGCGTGTCAGCAACAGCAGCAACATCGTATTGTTCGTCGGAAAATCGTACCTCCTCGGTCAGATATCTCGACATGTCGGGTGGAGTAAAGACATTAGGGATATTTCCAGGTTGGGACGGCTGTGGCGTTTTCGGATCATTCCTTGCAGCTGGCGTCGAGGCTGAAGCTCGTGGCGTCTTTGCATTGTCCAGAGCAGTTGCAGCGTCTTCTTTGTTCTCTTGTTGCTTCCTCTTACGTCTCGAATGAGCCTCCTTGTCAGCCTTGTCGAGGACGATCTTAGCAATTCGCTCAAACTCTGAGCAGACGTTCAGCATACGCTTGACGCTGCTGTTCTGGTCGTTGGTGCAAAGGCCTGAAAGGAACGTGACGACATGATTCATGAGTTTCAGATCCGTTCGTGCTCGCGAATCTGTAGGGTTTTGTAGAATGTTTGCAAACAACGTCACGAGAGCGGAGACAGGATAGTATAGGATCAACCTGCGATTGCATTAACGCAACGGGATCATGAATGGGCGTGTTTGAGAGACCTACCACACACAGTCAAAATCACCATGAGGAATATACTTAATAAGGTGGATCGACGCTCTTGCAGCTGAAACACACAGCGCCGCAGACGAGAACACTCGCGGGTTCAGCGGTCGCGCGTTCAAACCTTGAATAGCATAATTTGACAGCCGGCTTGTCCAATATCCGTGATGTACCGACATTCGATGGATCGTTGTCAGGCAATTGTAGTACGCAAAATGCAAGACTACAATGTGCAAAATAAGCGGCGTATGTGAGGCCTTGATCTCGTGCTCAGGCCGGAAATCGATTGGGATGCTGTCTTTCCATTCCTCAAGTTCTTTGTCAAGTTCGCCGATGGTGTTTAATAATTCTCCGTCGGATTGCTTTGACGCCTTTACGGAATAAAGCTGCTTGTAGACCTTGCTAGCAATCAGAGCAAAGGTGCACATCAGTCGAAACAGATTGACTTTGCCCTTGCCGTCTGCCAGAGGAATGTTACCAATGTTATCTGGAGGGTCTTCACTCGGGAGCTCCACGTTCATATCATCGTCATCCTGCACGGGCGGCCGACCAGACCGTAAGCAGAGATCGCGATCGAGCATATATGCGATCCAAAAGACTCGTTTCCGCTGCTCTGACTCGCTCGGATTCAGATTGAAGCCGGACCCACGCTTGTGCAGACCAATACTGTGCGACAGGCGTATGGCGGCTGCAACAAGGAAGAACGAGGGTTGGGGATTCGGTGTGCCCTGCAAGAAGAGCGCCATGCCCAGCAAAGCCTGAACACTGAGCAGGTCCGTGTTGCGGATCGTCAGCTCAGCTTGAACGGCCATGGCATTCTTGAGGTACCCCCAAGCCTTCTGGTCTTCATCTTGAGGCACCAAATTGCTCATCACTCGCAAGCGATGTGCGATTGCCAAAGCAACGTTCAGACTTGCCCACCAGCCAGAGCCTTCATAGGGATCTCTCGAGTAATGTTTGTCGACTAAGTGCATGAAGGTTGGCTCATGAAACAAGGGGAACATGCAGTTGAAGTTCTCGAAAAAATCCTTCAGCAGCGACAGGGCCTCGTGCTTCGGAGGCAAAGGCTGGTAGACTTGTCGATGGAATATGTCTCTGAAGACGTCTGGCTTCCAATTTATCCACTTGTTGTCATCAACGGCTGCATTTGAGATCATCTCCTGGAAAGAAGTGTCGCCCGTCTTCTCGTTGACCCACTGGATACCTTTAGGCGAGAAGATGGAGAATCCAGACGACGAGCCTTGGATCATGTCAGCGTGTACATGTGACGGCGAAACAAAAAGAGTCCAACGCATACCGATATACCGCGTCTCACCACAATTGTTCGTCACCAGTGAGCACATCATGTCCGACAGCGCCTCGACCTCTGCCTCCTTCTTTTTCTTCGGAGCACCAGCTGAAGATGCCGGGGACGTGTTTTCGTCGGGGCTCTCCGAAGCCTGACGGGGGGTGTTTCCAACCGTAGCGTCCTCCTGCTCGGGAGTAGAAAGCGCCTTGCCACTGTCCTTGTCTCTGTTTGCCTGAGCCGCTTTCTCGGCTAGTTTTTTCTCCAGCGTAGCCAGATCCGTGGCGCCCTCGTCGTCCTCTGGAAGAAGACCGCTAAGGCGAAGAAGCGATTCCATACGGCCCAAACGATTCTCCAGGCCTTCGATGTACTTTGCGCCCTTGGGCGGATTGCGCTTCTTCTCGACCTGGGTGAAGATGCACTCCGTCTTGTAGTTTTGGCAGTGGGTGCACGCGGGCATCTTGCCGTCGCACTTGATCTTCTTCTTCCTGCACATGTCGCACGCCCTCGCTATCCTCCTCCTCTTCGGGTCGCTGTGCTGGTCGCTCTCTTCAAGACCATAGCCCATCAGATCGTCGGTATACATGCTCGCGGCGAGCGCATTTGGGGGCAGAGGAGTCCCCTCGCTCGGGTAGCTCCCGTATATTCGTCGAGGGCCACCAAGGGCGGTGGCAGGATAATTCATCCCATTGCCCAAAGCGGACGCTTGCATATAGTTCATCGTAGCAGTTCGGAAAATTGTAGCCTTCGCCCGCGGGCGGGATTTCGCAGTCAGATCACCGTCGCCGCTCGATCTGCGCAGCGTCGCGCGGGAGCCTCGGACTTCTTTTACTTCAGCTGCAGGACAGATTTGCAACGGCCCTTCTGGGCGCAGCACGTATAAAGGAGACGTATCGATCCTTCCGAATGTATTTTTTGAAGATGCGCTAAGATTATTTCGAGGCCAAGCGTAGGCAATTGTGGAGCCTGGAGATCACATTCGTCCGGCTCGCCACGGAGCAAATGATGCCGGAGTGCAAAGGAATGGCCTGACGAGGCGCAGCTGGCCAACGAAGGCTGTGGAAAGTCCGTTCGAACGGTGCCTGCAGGTACACGGTCTTGACTTTTTGTCGATATGATGTCCGAAGGAACGCAAGACCAGGATCCGTCCAACTAGGCACGCAGCAGGAAGAGGGGCAGTAATAAGACCAACACGGTGGATTTGTAACTTGGGTCACAGCCCGACGGGGTTCAAGCACACGCCGACGCGATTGGAGGGCGTTTGACGTCAAAGCTGACGGACTCCTCGAGCGGACGAAGGCACAGGCAGAATGGCAGAAATCCTGCACTGGAGGGATTTGACGACGAGAAAAGTATGTCAGGAACGGCGGGGCGACAGAAGTCAAAGGGGAAAGGGAACGGAAGGCTCGGCCATAATTCTCTTCACAAATCAACCAGCGTGAGGTTGCGCGCACGCAGCAGGACCATTACCCGTTGTGGAGGAGGTTCTGGCAGTGAATCATGTCCGTTTCCTGTTTCAACGGAAAGGCCATTACCGCCTGAATCTGTTGTCTGCATCCAATGCCATTGGCCATTTGCCTCCGCTGTTTCAGACCCAAACAGCTGCGCCTCCTCCGTGGTCGCCCTCTGCCTTGTTTACGCAGATGCGCAGGTCGGTGCCAATCGCCGTCCGCTCGGGGAGAGCTCACTGTAGGCACCGCTCTGCCGGCTCGCGCATGCAAGCACACGTGTGCATAGTGGGCACTTGGATGAATGGACATGTATATGTGCATGTGGATGTGTATCTGTGACCGTGTGTGATCTCCAGTCCTTCGCCAATCTCATCTCCACGTCACGTCATGTGAAGTAGCTTGCACTCCAAGTGTCCTCTCCCTTCCGAGGCAGCAGCAGCGGCACAAGCAAAAGGAAAGAAAAATAAATGACTGCAAACCCCATTCAAAAATGAACTCCTGAGCCGCCCACAGCAGGCCTGCAGCAAAGTCTCGCCCTCGGATCCCAGCCGGCGCATGCTATCGTGTTTGAAACGGTCCTGCGGTACATCGACACGCGACCCAAAGGGAAGTCTCATCGCGCCAACCCACGGCTCTTAACCGCCCTCAGACTGCGCCAATCGCTGCGCTGCTGCGAAGCGCTCGGCCGGGAGCATCTTCAACACCGAACCCAACACTCCTGCTCCGCCAGACGCCGCCCTGCACATCGTCTGACAACAATGTATGCAACACGTGAAACCACGGTCGTGTTCGATAATGTATCTTGACTGACAATGTTGTGCCTAGGGCGAAACAAGCGCCAATGACGGCCAGGGAGCTCGAAGCACATCCTGAATTTCCCTATGTGACCTGGGACCTCAAGCCCGTCGAGAAAGGCAAACTCGCCGTTGCTGCAAACCGAGGCGGGCCTTTGAACATCTCTTACGAAGTCCATGGAGCTGGTCCCCGTAAGCTGGTTGTATGTTTCTTAATTTTTTTTTCTTTCTCTTTCCGTTTCTTTTTTTCTCCCTTTTTTTTTAAAAAAAAAATATTTTTTTTCCCACCTTTCCTTTGCCCGGCCTTCTCGGCCCCGAACTATTTCGTCCAGCTTGATTCAAACCCTCGTCCTGGTCAACTTTGTCCCCGTTGGGGTGTTTTGGCCCTCGGATTGTGCAGCGGAGGGTCTTGAGTTGGCAGATATGTTTCGACCGGAAAGAGAGTCAGACCAGCTGCAATTCCAAATCGCGTGGAGTGCTGGCTTTGGATTTGTAACACATCACGTCGACGGACCCACGTATACTGATCATGATGGCAGTTCGTCATGGGCCTAGGAAGCCTCAAGTCTTCGTGGCAAAGACAAACAAAGGACTTTGGCCATACTCAGGGTGACAAGTACAGTTGTCTTGTCATGGACAACCGCGGAATTGGCGAGTCTGACAAGCCTCTTATGCGCTACTCCACATCAGAAATGGCGAGGGATGTTCTGGAAGTTATCGATCACATAGGTTGGAAGGAGCAGCGCCAATTGCACGTGATTGGTATAAGTATGGGAGGCATGATAAGTCAAGAGCTTGCCCTTCTGATACCGGAGCGCATTGCCAGCCTGTCACTTGTTTCAACCGCCGCCGCCATCAAAAATACGGTTGGCTTTGTTGAGAATCTCAGGAACCGCATAAATCTATTGTAAGCATGAGACCCGCGGATTTCTACCCGCGTTGCTGACCGCAAGGAAAGCATTCCTCGGCCGATCGACGAACAACTCGCCATCGTCAAGTACAATCTGGCGAGCCCCGAGTGGCTGGTCAAACCGGATGAGCTTGAATACACGAAGGAGCCGTTTCCTACTAACGGAGATCGCATTGCTGCAAGCGAAGTGACAAAGCGAAAGGACACGACAGCCTACACGCGCAAGGGCTTCATAGCTCAAGCCATCGCCGCTGGCTGGCATTACAAGTCGCCCCAGCAGCTCGCAGAACTGGGAGACAAGGTGGGCAGAGAACGGATCATGGTTGTGCACGGCGGCATCGACAGAATGATCACCTTTCCCCACGCCGAAGTCCTGCTTCAAGGCCTGGGAGGCACCGAGCGAGGCATCACCGTGCATTTCGAGCCTGGTCAAGGCCACATCATCCCGATCGAAATGAGGCACGAGTTCCGCAAGTGGGTGGAGGAGCTTATTGACAAGACGGAAAATTTATCTTGAATTCATCATGCAGACGTGGAGACGTACTATTTCGTTGATGGGGATTAGACTTTTTTTTTGGTGCCGTCTAGATCACAAGCAGGCGGTTCGCGCTCATAGAGGGCAGGCAGAAGCAGAGCAACTGCCGCACAGGGCCGATCCTGCCACGCGTAATGTTTAACATAAGTTTTTTTTTTTATGGGAATAGTTGAAGAAGGCGCATCCCGTATCAGCGAGGGGAGAGGACGATACATGTCTACATTACGGTTACATGGGCCTTTGAGGCAGGCTTTCAGTTAGGAGAACACATAACACACCACCGAAACGTGCGATTTCTACCGTCACCACCAGACCTTCACCGAGTTTTGCTGGATCTGCTTTTCGCTCAATGCGTTGAGGAAGCGACAAGGCTATTCATGGCAAAAGGCGTAGGCTGGCTGCTTTGAGCTCTGAGGATAAATTGGCGGCGTCGACTGTCCTTAACAAAAGTCCACGCTTCATGCTTTGTGCCTCTGTAGGCCAACCTTTGTCTTGCTCCACATGTATGCATGTGCGTGGCTGCGTATTTGTGTATTTTTATTTGGCTGGCAGCACGTTGGAATAATGGGCTACGACACACCTGCCACAGCCTATCGTGAGCCGAAAATGCCGTCCAGTCCACCATAGTGTGAAATCCCAAAGCGACGCAAACTTCGGGTCATGTCGTCACTGGGGCAAATATTCCCCATGTTTGCCATTGTTTTAGCGCTTCGCAGGGAATGATTGGTCTGGTGCAACGGCATGCGTCCTTTGAGATGCAATATCTCCATGCTGGGGCCTGACCGTGAGGTCCATCCTATCACCGCCTTCACCGGCTGTCATCCGAGGGCGGGGTGGGAGAGGAGCCCGTGAGATGGGATGTGCACACAAGATGGATCGACTCACGGCACACGCAAATGGCATGGCAAATTTGTGCGAAGCTTACATGTTGCGAATACCGTGCGAGCCGTGCATTGACACGGGTCGACTGATCGTTGCGACATTGAGTTGCTCACAAGACACCTTGACCCACAATAAAGCTGGGGACTTTTATCTGGAGAATGAAAGGCTTGGAGTCCTGTCGCTTGGTGGAGCTTAGTAACGGGCAAACTTGCTTGACGGACGGGAGAACGTCTTGTGTGGTTCACGGCGTGCCGAGACGCGCGGTGATGTCATGCGGGTCAATCTGCAGCCGCCCCAAAACGGCGCCCGACAAAACATGGGCATGGCGACGGCATCCAAAATGCCATGCCTCTGGGTTTTCGCCTTTAGCGCCGAAAAGAAGAACTTGTCGAAGTGCAGGAGGGAAATCGTGCATCTGAGCGAGATCCCATAACAAGCATTGCGCTCTTTGCTCAAACCATGTAACAGTCTCTGACCGTGGGACGACCGCAATGCCGCTGTCCTGGTCATTGCAGATTAAATGTGGACCACACTGCTTGTGAACTCGCAACACTAGAGTGACGAGTGGTTGCATCCTCTGGAGAAGGGTCCTGTGGGACTTCCTGGGCTTACGTTCGACAGAAGCAAAGATCTTCACTTGCTTGCTCCGAGCGTCAGCGGCGTGAAGATGTCGATCGGTGTGCCTGCGAGAATACAAAGGTAAAAGACTTTCGCGCCTCGAGCTGTTCGATCAACGATCTTCATTTTCCCAGCTTTGTTCCGTCACAGTGGGAGGGACCCATTTCCCTACTTTTGACAGACCCCGATACGAGGCTTGGATGGCTGGAAAAGTATAGTCGTATATACCGCTCTTATTCATTTCGTTATACAGTCGGGTCTCAAACGCATAGCGAGTATTTGACCATGGCGTCGATTAATCCACATCGCGCCTCTCTCGAAAAGGACGAGAAGAGCATCCATGAAGCAAGCGACACGCACTCGGCTACAGCTCATGAGAACATTGCGCCGCGCTCCAAGCGCGGTTCCGTAGCCAGCACGGCAGCAGACCGTGCGCGCCAAAACTTGAACATGAAGCTCGCCAATCCTCTGGACGGATATACGATCGCAGAACTAAAGACCATGGGTAGCGATTATGCGAAGCTTCATGCCATCGCCGAACCGGACGACATCAGGGCATTCGAGCTCGGTGCCGTTCTGGCCCAGAACCCCCAGGACTTCAACCGCATTCGTGAGTGGGTGACCGCCGAGGAAATGGCCGTTCTTGAGGGCGAATACACGAGTCGATGGAGCCAGCCTAAGCTTCTCTACCTGGTCATCGTTCTTTGCTCTACTTGTGCTGCCGTGCAGGGCATGGATGAGACCGTCGTCAACGGCGCTCAGCTCTTCTACACTGTCCAGTTCGGCATTGGTGGCGACGACCCTCGCTCTACCTGGCTTACTGGCCTTGTCAACTCGGCTCCATACGTCTGCTGTGCTTTTGTTGGCTGTTGGCTCACCACGCCCTTCAATAAATTCTTCGGCCGCCGCGGCACCATCTTCATCACCTGTCTGTTCAGCGCTCTTGCTTGCTTCTGGCAAGCTTTTGTGAACACATGGTGGCACATGTTCATCGCCAGATTTGCTTTGGGTCTAGGAATCGGTCCTAAGTCTGCTACCGTGCCCGTGTATGCCGCCGAGACGACCCCGCCGGCCATCCGCGGCGCGCTTGTCATGCAGTGGCAGATGTGGACGGCGTTCGGAATCATGGTTGGCTACGCCGCTGATCTGGCCTTCTACTACGTCCCAGACAAGCCTAACATCACGGGTCTTAACTGGCGCATCATGATGGCCTCTGCCATGTTCCCCGCCGTTATTGTATGCTGCTTTGTCTTTATGTGCCCAGAGTCTCCACGTTGGTACCTTTCCAAGGGCCGTCACCATGCGGCGTACAAGAGCATGACCCGCCTCCGATTCAACAAGTTGCAGGCAGCCCGTGACTTGTTTTACATGTCAGAACTCCTCAAGGCCGAGGAAGGCATTCAGATGGGCTCTAACAAGCTCTTTGAGCTCGTGCGTGTGCCACGTAACCGACGTGCGATGCAAGCGTCTGAGATTGTCATGTTCATGCAACAATTTTGCGGTGTGAACGTCATCGCCTACTACTCCAGCTCGATTTTCGAAAACTCCGGCTTCTCCACCATCTCCGCCCTGGGAGCCTCACTCGGATTTGGTGTGATCAATTTCCTCTTCGCCATTCCGGCTGTTTACACGATTGACACATTTGGGCGCCGGAACTTGCTGCTCACAACATTCCCACTCATGGCTATTTTCTTGCTCTTCACTGGCTTCTCGTTCTGGATCCCGGAAGATAACAAGTCTGCCAGAGTTGGCTGCATCGCGCTTGGCATCTACCTTTTTGGCATCGTTTACTCTCCTGGAGAAGGTCCAGTGCCTTTCACATATTCCGCAGAGGCATACCCACTGTATGTGCGCGATTTAGGCATGTCTCTCGCCACAGCGACCACGTGGTTCTTCAATGCCCTGCTCTCCATAACGTGGCCCTCCCTTCTTGCTGCTTTCAAACCCCAGGGTGCCTTTGGATGGGTATGTTCTTTAGTTTGCTTTCTCGATCTGAGTTCTCAGCTGACAATGTTCACTAGTACGCCGGCTGGAACGTCATTGGTTGGTGGCTCGTCCTTCTCTTCATGCCGGAGACCAAGGGCAAGACACTGGAAGAATTAGATCAGGTCTTCTCTGTGCCGACTCACCTGCACGCCGCGTACGGTCTGCGACAGATCCCGTATTTCATCGGTCGCTATATATTCCGTCGCCCTCTCAAACCAGAGATTCTGTACGAGCGTGAGCAATTCGACGAGTCTGCCGACAGTGCTCGTGCAGAGGAAGCGTTGTAGATATTTCTTCTGAAAAGAAATGGGAAAATGACTTACGCACATGATGGAAAAACAAAACAATTTTGATTTATAAGATTCTCACGCTCTTTAGCACTGATGTGGCGCTATCCCAAGCGCATGAATGGAATCGGCTTGGTGTTGATACCCGGACTTGCTTTAGGAATTGGAAAGCATGAGGTTGAAATTATGCAGCTATGCTTCTGGTAGATGTGGAGCGATAGTGCTGAAAGGATAAATATTACACTCTTGATAGAATGACAAGCTGGAATTACAGTATTAACCGGTGATTGCCCGGGAGCGACGTCTCGGCTTCCATTTTCTATCCCTAAATATTGAGAGCCGATACTCGTATGTGAATGCTGGGAAGTACATGTATGCATCTGCTATACTGAAATTACCTCGTTAGCGGGTTAAGAAGTCAGTTTGCCTCGAGAGTAGTCTGTGTGGCAGAAGGACGAAACGGACGATTCCGGATCATAGAGAAAACTGCGAGGGCGCCTCGGAGGGGGCCACTTCTTTATGCCGTGGGCCCCTTATGTCTCTGACTTGATATGTACCAAGTGTTCGACGGTTGTGTGGCTCTAGGACATAGCATCTGCTGCATAAGGACCAAAACAGTGAGCTCATGATCACTCAAGACGAGCTGTTGTGAAGAGCATCTAATCGATGACTTCTACCATCCGACCGGTCCACTTCACACTCGCTCCCTTTACGCCGTCCTTCCCAAACACGCCACCCACATAGCCGGCATCCACCCACTCCTGCGGAACTCCCAGTACTACACCGTGAGTATTTTGTATGTACCTCGTGTAAAGTTTGTTCGGCTTGACCGTCTCGTCCTCGCCCTCTTCGGCAATCCGGTCAGCCTCGACGTCAGCCTTTCGCTGCCGCTTCGACGCTTGCCGTTTGAGTAGTCGGTTGATGGTGTCTTGCTTCTCTTCATCGTTGCGCTTCTCGGAGAGAGCTTTGCGCCGACGCGCCATTTCGGCGCGGCGCATGGAGATCTCTTCGGCGGTAAAATGCTTCTTCTTTTGTGCTTCTAATAAGCGGGATATTGTCAGTCAAATGTGCTGTCGTAGAAGCATGGAATGGGAGAAAAGGTGGAATTACGAACCGTTAGAGAGAGCCATTAAGCCTACTGCTTCTTGTCTCTGCCGCCGTGTCAACTTGCTGGGATCAGGAGTTTGACTGCGACTTATGTCCTCATCGCTGTCATCGTCATCGTCCTCTCCAGCATCGGCCCCTAAGCCGTCCTCGCCTCCTTCTAGTTCTTCATCGCTCAAATCGGACAGTTCCTCGTCCTCATCATCGTCCATGGCCATTTCCTTGTCTTCTACTGAAGGGAGCGCTGGCGTGACCGTGACCTGAGGTTTGGGTACGGCTCGGCCCTTCGAAGTGACGGCGGGGGCGTCCACCATCACCTCGTCCTCGTCCCCTTCAGCATCTTCGTCCTCGTCGGCCATTTCTTCGTCCTCATCCTCTTCTCCCTCTGCATCCTCGTCCTCCTCACCCTCAGCATCCTCCTCCTCATCAAAATCCTCCTGCTCCACCTCTTCTTCGTCTTCCTCCTCGTCCTCTTCGCTCTCCGATTCGACGATTGCCTTCTTCCGCGTCGAACGTGTCCCCGTCACAATCCCACCGCCGACAAAGGAGTCTCGCGAGTTAGCTCCCACCTGCCTCTTCGAGGGCGTCGCGCCGCCGGAGGTGGCCTCCTTCAGTTTCTTGGGGTCAGCCTTCACAGTCAGGCGTATGGAGCTGACACGGGTCTCGTCCGGCGAGCTACGTTCTATGGTGGTGGGCGGGGCTCTGTTCACTGTGCCCCTTCGCGGTCTCGTCGACACGGCGGGCGCAGGACTAGCGGGTGGCGTCAGCTGCTTGCGAGTTCTCAAGCGACGTCCGGACATGATGAACAGGGAGATGTGGCAACAGCGCAGGCGGGTTGTGGTCTTGTCGTTGCGACGGGCCCCGGGTGGATGGATGATGGAAGGTGAGGAAGGAGGGCATGCAGGAGTTGTAACAAGCAAGGCAAGTTCCGCTAACGGGCGGTATCTACTTTGCACGGCGTCGTTTTTGCTTGGGGTCGCATCGCTTCGACCAAGCCGATGCCAATCATCGCCTGCGAAATAAAAACGTACCTTGCGCTCAGGTCACTTGAATCAACTCTGGGCCGTCTAGACATGCTGAAATACCCAATGGCTCAGATGGCTGTCTTCCGCACAGTGATTCGCTGTCAGCAAGGAGGTTCTCGTTCGAGTAGTTAGAGCATTGGCCAGGATTCCTGTGTCGCGCGCCGGTCGCATTGACGTGCAGTCGCCGCTCTGCCTTTTGGCGGAGGACTTGTTTGGGTAGACCTCGGCACCACCTCCATCCGCTCTCTTGCCGCCAACATTATGCCCTGACTGCTCCGCCCACAACTGTCCAACATTCTTTCCTCGTTCTTTGTACCGCCTAGCGATGGCTCCAAGCGATAAAGCGGCTGCGATCCCAGCCTGGCAGCGCGCCACCTCGTTGCCTGGCGCAGAAGACGTGAAGGCGGCACCCGAGCCACAACCAAAGGGCGCGGACGAGAAGGAGCCTACTCACGAGACGTCGAGGTCGGAAGCGTCAAATAGCGAGGATGATATGAATGCACTGCGCGAGCAGGCCCGTAAGTTTTTGAGCGATCCCAGCATCAAAGATGCCTCACGGGAACGGAAGGTCGCCTTCTTGGAGTCGAAAGGATTGAAGAAAGAAGAGATTGAATTGCTACTGAGCTCCCAGCCCGCACCGGGCCAACAGCCAGTACGTGCATCTGTCTGCAATCAGGAAGCAATTAACACTTCCAGGCTACATCCTCTGCACCAGCACAGCCCGCCCGCGATGTGCCACCCGTCGTCACATATCCTGAGTTTCTCGTTCAGCCGCAAGAACCACCACCGCTGGTGACGAAGAGCTTGATTTGGAACACTGCATATGCCGCAGCAGGACTATACGGAACTCTCTATGCGCTCTCCAAGTATATCATCAACCCCATGCAAGCCCAGCTCTCGGATGCCCGTCACGAATTCTTCACTCACTCGACCAACCAACTGGACGCCATGAACTCCAAGCTCTCGTCTCTCGTGTCCACGGTGCCACCGTCACGGCCAGGAACCGCGCTGAAGATGAGCAGAGACGACGTCGACGATGCGTCGCAGACGAGCGACCCGACAGAGCTCTTCCATCGTGACTTCGGCACGCAGACATCGCCGTCCCTTTCGCGCCGCAACTCACTCACCTCTGCCGCCGGTGCTGACGACGACGCCACAAAGCCCTCGCCGACAGAGCGGGCCGAAGCCAAGCTCAAGTCCATCAGCGCGCATCTCAGGGAGCTGACGGCCTCGTCGGAAGAGATGACGGACAAGGACGATGTCTCGAAGCAGCTCTCCGAGCTGATCGCCAAGCTGAACGAGATGGCGTATGCGAACAGCAGCTACTACAAGTTCAACCCGGGCGTGGCGGGCTACGGCTGGGCCAGTGCGGAGAAGGCGCAGGACGACGAGATCGAGCGCCTGGTCAAGGACATCAAGGCACTGAAGGGCAAGTTTCTGGGTGTGAGGAACTTCCCCAGAGCTGGCATGCGGTAGGCGGAACGAATGAGGACCTCCCCTCGACCTTTGGCTCACGGATCGCTTCGACTGCAAGAGCACCTCCTTTTACCCAATTCGAACGTCATCTACCGTGGACTTCTGGCGCCGTTTCCGCCCCGAACGTGCTCGGTCGGCTTGGCTTTGCTTGCTTTCGACTTCGCGTGGGGAGGGCCGTCCTGGAGCGAGGAGTTGTTGATAGGACGCAGGATCTTGCGAATCGGAGAACCTCCTCCGTCTTGATTGATATCTCGAATCGCTCAATCGGCCTGGATGAAAGCGACGGTGGTCGCCGGGCCATTCGGCAACCCCCTTTTTGTGGCACAGGTTTTGCTGTTGACTATGTAAGATAACGAGGTTGCGGCGATGTATGACGTCGAAACTAGCGGGTGCGATCCTGAGAGGACTACGACAAACGCATATTGGCCGTTATAAAACGTGACACTCGATTTTCCTCTGTCGATACGTACTAGAGCTCACGCACTACGTCATGTAAGGAGGTACGAATCACCGCTAAATTTCTTCATACGGCGAAACGAGAAGGATACAGTGAATATGTGATCGCTTATCTGCAACATTAAAACAAGAAAGTTGCACCTGTAAGATACCAATCGCATGGAATAGCTTCTAATGAAACACTTTACTTCGCTTCTCCTTTCATGGAAGAGGACGGATGCATTACAAGAATCATTAATCGCTATCCTTTGATTTGCACACTAGTTTCGACACACTGCAGCGCCAGTCTTCCAGGAACACGTCTCTGATCATGCAGCTGCGAGACACGGAATTCAAGACCAACGCCTTCTCATGTGTTACATCAATTGGAGGAGAGAAAACCAAGCGAGATAAGACGAAGGAGACAGGAGCAGCCCAGAATCGCTAGCCAGGAGTCCGAGCTGCCATAAGCCCACAATTCAAGCCCACATTTCTTAACGCTGTGATGAACCTGCGTCCCTTGTATCGAAGGAAATATTCTTGCAACTCGCGCCTGACACATATATACTTGCGCTTCAAGAGCGGGGCTTCAAAAAATCGCTCAGAAAAGATAGAAAGCAAGTCTATATGCATAAAATGTTGATTTGGAAAGAAACAAAAGGGGTATAGCTAGCCAAGTTACGTGTGCGAGAGTGGTGCCCAGTGGCTATGTCGTGATAGAGGATGCGCGTCGACGAGCAACGGTTGCACTGTAGTGAAGCTGCTCAAGGAAATCCTAGAGCGTCTTAGAAATCAATTCCAGGATGTAGCGCATTTGTTTCTTCGTTGTCGCTACCGAATTGCACCTCTTCATCGTCGATCGTCAAAGGTGCATCATTTGTCGGGCTCATCGCATTTGGGCTCCCAGGGTTGGCTGCTGGAATGACTAACGGTGGTAAGTCAGGACGTGTGGGACTGCCATCATCCGCATGCTGAAAGGGAAATTGCTGCACAGATGGAGCAGACGGTTGTGGTGGCTGCAGGTTATAATGCCCATGGCCGGTTACAGGTTGCGGATGGGGTGGGATGGGGGGCATGTGTATGACATGATGTGGACCAATGCCAGGTAGGCTAGTCATCATGTCATTCTGACTATTGAAGAGACTAGGATTCTCATCGTCCTCGTACATTGTGGACTCAACGTCGTAATGCGATTCATAGCTTGGATTGGCGTTTTGGTTAAGATAATCCCGGAGACGGCTGACGCCACTGTTGGAGAAGACGCAGAAGACGTCGCGCTGATGGTCGTTGAATTCCGGAGGTGGATCACGGCAGAAAATCGTGAATTCGTCATGCAAAAAGGCCTGAACGCCCGTAAGACTCAGGTGAGTAAGTCGAGGACAATTGTTAAGCAGCGCCGTGACACCCTAGCGTTCAAAGTTAGCAAAGAACAGACTAGGCATGAGTACTGAATTTACCTCTATGGTCAGCTGTGTACAGTAGCTCAGATGCACACGTTCGAGCGAGCTCGGCTGCAAGGGACCTCTCGGGATGTCGGACTGTTTCGGCTTTGCCAAAGCATAAATACTTCGGTCCGTGATGTTGTTACATTTCACGAGACCAATGCGCTTGAGCTTAGGAAGATGCGCTAGCTGGGTGACCGAATTGTCCGTTAAATTTGTGCAACACGCAAGATCGATGTACCGTATGCGAGTGCAAAACCGCACGAGCTGGATGACACCAGTGTCGGTAATTCTCTGGCAATGACCTAGGTGAATGTAGTGCAGGTTCTTGCCCAACTTCGTGATGGCTAGAACTGCTCGGTCGGTAATCTGTTTGCACTTCGCCAGCACGAGATTGCGCAACCGAGGGGCAGCTGCAATGATCTTGATGACACCATTGTCCTGTAATTCACCGCAGTCTGTCAAGTCCAGTATCCTGAGTGTTTCAAACGTCCGCTCAAAGGGCAAGTTCAAGAAAGCTGCATCGGTGATCCGTGAACAGTGAGCCAGGCGCAACTCACGTAGATTTGAGCCTTCACTGATCAAAGCTGTCACAGCATCGTCTTCGACCAGGGAACAGCCATGGAGGTCTATCTCTAGCAGTTGCTTGCAGTTGCGCGCAAACTCAATAATGGAATTGGCAGTGAGCTGGCGGCATTCGTTGAACTTCAGTCGCTTCAGATGGCGGCAGTGGTGAGCAATGTTGATCAAGGAGTCGTCTGTGATCTTTCGGCAACTGGTGATGTTTAGTCCTTGCAGGCGGAAGCAGTTTCTAGCCACCGCGTTCATTGTGTAGTCCGTCACGCCCTCGATAGCCGTCACGTCCAGAGCCAACAGACTACGGTTGTCCGTAACCATTTTTACCAGACTCAGGTCGCTCAGCTTTTGACATCCGGTGAGGGTGAGCCGCTCGATGCGCTTGCAGTTCTGAAAGGGCTGCAGAGTCCCGTCGCTAACCTGCACGCCCATGCTCGATAGATTCAATCTCTTGACCAGGTGTGGATAGTCAAACGCAGCATTGGCGCAGCGCAACGACTTTATGACGCATTGCAGTGCCGCCCAGTTGCCCGTCTGTGGGCGGTGCCAAAGCAGACCGACGCTGTTGCGAGCCCACTCCTTCGAGACCAACATGCAATTTTTGAGGTCGGAAGCAGAGCCCATCTTCTGGAATATGCAGATCATGAGCTCGGCGGGGAGCTTGCTGATGGGCGACACGCGGAAACGCTCTGCCATTTCCTGCGCAAGAGAGTCGCTGATGTCTTCTTCCTCGGAAGGAGTGAGGGAGGAAGCGGAGTCATTCTCGTGAATCATGAGGGAATCATTGTCGTCGTCTATGGCACCCCGCTCAGGCGAGGTCGACGCGGAGGAAGTGGAATCACCGGCATCTGAAAAACGCCGGGAGAGGCTGCGGGGAGCACGCATGTTGGGCGGGTGGGTGAGTTGACGAACGGAAAAAGGAAGATCGAAATGCTCAGCAGAGCGAGAAGGAGGTGGGTTGCGCTTAGGTTGGGTCAGCGCGCGAGCGTCAAGGTGGGGGAAAAGAGGCGAAGGCAAAGCGTTCGGTTCGGAGAGCAGGGTTCGTCTTGCGTTGGTACGTATGTCGTCGTTCGATTCTGTAGTCCCGCGGCGTGTCTAGAGTGTAGCGGTAGGGTTCAGCGGTGGACGGCTTTGAGACGGGTATGCTTTGCAGGGCGGAGTGGAAGTGGCAATGAGCTAGCAAGACGAGGAGGACGTCGAAGGAGGAGACGTCGAGGAAGCGTCGGAGATGGCGAGAGGGAAAGGCGGTTGAGAGCGGGGAAGAAGGCGAGGATGGAGGAGAGGACCGAGGACGGGGAGGAAGAAGGACAAGTAGAGGGGCGTGTGTTGAGAGGGCGAGAGTGACACAGGCAAGAGGGAACCGAATGAGGTTGTGACGCAGGGCGCGGGAGTGGCAGAGCGCAGCAAAGCCTCGTCCTGCACGCACCGGTACCACCAGCACAGTGCGGGCAGCGCTTCAACAAAGGTCACGGAGGCTCCTTATGTAACTGCGCTACGGCAGCTCAAGCACATCGTGGTCTGGGCCGTTGAATGACAGTCCCGACGTTGCCAGCGCCCCCCGGCCCGGCGACGTCGTCTCCTGCGCACGTTCTCGCTGGAAATTCGTTGGACTTGTCCACCCTGCGGTGGCCTTGGGACCGCTCATCGACCACAACCACCGCTCAAGCGTTCTGGCCGAGTGCCTGCGCAAAATCCCACTCGGAGCATCTGCCGAAAGGTGCTGATCGCAGTCTTCGGCCGGCCCAAAACGAGACGTCCACGCCGACTACCACCTTCTCGACAAACGCTGATCGCGTGAACTTGGCTGACATATCACGCGTGTCTCTAGCTTCAATCTATGCATGGACCGCTGTGGAACAAGGCCGCAAGCAGCACAAAAATGATTGAAAAGGACCAAGTTGCATAAGTTCACGACCCGGGTAGTCAAAGTTTACTCGTCAGACTAGTCGCATAGCTACCCTGATCTCTCTCTCTCTCTATCTGGCAAAAATCAGCCGCCCGTCGTCGGCATGGCGGCATCTTGGAACGCCGACATCGACCAGGCTCAACGAGGACGCGCTTCCAACGTACTGTCATGATCGTCGTTGTGCGTGCAGTTACTGCACCCTCTCAAATCATTCCTTCCAGTCGCTGTTGCTCTATCCATCTAGCTTTATCGTCGTCGACTCTCTACCAGGCGTGGCGTTCTTGTGCCTTAGAACGCCTGATCTCTCCCCGTTGTGAGCTGTTGCATAAACCTTGGGCTCCTCGTAAAATCAAGGCCAAGCAAGTAACCGCGTAATCATTTCATGGCTCTCGCATGACCTCACCTGTCTTTGCTGCCACGCTGTGCTCCCCGAAATCGGCTCTCCAGACTTCATCTGCATAACGGAACGACAAACGCTGTATCCGTTCTCTGGGCCATGGGGGGTTGGGCGGCATTGCTCGACACCATCGCCTAGCCGTCACCTTGTTTACTCTAGTATGGTCGTGGCTCAATTGAACTAATTCCAAGTTTGCCAATCGCAATCGTAGGGCCTGCTGCTCGCCTGCAACAGTACGTATGTTCTCAGCTTAATAAGTCTAATTACCGGCCTGATGATAGACCTCTTTTTTTTTTTAGACCAGAGGCGGCACAGGCTGCTCTGCATGCTGGTATCATTGCAGTCAATCCTATGCAATTCGCCGTCGACCCGTATGTCGGGATGTGCACCCCGTATTTCTGCGTTCGGCCGTCTACCCAGCGTCGATCTCATAAACAGAAAAACATCTGTTTGAGTATATTTAGATGACCCCCTGGTCTGATATCACGCGATTTGCCATGAGCCGGTTGCATCTCCATCTTTGCCGTTCACGAATCGCATGCACAGGCACTACAAATCTCTTCGAGTCTGATATTGTATTGTGCCAAGAAAATTTTTTTTTTCTGACACGACGAGGGAGCATCTACAACTCTCAAGATTGCCGTTCCTCGGGTTTTCCGGGGAAAGGTTTAATGTAGTGGCGCTTAGAGCCCCCCTCTTCGTTTGGCAAACAATCATCGTTCCAGGCAAGGTGAAGGCTACTTCAGACAACTCATCTTGATCGTCGTTTTCTAGTTGCCCATGGGCAAACTGCTTTTCGCTGGGACCATGTTCGCGGGAAAGGCATCTCGCTAACTGTGCGTGCGAGACTTTGGAGCGAACATGTTGGCGTCATGCCCAGCCAAGCTAAGACATTCGTCAAAGTTGCCGTCCCCGCGTTGTGGCTGATATAGCGTTTTTCCTGGCGTCAAAGATTACAGACGCCTATCGAATGCGGTGGAGAGTGCGCGCTGAGTCAGGCAAGATGGAGCTGCACCCATCTTGCTGACTTAGCAGTTCCAAGCAGAATTGGCCACCCTCCCTATTGCCTGGCTTGTATCACTTTTTGATTTGTGTCGTAGTCTTGCTCGTTACCTTCGGTATGCGTCAGAGTTGTAAACGTGCTCGAGTGTCTGTAGCGCGTACAGCTGGGTGAGACCAATCAGAACTCAGAACCTCTAGCCCAAGTTGGACGCGCGACACTCTGCTCTTTGCAGATGCAAACCATTGCTCGAGCCAAAATCTAATGCGCAAGACTACGTTTAAGCCATGAGTAAGATATAATCTGTTGGCATCAAGTGCCAAGAACTACCTTCGACTGACTCGAAAAACAGATCAGAAAGCGGCTATTTCCTGCGATTCGTGTCGGCAACGCAAATGCAAAGTATGTGGTCAAACGGCTCGTCATTTTTCCTCTGTCTACAACACCATTGTGGATCATATTGGATCAGAATAGATCTCAGCTGAACTACAATGATGGAGAATGCGGTTCACGTGACCCACATCCGCGGTGTTTGAGAGTTCTACAATGCCTTAATCCCTGCGAATTGACACTGATCGAGGATTTGGTAGTGTGACCGAAAGTTGTATGGCATAGGCGACTTTCTACGTAGCCCCACTATAGATTGCTAAGTGCCTGAAGGCCGGTCTGTACGCAATGCCGCACTACCTTGCGTAATGACTGCCAGTACTCAGAGGTCAACAAGAGGTACCGAATTCAGACCTTAGTTTTCAATAGGATCGACAAATAATAGCAGAAACGCAGAGGAATACCCCAGGGCTATCTGAATGCCCTTGAGCAGAGACTGGCCGAAACCGAATTGGCACTCTTCAGGACCCTCTCTGAACAGCAATCCCATGCTCAGCCTTCCGCGGTCATGAATGAGGAAAAACTTCGGGAACTTCGGACATCGGTTTCACACCGAGCGAAAAACGAGAACCTGGAAGAGTGGAAACAGTACCCCCTTATCACCCCAGCAGACCGCGCAAGGTGGCTTTCTTTTAAACGGTCACAACTTGGGTACATATTTGAAACTTCAGTACAAGTACCAGACGAGGCGGATGATCTTCCGGTTCAGATGGAGCATCAATATTACTCGCAAACCTCTCTAAACAACCGCACTGACTCTTCGATAAACCATGGCAACACTCCATCTCATAGGACGCTAAGTACTCCCTTTCCGGCCCAATCCGTAGAGACAAGCAGAGCGGCTAAAAGTATTGCCCAGTCATACGCTGATAGTCACAAAAACATTTATTTTTGATATTTTGGGCTATACGAAAACAGTTTTTGTGGGCAGAAATGTTCAAGCTTTACATCATACGTAAAAAAAGGGATCCAAAGAATGTCCTGGCCGGCACGAAACGTCTAAGTTTAAAGATCTCTTCCATTATGGCCCTTCTGAGATTCGCACATACTTTCTTTCATGTCTAATACAGCCAAGAAGAACCGTTCTCTTCGTTTTTGGTATGTGTTGCCCGACACGACAAACTCCCCAGTTTCTGCGCAAAATACCCTTGCCGTTGAAAGAATACATCAATTCAGGCGGATTTATTTGACTGGCCTCGAGCCTTGATCTCATCGCAAACAGCTTTAGTTACTTCAGCGGTCTTTGCTGAACCACCAAGGTCTGCTGTAACGATGCCCTTCTCGCAAACATTCTCAACACATTCCATGAGGAATTTGCTGGCGGCATCTTCGCCCAACCAAGCTAGCATTTCTGCTGCAGTCCAGAAGGTGGCTACGGGGTTGGCTAAACCTTTTCCCGTAATATCAAAAGCACTGCCATGAATTGGCTCAAACATCGAGGGATTTTCGCGGGTGGGGTCTAGGTTGGACGTTGGCGCGATGCCGATTGAGCCTGCGAGCGCCGCAGCAAGATCTGACAAGATATCGGCGTGCTAAACAAGAACTGGTTAGCCGCACGGTGTGGTATCTAAGGTCATGCTGCTTACCAGATTTGTGGCGACGATAGTATCAAGGCTCTCCGGCTTCAGAACCATGCGGCAAGTCATCGCATCCACAAGCATAAACTCCATTGTCACCTCAGGAAACGCCTTTGCGGTCTCCCTTGCAATCTCATCCCACATAACCATCCCATTACGTTGAGCGTTACTCTTCGTCACGACGGTAATGTGTTTTCGAGGACGGGATTTGGCCGTCTCGAATGCAAATTGCATAATCCGTTCTACAGCGTGCCGGGTGAAAATGGAAACCTCAGTCGATGTCTCCCACGGCTTGCCAAGATGTGAACGGCCCCCTTGTCCAGCATACTCGCCTTCAGAGTTTTCGCGGATGATCACCCAATCCAGGTCGCCGATCTTGCAGTTTCGCAAAGGCGATTGCGTACCACGGAACACCTTGGTCGGTCGAACATTGGCATATTGTTGCAACGGCTGACAGATAGCGAGGCGGAGGCCCCACAGTGAGATGTGATCCGGCACATCTGGTGCTCCCACCGCGCCAAACAGAATCGCGTCGTGCTTTTTGAGCTGTTCGAGACCGCCATCCGGTATGTATTTTCCGGTTTTCTTGTAGGTCTCGGAGCTCCAGTCGTAGTGCTTGAAGTGAAGGTCAAAGGTACCCAGAGTTTGAGTGAGAGTATTTAGAACTTCAATGCCAGCATCTATGACCTCGGGGCCAATCCCGTCCGCCGGAATGGACGCGATGCTGTATGTGGTCTTTGTGTTAACAAGTGAAGGTGACATGACGAGAGGGTTTAATAAAGTGATGTGCTCTTTTGTCTTACTTCCGTGATAGCGTCCGCTCTTACTTTGCGATCTTTTTATACCTTTATCTTTTTACTCGTTCGCCTGGCGACTTCGGGACATGTTGTAGAGATGATGGCAAGTTCCAGGCACTAGTCAGGGCTCGGGCATAGAACTCCCTGGCGCTGGAGTATCCACACTGCGGGGCGGACTTGACTTTCTCCGCGCGGGTCGCGGATAGTCTACTCTCGGAAACGTTGCCCTGAGTCATTCCGTGGAGGGCAGAAAAAGCACAAGGACAGTACTTGGAAATTCGTCATATTGCCATATTGATTGCGCTGTCACTCATTGCCGTTGTAAACAACCCGATAAAAGGTCTCCTGCGGAGCAAAAATCAACATCATGGCGATTGAACAATCTGCGCTTCAAACGATCATCAATCATATCCATGCCCAAATACAGTACGAGACAGCACGACGGACTGCGGAACTTCGAAAGCCGTTTGTTTTGGGAATCTCAGGGCTCCAAGGGAGCGGCAAATCGACCTGGGCGAACGCCATAGCACAAGCATTGCGTCAGCAGAGCAACTTGAAAGTTGTGGTCGTATCTCTGGACGACTTCTATCTCGATCACGACGGTCTGGTCCGCCTTCGCCAGGAGAATGCGAGCAATGCCTTGTTGCGCACTCGTGGCCAACCCGGAAGCCACGACGAGAAACTCATCGAAGAGTTCTTCTTCTCTATGAAACGCCACGATCGAGACATTCGCATCCCGGCGTTCGACAAAAGCCGCTTCAACGGCGAAGGCGATCGCGTGCCGCGGGAGCAATGGGATGTCATTCAGGCCGTGCCCCCTGTGGACGTACTTATCTTTGAGGGCTGGTGCGTCGGCTTCAGCAGCCTTCCAGAGGAGACGGTCAGGTCGAAGTGGGCGGCAAGCAGGAGCAGAAAATACGCTACGGGAGAGCACGAGGATGCTGTCCTGTCAACGAACACCCTCGGCGACCACGCTCTCGACCACGTGCTGGCTATAAATTCGAACCTCAGACGGTACAACGGCACGTTCATGCGCCCGTCGAACTTCTCATACTTGATCCTGTTAGACACGGACCAGCTGGCCAATGTGTACCGGTGGCGACTGGATCAGGAGCACGCGCTGATAGCGAAGACTGGCTCGGGGATGAAAGACGACGAGGTCGTCCAATTCGTACGCGGTTACATGCCTGCGTACGAACTGTACCTGGATAAACTGCAGAAGGAATGCTTTGTGCCTCGTCAGGTGGAAGACGTGTGGAGAAGCACACAACTCAGGGTCACTCTAGATCGGACGAGGACGGTGAAGGCCATAGAGGAGATGTATTGATGTCCCACTTTGTAGATCTTGTGGCTATCTGTGTCCAAGAAGCGCCTATGGAAGTAGTTTCGTTCACGATCAGCAGATCCCCGTACAATGGCGGAGGGTCAGGCGAAGCGGATCGACGTATCTTATTCACACGTCACCGCTCTAAAATCTGAATGCATGTTCTACGCCTCCTGTACATCCTGAACAAACCCTCTCTGCCACCGGCATTGCGCATTGCAACCTGCTTTTGGCTGAGAAGACCGTCTCCTCATCTTGAACGCCAGATGCTCCGAGCATCGGGGTCGAAAGCCGGGTAAGCTAAGACAGGGCCAATATCCGACGCCGATTGGCGGACAAAGGTAAAACCGTCCCCATGGGGTCACCTCACTCGAAGCGCGGAGTGAATCACCTTGGCAGCCAGTTTGAACCTGCACACTTTGCATAGAGCCTGTTCTATATAACCTTAGGGAGCCTGTCGAAATGATCAGGCTCGATATCTCTGGCGAGCGCTTCGTTTCACACCTCAAAGTAATCGTCCCTGGAGATAGAACTCCTCTTGTTGCGTTCAAATTACCTTCAACGCATTGCACTATATAGCTAGCATGGACTCTAAGCCGATTGGCACGCAAATTGAGACCGTCATGGAGAAGAAAGATGACGTTGAGAGCAGGATCGGAGCTGACTATTCCGGAGCTGTGGGAAAAGCTAGCGAGGAAGAAATTGCGCTGGTTAGGAAGCTCGACTATCGCATCATGCCAATCTTGTGGTGCATGTAAGTGTTTCTTGGTATTGAGTATCACTCTCTTTTCACCGAATTGTATCACTTGTTTTGTTCTTAGTTTTGTTTTCTTTACTCAACTGACGAAGACACGCGTTGACAATCGAAAATGTTGCGCTCTCATTCTTCACCCCTTAGAAGTATCTTCACCTTCGAGGCTAACAACATGACTCTTCAGGTACTTTCTCAATTATGTTGGTCAGCCGCTCTCCCGTCCGATATTAAGCTAATTCCATACCTCAGCTTGACCGAAATGCTATCGCACAAGCGCGACTGAATCATCTCGAAAAGGATCTCTGTCTCAAAGGTTCTGAGTACAATACGTGCATCTCGATTCTTTTCGTGGGTTACCTACTGATGCAAGTTCCTTCAAATATGCTCATGTCTAGTGGGCGCATCCGCCCATCCGTGTGGATGTGTCTCTGCATGATGGGTTGGGCCGTTGTGTCAGCATGCACGGCGGCTGCCAAAAATTATACCCATTTGGTACTTGTTCGCTTCTTCCTGGGTGTCACAGAAGCCCCATACTATCCTGGCGCGCTCTATATGCTATCGTTGTTCTACACGCGAAAAGAGATTGCGACGCGACTTTCCATCTTGTACTCTGGAAATATTTTTGCAACAGCGTTCTCCGGGTTGATTGCGGCTGCCACATTCTCCACCATCGACGGCGCTCATGGTATTAGAGGCTGGCAATGGTTGTTCATGTAAGTAAAAAATTCATTTCTGCTAACTCTCGCTAAGAATACAACAGCATAGAAGGTGTTCTGACTTTTGGTATGGCAATAATTGGTCTAGTACTGCTCCCTGACGCCCCTCTTAAGACATGGTGGCTCAATCATGAGGAACGTCAGCTTGCGCATGATCGTATAGCTCGAGATACTGTGGGCCTTGAGGAGAGCAAAGGAGCTCGTGCCGGTTTCATGCAAGCAATCAAGGACCCAAGGCTATACTTGCTCTGCTTTATCCAAAACATGCACCTGTCTGCATGCGGCTTTAATAACTTCTTTCCTACAGTCGTTGGCACTCTTGGATTCAATAATACGATTACACTCGTTTTGACGTGCCCGCCGTATCTTGTCTCCGGATTTTTTGGATTTGCCGTCGGTTTATCATCTGGTAGATTCAACGAGAGAACTTGGCATGTAACTGGCAGTATGGGATTGGCAATGATCGGGTTCATTATTGCTTGTGTTACGATGAACACAGCAGCGCGATATGTGGCGTGCTTTATGTTTGCTAGCGGCGCCTATGGCGTCAATTCTGTCATTCTTGGATGGGTATCAGCGACATTAGGTGAGTTTAGAAGAGTGGCGTCTTCCTATTCCTCCAGGTTCTAATCTTCTTTTAGGCCAAACACAGGAAAAGAAGGCTGCCAGTTTATCCATTGTCAACGTCATTGCAAATGCATCTTACATTTATACTGCATACCTTTATCCGAAGAGCGATGGTCCCAAATATTTGACTGGTATGGCTAGTAACGTCGCATTTGCATTTGCAACTATTGCAGGTAGCTGGGTCCTGAGGCTTTGGCTTCAGAGCACGAACAAGAAGCTTAGAGCTAGTGGTAGCGTATTGCAGTACGCCTACTAGATAGGTCTTGGCGGCTTATCAAGATTGCGAATGAGAGATTGCACTGAGCAAAAGTATTTTGGTACCGAAGATACTGTAGCAGGGCCAGCGGCAGCCTTAAGAATGCCCGAAATCATTCATGAAGTTATAGTTTGTCATCGTAAAGTTGGAGAAATCAATGGCACTGAAAGGATCAAATGTTCCTTGATCAAAACCACTTGTACCGTATTCCGGAATATTGAGACTGAAATTTATTGCCTCAAATCGCCCTGACCGTGCCTCAGTTGATTCCGGAGAATCTGTTTGTTGATTATCTAAAGAAAATGATGGAATTGACCTGTTTGTTTTCTTAGCAACGTAAATCATATTAAGACGTGTAACCAACCATGGACTTTGTTGAATCACGATAGCATCATTCGAAAGCATGGTAGTGTTTGTACCTGAAACCAACTCAGCATGAGTTGAATTCTCCTTTGCTCCAACCCTGTCTTCAAATTTTCAGTGTCTACCAGAAGATGTATCTATAATCGATATGTCTTACTCATTTGCAAATCTCGCGTATAGGAAGATGTCTGTTGGTTGAACTGGTTTGGGCTGGACCTCTCATCGGGCGGAGAATCCTTCTCGTTTCCGTCTCCAGATTTCTTTACGAGTGCTGCCTTTACATGCTTCACGGCATCAGCACACAGATCAGGCCAGCGTGTTTTCCGGAGGGATAGGTGGCTAAGTATTTGTAGTGATTTCTCAGCGTGCCTGTAGAGCAAAGCGAGTAAGTTAGCAAATCCATGTACTTATTTCGTCTGAATAAGCCATTACTTTACTGCAAACTGCTTCTTCGATCGCCCTTCCAATGCTGCAAAAGCTAAAATGAAGAAGCTCATCCAGCAGCACCACGTAACAAGTGGCCAAGTTATAGGTGTGACAAGGCACGCATCTCTGCGACCAGCTGGACAGTTTCTAGTGCGATACTCATCCAAGGTGCTGATAATTGACCTTGATGCCCTGATACAATTTTGAAGCGCCGACATGGCATTCGTGCTACTTTTGTTAGCCGTGATAAGGGGTCTATTCAGAGCAATTGTAGACTCATGCTCAAGAAGCAGGAGGTACATTCTATGGAGCGGAGAAATGGAGCCGGCGGGAACATTGTCGTCTCTCTCTTGATCAGCAGCTTCATCTATGATCTCATGAAGTAGGTTAGACCACTTCGAGAGTTCCATCTCGATCCTTAACGCTCTTTTCGCCGTTTCGTGTCTCGAATGCAATGCCTTATTCCGCAGTTCCAAAATCATGCCACGAATTTTCGCGTGTTGCGCAAACATGCTCAGGGTGACGAGGTGTTTGTCTGTGCATGAATTAGTTTTAAGAAAACATTTCATGAACGGGTTGCACACATGCCTTCATTCCGAACAGAGGATAATTGAGGAGGTAATGGCACGTGACATTCCTCCCCCGGATAGCAAACATCAATATCTGTGTCACTGATGCCTAATGGCAACCCCAAGGACTGACACAATATACGATCCAGACAATATATAGAAAAAAATATCCGACGACGAATCTGATTCTCCTGTGTACCAATGTTGCGAAACCTACTGGGGCATCTGTGTAAACCGAGGTGGAATGCCATCCGAACGACGGTACCTCCTAAGCGTGAGGCGAAATTGAATTTGAGCATTGAGACTAAGAAAAGTTGTGCCGCGAAGAGAGCCTGAAGATTGTGTAGTGTGGCAGGCTGGCATATAGCGAATTGAACATCCATCATGAGCTGGCTAACGTTCATGAAGATCAATTCTGCCGGAGGTGGTGCCGGTCGCGAGGTAGCTTGTCGACCATCAGCAATGCCCATCGATATCAGTGCACGGATAATCGTCTTGTCAGCAGCTGTGATGGAGCCGAGACCACTCTGGCTGACCTTATCAAACACATCCAGGACAGACGGTGCGTGGATGAAAGGGAAGATAGGATGCCAGTTCTCGAAATAGGCCTTTGTCCAAGCGATAAAATCTTCAAACTCTGGATTCTGGGCATTATGGGAATCCAGGATGATTTCATCCGTAGTCCACAGATTTGTATCTGGAGCCGTTCCCTTTGCAGAACCCGTCAAGGGCTCTGGCCTGTCTCTTGACAGCTCATCATCCTCGCCGGGAACAGCAGGCGAAGTGGTGTCTTCTGAGGTTGATGGAACCACGGAGTTTCCGGCTAACATCCCGTAAACGGTGCGGATGAAGTGAATGCCGCTGCCGCTGCCAACAAACCGTGAGCCGTGTTTCGGATCATAGCTCCCACGCATGATCCCAAACTCTTGGGAGTTCAAATTTTGTTCATTGTCTGCGTGCTCGCCGTCGCGAGCGCGTTTTGGCCGTTTTTCTGGTCGTGGCGGAAGATCAGCCGCGTCTGAATCTGAGGAGTCGTCCATGGAAACTTTCTTCTCCAGCAGCAGGTCATGGAGTTCCTAGTTGTCCGAAATTCAGATGTCGAGCTTCAACTCTCGGAACTTCCCTCGTCCTGCTGGAACACCTGAAATGAAAGGTAAACCCGTTACGGTCCATAGGTTCGGAGTCCTCCCAATGGCCGCAGTTGGACTATTCTTCATAATGCACGTACCATTTTCTCCGCGCCAAGGAGCGGAGAAACGTATTTGCGGGGCATCTACACGTGACCACTATGCCCGGAATTGCACCTTGTGCAATGTTTGGGATATCTCTGAGAGGCAGCAGCTGCTTATGCTTGATAGATCTTGTTCCCTAATCGTTCTCGGGTTCCATTTGGCTGTATTCCCTGACATTTAATCGCAGATGATGTCACAGATGACTGAGTTTCACCTGATTTCTTCCGAGAGTCTGGATGATATCCAGCATGTTTTGCGCAAGAGTCAGTTCAGTCCCATCTGCACTTTTTGTGATTAAGCCTAGATATGGTTGCAAGTCTTTGCACTACGTGGGGTTCTCTTTTGGCACAGCCTCATAGCTGTTCGACGAACACTTCCTACAAAGTCATGCTTCGATGTTCTTTTCTCACCTATAATCTCATTCAGTAGTATCTCAACCTGCACACCATGGCGTGGAAACCGATTTTTATCTCGATCACTGGATTCCGCGCATAGGTTCGATCCATGTGCTCCTGGTCTTAAATCAGGGGCCTTCAAAGCGTTGGTTGCGGGTTCTCCTGAGCTAACACGAGATGCACAAACATCGAAAAGGAACTTGTAGAGAGCAGTTGCAATTTGGAAACTTGTGCATTGGATCTCCGTTTGATGGAGCTCGAGTCGCTGACCAATGCCGACGATATCAGTCTCTGGTTTCTCAAGCGAGCGTAAGATCAAATGGGTGCCCAATTGTTTTTGTAAAGAGTATTAGGTGCGACCTTCTCATATTTCCTATCTCCAGAAGTGTAGAGAGAATTACAAAGATCCAGATGCGCAAAGGAGGATGCGATCGACGGGTCGGCGCCCTGGCGAAGTAGAAGAGATAAGTTTTAATCGACAAATGCTTGAAAACTTTGAGTCGTGCTTTTTATGCACTTTGTCCCTCTCTTGCCTCAGAAATATTCGTGCTGCTGTCTGCCGCTGGCCGATTGACAAAGCTCATGAGCGGCATAGTCTTGACTGCGTATGTTCATTTAACACCAGTGGACATCCGTATCATCTAAGAACATGTGATGCAGTGGAGTTGCAGCAGTCAATCTCGGAAAGGTAGGAGCAAGTGCACGAACTGTTCATGAGTGTTCGAGTTTCTCCATTTTTTTTGTTTAGGCCGTAAAGTTGCCTGTAACCTGCCACGGTGCAGCCACGCTGATCGAGTGGGACATGATTCAAGTGAAGTCTTCGTGATGCGCCAAAAATCAATGGCCTGGAATGGAGCAGAAGATATTTATGATTCCACGGGTACAGTCCGAACTCAGGTGTGTCCTTTGTAAGGTTTCTGTAAGTGGAGAGAGATTGCTGGTGCAGTGAATTAGGAACAAACGAACATTCTTAACACAGGATATTGGGACAGCTTCTTGATATACATCTTACAGGACATAGGCCACATAGACCTATGGCCTGCTATGCGTACTCTATAGGTACTGAGAGATGTCAATCGCGGACAGTCGTTGCGTGACCTTCGCACAATTTCGACGATTTCAGCATATTGGTTCCTGAGGGCCGTGAGTCCCAAATCCCTATCCATCTCTCTCGTCTACTTGAGGCTCAGTGAACTTTTCTTAAGGTGCCGAATCGGCGTTGCATATGTCCCTCTTACATAGCTGACATCCATCTTGTCGGACTTCAGATCTAGACCCGCTAGAGCTTGGGGAGGAGCCGAAGCAACGTGATGACGGAAAAACTTGCCGACCGAGAGGACTTTCAAGTTGGCGGTCCGTTGCTCGCTGCCTTTGTCCACTCATCGATGATGTGCATCACGAAGTTGATGTTCCCCAGCTGCTCACGGAAGGACTTCAGCTGCAAAAGCTCCAGAGCACGCAAGGTTGGTCCAGGATAGCTATGCAATACCAATCAGCAGCGGGAAACACAGACAGGCCTGGGGAAAAGTCAGACGGCACGTACAACAAGTACTTGGCGTACTTTGGGTCCTTGAAGTATTGCAAGTAGCGGATGTAGTTGATGAATTCCTCCTGATCGAAATAGTTCCTGTTGAAGATCTCGTGCAGATACAACGGGTTGGCTAGGCACTGCACGAACTGAAGCTCACAAAAGACGTCAGCCCGCTCGCCGGTGCGAAAACAGAAAGCTTCATGGACAACATCGACGCGTACCTCCAACTCAATCTCGAAGCGCGTGAAACCTGCGTAATCGACCTCTTCCGGGTCTGGTCGCGTCTCGGACACGGCTTCCGTCCCGCCGGAGGCCATGCTCGCTTTCCAAAGAAACAAGGGAGAAGGTACCGCTGAGACGACGGGATGTCAAGACGCGGCTGCAAGGAAATAAAAGGGACGATGGTAATGTTTTCTCGAAGGAATACATCGGGGGAGTCCGCACGTGCATGTTTCCCAATCTGGCCGCCGCCCCACATCCAACGCAGCTTCCGATCAGTGTGAGCGCGTACCGCTGCTGACCACCAGGCCGAACATAAAACCACAGCAAACGTTGGCGACATGGGCAAGAAAGGTGGGGACGCAAGCAAAGCCAAAGTCAAGGATGCAAAGGACGAAGGTTCCAGCAAGGACAAGTCAAAGCTGAAGCCGGCAAACGCCATCAACGTCCGCCACATCCTGTGCGAGAAGCACTCGAAGAAGGAAGAAGCGCTCGAGAAGTTAAGAAATGGCGCCAAGTTTGACGAAGTGGCTAGGGAGTTCTCTGAAGACAAAGCACGGCAAGGTGAGCGATTAGACACATTGATTCATGGAGAGCTCGATCTCGGGCTGCGAGCTAACGGCCTTCAGGTGGATCGTTGGGCTGGAAAACCCGAGGAAGCCTTATCAAAGAGTTCGAGGATGTAGCGTACACGTTGGAGCCAAGTACGACGGCAAGCCCTAAGTGGGGCGAGGTGAAGACGAGAGAGGGTTATCACATTATGATGGTGGAGGGCCGAAAGTAAGAAATTCACGACGTCGAATCTGATGACAGCGTTGCGTGAAGTGTATCAAGATTGGGCTCAAGACGATGAGCAATGACGCATCATGAACAACTTTGTATTGATTATCGCAAACGGCGCCTTCTCTGTACCCTTTTCCCGTGCTAACTCGTCGTTACGCGAAGAATGGGTGCGAACCAGAAGTCGTTTGACTTCTTCCTCTTCGTGACGCGTAGATACCACACTCTGTTCAACTTTCCCAAGAGGCATTGTTTGCTGTGATCATCACACTTCGCTGCTTACAAGCGCCAGTCCGCCGCGTACAAATGAGATGTGCTCATCATCCTCGCATGGACATGCGAATCGTTATAAGAAATAAGAAACTTATCGAAAACAAAGAAAAGCACCATTGTTGTAACTGGTGCAAAGTGTACTTGCCAATTCTTCCATCTTTAATGCTTTTGCAACTTGACAGCGACCACTCCTTGGGATTTGCTGCCACCACTGCTGTTTTCCAGCGGGCGATCCGAATGTGTTGGACTTGATGTCGCAAATGCGTTCTTCATAATTGCATCCCATTCGTTCGAAGAATGTATCCGCTATTTTGTCTTAACGGTTCCGCAAGCACAAATGTGGGATCAATGTTTAAGACTCGCTTCTGCCGTGTCGACCTCCACGCCCTCCTCGACCACTTTTCAAGCTCTTCACGCGGTTGAGGAAACCACCGCTGGGTTTCTTGTTGTCCATCTCGTCACCGGCACCGTCTGCAGTCAACCTTTGCTCTAAGCTAGCTTGCTGTGGTGAACTTGGTGCTCTGGCGCGACCGGACTTTGACACCTCCCTTTCATTATCCCTCTCCTGCTCTGCCATCTTGATTGCAGCGCCCTTTTTATCGAAGGCGTCATCGTACATGGTGTCGAAGGGGTTTTTGTCGCCTTGAGAAGCTCGCGATGGACCACCCGCACTCTGAACCAAGCGCTCAGGAATAGCTGGTGTGCCAGGCGAGTTTGGCGATCGAGGACCATTAGCACGAATCATCGACCTCTCTCCATCGTATTCACGACGGGACATGCCTCGAATGCGCTGTGCCAATGACTTCTTGCGCTGCAATCCACCTCCTTGAAGCATCTCGGCTTGGGTCTCGGATTCTCGTCGTTCGATTGCCTTGCGCGAGGCAGGAGCACCTTCTAAGAATGTTGATGTGCCAAGCCCGTACGACTCCTCGCCGTGGACTGGATCGACACGAGCAAGCGGATCAAACGAAAGTACTGCCGACTTTTTGCTCTCGTCAAAGCCAACATTACCGAAATCCGTAAAGCCTTCTGCGCCTCGGCCATGGAAGCGTTCCAAATCGATATTCTTATTTAGTGGTCCTGATCCACCAAGCATCATATTGGCAGAGTTTGCTGGGAAAGCTTGCATTGGAGCACGTCCATCCTTTCTACGGTTACGATGCGGATTCACTGCATCGAATGGACCATCGTGGTGGAAGACTTGAGTCGAATTAGTGTCGTCCTTGACCCGGAGGGGTTCGTAGCAAGGCCACTTACATCCTGCGCCGTATATACCGGTTTGATCTAAGCGATCGATCAAATCCATTCCTCGTGGCTTCCGTCTGGACGATCTATGCTTCGAGCCACTTCGGTCCTTGCTGCCGCCCCGCTCTGCCTGCTCGCGTCGCCTTCGCTCGCGTCGTCGTCGCTCTTCCTCAGTCATAGACGACTTACTTATAACAGAAGACTCTGAATTACGGCGCGGACGCCTCTCCACCTTTTCAGGACTGGCAAAAATATCAAGCTCCTTTTTGGGATCAGGTCGAGGGCGGGGACGCATCCGTGGGTCGCGTCGTCGCTCCATCTCGTCCGATCGTGAGGGTTTATGACTGCTAGGCGGTTGTCCATTCAGGGAGTTGTTGGTGTTGACTTTGGTGAGCGGGGCACCTGATATCCATGATTAGTACTGTTGTGGGAATGTTTATGACGGAGCGGACATACCAGCTGGTGGACCGGTATCGACAAGAGTCAACCTATGCTGCAGCGAACAAAGAATTAGCAAGCGATTTTTCTATAGTTTTCGCATAGTCAAGACTCCAGTGCCCTTCAGTGACCCTGTACAGATCTTGGACTTTGGCAATCACTCATATAGTTGTTGCTGCGGAAAACACGACTGCAAGCCGACTACGAACTACAAGTAAGACTCACAAAAAGCTGCGCCGTATCCTTATCAACGGAAGAGGTCTGCTGCGGTTGCGTTGTCGACTGAGGCATGGTGGTCGCCGGGTTGTTCGTAGTTTGTTGGAGACTGCTAAGCTCGTGCGCTGCAAGAAAAGGATTCGTCGGCGATAGACGAGGGCTCACACCGGGAGCATTTGCGGGAGAAGGGAGTGCGGGCGATAGCGCTCCAGGGGACACGGTTCTAGGGTTTCGAAAAGGGTTGTTCGACTGCGCGAGAGTCAGGCCGATGGGGGAGGGTCGGCGGTCTATATGGATCAAACAAAGGCAGTCAGCTTCTTATCTGGCCAGGCAGGCTCGAAACTCTGTGTCGGGCCGTCGCCGCTGTCGCACGTAGGTCGTCTTTGTGAAACAAGGGCGGCTCGCTAAGACCGGAGCTTTGGGCACGCGCGAAGGAACGAGAGGAAGGGAAGAACTGAATGATGAAGAGAGGAAGGCAGACAAAGTGGGCCTGTAGGCGTCATGCTGGAAACAGAAGAGATAACAAACCTTGCTGGGTCGGGTCTGAGAGAGAGGCCATGATTGCGTGCGAATACCGGTCTGGCCGGTCGCTATTGTTTGGAGGTCGCTCACTGGAGCAGGACGGAGCCGTGTGGTGCTTGGGTGTCAAGGAGGTGCAGAGCAGAGAGACAACCAGTACGGCAGGATGGCGGTCGATCGAGAGCGTGTTGTGTGCGGCAGCGTAAGATAAAAGTGCTGGTTAAATGCGGTGTGTCTGGTTTGCGTGCGTGAGCAATGGGCGAGTACATGCGCAGGGAACAAGCCGAGCTCAATGGATTTAACCCTGCGCGATACTTGATGCTGCTAAAAAAAATCCTTGGCAATATGCGACAACGGAAGACTGGGTCGCGTGGATGGGAGCAAGATGGATGTTTATGGAGCACGCAATGAAGTGAGACTTTGCAAGGTGACGGCGGGACGAGGACGGCGGGCAGAGAGTTAAGAACGATGGGGTGTGGAGGAGAGCGAACTTAGGGAAGAGGAAGCGAAGGGTTGGTCGGATGGTCGGTGTGTGTGGCTTCGTTTACTTCGACTTCTGCTGCTGCTGGTACATTACTTGGTATGCTTACTTCTGCTGCTGCTGCTGCTGCTGCTGCTGCTGCTGCTGCTGCTGCTGCTCCTCCTGGTGATCATAGCAGGATTAAGTTTCATGATGGTACCAATCGTTGGGCTCGACACTGCTGCTGCTGCCGCTTCGTTTTGTACCGCGCACCCACTGTACCGTGAAGGCTGGCCCGATCTTCTTCTCACTCGCTACTGCTCATCGTTCGGATCGAGCACGACTCCTGGACCGCTGCGATGCCGATCACAAGCCCATTTCCATCACACGTCACTAACTGTACATGCCTCTTGGACCATCCATTTTTGGTCCAACTTGTCCGAGGCCCTCTTGATTGTACCGATGCCTCCCCAACCCCCCCCCCCCCTCTTCTTGCGTTCTCTGCTTGACCTGTCCTTCGTTGCACAGTCATATCTTGGCCTCTTCCCGCTCAACAGCGGTTTCACGGAGGTGGACCGACGAATAGCCCTTTCTCAATCCGATGCTGTCTGCTCCCTCACTGCCGTCTCCGCTGTGGTAGATCCGAAGATGAGGGCGACGGATGGCCAAAATTTCTCCCTGACCCCACAATCACCCGGTCTGATGGGCCGCATGGGCACCTGAGCCGGCGCCACAGCCATCGGCCACCTTTGCAGCGACCCAATGCGGGGCCTTCAGGGACAAAAGCCGCGGCGTGCGTGCATCGTCTTGGATATCAACTCCCAATGGATCACCCTCTGGAACTGCCTGCGGTGATGCCCGCCAGTAGTTGACAGCCTGTGCCCTTCATTTCGAAGCTGAACCTGCTGTGTATGCGCCCGCATGTTGGCCTGACGCTCCGAATAGGAGGAAACGCGTGGGACGAAACGTCAAATCTTACGATCAGGAGCGGCGGTTGAGGTGATCATCACCCCCTTTCCAGGGTCCAAGGCTAAAGAAGCCGCCGGCTGGAAGAGCGCGCTGCTGGAACTTGATGCACTGTCCTGCTTAGCACAACTGTCTCTTTTTGACCCCAATACCTGCCCAATCGTCTTCGAGCAATCTGTGATCCCAGAATTCACGGCCTTGCGGCTATGTAACACACATCGCTGCCTTTTGGCACTCCAGGGTGACCTGGTCTAGGTTTCCGGAGTTACGTGCACGTTGTCTTCAACGACGTCATCCATCTTCCCCCCCTCTTCAGCATAAACATGTCAGGCCGGGATACCTTCCATCCAAGTGCGCTGCGTCCTTCGCGAAACCGATTGAAGAGGCAAAGGATGCGAATGGTGGCATCTTAACTTCAGAACATTCGCGCCATGTCTGTCACGGCAATGGCCAAGTGCGCACTAGCGAGTAGGGGACTAGAACGATGGGCTACTTTCTGAATACGGTGAGCACCAAAGGGGCTCATTTACATTAAGAGCAATTATCTTTGGCATAGTCTCCATCCTTCGATACCCTGTCGCCTATGCCGGTACGTCAAACCTCAAGTTAGGAGCAGAGCTTGAAGGATGACGGTTGTCATGCCATCGGCTTCTTCCCTTAATTTCGTACAGCGAGAATGTCACAAAAGGCTTCCGAAAAGGCCATCTCTATCAATGATGGTTATGTCCTATGGCTGGATTGGTAAGAACCTGGGATGCCCTTTCTGTCTGAATTTATCTTTCGTAGTTTTGAAATTCCAGCGATGCTCCATTCTGTATTGAAGCCATGGACCTGATCGAACTATGAAGGGAGATGGTCTTGGGCTCACAGACTAACGCGGTGCTCTAGCCAATGTTGATTCAAATGGCAATATTTTCCAACATTAATTTGATATACAAGCATTCCATTTCTTAGATTTACATACAAACTGCAAAGGCAGATACTCGTTACAATACTATGATGAGATCTGCACTCCTTTTATGTTCGGAAACAAAAGGTGTTCTTGTCCCAAGCAATAGTTTTAAAACCAAGTACGTAGAGGCGAACCGGGTAGAAGCAATCAGACAAGACCCATTTATTGGTGACCAGTGCTCTCTCAAAACTCTCCTCATCCTTCGCTAATATATTTAAGTTGTCATCAAGAGGGAGAAATCACTGCTACACTAGCCAGGTGTAAAAGCCCCTTCCCTCCGGAGCAAAGAAATGCGTTCTAGATTGAGAAAACAAGATCTCCAATCTAGTCCTTCTTTGTCAACTATTGGTAGATCAAAACGGACTCTAGACGTGCTAGATGGTAAGAGGCAATCATGACCCGATTTTATAAATTTTTATGCTTTTTCTTATGTAAACAAACGCGACCACAAACTTTTGCAGACGTTCTTCAATCTCAAGGCTGAAGAGGCTCGCAAAAGCGCCTACCGAGTGTGTTCGCAAGCAGAGACCATTCGTCGCTGCAATTCGGAATGACTGTGTTGAAACCTGTGACGCCTAAACCGATAGACGATCCTCTGGCCGTTCAAAGCTGCGACTCGGTGCGAACTAAACGGAAACACAAAACCCACCAAACCAGCCGAATCCGCGGCTCAGCCCTAGCACTGCACCCACTAGATCTGGGCTAACTTATTCGTTTCCCCGAATATTCGGCCTCAAGAGAAACAAGAAAAAAAAAAGGAAAAAGAATAAAAAAACGGCAGATCTCACACTTCCGGTTATGCACTTAGTCGAAGCAAGTATGTCAGCGTCGCGATCCTCTTCCGACCTGGCAGCCAGCCGGATACCAGGCCTGCCGTCATCCTTCTACTACATACCCAATTTTATAAGCCCAAGCGAAGAGCAGTACATACTCCAGAAGGCTGGTATATGCCATGCTCGATGATTCAGCTGGCCCTTCCACTGACGCCACAATAGATCCCTGCGAATAGATGGGTGCAGCTCTCTAAGCGTAGGCTGCAAGCTCACCCTTCAGCGCTCGCCGCAAACAATACCCTCATATCCGCGCCGCTCCCTGAATGGCTGACAAGCTATCCACCCATTCGTGAACGCTTTAAGGGCCTTGCAATCTTTGAAGGCACAAAACATAACGAGGCGAATCATGTCCTTATCAATGAATACCATCCAGGCGAGGGCATCATGCCTCATGAAGATGGCGCCGCGTATTCACCAGTTGTGGCTACAATTAGTTTGGGAGCACCTATCGTACTTGATATATACGAGAAGCGCGTTGGTGATGAGGTTGAAGAGCAGAGAGAGGTGAAATATAGGATCCTGCAAGAGCCGGGCTCGTTACTGGTCACGAAGGGAGAGGCGTACACAAGTTTGTTGCATGGCATTTCTCCCATTACTCGAGACGATAACCTCTCGGCAGATAGGATAGCTAATTGGGAATTGTTGGGGAACAAGAAAACATTCGAGCTTAGTGGTGGCGTAAGCGAGAGAAGTACTAGGATAAGCCTCACATATAGAGATGTACTCAAAGTTAGCAAAGTTGGACTTGGTATATTGAGCAGAAGATGATCAACCGGAAATCATTCAGGCGAGCATATAGTTAAGCATAAACACCTCTGACATGTCATGATATGAATTGCTATTTGCGACTGCGATTATTGGAGCTGAACAGGAATCAGAGAGCAGTCGAGAGGGAAAGTCTAGAAATTTTTCATGCAACCATGCCATTTTCATGCGCCTTGGCGCCGTGTCTATGTGCGCTCCCGCAGGACTACAGCACAAATGCAATTTTCGCAGCTATGACCATAGATAGCGCCACTAATGTCAAAGCTCCACGGCTACTGATACAAACTAGTACTCGGCAGCACCACTCTGTGGAAACTCGAAGTTGACACCCTTGCCCGTCAATCGCTTGTAGACCTCAGAGTATGTGTCGAGTCTGTAGTCGACACCACCCCTCTCCTTTTCATCAAGCACGATTTTAAGTACCTTCTCGCCGTTCTCCTTGGTTCGCAGACGCTTGCCGACAATCTCAACCGGGTAGACGAGATCGTGTAGAATAGCGTCGTGAACAGCGGTAAGAGTACGTGATCGGGGCCGCTTCTGCTTTTGCAAGTTGCGCGAGCGGTTTGAGCGCTTCGGTCGGGGGAGAATGCGGCGAGAGGCAATGATGAGAACATGGCGATCAGAGAACTTCTTCTCAAGTTCGCGAGTGAGACTGGAGATAATCAGTATTTCAAATGAAACGCATATTGCAAGGAGCTCACATACCGCTGCTGCACCTTGTGCCAGCCTGGGAGCAAGGGGACCGGAACAAAGATGACGATAGCCTTGCGACCATGTCCGACCTCAATCTGTAGGAGTCCTGGTGTCAGCAAAATCATTTGCCGCCCAGTGCCCAAACGCCTCCTCAATCAGATTGTAGCAGATATCATCACGCATATGTACGCACACACGTACGCACAAAATATCATCCAGTTGAGCCAGTGGAGGCTATCCCAGTGATGTGTGCCAAATCCATACATGGAGATATGTGATACAATCCTAGTGCCGCACATGATCTTATCTTACCTCGCGAGCAGACACGAATTGGAGAGGACGCAACGCAGACTTCATGTCCGGGATGTTCGTCTCGAGATCGTACAGGGCATTTGCGATTGAGGTCTCGATCTCGGAAGGCGATTGCCTCGAGGGGCTGTTTGGCGCGATCTTGTTGAGTGCAGCCGACGACATCTTTGCGGTATTGATGGTACGGAGATGTAGTCGAAAAATGAAGTCGAAAAAGTTCGGGCACAAGATATCGATTTGTGGGGGACCGTGCGTAAAATCACGTGATCAATATCACAGCTCTGAACGAGTAGGCACTAGGCATTTGCGTGTCTTAGATTTTCTAATTAAACACATGGAAACCGTCTGAGGTTTTGAACTTGCGCCCAAAATATTTGTATTCAAGCATTCATACATTCATTAAGTGTCATATGTGTCTATAAACTCTTGGCTCTATCAAGGGCCTCATGGAACTGCTCGATCCTGTGAACAAGGATGGCTTTCTCCTCATCAAGACTCTCCACATTGATTTGTAACTCCGTCCACGTGGTTCCTCTTCTCACTTCGTGTCGCCCATGACTATGTCTCCATTTGCTCCTCAAATCTTCTTGCAATTTCTGCGCACAAAAAGCCTTCAGTTCCACCGTTCTGGAATCAGCGCTGGGATGATTGCCGTCATAGATAGGAGGGAACGCGTCACCCATCCCAAGAACGCTTTTGGCTGCATATAGAGAGAAATCTTTGAAGTAGTTAAGTGCCATTATTCCAGCTGCAACTCGCCCTCTTCGTCTCTGAATATAGTCCAAGGAGGGAATGCATACAGTTGCAACTTCAAACATGAGGCTAAGTGTTGCCAGTATATATGGTTTCCAAGAGTTTTCCGCAGAAAATTCGAGAGCAGAAGCAGCCTTTGTCATAGATGATGTGATGCTAATAATGGTACTCGTTGCAGCTTGAGCGCTACTTGTGTTGAGAGCACTAAATTTAAAGATAGCGTCTTTGAGCAAGGACTTGCACGCGTTAAGAAACGGCCTTGCTAAAATCCACATTGAAGAGTCACTCAGAGAACCTTCAATGTAAACTGGGAAGATGATCCGGAGCATTATTGAACTGAGATATGTCTGGCTGTGTTCAGATTCGAGGAAATCGTCCATAGCCGTCAAAAGTTGTCTTGTTAGGTACTCTTGCTGGTTGTCGATGGCAGCCCGTTCCGACACATTCTGAACAAACATGATTAATTGTTTGATTCCCTTTGTGTCATTAAGCTTCTGTTCATAGCTTTTTAGCCTGCCAACAAGATAGGTTGGGTCCTTCGATGGTAAGGGGAAGGCTGCAGAGTCGGTGAAGTACTTGTCCACTGGGCAAATATCACCTGTGTACTGCTGCATGAACTCAATCATGGTCTGTACAAATGTTACGTATGATCCAATGATCGATTCGCCTTGCCTTAGATCCTCGTAATTTCTTCTCATCTGAAGCATGACCTGACTGAGCAGAGACGAGTACTCAGCACGCAGTCCTCGTATTGATCCGGGTTCTGACTGCAATTTCCGCTGGTACTCATCACGCATATTCGATAACACGCTAGATAGTAGAGCCAGTCGCCGTTCACGTAGCTCTACCGAAGAGATTGCATACGCGTCGCTAGTTGAAACTCGGGTAAATGGTAAGTTTTTGAGCAGAGGACTGTCAGAAAAGACGTTGAGGAGATCGGCTGTGAGTAAGTGCTGAAACTTGAGTTGAACCTCTCGATCAACCAAAGAGCACATCCAGGTTGTTAAAAATCGCTCATGATGCTGCCTAATTGCAGATGGATCGTGTTTCAGTAGACAGGATAGAAAGTAAGGTGAATATTTGCGACGTTGGCATGTATCCCGTAGCTGCGACCACGAATGTCTCCCATAATCGCCAAGGAAAGTTTCAAGCGTCGCGCGTTTTCTTCGTACCATAATAATCCCAAGTCGGGCCCATTGCTCTACCATCTTGGTCAAGAGTTCCTCATCAGGCACTACTTCAGATCCAAAGATATTGGAAAGCAGTGTGCTTGCTTGTTCAAGCAGATAATCAAGAATCTGCTCTGCTGGACTTTTACCAAGGGGAACATCATCTTCTTCTGGCCATTCGCCGTAGTCTTGACTTTCCTGATCTGTGGTTTGGCTCGTTGATGCAAGATTCTGACGGTCTGTAAGATCCATGAATGCTTCGAACATGGCCAGCAACTCTAGGAAGAACTTGTTTATTTTTTTACTCTTGGCATCGAACATGCCGAGCACGATTGGTATATTCGAATCGCGGAGTAACGACCATGCTGCAGGCACGTTCACAGCAGATTTCAAAGCCACTCTCATTCCAGCTATTGCTTCAGTCAAGGCCGAAATAATGCCATTTTGATTGCGCGAGATCATCATGTCCAGACTTTCAGCAGACATGATTTTGTTGCCCCTTATTCTCTCCGTCTCGTATTGAGCCTCAAGTTCGGACCTAGCATGGCGATAAGTCAAGACATTTTGCTCAAGCACATCTCTAAGCCACTTTGAAAAAGGACCGACATTCTGTACAGGCTCGTCCGTGGAGAGTTGAAAACTTGCAAGATTCGACCAACTCTTGATGTTGATGCGACAAGCTTCTAAATGTGACGTAGAATGGTCCACCAAGTTCTGAATGAGGTCAATGCGTGGACGATATCCAACTGGAGAGGCCCAGTACAAAGTGGCCAGAAGGTCGTGTTGGTTTCGAAGTGCGTCGAGATCCTCTGTCCGCAGTTCTTTGTCTTTGTCAAGTGTTCGATTGTGATTTGGAATCCATCGCCACAATATGCTACGTAACTTGGTGTCGACATACACTCTACGCATGTTTTGCAGTCCTACAGCCGTAATCTTAAGGAAAATGTGGAAAGACTTTTCGTCCTCGTTAGCATTCAACAAAGGTGCCCTTGCAAGTTGCTCCAGGAATGGAGCTGAGCCAAGCCGGTCTTCTCTCACAAGCGACATGTATTCGCGCTTCGCAAAGAAGTCGAAGATGACCCCAAGAATGCTTTCACATCTCCTCCAAGCCCAAGCTTGAATTAAATCATGACAGCGCAGAAATAAGACCCGTACGTAATCATTAATCGTAGTTCCTGGTAACGATGTCGAAGCATGGTACAATGCGAGAGTTCTTGACAGCAACTTTTTCACGCCATCCCAATTGTCGTACGCAATCTGGAAGCGGCGTCCGGGTCTATGTATGCCGTCTATGTCGATCTCGAACGTTGGCAAGAGCATAAATATGCTAAGCCATCCCACTTCCAGAGACCCGGTGTAAACTGTCAAATCTACAGATTCAAGCACCTTCGTGTTGAAAACTTTCCAAAAGGCCAATTCAGGAATATCGATAGCTTCAAATGTATGGACGAGAACGACCAGTGCCTCGATCGAAGCTTCCTCGTCTCTGATGCCCGATTCTCTGTAGAAATGTCGTTGATTTTTCTCATAGAAAGCTCGGATTTCCTCCAGACCACGTTCTTGGAGATAAGAAATGATGGTTCCTCCTTGACGCTGCAATAAGTTGAGGAAGCGGCGTTTCTCTTCTGAAGAAATCTCGGCATCCCTCACAATTATCAGTATTTGGGCAGTGACTATACAGAGGCGTACAATAAATCGAAGCAGAGCCCGAGAATAGCTGTTATTTTTCGAGATAAAGTGCTCCTCCATGAGCATCTGCAACTCTTCGAGCTCGTTTAAGTAAGCATATCCGCAGGCGGAACGATCGACAGGGTCAGTAAATGAGAGCCATTCGCTATTTGCAATGAGTAAACCCTCAATACTTCGAATAGAGGCATCAAACCCGGTCAAACTCAGGTCCTGCGGAGTGTGTTGAGAAACAGACTGCAGCTCAGTAGTTAAAGAAGCTTTAGTCTCTTCGAAAATCGTGCGCACGTTCCTGGAAAGCTCTTCATTCCAGGAGCCCCAATAGAAGTGTTTACCAGCGAGAATAACTTTATGAGACTCGAAGCGATCATTCGAATTATGTAGGCGACAGCTCAGTGCCTTCTTGAAATTACCGCTGCCAATGAAGGTGGAGGCGTGGAAGTAAGTGCCAGAAGGAAGAGGAAGAACATCGAAATTGCGTCCATATGGCATACCCCAAGGATTCAGATCGTGCAATACTTCTCTGCCGCATTTCGCTATCTGATGGCTGGGCGACCGGCGGGGGACAGGGAGGACATATTCATCTGGCTGTCGATATGCAGCAGTATCAATATCGAGTCGATTTGGATTCATTTTGCGTAATCTCCTATGTCGGACAGGACGCGGTTGAGAGGAAGAACGAGCAGTAAGGCCACTATCTGCCAATGGCTCAGCACTGTCCTGGGCTCGTCTTGCAAGCTTTGATTCCAACTCGGCCAACGTTCGGGGGAGTAGTTGAAGAGCTGGCTTTTCGGCAGAACTGTAGGCCCGATCTTTTTGGTAGACATTGCGCTGAAATCGTAACCGATCCTGTACAAGAGTCATAGTATGTTCCTCAGCTTCTAGTTGGCCAGTATGGATATGTGGAGGCTTTTGTCTGACGGGACGCTTCGAAATTTGAATTTGACGCTTGTTTTTTTTTTGACCCGTTTCCTTCTGTGTAGGGAGTCCATCCATCGATTCACTCAGGACTTCAGATTTTCGAACGGTCCTCGAAATTGGAATGAAAGGACTCGCTTCTGTTAGCGATAAACTTTTGATAGAGTTCGGATCTCGTTCAGTAAGAGGCGGTCGTTTACGTAAAGACGTTGATAGAGAATGCGTTCTTTGCTTGAGCCTACCAGACAGCCAATCTGAAAGAACTGATTGTGCATCGCATGTATCCTCTCGAGTTTGAAGCCGGATGAGCTTCTTGACAGGCCTCTCTCTGGCCTGATCAGGATACTTCTTGGCTTGACGGCGAGCGATTTTTAGAAACGTAGGGATGTTTGCTGCCGTCTCCGTACTGGATGGTATCACGTCGAGAACGCTGAGTTTCGGCGGCTTGAAACGTGTAGTTGATTTGGTTCGCTTTTTAATTACTTTTCTGCTTGCTGACTGCATGCCGCTGCGCTTTGAAGCTTGATCAAAAGCATCTAGAAGGCTAATTTGGCGACTTCGGATAGTTCCCAGCTTCTTCCTCTTCCTGTGAGGTTCTGAGACCAACATAAAGTCGATGGTATTCTCCTCCATGTCATCGCTTGGGTCATCATTCGGAAAAAAAGACGATAACTCAGGATGGGGTGTGGTCGTAGACTTCTGATAACGTTCCTCAAGCTGTCTCGGTCTGGGCGTAATTATTTCGTCTTCCAACTCATCGTCTGCAGATACCTCCAGCGTATCTCTTGCTGAGCGACTGAAGTTTGATGGCTTGAGTCTTCTTCGTGCCAAGCCTGGTTGCTGAGCTGAAGAGCGAAAGTCTTGCTGGCGACGCTTCCCTGGTCTGCGAGTAGGCATTTTCTCTTGTGCCTTCACATCCAGCTTCAGCCAGGATGCCGGAAGAACACCTTTGATTCGCTGTCGTATTACTTTAAGCTCTCCATTCTCCATTTCCGTTTCAGATGGCATGTCGGAACTCCTAGATGATACGTCGCTGCAGCTTTGTTCCTCTTCAGAGTCTGATTTTGCTCCTGACATATTACCTATATGTGTTGCAGCCGAGATATGAGGAGCTGGGCTAGTCTCTATACTGGCATCATCACGACTCCCACGTCGCACCACCGCTTGGCTGGGTGAAGCTATTGGCGTGGGTGGCTTCAGCTCAGAGAAGCCTACTGGAAGGCGAAAACCGCCACGTCCTACAGCGTATAATAGTTCTTGTGACGCTTCAGAAAGAGACCTTGTGGATAGAGGGGTTTCAACATCTGGAGAATGCACAAACATTGTATGCCGATTTTCTACCGATGATGCGCGAGTTTGGGCACTCGCATCTTGACCCTTCATATCACTTGTTTCACTCTGCAGTTTTCGTCTCTTCCGGCCATTATACGTAGCTGGTGGTTGACTCTTTTGTTTGAGAATCTCGTCAAGCGCAGGCAACGGGCTATGTCGACGCCTTTGAGAATTAGACGTTGTTTTATGCACTTCAGCTTGTCGTCGGCGTTGTTGCGTAGGACCAGGGCGAATTTCGCTGGATCGAAGACGGGTCTGAGGTAGACATGGCGGTGGAGAGCTTCGAAAAGTAGACTGCGAGTCTTCCTCGCTGTCGCTTTGACTGGCATCAACTTGCTGATACGCTTGCCGTGCGAGTGACGGTTGTCTGACTCTCGTAGGTCGAATGCCTCTTTCTTGCATGTCCTTTACATATTGCCCATCCAAGATCAAGTAAGGATGCATCTGGATCGCAGTCCTTCGACGAAAATTCCTCTGCGGTCCAGCCCATTGACTGCGGCATGAGTCAGATCTTGTTGAGTCGCCCTCTTGTATCCCCGAGAGAATATCAGAGTTGTTGAAACTAGGCGAGTGTGGTAATGAGCTGGGCGAGCCGCCAGATCCTTCATGAGTGTGAAGTGTGAAGTCTTGAATTCGTCCGCCACAAATGATGTCCTCGGCGTCGGGCAACACAGAACTGAGAGGAGAAGATTCAGAATCATCCTCCCTGATGTACGTTCGCTGGCTATTTGAGACATCGCCGGTCTTGTCAAGTGAAAAAAGGTTTTCGACGTGTTCGATTGGTTGGAATCCATCCTCTGAGTTGTTAATCCCGTGCTTTTCATCGCCATCTCCTACACCACTCAACTCTGGCCGCGATGTCTGACTATTGTTACTCGCACATAGCAACTCCCTTCGGACGCTCGAAGGACTCGTCTGTCCATTTCTATCGACCAAGACACCAAAGTCGAACTGGCGCGGTCTTTCCTGCTCTTGACTCTCTACACTTCCGTCATCTTCATCATCTGAGTCCAGTACAAACCCGCGGCTCCGCCATGACTTCATCACGATTTTGTGTCATGTCCTGTAGATATGCGATTGAAATCCATATGTTTGGTGGTGGTGACTTTGAGCTTACCGAGAATCATGCAAGTCGCGACGCGTCAAATCAGAAGCTCGATGATGACGCGTATCACGTGCTACCAACCTAGTAATCATCCTAAGCTATCTTTGAGAAAATCCAGTGAAGCAAATTCATCGATCCATCTTTAATCAAACATTCGCTTATTCATCATGGCATCTCGAAGCCTTCTTCCGCTTGCTTTGGTTACAGTCTGTGGGATCGCCACCAGTACGTGTCTCCTGATTCTTTGACCAAAAATCTTATGCGCTTATAATGCGAATAGGTTATTACACTTTTGGTCCAATACTACAAAATCAGCAAGCAGAACGAGACAGGAGAGAGCTCCAGTCGAGAAAGTATGTGCTTCTTCATCTTCAATTGCCCATCTAATAAAATGAACAGTATGCAGTCTCAGACAATCAACGTAGCTGAACAATCAGTGCTACATAAGAACATCTTGCCTCAGGAATCAACCCAGAAACCATTGAATTCCTCATCAAATACACATTCCGATTCAGCTTGAAAGCCTGCGAACACTTTCGACCAGTTTTGTTGCGGAAAGTAACGCTTCATTTCACTGGATCGTCGAATTTCTTCTTTATTTCCTAGATTCGTTGTTCAGATTTGCTACCTCTCAACAACAAAAAGGTGATCATTTGGGCATATGTCTCATCGTAACACACGCTCGGCATGATACACATTTCCGTTGCTCCTATTCTATGCCTTAACCATCTCGCCGACAATATACGGAATAGCAGCATATGGCTGAAGGCGATTTATTTTAACCTCCTTCCATCCATCTGGACCTGCAACCTTTCTTAATATTCCTTCCGTGTCTCGATCTAAACAACAACCTCCCAGCCAAAAGCTCCACCCTGCCAACATGTATATTCGCTGCATGATAGCACCAAAGACATCCCCGCCATTTGGCCACGTCTGTTGGACATGTTCGCAAAGCAAAAGACGCCCACCTGGTTTGAGCAAACGATAGAGACAAGCTGCGGTCTCCTCTTGACTAGGGACTCCACAAAGCGCTCTTAAGGACACGATTGTATCGAAGACATCTTCTCCACCTTGGCTACTTATGTCTAGAAGACCATCCTTTGCCAAAGCAGGAATGAGACTTTGCGGTTCTGCACCAGCGGCAAGAATTTTGTATTTGTCACCAAGCAAGTTGCTGTCTGCTGCGCGTTTGAGCTCCGCGTGCATGTCAATGGCTGGTTCTGCAGCATAAATGGTTTTGATTTTAGATGGGGTGAAGAGGTGAAGCTGAGTACCCGTGCCGGGGCCGATATCTAGAACGACCCCGCTTGCGGTCGCAACCAATTCAACAGTGCCTCCTGGCATTTCTTCGGACATGGCTTGTCCATACCCCGCCCATAATTTGGCGAATGCTTTATGACGAAATTTTCCAAAATCTGTGAGGAACAGAAAGGGAGACTTTATCAATGTGTCAAGAAAGACTGTATGCTATCAGTGGATGAATTGCGACGCAAGTGTGGCTAATTTCGTGTTTGATTTCTGTAGACATCATTTAGTTGGTGTAGAGAGTTCCACTTACAGTAGATTCCAATAAATATAAGTGATCCAGGCCGGAAGTATGAAGCTATCCGGGTCTGTAAATCCGGTGCTTGAACATGATCATAGATCGACCTGGAGGACATGTTCAATTCGAAATATTGATTAGATAGAGATATTTATAAATGCGAACGCGAATGAGAAGAAAGCTAGGAACGTAGGTTTGATATACTGCTAGAAGGATTCACTAAGGGCAAAAAGAGCCGCGTGATCTTGAGAATCGCGGTATGAAAGTGGAGAACCGGAGAAAAGCGGCGGATTCTGACTGGTTCTGAGTCCATTGCATAGGCTGAAGAGCTATACATAGCAGCTGAGAATGGATTACAGTCACCACAACGTACAGAACGTCTTGTCAGGATCAGTTTTCATTACTCGTCCAACGATCTTGCCTGGAATGATCGCATTGGTACCCTCGGTAAGTTTACTATCGAAATGTTCAAGTCATACTTTCCATCAACCAAGTCTACAACTATGCATACTTCGGCCCTACCCAGACATTATTCGTGCGCAACGCTGGCCGCAGTAGGGCACATGTCCATGAATTATGTCTCAGTCGTGCATTTAGCAACGGTTTCTGTTATCTGTTGAATATGGTTATCCTGTGCGTTTGTGAAGCATGACATCATTTTCAGCTTGAACAGAAATGCCACGAAACGCTTGCAGTATCTGATGGTCAAATGTCGTGCCTCCGCAAGTATTCCTCGCAATAAGGCGTTTAAACATGTATCGTGCATCATCTTTAATTCAGGAAAACTTAACTATCGTAAATGCTCTCAGATGAGGGCTTGCTGTCTTCGGGTCACTGAGTGTTTGCTGGAAATTGCCGCAGACCACTGTCGCCCACGTGAGGTCTGCTTGTTCAACAGGGATGAATTATTCCAAAATATTGCTTTCAATTCCTCATTCAGGGAGACTATGGTCCATGTCAACATGCTTGTATTTTGACTACACAACTGCGAGATTCAGGACCTTCAACGGAGGATGAAAAAAAGCTACAGGTAGAGCTGATACTGACATTGGACTAACGGTGAGTCTGAATCGCTGCTTGATTATATATGCTACCTTCGGAGAAAGTACGAAAGTGTCTTTCGAAAGTAGTTTTAAGCATAGAATCCGCCTCTTTTGTCTTGTGCAATTCTGATTACTGCGCAAAAGAACTCGAGAAATATAAGTGGTGAGAGAGTTTCTACTATGGCGTCTACAAGAGTCATCTCATTTATTCCGATTAATTTCTCAAGTGCTGTGTCATTGAATTAATTGTACCTATAGTAAGACCTTTACAGTTACCGTGTGCTTGGTTGAGGGTAGAATTCGAGTCGACCACATTAAAAGCTGTGCTTTCATGTCACATTTTTTCAAGGATGCAACTTCTACTCAATCTTTTTTGAGATACTCGTCATCCAAAAGGTTGTTCGAGGCATATGATTGTCCTGTCTAGATTTTTGATAACTCGTTCCGTAGTTTCTATCGAACAGCTGCCAAGTATACATCAATCTTCGCACCCGCCACCCTGTTTCTCCATCCCGGAAACCGAGCCCATACAGTAAGATCGATAATCTGACCTCTCTTCAGCTCAAGGATCCAAGTTTTGATTTCATCATCCTCGTCAAATATACTCCAGGTCCTGACATATCGTCTCCATCTTCCCTCGGCGTGCAAGTTTTTGTAAATGAGTCGTCCCGTTGGAGGCTGAGGCAGCGTCGCTCTGCGCTGCTCCTCTGATGAGAGGGCATCCATACTTGAACGTAGCAAGTCTTGGTAAACCAATTGTCCAGGCTCGCGCACGACAGCCTCAAACCAAGTCCAGCTTCCACGCTCTGTGCCATGATCATCGCGATAGTCTGACCATCCTTGATCTTGACTTTCTACGGTGAAAACAACCTTGCGCACGGGATGTTGCCCAACAAGCGCAACTCCATCTTCATCGCCGGGGCATTGCCCAATTGGAAGTGTTGACAGGTACGTGACACCGGGTACAATGTACTCAGTCCTCCATGTAAGCACGCGCAGATCTGAGACCTCCATGGGCTGTCGCACTTTCACAGTACTTCGAAGCCAGTATTCCGCATAGTCGAGAATGCGGGGTATCAGTTCTGGTGGAAGCCTTTGTTGGAGTAAGAATGCGACGTGATAAATGTCCCGTCTGGATGGATTCGGCAGCACGTCGTCGAGAGACGACGCATTTGTTCCCATTTTCGAAACTTCAACGAGAAGCTCTCGTTGCTTTCGTAAGAACCAGATGGTAAATAAAACCCCAAGAAACCACCCGAGTATATTTTTTAGCATCAGAAGGATGTGTTCGTGCCAGCATCAGCCAGGTCGATGTGGAAGAATCTCTGTCAGGTGCCGTTGCGGTGCGTACAAGTCGCTTAGGGCATGAACGTATGACGCGAAAGATTCTCGCCTAGACTTGGGTATAGGGCTGACGGATTAATATGTTTTGACGATTTTCACATCGTGCAACTCGTTCTCCAAGTGAAGTTAGAGAAGAAGGTGCGTTGTGAGGTCATCAAAACAAGAAATGCCGGTCCCCGAACATCTGCATGAATGCTGAGTGACGCTGAAAGGCGAAACAAGCCACAACTTGAAACATTGCAATAAGGCTCTTTTTTTTTATTTTCTATTCAATACGTGATAACAAAGTGTCATGATCTTGTCTCGGCCATGTCCTTTAAATGCTTTTCGAAGCATTACAGGTCGTGTAAAAACTAGTCAACTTTGACAGCACTCTCTAAGTGATGCATATTGTTGAACAACACTATAAGCACATGAGCCCATCTTCTGATAATACTTGAACGGAACCTAATTCTACAGTATTCTGTTTGAGATGTTTCTGCCTAAACCTACACTTGCAGCAGGTGCGGAAGTTGACGGCCTCTCGGCTATCAGGTCTCTTCGCACAGTTGTTGCATCCTGCGAGCTGCTTGCTCCTTTGCTGGGCCGTCGACCTCCGCTCTTCCATAGTGGCATCTCGCCAGGCTCGGCTTTACCTATACCTCGAAGCCGCCACGTTTTCGGAGGCTTCACGCCCAGCTCTGCCAACTGAGACCATATCCTCTCACCCCTCCTCTCCCATCTTTCCCGTCTTCTTTCTTGTTCCTCTGGTTTCGGTCGCCATTTGCTTTTTAGAATGCGACGAATAGCCTCTGGTGAGACTTTGAAGTGTTCCGCGAGTATCGGTGTCGAAAATCGCTCTGGATCTGAGGCGTGCATCACTCGGATGCCTTCAATGGTGTCGGGTGATAATCTCTTTCGCGGATTCCATCTTTCATTGCCAAACTTCTTCTTCAGAGCGGCCTTTTGTATTTGCCATGGCTCGCGTTTGCGTTCTGGAACGCCAGCCCCAGAGTCGGTGGTAGACGCATTCGAACCTTTTTTAGGTGCAGGACTTTCCGAAGGCGCCTTATTATCAGTTACAGGCTTCTCTGATGTAGTTGCCGCCGATGACAGTGTTTTGGCACTCTGTTCGTTGCTCAGAAGCACTGACTTGCTCGTGAAGCTTCGACAGCGTGGTAAGGTGTAGATTTGCCATCGATGCAGGCTGAGCGCTGTCGATGATCTTTTTGCGCTATGTACGGTAGCGGAAACGTCCCATCGACGCAAAAAACATTGCATTTGGCAATGATGTATTCTGGATGATAGAAATAATGGTAATGTACACATGTGAAATATCGGAATGCCCTGGAAATAATCGCTACACCTAAAGGGTAAAAAAGCCGTGGCCAATAAGAGCTTCAGAATACTCTCCCGACAGATTACTCTCGGCATTCATCACGTACAGCTTTGTCTGGGATGTTCGGATACCGTTGGAAAGGATGCGAGACATGATCTGTAGCTCCTCATATATGTCTCATCTTCCTACTATGGAGTTACTTTGAGCTGACCTGTGTTCAAGCTTTCTTAACACTGCACGTTTCTTAATTAACCTTCCATATTTGACGACGCTAAATTTGAGTCTCATGATCAAGTTTTCTACCGCTTAGTCGCATTATATATCGATTCTGTTCTTTACTTGGAAGTGAGATCTGTACCGTCGCCACATTGCACCCGGCCGAAATGATTGCGCCCAAAATATCAAAGGGTATGAGCCCAGTGAAGTTAACGTACGTTTCGGTAAATTAAGCATATGCGGAGGAAACTGACGAATGCAGGGTGTGGGACTATACGTTCGAACTCACGGATGAGCATCCGACGCCAGAGGTGATGAATCCCATGAAGTTCACCTACGATAAATTGGGGGAGGACTGCTATAGACGTTTGAATGACATTTCGCCACCAAATAATGGAGTGCTTCCACGACTAAGCTCAAGTCAATCTACTCAAAATAACAACAAAGGGGAACACAAGCCTCACCGAGATTTGTACCAAATTCTCAAAGACAACCGTGAATCGGATCCTGTCCTGGGTGAATTTTGGAGGCAGGTCAGCACCGTACCAGACTGGGTCGATTGGGATCAAATCGCTCGCGGCCAGGATGTGTTCTATCGATATGGAGCCGCAAATTTGACCGGCCTCACCTACCAAAGTTTGCTGGGTGGTATGGGAGCTGGAAGAGTTGTAGAAACTCTTGCACGGACAGGCGGCTTCAATACCAAAGTAGCCCGACGTCGACTGTTTGAGACAACACAGCATATCCTGCAGGTCACCAAATCACTCGAAGCAATCCAGCCTCTTGGTGAAGGCTGGGCCTCCACTATTCGAGTCCGCCTCCTACACTCGGCCGTCCGAGAACGTATCATGAAGCTAGCTAGTCAACGACCATCATATTACAATGTCGAGAAATTCGGCATCCCGATCAATGATCTCGACTCCATTGGCACTATTGGTACTTTCAGCGCATCCTTAGTGTGGATATCTTTACCGCGGCAGGGAATATATCTACGTGAGCAAGAGATCAAAGACTATTTTGCACTATGGCGATATGTCGCCTATGTCATCGGAACACCTGATGAAGTATTCGCTGACCAAGCTGTCACGCGACGGTGGATGCACTCACTTCTTCTTTATGAGGTTCAACCAACGGATATGAGTGGTGTCCTTGCTGGCAACATAATAAAATGCCTGCAAGGTATCCCACCGCTTTATACCTCAAAGGAAATGCTCACTGCATCCGCACGCTGGCTCAATGGAGACACACTTTGTGATAAGCTCGGTCTTGAGCGTCCATCGAAATATTATACCTTCCTTATGGCAGGTCAGTGCGTGTTTTATATGTTCTTGGCCTACTCCAATCGCCTTTCCCGGGATTGGGATCAGAAGCATATTGCATTCTTGAGGAAGGCTTTTTGGGCTATGATTGTGGAACACAAGAATGGGTTGGAAGGCAAGCAAACGGTCTTTGACATGAAATATATTCCCGATTTCAATACTTTGACGGACGGTAACGAAAGCGATGAACTCAAGACTCACACCGGTGAAATTGAGAGACGCAACTTGAGATGGATGCTCATGGCAATCGGAGGGATGCTTGGTATTTCACTTGTTAGCGCTAAGATCATAAGTGTTGCCTTTAAATCTTTGTCTTCTTAAGCAGAACATATCCTGTACTTTTAGAATGTAATACCTTTTACATTTTCGAGCGATTTTGAAGTTTTTACAATAAACTATGGCAGTAACATTATCCTTTAGGCCAAGCCTTTGGTTCATCGACTTCTCCATTCTATAGTACTGCAGTGTATTCCTGTAAAGCTCGTGGAAGTATGCCACCCAGACTGATCAAACGCAGTGGGAAAATTTCTGGTAGTTTGATCCTCAAGTATATTCACTGCTTGTCATTTAAATGCTAAGCTCTCGCAGCTTCAAGCTCTGTTGAACTTGAGAGTGCGCATTCTAAGATTCAGAGGTGGAATAGGTGTTAACATCGGTCCACGCGCTGAGATACCAAGTTTGCCCAGCTGTTGCGCTAGCGAGAATCCAAGCACAAACGCCCGTTGCTACAATACCTCAATGAAGAGAGAAATCATGCAAAAACATCGATTTGAAATTACAATTACGCTAGATCCAGAACACTCAACCTGGACTTGTGCTTCCAATTCTTGATATGATGCATGCTACTCGATTTCAAACACGTCAAAGAGGAATTGTGGGCTTATGACTTCGGAGCATCTTGTGGGTGAAATTTAAAGGAGGCTAAGATAGTGATGCAAAAATTGGAACCGACTTCGCGAAGCACGTTCTCGTGTGACGTATTTCAGACCACAAGTCTGGACTTGGAGTTCGCCTAAAACAAAGCTTTGCATGCCAACTTACGGCGTCGAACAATAACTGGGTGAAAGCGTCTACGAGCTTAGCTTCTTAGCAGGCAAGTGCCCGAGGCGCTATTACTTGTTTGCCAGGCGAGTCAACGGCTTTGACGAGATAGTTGAAAAGTTTGATGACAGACCGGGACGTTTGACGCTAACTGCGGCGACGTATCAAGACTGCATGCAGAGAAGGTCAGCGACGAAATTACAAGCAGGACCAGCAGAGCCTGGAAACTTGGTATGTAGCAAAGTAGACCGCATCCTACGTCGATTTTGCTGGTCGCCAAGTTTTTGTCCTTCTGAATCCTGGTCAAAGCCGGCATGCAAAGACTCAGGCATTGGAGACAGACTGTGGCATCTCTGACCCGAAGCGCACAGTATACTGCTGTACGTGTAACACCGAAGGGGACCGATCTAGACTTGGAGTTTCGGAGACAACAACTCGCCCCTTGACGTAGCAATCGTGGCTGCGCTTGATGATCTGGTGGCTGAGGAGCGTGGCGCTCAAAACCTGGTTGTTGAGGTGGTCGATCGATGCAGATGCAAAGCTGGAGATTGCTCGATGTGCCTGAGGTCGGCTAGCTTGTGACAGCCAGCATGCTTTCAGGCTCGGGCCGATTAGGAAACAGGAATCCGGATTGGCAGGTGGGAAATTGAGCTTGTTCCCAAGCGGAATGGCGACGTTGGTTGGAGCAGAGTTTTCCGCGTAAATTACCTGTTCTCGATCGTCGTGTGAAGTTGGCCAAGCCGCTAGCAAGCCTTTTGGTCCAAGGCCTGTGCGCCGATGTCGTCACTCTGGGGTCGTCGCTCTCATCATGGCGTCTTTAGCTTCGCTCGTCTTCTCTGCTCGCGTCCTCAGGATAAATATCCAAGTCGGCTCCTTGTTGAGTGCATCTACCATCCGCTTCATACTTGTCGCATTTGCTGCTCACATCTTGGAAACTCTGCCTTCCATCGCTCATCTCGTTCTGTGACCTTTGAGACAACATGGGATTCGGGTACGTGCATGATTCATCCAGGTTTCCTCTACTTTCGTCTTGCGTATTGACTGACTTTTACGCAGCGGCGCCGCGCTCAAACTCGTCCAGACGATTCTATACGCCATAGCATTTTGCTGCTCGGCCATAATCCTTGGTTTTTGTGCGTCTGATCCCTTTGCTTCAAATCGAATCAACGACGGAGGCTAACTGCGACTAGACTCGTACTTCCTTGCAGTTCAGTCCGATCGCAATGTTCATATTCCCCAGTGGCAGAAGGCTGTTGAGGGTATGTCCGGCATAGGAGTTGTGTACACAATCTTCGCTGTGGTAAGTTCCAGTTGTCAAACTCGAAAAGAAACAACATGTAACATTTCATAGGTCCTCACATGCTGCCTTGGCGGAGTTGCATTCTTCGCATTCCTCGCGATCGTGTTGGATGTGCTTCTCTGCGCTGCTTTCATCGCTATCGCTGTGCTCCTTCGCGATGGAGCCGATAAGTGTTCTGGAACCGTCCACACTCCTCTCGGAACCGGGCCTGCCAACACGAAAGGTTCCTTCGGCCAAAACGGCTTTGGTACTGGTAGCGGCGAGAATGTGACATACGCAGTTAGTCTTCATACTGCGTGTATTTACAACAAGGCTTGCTTCGCCGTCGCCATTATCGGCGCATTTGTCTTCGCCATTTCTGCTTTCATGCAGGTCTGGCTCGGTCGTCATCACCGCAAAGAGAAGAAGTTCGGTCCAGGTCCAAACAACAACTACACTGCTGGTTCTGGTAGCCGATGGTTCAGCCGCAAGCGCGGCCCAAAGACTACCCACGATGCATATGCCAAGGATGCTGAAGCCGCGGGTGCCCTAGGTGTTCCACCTGCTGATATTCGCCCGTCGCAAGAGACTGGCTACACTGGCACAACAGCCGGAATGGCTACTGACACATATACCGGCAACAAGTATGAGCCACATCAGACCCATGTTCCACAAGCCCAGATTCCTACAACCGGTGGCTACCACACTGCACCTACAGGCACTGGAGTGAACCCATACGGCTATGAGAACAAGACTGCAGGAACCAACTTTTAAAGCATCCACATGTTACGACGCGACATGAGCAGAAATTGAGAAAATTGAGAAAAGAACGGTAAAGGTCGTGGTGTCTAACATTTAATGAGATACAATTAGCGAGTATCTTGTGGACAATTGTTGATTTGCAGGCACCTGAAAAGTGCCAACGTTCAAGTGCATGTTTTTTATTAGACTTAATAACCATAATAATCCTAATAATCCTAATATTCCAATGAGTATAATGTTTCGTCGAGAACCAATAGAAATCTGTTGGCTCTTCAGAGTTGGGCTATGTCATGTGTTCTATGACGTATGAAATCTTCGGTTGCCAAGTTATATGCATGAGCGGGAAGCAAACATGGGCCAGCCAGCCTGGTTGATGCAGATACATCAGTTACGCCTGTATCTCGTCATACGGATGTTTCTTGTTCCTGAAAGATCTTCCGCTAGCCTGGCTCCTATCTGAGATCTGGCACTCCGCTTGTAACGTTGAACTTCTCGGCGGTTTTGATTCCGGAAACGAACATTGAGCTTGAAACCACCACTATAATTCAGCTACTAGTCTCACCATTACGATTGCAAAACCCAGCATTAGATACACGATGGTACACTTGTCTACACCCGGACGTGATCTCGGTTATTTTAGCACTCGCGAGGTGCGACCACCACTCAAACCCACCACTAGCACATCCCGCGTGATACAGTTTCCTAAAAACCATTATGAACGCCCACCAAATATAGCAGGCGGATTTAAGCTATTGCATTTGTCTCACAAAGCTCCCGGTGTGCGTGCCAACCTGGTCGGTAGTGACATAACGGCGACTGACTTCAACATAACCATTGAAACTTGGGATCATTCCGTTTTGTACGAAGCGGAGGCACAATGGATCGAGCACAAGTTCGGTAGCAAGGAGTGTTTTTTTGGGCAGTTTGATACTAGAGATGTGGAAGAATACCCTGGGGCGGGGCGCGAAGAGGGAAGACAAGAATGGAGTAAACGATGTCGGTTTCCAGACGTGTTCAAAGGAAACGAAGAACCGGAGGTTGTATGCTGGTTGAATAGACTTGACATCGAGACGGGCTGGGATCGTAACTTTCGAATCAGCGCTTACGCGACGGGCATTCGGAGAGATAGCGCAGCGTTCCATCTGGATACTTGGGGCGATTGCGTGCTCAACGGTGCTGCGCTTTGCTGGATCGCCTTCCCGAAAGGAAAGAAAAAGGTTGATTGTGGCAGTTTTTCGACCAACGACGTGCGTCCGTGGCATGATGCTAGAAGCAAGAACAGCGCACGAATCGACTTCAAAAAGGGCTGGTTCGATAATCCACCGACTGTATTGGTGTCTTTGAACATGTTTGACATGGCTGGCAACTCAGATCTCAGGATACGGGTTGACGCGACTGACGTCGACAAGGATGGCTTCACATGGCATCTGGATACTTGGGACGATTCAACGTTATATGCTGCGAGCGCATCTTGGATTGCTCTTGGTTTCGAATAATAGTGCTTTTTTCAGATCCTCCAAATCTCAGCGGCAACCATGTTCAGTGCAACGATGCGCACATGCAGTTGCAGTCAAGTTCTGGACACGTTTTATGTCTGGCAAACCAATCTCTTGCATGATGTCCGTGAAATGTGTGCCCACATGTCGAGCACCTAACGGCCTGTCTTGCAATGCTATCCTCTTCTTCTAATTTCTTCGATGTGGCAGAGTTTAAACGCCGAGGATCCGGACTAGCGAGTGGCAACGAGCATATTCCACACACTGGCATTTTGTGACCACAGTACGCGCATATCTGACCATTTTTGGCCAAAACTCCATGTGTGTACTCTCGAGTTGAAGCGCTAGAAGTGACGACTGACCCATCTGGAGCGTTTTGCATGGTGCGCTGTGCGAGTGGATTTAGACAGTGTGGACAGCGTAGGGTAGCTGGGCGTTCATCGACTGTACCAAACAGGCGGCCATCGTGGGTCTTGGAAGTTTGAGCGTGAGCCTCGAGATATTTCGTGCGTTCATGGAATGCACGCCATGTTTGCATCTGTAGCTTGTATGTCTCTTTCCACATGTCAAAGCGGAAATCGTCGAGGTATAGCGGACACGTGAAGGACATTGCTAGCACGGCTGTTTGCAAATCATTAAACTTGCGTATATAGTTGGAGAAGAGCGTTATGGACTGATCTGAGAGACCAGTCAAGACAAGTCCTTCGATGTTGCCAATGAGCATAGCTTCCTTAGTACGGATTTTGATGAATTCGTCGAGCCGTTTATCATCAAGGTATTTAAGTGCGACACCCACACGGTCAGAGAGAGCAAGTTGTGGCATATCTGCAACGATTTTCCAATCACCTTTGATAAAGTAGTTCAAAAGAGCCTTGAGATAGGGATCGTCCGTTTCTTCTGCCATCCATTCGCAAAGTTCTCGCTGCTCGCTGTTGACGCTTTCGCAAGCAATAACAGCACCCAGTCCAATGTTCGAAAGTGCTTTCTGTTGTATCGCAGAGCGTAGCAATTCTTGAGCGAGATCCTTGAAGCCCCTCATAACAGCAATAACTACGGCTTTGTAGTATTCTTTATTGTCCATCAATCGTTCACAGAATACTCGTTGGCGTTCTTTGGAAAAAGTCCAACCGCACATCGCAAGACAGAGTTGTCTGTGAGCAGGATATTTCGTTTTATGACCTTGAAATGACGGATAATCCTTGTCGTTCACGATTGATGTTACCGCGCTGATGAATCGGGCTTCTCCAAGCGGTGAGCCATCGATATTCCTGTTGCGACTCATACCTAGAGTGTTGTTCCAAATCGAGTAGATGCCGAGATAGCTCAAATCTAGACCAGCAGCAGTCATGCCTTTGTCTTTTGCCAAGTCATCAAAGCGTTTGATAGTGTCCCACATATCTACAAGCCATGGATCGTTTGATACAATCTCCTTGTTTTTTTGCGGATTGAGCTGATAGCCTTCGAAACACCTCCTTCTTTGCGTCCTGAGAATATCTAAAGCATCTCCGATCTTTGGTACATATTCAGGGAACCACATCATCAGATGTTGTTCATGCTTGTCACCGCTTGAAGCTAAGAGTGGGGTTTCGTAGCTTGGTGGTGCCTTATGACCAAAGTTCTCCATGCTCAACTTGCCCAAGCGGTCTTCGGTCTTCAGTTTCGCTTGTTCTGTGCTTCGAACAACATTTTCAGAGTTCTTTGCTTCTTCTTGGAGTGAAGCCAGATCGACGGCCACAGGATTGCCGCCTAAGATCCTCGGATGAGAGGGTTGTAGGAGGAAATTATCAATATATAACTCGTCTTTTGCAGTGAAGCACAACTTCCGTGGAACATTTGGCACTTTCATGAGCTCAACATCTCGATTGGGGCGCAGAGCCAAGATGCCGATATCATCAGATAATATACCAGCAGACACAAAATCGTAACCAATGACGCGAGAATGCTCGCCCCTACCATTCTCTGCGTCATACCACGGATATGTGAGGTGATGAATACGCTTTATGTAATCTTTAGAAGCCCAGAAGTTGCCCCCGAAGTTGTTGATCGGAGTGTTGAGAGTTGTTGTTGCGCTGTGTCTCGATGTTTCGACGACTTTAAATTCACCGGTGCTTGATAATACACCAAAACAGCCCCGCTTGGTGCCTGAATATCTTAGTGCCCATATATTTGCATTATTGCTATTCTCAACTGCGGGTTTCATTTCCAACACAGCACCTGCTGGTCCAGATTCTGAAGATGGCGTCGAAGGAGAGGATTTTGAGGCCATGCGTCGATCCCATACACTGACAATTGGTTCTCCGGCAGGACCAGCAGAGATGAAGTAATTTTCATCCAATGGATCTATAGCGAGATTATGGACTTGGCGAGTGGTAAAAAAATGCGCCCCAGATGAATTGTTGTCTGACAAACGGTGAGTCTCACTTGATATCCAAAATTCACGTGATTCCTACCTCTTATGTCGAACAACCTGATGCATTGTCGTGTAACACCACAGACCAACGTGTCTGGCTGATTGACAAAGAACTTAATGCTGGAGATAGGTTCTGAAGAAGCGAGCTTTCGGAATGGCTCTGTCGATCGAAGACCGGCCGAATTATTTCCCTGTAGATCATAGATATTCATGCAATGATCGTTACGCACCCTATCCAAGCCAGTAGCAAGGAAATCTTTGGTACTGAAGGCTATCGAGTTGCATTTCCGTGGATACCGAATAGGAAATGACACTCTTGCATCATCATGTCGGTCAGGGTCGATGCGTACCAGATTCGCCTCACCTGACTGTGCACCTAAAGCGACGAGATACGGCTGAGTTTTGGACCAGTCGAAAGCAGTATAATTCGGCAGCCTGTCACGTTTGGAAAGCTTTTTGTAAGTTACGATCTTAGAGGTCAATCCCTCGATTTGGCAAAGCTGGAGGCGGTTCGCTTGGACATCCACGATCAAAAACTGTTGCCGATCGGGACAGGAGTGCGGTGACCATCTTATAGCAGCTTCCATCGTTTGACGGTTGATTTAAGTGGCACAGAGCTACTTTTCAACTTGGCTTTATCTCATGCCCGCTTGTGGTGGCTGGGTCCTCCTAGTGTGACGGGGCATTAGAGGCGATTTGTGTTTTGCCTTTAGACCTGATTCTTTGTTATGTCTTCGAATTGAAAGAAACACGAAAGAATGAAAAATAACAAGTACGGAGTTTGGATTGTGTGGATATTGTGTCCATTGCGAGTTCGCGATAGCATGACCTTGGCGAGTCAGTTGATGCCAAGACATCTCGAATCTCGATTCCTTTTCTTGTCAAGCACAGCGTCGACTCCAACGTACAAGTCTTGCAGCAGGAGCAACAACCAATATGTCGCGCATTGACGGCTCAAGCACAAACGATTACAATCGAGGAGAGCCCTTCCGTGTGGATAAATATGCAAGATTCAAAGCTAAAAAGCGCGATGCAGGACGAGACGAACGGAGGAAGAATGGCAAAAGCCGTGCCAAAGCAGCGAACACAGGAATAACCCCTTTGAAACGTCGTATACGCAGTTTGAGCCGCCTATTAAGCAACAACCCAAAAATACCCGCAGACGTGAAGATCTCTCATGAACGAGAGATCCAGTCATTGCAGCATGAGCTAGTGAATGTGCTACTGGACAAAGAGAAGCATGAGATGATTGGCAAATATCACAAGGTGCGCTTCTTCGAACGACAAAGGGCTACTCGGCGCCTTAAAAAGGCGATGAAGGCGCTGGAAGCATGTGAAGATGCCAAAGATCGTCCAGAGCTCGAAAGAAAGGTACACATTGCTCAAGTCGATGTGAATTACCCACAATATTACCCTTATATGAAGGTATATCAGTCACTATGGAAGCGTGAAACGACTGAGGACGGAGAAGAGCAATATACAGCAAATAACGAGCAAGAAGACGGGGCAAAGGGAAACATTGAAGTGTGGCGACAAGTTGAGAAGGCCATGGAAGATGGCACATTAGAGGGCCTGAAAGACATTGTTGAAGAGAGCAAGATTGCAAAGATTCGGAACACTGTCGTGTCCTTTGGATATACGTCGAAGGGTAGTGCGAAGTCCAAGGACAATAAAAACGAGACTTGCGATGGTGATGAACAAGACGAAACAGGTGCCGGATTTTTCGAATGAGCGAGAAGGGAACATCACGATCAGGTAAATTTCAGGATCCCGAAGTCACACATTCAAGCTAGCGAAAGCCAAGGTGCCATATGATTGAATTGGGAAGAACAATTTTGCGCGGCCTTAGTGATAGAGCAAGCTGGTGCGCATTAGTCCTCCTTCTAACATGACAGCATGGCCAACTGTGCACAACATAGCATGTCAGTTGAAGATATCCAGGTGACTTAAAGACAACGTTGGGGAAGGATCGGCGGTCAAGGCAGCTCAACTCTATCAACACGGCCGAAGTCCTTATTATGGATGTCGAGGTGCTTGTTCGCGTCCTGTTCGTTTATTCATGATCGAGGCAGGAGGTCCTTATTCGGCCTACTCGCTCTCTGATTGCCAGCAATAGCACCAGTTAACCTCCGTGGTTGTTTGGTAGACATAACTGAGAATGCGAATGCGTTACCTATAACCTGACCTCAGCCTTTGGCGTCTAGGTGAAAATGAATCGAAAGTTGCGGCTCTCATCGGGTAGCGATTGCTCTCAAACTCAAGTCAATCACCTGATCATGGGGCCTGCTGCAGTCACTCTCAACCACTTCGATGTCGTCAGTTGGCAAAATTTCATCCTTCGCTCTTTCTTCATTCCGCCGCTCTCAACAGGCTGTCAAAATTACACGAAACGATCGGTCTTTGCTGCTTGAAAGGAACAATACACGTCCCTCTGCGTTTGTCAATTAGAAGGATGTTCATCTCATTCTTCATCTCTCTGCCAGCTGCTCTTTTGCAGTCGGTCATCGCATCGTGTTTGTGCTCTGGTGCCTCCTTTGCCTCTCATGCTGTTCAAGCTACCAAGCGTCAGACTGCACCAGGGCAGGACGCCAAGTACATCGGATGGTGCGTCGAGCATGACGATGGTGCCATCTGCTACGAGGTCCCTATGCGCAATGGCGACTGCCAAAACATGGACTATTTCGAGCACGAGAAATTCACGATTCAGAATCCCCCAGATAATGCAACCCACTGCGACGTATGGTTTCAGGACAACTGTATCGGTGGTAGTTGGGGCTGCACTGGCGTTTGCTACCTAGATAATTTCAACACGTTTGGCCAAGTCATGTCTGCACGTTGTCAATGGTCTATCGGACAACAAGACTCGGCTAAAGTCAACCATTTTTCAGAACGGGCTGAGTACATGACTCAGGATACAAAAAGCTTCACCTTTTGTGATGGCCCAACCGACCACAATTGTTTCTCTATCGAACTTGAACAAAGGATGTGCACAGTTCTAACTAGCTTAGCGCACGGCAAACTTACACGTCTGATAATGCCTGATGGTCAAGATCACTGCAGCATGTACCTGGATGATGGATGCCATGGCATTAGCTGGGGCTGTGATAGCTCAATCGATCGGAACTGCTTATTCGATGACATAACCGGCGAGGTGTTGTCGGTCTCATGCTCCTGGACTGCTAGTTGAAGTAACAGCTTTGTCATGCCGAAACTTGAATATCTGCTTTTCCAGAAGGCGTCAAAGTCTGAACATCTCACTGTCTGATGCTTGTCAGTCAAGTCAAGAATTACACTGGTGGAGGGTACGGCATTATGTGGAAATAGAGCAATGAGACATGCTTGCAGAGGAACCAGACTGAGAAGATTGCTGTTCGGAGGGCGGGCAATTTGCCTGCTTCTGAAGCTTTCAAAACTCAGAGAAGTGAAGATGCAGTAGTTTTAGGTGATACAGGTAGCTCACTTTCTGGTCCTGTACTCGAGAATTTGTACTTCAATTTCAATTTAAAGTGAGCGATGTCCTCCGGATGCCTTCTGATAATATTCCTGCATGCCTCCCAGGAGCCCGCAGCACCCGACGCAAAGGATCTCTGCACCTTCCTTATCATCTTCTAATTATGGATCGCGCATACCGGGTGTCGAGGCGAGATTATCCTCGTTGCGAAGACGAAAATCGCATTTTGAACGGCCAAGACCAACAATCAACGCAGCTTTCCTGCCGAATCATAGCTTGGCCAGCAATTTTATGGACCTTCACATACTTTCGGCCAGTATTCGCTGTTTCTGACTCTGAATTCAGCCAATCGAAGCAGAGTCCGCATTCACTTGGCTCACGAACACATCATAAGAGCCTTCTACGACCACACTTAGCGCATAGTGGATCTGGCAACAGTGGATGACAATTGTGAATAGCGATGAACCAACAACATGCTGAACGCAAGGCAGATTGTATACATCCGCCACCTAGCCAAGACCCAGCATCCATTAAACGCAGATACCGAGCTGCAGAAGGCACAAAGAACCATCCAATACGAAATACAAGCTTTGTTGCTCCATTACCGCCGAGATTCCACAGTAATTCGATGGATCACAAGGGAAGCAACGCGAACAGAGTGCCTCCGCCATGGTCGACAGTCGCAAATCCTCCGTGGTCAACTTCAACTCGTCCGCTTTCTGATATCCGAGAGCTTACAGAGCCGTCATTAGTTGAGCTAACAAATCGGAACCGCGAAAGAGGCGGTCGGCCATCTTTCAGTAGACAAGGGTCCGTTACGCGTAGGAACTCTATCGGAAGTCGCAAAGGATCTCTTGGCAGGAATAATTCCTTCAGAGAATCAGTCAAAGATGGGAAACAAGGATCAACAGACATTGGTGATCTTGATATCAACGACCATCTTCCCTCAAGCGAGCGAACCGATGCATCAAGTGCGTACAGTTTGGCGCTGGATAATGTCCCGCCAAAAACATCATCTCGAACTGGACGACCACCTCAACGAGCTCCATCAATAATAAGAGAAAAGCAACCATCACTGCCGCCACCAGTGCCGCGAAATTTGGGGTATAGTATACCAAATCGGGGACGGTCGAACTCTCCAGTAAAAGATACATGTACTGGTTCTGATATTACCCGTAGACTGCTGTCGAGGACATTCGTACGCACCATGGAACCTAATATTGACGTTCTTGAGTTCCCCAAGCACCAGCATCCACGTGTCGCTATTGAGATCCATGCTGCTGCTTCGCTCTTCGTAGGAGGAGGGAGTGTCGAAGGACATGTGCGTTTTGTGGTCGATGATCTGGAGCGGGTCAGGCATCGAAGACAACTTGCCATATCTCGTATCTCCGTTGACCTTATTGGAGTCGAGGAGATGTCAAGTTCGAGACGAAATATATTTCTAAATCTTGCTACGGAGCTTATTGACTCCGACAATCCTCCTTCCCATAACATGGTCGAGTCCCTCAAGCAGATCTCACCCATTGACCCATTTTGGCTGCTTTCACCATCAGTATCACACCTACCTTTTATGATAAGCTTGCCTTTAGATGTTGGGCCACCACCGTTTCATTCAAAGAATGCTCGAATACGATATGTTTTGAGTGCCACCTCTCTCATTCGCGATCAAGGGAAGCAATATCTTGTAAGGTCATCGCAAGAGATTGCAGTATTGTCGGTCTATGATCGTGAGTTTTATTGTTGACTTACTTGGCCCTAGGTCCTTACTCACAACTTGTAGCTGAAAAGGCCTTGATGTCGCTGCCGAGCCCGCTAACGGCTTCTGACGAATATATTCGGCACCGAGATCATGGTATGGAAACAATTAAAGTAACTGCTGGTTTGCATCGACAAGTTTGGGTAAGCGGTACAAGTATTTTCGTTGACGTAGCTGTCATCAACAAAAGTAAGAAAGCCGTCAAGCGCATCGAGCTACAGCTTGAGCGTGATATTCTCTGTTACAAGCATGTTGCTGCCACCACCCTCGAGAAATCAGCTGGTCAATCCAGGATTTTTGACAGTAATGAACGAACCGTTCTCAGTAAGTCGACAATGAAGCAAGGTGTGGGGGGCTGGAATGGTGTTGCTGCCCATTCCTCAGACACTCGGACTTGGGATCTTGAGATCCCTCGTGGACACGCGACAGTTAGGTGTGGAAAGTATTTTGAGGTCCGCTACTTCCTCAATGTCATCGCCGGCACGTCTCACAGCAAAATCATCACGGTTCAATTACCAATAGTCCTCATTCACATGAATTCTTTGGACGTCATCCCGAACTCGGTGGCCCAAGTTGCGGCTGCGATCGAAGAGAAACGTTCAAGGCTCCATCACAAGAGAAGTGAAAGTATATATCCAGACGGTAGCGTCCCAAAAGCGATCCGAAGGGAGAAAAGTTCTGTTTCTCCGAACTCACCAACCAAACCAGGGCGTCGGCCATCTATTGCAGCCGGAAACTTAGGCAATGTCCAAGGCCGCGCTTTTGCTGCACCACGAAAGCAAAGTCTTGACAAAATGCGTAAGGAAGTTGAGATATTCGAAGAAGTTGAAAAAGAACAAGAAGAGCTGCCGAGAGGGAATATCTACAGTCCCCGCCTATGTGCAATAGCGGCTCAACACGAACCGACAATTTGCGGTAGCGAGGCATACAAATATCATACTCCCCCGTCTAATCGCAGAGGCAGAGTCTTAACGGACGACGCGGGAGAGGAGGTGACCAATGTTCGTTGTCGGCTACGCCGAATGCGTTCTACAGAGACATGTCAGAGTACTAGATCACAAATACGCCATGCTTGTGCAGAATCGCCTAGCTTACATAGGAAAAAATCCTTACGAAGTCAAACTTCGATGGTCGGATTCCGCGAGTTAGAGGAAGCACGAGATAAATTCAACGCGTGCGCCTCAGCAAGTGATAGTGCAGTCAAAGAGAGGGTAAGTAGATCTGAAGTTCGGAGCGCAACGAACACAAGAAACAAAATGAGAAGTCGTGAACGTTGGAAAGGGACTGCATGGTTCGGAGATAGGAGAGAGTCGAGGGAACGAGAGAGAGATGGGAGGCAGAAGATGATGGCTAATTGGATATGAAAATTGTGTCTGCTCAGTATTAAAATCATATGTTTCTCAGATAGCCTTCGAAGCGTTAGTTTGGGCTAGTAATACATCTTCAGGAAACTTCCCGTGATAAAATGTATGTGAGAATATTATCAATTTCTAGAGCAGGAGGCATTAGCATGGCATATATTATAAATCCCTTCTGATATATGCCAATAGCCAACAACCTTCTAGTATTTTAATACAATGGCTCTGCTCAGACTAGTTCCGTGCTGCCCAACCAGAGATTGGAGTATGATCTAGACAGTTTATGCATTAGCTAAGACCTTCCAAAGTCATGTCTTCGACGTACATCTACCATGAAAGTTAAAATACACGAATACAAGCCTGCATTTCCTGCGCAATATTTTGAAAGCATATAAGCTACCGGAATATGCTTGACGTCTCATGACCATTGGTTTTGCCCCTTTGGTACGTGTCAGAAAGCTCATTGTACAAAGCTTTAACACGAGCAATTTCAACATTCCACTTATTCCTCGCCACAGGATCTTCAACAGTGGCGACGACTTCAGCAACTGAACGTGCTGTGAAGAACTTGTTTACGCGATTGTATAGTGGCTTCGCGGCAAGGGCCTCTGGAGATTCTCCTGGAGACGGAACCTGATAGACTGATCGAAGGATGTCGATGTCGTATGGTATTCCAAACAAATCTCTGCTATCCTCGTATGTGAACAGATAGTAAAACTCATTGAATCCGCTCCATGTAATTCCACTTAGACAGAGGCTGCATGGCTCATGTGTTGCGAAAAAGATACAATCTTTCGTCTCAGGTCTTGTTTCTTTAGGACTCGCGAAAAAAGTTTGAATGCAATTGATTTCGCCGTGGAGGAGAGGGGACGCGCGCTCGTTATTAGTTGCGACCGTGACGGGCTCAAGCGTGGACCTGGATAGAATGGCCGCACCAAAAAGCTTGCATCCTGAAGCAACCTGAGTGCGAGTGAGAGGTACGATGGACGATTCAGTAACAGAAAGGAGTCGCGATACAAGAACCTCCGGAGGATGTGGAATCGTCATGTCGGCGAACTTTCTTTCCCTGGCCGCACGCTGATCAAGAACTATTGCAATCTGCGACTTAAAAGCTGACGCACTCTGTTGATTCATATAAAAGGCTGTGGATCAAGTTATCACGAGCACTTTAACTTCGTGATCAAAGAGCCAAAGGTCTTGGTATTGAGCTCTCACTCGGATAGGAGGGCGGCGATCAGCGAATGCGTCACATGTACATCTGGAGCTCAAAGCCATTTCTTTTGAAAGCGTTCAAAGCAAAGCCCGGGAATGCTTGCTCTGCCTTAGTGTGCAAAACCGCGGTTCTCATCATCTTTAACCCTCTGAAGACTTCCACTTTTTCTGCAAAGACATATCCATGTAGCCAAAAAGCTATTAACATCTGCACAGCTATACAGCTCGACTGGTGATCACCGTTCAGACGTCTTGTTATCATACAAGATTCGCCAAGTAAAAAGCTTGACGAGACAAAATTGAAAATTGAGCCGACAAGATAAGACAGCAGCGATTGACATTAACACAGCCAGATGCGCGATTCGCCGAATTCCGATCGCGGTACATTTGATCAAAGTAGACTCCCAAATTAACGACCGTCTTCTGCACAACGCGGGTCGAGACCAAGGTCTACCGGCCATATCCTCCCCCTCCACCTCTTGTGGCGCAAATCACCCTTGTGCGCGTCGAATGGGGGGGTGGGAATATTTCACGCAGATTCGGCAAATGAAAATAATCAATTGGTAGCCGAAGATGGTTGCACACCACATCTGCCTGATCGCTGGATATCGTCCCGTGCTTATCATAGAACACATCCTCTAGGAATTCAGCAAGCAAGCCAATCATCTGAACGGGCTATGCCGATTAAAAACTTTGCCAAAATGATTTAACGTGTGGGCGCAGCGATTCTGGACATAAGAAGCTCGAACTTTGCTATGATGTGACGGCAAATCTGAGATCTTTTAGGACTTCGTCCGCGTTCACAACTTAAAGCCGAAAATCTCAAGGCAGGTGCATCATCAAAAATGACCGAACCCGATGTTATTGGTCCTGATCATCATCCGAAGAACTTTGCGTATTATGCAAGGTCCATCAGACGACAGTTTTTTACGAAGGATGGCCTTGTTGGCGATTATGATTATGCCTATCTTTTCAAACCAAATCTGCCATTCATGGGATCCAAGAATGTCACACCCCCATTTTTTGGACTGAATGACAAAATGCCGACGCTGCTTGCTGCCCTCCTTGGACTCCAACATACGCTGGCAATGCTTGCGGGCGTCATCACACCTGCGCTGATCTTGTCCGGTGCTGGAGGTGTAAACCTGACGCCTGACGTTCAACAATACCTCGTCTCGACTAGTTTAATCGTATGCGGAATTCTCAGCGCTATCCAAATAACAAGATTTCACATTCTTAAGACGCCGTATGTTATTCTGGATTTGACTGCAAGCGCTCTAACACTTGGTATTTTGGCTCTAATCAATTTCTACAGATACTACGTTGGAACAGGCCTTATCTCCGTCGTAGGTACATCGTTTGCCATAATTCCTGTGGCATCCGGGGCTTTCTCGCAAATGTACTCCAATGGCTACTGTCCTGTCGATGCCAACGGTAACCAAGGCCCCTGTCCCAAGGCTTATGGAGCCCTTATAGGGACAGCTGCTCTGTGCTCTCTCGTTGAAATCGCGCTCTCGTTTTTGCCTCCAAAGGTGTTACAAAAAATATTTCCACCTATCGTCACGGGACCAACAGTGCTATTGATTGGGGTGGATCTTATTGGAGCTTCTGGTTTCAAGAATTGGGCAGGTGGTTCAGGTCTCTGCGCCGAAAGTAACCCCCCAGATTTTTTTGCAAAATGCCCAGATATTACTGCACCTCACGCATTGCCTTGGGGATCTGCTGAGTTTATTGGTATTGCACTTTCTTCTTTGACGTTATGACGTTTGCTGATCTAATTTTCAAAGGTTTGGGTTTTTCAGTTTTCGTCACTATTCTTCTGCTAGAGAGGTTCGGATCCCCCATCATGAAGTCTGCCAGCGTCATTGGAGGTCTGCTTGTTGGTTGCATTATTGCTGCTGCCTGCGGCTATTTTGATAATTCTGGTATCAAAAGTGCTCCTGCTGCATCCTTCGTCTGGGTACACTCATTTCCTCTCAGCATTTATGGACCTCTGGTTCTACCGACCATGATTTTGTATGTCATCTGCGCTTGTGAAGCAATTGGTGATATAACTGCGACTTGTGACGGTATGTTAACAGTTCTTGTTCTAGAGTCTCCATTAACTTGGTCTAGTTTCGAATCTCGAAGTAGAAGGCGAACTCTTTGAATCTCGTGTTCAAGGTGGTATCCTTGCAGATGGTCTCAATGGTCTCTTGGCTGCGTTGATGACCATTACTCCAATGTCCACATTCGCCCAGAACAACGGCGTTATCGCGTTAACGCGATGTGCAAACCGTAAGGCTGGCTACTTTTGCTGGTGGGTCACAGAGAAGCAAATCGTCTATCACACATTAATTTTGAGGCAGTTTCTTCCTTGTCGTCATGGGGATTTTCTCGAAATTTGCGGCTGCGCTGGTTGCTATCCCAAGCCCAGTTCTTGGTGGAATGACGAGTGAGTAGAGTCCCAAGATTGTCCAGCGAAGTACGCTGACTTCGGTAGCATTTCTTTTCTGTGCTGTCGCTGTTGCTGGCATGGCAATTATCGCTCGTACTCCATTCAATCGACGAAATCGCTTTATTCTAACTGCAGCGCTTTCTGTTGGATTTGGTGCAATCTTGGTGCCTAACTGGTTCTCCTACGTCTTTACATATAAGGGTAACAACCGAGCTTTGATGGGCTTCTTTGATGCGATCGTTCTCGTCATGGAAACTGGTTTTGCCGTCACAGCTCTTTTGGCTTTGCTATTAAACTTGACTATTGGGGAAGAAATTGAACAAGATGCTATTCAGCTTGAAGGCCGCGGTCATCCCGCGGAGGTTGAACAGCGCAAAGATACGGAAGACGGAATCGTACATGATGAGAAAACTGATGCTGACAACAAAACCAAAATCAACTAAGACCAGATTTGATCCTAAAATCTTCTTCGAGTTTGTAAATGAGTTATAAAAATGGCACCGTTATCATAGTTTTTTGGTTCCTGAACTCCGCATTTGTCATTTTTTTTTAAATACTTTGAAGAGTTTAACAGACTTTCTCGTCCAATGTCTGCCCCGCTTGTACCCGGTTAATTATCCACTAGGTTGCTGACAATCGTCGTAATCGTCATCGAGTCCGTTATCATGTGGGCTGCAGCGTTATTGATACAGCTATCTTTTGGTTAGTCTAATGCAGTGAGTAACGTATTGCTGAAGTCCACTACTGATCGGGAAAGCTGAGCAATCATCAAAGTTATCGGCCACATGCTTTGAGAAACCCAAAAACGTTAACGTTTTCTTTTTTATTTAATTGGAGGGCAACAGTGAGCTTAAACCAAGTACATTCTTGCGAATGGCGGTAAAGTCAAGCTCTAACAGAACATTCTCCTCGAATCCCTACTATAAAGATTGGCTCTCGTTCCTAAGCAGCATCCATTGAATTGTTGGCTGGGACGCCAAAATTCTTTCAGGAAAACACAAAATATAGTAACTTTGAAGATACGTCGAGTAGGATGCAAGGGCGTCATTTGTGATACGCGCGGGTCTCCACTTAGTGTAAATAAACAAACACACATCATTCGTCATTTTCCGCCCTCACCTCTGCGCACAGAACATTGCTTCTTACTACTCTAATATTACAAAGCCAGGGCTTTGAAGTTCTGCACGTCATTCGCTTGCAGGTCGACTTCATTGCAAGAAAGGTTTTGCATCGCCTTGACGGCGCTCTGCGTGAGCACACTTGGATTGCTTTCGAGTACTCTGCCGCACAAATGCCATTTACTCGGCGGCAAACTCGACTGGCTTCGGCCAGTACACCTGCTCCTACAGTTAGTCTTGCTAGGGAGGGCTAGTCAATGCTTAGAGTCTCATTCTAACTATGACCACAGAGTCCCATAACACAAGATGGAACATGTGTAGGCACGCCTGTGAAAACGCCACGAACGACGAGCGCTGGCTTACTTTCACACTCGGTCACTCACCGCCAACCAAGGACGCCTAAAGATAAATCACCAATTAAGCCTGATGATCCAGAAATGCATCCACAGAAGGAGCATCGTACCTCAACGACACCATACGACGAGGCACGCTGGCTTGGCTTCTTTAACATGGGATCTCAGACTGCTCCAGCAGCAAAGACCGCCTCATTTACCGCTGCGCTGACATCCCCAACCCCGAACAAGATGGCACGTACAGACGCCGCGGTTGCTCCACTCATCGGTAATGCGATCTCATCTTCAGATTTCAAATTTACACTACGCCGAGCTCCGTCTGTAGAGTTAAGTGAAGAGGCTCAAAAGATTATGGCTGAGAGTCGAGAAGAGGCAGCAAAGATTCGAGCACAGCTTGCAGCAATGCCGACTGTACCTGATACAGAGCCTGATCAAGGTGCTGGATTAACACCTGGGCGGAAGATTGCAAAGCCCAAAGCAAAGCTGGGCCGTTTCAGTGGCGTCCATATGGCTGTATTCGAGAAGATGGACTCGATTGCCAATCATGCCTCAGCATGGAGAGCCGACCCAAACCGAAACAAGGTTGCCACAGCTGCTGTGAAACTTTCGCCATCAAAGATTGAGATTGAAAAACCGAACGCCCCGCGCAACCTAAAACGGTCACCTTCAAAGGCGCAGCTTGATAGCCCAGCTGCATCTGCGAGCTCCCGAACGCCATTAAAAGTGGCAGTGGAAAAATCCGAGTCCAATCCGTTCCTCGCCAAGTCGCCATTGAAATTTGGCACAATATCTCCTGTCCCGACGCCAGAAGAAAGACAAGCTCCGTCAGCAAAGCGCGTCAAACACGTCGAGGGAGATGATGCTGGCACAACTCGTCCACAGCAGGAAAAACCTTCCCTGTCTATCTCACGCCAAAAATCCTCAAATATCGTACATTCCAAGTCTGGTTTGCTTCGCCCCGGCTTCTCTTCTGTTATGAGTCCAACCAAGTCCTCGATGGCAAGAATGCAAGCTTTCAAAGACATCAAATCGGCAACTCCGGTTCCAGCATTGGTACGCTCGAAGACTAGCTCCAATCTTCGTCAGGCTGCCCAGAACTGCACTTCAGCCATACCCAGGTCAAGGTCGATGAAAGACTTAAACATGGTGTCGACTCCTCGTGCAGCATCCCAACAGCTTCAAACCACAGTACCCTCTCCCACACCTGTCAAGACTGCCTTGCTCCCCTATCATAGTCCAGTTAAGGCTCCAGAGTTTTTGGCGAGTTCACCCATATCTTCCTTCTCGTCGAGGAGGATCAAGAGTATTTTGCGTACACCTACTCGCCGATACACTCGCGATCCAGTCAAGATTGCTGCGGGAACACATCTTGCAACCCCACCTCAGCTAAATACATTATACCCAAACGTGCCAGCAACTGAGCCCGTGATCAAGCGCGTTAATTTCACTGACAGTACCAAGTCAAAAATGGAGAGTGATACTGCAATAAATTCTGAATCTTCTGAGCCAGAAGCTGTCACTTACCCTGATCTGATGTCTCAGGACGGTAATCGTCGCATCACAATGTCAGAGATACCTAGTGACACCAGAAATTTCACATTTCGTTCCAACCAAGAGATCGCCTTTGGTTCGTCGAAAAGCAGCACTATTCGACAAGTTCGCTCAAGCGATGTCAGTATTCCTCCCGCATTTCAGTTTACTGGTGTTAGAGACTTGTCATCACCGTCGAAACGCAAACTCGACACCCTTGATGAGGCTAGCGAGGTTTCTGACAAGGAGAATCGTGAGCGGGACGAGGACCACCGCCCTATGAAAAAGGCACGCACGATTTCGGATACTAAATCTGCACCTGTCACGCCGGTGGCTGAAAAAAAGATGTTGAGGAGCAACATGTCACACTTGGGACGCACTGGTGGTAAGAGAACTGGTGGACTTAGTACTGCGCGACTCAACATGCTTGCTAAGCCAAAGCGACGTGCTTGAGATAGACACGTTCTTAGACTCTCAGGTGTTTTTCTAGATTGTGTCGATTTGAAAAGCATCATGATTGACGAGAATGTCTCCCACAGTTTCACATCCAGTGAGAAAATTTCCTTCACTCTCCACAAGACTGTATCATTAGTATGTATGATTATTACGGCAAACATGACAACAACGAATGCATGCACTGGGCGATTTTGAGCTGAATATGGAGGCTTCCGGTTCATGAGCATATGAAATGGGTTTTCCAACTGTGCGTGGTTTGTTGACATCTTGGCTCTGGGCTCATTGAGAAATGGGATTACATGGTGTGGCACAATTCTGATTATACCTCTACTAGTTGCGTCAAAGTAAGAGAATTCTAGTAATTGTGTCGGGAATACGCTTTTTCCATGTTCCATCGGATTTCTTTGCCCTTCATATGCGTGGTAAATATCATATAGCAGCCATACTTCATACTGTGAGTTGAGTGGTGACTCACTCGATCCTGCCTTCCTTTCTCTTCCTTCACTGTCCTCTAAGGCCTTTTAGCAGCCAAATCAGTTACAAGTTAAGACTCGGGGGGTGTATCAACAGCTCTAATATATTCCGGCTACTGGTAAAAGTTGACAATTGATGCTGATTTGCATTCCGGCACCGTGGGAATATCGGCGTTTAGCTCCTTCAGCCCATGGGTAAGTCTGAATGAGCTACATTTTCAATCTTGCCATTATTTTGTACCAACAATGAACAGGAGCCATGTTTGAGTCGGGAATACATGTTATCATTGCTATGACGTAGTTTAATTACGCCGGCAGTATTGCAGCTTTTTGCAATATGATTAATGCGCATCTGTATCCTTATCAATGAATTGTCGAAGTGCGATAGAAAACAAAACCTTTCTTAGCCCACCATCCTTAGTATCACGAGCCTAGACGAATTGGGAAGAGTTCGTACAGCCTAGAGTACGCATACGGGTAGTCATCCAATCGATTGATGAAGACCAAGGAGGAGACTATGTTGTTCACGTCGACAATTGTATGTACAGCCGAGAAACGACTACCGTAACTCGACGGAGCGTGGGCATGAAGATAGCTTGTTGACTTACCTCTTGGACTTGGTGAGATGAAATAGTAAGGCTGAAGTGATAGAATAAAACTAAATCACATAGCAGTGGAAATTCGCTCGGTTATCATGTACTTCGAATCCTTAAGCATGCCTCCTATGTACTTCACATCACGATGAATTTAGAAGTCGCATGCGGGACCTGTATGCGCCTAGCGTCCAAGTTTCGTGATGCTGTTAATGACAGGGGTGGAAAGGCTTTAAGGCTCCAAGGCTACAAACTTCGCACGCACAGGCCTCCACACAGCTTCGAATATTCAGGTGCGGACTTTTCGCGATTCCATTGAACTTTTGACTAAACGACAACGACATTTGGTGAAGAATAGACACAACTAGGTACGCCTGGATCTAGTCTAAGGGACATAAATTGATAATTGCTAACTTCTGCGATAGTCCTCTTCATCAATCGCAGTCATGGGGTAACGAAAGAATCACGCTTCCGTCCACCACCTTCTCTTCGCTGACATATTTTCACAATAGTATCTCTCGTGATTCTCGTCACAAGAGATCCGCTTCCGGTGCGAAGCGCGCATACTATCGTAAGAAGCGGTATGCATAACCCGAATGCTCTATGCGTTCGAGACTTTACTGACAATTTTTTGTCATAAAGTGCTTTCGAGAAGGGCAGGTCAGTATTTCGTCCACTCAAGTTCCAAATACCGGATGAGGTTTAACGATTTGCTCAGACAGCCAGCGAACACTCGTATCGGTGCCAAGCGTGTCCACCTTGTCCGCACTCGCGGCGGCAACCGCAAGTTCCGAGCTCTTCGTCTCGATACCGGCAACTTCTCATGGGGCTCCGAGGCCATTACCCGGAAGACCCGCGTAATCGGTGTCGTCTACCATCCATGTATGACATTTGACTATAAATCAGTGCATTCAATCCGCATCTGACAAAGGCTATAGCAAACAACGAGCTTGTCCGAACAAATACTCTGACCAAATCTGCCGTGGTCCAGATTGATGCTGCGCCATTCAGACAGTGGTATGAGGCTCATTACGGTACAACCATTGGCAGGAGACGACAGCAGAAGACTGCAGATTCGACGGAGGCCAAGAAGCTTAGCAAGAGCGCCGAAGCTAAGTACTCCGCCCGTCAAAAGACTGCCAAGGTCGAGCCTGCGGTTGAGAGACAATTCGAGGCTGGCCGTCTTTACGCGGTTGTTTCTTCGCGACCAGGACAGAGCGGTCGATGCGACGGTTACATTCTGGAGGGTGAAGAGCTGGCTTTCTACCAGCGTGCCATCAGGAAGTAGAAGTGTTGTTAGTGTCATTATCGGAGATCATGGTTACGGCGAATTGCATTTGCTGGGTCTTAACTTGTGCAAGACAGTTCGGCATACTGGGATAGGCGTAGAATGCGTCACAATGTCGAAAATGAGATGGAGCCATAGTACGCTCTGAATTGGAACAAAATGCGCATTCTGCTTGCACGATTACTTTCGATTTTCAATTCGTGAAACTTATACAAGTGCGAAGCTCTCATCATTTGACGCAGGTGAATATTGCGAACTGCGTTTCGCTTAGGCAAGCGCCATCCGCAATCAATACGATTGTCATGTAGATAATATATGCTGCCTTGGTTTCCCCCTTAATCCTCACCGACAAATTGCCGACTCGAGAACGGATAGAATAAGGCGCACGTCCCAACACGGCCAGCGAACTCACGAAGAATTCAAGCAAAGCCGTGCGAGAGTCTTGTTCTTAGATCTGTCGACGGGAAGATTGACATCATGGGAATGCAGATAGATGGCTCCATAGGATGCGTCGAATTGCACCACGAGCACTGCAACCACACCGAGGCGTGGGAGCGCTGTGGGCACAGATCTATGGTTATGAATGATGAGAAAGACTACGAGGTTGAAAAGGTTTTTTATTAACTTGGTAGCGCACGGACCACTTAGTCACGTGTTCCTGGGGCAGGGGAACTTCGTGGCAACTTGTTTTTGTTAGCCTCATCGCCGTTTCGGTTTGTTCTTGCATATCAACAATCTTTTCAGCCAATTCAAGGACGACTTCAATATGTCAACTCCTTTGATTAATGTTCTTCTAACCTCATTCCCTGGTCTGGGACTACCGCGTACTCTCAACATCCAAGTACCCGCTACGTCGACTGTCGCAGAAGTAGAGCATATTATCTCGAGACGGCTACCAGACAATGCGACAAATCTAAATCTAACCACGACCTCGAACAAGCTTCTTTCTTCATGTAGAGCAGATCTGATCACAAGTCTTCTAGATGAGGGGGGTCCCTTTCTCCCTCTGCGACTCTCCGCAAGTCTTTGCGGTGGGAAGGGTGGTTTCGGCTCCCAGTTACGTGCAGCAGGTGGTCGAATGTCTTCACGAAAGAAGCGTGGTCAAGGCGAACAAAACGGATCTGCACGCACTATTGATGGGCGTCGAATACGCACTGTGAATGAGGCGAAGGCTTTAGCAGAGTACTTGGCCATCAAGCCTGAAATGGACAAGCGCGAGCGAGAGGAGAGACGTAACAGGCTTGAGGAGATTGTGCGGAGCACAGAGGCGCGGAAAGCTGAAATACTCAACGGTAGCAAGGGCCGTATGGATGGAGAGTGGCTAGAGTCGAAGGAGGAGGCGGCCGAAAAGGCCAGGGAGGCTGTCTTGAAGGCGTTGCGGGAGGGTGATATAAAAGGTGTCTTTGGGGAGGAACAAAGAGAGAGCGATACTAGCGGGAGTGCTTCAGACGAAGGAGAAGGAAGTGAAAGTGAGCATGAAAAATTGGAGGGTTCAACGCAGGAGCGACTTGTAAAACCGGCACAAACGGCACCAAGGAGATATTTTGGATGGGACGAGGATGAGCTGAGTGACAGCGAGGAAGAAGAGGAAGAGATACAAGACAAGGGAGAGGTTGACGAAATGTCTCCCGAGACAATAGCCTCGAGATCGAAGGGGAAAGCCAAAGTCTGAAATCAGGGCTTCATACTATCCTAGTGCAGTTGTGCGCTCATGTTTCCAAGTGGCAGTCCTATCCCCACAGTCTTACATATTCATATCAAGCTCAAACCCAGTGCCAACGTCGGTGGAGAAAAGTCATGGCCTGTGCTATTTTAAGTGTGGCCAATTCTGTTGTTGGTAGCGACAATGACGATCTTTGAACACTCTTGCGACGTCGACGATTGCGCCACTGGATCACAAGTTCAAGCGCTGGATGACTTCCGTCACACGGGTAAGTCACAGCCGCACATACAGTACTCTGTCGAAATATGGCTATCGAGCAGGAACTGGCGAAGTCCATCACTTAACTCAGCTCTTTCGTACTCAGTACGGTATGGACAGTCTATAGCTGTGAATCTCTGGCCTTAGTGCCCAAGGAAAACTCTACAAGCTGACGTGGCGTGGTCCACCCTGCTATGAAATCTATCTGATCTTTGAGTGCAGATAGTTCAGCAGGTCGTTTCAAGGGTAAAACCAGGCTTTGCAAGACGCCGCACGACATCTGGTAGGAAAGTAGACGAAATACCCTCCAACTTCGCGCATCCCAGCTACATGAAGAGTTCGGCCACTTCGTGATGATGAATTTAGTGCTTCACCGTCCATCTCTGACATTTTTCTCCTGTTTACACGATTAATGGACGCAAAAAAAAAAAAAAAAGAGGCTATGCAATCTTAGATCAACGGTCCCAAATCTGAACGTCGTTACATAAATGATGTCGCTGATGGAGTTGCTCCTTTTTAGGCTTCACAGGTTGACCGTTGGTCAGGCAGAAACTCTGACGGAACTTCCCGCTTCTAAGTAATCTAACGGACAGTTTTTGTGGGACTCGCGCCACAAGGTACACAAGCGGCGAAGCAAGTCTTTCCCTCTGTAAGCTCCATGCGATCAACAATCGTGATACGGTAGGATGCATTACTTCTAGCGACCACATAGACAACGGCACTTGGGCAACTAGTGTGCGTGCCGGTTTCGACTCTAGTTTGAACCGATGAGGAGTGTTAGCCAAGTGTCTGCAAATTTGATCATAACCCGCAACACCGGCATGCGTGCCGTCCTGAGGTGGTGTGCCGCATGGGAAGCGCATATCCCTGTCAATTAGACGCTCGTGTCGCAGCACCTGCCAATGCCGAACCCAAGAAAAAAAAAACCTCTCAGTCTCGCGCAAAATTTGTGAGATAAACGCAGAAATGGGCCGCGAGATAGAAAATCTTCTCGCGGCTCGAGCCCCTTCGAGGAATCGGTAGGGCTGCAGTCCTTGGGCCTGCAAACTTGGCCCAGAAACCAAAAGGCTGCAAAGTGGAGGAGAGAAGGCAAATAAGGTGGCTCAGAAGCGAGGAGTATATACAAGCCGCCTCTCTCTAGCCATCGAAAAGCACTCCGTATGACTGGCGGAATTAATGTGAAAGTCTAGCCCTTGTTTTGGATTGAAGAGGCTCCCGACATGGGAATGAAACAATCGCTACCTTTTTTTGGATTTTCCGCTTTTGCAACAGCTTGATGCAACCAAAGAGAATTGGGGGGACGTCGAAAGGTTCGAAAGAAGATGTTTGTTATGTATGGGACATGGGATGCTTGTAGTGCGGGCACGCCTCTCGTTGTGTGCAAGCATGCCTCGGTATCCGCCGCTGCTTCCCGTGCTGCCCCTGTCTGAGGAGAGAAGCTTCTTTGATCGGCAGACCCTGTACGGAACCCCTGTGATCGCTTGGCGCCGTGCACGAAGACTCTGGGGAGCAAGACGCAAGCCGCTTCGCTTGCCAGCCAAGCGAAAATTTGATATGCCGCGGAGGTGTCCTCGTCTAGACAAATGCAAATGGTTGGTCTGTCTGATATGACTACAGATAAGTTTTCGAATCCTGGTGTGCGTCGTGGATTATGGAGGACGTCAATTCTATACGGTACAGCTTATACATTTTGATGTGGCTTTGGAGGGTCGACGTAAAGCCACGGCGATCTGTTCGTAGGATCTGGAGAATGAGAGATTCGCTCCTCCTCGCTAAGCGAGCTCTTCGCCGATTTCTCGCCCACGATCATGGGCACACTTCTCGTCTCTATCTCGACAGCTTTTGTTACGCTAATGCCCCCCAATTCGTAAGCTTTGCCGTGTCCGCCGTCCAGATTAGTGGTAGAAGACGTTGCAAGACCTGAGTGGTGGTGTGCGGAGAAACCCGTAGTTTTCCGACCGTAGGTACGTTGTCTTCGTGTCCATGACGAAGCGCCTGTGAGGGATAATGAGCCCAGGTAACGCTTGAAGAAAGTTTTGAGCGCCGGGGCAGAGCTGCAAATGATGGCGAGATGGGCTTCAATAACTGTCCAGATCCACGCATCCCATGCTACCCAAGTTACGTCGTATGTGGTGTAGTAAATCTTGTGGACGTAGTATAGACGAAGGCAACCAGTGATGCAGAGAAAGAAGCCCACGCTGAAGATGGCGGCCAAGGCAATTCTTTGACGCTTCGGAAGCTGAAGTTTCCAGAACAATGGAAGAGGTAGTCCACAAGCTAGGAAGTCTTGGACTATGCTGACTGCACAAGCCGATAGTATCATTGCGCCCTCGTTTATGCATTGATACGACTTGCCACGAGGATGGGTTGATGCCCATGTAAGATCAACTTGCAGCCAGTAGGCACTAATCGGGCGACATCCAAGGACGCCCGCCAAGCTGAAAGCAAACATATACGCAACGACAGAGGCGATGCTGATATATCCAATCGTACGGAATATGGAGCTGATTGCGCCGTCGGACATCCTTCGGTAGAAGAGCAGGATCGAGATTTTGGTCAAACACGTCGAGGCCATGTAGGTGACTTCCATCACCAAGGTGAGCTTGCGACTTTGTTGCGCCAACTCAGGAGTAAGGTCCCACGCATGACGATTGAAGCCGTAGAGGCGAGAGGCGAGAGCGGTCGAAAGAGCGAGACCGGCAGTCGGTATCATGGCAAGCACGATGACGATGTCATCGATTCCTGCTGTGCGCCTGATCATGAGCCGTGCCCATAATCGAGCGACGACGACGGCGAGAGCAAAGGTGAAAAGCACAACGCAGAGAATCACCAGACCCCAGCCGCGGGTTTGTGAAGGGTGCTCGGGATTCGCTATCTTTGCCCATTGTTGAAGCACCTCCGGTGGAGGATTTATTCCTGACGTGAATGATTCAGCATGAAACTTCCGTGAGGGGAGAATTAAGGTTCCATACCACCTCCCATGACTGTGTTACTTAAATTGAGACAATATAGATGGCCTTCAAGATGACATTGGCCATAAGGCCCTCAAAAGTCCTGTGGTTGTATAACACGGTGTGGTTTAGCTCCGGCGAGAGTGGTTGTCTTCCAGATATGACATGAGACAGTAGCGGCAGAAGTACAAAGTTTGCCAACAAAATATGTGTTTTAGTTGGGAGCTTCGACAACGTTCGGAGGAAGGAGAGTTTCCAGAAGGTACAGAGATCCCGACGATGTGGGAGAAGACAGTCATATTTTTGCGCGGTACAGTCCGCGGTTGGTATACTGAGTAATGCACCGGAAGCCTCAAACCGGGACCTGGGATTATTCTGGCCTGCTTGACGTTGGGGCTTACAAGTCTGTGGGTTTCGTACCTGAGCAGCGTCAGGACAGCCCTGCGCTAGTGCAAGATATTAGCGCGGTTGATGGGCCATTGTTTTGGTAAATGGCCATTGTGAGCGTTGTTAGGGGGGACCTCATACCAAGTGTTTGTGCAAGCCGCTACATGTCCTTGGGCGCAGGCGTTCTATGCCAATATCGGATGCCGATGCACGTCCTGCAAGGTCGGTTCTGGAATGCATGCGATGTGAAATTGTACGTGGTTAGCGATTGGGTTTGTGTCAAGACAATGCTGGCCAGGACGCGTTGATCTACACCTGCACACCCGGCCACTGTTCTATTCAAGCAAAGCGGGATCGCTGGGACCACGAGCTCGCAATCGGCACCGGCATATTGGGTTACGAACATTCTCCATTATTGGGGCGGATCGGCCGCGTCCTCACGAAAGCGTCTGCTGCATTCATCGCGCGAAGAATTCGCCCTGACTCGGGGCCGTGCTCCGCTTGGAACGTTCTGAACGTTGTGCTGCCTCACACCTTTTGAGAAGGTGGTTAACGAAATTTTGCTGCACGTTTCACGTGCGCGTACGCCAGCGTAAACGCTCAGCCATTCAGAATCCTCATTGCCACCTCCGAGCCGCGTCTCGGCGGGTGGGCGCGCGGGCTCGTCGGTTTTCGTGCTGGCTCGAACCAGCCCTGGGCGGCGTTCTTATTTACCTGTCACTGTCAAATGTCTCAAACGGCCTTTCGACCGAGCTGGTGATGCAAGGCACGCCACAGTGGGCCGACTGTTCGTTTACATTGTCCATCAATGCACATCAGAATCGTATGGCAGAACTCCTTATCCCTGGCGGATGGGTCGCGCTTCGCAGGAGCAGCTGTACCCAATCTGTGATGGTGCGTGTTGCGGATGAGGATCTCCCCCAAGTTCCCCCTGTCAACCGCATTTCTCTGGGTCAAGTTATCTCTCCACCGGCTTTGCTGACCACGCTAACTTAGTCCACGACGTCCACAACTTCCCCGATATCCCCCTCCCCCAGGTCTCTGATGGATCTTTACTGCTTACGTGCCGATGTGCATTTTCTCCTATACGTTGTGCGCTAGGCGATGATCCAAACGACATCATGTAGCCCACGAGCTGCATGCAGAATTCCACACAAAGCAATCCAAGCGATGCACGCGCTGTTCACATTTTTCTTGTCCTCGCTACACTTGAGGAAGTTGGATGCTAGCGAGGTGCTCAACCACTTGCAAAAGCCGCTCCGATTGAGATGCCAATGCCCCTGAGAAACGCGTATCACTCTTTGCATTCCGTCCTGATCCTTCCGTGGAAGGGTTTTTAAGTCCTTCCGCGGGGGTTGTATTTTGCGTAGCACGGTCAATTTCTGTAACCAACAAATGAATCAAGCCACGCCTACGGCATATCGCATCTGTTGAAGGGGCTTTGTCCCATAGTGAATCAATGCGTTTTTTCCTTCAACGCGGCGTGGCTTTGCTCGTCACTTCGAGATGTGCTTCTCGGCTCCACCAGTTCATGTGCACAATGATCTCGATGCGTGGGAAATGAATGAAGAATTACTGCGGTATGGTCCAAGTAGTGGCTGGCCACGATGTGCTCGCGACACTTGCCTCAACGGGTCTTTCCAAAAATAAGAACGGACGCTCGCGCTTTCCATTGGGGGAGAAATACGGAAATTCGAGTGCGCGTATGCTTGGGATACAGTTCTTCTATAAATCCTAGTCCCGAGTGCGCGAACGCGCAGTTCAAACCGGTTGAGTCTAACGACACTTGACATTGGCGTTCATGATCAAGAGGTCCTCTTAAAGCACAGCGTTGCAACACTTGACCCTTTCCTCCCGCCGAACGTAAAGCTCGGATATTCGATTCGGTCGCAGAGCTCAAAGGATCCGGCCACCGACGGCGTGTCATGAACGAACCAAGCCGTCAGTTCATCTTCAGTCCAATTGCAGCTTGTGATGACGAACAATCCGCCCGTCTTCAATAGGGGAAGCACTTTTTCGCAATACGTTTCACATATCCTGCGCCCGTCAGGCGTGGTTTCTGACGAGAGTGAGATGGCATCGAAAGTGCCCTTGTCGAGGACGACGTCGAACCCTGCGGCAGGAGCGTCTGACAAGGGAGTAGGGTTGAGGATGTCGTACTCGGCGAAGTAGACCGGCCGAGTCGACTTCCCCTCAGTGTCATCGTGTTCGTCTTCGGCATCGTCTTGGCCTTCGTTCTGCTCCGTCCGCGCCTTACCAATCTGCCTCGCCAACTGCACGCTTTTTGCGCTGTAGTCCACACCCAGCATCAGACCATCCCAACCAGCATCCCTCAGTGCGAACAAAAGATGGCCATTTCCCGTGCCGAGGTCGAGGAACGAAGTAGGCACGTTCGCGTGCTCGTTCCGCGCGTCCTTGAACAGAACACCGTCGTCCGCATAGCATTCTAGAAAATCGAGGACCTTCTCCTCGGCGCCGGAATCGGAAAACCAGACGGTGCCCTCGTCATCGGGCGAGGTCTTGTGGTTGTCAATTTCGCGGGAGTACGCATCCTCCCAGCTGTGGCCCTTCAAGTCTTAGCACGGCATCCAACACAGCGCTCAGGGCTGAAATTGGGAAGGGGAGACTGCGGACTATTGCTTTGTTCCCAACTCACTGGGCTCAAGATGCTTGGGTTGGACAGGCACCATGGTGTGAAAGTGTTCTAGCCGCTCTGGAATCCCACCCACGCGGATATGGTTGCGGGGCTGGGGCGCAGGCAGACAAAAGTGCTGTGGCCCCTTTTCGCGGATCGGCGGCGGACAGTGGTGTGTTGCCTTGGTAGGCTCAGTTTTCGCAAGCACAGCAGCCACGTGAGTTGGCGAAGTTTTCGCGCGAGCTGCGAAGCGTCAGGAGAGTGGTGAGATCGCTCGCTGGCCGCACAGCCGGATCGGGCCCTTCGTGCGGCGCGGGTTGGCGCAGGCCAATCACATTGCCGGCAGGCGCTGGCGGCAGCACGCGGAGCCAGCGAATGGGAGTCGTTGGCCCTCCACTCCGCCACGGCATTGGTCGACTCGCTGCTGAACATGGCGTGCCCGCCGGAACTCCGCGAATCAGCGCAGAACCACTCTCGAAATTCGAGAGCTGGACGATCTCCACGCTTCTCTCTGGCTGCAGGCGGCATGTGTCCGTCTGCTTCCTCTCTCTGCAAGCTGCGTTGCGCTGGCAGCCCAGCTGCACCCGTGACGATTGTGCAGCAAAACAACAGCTCACCGACATTCGTGAACAGCAACAACAACAACAATAACAACAACAGCAGCAATAACAAAACAACACCGCAGACCACCCTGCAGCTTCTCTCGTCTCAACCTACCGGCCACGACGTCTTCGTTCGTGCTGGAGAGCCTCTTGGACTGTCTTGTCGTCTTGGGGTATCCCAGCCTGTCACAATCAACAGGTTGCTGACCTCTGCCGCCCCTGTCCGTCGGCCCAAGCGTCTCGTGGGCGTTACGCAGGTGGCCAGATTGGAAAAACATATGCCAAAACTTTCCAGAGCACGCACCGTCGCTGCAAATCAATCATCGCCTGAAGATTCATCTCACTGTTCCCATTCGCTGTGCATAATCACACCTGACTGAGCATAATCGCTCCTTGGGCCGCCACGAGCATTGCTTTAAACCTGGAGGCCGGACCCTGAAGTTGCTTTTGCAAGTCCATCCTGGCGTCCTGTCAACAACCCATAACACACCACCAACCTCCTAGCAACCGCAACCTACTCACCTCGCTGACCCTTATGCCGGACGCCTCGACATCAGAGCCGGCTCGAGATTCCATTAGAAAGCGAAGTATTCTACCTTTGACCGACACCTGCTCGACTTGCGACACCTAGTCAGGACGTACAAACTTCGCCGGATCCAGTCGCCGTACCCATTGCAGACCGCCGTCGTCTGCTTTGGTGCGGATCACGTACCTTTTTGTAACAGATGGACGGTCATCAGGCACCCCCACCACCGCCTCCACCTCCTCATGGCACCAACCCCAAGTCGACGTCGCCCGGCGGCTCCGGCCTGCCTCCAGGCAACTATGACATCTTCATCATACCTCCCCATTCGGCCGGCTCCGGCTTCCTCTACCTGCCCTCTCTACGACCTCAATTGAATAGCTTCATCGCTGGCGCCGCCTCTGCACTGTTTGCCTGCTGGCTATGGTCCAAGCTCTCGCCAATGCTGAAAGCTTTCGTCAGCACTGTGAGCCAGAGCGGTGCTGGTTTTGGTATGTTGCTCGTACTAGGCATCGTAGCAATTGGTGCATTCTTCGCTGGATCGATTGGCCATCTACCTTCTGGAACCGGTCAATCACCAGGCGCACCGCCGAACGGCTTTTCTACGGGTGGTGCGCATGCAGGGCACACACCACCGCCCCCGAATGGATATCACAGCTCTGGACCAGCGCCAAATGGCTATCCTGGTGGAGCGCCAAATGGCCATGCTGGCACTGGTGGACAGCATTGGGGTTCTGGTCCTCAAGGAGCGTACACCCATGCCCAACACAATGATGCTGCGCCACCACCACAACCACAACCACCACCACCTCCTCCTCCTCCTCCTTCCTCTTCTCCACCCCCACCTCCACCTCCACGGACAGAGCCGTATGGAGCAAGATCCGAAGCTGATGGTTCCGAGAGGGCACATCCTCGGCCAAGAGCGTATAGCAACGCGTCAGCATCGTGGCAGAAAGCCAAAGAGGAGCAAAGGCGACGTGAAGAGGAACGCAAGAAAGAGGAAGAGATGAAGCGCAAAGCCGAAGAGGAAGCGAAGGCTAAACTGGAAGCAGAGCGCAAAGCCAAGGCCGCGGAAGAGAAGTTGCGATGGGAAAGGCAGCGAGCGAGAGAGAAGGAGGAGCGTGAGCGGAAGGAACGAGAGCGGCAGGCACGCGAGCGCCTGGAGAAAGCAAAGGCGGAAATCGAGCGTGCAAGATTGGAGAAAGAAATCAAGGAGAAATTGGAAAAAGAAGCGGCCGAGGCGAAGGAAAAGGCTGAGAAGGAGGCTGCTGCAGCCAAAGCAGCTCAGGAAAAGGCTGAGCGCGAGGCTAGAGCGGCAGCGGCACGCAAGAGGATCGCAGAGCTCAGGGCGAAAAGCGAGCTTGGTGGTTCCAAGTTTGGCGTAGGAGAGAGGACGAATCCGTACTCGCTCGATCCAAACGACAGAACACCCACGCCGGCTGCACAGGCGGCCAGGAAGTACGAAAAGCCTACTGCACAAAGCTACGTTGGCACATCGACGGCAGAGTCGTACCGCCCATACGATAGGCATAAGCACGCCGGCTCCGGCTCCTCGGTGTACTCAGAGTCGTACGCTCCTTCACAGTCGACAGCACCGTCTAGCGCTCCGCCGCGGCAAAGCGGGCCATACAGTACAACCGATCCGGACAAGGTTGTCATTAAGGCTGTATATAGCTTCAGCGACTCCTTTCCGAAGCCACACACGAGTCTTGTGGCTGGTCAAGATGGTGTCACGGACGGTCTTATACTAAAAATTGGTACAGAAGGCATGTTTGTCGATGACGATGTGAAGGGTATCGGACTGAGAGAGTGGGACGTGAAGACATGGACCATGAAGAGTGTCGAGGTAGGAAACGTACCTTTCATTTTACTTCCACAACCTGTTCTGACTACTGTGTCCAGTCCATCTCTGTGCCGAAGAAGTCTCTCTACATCCTTCGCGTCACTATCAAAGATGCCGTCAAAACAAACTTCGTGTTCGTCATCGGCGCCAGTGAAGAGTGGAAGGCCAAGAAAGGCGTTGAGGTCCTCAAGGGCGGTAGTCTGGCGAGAGCTGGGCTAGTCAGTGCAATGAGCAGTGTCGAAGCGCAACGTCTCATGAATTTACTCGGTTGGTAAATGTGGAGTCGCTTGCCTTGGTGTCCCTCACGTGCACGGCACACTTAACCAGAGACAGGGCGAAAAGACTGTATTAAACAAGGTGCGAACAAAAAAAAGTGCGACGTCTGATTGTGCAAGCATCAGCGAAAGGCGTATTTTTATCCAAAGTATTTGATGGGTTGAGACAAGCATGCATGTGGAAGGTGTTGACGTTGCCGTTGGCTGTGGGTCGGCCTGAATCCCAATATACCCCCTCATTTCTCTCACATTCGTTTGCATTTATGTGGTTGGATTGTGCATGTGGGCTTGTACGCGACCAGTGTGCTCGCTGGAATTGACTACTTTGTATATAGTCATGAGTTGCATGATGAGCATACGTGAGCGTTCATGTTGAAGATCGACTGCTAGGTCGAGCATAGACGGTGGATAGAACCAGTTTTAATGCCCTATATTTAATCGATGCACGTGCTTCACTTTTCTCTTCGTAACACGAGTCTTCCAGTTTTTTGAAACAATGCAATGTTAAAAGAACGACGTTTTTTTTTTTTTGGGTTGATTTAGTGTTGATGCCTCTGGACTTGCGACAACCTGTTATATGAATAGGTTGTTCCTTTAAGAAGCAATTCTGGATTAAATGCTAGTGCGGAATGTTCCATGCTCCATCGCATCTGCCACCTCACTTAGCACAAATTGCTTGCATGAAATAGAAACTTCGCCTACGTCCTTGATAACCTGAAATGTCCCAAGATTTACTGGCAGCCTTTGGAGACTTCTCGCCACAGTCCAACAAACCTCACAATTCTCTTCGGCCGTCAAATAAGGTGTCGTCATCTTCCTTCGACGACTTCAACCTCAACAGCAGAAGCGACCCAGGTATCCCGGCGCAGGTATCACAGCTGAGTAGTGGGCAAGCATTCGCAGACTCGGCAGTTAGGTCATCTGGACACGGCAATAGCACCGAAAGCCATGAAAACGATGACGACTGGGGCGATTTTGAAGGCTCTGCCGAGGTGCCGAAGTCCACTGCTGCATCAGTTCCAGTAGCAACCCAGTTCAGCAGATGGCTTGACGAGGAGGACGATGGGTTTCCGGACTGGGAGAAGAAGAATGCAGCGCCGAGGACGGGAAAGTGGGATTTCACGAAGCCTGACCCTCCCGTGACAAATGTTGGTACAGAGCTTCGATCTGATCAGCTAAATCCAAATCCTCAGCCGCCACGACCGCCCAGGGATCCGAACGTGCTTTTCGATGCTGAGGACGAGCCACCCTATGGCGAGAGCGAAGATGATGAATTTGGGGACTTTGAAATCCCCGAGGAAAGCGCACCACAGCCTGAAACTGCGCTGCGTCATGCTGCAACGTCTGATCTACTTCATATTGATGACATGCCCACGATAGCACCTCAGATGCAGGTATTGCATCCATCGACTTTGCGGCCTTCCTTGGAGAGCGGTTCGCTCCTTGATCTAGGAGATTTGAATTTGAACGACGAACCAGCACATATCTGGCGAACCGTCGATAAATCCGCAAGCTCTGGGAAGGCAGATGAAGAATCAACTAGCGCTTGGAGGGCCAACGATAATAAGACATCAATTCACGCTTTTGGAACGCTGGGTCCTGTGTTGACTTCCCCAGCTTCCAATGAGCCGCCTGGAAAGGAAGCTCGAAGTGACAAGATACGTGGGACTTTGTCCAGTCATGAATCGAAGGCAAATGTCACGAAGCAGACTCTGCCCACGCGGCCACGCTCACAACCTTTAGCCAAAACTGAAGAAGAGAAGTGGGATGACTTCGACCCACGGAGCCAAGAAAGTTCAGCACAGCAAGCTTCATCATCTGCGACAGGACCAATCATTCCCCCAACTCTGACCTCGGAGACGTCAGAATCCTCGATATCCTCACCACCAACCAATATTCCACCTCCTGCTTTAATATTGTCTCTTTTCCCTCCCCTCTTTGCTTCAGCGGAAGCATCGTTCTTCCGTCCTCTTCGGCAAGAAACGCCGGAGGTCCAACAGGCTGTCTATGCCGGGGACGCGGCAAGCACATACTTAAAGGGTTTGTTGGCACTAGCAACGGTGTGCGGCCGTGTGATTGCCGGGCGCAAACATCGTTGGAAACGAGACACGATCCTTGCACAGTCCATGCGAATCGGACCCAGCGCGGCCGGCGGCGTGTCCGGTTTGAAACTTGCCAGCATCGACAAGGCTGAAAATGCGAAGGAGGAGCGGGAAGCAGCCGACGCTCTAAAGGCGTGGGCGACCCAGGTTGGAAAGCTGAAGAGTGCCATCGCGGAAGTGAAAAGAATACGGGGCACGGATCTAGGCAAGGTACCGGAGCTGAAGGAGACGATGCCGATCAGAGTAGCCAAGGAGATCGAAGGGGGCCTGAAGGGCCACAGGCCGTGTGCTTTGTGCGGACTTAAGAGGGAAGAGAGGGTATTCAAGGTTGATTTTCAAGTCGAAGACAGCTTTGGCGAGTGGTGGGTCGACAATTCGTCGATGCACAGAGCGTGTAGGAACTTCTGGGAGCAGCACAGGGACACACTGAGGCAGCGATAATGAAATCCACCTTTGGCACGAGTAAAGGCTAACGATCGTTGATCTACCTATCGTTGGAAGACAGAAAGAAAAAAGACAGCTTTACATCTCCACGGCCTTCAGCCATCACACCGTCACCTGTTCCCATCCCCGAGCCCTATGTCTTTCGTTCACTCCAAGCTCTTGGCCGCGTTCGCGTCATCTGGGCTGGTCGCTTGGAGTGCAGCAATAATGGAGGCAATATCATTCTGGCGCTTCTCGAGGTTGCTTGCTGCTGCTGCATCATCTGGGCT